AATAACCCCTTTAAACAAAAATTGCCTTCTTCCGTTTTTTAAATGTGCAGCCGTAATAATTCGTTTGTTAAACAAGGTGCTTTAAAATTCATAATGCCCCAAACCCCCCCCCCCCCCCCCCCCCCCCACACCCATCCAAGAGGATATCAGGTATTCTTGAGGCCTTCATCTCCCCCCTGCGCTTCTTTCGTAGTCGCTTTCCGGCCCGTGTCCAGGTCCTCTTCCTCTTGGCCCGTCCCGGGTCTTCCAGCTGACGAACTGGCACCCGACAATATGCTTTCGCTAAAGCTCGGCTGCTGTCTGTGTCCTGCAGGATCCATGTTGGAACCCATGGGCTGGAATTCCACTGATGACTTCTCCATGGGGCTCGTCGGCGTCGAACTAGTCGGCGTACCCGACGCCTTGCGTCCCCAGCCAGCACCCCAGCCGCCCGTCTTTCGCTTCTCGCCCGCCCACGAAGCCCAGCTCGACATGTATGCGCTCGCACGCGCGCCGGCTGTCTGCACCGACTGCTGTGCCTTATTGAGGTCCACCGCAGGCACGGCCGATGCCGACGAGGGCGCGGTCGACGACGCTGGTGAGGATGGCTGCTGCTCGGCACCGGCGTCTTGCGCTCGCGCGGCGTCCTCGGCACGGCGTCGTTGTGACTCGCGTAGGTATTCCATGTCCGAGTAGATGCGGTTGAACATGCTCGTGGCCTTCTCCCTGCCGACGGCGAAATTGCGACCCAGGACCTCGCGTCCCTGGGCGAAGCGCTCATCCAGGTGGAGGTCCTTGACTTGATCTGCTATCCTGCGCTGGACGTCATCCATGGTGAGACCCCCGGCACAGGGATGTTTGGGCTCGGAGACGGCGAACAGATTGGCATCCGTGTACTGGTTCCACATGCGGTAGTTCTCCGTGCCGGACCAGGCTTCTACCCAGTCGAGGCCGTAGTCGACAGCCGGGTCGGCCTCTGTGGTGGAACCCGTGTCCGGATTCTCGACAATGAACTGATGATACTTGACTGACGATATTAGACCTAGTATATATGCCTCGAATTGCGCGCGAATGTACTCTTCGGAGCCGAGATACTGGAGTGTCTTGGGTCGGCTGGGATTAGCCTCGTCCCAGGTCTCACTGACTTCGTGGTAGATGCCGTCGATCCAACGGCGATCGGCAGCAGTAAGCGTGAGTGCATTGCGAAGGGAGGCGGACGTGATGTTCACAGTGTCCTCATCGAGGTTGATGAGGATGTCGCTGTAGCGATCCTTCTGTTGCAGCAGTAGTGAGTTGGTGCTGCCCACAATGTAAGACTTGGTGCCAAAGTCGGCGAGGATGTCAAGTTGCTGGAGGGGGGTGTATGGGCCAAAGAGGCTACCCTGTTGGGTTGTATCAGTAAAACGGGTATTGGAGGGTCGTCAAGTGGCGCCGACGCACCTTGCCGAATATTTGCAACGGAAGTCCCATGAACGACAGTAGCGAGCTGCGATTACTACTTTGCAAGCTCGTGGGCTTCGAAAGTTGACTCTCGTAGGTGTTGAGTTCAGGGTCGGCGCAATCCTGGAGATTGCGCATGAGGCCTGGTATGAGCGACACAAGCGCAAACTGGACCATGCACAACCGGTCGCATCGCGAGCCGAAGAAGAGCATCTACGTCAAAGTCAGCAGTGGCTCTCCTCGCCGTGGTGCGTTCATACGTACCTTTGGCTGAAGCAGGCAACTCTTCAGCAAGACCAGCGTCTGCCACCTGAACTCGTGGATCAACTCTCGCAAACTCATGCCAATGAATTGGTCCTGCTCGGATACGGATTCGAGGTCGCCCCTGGATTTCTCCTCGGCCAAGCTTTCCTGCAGCCCTTTGAGAATATCCACATCGTCAAAGCCACGCTGGTCGAACCAGGCGTGGGTGACTATCCCCAGCCTTTGCCGCAGCATGCCAAAGGATTTGGGATTGTCCGCAATAACCACCACAGCCTTCTGCACCGTTGAGCGGGTGACGTCGTCGGGCCGGTTGATGAGCTGGGTGGAGTCGAGCTGTCGCGTACATGATATCCCGAACAAGGAAGTGGCGGGACTCTTGTCGGTCTTGGGTTTCAGAAGGGTGAAGTACGAGAAGTCCTCTTCAGATCTAGCAGGGCGTTAGTTAGCAGTCTTTGTCGAGGACCGCACGTGGCGGTGGCCAACGTACGCGTGCGCGCCGTCGCTCAAGGCCATGAATGGCAGCAACGACCATTTGAACTCTTCCGCGGGGTCGAAGCCGTCCTCCACGCCAAACCATGTCTCAACCTCGGGCCCTCGTGCATGGTGAAAGCCAACGACTGTCACCAGCGGTGTGAAACCAGCTGTTTCGGGCTTGATGGGCAATGCTGGGCCTGGGTCTCCAGGGCTAGGTGCAGTCTCGGCACCATTGGACGTGAATTCGGTGTCTTCGCCGCTCATCGTGCCTTGATGTGGAAGGGGGGGGGGCAGTAGTTCTATATCAGCTGGCGCTTGAGCTGTGGCTATGGACGGAAAAGGAGCCGTGTCCTCCTGGAGTATTGCGCCCTTGGAAGGCTTTGTCGCCAAGCGTACGTCGATTCCAGTGTTCCCGACCAAGTATAAGGCACTGAAGTCACTGCTCCTTCTCGGACGAGCCCCTTCGGGGGGTGCTGAGGGTGTGGCGGATGCGGTTGTCGTCGTCAGGTCAGCGGTGGCGGGTAGATGTGACTTTGCGAAGGGGTTGATGCAATCGAAGTCGTGGGGACGAGTGTCCTTTCAGCTATACGTTGAGGGATCGAAGTGAGTGGGAGGGTACAATATGGAAGGCTTAGGAAGATCGAGGCTCGAGACGTTGTTCTCGCAGTCATAATAGGAGGTTGTTGAGTCGAGCTCCAGTCGGTTCGCGACTAAAGTAAGTTAGGGTCGAGTCAAAGAATGCCAGAAATTCCCCAAATCGTCACCAGATGCAGTTGGCCCCACTGGCAGTCTAGCTGAGATAGGAAAGACCCCGCGTCGCCGACAGCGAAGCCGAATTGTTTGGTTTGACAATTCAGTACGTACTGTTTATTTATTGGCCGTGGCCTTCATCACCATATCTCTCGAGCCCAGTCTCCAGTCCATGCATGTCCTTGTTTATACGTACAGGAACTAGCGATTCAATTCACCTGTTCGACCTATTACGGACGTATTTCGGTATGACGCTGGCCGTCAACACATCGTGTCACATGGTGTGTCTATAATGGTTGTCACGAGATCCAACACGGAGGAAACCAACCATCAATCCTCAATTGTTCACCAACGCCAGCGATAACATTTACTCATCTTGAATTTTAATACGCAGCATAGGTTTGAAAGTGCCGTCATCATCGCCATCCTCCTGCCAGCGTGTCGTGCATTGCATAAATCTTGGTCCCATGCCCCGCCAACATTTCATCTACGTACAGACTACGGCCAGCCGCCAGTCTCAGCGTTTAGCAACACGTCTACATCATATTCAATTCACATGCAAACCAACGTCAATCATCTGCTTTTTATTTGGCACTGGGACAATCGAGCGAGACCCTGAAACCTGCCGCTCAGACTCTCCCACGCTCCAAGAACTTCTTGGGGATTTCTGCCGTCTTCGCCCTGATGTACTCGCAAGCATTCTTGCCCAGCGTGTCATACGTCGAGCAGCCATTGTAGCCTGTTTCTTGTTAGCAGCTCTCTCTTTCGCCTGCAGCCACGTATCATCGGGTCTTACCTCTGTCCAGATGGTCGTGCAGCAAGAAATGCACAGCCTTGATGCCGGGAATCTCGAACCGATCGATCGGTTTCCCCTTGTATTCCTCCGGACCAAGGAGCTCCTTGAGCTTGTCAATCGTTAAGAAACTGCGCAGCCACTCCCACTCATCCGCGTGCCTCACAAAGAAGCCGGCATTGCAGTCGCTCGCCTTGTCACCGGATCGCCCTAGCACGATGTACCCCAGCGGTGCCTTCTCCGTCTCGCCCCAGCTGTCCAGGGCTCGAGGCTCCGTCGTCTCGTAGCTTGGCTGCTGCTTGGGATATGTCCTTGTCTGAGTCGGTGCGTCCATCTTGATGATCATGTTCTCGCCAAAGAGGCAGTGCACGCGGTGGTTCAGCTCGGCCTGTGGCAGCAACGATACCCAGTACTCATAGTACGGCTTGGGCGCAATCTGCCTGAGGTCATTGCTCAGTGACGCTCCTGGGGCACTCTGCAGGAAGACTTCGAGCACCCAGCGGTTGAAACCATTCGGAACGTCGGGTCGCATCACCTCTGGGTCCCTGCTCTGAGCAAAGATGCGAAAGTCCACCGTGGCCACGTCCTGGTTGTGTGCATCGATGGGTGAAGAGCCGTTCTGGTGGAACTTGAGGGTGGTGAACTTTGAGATGTTGTCGCCGATGGCATATCGGATCTGGTCCTCGGTGAATCGACATTTCTCTTCAATGTCGAGGCCGACAAAGTAAATGTGCCACTCTGCCTGGAAACCTGCAGGTGCAGTGATCCCAACTTTGGTCGTGGGCGGCGGCGGCAACCCCTTTACCCCTGTCACGCGCACAGCGTCCTCGCCCGCTTGCTCCATGACAACGCCTGTAATGTCGGCCACCACATCGCAGTTATAGTACCAGCTGTCATTGTCAGTCAGCAAGAGCGGCTCGCAACCTTTGTCCACACTTACGGTCCCTGAATCTCGTAAAGGAGCTGTGAGGCAACAGTTCCCACATTCACAGCGCCGCCAGTGTTCTTCTCCTTGACGATGACGCACTCGCCCTTCTCGTCAATCTCGGCAATGGGAAAGCCCATGTTCACGTGTTTCTTGTCTTTCATAAATTCTTTGAAACCACCGTAATATCCGCCAGTCACATAGGCTGAGCATTCGATCAAGTGGCCGGCTATCAAAGCGCCGGCCAACTCGTCAAGCTGATCGGCTTTCCAGCCATGCCACCATCTAAAGAGTTAGCCATCTTGGAAATAATGAAGAGGCGGGGGAGCCTTACGCCGCAACACCTATCACTGGGGCAGCGTCTGCCACGCGGCCGCATATAACAATATCGGCGCCTTGCCTGAGCGCCTCGGCAATTCCAAGGCCTCCAAGATAGGCCTGCGCGCATATGGGCTCCATGCCCCATTCCTCAAGCTTCTTTCCGTGCATCAGACTCTCAAACTGCTCGCCTTGCTTTATCAGTCGATTGACCTGCTGGGTCACATCGTCACCCTCGACCCAGGCGATTTTCAGATGCCCGTGACCCGCGTCTTGCACCATCTTCTGGCACACCTGCGCGAGCAGCTCCGTATCAGAGGCGCCGGCGTTTACCGCGAGCTTGCACTGATTCTTGGACAGGGCTTCTATGGCTGGCTCGAAGCACTGAATAAATGTCTCGGCATACATGGCCGTCTTCATGCGCTCCTCGAGGGAGAGCGACGCTGTGGCACCTCCAGGTAACTTGGCCTGGTTCTTGGCCTTGCCGCTGCCGTGCATGGTCATGGTCTGTGACATTGTCATGTTAGCATGATACCCAAGTACGCAACGTCTTGAGCACAGGTTTCGTACCATTTCTGCCATCCAGTCACCTATCACAGCGTCGACATCGGGGTCTTCAGCCATTGACTTGATCGCACGCGAGCGATCTGTGAAGCCGCCAGAGCAGCCCGCAACGCGGACTGGTCGTCTTATTGATGATGCCATGGTATCTGGAATCTGTGATGTCAAATCCAAGTTTCTGCGGCCTTGATCAGGTGAATGCACAGAATACAACGATATATCTCTGTCGATTGCCTAGCTATCGACCTAAATATCTATCACCTTGCGGATAACATCGTCCGCTGAGAGGTTGAGGGTATGCAGACGCTAACCGGAGACTGCGGGGTCTCGAGTCAATGATCCCCAGGTTTCGTGGAGAGCTTGACTCATACGCGGAAATTGTATTTCCATGCTGAGTCCGGGATACGTACCGTGCCTTGGGGTTGAACTGAGACTGTTGCTGGTGCTACTGTCTCAGTGGGATCGGTCCCTTTCTGGAGCGCATGGCTCTCTGCTGGAATGAAAATGACGTTTAGAGCATTGGAAGAAGCGTCACACATGCTACCGCAAAGTATTTGGTGTTTCAACCGATTACCACTTAATACACGGTGCGAACAAAGCCAGAAAACTTCAAAGAGCACACAAAACGGAATGAGCTGAGCTCCATGGTACGATTGCTTGTCGACAAGTAAGATGTGACAATTCGGAAGCGAACAACACTTGCGAGCAGATGTGTTGCTTGAATGCTGATGGAGGGGTCACGGTACAGGGTAGGTGGGTCAGCTCGGACAAAACCACAGGCCCCCACTGAACGAACATAGAGTAAACTTGACCAACAACAAGTATCTGAACACAGCCGGCCAGCATCATTCTCAAGAGCGTAAACAAGTCAGTGACTGTCTGTGCCCAGTATCACACCAGCCCAGGTCAGGCTCGACTGTCAATGTCGACATGAGCTTCTGACGCTGAGGTGTCGCTTTTCGTACTTGAATCGAAAACGCGACTCGCGGGGCAGGATGCGTCTCATCACCCTGCCAGTAGCTCGCTCCATGTCTCATAGATTGGGACGAACCCCTTCGCCCAGTCCTTATAGCAATGCTGGCTTGCCAGAAATTGGAGTAGAGTCCGAATGGTCATGTGGGACTGTGGGACTAGGTGCGAAATTCATGGCTTCAAGGACAGGGCTCAGCATTCGCGAGAAGGCGACGGGAGACGGAGTGATCGATCAATCATGCACTCATCAGAACCCAATCTCATCTCACGATCCCGCTGGCCACCGCTAGAGACTGGAGATGAGGGCAAAGCTAGAGAACGGTAGAGCCTAACCATTGGAGTCCCCTGTCCGTACCTTGCAGCTCGTCAAGAAGTTGATTGGACATCGCTGAAGCTCATTTCGCGATCGCGACAGCATTGGTCGGAATGCGAGCCAGGTGGAACCACCGCCCACGACATGCGGACATGGATAATGGCGTCCACCAGCCAGCGGGTGCTCCCCAACGGCAACAGCTGCTGGCGGCGAGGGGATTTGGAGGAGGGAGAGGAGGGTCTTATTATTTACCTCCTTGACCTTACCAGAGCGACAAGTCAATATCCCTGCCTGGCTAGGCTTTTTTGGCTTCCACTCCCCTTTCCAGTCCTCTTGGCTAGGCTCTCTCCCTCCCGAGCCCATCTTGCTTGCTCCCCACGTTCATTTGGCTGACCTGGCCGGCCTTTTCTGTTCATGTTCTTCTTGCCTTTGCCATCACGTTCAGTCGCTCGCTCGCTCATCGCGTCCACAGTCGCGTGTGGAATATACTACGCTACGAGGCTGTCTGTCGAGTAGACGCCCCCATACCTTGTTCCTTGCTCATCAGCCAGCAATTCACGGCATTCGTTACGAAATACCACGACGTTCATTGATTCATACTACAGACGAGTCGATCTCTGATCGACCACTAGCCTAGCTAAACCTGACGATCACTCAACCCAACCTCAGATCTACTTCCTAGACGTATCGCTAGACGCGACACTATCCACTCCTCGTCACGATGAAGGCAGCTGTCCAGGCCGCCTTCGGCTGGACGCTTGTCCTCCTGTCGTCACCCCTGTGCGAGGCCAGCCACAACCACAACCACCGTCGTCTCCACGAGGGACACCTTGAGCGCAAGCATACACACCTGCATGAGCGCGATCTCAAACTTGCTCCCACCTCTGACATTGCCAAGAGAGGTACAACCTGCGCCTTCCCTGGCGATGCCGACCCCAACCTGGTGGCTATCACGCCAGACGCCGACAATGCGGGCTGGGCCATGAGCCCCGATCAGTCTTGTGTTGCGGACAGCTATTGCCCCTACGCATGCAAACCTGGCTATGTCATGGCGCAGTGGGAGAAGGGCTCCACCGTCAGCTATCCGTCTTCGATGAACGGTGGCCTGTACTGCGACAAGAATGGTGAGCTGGAGAAGCCATTCGACGACAAGCCATACTGCGTCAAGGGTACTGGTGCCGTAAAGGCCGTCAACAAGGCTGGTGGCGATGTCTCCTTCTGCCAGACAGTCTTTCCTGGCAACGAGGCCATGATCATCCCCACCCTCGTCAAGGACGCTGTCACCATTGCCGTCCCAGACAATGACTATTGGTGTGAGACTTCAGCTCACTACTACGTCAACCCCCCCGGTACCGGCACCGAGGGCTGTATCTGGGGCGAATCCTCGAAAGCCATTGGCAACTGGTCTCCCTACGTGGCTGGTGCCAAAACCGACGCCACCGGCAGCACCTTTCTCACGCTTAGTTGGAACCCCGAGTGGCAGAAGATCTCGGCGCTGAGCAGCCAGCCAGTTGATTACAAGCTGGAAGTTGAGTGCGATGGTGACTGTGTCGGCACGCCTTGCGGCATTGACCCCTCCAAGGGCAATGGTGACGTCCAGAGCTCCAACGCCGGTACTGGCGACGCCGGCAACAACTTCTGCGTTGTTACCGTCCCCAAGGGGAGCACTGCCAGCATCGTTGTCAAGTCCTTGGACGGCTCGAGCAGCGGTGGAAGCAAGGACGACGATGACGAGGAGGAAGAAGAAGAAGAGGAGGAGGAGGAGGAAGAGCCTACGACGTCTTCAGCTGTTCCCTCTACAACTTCACAGGAACCTACGACTTCTGAGGAGCCCACCACTTCGTCCACCACCTCAACGACCGTGGAGTCGACCACTGAGTTATCGACATCAACTACTTATGAGGAGACTACCACCTCTTTCTCCTCCTCCTTCTCCTCCTCCTCCCCCTCCTCCTCCTCGACGCCTACTCTGTCCTCCACCGAAACTACCTCGACAAGCACCAAGAGAAAGAAGATGACCGCCAAGCCCGGTATCTTCCAGGAGTTGCACAACTCGACCTCCACCATGACAAGCGGCTCGCATAGCGCCACGCTCACCACTGGTCCCGACTCAGAAGCCACCGGCGACGCCGCGAGTGATTCCGAGGATGAGGACGACTTTGCCATGGCCCGTAAGGGCGACCCGGCCATGGCCGGTCTGGTCGTCGCCTTTGTCGTTGCCCTGTACTTCTTCTGAGTCGATGTCACCGGGCTGCGACGACAATGCTTCTCTTCCGAGACATATTTACCATCCACACCTATCCGGCGATGGCCTTTCGAGCTTCACGCGGCGCCCTCCTTCTTTTTGGTCAAGCACCATTCTCATGCTGTCGCTTTCTTTGACAGCTGGGCGTTTGGCACACATTTACTTCTTCTTGTGATATACCCTTGCAGCATATATATACATTTGGTGGTGTTCTTCTGGTTACAGTACATGTGGGAGAGCGGAGTAGGATAAGCCAAAAATCTTTCTCAGCGATATCAAGTTTGGGATACGACGCCACGGGCCATGTACATGAGGAGGGGGTACTTCTTCTCTTATTTCGCTGGCACTTTCAGGATAGCGCACTTTCTCGATGGGAGGAGGAAAGGGCGTGTATACGATCGAACAAGTAATTTCTAAAGAATCATGACTCCCGTCTCGTGATCTCAACGGCGCTTCGCATTCTTCGTATGGGTATCGTGCCTTGTCCCTCGCTATATACGCATGTGCATCTCATCAAGCCTTTACCCACCCAGGCACATCCTCCTGATCGTAGTAGTACTGGTCGTACTTCCTGTCTGTTATGGCTGACCACGGGGTTGGCCACCCTGCAGCCACCGGTCCCTTTGCCTTTGCGCCTATGATGGCGAAACGTCCCTGCCCGTGCGCCACGAACCCGTGCATGAGGCCTTGCTGCACCATCTCCGCCACCATCATCTCAACATCCTCAGCGGCGATCTGCGCGTTGCCCCACAGGACGCCCTCGTGCGAGCGGAGTTTGCGTGGCCCACTGGGCGGCGCGACGAGCGTCGTGTTGGCGTTGTTCCGGGCCGCGTGCACGGCCAAGGGGTTGACGCCCTGCGAGGGGCGATGCGTGGTCGACGAGGGCGTGTAGCCTTCGATTCGTTTCTGCAGGAACGACGCGGCAGTCTGTAAGTCGGCCAGGTCAAGCGTGGCGGCTTTGCGCGACGAGGCGTCCACGGGCGGCTGATATGTCAGGATGAACGTCTTCCTCGCCAGACTCCGCCACAGCAGTGGCCGCAACTTGTGTGCTAGTTGAAGGAAAAGGCCTCGCTCGTAGAGCCAATCCTGCTGCGTGGCGAGATGTGCCTGGAAAGCTGCGAAATCGCCAGAGCGTATCGCTGCGCAGAGCGGGAAGAAGACGGGCGCCAGATTCCTGGCCTCCGGTCTGCTGAGGAGGTTTTGGGAGGGGAAACGCCCTAGGAGGAGGTTGCACGGGATAAGGTAGGTGAGAATCCTGGCGCGATGCGTCACGAATGTGGGAAGAGTCTGGAGGTACGCTGCCTCGAGACAGTGCGCTGCTCGTAGGTAGTGTGTGTTGGCGAACCAGTAGCGGCCGAGGTAGTAGAGAAAGGTGACGCGTTGCGCGGCTGGGTACAGGTTGAGCAGCGGTGCTTGCGAGGCCATCTGACTGAGCAGCATGGTTGCTGGTGTGATTTTGCGGCACTGGAGGCTTCTTAGTAACGGCAGGTCCGCACCACCAAAAGGGGTTGACTCACAGCAAAGGATAGCTTGAGAACCAGGTTTGCGAATGTGTAGACGGCTTGCTTCCTCCCCTTTGGCGCCGTCCACCTGTCTGTTGTACGATCTTGAAGACAGGTCGTAAAGATCTTCTTGATGGTCTCGGAGGTCCTGCCAATGATCGAGCCTTGGCCATCGTCGCCTCCCCCGTCGCCGGCCGCATCCTCTGCACGTTTTGCCTTGCGAAGAAGGTCTGGTCGCCGGCTCAGGGTCATTGTCAGCTGTGCGAGGGTCTGTGAGAGGGCCAAGCATGTCTGCATGAGTATATCACCCCCAGAGGGATACGAGAAGGCTGTTGCGCTGGCACTTTTCGGAGCTATCAGTCGATGGGCAAGAATGGCGAGCAAGAGGGCCGACATACTTGACAAGATTGGTGAGAAGCTCGTGCGTTCTCAACAGATCATTCCAATCGGCGTCGCGCCAGTAGATCAGATACTCCTTGATGAACGCGTACAGCCCGCCCCACGCAGTAGTCTGTCCTTCTTTGGCATTGTCCGTCTCATCGGGGATCATATGCTCGATCCATTTCTCGAGAGATCCGTGCAATGGCTTGTCCCGCTTACCTTGAAGCTCCTGGCCCATTTCATGGTAGCTAGCGGGTGCTTCTGGCACCACCTGGAACCATTGCCTGAGTTTTTCTCCATTGCCGCTTGCGATATCTTTGCGTATCGTGACGAGCAGTTCGTTGACCCGTGACATGGTGTGTGCTGTCGCACTGTCGCGACAGTCAAGAAATTTGGATAATGAAGAGGTTGAGAAACGTTGGCAGTATACGTGAGGTCCAGTCCGTCGTCAGTGTCATGATACGCAGCTTACCCTACAGTACGCCACCACCTTGACAAGCCCATAATGTGTGGTGAGACTTTGGTTCATTTACAATTTTTACTTTTCGTGTATGTATTTACACTATTCGAAATGTCATGGTTCTCATACCGACTCTACACGCTGCACCACGAGTGCAGTAGCCGCGCCGCCACCGTTGCAGATGGCAGCGACACCGTACTCGCCCGGCTTCAGCTGGTGAAGCAGGGTTGTCAAGATGCGCGACCCTGAGCTGCCGAGAGCATGGCCCAAGGAAATAGCGCCGCCCAGAGGGTTGACCTTTGCGTTCTCCAGACCAAGGAGCTTGGAGTTGGCCAGGATGACGCCGGCAAAAGCCTCATTGAACTCCCAAACCGCTACCTGGTCCTTGGTGATACCAGCACGCTCAAGAGCAATGGGCACTGCCTTGGCTGGAGCCACGGGGAAGTCGATGGGCGCGATGGCGGCGTCAGCGTAGCCGCAAATCTTGGCCAGTACTCGCGAACCAGAACCGTACTTCTGAGCAATGGCCTTGCTGCCCAGGACCAGAGCGCTAGCGCCGTCGTTGAGGGTCGAAGAGTTGGCAGCGGTTACGGACCCACTGCCGTCGCGAACAAAAGCTGGCTTGAGGGTGGGTACCTTTTCAAACTTGATGTCCATGAAGCCCTCGTCGGTATCGATGACTGCATCGCCTTTGCGGCCCTTGACAGTGACAGGGGCAATCTCCTCGGCAAAGGCCTTCTCCGACCAAGCCTTCTGCGCGTTCTTGTAAGACTGGATGGCGTACTCATCCTGCTGTTCTCTGGTGATGCCGTGCTCCTTGACAGTGTTCTCACAGCAGTTGCCCATGTGGAACTGGTCATAAACATCGGTCAGGCCATCCTTTATTAAGCCATCCTCAAGCTTGACGTTGCCAAAGGCAGGCAGGCCACTGGCACGAGGCAGGTAATAAGGCACCCGCGTCATGTTTTCCATGCCACCGGCAATCTGCGCCTCAGCGAGACCAAGTTCAATGTTCTGCGCAGCCAGTGTAACGGACTTGAGGCCCGAGGCGCAGACCTTGTTGACGGTAGTGGCCTCTACGGACTGCGGTAGACCAGCGAAAATGACGGCTTGACGAGCGGGGGCCTGGCCCATGTTGCCGCTGAGGACATTGCCCATGTACACATCGGTAATATGCTCAACGGGAACCTTGGATTTCTCCAGTGCTGACTTGATCGCCACAGCGCCCAGCTTGGAGGCCTCGACGGTGGTGAACGAGCCGTTGAACTGACCGAGTTAGTCTTGGAGCTTCAGTGAAGACGACTTCAAGCAGCATCTGACGAACCTTGGCTGTCGGTGTGCGCGCAGCGCTGAGAATGTAGGCGTCCTGGATCTCCTTGCGCAGGGCCGCACTGGTGGTGAAGGCGCGAGCCGTCTTCACATGCCGAGCGAACTGCCCAGCCAGCCTCGGGGAGCGCAATTGCGTCATTGCCATCACCATCGTGCTTCGTTTCGATGTCGGTCTTGTCGGCGGTTGGCACAGAACTTCTCACAAAAACAGAAATAGCAGGGGAGGATTATGGACACGGGGAAAGGAAGAAAACGAAATGGGGGACAAGAATATTGGGTTGTTGGAGAGACCTGCCTTACCTAGGTCGTCTCAGTGCAGCTCGGTCCGCTTCGGCTTTCGGCGGGCAGTGGCGGGCAGCAGTGGACGTGGACCTTCTGGCCGAGCGTGTCGGTGGTGCAGCCCGTCCGGGGTAGCGCATCATCACCCTGTCAAACTAACATCGGATCCGATCGATCATCACCTTTCGAGGGTGCTGATCACTAATTAATGCCCGCAACCGACATGCGATGCTGACAGAACAACATCGTCCGTCCGAAACCCCGAAAGATTGTAACTGGAATTTGTAGCTTGCATGATATCACCAAACCTTGAATATGGCACGGCAATATTAGTAAGGTAAGGCGTTCGTCCCGCGACCATCACGTGAGGGCGCGCCACACGTGGCGGGGCCGCAAGTTCGAAGACTGGATGGTAAGCCACTTGGGCGGCCCAGAGGCCCCAGACACCCTCATAAGGAGCCCATTACCGCACTACGTACATCATCCACTCGAGTCTGTTTGAGCACCAAGGAACCCTGTCCTTCGCCTCTTTCCGCCCGGATCCCTCTCGGTCGACCGTGCTCATCACAGAGACTTCTCCATCCTCCATTTCTTGTGACAAGTCATCCCCCTCGTTGCCCGATAACTAAGACCCCCCCGCAACGTCCGATTATCCAACCAATACCCCAAGATGTCGACAGCTGCACGCCGCCGTTTGATGCGTGACTTCAAGGCAAGTAATTACCGATAGCATCAAAGAGGTTATGATTAAGCTGACATGTTCCAGCGCATGCAAACTGATCCTCCTGCTGGTGTCTCGGCCTCGCCTGTTTCCGACAATGTCATGACATGGTGTGCTGCCATCGCATCATAAGCTCCGCGAACAACAGCTCACAATCATTTCCAGGAACGCAGTCATCATCGGTCCTGCCGACACACCTTTCGAAGATGGAACATTTCGCCTCGTGATGCAATTCGAGGAGCAATATCCGAACAAACCACCGCAAGTCAAGTTCATCAGCCAGATGTTCCACCCAAACGTGTACTCATCGGGCGAACTCTGTCTTGATATCCTCCAAAACAGATGGAGTCCGACGTACGATGTTGCTGCGGTGCTCACGAGCATTCAAAGGTGAGCGACGAGGGACAGCATACTCTGACACAGGATCTAACGTGCGTCAGTCTCCTCAACGACCCCAATACTGGATCACCAGCCAACGTCGAAGCGTCGAACTTGTACAAAGACAATCGCAAAGAATACACGAAGCGGGTGAAGGAGACCGTGGAGAAGAGCTGGGAAGACTGAGCGCTCGTGTTCATCAAGTGACAGCACAAGCGACATAGCGTGAGCCTTGGGCACAGCTCTGTCTCCAACACCGGAGCAGTGGAGTTTGCAGGCGTTTACTGGCGAATTTTGAGCTTTTATACCAAGGAACCGGTCGCATAGGGCAAGGATATTGGTCGTTCGGGTATTGTAGAGTCCATAGCTCGAGGGTCTTCACGATGGCAGCGCTGTATTTGTTCATGCCAGTGGCTTGTCTTTAGACTACTTTCGGCGCCTCTGCTGGTGCGCTTTGATTATGAATGTCAAAAAATCTAGAACAATGTTCGACGAGCGAGCTGCTCCCCAAGTGACAGTAGATGCAACGAGTCCGTACGTCTGGAACGGTTGTCTTGGCACCCAAGAACCCCTAATTGTGGCGGTGCGTGGGGTCTTGGAAGCCAGTGAGCCACACAGGGAGGTTATTAGCGCAGTGTCGGCGACTCGGCAGACGCCAGCGCTTGTAGCAATCTCCATGCCGTGTGGCTTGGACGGCAACGGGGCAGCCCATCCTGTCATCTTGCTGCACGCGAACCCTCATGTCCCTCCCACCTTGGTAGCGCGTCAACAACCCGCTACTACGTACCTCCTCCCGTCGCGGTCGCCAAGCGTAAAGAGCGGTCTCTCCCCTTACTTTGACGCTGCGGGTACGGCCAGGATTGTCAGACCTTCTGCCACGTTTCCCCAGTCCCAACGACTAGGTCTAGTGTCACAGCTTGTTATCGTCCACCGACAACCTAATTCGGGCACTGCCCTGGATTACCTCGACGTCGGCCTCGGGAACCCGCAGCCTGTCCCCACCCCGTGAACGATAGACCTCGAGGTTAGCAGTCTGCCTGCGCACGGATGAAAGCGGGCGGGCTCTGGACAAGGGAACATTCACCATGTCTGCTGCCAACAGCATCAAGGTCGTGGCACGGTTCCGGCCGCAGAACCGCATAGAGCTGGAGTCGGGAGGTAAACCGATCGTCACGTTCGACTCGGAGGAAACATGTACTCTCGATGTATGTCCTGAAGAACCGGGAACGCTCTCGACCAATGGCTGACAGACGCACAGTCGCGCGAAGCGCAAGGTAGCTTCACCTTTGACAGGGTCTTTGACATGGGATGCAAGCAACAGGACATTTTCGACTTCTCCATTCGCCCAACAGTCGACGACATTATCAACGGTTACAATGGCACCGTCTTTGCCTACGGCCAAACGGGTGCCGGTAAATCGTATAGTCAGTTTTGGGATCTCGCACGTAATGTCAATCGCTGACTGTTCCCGCAGCCATGATGGGCTCGAATATCGACGACGAGGAGGGCAGGGGAGTTATCCCACGCATTGTCGAGCAAATCTTCGCCAGCATTATGTCGAGCCCTGAAACCATCGAGTACACTGTTCGAGTTAGCTACATGGAGATCTACATGGAGAAGATTCGCGATCTTCTCGCGCCACAGAACGACAATCTTCCTGTCCACGAGGAGAAGAACCGTGGTGTCTACGTCAAGGGGCTTTTGGAGATATATGTGTCAAGCGTTCAGGAAGTGTACGAAGTCATGCGACGAGGCGGCAATGCTCGCGCTGTGGCGGCCACCAACATGAACCAGGAGTCCTCTCGCTCACACTCGATTTTCGTCATCACCGTCACTCAGAAGAATGTTGAAACAGGTTCGGCCAAGAGTGGTCAGCTTTTCTTGGTCGATCTGGCTGGTAGCGAAAAGGTCGGCAAAACGGGCGCCAGCGGTCAGACTCTGGAAGAGGCAAAGAAGATCAATAAGAGTTTGAGTGCTCTTGGTATGGTCATCAACGCCTTGACCGACGGCAAATCCTCCCATATCCCGTACCGAGATTCCAAGCTCACTCGTATCCTTCAAGAGTCTCTGGGTGGTAACAGTCGAACGACTTTGATCGTCAACTGCTCACCCAGCAGCTATAACGATTCCGAGACCATTGGTACTTTGCGTTTCGGTACAAGAGCAAAGTCGATCAAGAACAAGGCCAAGGTCAACGCCGAACTCAGCCCTGCCGAGCTCAAGACACTCCTCAAGAAGGCACAGGGCCAAGTCACCAACTTCGAGAACTACATCGCAAACTTGGAGGGCGAAATCAACCTGTGGCGTGCCGGTGAACAGGTCCCCAAAGAGAACTGGGCTCAGCCTGGCGCTGCCGGTGCTGTAGTCAAAGCTGAGGCGAGGCAACCCAGGCCCTCGACACCCTCCAGATTTGTTCCAGACAGCCGCGCCGAAACCCCGATCCCCTCTGAGCGCTCTGGCACGCCGAGTATACCACTGGAAAGGGACGAACGCGAGGAGTTCTTGAGGCGGGAGAACGAGCTGCAGGATCAGCTTGCCGAAAAGGAGTCGATGGCTACGACTGCCGAGAAGCAGCTGCGCGAGATGAAGGAGGAGCTAGGCTATATCAAGGAGCACGACAGCAAGGTCGGAAAGGAGAACGAGAAGCTGACGGGCGAGGTCAATGAGTTCAAGATGCAGCTCGAGCGCCTCAACTTTGAAGGCAAGGAGGCGCAGATCACCATGGATGCGCTGAAGGAGGCCAACGCGGAGCTGACGGCAGAGCTTGACGAGGTCAAGCAGCAGCTTCTGGATGTCAAGATGAGCGCCAAGGAGAGCGGTGCCGCCATGGATGAGAAGGAGAAGAAGAAGGCTGAAAAAATGGCCAAGATGATGGCTGGATTCGAACTCGGCGGCGATGTCTTCAGCGATAATGAGCGGTCCATCGGCGAGGCCATCTCCAAGCTCGACGCACTGTACGAGCAAAGCTCTGTTGGCGACAACATTGCCCCCGACGAATTGAAGGCGCTGAGGGCCAAAATGGTCGAGACGCAAGGCATTGTGCGGCAGGCTGAGCTGTCCATGTACAGTGCTGGATCTAGCGACATGGACGCCCGCCGCAGGCAAGAGCTCGAGTCGAGGCTAGAGGCTCTCCAGCAAGAGTATGAGGACTGTCTCACGCGCAACCTGGGCGAGAGTGACGTCGAGGAGGTCAAGGCGCGCCTGGAGCACGTATACCACAATCGCCAGACGACCCAGGGACAATTGGTCGACGAGCTCAAGGCCGACATTTCCCAGAAAGCAGCCGAAAACACGCGCATGAAGACCCTCATCGAAGATCTCCAGCAGCGTGCCAAGTCTAGCGGGGGCTCGGCAGCGACCAACGGCAAGACGGTGCAGCAACAGATTGCCGAGTTTGATGTCATGAAGAAGAGTCTCATGCGAGATTTGCAGAACCGCTGCGAGCGTGTGGTCGAGCTTGAGATCTCCCTGGACGAAACTCGCGAGCAGTACAACAATGTGCTGCGCTCGTCCAACAACAGGGCGCAGCAGAAGAAGATGGCATTTTTGGAGCGCAACCTCGAGCAACTTACCCAGGTGCAACGGCAGCTGGTCGAACAGAACTCGGCGCTCAAGAAGGAGGTGGCCATTGCAGAGCGCAAGCTGATTGCTCGCAATGAGCGTATTCAGAGCCTGGAGAGCTTGCTGCAAGACAGCCAAGAGAAGATGGCAGCTGCGAACCACAAGTATGTCCCGCGCGTGTTGCTCTTGCTCGCTTTCTCCTATGCTAATATCATGATAGGTTTGAGGTGCAGCTCGCCTCCGTCAAGGAGCGTCTGGAGAGTGCCAAGGCTGGCAGCACGCGTGGTCTAAACCAGGCGGGCGGCGGCTTCAGCTTCGCAGGTGCAGGCAGCCGCATCGCGAAGCCCCTGCGCGGTGGAGGCGGCGACGCGCCCGCTGTGAACCCGACCATACAGACGATTCAGAACGAGAGCGGTAATGGCAACAGCGGAAACAAGCGATCAAGCTGGTTCTTCAACAAGGGTTAGACGGACGGTATATACACTCGGATCGACGGCAAGCAGGCGCGTGCGTGCGAGGGGAGGAAACCGATACCCAGAGGATGCCGGCAACGGCATCATTTCCGTAGCTTTCTGTTGCCAGGCCGCCCTTTGCGTTTGCAGACACATGCTCTGATGGGACGACGAGGATGGCAGGGGTAGAGACCTTTCTCTCCATATGCGTAGAGGATGGGACGGGCAGGCATTTTGTTGGATTCGATTATTGGTGGTTATTGGGTGGGCCATCTCTTGTGTTCGGGGGTACAGCAGCAAGCGGCAGACTATTTCCTTGTCATGATTACAGACGAGTTATAAGAACTGAACGATTAGATTAAGTTTAAAGTATCTGACTGCTTCATCGAGATGACGTCCTGACGTTTACCCATGATTGACTGAGGTTTGGCAAGGTAAGGTAAACACTGCTGCCCCACCATCAACGTACTTCCTTCGACCTCAGCTTGACATAATAACCACCGGCTCTGCTTTATCAAAGCATCAACAGCGCACCAATATTGACATATGACATACTGATCTTTGCAATCAACTGCACGCCTCATTTCAAAATACGGCTTTGTTATCGGGATCGCGTGCGACCATCGATGCGGTCCTCAATACCAAACCTCCTCACCCTGCGCGGCAGAGGGGGCTCACGCGCCTCAAGGGGCAGAGGGAGAGCACACCCTGAAGCGCATGACACGACAATTCAAGGCACCGACACCGACGCTGCCGTCTCCCGTCTCAGTGCTGTGCACTGCGGTTATCTTACAGATCCATATGCCCAATTCTTCGTCAGCGCAGGCGGGGGACCGCCGACAAGACGACTCCCCATAATCAACCGCGGCACATATACACGAACCACAGCATTGGATCGGCTGGTGGATGCATTTCTCGATGGCGGTGGACAGAGGCAGATCGTGAGTCTAGGCGCTGGGACGGACACGAGGGTCTTCAAGCGGTTCGCAAGGGGCGAGACCGAAGGTTTGGTGTACCACGAACTCGACTTTGAGATCATCTCGCAGAAAAAGCTGCGGATTGTCCGAGGGAACCCAATGTTGTCAAGGATCATGGGCGAGATCACCGTCAGCGAGGATGCGACTTGCTGGAGTAGTGAACTTGGCGCGCGGGGAGAGTATCACTGCCATGGCCTCGATCTTCGGAAACTGGTCGATGCCGATGAGAGCCAAGTTCTCATACCAGGTCTCCGGACCGACATGCCAACCCTCGTGGTCTCCGAGTGCTGCCTGTGCTACTTGGCGACTGAGCAAGCAGCAGCTGTGCTTGCGTATTTTCACAAACGCATACCGTCACTTGGCACAGTAATCTACGAGCCTGTGCTGCCGCATGATGCTTTTGGCAAAGTCATGACTGCGAATCTTGCTGCGAGGGGCATCAGCATGCCAACGCTGGATTCGTACCCTACACCTGCAGATCAGGAGAAGAGACTATCGGAGGCTGGATTTGTTGGAGCAGTGAAAGCCATGACTGTCGAGGAGATATGGCGTAAATGGGTCACCGATGACGAGAAGGCCAGACTCGATTCGCTAGAGGGACTGGACGAGGTCGAGGAGTGGGAGTTGCTTGCTGGGCATTATGTCGTCGCGTGGGGCTCAAAGGGCCTTGATGTAAAGGCGTGGAACGAGCTGCTAACCTAGCTTATCACTAGCAAGATATAGATAACTTACTTCGGACCATGTCGTGATCGACCACCCGAGACAAGCGTTGGCGTTGATGAAGAAGGGTGTCACGTGCCGCGTCGCATTGGCGCCTACCTCAGCGACCGTGACCAGCCGCCAGCTGAATGGCGGTGCCATTATAATTCACCCATGCGCTACAATCATCAATTACTCTGAATTGTTTTGTCGCAATTCATTTATACTACTTAAACCTCTCGTTGCGATCGCTTTCTTGCCCACAACGTCCAGTCAGCATTCGTACTTCATCCTTGGCGTTCTAATACTCGAGACGTGTCGGCGACGACCTTGGGCGTACGCAGCTTGCCGCATTCATTACACGCCCCAGACCATCGCCTGCATTGACACTTCCCGTCCAAGAGATATTGAGGGGGCACTGGGGTACCTTTGAGTTGGCAAGATGGCGGACAAGCAGTATAAGTACCGCAGTGAGATCAGTCAGGTATGTCAATTGGCCTGGCCCTACCTTATGTCTACGCGCCCCCATCATCGCCAAAGAATCGGTGGTGGATAAGCAGGATGCCATGCCATGTTCGATAGTACCTACAGCGGATACAACGCTCAACAAGTTTCGTGCGCGGCTCATCGCATGATCGGTCGCAGGCTGGCTGTCCAGGCACCAGTACCTGTCAACTATTATCGAAACGCAGGCGCCGCCGTCTGGTTCTGGGCAAAGCTTCAGGCACTCACCATGGGCTCGCCTGCACCTCAGGCGAGGCGGTTTACTACTGTTGCGCTGAAATCGGGCGCTCACTACTCTTCCCTCATTCACATCTTGAACGACATCTACCGCCATCATGACCAGCCTCTTTTCGTACAATCGCAACACTAGATCTCACAAGGAAGCCATGATTAGACTGTTCGGACACAGGCTGATTGATTCCTTCCTTTTGCAGATGATGTACGTCAGCGGCGAAACTGCCGAACCTCCTGCGGAAACGACGAGTATCATGGAAGACATTGTGCGCCAGCAGGTGATAGAGATGGTAAGTCCCCATGCTGCAAGGGGCTCGCCTGTAATGACCGAGACTAACGCCACTGTAAGCTGCGCAATTGCACGGAGCTAGCCTCCCGTCGAGGGTCCAAGTCCATCAGCATCAACGACCTCATCTTTCAGATTCGCCACGACCAGGCCAAGGTCTCGCGGCTACGGACATTTCTCAGCTGGAAAGACGTGCGGAAGAACGTGAAGGACTCGGATGACAAGGGGGCCGACGCTGACCTCGCAGCTGGTGACGATCCCACAGGCGGCGTGGTGGGCAGCGGTCCAGCCGACGAGGCCGCCAAGAAGAACAAAAAGTCCAAGATTGGTCTTCCTTGGGAGCACGCGTCCCTATACCCGGTGGAGGTGCCCGAACGCGACGACGAGGAGGACGAGGACGAGGACGAGATGAACTTTATCACCCTGCAGCGGTTGCGGCGTGCGGACGAGCGCACAAAGGTCATGACTAAGGAGGAGTATGTTACGTGGTCGGAGTATCGCCAGGCATCCTTCACATACCGCAAAGGCAAGCGCTTCCGCGAGTGGGCCGGCTTCGGCATTGTGACGGACAGCAAGCCCTCGGACGACATTGTCGATATTCTCGGCTTCTTGACGTTTGAGATGGTGCAGGTCCTGACGGAGGTTGCGCTCAAGGTCAAGGAGCAGGAAGACTTGGCGCGGGCGCAGAGCGGAGGGGCCGACGACGACGACAAGGCGGCCGGGTCGAAGAAGAGGAAGCTTCACCAGGGCCTCTTTGATCCGCCCAGCGAGGGCAAGCGGCCGATTGAGCCCAGGCATGTGCAGGAGGCCTTTCGACGATTCCAGCAACGGCCCAAGAAGTCAAAGGCTATGCTGAACGGGACGAGGATGGTGCAGCATACGCCACTCAACATTATCTAACCCGGTCGCATTTCTCGCATTTACTCGGGAGGTTACTCGGGATTGGTGCTGTGGCGTCTATGGGATCAGCGTCTGGGAAGGGCTTGATTTGATTCGGACTGCACGAGAGTCGATGGCCGACCTTGTCTAGATGCGTGAACATGGTGGGGTCCTTGACTAAGGACAATGGGATACAGAAGCGCACTTGACTGTCCCACGTCTCCTAGGGTGTGAAGCAGAGGCGACTAACACTCGAAGAGATCTATTAAGCACCACTTTGAGCATACCTACTGAACTGACTTGGAGAAGAGAACAGCTATCAAGTCGAGCGTTAGGCAACATATTGGCTCAAATGACAAGACCACTTTGCCCTGGTTTTCTGGAATGGTAATTGAGAGATGCGGAAGTACCGCGCGTCCGTTTATGCAGCCACGCCACATAATGAGGCGGGGCCGAAAGACCCTACCTAGATAAACAAGCACCTTACATATAATTGCCGTAGATACGGATACTTTGGTCAGCTTTCTGTGCTGAACTATGCTGCATTGGGCTGACAGGCTCACTCACGTCTTGGCGTTCAACGTCAGCTCGACCCTTCTCTGGTTTCTTCCCTCCCACAATCCTCGTCATCCACCCAACACGGACCGACGACTGGAAGCACACAGGTCACACAGTCAGTGAATCATCGCCGACGTCTAGATACATCTAACAGAGCCGGCGCCTGTCTCGCCAGCATGGCCTCCTTCTTCAAAAAGGTCCAAGGCGACATCGAGGCCATGTTTGGTGACGAGAAACACTCCCACGCCCACTTAGGGCACGCCTGCGACGACCTGCATTCCGAAGAACACAGGGCAAACCGATACCACTCGTTTGCGCCTGAATCCAGTGGCGACGCCAAGTGGTATGTGGACGGATGCTCGTATTTCTGGGCGGTCTCCGAGGCTCTAGAGCGTGAGTGTTGTCTCTGCCGTCTCTTCCAACTCTCATTTTTCTCGTTGTCTGACATTTGACGGCAGAGGCGAAAGAAGAGATCTTCATCTTGGACTGGTGGCTGAGCCCAGAGCTCTACCTCCGTCGCCCACCGTCCCAGAATGAGCAGTACCGCGTGGACAACATGCTCAAGGCTGCAGCCGAGAGGGGTGTCAAGGTGCATATCATCGTGTACAAAGAGGTTGAAGCGGCCTTGACATGCAACTCAAACGTGAAATCCTCAATCCATGAAAAGGCCGGCCAGGTAGCGATGCTGACCAGTGGCAGCACACCCGAAAGGCGCTCGAGGCACTGCATCCCAACATCGGTGTCTTTCGGCACCCGGACCATACACCTACTGGGTACGACCTGGCGTCCGAGTTTGGCGGTGTATTAGATCACCTGACCAACTTCGACTTGGCAAAAGCATCGAGCAGTGCTGTGGAGGCAATCTATGGTACCGCCGACGGCATGGTGCTGTTCTGGGCGCATCATGAGAAGCTGATTGTTGTTGATCGCAAGCTCGGATTCATGGGTGGTCTTGATATGTGTAAGTCGAGCACATGCAGTCAGCACGACTGACAGCGGGAACTGACCGAGAGGCTAGGCTTCGGCCGTTGGGATACAAGCAGTACGTTCCAACATCGAGACTCAACGTTTGATGCTTTGCTGAAAAACGACGCGCAGGTCATCCCATTGCAGACGCACATCCTGGCAACCTGGACGCCATCGTCTTCCCGGGTCAGGACTACAACAATGCCCGGGTGTACGATTTCCACGATGTCGGCAATTGGAACCAGAACAAACGCAAGCACCCTCTATCATGCACACCCTATCCTGGTGCTAATTTACTCAGTGGACCGAACCAAGAGCTCACGCATGGGCTGGTCTGACGTGGCCATGAGCATGCAAGGGCCGATTGTCGACAGTATGATTCTACACTTTGTGGACCGATGGTAATGGCACTTGTTCTCTAGAGAGGTTCTGACGCTGATTCCGAGCTTAGGAACTACATCTGGGATGAAAAGTACAAAAACAAGGATGGGGCCAAGTACACGCGCTTACAGGCCGATGGTCTGTCAACGTCTGGTGAACAGACTACAGACGACGGGGCCAATGTCCTGGAAGATCTCACAAATCGCTTCAGCCGAGGCATGAACAAGTTTATGCATTTCGGCGGGCAGGATGGCAACGACGATGCGCCTCGTGATGATGAAACTGAGAGGACGAAGATGCAACTCACGAGAAGGTAAAACAACTTGTACGCAATGTCGTACTGCGATTCAAGCTAACACATGAGCAAGTGCTACCAAGTGGTCTTCTGGTCATCCTACCGAGCACTCCGTTGCCAATGCCTACGTCGATGCGATATCCAACGCAAAGCACTATGTGTACATTGAGAACCAGGCAAGTAAACATGAGAACCCCCCTTTTGTACATAAAGCCTGACGAACGCGACAGTTCTTCATCACCGCCACAAGCAAGAAACAGTACCCCGTAGTCAACAAGCTTGGCGCCGTCATGGTCGACCGCATCCTCCGCGCGCACCGTGCTGGCGAGGCCTTCAAGATATGGGTGGTCATGCCAGCGGTCCCTGCGTTCGCCGGCGATCTTCACTCGGACGGCGCCCTCGGCACGCGGGCCATCATGGAGTTCCAGTACTTCTCCATCAGCCGCGGAGGACACAGCATCCTCGAGACCCTGCGCAACGAAGGCGTGGAGGACCCTGGCCAGTACATTGGTTTCTACAACCTGCGAAACTACGACCGCATCAATATCTCGCAGACCATGGACGACGCAGAACGGGAGGCCGGCGTGTCGTATGAGGAGGCCCGCATGGGCCATGATGAGCAAGTCGGAGATGGCTCCTCCGGCGAGGGAAGGGATAGAGAGAACCATTACGACCAGTACAGGCAGTACCAGAAGGGAGCCGCCCACGTCGCAGACCATACCCGTGACACCGTCAGCTCCTGCTACATGGACGGCGCCCGCCTGTCCGACGTTGGTTGGGACGGCCCAGATCCCGAAACGGAGATGGACGCGTACGTGAGCGAAGAACTATACGTGCACAGCAAGCTCCTCATCGCCGACGACCGCCTCGTCATCTGTGGCTCCGCCAACCTCAACGACCGCTCCCAGCTCGGCACCCACGACTCGGAGATCGCTGTGGTCATCGAAGATCCGACCCCCGTCGAGTCCAGGATGAACGGCGCGCCGTACACCGCCTCCCAATTTGCCGCGTCCCTGCGCCGATATATCTTTAGGAAACACTTAGGTCTCCTCCCCGACCAGCGCTGGGACGAGCCCAACCAGAACTGGCGTCCCGTCAATAGAGCGCCCAATGACTACGACTGGGGTTCTCCGTCCGACTACCTCGTCCAGGACCCCATGCATCCTGATTTCCATCAGCTGTGGGACGGCACCGCCAGAGTCAACACCGAGACATTCAGCAAGGCGTTTCATCCCGTGCCCAACGACCATGTGCGCACCTGGAAGGACTACAAGAACTTCTTTAGCCGGCACTTTATCATCCCGGGCGTGGACAAGGCCGGGTCTGGCGACGAGGAAGGCGGCAAGGTCGAGTATGGCCACGTCATCAGGGAGGAGTTTCCAGGCGGCGTTGTTGAGCTGAAGGCGTGGTTGAGTCGGATCAGGGGGACGCTGGTGCAGATGCCGCTGGACTTCCTGGTGGATGTGGACGACATTGCCAAGGAGGGCTTGGAGCTGAACAGCCTGACCCAAGTGATCTATACGTGAAGGACTCTGTCTCTCTCTCTCTCAAAAGAGAAATTGAGTAGACAATCATTTTTATTTTGCACAGAATCTCTACAGTGTTCACCGGTGAAGCTCCTCCAACCTGAATATACAGGAAACAATCAGACACCCGTTCAAGTCAATACGCCCCAACGCCTCTTTTTGGAATCTCCAATAGAAACCCAACCGCTCTAGTTTCAGTCCGTCTTCTCGCTGATTTGCTGCCCTATCAAGCCGAGACCCAGACCATCCTTCATACCGTGCACCGGCTCGTCCAGCCTAAAGTGGCCCTTTGATCGCCTGACCCGGCCCCGAAGCCAGATCCACGCGGCCAGCAGCAGTCCCCCGACAGAACCGACACTCAGGTATGGGTGCCTGACAAACGTCTTACGAATGTCGAGGAAGAACTTTTCAATCAGCGACACTGTCAGCTTGGCCTTGATGGTGCTGGGCCCGTAGACGATCTTGTCGAGCGACTCGGAGATGGCGGTCCGGCTGACCATGATGTAGTTGCCCGTGGCGGTCTGGTCCCAATACTGGCGGCTCTGCGACAAGAGGTCAGTACTACTCATGCGTCGGTAGGGGACGAGGGAGGAGAAGCGTACGTCTTGGTCGTTGATGATGACGCGCTCGCCATCCTGGACGACGTCGATGCCGTAGGTGGTGCGGATCCAGCGCTGCCAAAAGACACCGTCGACCCAGGCGAAGCCCACCTCCTTCTTGGCGTGCTCGTTCATGTCGATGCGGGTGAGCTTGGCGTTACGAAGCGCACGCTCATCGCCACGGTCGGCAGCCTCCTCGATGCGCATCTGCTTGGCGTCGCGTAGCTTCTTGCGCTCCAGCTGGAACTCGAGGATCTGGCGATCCATCCACTCGTTGGCGGCAAGCTTGATCTCCTTGAGCGCGGTCGGGAAGCCGGTAGCATCGTCGCGCTTCAGGATGCCGAGGACCACAATCTTGTCGTCCATAATCTGCTTCGCGTTGGCGGCGGTCAGCTCAGGGACAAGAGGCAGCCACACGGAGCTCATCCAGTCCATGAGCCCATGGATGTCCCGCATGGCATCAGGGGTGATGGGCTCGTAATATGTCGGGCGGCCGTCGCGGGACACCAACAGACGCGGCCAGGTCGTCACCTTGAATCGCTCGGCAAGTTTGGGGTCGTTGGTCTTGACGAGCTTGGCGTGCCCAATGAGGCTCAGGGGCAGGCTTTCCAGGGCAGTAAAGTCCTCCGTCGTGGTGGCGTGGTCATAGAAGTAGGTGAAGATGACGTCTTCCTTCTCTTCGAGCGCCTCGAACTCGGCGACCGTCACGTCGGGGACGCCGCTGGCCAGGTCGAGGGCACTCTCAGCGTACGAGATGAAGTCGCCCAAGCCTCGTAGGCCGTGGTATTCGGCGCGCTCACCACCCTTGAAGAACAGGATCGTAGGGTACGAATGGGCATTAGCCTCCTTACACAAACGGGGTTCCTTGTCGCAGTTCACCTCGCCCACGTTCAGCTTGCCCTGCATCGACTTGGACAGCTGGTCCCAGGTTGGGCCCATGGCTTGGCAGTGAGGGCACCATGGGGCATAGAACTTGATGAACCAAGGGTCCTGCGTCTTTGTGACAAGTTGCGGGAAGCTCTCCGCCGAAAGCGAGGTCGAGGCCCCGTTCGGGTTGGGCGTGGTCGTAGGCTTCTTTGGCCTCCTGTTGTTGAATACCTCGGCCGGGGTTGGTGACTTCCACTTGGCGTCCGAGGCGCCTGTGGCGTCGCTGCCGGCTTTGTCCGTCTTGTCAGCATCCTGGGCCTCCTTGTCGTTGTCCTTCTTCGTGTCGACATTTTCCTCTGCTTTCCCAGTTTCAGCCTCAGCCCCAGCGGCCGATTCCTTGTTGGCTTTCTCGGGCGACTCGGCCGTGGTCTCGTCTGTTTTGCCTGGATGGTAATGAGCGCCGGCTTTGGGCAGCTGGATCGAGCGAGGCCGCGACCCTGGGCGCTCTTTCTCGAGCACGGCCTCCATGGTGTCACCGAGATCATCGATAGACTTGACACCCCTCAGGTTCTCGATAGCCACGCCGTCCTCGAAGAGGCTGGTCATGGGGTAGGTTTGCACCCCGTTCTTGACGCAAAGATCATAGTAGGCGATACAGTTGATCATGCCGAACCGGAAGTCGTAGTATTCGAGGAAGCTCGCGTCGCCGTCGCCATCGGAGAGGGATGTGTAGTAGAACTCGTACAAAGTCTGGAACGTTGGGGCATAGTCGATGCAATGAGGGCAGTACGGACTGGACAGTAGATGATTAGCAACGGGCCAAGGGCTGTGGTCTTGGGGACTCGTACCTATAGTGCTTGACAAGCATGTACTTTGTCTTCTTGATCTCATCGTCGAAGTTGGATGGCGTGAGGTCCATCAGCGGGGGTACCTTGATGTCGTTGAATACGGTGGCTTTCTTCGCATTGATGGCCTCTGGATCCAGACTCTGTCCCTTTGCCAGCGCCGCGGCGGCCGTGAGTATGGTGAGAGGCGAGAACCTCATTGTGTGGGCTTGGCACCGTCGTGCTCTCGGTCACTCAGGGGAAGCTCTGTAGTATTTGCGACGTCGCGTTTGGATCGTGGACGCGCACTGGGCGCAAGAGGCCTTGGACTAGGCGCAAGGGGCAAGGGGTCCTCGGGGTATCGATGACAATTGGAACGGAAGCCAAGCAGATGGAGGACCGGTAGCGCTGTGCGCAGTGGCTGGTGCGGTTGAAAGTCTAAGATCCTGGCGGCACTATGATGGGAGTATCGATACGTCTGCCAAGGTGCGCCCGACCAGCGAAAGCGAGGAAAAGGAAGGAATAAACGAAGATGTCGGACGGGACGCAATGAGTTTGCAGTTGGGCCGAGACGGGGGTTTCAATAGAATAGGACACGGATCCTAGATCGCCGCGGATGCCCACCACAGGCTGAATGGGCATAGCACGGCATGGCATTGCGTGGCGGCGATGGAGGCAACTGATTTGAAGCGGGTGGATCCCCCAAGATTCAGGGTGCATGTCTGTTAGTGAGGGCAGGCAGCCACCTGCTGGAACACTAACAGAAACTTGCTCATCTTCACTTCTTGCCGCCCAGCATCAACCGCTCATGCCTTCTTCAAATGGCCATTCGAGGACAAGCGAGAGGGGATTTCTCATACAAACGACATCTTTCAATCGATGCACAAACCCTTCTTGAGCTCTTTTTCTTTTTTCTCTCTTTTTTCCTTTTCAACCCCCACCCTGCTCTATTCCCCTAAGATCACAACCCCCCCGGCTCAACATGGTAGCGACGAATCGTGATAGGCTATGGATCGCACATTGAAGCGTGGACGCGATGATGGTGCCGACAGTAAGAACGACAACCTGAGCAGCTTGACTAGGCCTATCAGTCCACCGGGCAAGAAGCAGCGCGCTGCTTCAGAGGTAACGACAGCATCAGAGGCGAGCGAGGATGGAACCAAGCTATATGGGAGGGATCCAGAAGGCATCAGGGGGGGCTCAAGGACCATCGCCAGTGACGGTGCATCGCAGGGAGTTGAGAGTACTGCTGTCGCTTCACCTTGGCAACTCACTTGGATTCGTGACTTGCCAGAGGACCTGAATCGTGATGCAGTCACCTTGAGGGACCTTTTGGGTGATCCGCTGATCTCTGATTGCTGGGAGTTCAACTTCCTACACGACATTGACTTTCTGATGGACGCCTTTGATCCCGACATACGACATTTGGTCAATGTGCATGTCGTTCACGGTTTCTGGAAGCAGGAGGATCCCAGCCGCCTGCGACTGTTAGTGCGTCCAGCTTGGTTGCAAAGGCATCACATCTCGTCGCTGACACGGAGCTAGGAGGATGCTGAAAAACGTCCCAATGTTCACCTCCACACTGCATATATGCCCGAGATGTTTGGCACACATCATTCGAAGATGATCATCCTGTTTCGGCACGACGAGACGGCTCAAGTTATTATCCATACAGCCAACATGATTCCTAAAGATTGGACTAACATGACAAACGCCGTGTGGAGGTCGCCCTCATTGCCCCTTGCACCGCAGCCAACCCAGTTACGTCCCGAGTGCCCAGACAATCATCCGCTCGGCAGTGGAGAGCGCTTCAAGGCCGATCTAATGCACTACTTGCGCGCATACAATCAACGTCGGAAGGTTTGCAATGAGCTGGTCGATCGGCTGTGCAAGCACGACTTTTCGACCATCAGGGCTGCGTTCATTGCCAGCGTGCCTGGGCAGCATCTTGTCCACGATACGGACCACACGTCGTGGGGCTGGGCTGCACTGCGAAGGAATTTACGCAATATCAATGCCGTGGATAGACCATCCGAGATCGTCGTCCAGATATCCTCCATAGCCACGCTTGGTGGGAAAGACGACTGGCTGCAAAAAACGCTCTTTGAATCTCTCAGTAAAACGGCCACGCCCGGTTTGACCAAGCCTCGCTTCCGGGTCGTGTTCCCTACCGCTGACGAGATCCGTGAGTCGTTGGGTGGGTATGCTTCTGGCGGCTCGATCCACACCAAGATACAGTCGCCGCAGCAGGCAAAGCAATTGCAGTACTTGCGCCCCTTCTTCTGCCACTGGGCGCATGATTCGGCGAACGGAAAAGGCAAGCTACCTTGACTAGCTGCACACTGCTTGTTGATCTGTAGCACAGGTTCACTGACAGACGCAGCATTGCCGGCAAACGTGCCGCAGCACAAGAGCGGGCGGGCACGAGCTGCACCCCATATCAAAACGTATATCAGATACAACGCGCAAGGGACGATTGACTGGGCGCTCCTCACGTCGGCGAATCTATCGAAGCAGGCATGGGGCGATGCTGAGAGGAATGGGATCGCGCGGATCTCTTCGTGGGAAGTCGGCGTACTTGTGTGGCCCGATCTCGTGGAACAACAAGGCAGTAGGACCATGGTGCCCTGTCACCAGAAAGACACGCCCGAATGCAGTGAACCAAGCACAACAACTGCCGGTGGCACGAGGATCGGCGTGCGAGTGCCGTACGACATGCCTCTGCAGGCCTATGGCGACGACGAGACACCGTGGGTTGCGACAATGGGCTACACAGAGCCCGATCGGCTGGGACAGATGTGGTTGGGTTAATTTCTTCCAAGACCAGGGCGATGGATGGACTGTACGCATCATCACTTTTCGCCGCCCATGCGCATGTCGCATGCTGCACAAGACACGAAGAAAGACAGTGGAGGGAATGCAGTTGAGAACTTGAGGAATTGAGGTATTGAGTGATTAGAATTGGCCGCGTGCCGAGTGCGGTGAGCGTGCTGACTAGTTTTACCCTGTTAGTCAGGGCGACATGTACATTGCGCAGGGCGCGCCCGACTTGATGGATAGCTCACCTACTGATTGAGGTTAGTAGCTGAGATGGGAATCTGCGAGATCCCCATCCTCTCGCCACTCGGCACGCATCCTTTTCCATGGACGGTTGGGGGGGGAGCGACTAACAGCGGGCACGTCGCCGCCGCGTGAGACTGGATTTGGTGGTCCCTGGTGGAGGGCCGGCGAGGAAGCGGAGGAAGAAAGGCGGGAGGAGGGGCCGGCGGCGGCGGCGTGGTGCGACTGATAAAGTCAAGTTTTCATTCATCGTCATTCTCTGTCGCCTCCTCTGCTCACATCGCCCACACACCTCGTGGATGAATGTTGAGCCTTTGTTGTGGTGAAGCCACTTTGCACATCATAGACGACCAGATCAGTCAGTCAGTCAGTCAGTCTTCAGTGATCGGTCAGGCACACAGTCTGCGACTGTCTCATCGATTCTTTGGGTCTCTGAGACATTGATCGCAGGGCCGAGGAACAACACGTCCGCGCCGGACCTGAACTCAAAACCGACGGGGACCAAAGCCAACGTGGGCCGCGAAGCTCACTCTCTGATCGAGGCTCGCGCATCTACACCTACAGTCCAACTCGCATAGCCTCCGCTGCCATGGGCCGAGATCGCACGGGCTCATCCGGCAGCAATGCCAACCGCCACATCCTCTCGTCGTCCTTCCGCGCCTCCTCCCCCCTCGCCGAACAGTATCTTGCCGCGGATCTCGCCAACTGCTCCTCCGACTCCGAGGAACAGGACGGCTCCGCCATTGACGACGACGAGGATGACGACCTCCTGGACTCGGAATATCACGATGCTCAGCATCACTTCATGTACAGGCGCGCCAGTGGCGTGGCATACGGCGGCACGCGGCCCGTCCTCAACATCCAGGAGGAGCCAGCGCCGCCGTTGACGGCCATCGAGCAGAAGATCTCGCGCGACGCAGAGCGCAGCATCCTGCGGGACAACCACGTCCTCCCGCCCAAGCACCGAAACCAGCCGCAGTCCCAGAACCCCGTGGCCCGCATGTACCGCTACCTCTTTAGCACCAAGCTGCCCGTCGACGAGGAGGCCCCCGTGCCCGCGCGACCCCGCGAGACCGACCCTCTGCTCGGGGCACCGACCCCCTCGACGGACGACAACGCCCTGGACTATGCGTGGGAGGCAGCCGTCGCCTCGGGCAAGCTCAAGACGACGTGGCAGCGCGAGACCAAGACGCTGGCCGAGTACTCGGCCCCGTTGACCATCACCTTTTTCCTGCAGTACTCGATCAACGTGGCCAGCATCTTCGCCGTCGGGCGTCTCGGCAAGTCGGAACTCGGCGCCGTCTCGGTGGCCAACATGACCGTGGCCATCTCCTGCCTAGCCCCCTTTCAGGGCCTCGCCACGTCCCTCGACACGCTCTGCGCGCAGGCCTACGGCTCCGGCCACAAGCACCTCGTCGGCCTGCAGTGCCAGCGCATGGCCTGCTTCCTCTTCACCCTCATGCTCCCCGTCGCCCTCCTCTGGACCTTCTCGACCGAGATCCTCATGAAGCTGATCCCCGAGCCCGAATCCGCCCGCCTGGCCGGCCTGTACCTCAAGGTCATGATCGCCGCCATCCCGGGCATCATCCTCTTTGAATGCGGGAAGCGCTTCACGCAGGCCCAGGGCCTGTTCCGTGCCACCACCCACGTGGCCATGATCGCCGCCCCGCTCAACGTCCTGCTGCTCTGGCTCTTTGTCTGGAAGCTGGACATGGGCTTCATCGGGGCGCCCATCTCCGTCGCCATTGTCGAAAACGTCCTGCCGCTGCTGCTCTTCCTCTGGGTGCGCTTCGTCGACGGCCGCCAGTGCTGGGGCGGCTTCACCCGGCGCGCGCTCCAGAACTGGTGGGTCATGGTCCGTCTGGCGCTGCCCGGCATGATCATGGTCGAGGCCGAGTGGATGGCCTTTGAGATCATGACCCTGCTCGCCAGCCGCTTTGGGTCCGAGTACCTTGCGGCCCAGAGTGCCGTCGCGACACTCGGTACGATTGCCTACCAGCTTCCCTTCCCCGTGTCGATTGCCGCGTCGACCCGCATCGCCAATCTGATCGGTGCCGGCATGGTCGACTCTGCCAAGACAGCCGGCAAAGTGGTAGGTCTCCCCGTGTTGCTCCCTTGTATAAAGTCTTGACTAATACTGACCGGCAGGCTGTCTGGGCCCTTGTCCTCATTGGACTCTTCAACTTCACCGTCTTCTACCTGCTTCGCTACAAGCTCCCTCTCCTTTTCACATCCGACGCCGAGGTCGTTGACCTCTGTGCGCGCGTCCTCCCTGTCGTTGCTTTCATGCAGGTTGTCGACGGCCTCTCTGCTGGTGCCCACGGTCTGCTGCGTGGCATCGGCAAGCAGGCCATCGGCGGTCCTGCCAACCTCATCGCGTACTACGGCATCAGTCTGCCGATTTCCTTGGGTCTGGCGTTTGGTCTTGATTGGAGGTTAGAAGGTCTCTGGGTGGGCGTCTCTATTGGACTGGTGGCGTAAGTCAAAAGCTGTCTGGCAGCACACTCCATGCGTGACACGTTGCTGACTATTATGCTTGCAGGGTCTCCTTGATTGAATATCTATACTTATACCTGACGAGTTGGGACGCGGCCGCGGCAGAAGCGGAAGTCAGAAACAACGCTGGCTAAGGCACGTCTTTACGTTTGATTTACGACTGAACAAGTACTTGGTTGGTTTTTGGCGCCGTTAGCATTTTTCTCATGTCCATCTACTGCATTGTTTCCTGCAGAGGAACCACCACCTTGATTGGGTATCATTTAGAATGGTATGTAGAAGCTGAAAGACACTGCTAGACTGCGGAAGCGCAGCGGGCAAGCCATTTGATGGGTCGTTGTTTCATCACTGGTATCTATCAAAAAACTCGCCTGCTTCTCCCGACTTGTTCCCCAAGCCGTGCGAGTAACTACATATGTAGCAGCGCCCTCCCTCCTTTTCCATAAACTCCTGCAAACAAAAAAGCCAAGAAAGCTCCTCGGACCATGCTCATCCCAGCAACGAGTGCGTTCGCACAGCCTTGGGGCCATATTCGCTAGTACACGGTCAGCCCCATGCGTCTTCTAGGGTAAATATACTGCCAACTTACTTGTAGTCTACGCGGCTCAGGCTCGCCATGCGCTGCGCCTCGATACTCTGGGCATCCATATTGGAATGCACGCAGAACACAATCCTCGCCGCTACTTGCGCGCCGAGGAACATGCTCTCTTCGAAACCGTTCCGCGTCCACTCTTGAAGGTACGTAGGCAGGCTGACCGTCTTGATGGCCGTGGGCGTCTGGCTGTGAAAGTGCTGCGACACGACGTGCGTGGCGCCCCCAGCCTCGGAGCCAGGGCCCTGCGGGGTGGCCACCGTCGTGGGTGCGCTGGCACCGCCGGCGACGCCGAGCGTGTTGGCCGTCGTCGCGGCTTGAAGGAGCGGATTCACGCCGCTGCTGCTGCTCACCCCGTTGGGGCCAAGCTGGTGCGGCGCGCCCGTGAAGGACCCGGTGGGTGTCTGCGCCCCCGTGCCCGTTGGGGTGGCCACGTTGGAGGGCAGTTCGGACGTGAACATGGTCGCCGTCGAGGGCGAGACGAGGTGGCGCGCGTTGAGCGTCTGGAGAATATTGTCGCGCAGGCCGCGGAGACGGGCCCCGTTGCCGACAAACACGAGATTCTCCCAGCACGCGGGGCGCATATACTGATCCTCGATCCCTTGGATCGCCCTGTAGATGGTCTGCACGATCCGGTCAATCTCTTCGCGGCTGGCAAACGTGAAACGCTCGAGGCCAACTTCAATGTCGCGCTTCACACGCTTGACGCGAAGTTCGGGCTCGCTTGAGAGTTCCTCAACCTTGGGTTCGGCAGGTGGTTGGCTTGAGGGCTCGGCTTCTGGCTGCGCTGCCGCTGGCTTGTCGTCCGAAGCTTCGCCAGAGACATCAGCTTGCGACTCGGGCTTCGGCTCGGCACCGTCAGCGTTTGCCGACTCTGCAGGTTTCTCCCCTGATGCTGTTGTATCCGCAGTGGCAAGGGCAGCAGGCGCAGGGGCCGCGGCGTCTGCTGCGACCTTTGGCTGTGGCTTGACCTCCTCCTGAACGACCTCTTCAAAGACGAATGTGTTGTGGGTTTTCTCCTTGTTCGATAATCGGGCGGCTTTCTGTGCCGTCGTCTCTACCTCCTTGGGCTTGCGCCCCGGCTTGCCCTTCTCCTTCTCCTTCTTGGCGAGGAATTCCTTGGTCTGTCCGCTCGTAACAATGCTCGCGACGTCCAGGACACCATCGTCGTCGGCCTCCTTTTCGCCTTCGGCACCGTCCTCGCCGTTCTCGGCGGGCTTGGGCGGCAGTGCCAGTTCTTCGACAGGGACATCGCCCGCCGCGCCCACACCACGTGTGTCCTCGGTCGGCAGTTCAGCCAATGCGTCCTCTCCACTCGCATACGGCAGCACCTCGCAGATCACACTCCTCTTCAATTGCTCCGCCATGTCCTTGTTGAAGCCCTGGCCCTTCAGCAGCGCTTCCAGTCGGCGCGTGAAGACCTCCCCGCCGCTGATTGCCCTCTGGCCCGACAGACCGCTTCCAATATCAACGTGGTGAACGACACGACCCTCGTAGATTGCTGACACGTCGACCTTTTCGTACCCAATATCGACGACGGTCATGGTGGGAAACTTGAGTCCGTACTGAGTGGCAACGGCGCTGTGGATCAAGCACAGAGCTGGCGTCCGCGTCTTTTCAAAGATGTATTGCGCAATCGCCTCGCAGTCCGGCCGTGTCCATTGCGGTGAGGCCATCAGCATGATGGGCGTGTTGTGATATGTCGTCGTGAGCATGCTGTGCACGTGGTCGAGGAACGCGAGGAAAGCCTCCATGTTGACAATCCGGCCAGCTATCGCTTCGGTCAGCATGCTTGTCCCTGACCATGGGCCACCAGTGCCAGCGCGTGCAACCTACCTTGCAACGGATACGTCGCGCCCTCGTCTGAATCCACGTCCTCTACCCATTCCTCCGTCTCGACACCCGCAACTGTCTTTTTGCGCATATAGGTACGATACGGCCGCCACGCGTCCCCGTCGCGGAACATTCTCGTCGGGAATCGATGCGCTGGCGGTGTCAATTCGCTGCAGCCCATCTGGGCCAGGGTTGTCTGGCTGCCGGGGCAGATGATGAGGACCTGCTCCTCGCGCCATTTGCCGGCGGACGACATCTTGACAGGCTCCTGGGTGGTGATCTCGACGCAATCGTCAGTGCGTGCTTTGTGTCAAAAGGTTCTACGTTGCGTGAGTGCTGGCGCGGTTCCCACCAAGCTGTCGCGTCGTCGCTCGTCGCGAGGCTGCTGTTCGATTCTTTGCGCGTGCCAACCAGCGGCGCTGCTTGCGGGCTGGGCTGGATGTGGCGCGTGAGCGTGTGGCTGAGCGACAGTGCCAGCAGCTTCATTCACTCGGCACGTGACTACCGTGCTCGACGCAACACGAGCACAGACAGCAGTATTGGAATTCGATTTTATCTTGTTGAAATCTTGTTGATCTTATACAGCTCATTAGACACCCGCGGTCCCCAGACGGAACTCGTACCTATGCTCGGTCTTTGCCATCCCAACATAAATTCCCGTCATCAAACCCTTCCCTCCCTTGTTGGAGGGTCGACTATATGCACACTCAAAAACGCCATGACACCTAATATCCCAGTATTTCGGGCGCTAGCTCCCAATAAATCCAAACTCCGAAACCCTTTGTACATGACAGTGCGAATTTTGAATCGTGATTGTGGTGCCAATAAGCAGCAAATGCGCCCCCAAGTTGTGTCCCAGAGTATCGGGGCGAGAAATACGCCGAATAGTCGGTTCTAACGTAACTCATACATCGTTCATCAAGTCGACGTTGGTGCAGCAGCGGGTGTCTCCGTCTTCGCTTTGGCCTGCTCTTCGACTGGTTCGGCAGCCTCAAAAGTGGCGGGCCCGTCGTCCTCCTTGCCCTCGTTCCCATTGGTAACTGCAACATCTTCTGTTTGCGCTGCAGTTTTTCGTGGTGTCTCGTCTTGATCATCATTTAGGAGAAACTTGTGTTCAGAAGTCGGTGGAGTGGTATACGCACTATCCTCAAAGCTGGAGTGTGAGTCAGAAACGCCCGTGTCGATTGATGAACGAACCCTCTTCTCATCACCATCGCCCCTCGTGGCGCTGGCGGGAGGGGTGATCGTGACAACAGCTTCCGAAACCTCCTCGCTGTTCGAGGGTAGCTCAGGAGGTGCGGATGACGCAGCGTGGCCAGATCCGACTTCTTCAGCCTGTTCCTCTTGGGGGGTGTTCTGGGTCGCTGTTGTGTCCTTAATTTGGTTGTCGGTGATCTCCTTGGACGGTGACTGAGGCTGGCCATGATCGTTGCTTTCAGCGGAAACATCGGCCTTCTGAGCTGCTTTCGAGTCCTCGACAATAGTCTTCGCTGCCTCATCAGCTTCCTGGACGCCTGAGTCAGGTTGCGGCATTTCAACGACGGGCAGTGCATGCTCGGTGTCTTCAACGCGGGGTGTGATGGGTTCGCACTCCTCCGGAGGCGGCGTTTGCAGCCGTGAGGCAACAGACTCGTTCTGGGACTGCGTGGATGCCCGCTTCTTGTCAATAGATCCCGCGTCGTTATCAGCACTGAGATCCGAGCCACTGAACTGATGGCGAAGAGGACTCCGCAAACTAGCCGAGTCGGTTCCCCAATCGCTCCGACTTTGCAAGGAGGCTCGAGCTGGATTTCTGGCCGGCAATGGAGGTGGGATCCGCTTGGGGATATTGACCATGTTGCCCCTGGCGTGAACGACGCGAGACGCGACGGCTTGTGTGCGAGCCGGCTGCACAGCCGCAACCTCGAATACAACGGGGTCTTCTTCGTCACTAAAGCCACTGTCGTCGTCAGACAGGTCTTCGGCATCCGAGCCGGCAGGAAGATTTTTCTCTTCACCATAATGACTGGAGGCTTTCGACCGACGATCAACATCCTTGTCATTCTGTGGGACACGAAGATTTGAGCCATCCTTCTCTGTTTCGGCCGTAGCGACTCCTTTCCAGGATGGCTCGTCGTCCGTATGGGCCAGTGGGGTACTCAAATGCTTGAGCGGGGTCTCATCGACGGTGGTGTAGTCCACCTCTGCCGGCTCTTGCGCTTCGTCGTGCTTGTCCTCGATCTTGGATCGAATCCTTTGGGTCGGACTTCGGCCTCTGTCTTGCTCGCTGCGTCTTGGGCTCGGGCTGGTGTCGGGCGTGTTGTTGACGTCAGTCTGTGTGTGCGCATCGGTGACCTGGCTCCGGATGGTACGCGACGACCTGTAGCTCTCACGCTGGGTGTTGGACTTGAAGGTCTGGCTGCTCTGGCGAAAGTTGGTCCTGGAAGACGCAGCGCTCATGGGACGAGTTTGGAAGTTGAGTTGACTGCTTGTGGGACGCAGCCGGCTTCCTGCTTCACGGATCTCCATGCCGGCCATTTCCAGAGCCAGCACGCCAAACGGATCGGGGTCATCCACCTGGGGCATGCCGAAAGCCTGCGCAGGGCGAGGAGACTGAGGTGTCGAGTTGGGGGAGGCAATATTCGCATCCCCTGGCGCAGGGTCGACCATCAGCTTAGCAATGAGCGCAGGGTCAAAATCCGACCGGCCCTCGGCGAGTTTGATGACCTCAGATAGAGGCCTTGTCTCCTCGACATGGCGTGCTATGCTGCCCGACAGGATGTCCATTTGCGAGGCGTTGCATCCGTAGAATCGCTCGTTCTCGTTGGTGCGTTCGGTGAGAATGCAGCCACTCATGTTGACCCTCTGCTCCTGACCTCGCGCTTTCATATACGTCAGAACAGTGTTGCCCAGACTCTTGAGATCAATCTCCAGGTCCGTCCCGGGCTTGTCCAGCGGCATCAGAGGGCCAGCGGTGAGTCCGACATCCTCCCCCAGCACAACCCGCGATTGGGTCATCGACTCCAGAGCGGCCAGGCTGTTCACGACAAGAACGCAATCATACACGTCGACGCCGATGATGAAGCTCAGTGTCGGCGTGTGAAGCATGATGCCCGTCGGTGGTGACCATGTGCCGTCAGACTTGCGAGCGATGAGGATGCCGGAGCCGCCGGAGCCTGTCATCCACAATCCACTCCTCATGCAAGTGAAGACGGCAATGCCGGCAGCATTTTGAATTATTCGTTTCGGGATCTTCTTTGATACTTTGATGGGCGTACTTGGTTCGTTCGCGGTAGAGTCTGGTGTGGTTTCGTTGAGGGTCGCGAGGTATCCATCCGCTGTTAGACAACATGATCAGTTCCGATTCGCATCAGTCGCAGGTGCACAGGAGGCGCCGTCGCAAAAGACAGGTCCTTACCACAAAAGGATTTGAGTATCCTGGCCGCCTTGTCGCACTCGGCGTCCAGGGTAGCTGGCCAGAAGGCTTCTCGCTGCACGCGGACATTGGCGACGCTGCCAGTGTTGCTGTTCCTCTGGTTCGCGGTCTGCACATTGATCTTGGAGAGGCCGTTGAACAAGCTGCTGGCCCTTGCGCTACTGGTGCTCGACCGATTCGACCACCCAAAGAAGCCACTAGAGTTCGCTGCGGTCTTGTGCTGGCCAAGCGAGCTGCAGCTGGCGTTGTTGGAGTCTTTCGTGGCCGAGTTCGACTGCGCACTCGAGGTCGTCTGGTTGGAGGTGCGCCTGTCCCATGAGGGCAAGAAGGCAGAGACGCGCTGCATCGTGTTTGAATGGAGGGCCCGGCATTCGAGGATGCCTCTCCGTCGTTGTCGTCTTCGAATTGGGCGGACACGACAGAGAGGAGAGCCGGAAGGAGATGGCAAGGCGAATAGGTTGGAATTATGGGCGTGGAGGAGTCAGACGCAGGGAGATGTTGGGTGCGTTTGGGTTGGGATCGGGTCGGGACTAGGTCCAACAGCAGCCTACTAGCCTCAGGTCCGCCAGGTACCTCGCTTACCTTATTCCTGGCTACATATAATCCGTGCTGTACCGCTGCCAGTCGAGTCTGCCAGCTCACAACGTTCCAGACACCAGCAAGGCTAAATGCGAAGTGGTAAATAAAAAGACGGATCCCATAAACCCTGGTTGGTCTGAGATGGTCCAGTCTGAATGAGACTTGTTGCCCGTGCGTACGATCTTGCCAAGTTTCACGGTACGTGGACGACCGACAGGCATCGAGTGAGTGACCAAACTTCTCATCACTTATTGCCAGGGTCCATCGAGGCGTGACAAGCTTTGTTTGCTCGTCGTTGATCGTGGCGAGCTGTTCTCTTGTACGTCAGGGTGAAGTTGGTGAACGCCCGGCTTCCAGCGCTCATTCAGAAGGCACTAACAGGGGCCCGCCCCGGAGGCTCAACCAACATAAGCGGCGAAGCTTTGCGGATTCATCGCCACGCACTCCAGTCTCCAGCTGCTGTCTCTGTGCTCATTATCGGCCCCGGTATTGCTTGTCATGTTGGCAACAAGTCATCGTGAGATTCGCGCACAGCAACGTGTCACGCAAGCCGTTTCCAAAGCGCCGCAAGTATAAACTCGTTTGGAATGCGGTCTCGCCCACCTTGACCGTTTGGACCAAGCACGTTTCTTCTATGGCTAATGCAGACTTGTTGACACACAGACCACACCCACCACACTTTCATGCCGCTGCTGCAGGCGGCACTTCAGAAGCAAGGGGAAACCACTTTTCCCACCCGTCCCTATCCCGTACCGTACTGGACCTTGCGGTGCTGGGGCCGGCCTTGGGCCAGGACATGGAGCCTCTCGGAGGACATTGAGTCGGGCCCAGTGTCCACGTCCCTGTTGCTCTGAGCCTCTGAGCTGTCGTTCACACTCTCTCATAAAGCCATGATTCAGGCCCAGCAATGTGGTGGCCACACCTTGCGACCAAACGTCTCCCGCTCTGCCGCCCACTCCGGGTCCTCTCCTCCTTGACCGGGCGATAATGCCCTTCTACGAGTACGCCCCGCTGCTGTATCTCGACACGAAGTACACGCTTAACCCAGCGGAGAGGACTGGAGGCGATCGGGCCATAAGATAATACAGACAAACCGCTCGCCCCTCCAAGTTCATGTTACGATTGATTCTATTCGGCCATGACTCGACCGAGCCGCCGCTACGTCAATTAGACTTTTCACGTCAGTCGAGTTTAGCATACCCTTACATTAACTGTTCCGAAATGCGCACGCATTGCGATCCGCCACAACGGAAGACCTTTTCGTATACTCTGTACTACGTTAGTAGTAATTGGCGAGGAGTACATGTAGACGATTCTGAAGCCTCGCGCGCGTCATTGCCCTGTGCTTAACTTTTTCGGGAATGGCATAGCGCTCGTCAACTTCGCCGCAGTGAGATGTTGGCCACGACAAGTGCTGGTAGACTACATTCCAGTCATGACGCTGTATGCATGCACGTGAAATGACTGAGCACATGTTCAGAAGTCTAGGTAGGTATATGGTGTCTCAAAACCCCCAGGAAACGAGCAGCTTTTTGCCTTATTGATCAGCCGCCGTCAGTGGAAGATCTGGTCTTGTTACATCTGAAGGTGCCCAACATATACGCACATGTCTCACTCTGTTGTCTCAGCTGCTTTGCAGGCCCCGACGACGTTCCTTGCGCGATTGCCGCTGGTTGGATCGGCGCAAGAACAGGTCTTCAATCTGTCTGCCCATCATCGCCAAACAAAATGTCATATCAAGGGCCTGCTGATGAACGCTCGGCCATCGGCTGGAGTACGATGACGTACGGAGCTGGCGCGAAGGGACTATGCCTCATGTGCCCCATGTACCTCGTTGATTCGCGTGAAACCCCCAGCCTTCTTTCAATTCAAGCTTGCCGATCATGAAAGCATCAACACCAGGTGCCATCAATAGAAGTGGAAGTTGGCCGTCGCATAGGCCTCAACTCAACTCTGAAAGGCACCTCACGCCTGGCCTGGTATTAGTCGCTCGGCCAATCAGAATGCATAGTGTGGAGCTGATCAGGACGACAGACCATCAGCCAACGGGCCTAGTCCCATTCAATTCTTCACCTCACGCACTCACTGTGAACCGTATCCAACAGGGATACTGCCGCTTGACGATCCGTCTCCAAGCCTCAAGGACTACAATGTGACAGGATACACAACACTCCATCGAGAACAACGGCGCCGACTCCCATTTGCGATGTTCAAGTAAGCCTCAGCTCAGCACGTGTACTGTCCAGTCCCTAGCTTACACTACCAAGAGCATACAGGAATCTCTCACCCAAAGCCCGCTTCGGTGTCGGCCTCACCATCATAGCCTGGGGCTGCGCCGGGCCCTACTTGTCTGATCGTGCGGAGGAGGTGTTTGGATTTACGCCGACTGAACAGGACAAGGAGAATCTGGAGAGACTCAAGCCGCGTTTCACCGCAGTCGACCGCGGTGTCCATGCCCATGAGAAGTCATGAGATACTCAAGGTCCTAACATCCGGCATTGATAGGTCAACTTTGGTACTTATAATTCAGGTCTATAATGAATGCACTCTAAAGATTTTGCCTAACCTCTGCTGGTGTACGTACAACTCCTTCCACACACTGTGGGTTGCACTACCGGCCTTTCATCCTGGCGAGACTGTTCGTTCCTGCACAGGATATATACAGCTCATCGTAAACCACTGCCAAGCCACGTCCGTGAGTGACAGAATTCCATGTCTATCGTGAATGTGTGAAGTCTAGTAGCAATGCAACCCTCGCAACTCCGACCCTTGGTTTATTTGCCGAGAATGCATTGCAGAAAATTGAGAAGACCACCGCCGAGCCCGCCCCAAGAATGCAGAGAATACTGAAAACAACTTGTGGCCCAAGTGCGATGCCGAGACCTGACCGAGCCCAGCAGCAGCGTCGAGACAGACTGGCAACGCCAACAAGGTTCAAAAGTAAAAGAAATCAGGGGGAAATGACAAAAAATACACAACGCAACACAACGCAACGCCTTTTGCATGCAATTCGTCTCCTCATGACGCCTCCAAGGACGACATCCAGAGCCCCTTCTAGTCAAACACTGCGCCGATCGATACCACCCCAATGTTGCCAGTATCTAGGCTCGAAGGTGGTGGAGTTTTTCCGTGTCCATCAGACGGAGTAATCCATAGGCTCGCTTGCCGCCTCAAGCAGTCTTTTCTTTGTATGGCATGAGGTTGCCGGTCCACTTCCACATAGATCTCAAGTTTCGTGTGGCTTACTCGTCGAATGTGGATAGCCACACGCCAAACATTCATGTGACTCGTATTGCACTCCGCAGTCTTCAGGAGAGGGGACTATGCCTCTGTGAGACGCAGCGCTTTGGAGAATCAAACAAGGTGTTGGTGTTTGGCTTCAAAGCGACAAGAAGGATTCGGAAAAGCCTTGGAGAAAGATGAAAGTCTTAGAAGACAGTCGAACAGATTTTGACACTAAGAACCGTGATTGGCTGCAGGAGCTTGGCATCGATCGGGCACGGCTCGACAGAATCAGGATCGGTTCTGGTTGCGGTCTGCGTCTACCAGAGTTAGCCTGTGTAGTCTAGGGCAGATTTGGGGAACACTTACCAGCCTGAAACATCTGCGACCAGTCAAGACCAGACTGTTGATTCGGGTTCGAGCTTCCATACATCGGCATCCCATTCTGGCCGGTGGGCATACCGTTTTGACCGGGAGGCATGCTGTAGCTAGACATGGGCTGGCCGTTCATAGTGTTTTGCACCTCGTTGCTGCCGTAGGGCTGCGAACCACCCATTGGGGGAGGACCGGGCGGCATGGCCCTGCGATCTCCGTTAGAGTTGTCGAGTCGGCCAATGCTGCTGGAGCGAGACATGTGGTTCTGGTCGGAGCCCATGTTGTTCATGCCGTCCTGGACGGGCACCATGCCGAAGGGATGCTGTCCCATATTCTCTTGAGGCATGTTGTTGAGACCGTTGAGCTGATTGAGGTCGCCCTCCTGGCCGGCAGCGGTGCGCTGAGCGTGCTTCTTGACGTGCGCCTGGGGGTGCGAAAGATGGCTAACGCCCGTAGGGTTGCCGCGGCGAATGGAGCACTTCTGGAAGTGACGCTTGAGGATGTCACTCCGAGAGAAGGTATCCCGGCAGAGTACACACATGTAAGGACGGTCGCCGGTGTCTGTAGGGAGTCAATTGTCTGTACGCAAAGAGAGGTGCGCTACATGGAGACTTACGTCGGAGAAGATGGCGCTTCAAGTGCTTAGCGTGCAGGTACGTCTTGGTGCAGTGAGGGCATGGGAATTTGCCATCGGCATCCTTGACAGGGATCACCGTGCTTTTGGCTCCAGTACCAGCAGCCGGTGCAGCAGGGCGGCCGGGGGCACTAGGCAGGATACCTCTACGACCTTGAGAACCGACGACGTGCGTCGGCTGTTCACCTTCGGGAACCATGGGCTGCTGCTGATGCTGCTGCATCATCTGGCCACCAGGCCCATACGGCGAAGGCGCACCGGGCTGCTGCGACATGATGCCACCCGGGGGCATAGGTCTCAGAACAGGAGGACCGCGGTTGCCACCAGGAGGAGCAGGTGCAATGGGCTGCGGTCCCGCGGAGGTGGTGGTCGCCTGGGGCATCATACCGCCCGACGTCGGGTAGCCAGGCTGCGGCTGGTACTGGTTGTGCTGCTGGGGCGGCATCGAGTACATGCCACGGCTGGCTCCTGGTTGCGACGTCTGCTGCTGGTAGCTAGGCAGGTTGACATGGTTCGAGTTTGGCGTGTTCGGAGTGCCAGGGGTCCGCGGCGTATGCGGGTTGCTCCCGTAAAGCTGCATGTTAGACGCGGAGGGCTGCAACGGAGGCAGTGTCTGGGGAAGAGGAGAAGCGGATTGAAGATGGTGAGGCGACACGGCAGTGGGAGATGGGTATGTCTGAGGGGGCGCGGACGAGTTGGTTTGCGCGTAATGAGAGCTTTCCATAGGTGATGCTCACACGAGACGCGTGTGTGCTTTGATGGCGAAGCGCGCGTGGTGACCTAATCAATGTGGGGGGGAAAGATGGAGGCACCAGGTAGGCGACGATGGGCGACAGTGAGGGTGCGTCGCGCGCAAAGCGTGAAGCAAGCGTGGACGCGATGAAAGTATCACGAAGGACGCAAGTTGTGGCGTCGTCGGTAGACTTTCGCGATGTGGATGCAAATGTCCCAACGCGGTGTTTGAGGCTCGTGCTCGTGGCAGTTTGCTGTGGTCCTAGGGAGGGCCCTCTTTCAAAGTAGGTAGGTGGTGGGTGGTTGTAGAGGGGAGACTTTGAGGTGGAGAAATGGGTCTCGAAGCTTTTTATTTCTTCTGACCGAAGCGGGCAGGCACGCAGCAGATTCGAGGGCAGGGAAAAAAAAAATCAGTGCCTCGACGACGTCGGAGGGGGTGCTTACAACCACTATTCGGGGCGTTGAGACCTCTGAGCGATCAGATTGGGCCGACGAAGGGTGTGGGTGGTGTGAGAGTGTGTGGTGGCAGCTTGGTCTGGCCGGCACGTATCCGAGAGAGGATTAAAGTCGCTCTCACAGCGTTGGTTCAAGGCGCGAGTGATCGCAACACGATGGCAGCGCGAACGGGAAGAGTGGTTGATTGGAGACACTTGCGACGTTTTGGGAGAGAAACTCTGACGGTGTGTCCCACTTTGAATCTCTGCGGCGCGCTTTGTTGGAGACAAGTGGGCCTCTTGGTGCGTTCAAGTGCCACAAAAACAACGGACTTCTGATGGGTCCCGACAGTGTGGTCCTCAAATTTGGCGACAGGTACGGAGTAGGTGAGATACTAGTCGCGAAACGTCGTAGAGCAACAATTGCAAATCAGTAGGCAAGTGAAGTGACAAGGAAGCGAGGCTTCGAGACTTAGTGATTCCTTACTCTGATGGCAAGGTGAGGGAGAAATAAGGTGAGAGAGACGGAAGAGCAAGAGTGAGAAGGGAGAATGGGGGGGCTTGTGGTGAAGAGGGATAAGGTCGGAGCGTAGACGGACCTGGCCAAATAGCTGGCTGACAAAAAAAAAAAAAAAAAAGAATGAGGTTCAGGTGCCCCCAGGGTGCTAATCGACGCCTGTTCAGCGCTCTGCAACCGTCACCTCGCTGGCACAACCACTACGTTCATGCAGGGCAGCGTCCGACGTCACTGGGCGATCACCAAGAGGTCCAGTCCAGTCCCGATACTGGCGCAGTTTCTTTGAACCAGTATCATACAATGAACCTGTCCTAGTCCTAGAGATGGAAAGATCGCAGCTCCTTGGAATCCCGCGTGCAGTCATCATTATCGAATCTTCCGCAGCAACGATAATACTGGCACGTATCCTCACCAGTTTGTTACTACAGCTGCATTGCATCAACAGTAATGCCCGAAAAAGGAAACGTCGCGCCGCCCAGGATGTTAGTTGCGCAGCACCACCCCTGTCGTGCCCATTAGGACAGGGATGGTTGCGCCTTCCAAAGTACCGGTACGTGCTCCAATGAACCGTTTTCAGCGTTCCATGCTGTGACTGATGAGTCGCCTGATCCGTGCCTTGAGCGTGCACTGAGTCAGACATCGCTCGTGCCGCCGACGCGTTCCTAACATGAACGTTCGTCGTTTACATGTTTCCGCTGTAGCCCCACTCCTATTTTCCCATCACCCGCTCATCAGAAACTGTGCGTTCCAGTCGTTGGTAATAATCATGACATGCGTATTCCCAAGTTTTTTAAGTCTCTAAATACGCGCGCAATGTCAAGTGCGTCAGGGCATGTTCGTGTTTTTTGTTAAGCATTCTTATTAACGTTCCCGCGAAATGTACTTCCGCTGCTGTTGTCACCTGCTTAACAATGGTTACAAATCACCAGTTTATCCATTCGGGACCTGCTTGGGAGTGCAAAGTATAAACTTCCATAACATTAATCTATTTACGTTTTCACTTTCACCTTCTCGAGTCTTCGAGATTTGTGACTTTTCTTGGCAGCAAGATGCTCTAGAACACTATTGTAGCAATAGGCAAGGCGCAGCCAAGACGCTCGTGTTAGATGCGCAATGGTGAGCAGGCCTAGATCCTGCTAAGTAGTATGCCACTAGGCAAAATGCATTGTGCTTTTGTATCTTACGGGCTCATACAAGCCTTTGATCACGACTACGTGTCAAACGTACTCCTTGGACTGTTCTGCACGTAAAACCACGAGCGCCTGGTTGTTATTGTGTAGTAGTAGCCCATCAACTATTAATTATATATAACATACATAGTACGGAGTGCTATGTAGTTTAATGGATGGATAACAGTGGGTATTGCGCGCCCACCAGACAAGGGGAATTTGTTTTGACAGGTAACCCAGTCGAAATTCTAACTGTTCCCCCTCATCGATGCTAACGATCTGTTCGAGCAAAGCTAGGCTCTGCTGCCATGATGAGGGAGAGGCCCGCTGTTCTTGGAGAAGAGGACTCCAGTCAGGGACGCTGAGGGGGCCACGGGCGCCATTCCACATAATATACAACCTCAGCTCCAGTCTTCAACAATTCCCCTGGCCCATATTCACGTGGTCAGCATCGTAGAGTTTCTGGCTCTATAACGGGCTTAGTACTGCGAACAATTCCACGCGAGGAACAACGCATCACAGTATGATCACATCATAATATTCTACGTGTAAATTGTCGTTGCCAAGAAACGGCTAGCTGGCGCCTGAAAGCCATCAATTGGCTTTCGGGCAATCTCGCAAACTGTGACCGTACCGTGACCTGTCGGGCGTTGTCCGAACACCGAAGGCTCGACTTGACTCGACGACGATCTTCCAAGCTCGGACTACAATTCGACGCACTGATGAACACGACTCGGGATACCTGCGAATCATGACCAGGTAATTTTGATACATATCTGTTATCGGTCTGCTCAGTAGGTGCCAAGAATACCGGGCCACGACGCAAATGGACAAATGAAAGGTTAATTACATGTAGCGAAACCTCTTGGCTCGCTGCGCAACCCGCCATGATCGTCAGCAACAGCAGATGGTCCAACTTGGATCGCATTTTGGTGGTTTATGTCATACCTTACGAATGGCGGTCCGACGCACCCTCTTCTCGCCCACCTTCACTTCCTTCCATGTTACCTGAACCAAAGTCAATTCCTGCTGGTTTTTGGCCATGGAAGCTTGAATAAACTCTATCTTCATTTGAAGGGCCGTGCACGGAATTGGTCTAGTCGATTGTCTCATCCCTTCAACTTATTTGTTGTTGATGCAGCAAAGTATGACGGAAAACGGTGTGTAAACACACTCGCTTCCGTGTAGCCGTTCGGCCGGCTTACTGCTTTGGGCAAGCCGGCTGGACGCACGTAATGTGGCTAGAGGCACTTAATATTACCTCGGCTAATCGCTGCCAAAGTATCCGTAATACCAGTCTCTTGCGCTCTTCTTAATCTGCTTCTAGCCAAGCATGCTCTGTTGCATCTCGAAAGGCGCAGGAATCTCCACCAGCACAGTGTTTGACGATATAGTAAATGTGTGCAGTTGATAATCCACCAAACAAGCTTGAAGAACCAGGCACGCAGCGGGATGGTACTTTTACGGGGCCCTCGAGAGCCTCAAGTGGAGAGTTGAGTGCCGACCGATTCTCCAACACTGCGTCTATCGTGCCCCATCAACTCCACTAGGACAGACGTCTGGGTCTGTCACACTCACACGACAACGCGGCGTATTCTCACGCGCGAGACAGCCGCCACTCACATCTGCGCAGATCACGAAAATGCCAACATCTTCATGAAGGAGGACAACTGCAGTCGGTCCTTCATCGTAGCGAGACTTGCGATCACATGCATGCCAGCGGTACGGCTGTAGCGACGGCCAAAAGTATCCAATCACAGGTCGTTGTTGGCAGCACCAACCAACGGGGTGATTGATTAGCCGCTCTTCCACAAGTCGCGAGCAGCCGCCTGTCGCTGAACTGCTTTCACAATAGGATGACAGTCGCTGCGCAAGTTGGACCACGTATTTCGGTGCTTGAGACCCAAAGAAACGGATAGAAGTGGCGTGCGTGAGGTGCTAAAGTGGTGTGTCTGTTCTTGTACCACCAATCGCTACGGTGAAAGTCCAGGCACGTAGTTGGCTCTAATTGCGCGGCAGCTACCGCAATGATTAGTATGATTACGCATGACATTAGTTCCTCAGCCAGAAGGATCTCCGGCCGTTTTATTACTGTATTAATTGCTGATCGAACTCTGGCTGCGACTGGAGTTTGGAGCTCACGGCCGGGCCGGTGCATTTACGTGTACGTCACCCTCACCCTCCTAGTTGGCTATAGCTGCAGGGAACCCAAGATTTAGCGCAAAATCTACTGCATGATCAAGACGTGCATGCAGGCGCCACTCAATTTCTAGCGGTGGTCTTTGCGCGCAGACCCCCGCCCGGCTAGAATGTCGGCACAGTAATTCAATGGTTGAGGTACCGCTACCTTGACCGTCTCCACTCAAACGCGACTGGAGGCGTGAAGCCTGAGAGTCAATGGATGGGGGCCATCTCGGCGGCCACGTGGAAGTGGCTTCTCAGCTCAAGCCTCACGACTATTCTCAAGGGCACGCAGCAAGTCTGGGCCACAACAGAAAAAGGTCCACGAGGTTGCATGACTCTCACGACGAGGCTCATCCAAGGAAGTTGGAGGCTCATGTTTCACCGCCGAACAGCCTCGGGTCCGTGTCCAGCTTGCCAGAGTCTTGACTCCTGGGCAACCGGGCATAAATCGGATGCACGTCGGTCTCTGATGCACCGGCGTTTAGCTGACCGCCGACTCTGCCATGCGCGGTTTAATTCTACACGCCATATGCCAGTGTGTCATGTGGCCGAAAAAAACACGAGAGGCACGAATATGGCGAAAAGTGTCGGCAGGTCGCGCGCGGGCAATCAAACGGACTGTGCAGATTTGGGAGTGCTTTCCGGCGCGACTGTTCCGCAGCAATACACCCCTTCAGCCATTGGAACTCCTCACTCAACCTGGTGGTGCGTGAAGCTTGCGCTGCCCAAGATTCAAGTGGCACCTTTGTTGATGTCGACGTGCCGCGCGCATATATATCAGCTGCCAGCACGTCAAGGTTGTTTGGATACAATGTGCCTGGATATCCACTGGTCTTGATGGAGTCGTGGGTACTGGATACTGACCGCGAGGCCCCGTTCGGATCTCGGATCAAACATTGATGGAGTTTAGGATCCGCTCCTTCTAGACGTTCTTCGGTCTCCATCGCGCTCGAGATGGTGGTGTGGGCGGCTGTAGAGTTCCATAATAGCCTTTGGTTGATGTTGAGGCTTTGAAACATGGACAAAACGACAGTCTCTCGCGCAGTGCTCGTGACTACGCTGATAAGTTGTCGCGGCCTGTGATACTCATACAATCCTTGAACGCCAGGTCGCAATGGTGACATGGTTTGCAAGATAAACCCTTGGCAGCGCAAAAGGGCAAATGCTTGCAGGTACTTTTCCTTGCTGCTGCCCCCACGCCAACTCCGACGCACTCCGTACGTAGTCGACTGCCGAGTGCCAACTGATGCATCCGTCGGTTGTGTCCTGACAATGTAGGTTTTGTTAGGGTCACTCGCGATTGTAAGCATAGGTACGTATTGTATGGCTGGTTCGGCTCCTGATTTGCTTCCCAATGTTGCTTTCTACAGGCTACAGCCGCCTTGCTCCAGTAAGGTGTTGTGTAAAGCAAGCTGTGGTTGACGTTTCGTGAATCCTCTTCTTGTTGTCTACCCTGCCTCACCTTTCGAATTGCGAGCTCCACGCTAAATTACCCTTGCGCTGGAGCACCTCAAAAAATCAATCAGGGCTATACACACCCGCCCGTGATGTTTGACTATGATGTCGCACTTGTTGGCGAAATGTGCAGGGTAAGCAAGAAGATTTCTCAAACAACACGAGCCTGTGGCTGCCAGACAAGGACAAGTCAAGCTTTGCACGAAAGTCGACATTGCAGCAACAAAAGTCAGCTAGGGCACTAATCTATATCAAAAGAATGATTCTCATGTCGTTGCGAATGAACAGCTGGTTGTAGGAACATTCATTGCACACAATCACTTCAGAAAGTCACATGACCAGGCGTCGTCTGTCCGGGCCCATGTAGTACCGACGCCGTGCTCTCGGACTACGTGATTGGTTGATCCCAAGTCCGACGTTGTAACTTTTCTCGCCGAATGTCACAGGAGAAGTACGCGACGACCTAGACGTCGAAGGCTGCCAGTCTTCACCACATCGCAATGGCGAACCCATCAAGTTTGTGGCATACAGCCGGCCGTGTCGCACAGTCGACAGGCCGCTCGCTAGCTACACCTTCGCTCACATCGCAATCTACCGCCCGTTTCTCTACATCGGCGCATCTTTGTAAACGCAAGCGACGTGCGACAAACCGCGACAACAACCCGAACCGCGGTGTGTCCTCAATCTATCGATCCGGACCTCGCGAGCCTCTGTCCATGTCTGACATTCCGCTACCGCGCCCGAGAGAATTCACGCCTAAAGTCGAGGTGGACAAGGACCATGGTCTCTGGGGGTTCTTCCCACGGCCGGGGACATGCCTCATGACCCCAGAAGAAACCGAGAAATATGGACGATCATGGACAGCCGAGGAACTGAGGCGCAAGGGATGGGAAGATTTGCACAAGCTCTGGTGGCAATGCTGCCGAGAGCGCAACATGCTCTCTACGAGCATCAAAGAGCTGAAGAGGTCCAAGCTTGGCTTTGGCCAGTCGGAATTGGAACAACGGGACCTCACGGTAGACCGCCCTGGCAATTCCTTTTGTTTAGATTTGGCACTAACCTGCGTCGCAGGTCCAAGCGACAATGCGCAATATCAAGGCCGTGCTCACAGAACGTTATTACACCTGGGAGGATGCTCAAGCGGTAGCAGCCATCGACCCCGAAATAGACCTACAAGCCGTCGATGGCTCAGCGTACAACCCAGGGTCGTATGTCGATGAGTTTGAAGCCAACGAGGACGCCTGGGCAGGGAACAAAGACGCTCTCCCCGATGCTCCCGAGTTTGACAACCCAGCAAAGGAAGAGGCCAAAGCTGAGAAAAAGCTGCAGTCATGATGGATCGACGAAGCCATGCGTTGGTCGAGGAGCTGAGAAGGGATGCACCGACGCCAAGGTTCTGTATAATTGATTGTATTAATTACATACCGCGACGAGTTCCGGGAACCACGTCATGTAGCACATAAGCGAAGCATGCTTGCCCGATATTCATTGCAGCATCATCTCAAGGTACACGACATGCATTTTTGTGACCGGCCATTGATGGATGCAATTGATAAATTTGTCTGTAGAGTCCAAGTACACACCACCAAGCTTTTGAACCCTATATGGATATATGGCTCGCATCCTGTCTAGAGCTAGATGTGAGGCCGAGAGTCATACATGGCAGTCCCAGACAAACAGCACTAGGGTTAGCGAGATAACTACACTGTGGTACGTAGTCGATCTGGACATAAAACTGGAGCTTTACATATACCACTACGACTAATGAGTGCCTAAGGTTCCAGAAGAACCATGCCAATGTGCCCTTGCCACTGCAGGTGCATTTGCTCACCGACCATTTAGGCTCCTGTCACCATGACAATCCCAGTGGAGGCCAGGCCTTGTTGAACCCCGCCTTGGAGCAGCTCCCGCTTTCAACCCACCGACTGACCTCTTCGACCTGTACCTTACCTTAGCTGTTGCACTTTGCTACTGTACATCAGCCGAAGATAAATTCAAACGCCCACCATGGATGAGATCGCACCCGAATACGATGTTGTGGTGCTAGGCACTGGTGAGCCTTTTGACCTACCTCCTTCTGGCTGCTTGCCATCTCATGCGGGGCAGCGGCCAAAGCCGCCATTTTGGAGAGAAATGCCGTACTGACGTCCTTCTTCCAGGCCTGACCGAGTGTATCCTGTCTGGGTAAGACAATGCACGATACTCGAAGGTGACATTCGAAAAACTAACGAGAACCTTGTAAAGTGTGCTTAGTGTCAAGGGCAAGAAGGTCCTCCACATCGACCGCAATGCGCACTACGGCGGGTACGACAGCTCCGGGACCACTACTACGACATTGCCAGCTAACCAGACCACAGTGAGGCCGCTTCTGTCAACCTCGAGACGGTATGAATCAACACGCTGCTGCCAGCCGACCGAACAATGTCTGACCACAAGGATAGCTTTTCAAGAAGTACGGCAACTACTCGCAGGGCGAGGAGCCATGGAAGAAATACGGCCGCCTTAATGACTGGAACATCGACCTGGTCCCCAAGTTCCTAATGTCTTCTGGCGAGCTCACCAACATCTTGGTCTCCACCGACGTCACCCGTTACCTCGAGTTCAAGCAGGTTGCCGGCAGCTACGTCCAGCAAGGATCCGGTCCCAAGGCCACCGTGGCCAAGGTGCCTTCGGATGCTGGCGAAGCGCTGAAATCGCCCCTCATGGGAATCTTCGAAAAGCGCCGCATGAAGTCGTTCATTGAATGGGTTGGCACCTTCGACCCCAAGGATTCGTCGACTCACAAGGGTAGGATAGCAGAGCGGACATCAAACAGAGCTATGGCTAATGTGGGTTAGGCCTCGATATCAACAACTGCACCATGAAGGATGTTTTCGACAAGTTTGGCCTGGAGAACAGCACCAAGGACTTCATTGGCCACGCCATGGCTTTGTATCAAACCGACGAGTTCATCACCGCCAAGGGCAAGGCACCCGAGGCCATTGAGCGCATCCGCTTGTACGGAAACTCCGTTGCCCGCTACGGCAAGTCTCCTTACATCTATCCTCTCTACGGCCTCGGAGAGCTGCCTCAGGGCTTTGCCCGTCTCTCAGCCATCTACGGCGGTACTTACATGCTGAACACCGATGTCGACGAGATCAAGTACGACGGCGACAAGGCCGTGGGCATCAAGGCTACCATGACTGGCATGGACGAGATGAAGTTTGAGACCAAGGCTGGAATGATCATTGCCGATCCGTCCTACTTCCCTGGTCAAGCAAAGGTCGTTGGCCACGTCCTGCGCGCCATCTGCATTCTAAAACACCCGCTGGCCGGCACCAACGACAGTGACTCGGCTCAGCTGATCATTCCTCAGTCGCAAGTTGGCCGCAAGAACGGTACGTGATGGGTTCCTCCAAACTACCAAGCTCATGTTAACATTACAGATATCTACATCGCTTGCGTCTCGGCCGCGCACAACGTTTGCCCCAAGGACTACTGGATCGCCATCGTTTCGACCATTGCCGAGACCACGTCGAACCACCACCTCGAGCTGCAGCCTGGTCTGGAGCGTCTCGGAAAGATTGAGGAACAATTCATGGTATGTGACAGAGGCCCCGCATGCAGGACGCTTTCTGACAATCTGTACAGGGTGCCCCCATCCCCATTTACGAGCCTACTGAGTCTGGCTCGAAATCCAACATCTACCTCTCCAAGAGCTACGACGCATCGAGCCATTTCGAGACAACTACAGACGACGTCAAAGACATCTACCGCCGCGCCACTGGAGAGGAGCTCAAGGTTGAGGGTCTTCGCGAGGGCATCAATGTTGAACAATAGAGTGGTGAAAGTTTGATTAATGCGTAGCATGGAAATGATATCAAAACCGACTGGCCTGAGTGGAATTGTGAGCAGTGAACGCTTATAGGTTCATCGATGGCAAATGATGGAACGAATGCAATTGTATAGATCATAATCATCAAGAGCGTATCGCTCTGTATCATCTAATCAGGATCAATCCAGGCAAGCCCTTGCTTGACACGGATACTTTTGGAAAACCCCACGCCTGTAACGCCAGCACACCATAACCACACCGCCAGGATGCCACGAGAAATGGATGGCGGCAGTGGTAGCCTAACGACGATTCGTCTTGCCCATGCCACGCTTGCCGACAACCTGCGGCGAAGTTAGCCAATGATTCTTGTACAGCCTTGCGAGTTCGGGGTGGTCTTACCAAGTGCTTTGTGATCGAGGCGGTTGTGTGCCTATCGGCCTCACCCTGCCTGGCGCTCCTGTTCATCTTCCTCTGGTTCAGCTTGGCAATGCGCTCCGCATTGGTCCTCGACTCCTCGTTGGCGGTACCAGCTTCCCTGCGGTTCTTGATGGGAGCTCTGCTGGCGGGTCTGCTCATGGAGCGGACGCGCGCACGGGCGTTATCATCGAGGTCCATGGCATCGCTCGCTTCAGTGCCTAGGCGGCTGCGGGACATGGAGCGACCGCGGGGTCTGGACTCGGCACGGGTGCGGTCCATGATGTCGGCGGTGTCGATACCCCGGCGATCGAGAGCATCGTCGAGCTCGGAAAGCTTCTTCTTCTGCAGGCTTCGGGGGATAATGGCCTGGTTCTTGAGGCGCTTCTTCATGCGAGCCTCGTTGCGGGTGAGGGCGATCTGCTCCTCAATCTGCTCGGCCTTGGCCAGAATCTCAGCGGCTTCATCGTCATCAATGTCCTCATCAGATTCGTAGAAGCCCTCGGCCTCGAGTCGCTCCTCCTCCTCCTCCAGGGCAGCCAGCTTGGCCTCAATGTCGGGGTCAATGAAGTCGTAGACGTTCTTGCCATTGTGCAGTTCAGGAATCGCGTCATACTTCCATTCAGGGTTGGCGAGCTGCCAGTCGGCACGCATGTCAACGCTGAAAACTCCGGCGCCACCGTTCTCCACCTCCTCGTCGCGGGCGAGCCTGCGGCGCTCGGGATCGCTCTTGTCGTACTTCTTCCTGTCTTTGAGACCTTCGGGAATAAAAGGCTCGAGAGTCTGACCACCCATGGGCTGGGCGACGTGGATACGAGACATGACATCCGCGAGACGACCGCCAATCTCGCCGCTGGCGTTTGTACCCGCCTTGAGCTTCTGATTGACACGGTCGGCAATCAGGCGCTCGCAAGCCGCGTTCTTCACCTCCTGGACACCCTCCTGCGTGTTGCAAGAGAGCTGCAGCAATTCGACTTCGTTGGACTTGAGGAGTCCCTGAATTTCCTCCTGAGTCTCAATATCAAGGTCTTCAGGGCGGACCACGTCGATCTTGTTGATGACAAGGAAGACGAGCTTGTTCGCAAACAAGGGCTTGATGCTGCGGAAGAGCTGGATCTGGTCCTTTACGCTGTAGCCGCACTGCTCGGACAAGTCCATAAAGTACATGATGGCGGATCTCAGATGGGCAATGGCCGTGATACTCTGCATCTCGATGGTGTTCATCTCCTCCAGGGGGTGATCGAGGATGCCAGGGGTATCAATGGCCTGGAATCGCAGGTATTTGTAGTCAAAATGACCCACAAACAGACTCTTGGTGGTGAAGGCGTATGGCTGAACATCAACATCGGCGCGAGTGACACTGCGGAGGAAACTCGACTTTCCGACGTTGGGATAGCCGCAAATTAGAAGAGTGCGAGTGTTGGGGTCGATCGACGGCAGACGACCCAGATGCTGGCGGACCTGGTCGAGGTACATGAGGGAGTCTTTGAGTCGCTTGATGATGGTGGCCATGCGACCGAGGGCAGCCCTCTTGAGTTGCTTGCACTGGAACAAGGATTGCGCATACTTGATGAGGCGCACGTAGTCGCGGGAGATGGTCTCGATCAGATTCTTGGCTGTCGACAGCTGGCCGAGAGCGATCTTGAAATGGTCGGCATCGTATAGGGTATTGAGGAGATCCTTGTGGAACGGGTGGATGTCCTGGAGGCGAGGGAAACTCTCGAGGATGGCGCCAAACTTCTCAGAAAAGGTCTCTTGAGTGAACTTGACCTTTCGGGTGTAGAAGGCTGCGCGATGTCAGCTAGGGGCTCGGGTGGTGCGCACTTGCTGGTGGTGTCTTACCTCGGATTCTGCTAATTTTGAAGCCAGCGCGAATCTGCGTGGGCAGCTTGCGCTGTGTCCTGCTGAGGACAATGTCGAGGAACTCCTGCTGGGTAGGCACCGGAGGGATGTCCTTCCATGTCGTCTTCATGATGGGCGAGTTTTCTTGTGAAGTGCTGATTGAATGCTCGCAGAGAAGAAGGACAAACGACAACCAGCAAAAACAGACTGGGGTTGGGGAGCAGGATCAATCACTATCTACGGGCGACGGCGAAGTGGAAGGCGGTCAATTTTTTTCCAGTGCAAAAGGTGGGCGTTTGCTGGTACGGCTTATCGATAAACTTTTTTTCCATGGTCCCCAAGGGACCTCAGGCTGGGCCGCTCACTGCAGTCACCCCGCCAGGCCCACCGTCCGCTGATCGGCCGTCGTGGTCGATGCCAAGGTAAGAATTTATCACAGGAAGAATCGCGCTGCGTGACATATCCAAGCTGCAAGCACAAATACTTTCTTCCTTCCGGATAAGAGCCAGAGCCGTCTCGCCTACCGAAAGAAGCTGCAACAACCATGGCCTCCCAACTGCCCGAGTACAAGCAAAAGTTCCTTGAAGTTTGCACCGCGGGGGGCATTCTCAAGTTTGGCAACTTTGAGCTCAAATCGAAGCGAATTTCGCCGTACTTCTTCAATGCAGGCCTGTTCCACACAGCGCGCCTAGCAGGTGCCATCTCCGACGCCTTTGCACACGCCATTATGAATGCGCAGAAGGAGGATGGACTTGAGTTTGACATCGTCTTCGGCCCCGCGTACAAGGGTATCCCGCTCGCCTCCTCCATCACAGTCAAGCTCGGGGAGATTGAGCCTGCCAACCTGGACACCATCTCCTACTCATTTGACCGCAAGGAGGCCAAAGACCACGGCGAAGGCGGCAACATTGTCGGTGCCTCACTCAAGGGCAAGAAGATCCTAATTGTGGACGATGTCATCACCGCCGGCACCGCCAAGAGGGAGGCTATCGAGAAGATTGAACAGGAAGGCGGCAAGGTCGTCGCCATCGTCGTCGCCCTGGACCGCCAGGAGAAGCTCCCTGCCGCTGACGGGGATGACTCAAAGCCCGGACCTAGCGCAGCAGGCGAGCTTCGTAAGGAATTCGGCATCCCAATCTTTTCCATCATCACGCTGGATGATGTGATCAAGGGCATGCCGTCGGTTGCGTCGGAGGAGGATCTCAAAAGAACCGAGGAATACCGGGCCAAGTACAGGGCTGCAGACTAAGCGCTCGTGCGCCTCGTTCAGCCAAAAATGAATATAAAGAATTACGGTTCTTGGAGTGTGTAAATTGTTGAACTTTGTGATCACATGCCATGCTTCGAGTCGCACCGCAGGTGCAGGTTACCGTGCCTCAGACACGACAGGATGAGTCAGTCGATCTCGAGAATTCTCCTCTTTCAACATCTTCAACATCTGCATCTCTTGAGAGACTGGCCGCATCGTGTCTGATGCGCCCTTGAGTGGTCCGATGCGCAATACCGCCTCGTTTTTAGATCGGTCATGGCGGGGCATTGCGTCAGTGCTGAAGCTGCCTGAAGGCTCGAAGGAGCTTGACGAGTGCTAGCAACTTCTGGTCTTCCATCGCAAACGTGACCTAGGCATACTCATTTTGATCAGACGCGTCCGAGAGTTGACGAGTTAGAGCTTTTGGGAAGAACATCAAATCAAAGGGCTCTCAGCGTTGGTTATTGTTACGTGTTGATTGGTAAGGCAGCGTAGCATAGCCTCCCACGCTTGTGACGCCCTGGAGCTTGTTTGATCGGGCACTCACCATCCCTTCTCTTTTCCACATCTTCTAGCGGGAGCCTCTGTTTTTGTTTGCTGTGCCACCTGTCCGACCATCGCAGCCTTGGCTCCTCCCATACCGCAATGTAGGATCTGGCCCAGTCCTTGGCAACTCGATTGCTGACAGACTCCAGGCGCATCACACTCAACATCTCCAACCCCCGGGAGGGCGAAGATGATAACCTCATCACCCTGGAGGTCTTCCCCGAGATGACGGTCGAAACACTCCGCGAATCTATCCACGCCGAAAGCAAGGTCGCCCCGCTCTCGCAGCATATCTACCACAACGGAAAGCTCCTCTCCGACAACTCGAAAACGCTGGAGCAGCTCGAGATTGCGGATGGCGAGATGTTGGCGGTCCACGTACGGGACATGCGAGGCAGCACAGGCGTTCCAGCCCAGCCAGCTGCCCCTCGACAACCCCAGCAGCCACGCCCACCCCAGGGCGGACAGGCCCAGCCTGATCCCGAGATGATTCGATTGCAAGTCCTGGGCAACCCTGCGATGCGCCAGCAAGTGCAGAGCCAGAACCCGGATCTGGCAGCAGCCTTAGAGGAGCCCGCTCGCTTCGCGCAAATCCTGCGTGACAGCTACGGCCGAGAGCAGAGGGAGCGTCTAGAGAGACAGAGGGAGATTGAGAGGCTCAACGACGACCCATTCAACATTGATAACCAGAGGCGGATTGAGGAGATGATTCGACAAGAGCGAGTCATGGAGAACCTCCAAAATGCCATGGAGCACAACCCCGAAGGTACGTCCGTTATTGGGGTTTCAAACGTGAGAAACGTGTCACTAACACATTCCTTTCCTCAGTTTTTGGCCGTGTTCATCTGCTCTACGCTAATGTCGAGGTGAACGGACACAAGGTCAAGGCTCTTGTCGACTCGGGAGCCCAGGCCACCATCATGTCACCAGACTGCGCCGAAGCTTGCGGCATCTCCCGTCTCATCGATACGAGATTCGCAGGTGTGGCTCGCGGTGTTGGCACAGCCAAGATCATTGGCCGCGTGCACGCTGCCCAGATCCGGATCGGCGAGTTGTTTCTGCCGTGCAGCTTCACCGTCATGGAGGGCAAGTCTGTGGAGCTGCTGCTGGGGCTGGATATGCTCAAGCGATACCAGGCCTGTATCGACCTTCAAAAGGGTTGCTTGGTGATTCAAGGCGAGAATATACCGTTCTTGGGAGAAGCAGAGATTCCCAGGGACATGGAGGAACAGGTAGAGGGCGAGCCGACGGCCCCAGGCCCAGGCGGCACACAGATCGGCCAACGCTCCGGTGCGATCCTCCCAGCGCCTGGTTTGCAACCCGAACAGTCATCAGGTCGCTCGGTTGAGACTCCGGCTGCACCACCACAGCAGGCACCTGCTCTAGCGGCGCCCACGCCCACGCCTGTGTCCGCTCCGGCCGCAGCGCCGAGACCATCTGAGCCTGGTGTCACCGAAGCTCACGTACAGACACTCATTTCCATGGGAGCCGATCGAGCTCGCGCTGTCCAAGCGTTGCAAGCCTCCGGAGATAATGTCGACATGGCTGCCGGCATCCTCTTTTTTGGCTAAGCCTCGCAACACAAATACGGACCTATGAGTTCAATAGACGGCAAGGATACTGGGGTGTTGTCATCTGGCGCAATACGCATAGACCCGGCATGTGGGAAGGCGCATTGCAGGAAAGGTACACGGTGCAGTCGTATTAGATGCCTGGGGTACATTACCACACCTTTGGGCACTGTAAACATATAGCAGGAACTTGAAGCCAGCCCCTATATCCAGCTCTCTATCGAATCTTATAGACGCAAGGTTTTAGGACTGTAGCCTCGTCACCTTCGTTCTCGTCCTCGTCCATTTTGCTGAGATCACGCTTTGGCGTGATGCCCTTCTTCAGGGGCCTCTTCTCCTGAGCCTTGACTCCCTTTCCCTTGACCGGCGCGGCGCCCTTTGTGAAGTGCATCTTGACAAACATCTTGTTCGAAAGGTCGATAGCCTGGTGCTTTTCTCCTTGCAGAACAAAACCTCTTTTGCGCAGCACCTCGACGAACGCCGACACGTCCGTCTCCCTCCGTCGGTCATCTTCACCATCCACCTCGACCGCCAGATCGTTCTCGAAAGCAGCGTCACCCTCTTCTTCGCCAGCCTTGGCCTTCTTGGCCATTTTCTTGCGGTTGCCCACACTGTGCGTCACGGGAGCATTCTTGTTCCGCACAGGTCCGAAGCGGCTCTTGATCTCGGCGACCCACAGCTCGCCTTTCCAGTGCAGGATGCGATATGCCTCCTCGATAAAGTCGACCCAATTTGTGCCCATGAGCGCGAGGCAGAAGATGGCCACGTTGACCGAGTCGTCTTCGAGGGGCAAGTTGGCAATATCCGCCTTGGTGACCAGCGGACTCGGGCTCTGGAGGTCGTAGCTGTTGATCTGCACCTTGAGCTTCTTCTTATCTTTCTGCAGCTCTGCGGCCAGTCTTGCATCGCCGCATCCCAGGTCCGCAATGGTGCACGTCCCCTCCGTCCTCGGCAAGGCCTGACGCCCAACCTCCTGTGGCTTGTCCCCCTTTCGTAGCGGCTTGACCTTGGCACGTCGGCGGATGTCCCCGAGGAAGCTGTCCACGGGGTTCTCGGGCCAGACAGTGACTTGCCGACGGAAACCCTCGTGGTACTCATCGAACATTTCCGGCGATTCGGCGAAGAGAGCGAGAGCCTCCGCCGAGGGTCGCGTGTAGAGAGTCTCGTTCAGATGGCGGAATCGGGCAGAGATCAGCTTCTGGCGCATGGACGCTTGCAATGGGGTGAGCTTGGCAGGAGCCGGAGGGAGAGGAGGAGGTCCAGGGGCCGCGACGACGGGTTTGTCTGCCTCAATCTCGGGGTCCGCCACGTTCTTTTTCTGCTGCTGTTGCTTCTTCTGTTTCTTGTCCTTTTTGGGCTTCTCCTCGGTTTTGGTTGTGGTGGCGGGTGAGAGTCCTGGGCTCCCATCTTGCGCCGCCGGGTTGGCACCCTCTACTACGTGCGGCTGGGGCTTCTTGTCCTTCTTCTGCTTCTTGGACGGTTTCTCCGCCTTTGCACCCTCGGCCTTCCTGCCCTCAATGACACTTTCAAACAGGTCGGCGACATTGTCCGCGGTCACAGCTCCGCTCCGGCCCGGCCTCTTGCGTTTTTTCGACTTTGTGGGCTCTGAAGGACCTTGCGCGGAATTACTCGTGAGATCATTCGACGATGTTTGAGGCTTGAGCTTGTCCGCCGAGACGGACCACCCTGGAACCTTGAACATTTTTATATTTGTTGGTGCGGTGAATGAGTAGGTGAGGTAAGGTGAGGTGTTGTGAAGACAGTGGATGAAATTTTGGCAGCTAACTTTCCGGTGGGGCCCGTGCGTTCTCGGTGTTGGAGACTACCTAGCAATAGAGTTTGGAGATGGGTTCCGGGTAGGCAATTGATACGTCTAACACGACGCCCACAATGGTACGTTGCGTCGAACGTCCTGTGTCGAGGTCTCCTACCATTCATGTGGACACCCGAGACAGGCTCGATAACGCGGGCATGGCCAGCAGCAACTTGGGAATCCGACGGTCGAGTGCCGTACTACGTCGCACGTTGCTCATGTTATATGTAAGCGGTGGAGCTATGGAAGGAAGTCTTGCATCCCCGGGTGCGGGCTGCATGAGGCGACAGTGTTCGAAGCGTCGTGGCCTCGGGGGTGCTCGCAAACTGCGCTGCATACAAAAAGCCGTAGACTAAGGATTCGGTTGGCCTTGGCGCTCATTGATGAGGCGGCAGACTCGAAGCGTATGCTAGAGAGTTGGAACTTGGTGCTAATTGTACTCATTGAGCAGCTGAGATGAATGAATCCTCTCACCCCACAAATTAGGTATCATCATGCTTGGAATGACCTGCAAGAAAATCTCCTAGTGGCCAGCCACGCCAGTGCCGAAAGCCTCATCCGTGAACGAGATACGGATATAGTCGAGCCTCCAAATGCCGCTGTCATCTCCTTTTAGGGTTATTTGATTTGAGCTGTTTGTGCTTGTGCTGGGATACGTGATTGACTTGGAGCCAAGACACCGCAGGGTAGGCGCTCACAAGGTACCACCGGGCAAGGCAATTATTATTAATGTACAGGAAAGTACCTACTAACTAAGGACTGGAGCGCTGTATCTTGACTCCCGAGCTTCGACCCGAAAGCGCGCAGCTACTACATACACCATCTGCTGCAGCACGGTCAGCAGTAGCAAAGAGGCACTGGACGCAGGCTTGCAAAGTTAGCAACCAACTGTGACCCTGCTCTGCTGCAAGCGGAGAGCTCAAAGTACCCGGTCCTACCTCGAGCTATCAGCCACACTCATCCATCATCTGCGTTTGCTGGCGGCTCTCGAGTCATCGACACGCCCTGCGGCCTCACCACTCTATCCAGCGACGCATCGCTGACGATGTGAGGAAATCCTTTTCATTACCTTTCCCACGACTGCCCCTGGAGGACCCAAGTCGAGCACCCAACTCACGCCATCCGACAGAAGCGGGAGATTGCACACGAAAGGCACGTGTTGCTGTCGCACTCCGACTGTCTCAACTGTCGACAGGATGCCCGTGCTTGACTCTGTTGCATGTTCGCTCTCGTTGCCGGTCGAGTACCACAATCATGTGTCACTACCCGTCCCCGACAACCCATCATCGCTCGCGGACGAATGCTTGCCTTGGAGGTGAATTCTGGAGCATTCTACGTCCACCTGTCCCACTCCCACGAGGCCCCTCGCGCCGTGTCGAACGAGATATGCTGACTGCGATGATCGTGTCTAGCTAGCTGTCAGCCACCACCTATCTTACTCAAGCGCGCCCTTGATCCCATCCTTTCTACACCCAAGAGTAACTTAGGTTTGGTCGGATACACATTGGATAATCTGCTGGCCACCTACCAGCATGGTATGGTCCCCCCTGCCGAAGCCTGTTTTCGCGTACGATTGCTAGCTTGTGCTGTCTCCCCGAACCATGGAGCAACCGGAGGGAGCCCTGCATAGCACGGCCGATGCTCAGCCTGATGCCCGTACTTCGCTAGGCCAAGGCGGGGGAGGGGGAGAGGAAAGAGGAGAACAGAGGAATGGCAGCGGGAAGATACGAAAACGCACCAAGACCGGATGCCTTAGTAAGGATCGTTCGATTCAGACGGAGAACTGATATCTGATGTCTCTCACAGCCTGTCGCAACCGACGAATTAAGTGCGACGAAGGACGACCGAGTTGCAATAACTGTTTAAAGTCCAGACGTCACTGCAAAGGGTACAACGCCAAGTACGCGCGGGAGACAGACAGCGTCGGCGCACACCCAGTGGGAGCTAGTCCCTGGGGTCCTTACGGTGTATATAACGTCGGCGATCCCACGCAGATGACTTCTGGCCCCAACGGACGACTCCAGACGATAGCTCCCCGGCCCCACTCCTCCAACTACCAAGCAGCCCAATCTGATGGCCTTGGCTATGCCACTGCCTTGCCACAGCAGTTCTCCGAGTATGATCTTCTGCCTACAGGACTCGATCCGCGAATGGTGACTGCCAGTACTGCCTCGAACGAACAGGTACATGATCAAGGTTTTCAAGCCCTAGGCCCCGAGTATCCGCCAGATGTGGCTCTTCATCTACCTCTCCCGGTTGGGTCAACCGAACAGGAGCCTTTCCCAGGCTCCCCGGCTGGCTCCTCGGCACCGTCTCACACTTTGCCGAATCATGCCGAATCACGACATCAACCACCCTTCCTACCAGTCAGTGATGACGATGACTCTGGAAACGAGTCGTCCAATGGAGAGGGATGGCCTCTTCAGGTCGTGCAATCCCACGTGCAGGCCCCGAACCGCTATCAGATGATCAATAGAGCAAGATTCTACACCGAATATGTGCAAAGTACTGCATTGGGCGAGTATATGAGATCGCCACACGCAACCGAGTTGCGAGACGACGCAAAAAGACAGCTTTTCGAGCATTTCATGCGCATCACTGGACCGACAATGTCTCTATACGAGCGGCATCCTTTCGACCCCCAAGAGCGCCAATGGACATCTCCTGAAACGGGAAACAGCATTTGGGAATGTACGTCTTCCGACCCTGCTTTATCCAGCACTGATATTCTGACACTCAATAGTCACGTTTCCCTTAATGTCCTTCCAGCATCCATGTCTACTTCACGCTATACTAGCCATGGCCAGTCTGCAGATAGCCAAGCTTCAGGGCTGCCCGCCAACAGCTGCACATAGGCACTATCATCTTGCACTCCGCCGCGTGGCCAAGAATGTCACCCTGGACCACAAACGACGCCAGCCAGCAACCCTTGCGGCTATACTGCTTCTGGCATATTTTGAGGTCTGGAGCTCCGAGCACACCAAGTGGACCAGTCATCTGTACGGAGCACGCATGATCTTCACAGAGATACCTCTTCTAGCCATGGCAAGACGGTGCCTGCCATTGAAACGCCAGCAACACCTTCAACAGCGGCGGATGATGAACTGGCTCAACACTGATCTGGAAGCTGACTTTGACTTGGACTACGACTTGCTGACCACGATCACGGGCGCTAGAATCACAGCAAGCCACTATAATCTCGACCCCGAACTGGTCGTGCCCGATAAAGGAGCGCCGCCAACGGCAAGAGACATAGAGTCTTTCGAGACCCTGGCAGACTTATACTGGTGGTACTGCAAGATGGACGTCTACCAGTGCATGCTGAGCGGAACGAAGCTCTTGTAACCTCGCCCCAGTCACTGCGTTCCTCGCATGCAGCTAACGTGAGCAGCATGCCCTACCGCCTCTGGACCCAGTGTCCCCCTCGAGCTCCAGCCTCCTCTATGGCTAGCATGTTAGTTTCTCTACCCCCGTCGAGACGAAGACTTGTGCTAATGCTCTTACCATAGATACGGCACATATGATCACCTTCTTCTACTGCTTGGACGGCTGGCAGAATTTGCCTCCCGCGACATGGCACGGAAAAGGGCAGCTAGTCGTGCCAGGAATTCTCCTCCCACAGGCAGCCCTTCGCCTCCCTTTTCAGGGATGTTACCCACGCAAGGCCCCTTCAGGGCTCCGCGAGGTTTCGATAGCCCTCAATCCGATCCCCGCAAGGATGCGCACGATGTGGATGATGCGGACGCGAGCTACACCACGGCATTGCAAGAGTGGCAGGATATATGCCATGCTTTCGGTGCTTTCGAAAAGTACTTGGGAAAGGACTTTGGCCCATTGTCAGCGGAGTTTGCTGACAATAGGCCAACACCGTTTGGACCGTCGAGACAGTACCGTACGTTCTCAGTTGCTGGCATCTGGATGAACTACAATATGGGCATGATCCACCTATACCGCAGCCACCCAGACATGCCGCCTACTGCGCTTCAATCTGTCGGCTTGGCAGCGAAGCAGACAGGCTACCATGCGCAGGAGATTGGACGCATCGCAGCAGGCCTGTCAGGAGAGAGCTCGGCCATGGACAAACTCCACAACGCTTTAGCAGCTGCCTACATTGAGAGTGCATTCTGTCTCTTCTTCGCGGCTGTACAGGTAGGCCATCTAACCTTCTTCCGACCCAGGCACAGCGCTCACAGGACCTGCAGTATCAAGATGCACAGCAACGACGATGGGTCGTCACGAGAATGCACGAAATCACGCGCTTGACAGGTTGGCAGTCGGCACGCCACATTGCACATGGCTGCGAGTCTGGCTGGATTAAGGCGGCGGAGCTGGGACGCGGGCCCCCGTACACGAGATTGGCGACAGAAGACAAGCCGGCAGAGTCCGTGTGGACATCTGCGAGACGCATTGACCGCAGAATCCAAGAGTTGCGCGATAGCTCCTCGGCGGAGGGAACAGGCGACGGGAAGATTATCCTGCCCATGACAGAGAGGGCGCACTATGCTGTGGGGTTACTTGGAATAGAGTCTGACTTTAACCATCTTGAGCTGACGGATGACGTGTTTCACGGCAGCCGGTAGTCGTCATGGACATGGAAGCATGGCAGATGCAGAGTAGCCTGTTTGGAGATAATGGATAGGCTGGCAATTGGTTGAAAGTTTCAGGTCGGCGCCGGCGCGGCCTTGTGAGGGGCGTTCTCTCTCATTCAAGGTCATCATCATTAGAGTTACATTGTAAGGAAGTGTGGCCTTCATTGAGACCGCGGACGAGATACGCAAGGCGTCTAGTGCAACAGCGGCACGTTCTGACCGTGATCTTGTCCATTCGATGATTGACCTCAATTGGCGGGTAGCCGCTCCACAACCTCAGCCATCTCCTCATCTGTGTATATCCTGAAGCCCTTGTCCTTGGTGACGCTTGCCAGCTGTACGTTTTTGTGGTCGAGCTTTTCCTCCATAACCTGCTTCAGGGTTTTGAGGACCAGGGTCTCAGCATCCTCGAGGGTAAGGGACTGTTTTCGCGTCAGCATCCATTTCGGCAGGTCTCCGGGATACAAATAAGCGAGGCAAAATTTGGACGCACCTTGTGGTATTCGTTCTGCAGCTCCGCCTGTGCACCCTCCGATCCAGAGCCAATAGCTTTGGCATCGTAGCGATAGAATGTCCCACTTGGCTCAGCATGGAACAGCTGAGGCCCGTTCTCGTCGTGGCCGGCAATGAGCAGAGCGACACCAAACGGTCTGCTCATAATCGTCTCCTCGCCGTCGGCACCCTCGCCGAATCGCAGGGCCAAGTCGCAGATGGCCTGGGTCGTGCTCTCCACGCCCAAGGGCTCGTTGTAGTTGAACGAGTGGCTCTGGCACTCGACGCGGGCGTGCTCGACCATCGAGCGGGCGTCAGCCTGGAGGCCGGACATGGCGCAGCCAATGTGGCGGTCAATCTCGACAATCTTCTCGACAGAGGAGGTTTCGAGCAAGGTGGAGGTGACACGCTTCTCGACGCCCAGGATCACTCCCTCGGATGTGGCGACGCCGATCGCCGTCGAGCCAAGCTTGATAGCCTCTAGGGAGTATTCGACCTGGAAGAGACGGCCTTCTGGGGAGAAGGTGTTGATACCCCGATCTGGAGGCGTGGTTAGCTTCTGGCGACCCGAAGTGGGATGGATGTTAGCTCGACCGACTGACCATATTCTGACCTGGCCATAAACATGTTGGCGGCTTGGTGCTCTCGTAGAGCTCGTGATGGCTATGTTTCTGTCTAAAGAGAGAATCGTGAAGCTTTGGGGAGAGCGCAAAGCGAATGCCTCGTCAGGTATGGCGTGGAGTTGGATCGTTTGCTGAAGCTTAGGACGACGTCAATCGGCTTGGAGGGCTATTAGGCACGTATGGGGGGTACGTTAACGACCTTGAAGTCCGTGAAGCTCTATGATTGGTCCGTGTGGAGCATAGCTCCAAGCTGGACGTGGTAAGGTACGTACCATCCGCCCGAGGGGGACTGTCGGCGGGCGCTTTTACCAATAGTCCGCACCGCAAACGCGGTCTTTGAATCCCATCGCGTCTCGCTGTGGCAGGGACTGGAGCTCCACTAATACAGCGATGGATTTACAGGTCGCGTCACTGGCAGGGGTACCAGTCAAACCCCACGATGAATCTATGCCCAACTGTTGAAGATGGAATAAACCGTAGCAACGCGAGTCTTCACACAACAACGTCGAGCGGTGGCACGAGAAGCTGCAGGTCAAACTGCCTCAGATGTAGCGAGTCACTATGTCCTCTGGCCCAGCGAGAACATCGAGCCACCCCAACTCCCTACACGAAGACAGTGGGCGCCCGCGCGTCGCAGCACACAGCAACAGCTACAGAAGCGACATGAGGCCGAATGCGCGCAGCACCACCAAACCATCTTCGCCACAGCCGCCACAAGGGAGTCACTATGCCTCGACATCTCACAAGAGGTCGGCTTCAGGCCGGCCGGTGAGTAGGACACCCGAAGAACGGAGGCACGACGAGAAAAGGGTCACAGAGAGGACCTTGGAGACGCGAGTACAGAGGCTGGTACCGAAGACGCAGAGTCGGGAAGCGGAAGAGCGGCGTAGCGCGCCACAGGAGAAGAGACAATCAGATGTGCCCAAGCAGAAGCTACCCGAAGCTCGTCCAAGGGCAGGGACAACTCAGGCACCGTGGAATCCAGAGGTCACCCTGCTGCCGCACACAACAGCACCTCTCGCCTCCCGCAAGTCAATACCTCCCTTGGGGTCAGCTGTACCGCAAGCGCCACAGCCTCGACCGATCCATGAACTGAGTCTGGAAGTACAAGAGGCCGCCATCGTCGAAGACCTGTTGTTCGTTTTCATGGGTTTCGAGGGACAATACATCCGTTTTGCAAAGGGCTACAACCCCGAGGAGGAGAGAGACCGGCTGACAGGGCCGTCTTTCAAGATTGCCCCGGGGCTCGACCCAAGCTTGCATGATCTGACACAGAGCATGCTCAAGATGGCGACATATTACTCAGCACTCGAGACGTTCGTGGACGTCCAAAGCAGGGAAGAGTTCGGGTCCGTCAGCCATGCCCTGTGTGCATCGATACGGAAGTTGTTGCAGGATTACCTAGTAATGATCGCGCAACTCGAGACGCAGTTTCTTACTAGCGACACATTTACTGTACACGTGCTCAACATCCAAACTACCTCAACACAGCAGATGATGTATCAGCTATACGCCCTGGCACACGAAGTGTTGAAACGCAATGCGCTGCTTGACGAAGAAAGCGACGACTCTGATGACGACGACGCCGACGACTACGATAATATCCTCGAGAATTTGAGAGACGGTGGCGAACTGGTGCCTGGGAACATGACCGGCAAGAAAATTTGCAAAGGCGGTGCCGCAATCGGCCTCATCACCAATAGGTTGGAGGCAATGTCAGGAGATCCAGCAGCGCGAGCGCTGCTCACGACCTTGCTCTGCGATGCTAGCAGACCGTACATGACGATGCTCAATGAGTGGCTACATCATGGCGGGATCAGCGACCCCCATTCCGAGTTTCTCATCAAGGAGCAGAAGAGCATCAAAAGAGAGCGATTGGAGCAAGACTACACGGACGAGTACTGGGAAAGGAGGTACACGATGCGAGACAGTGATGTCCCGCCTCAGCTCGAAAGCGTCAAGGAGAGGGTGCTCCTGGCCGGCAAGTACCTGAATGTGGTGCGTGAATGCGGCGGCGTCGACGTCAGCAAGGTGGTTCAGGACGTACCTACATCCTTTGACGACCCCAGGTTTCTCGAGAATGTCAACAATGCGTATGCGCACGCCAACGAATCACTCTTACGAATGCTCCTAACGACGCACTCACTGCCTGCTCGTCTACAGTCCATGAAGCACTACTTCTTCTTGGATCCTTCTGACTACTTCAACCACTTTCTGGAGCTGAGTGCATCGGAATTGCGGAAACCGGTGCAAAAGGTGAACACAACCAAGCTGCAGTCGCTTCTTGAACTGGTCCTCCGGCAACCCGGCACAATCGTGTCTCTCGACCCTTTCAAAGAGGATGTCAAGGTCGAAATGAACGAGATCACCCTCACGAAATCCCTGCAAAGAGTGGTGAACATCACCGGCATCGAGCAAGGCGAGGCCCTGCAACCCCTTGCCAACCAGCCAATGGAGAACGACAAGAACGCTACTGGATTCACGTCGCTACAGCTTGACTATGCTGTCCCCTTCCCCGTGTCACTCGTGATCAGTCGGAAGACGGTCTGGCGATACCAGGCCCTTTTCCGCTACCTCCTTTCATTGCGTTACCTTGAATCACAACTGTCGACCACTTGGCAAGTACAGACACGGGGTGTCAGCTGGGGCCACAAGGGCTCTAACAGGGCTCTCGAGATCTGGAAGCGCCGAGTGTGGACACTGCGCGCCCGCATGCTGGTCTTTGTCCAGCAGCTCTTGTACTTTTGCACGGCAGAGGTCATTGAACCAAACTGGATCAAGTTCATGTCGAGGTTGAGCAGCAAAGACGACGGGCCCGAGAGGAAGCCAGGCGGGTTCATGCGCACAGTGGACGAACTGATGCAGGATCATGTGGACTTTCTCGATACCTGCTTAAAGGAGTGCATGCTGACCAACAGCAATCTCCTTCGGGTAAGTCTTTATCTCTTCGCTGCGGAAAACGCATAGACACTACTGACCATCACCCCAGATCCACTCCAAGCTCATGCAAACGTGCACCATCTTTGCGGCCTACACAAACTGGCTCACGCGCGAACTTGAGAAGGCGGACCCCGACCTCTCAGCGGCAAACAAACCAAGCACAATGACCACGGATCAGTGGAACCGCTTCCAGGCTACGAAAGCGGCCGCCGCTCGTGCCTCGTCCTCGTCCGTCGCCGAAACGTCCACGGCCTCAGCAGGTCCCGCAGACGAGGCAAGGGTAGACAACCTCGTCGACATGATCGCCAAGTGGGAGGTCAACTTTAGTAGACATTTGCAGATTCTGCTAGATGCGTTGAATCACTACGCTGCGACGGAGACGGTGGCATTGTTGAGTCTCTGTGCAAGGTTAAGTACCGCGAACCAGGGAACTAAGTATACGGGGTTGAAGCATGACGAAGACGGGTGAGGAGCCTCTGCGATAAGCCTTGCTGTTGATTGAGATACCAGTATATCAATGATGAATGATGAACAGATCTGTGCTTGCCGGTCCTTTCTTCGTGAATATGTGTCTTAAGTTGTCTCGCTACGTTGGTAGAGAAGTCCGTCTCTCGCGTCTACCACCGCTGCCCAAGCTCCCATCCAAGGTCCGTATTCATCACAATTAGACACGACCCAAATCGAAACCATACGCTAACTATCAATATGGCTGAGTGTCGTGTTCTTAGCTGCTAGCCAACCGTACCTCATGCTCCCAATTCTTTGCCCCAGCTATTCTTGTGAACACAAGAAGAAAAAAAAGATAAGTTAAACCGAACCCAATAACGGTACCGAACCGACGCCCCTCCATGTACGCTCCGTTTTCTCAATAGTCGTGAATGCTTTGTCTTACTTGAAAAGAATCTTGAGGTCTTCGAGTCTCGTCTTCTGGGCTTCGGACTTGTCCTTTCGGTCGACAGCAAGACTCGCGAGCTGCTTCTTCTTGTCCTGCAAGGCCAACATGTCTTCCTCAAAACTATGGTTCATAATGTACTTGACAGTGCGGACGGGGCGCTTCTGACCCAGACGATGAACACGGTCGATAGCCTGTGCTTCAGCGGCAGGATTGAACTGCGGTTCCATTACGTAGGCGGTGTTGCCCGTCACCAAGTTCAGCCCCAAGCCTCCGGCACTGATCGAAATAATGATAACATGAACCGAGTCGTCTTCGCGAAACTGCTTGATGGCGGCGCTGCGAGCAGGGCGTGTCATGCGGCCGTCCAGCCTGACGAATTTGATGCCAGCAGGCTTGAGGGCCATCTCAATCAGATCAAGATGGCGTGTCCAGCCGGAAAAGACCACGGACTTGAGCGGCGCCTCTTCAGGATGGGCTTCGCTGTGCGCCTTGGACTTCAAAAGATCCTCCACGAGAGCTTTGGATTTTGTGTGAGGACCCAAGTAGTTCTTGAACGCCTCGACCTCTTGCCTCTCATCCGAGCTGGCGTCGCCCGTGTGCTCAGCCTCGACGAGTGATCGAGGGAGCGGTACAAGCTCAGGCGACGTGGGCGCATAGCAAGTGAGACACGATCCGCGGCTACGCTGGACGTGAGCCTTGAAGCGAGGAACGTAGTCACCGGCGCAGTTTGCGCATATGACGTGGAGACAGGTTGTCATGTATCCCATAATGTCGTCAAGCCCATCATCGTCCACTTCGTCTTCGTCGCTCGCGCCTATCTTCTTTTGGCAAACCATGCAGCTATCGCCATTTGATTGCTGCAGCAGTGCGAAATTGTCATGCTGTTGCTTCAGCTGTAGCGTGGCGGCATCAATGTCAGGCTCGTCATCCAGATTAATGGCCGTGTCGGCAGAGACACCTTGAACACGGCGAAAGTCAGATTCGTTCAGAAGATCTTTGCCGTGCGCGCAGACAAGTCGCATCATGAGGATGGACTTGAGGACGTGAATATAAGTATTCTGTGGAAGCTTGGTCCCTCCCGCAACACCCGCCTCGCTCGTCAAAGCATCGACACGCTTTTTGGCATAGCTCTTGAACGTGTCGTGCAGCTTCTTCTCGTCGGGAGAAAAATCAAGCCTGACAATCAAATCAGTACGAGGAGGGAGGGGGACCTTGTCCTTCAAGCGACGAATGGTGACGGTATCGACCAGTGCGCGTAGCCGAGGGACGACCTCCTTGTCGGCAGCCTTGAACGGTTCGAGAATGTAACGGTTAAATTTCAAGCGATGCTCGAATGGATGCAAGCGAACAAAAGCCAGCAAAGAGCCGAGGTCGTCGAGGCGATTCTGCACAGGCGTGCCTGTCACTGCCCATCGCCTTTGGGCATGAAGACGGACAGCTGACTTAAAGTTCAAGGTGTTCTTCTCCCGAATCATGTGCGCTTCGTCAAGCACAATTCTGAACCATCCAATATGTTCCAAAGGGTATGATCCACCACGACCTTGGTGGCGCTGACGGAGCTCGCTAGCAACGGACCCGTATGTTGTAAGAATAATATCATACTGAACAAGCTTTTTAACATCTCGAATGCGATTGGCGCCGTGATAGATGTAATAGGAAATGCTATTTTCCTTCGTGTGCTGCTTGATCTGCTCCTCCCAATTGGTGATGGTACTCAAAGGGCAGATCAATAGGGTGGTTTTGGCGTTCACCGTCAGCTTTACCAAGTCGAGGGATGGCTTCGAAGTGACAGCATCCTGTTTGTTGGCTTTGCTGTCCGCTGGTGCCAGTTGAGAGACGGGTGTTGCAGCCCATTGTTCTGCCGCAGGAAAAGAGCTGGAGATAAGTGAGAGTATGCTGAGGGTTTTGCCCAAGCCCATTACATCGGCGAGAATGCCGCCCAAAGTCTCGGGCGGAGGTTGGCGTTGCTCTGTTTGGGTGATGATGTTGAAGTACCTCATTTCACCGGATGCCGTATGGTCCTTCTTCCACAGGGAGGGGATCATGTTCTCGCGGTCTTTCAGCCACTTGTCGTGATCCCGGTGGTCGCCCTGTACTGCGCGCACAGACGATGAATAGTAAGGTTCCTCGCGAGCCTGCATAAACCAGAGACCCTGTTTCTGATGCGTGAGCAGGGGTGTAACGATGCAATCACCAGGTTCCGCCAACGGGAGATCTTCGCTTTTTTTCATGCGATCAAAAACACTCATAACATCTGCCTTAACTTCCTCAACCGTACGGACGGTGGCAGCACCGTAAGACGACGTGCCCTGAGCTGAGCCAAGGCTTCTATTCTGCACAGGCAGCGGACCCCTTTTAGGGAATAAAACGTGCGGATTGTACACACGTATGCCTTTCTGTACCATGGTAGGTGCGTTCAGGCGCTGCTCCTGTTTCTCGAGCCATCCACCAACACTCTTCGCATACTTGATCTTGCCATAAAGAGTGACATCCAACTTGAAAGCGTGAGACACAGGTTTTCCTGGCTCTGATCCTGGCGCCTTGGGCTGCGGTGGAAGGCGACATTCAGTCCGCAGGTGGATGTTCGCATCGAGCAAAGGGGAGAGGGCAGAGGCGCTTTTTGGATCCACATGGCCAATGGTCACCCGCGTGTAGTCGTAGACTTGGATACGAGTTGTCTTGTCAGCCATGACTCGCTTCAAAACGACTTTGATGACTGGCTGGTAGTTCGGCCCCCATGTGCTCTGTGCACCAAACTTGGACGATGGTGCCACCGTACAGTTGAGCGTACACTTGAGCAAGCCGTAACATACTTCATCGTCGCCAGGATCGCCGATCGTGATGACTTCTTCATCATTCCCTTCTCATGTTAGTCTACGCTCGGGACAGTGTTGTTACGTCGTAAGCCTACCGTTTGTCAAATCAACAGTGGCTGTCTGTGGAAGTGCTGCGGCGTTTGAGTCCGCGTTCGCATCTTTGAGAGCTTGACCTAGTGCGCCACTGCCACTGGCATTTCGCATGGCGATTTTGCTTCGACCTGGCGAATCTTCTGAATCAACTTTGCGACGTTTGGCCTCAGAAACCTCTGAGCGATCCTGCACATTGTGTACCTTCTCGATCCAGTTGCCAGGACCTGCAAATGTGGTTGGGTGAGCAGACGCAGACTCAGAGCTGTATGAAGGCGTCGAGGCTCCAGATGTTGTCTCGTTAGGGTTTTCGAACTTGAAAAGCTGGGGACCGTTGGCATTGGCTTGCTGTGTGAGCCATGCGCTGCCTGCCTGTACTGTGGACAAGTCCGATGGCGTGCCTTGCTGTGAGGAAGCTGCTAGGTTGCGATTCGGTTGAAGCAGAGCAGCTGGATTCCATGATGGCGGCTTGGGTTGGCCTGCAATGTTAGCGTCAACGAGAGCATTCAGAGTGTAGCTGTGAAGTGGTGATGAATTTGAGTAGGTCAAGGTAGATTCTTTGGTTAGAACCGCATGATCTTGATTCGCGACTGGTGCTGATGATGCTCGGGACTGGGCAGTGGTGGTGGTGATTGGCGTACCATTTGTCGCCATGATTCGAGGGTGAGGCGCCGAAGCATTCGTCTTGAACGCTCTGATCCGCCGAATGGAGGAAAGATGATAGAAAGTGAGCCTAGACCTCCAAGCCCTTCCCTATGATCATGCGCGTTGTTGAATGTTGTAATATCATAAGAGTGATACCGCGATGGCGTGAAGATGTGATGAGCGTGCGTTTGTGGGCGAAGAAAGCGAGAGAAAATGATGTTGGAGGCCGCTAGAGGATCTATTGTGCAGAAAGAAAAGTTTCGTTGCTAATCATGAATCCAGAGGAATAATCGAGTTACTTCGAACTCAGTGCCTAGCTCAAGTGCGTACAATGCGGTGCGAAGGGATGAATAACGACTGGAGCTAGCAGCAGGCCGGGGTGGAGGGCGAATAATAGAGGTGGGCAGAATTATAAAATGCTCCTGAAAGGGTGAGAGTTTCAAGGATGAAAAGAGCATGCGCAAAAGGTCCAGACAATATATGACTCTTCTTTGAGGCTGGTGGCATCTGAGAACTCTTCGCCCAGGCGCTGCATGAAAGCTCGTGAAGATGATGTGCTGCGATCAGCAGCGAGGGAAAGCGCGGGTAGTAGCGCTTGCCTGCAGTCGCAAGCCATTGATGCTGGTCACCTGCACGGCAGTGTTTTAAAGGTGGTGTGGGGCCCTCCGTTGCCGCCAGTCACCCGTTCCCCTGGCTGGAGCGACGAGCGCAGCAAGCACGTGAGCAGCTTGCCAACAGCCTGACGTATTTCACATGTTTTTGAAGCCGTTGGCCATGTTCGATTTCATCTAATTACTCCATAGAGACGTACCTTACGCATATTAAGTATTACGTAATACCCATCGACCTCTTCGACCGTAGCTACCATGTATGTCCGTGATGGTGATATTGATGCTTCAAGTGTCCTGTATTGAAGGTTCACTGACATCTACGCCACAGATGGATGAGAGACCAAAAAGGACCAAATATAGCTTGCGTAAAAACCAAATGCTCTTTTAGGGCAACACAAGCCAAGATCCAAGTACCTCGATAAACACTCGCCGTATCATCTCACATCGACTCGACAGACCCTTGTCATGAGATTACATAAGCAAAAGCGACTTGCTGCCCCGCCATTGAGTGCTCAGGCTCGCCCCTCGCCCAGCACAACCACACGTATTGAACTTCCGTTAGATCCCAAAATCTCAAGAAAGCGACGTCGTCACCGTCATACATGCGGCGACCATGGACATTACAACTTTCGTGGTCCAAGGACGCGACAAGGCTCTTCTGTATGGGGATTATTCGACATACCATTCACAATGCTCCAAACGTCTTCTAAGCTGTCGCGCGAAGATTGGCATCGTGACGAAGAACCGGGGTAAATTCCACAAGCCGGAGCATCTCACAGCTGAGCACATTGGCGAAAACAGAGAGTAAACACTAGGCCGCGCCACGGAAACTTGCACTCATGCTGACCTGCGTGTAGATATGTTCACCTTCTTTTGCTCACCAGCGAGCGCGCATGGGCGCAAGCCATGGGCATGAAATCCTCTCACGCGTCCGACGACAAGGGGCTCAACAGCCACGCTCGATCTCACGTTGTCTCTCGACTCACCAAAGCCGCTCGTGCAGCTGAGGAGCTCGTCGAAGCGCTCGGTGCGACCGACGAGTCTGGCGCGTCCACGACCGATGTCCTCGAGGCTCAAGCCTATGCAGCTATGATTCAAGCTGCTATGTGTTTCGAGAAGCATAGTTGGGAGGCATGCCTACGCAATTACGCTACCGCTTGGGTCGTATACAGTGCGCTGCAGTCTTCCACCAAAACCGATATCTACAAGGAGCTTCTTTCGGAGACTATCGATCCATCGATTCGCTACGCCGCTTACCAGCTGAAAACTCCTCGAACCACCCCAATCCCCGTCATCGCGCACAAAGCCTTTCCTCAATCCGACAGTGCATTGGTCGAGAACGTCAATCAGCTCGATCCTACCATCTTGAAGCAGGCGGACGCATCTCAGGACGCGAAAGACGGCGAAAGCATTCCCCAGACGCTGACATGGAGGTCTCGAGAAGTCAAGATCGAGGACGCGCAGATTGCCGAGGCCTGGGCCGCCGTGATACAAGCAAAGAAGACATTGTCGGAGAAGGTCAAAGAAATCGACGATGATCATCACTTTGAGAAGGCTGCTGCGTACGATGAGATCCTTGCCGCGACTGGCGATGCCGTCGATGCAACGAAAACCGCTATCGATGAGCTACGCGCCGAAGGGGTCGGCTCAGGCGATCCCCGCATGCAAAGTCTACAGATCACACGCACCGCTGTGAACTATGAGATGGTCAGCTGGCGAATCGGCCGCAACCGCGTTCTGACGGGCGGCGATGATGGCGCCGCAGAGCGCTACGGACACGGCAGGAGGCGGAGAAACAAGGCCAAGGCCAAGGATGAGCCTCTCAAGGATGAAAGAGAGCTGCCAACTTCGAAGAAACTCCACAAGCTCAAGGAAAAGGTGGCACTGTATGACGGAACACTTCAAAACTTGCGGACTATCAAGGAATTGCCCGGTGTGGCGGCGGATGAGGAACTGGCGGCCAAGCTCGATGCTTCCGTTAAGTACTTTGAAGCACTCTCGTAAGTTGTCCAGATTCTGATCTCTTGCGTGCCGCGGCTAATGTGTCCAGCAACCTCTCTATTGCCCGCTCCCACTCACTGGTGGGCAACGTCACGAATGCTCTTGCTCTCATCAACCACTCTCTCAAACTCAGCGAGCAGGCTTCGAGCCGGATGCCCAACCTCGCACATGATCCAACAAGGCCAGTGAACGTTGACGTGTCCGCCGAATCGATTGCGAGCCTCTCGGCGCTGCTGACCGGGGAACTCCAGCGCCACCGTGCCATCGTTCACATCGACAACATCCGCAAGGAAGAGATCGCAAACGCTCACTCAGGCTCGGCACCTTCAGCGGCCAAAGTCCCTCTTGTGGATCGTCTCTACGACTATCCCATAGGAGGCGTCGACTTGGCCAACGTTGTCGAGTTTCCGCCCAAAAGGGCCCTCATTCCCGTCAAGCCCATCTTCCTGGACGTCGCTTGGAATTACATTGGATATCCTGGCAAGGATCCGTTGGCCGCATCCGATGTCAAGGCCCAGAGTGCGCCGTCTGCAACGGGCGAACAGGTGGAGCAGAAGCCAGAAGAGAAGCAATCCGCCAAGAGAGGTTGGTTTGGCTTTGGCCGGTCGTAGACCACTTGCTAGGTGAACAAATACGAAGTCCAGTCATCAAGACGTGGCACAGAAGTGCACATGTGTAGCAAACGGGGAACATGCAGAAGCTGTCGGGTTTCCAAGATTTATAAGTGACTGACACGCGTACTTCCCGAGTGTATAATCACAAAGTACACTTGACGGCTATGGTAGGAGTGAGGAGGAGGGAAGGTAAAATTATCATCTAGCTTGGCTTTTTGTACAAGTAATTCAAACCACTCCGTCGGAGACCATTGCCCAAAAATCTCATAATACAATTCATTGGTTCCTCGGAACTAAGTTTTGATGCACCAACGCCAATCCGCCAACCGTGGTATTAAAAGCAAGCGCAAACATATAACGCAAAGGTAGGGCGGAAGTATGAGTACAGGATAGATACATCGAGCGGCAAGGCGATCCTCAGCACGCCGCTCATATTCTCACAAACATTGGAAACATAAGCATGAGCTTGGTCAAGACGTGGCAAGCTTTAAGGCTTGTTCTCGTCCTTCTTCTCACCCTCCTTGGGCTGCTCCTGCTCCTGCTGCTGCTCGCCAGCCTCGTTGCGGGCCTTGTGCATCTTGTCGAAGAGGTTCAAGCTGGCCATCTGAAGCTCATCGGTCTTCTCCTTGATCTCAGTAGAGGTGGCGGTGCCCTCGCCAGCCTGGCTGGTGGCGATGAACTCGCGGAGAGAGGTGATCTTCTCCTTGATGCCGTCGGCCTCGGCCTTGTCGAGCTTGTCGGCATACTCGTTCAGAGCGCGCTCAGTGTCGTTGAGAACACTATCAGCACGGTTGGCAGCCTCAATGGCCGCCTTGCGGTCCTTGTCGGCCTCGGCGTACTTCTCGGAGTCCTCGACCATCTGCTCAATCTCCTTGTCGGAGAGACCAGAGCCTGAGGCGATGGTGATGGACTGGTCCTTGTTGGTGGACTTGTCCTTGGCGTGGACGTGCACAATGGAGTCGGCATCAATGTCGAAGGTAACCTCGACCTGAGGAACACCGCGGTGGGCAGGGGGGATGCCAACCAGCTGGAAGTTGCCGAGCATCTTGTTGTCCTTGACAAGCTCACGCTCACCCTGGTAGACCTTGATCTCGACGGCAGTCTGGAAATCGGCAGCAGTGGAGAAGACCTGCGACTTCTTGGTGGGAATGGTGGTGTTGCGGTTGATCAGACGAGTGAAGACGCCACCGAGTGTCTCGATACCCAGGGACAGAGGGGTAACATCGAGCAAGAGGAGATCCTTGACCTCACCAGACAGAACAGCACCCTGGATAGCAGCACCGATGGCGACAGCCTCATCAGGGTTGACAGACTTGGCGGGATCACGGCCGAAGATGCTCTTGACGGACTCGCTGACCTTGGGCATGCGGGTCATACCACCAACAAGGATGACCTCCTGAATGTCCTTGGCCTGGAGGTTGGCATCCTTGAGAGCCTTGCGGACGGGGTCAATGGTGCGGCTGATGAGAGGATCAACCATCTTCTCGAGCTGAGCACGGGTAAGCTTCATGTTGATGTGCTTAGGGCCGGAAGCGTCAGCGGTGATGAAGGGAAGGTTGATGTCAGTCTGGAGAGAAGAGGATAATTCAATCTTGGCCTTCTCGGCAGCCTCACGGATACGCTGGATAGCCATGCGGTCACCAGACAAGTCAATGCTGGAGGTCTTCTTGAAGTCCTCAACCATATGGCGGACGAGGTGGATGTCGAAATCTTCGCCACCAAGGTGGGTGTCACCGTTGGTAGCCTTGACCTCAAAGACACCGTTCTGGATCTCGAGAATGGAGATATCAAAGGTACCACCACCAAGATCATAGACAGCGACGACGCGGTCGGCCTCCTTCTCAAGGCCGTAGGCCAGAGCGGCAGCGGTAGGCTCGTTGACCACACGGAGGACCTTGAGGCCAGCAATCTGACCAGCATCCTTGGTGGACTGACGCTGAGAGTCATTGAAGTAGGCAGGAACAGTGACGACGGCGTTCTTGACCTTCTTGGACAAATAGGCCTCAGCAGTCTCCTTCATCTTGTTGAGAACGAAGCCACCGATCTGGGATGGCGAGTAGTTTTGGCCACGGGCAGCTACCCAAGCATCACCGTTGGTGTGCTGGACAATCTTGTAAGGGACCTCCTTGATATCACGTTGAACCTCAACATCGCTGAACTTGCGTCCTATTAAACGCTTGGTGGCGAAGAGAGTGTTCTCAGGGTTGACGACGGCCTGGCGCTTGGCGGCGACGCCGACAAGACGCTCACCGTCCTCGGCGAAAGCGACGACGGAAGGAGTGGTACGGGCACCTTCGGCGTTCTCGATGATCTTGGGGACCTTGCCCTCCATGATGGCAACTGCCGAGTTTGTGGTTCCCAAGTCGATACCGATCACGCTGCCTTGCACCTTCTCGCCCTCGCCGGTGTTTGTGGACTCATAGCGAGCGAACTTGGCGCCGAGAGGGGCGCGAGTGAAAGCTGATGAGCGAGCAGCGATGGGCGAAGCCCTGGGCAGCTGGATAGATCATGTCAGCTTCTGATTCGGGCGCATTGATGCGAAGGTTGTCGCGATGAGTGCGGCGCGTAACTTACAGCTCGGGAGAAGCGCGAGGCGAGCATATTGGTTGTGTGATTAAGGGTATACTATTGAAAACAACAAGAAGAGAGAAGATGAAGGCGCGCGTGATGGGGAGGGAGAAGTTGAGGAAGATGATGGAAAATACAGGTGTGATAATAGAGGATGGGAAGGAATAATGAGAAAGGGATCGGGACAGTGAAAGTTTTTGACCCGAGGAAAATTAGGTCCCCGTCATGGAAACCGAAGGAAAGAAGACGTGAGCAATCAGAGGCCGCAGCGTCGCGAATGAGGGTCCACCTTACCTCCTGCACAGGCTGCACTTTCCGCCGCGACTCCCCGGCTATCCCCGGACTAATGTCGGCCCAGCCAGTGGCAGGTCCAGTCGACGCACCAGCCACTGCGACAGCTTGTTGCTGTTGACGGACAAGCGCGAGATGACCCTCGGTCGAAAGGTAAGACAATATGAGATCGTGGAAGCATCAAAGCCATTGAGTTTCTAATTGCCTTTGCCTATTGTACCTTGATCCTGCGCGAATCTGACTGTAAGTACGTATATAGCAGCAGAGAGTCCCGCTCAGCTGGCTCGAGCCTAATTACGCTGGCGGCGTCCAACTGGAGAAGAGCCTCGGACGTCATCTGCCGCCTTCACAACAACACTTCACACCGTAGTAGGGTACCTTATATACACTTTCCTCACTCCACCCTCTTCATGCCACTTGCCCCTTCGCCCCCAGTCTACGTAGGTACGGAACATCCGCGTTTCGCTTCGCCAAAACAAGCCTGGGCTCTATAATATTATACCTTACTTGCGCAGTGCATCCGCCTTGTCCATCAACGGTTACTGTACCGCCTACGACCGAGCACCAGCTTCACGGCCGAATATCCAAGTCCATGATCGGCGCTGCGCAGTCTACTGCATGTCCCGCCATCTGGTATAATCACAACTACCCTGCGAATAATCATCGACTCGACTAAACCAATCCCCAGAGGATGGCCGTGACGGACGATGGCTTGTTTGTCCCACTTTGCCGATCCCAAGCGAACAGCCGTGAACGCCCAGTTTACTGATCATCTCTATGGCAGGCACTTTCCAAGTCAAGGCCTCGTCCTGAAGCAAGGACGAAAACAATACCGCACGCCTGTGCGCTCTTTGTTCGTGGCGTCTTGCGGTTTCTGGTACACCAACTGACTGGGCTCTAGACATTGGCAATTGCGATCCCTGATAAGCGCCGACAAACACAATATTGTATACCTTCCCGGTGGACACGACAGAAATCAAGTCTTGCGTCTGAACACTGCGACCTGCGAATGCGATCCTGTCAAGCTCCTGCCCTTCACTCCGCGATGTCTCGTATCCAACGGGACGTGGTTATGCTGCGGTGGCGAGCGCGGGGAATTCGTATCCATGAACCTAGACGCTACTACGAGTAACGATTTGGCCGCGGGGCTCGGCGATGCATTAGGCCTCGAACTCGATCCCGAAAGTCGACTACCGTTCGGTTTTACAACAGCGGATGCGGAGTCGATATCGGGCTTACTTGCACACGGGCAAAGGTCGACCAAAAGCTTCATTGCGAAGAGTGCCAAGTTGACGACCAAGGGAGATCGAATCAACGGCATCACAATTTGGTCGCCGTCGGGGCGAGTCAAAACACACGACCGGGCATACACCTTCCCCGTTGCCGTTCTGGCGAACAATGACAGGACCGTCAAGATTGTCGGCCTCCATTCCTCGGAGGACAACGACAAGATCGAACCCCTAGCAACGATTCGGTATCCCGACTACGTCAATCGAGCAGTCATCTCGCCCGATGGGAACATTTTGGTTGCTGTGCTCGACGATCCCTACATGTACGTGCACGTACGGGCTGAAGATGGGTACTCGTGGGAGCTGAAGCACAGAATAATGCTCAAGAGCCAAAAGAAGGATGACGAGACCCCCATGAACGGAACGTTTGCCGCTTGCTTCTCTCCATCAGGGGCCTACCTAGCGGTCGGCACGCAACACGGATGTGTTTCCGTCTTCGATGCTCAGGACCTCCTCGAATGGGGTAGCGATGCCGTACTAAAAACTTTCGAGTCGTCCAGGCCCTGGACCGGCCACGGTGCTATTCGTGATATGGCGTTCTGCCCCGGACCGTACGATCTTCTAGCTTGGTCCGAGGATCGTGGTCGAGTTGGCCTGGCAGATCTCAGGAGTAATTGTGCAATCCGCCAGATTGTCGATATCAATAATCAAGCAGATTTTGAGCAGATCAACGTTTTGGATCGCAACACAGTCGACCCTAGACTACTGGACCGCCGAGGCGAGCAGCGCGGTTCAGCTTTAACCTCGTCGCTGGGCCACCTCTTTTGGTCTGACAACCTCAGACGGAACGAATCGGGGGAAGACCTAGTGGACTACCGAAACTATCCGCTGACGCCGAGCGATACTGAAGTTCTCGAATCCGTACAGAACGAACGCCGGAGACGGGAGTGGGCTAGGGACAGGGCTTCTCAGGCACGTGTGGAGCCCATGGCAGCCAGAGTACGTGACCTCGCATCGACACTTCGATACTCTGGAGGTCCGCGGCATGAGGACCTAACACCCCGGGAAGCTGGCACGCTCAACCCTAGCATCAATCGGGTGGCAGATCTCCTAGGGAACTTTCGCGAACAGCGAGCAAACGTCCGTGTACGAACTACGGGTCGTTTGTACCGCGATGTAGCTCGTGACAGCGGCACATCCTCCTCCAACTTGGGACAGCTACCACCGTCGACTCAGTGGGAACGGCCAAGAGTGGAGCGCTTAGATCCAGGGAATTCAGTACGAGGCCAGGAGCCATCTTGGATGGGCGTGCTCGATCAGGTCAATGCACGTCAGCGAGAGCGAGGCCCGAATGACGATGGCCCGGACCCTGTGGACATGTTGCGTGCTATCATTCAGCAGCGCGAAGACAATCCCACCCGCGAGACACCAGACATGAGTGTGCAGGACGGGCCGCCCTGCGATGACCATACCGCAGGCCTGGCCTGGAGCGCGGATGGACGTAAATTGTGAGTCAATCCAAAGGGCCATCTTCGTCCTGAAAGGATATTGACTAGTCGTAGCTATTTGGCCGCCTACAATGGCATTTACGAATTCAAGCTTGACCTGCTTGGAAGGATGTTGTCACCGAGCATTTGCCTTCGCTAAATCGAACAGAGGCTGGCCAAAGGCCACAGGCAAAGGTTTTCTTTTGTTTATGAGAACGAAGTTTACGACACTGTTAGCGATCAGGCGCATAGGAGCCACAGATGCTGGAAACATTGGTTTGGATGGTTTCACTCTATTACTTCAGCGCGAGGACCTTGTCTTGGTATAATCTCTCACTATTGAAGCTGCCATGGTTGCTTGTCTTCCGCGCCTCATGTGGTGACATTACCATACATTAGTTTCTCGACTTGTTCGCCAATCGCCAGCGAACTAGTCAAGCCGGGGCTTTCGATGCCCAAGAGGTTGACCCATCCCTCGTAGCCACTCTCTTTCCGGATCACAAAGTCCTGAAACCCTTTGCCTGTGGCGACAGCCTGACGATGCGCCAGCTTTGGGCGAATGCCAGCGTAATCAGGCTTTAAGCTATCCACATCGACGCCAGGCAGAAACCTCTTGATCTCTCTCACGGCTTGTTCGAACCGCGACGTGTTGACAGACAGATCGTTCGGGTCGTCTACCCATTCCACATCCGGGCCAAACTTCAATCTGCCCCCCAGGTCCAAGGTCAGGTGTGTACCCAGCCCTCCGAGGCCGGGCTCTGGAGCCGGGTAGATGAGCCTTGAGACTTTGGGGTGCGAGGACCCGTAGGAGAAGTAGTTGCCTTTGGCGTAGTACAGCGTCTTCTTGTCTGTATCCGGCACGATCATGTTGTGGACCTCCACAGCTCCCAGCCCAGCAGCGTTGACAATCGTCTCCGTCGTGACGGTCGATGTCTCGCCCGTGGTCCCATCCATGACCTCCACTTCCCATCCCGACGCGCCCTTGTCCCCAAGAGGTGTGATCCTTTGCACCGGTGAGTTCAACGCTACCACGCCACCATTCTCCTCGAAGAGGCCTTGGAGCGTGATCATCAACCCGTGTGAATCTACAATGCCCGTGGTAGGACTCTCGAGGCAGCCCTTTTCAGCGCGGACACCTTCTCCCTCGCGCGCAATCTCCTCCTGGCTGACCCACCGGACAGGAACGCCAATCTCCTCCCTGCAGTGCTTCTCAATACTGTGCAGCGCGGTCATCTGCTCATCGTTCTGCGCCACGATCCATTTACCCGTGTTTTTGAATCCGACGTCATGCCTCTTGCACAGCTCGTACAGCAGATTCTTCCCCCGCACACAGAGGGATGTCTTCATGGTGTCGGTGCCATAGTAGATGCCGGCATGGATGACCTCGGAGTTGCGCGACGATGTCTCCGTTCCCACGGCCGGGTGACGCTCAATGAGGAGAGTGCTGCTCGGGGAGGAGGATGGCAAAGATGAGCGGCGCGTCAGCTGCCGAGCGATGGCGAGACCAACGACGCCACCTCCTACGACCTACGCTTCCTCAGTAGGGAGTCGCATGCTGGAGATGGAGAGGAAGGGACAGTCATACCACATGCGTAAAGTCGGCTTTTCGAGCCGCTGTCGAGCTAAAAGTAGATTTCTGATGAGCAGAGGCAATTGCTCTTGGGAGACCTCTGACGCTTGTTGTTAATATCATTGTGCTGATGAACGACAGGGGATGAAGGTCGGGAACCCGGGCTTGAAGATGCCTAGACCGGTTATGGTTATGTCGTCAAAGAGAGAAGCGGGATCCGTCCGTATGCCGGCGAGCACCGCCAAGTCGCACTACGTAGAAGTATTCACACAGAGAACATCTACCCAGTCAATACAAAGTCGGCCACGTTAAGTCTTGAGAAGCAGACGATTGACTATCAAAACGCGCGACGGGCTGTCCCGTTGTATGTTCCGAGGACTGACTGAGGGTCGGTAACATTGATACTGTATGTCGGCTGGCGCCCATGGCGACGTGCCAACGTTCCTTAACTGAGGTATGGCGCCAGGAAGTCCATCTGATAATCCACAATTCGGCAATGTCATTTTCATCATCATATAGTCATCGGCGTCTCTTCTCACGGCTCGTTTACCGGCGTCGAGGTCGACAGGAAATCCGTCCAATTCCTTGTCCTCGCGTTCCCTACCCTACTAAGTAAGCGTGGCGCAAGTGCGTCGCGCGGCTCTGGCATCATCTCCGATCTTGTCGGTGATAGAACGAAACCCTCAATCACCCTTATTCCCCTCCTCAGACGCATCGGCTTCTGCCACGTTACTGGTCGACCGCATCAACGATGACTGCATCGATGGTGCGTTGCTCGCAGCACCTCCGCCTGAAACTTCCGAGAGTTGCTTTTCTTCATGCAGTCAGTGATAAAATCCCCGCGACCCGGGATGGATGTGACATACCTAACTCGCGAATCCGGTGTCGGAGCATCTGATTCTCCCGGGTGAGCATCTGCGTCTCAGCCTGGTAGAATGCGCTCTCATCTCTGCCACCAAGCGCCCAGTCACCGCTCTCTTGACTGATTGAAGTAGACCTCAGTCTTGGGGACGCGCCACGGCTAGGGGTTCGTGATCGCCGGTGCAGGTCTGCTCTCGTCAGATCGCCTCCAGACATACGGTTATGTCGGAAACTGGGTGATCGCGAATATGAGCTTGGAGGTGCCGCGTGCTGCAGCGACTGCTGTGAGCCTTGTTGGGGGATGGGCGTTCCCTGGATCGAGCGCTCCGACACTGCGCTGCTATTCTCGGCGAGAGCGGATGGGTTGCTCTCCCGGAGACGACTCAGTTCGAGCTGTTGCTGTCGGATTTGCTGAAGCAACCGATTCTGGACGTCTAGGTCAGTTCCGGGGTCAAAGATCACGGCCGTACGAGGACTCACTACTTGTGCCTCTTGCTCTGCTTCGAGCTCCTGGTGCAGCTCACCAAGGCTAGGCGCCCTATGATGGTGAGGATCGGCTGTGCTAGGAGATGCCGCGCCAAGCTGTGGACTGACAGCATGACTGTGCTGCTCGCTTACCATCTCTCCCGGTGCAGGCATCGTGGGGTCGTTGTGCTGTAGATTCATGAGGATGGATCGGCGGCGGCCTAGCTGATTGGGGGACTGATGGCCACGCAATGAGCTGTTCGAAGAGCCTAAGTGGTACCATCAGTTTGTGCTGTGTTCTCAGATGAAGTACACCCAGGAATCGTGGACACTCACGTCGCAATCCAGCGTTCAGGGTAGCGGCAGCCTGAAGCGAGACAGAAGCGGACGGGGGGGAACCGGGGGGCGACTCGTCGCGGGGTGTGGTATTGGCATCGTTATTAGAACCCGAGGACATTGCTGCGACGTGATGTACACCTGAAGGACAACCTGGGCTGGAATCTCGGCTTTGGTGCAGACGGGAGAAAGAGCAACCTGGTCAACGATGGAATTAAGAGGTCGTCGGAAAGCCAAAAAGTGGCGTGGTCAATCCTGCACGCGTGATCAATCGTCCGGCGTCGGATCAGGCCTTGTTCACTTGCTACTTATGATACCTGCTTGGTTGTGCACTCGGAATGCGCCGATGGCGACGGGCAGTCCAAAGCTTGGACGTGAGCCTCTGGTAGGTGTACTTGTCATCATGTTTAATTGACGCTACTGCCAGTGAAGTCAACTCGTGGTGGAAACGAGTTGAGTTTATTTAGTGACCATGTGAAGTGCAGGCACCCCGCTGTAGGATAGGTAGGTTGCTCGGACCGTTAGTCCCCTAACAATATCCGCACAAATAACAGCATGTGGCTGTCAGCTCCCCATCTTCTCAAGTTTGCCTATCAGGTTGCGGGAATGCAATGTCACAACGGAAGGATTCGTCACAGAACTTCCAAACTGTAGCAAATATCATTATAGAAACTTAGATCATGACACATGGTTTGTCTATCGTACCGGATGCCCCCGTATCACAAGCAGCGGCAGCTACGTACCTGACTACCTTACCCTATACTGCGTATATATCAACGCTTCTCCGTGTCGGTCGTGCTCACGTGCGTTACTGTTCGATACCAGGTATGCGTGCCAATCTTGGTCGTGCCGTAGACTTCGTTGGCGACAATGAGTCGTGATGGCGAATCGCTCAAGTTCTTGGGATTCCCCTGCATACGATGATACAAACGTCATCGCTGTGTTTGAGCATGGCAAAAGCTGCGTACAGAGAGTTTTGTAGCTCGTTATAATTGACAATAATATATAAACACAATCCCGAGAGGGAGACCTCTCAAAGCGGACTACATCAAGTCATGATTCGCCTAATAATTATTGAGCCCGGCAGCTTTGAAGTTGCTTGGATCCAAACCCGTTCACTCGCGCGCAGAGGGAAATTCTAGGTCAAAGCATGGATAGCGGGGGATTGTCGTCAGGGAAGATGGGAGACCTGTCACTTCTCGAGGCTTTGTCGCCGTCCACAGTATGATACAGGCCAGATCCGCGAAAGCGAGCTCCATGCTGGACGACTGGGTCTACGTGGAGTGATGCGAGTCTTGAATACTGAAACCTATAGATCGGTGAAGCTCATGACAACACTGTCAGAATTTTTGAGAGCCCTTGTGTGCAAGCACGGAACCAGATGGAGCTGGACAGGGGTTCCTTATTAGCCCGTTGGTGGAAAGGGAGGAAAAGAGGCATGTTGCTCAGCAGGCCGCCAATCCCGAGGACTTGCACGTAGTACACGAAGCCTAGACAAGGCCGTATTAAAATGACGACGCAAAGTCTAGAGCGTATGACGCCTACCGTTGAGTAAATAAATCGGCCTTGTGCGTCCGTATGACAAGGTGTAGGTAGCCTATCCGTACCACAACGGAGGACCACAAGGACATGGAGAGAGGAGAGAAAAGACATTGTCCTACAGTGTGTTTTTGTTTCTCAATACCGTGTGGATCAGCCTGGGAACTGACAGGGACGCTATTGACCGGGCGCCGCCCGCGGAACAGACGGCCCCCAGCATGCGCCCAAATTCTCGGGTCTGTGACTGCAGTCCATGTCCGTGGAGGAACATGAAATTTCACAAAGCCCGTGCGTGGTTGCACAAAGCCTGCGACTTTTGGTCGAAGTTGACGACGAGTCCTCGCGAAAGGCCTTTGGCCGGGTAAGTCGAGGAGCCGCGGCGGAATGATTGAGATGGCGAAGGTGTTTCGCGTTCCTGCATGCCGCTTGTTTCGTGCAGTACCTTAGCTTGGTTCCTGGATCGTGCATGATCGTGTGGTCGTGGGGCATAAAAATTGTTGGTGAGCATCTAGGCGGGCGCGTTTGGACAGCTGCTCCGTCTTCGGCAATTGGCGTAACCGATTCATTAGAGCCTAAATAAGAGTCAGCGGTCCCCCCCCCCATTACGGAGTTCTGGCGTACGGCCCACGGGATAACGCATAAGTGCCGTAGCGGCACTCCGAGCGCTGATTCAAGCCAAGTGGCACAAGCACACGCCTTCTGCTCGTCAACTTGTAGACCAGTACGTAGTGATGGTAATTAATAAGTAAGAAGTAGAGTAGACTGCAAGTGTCGACTTTCTGCCCGAAGCGCATCGGCGAGCAAAAGGAAACGAAGAGACCAGCAACCGATCGGGAAGGGACCCCGACAACATTCTACTAGTCTATTTTAGGTGCTCAAGATACACCTAACGTAACCCACTCTTTAGGGACCAGACTCATCGATCGAGAAAACCTGACCTATGATTTCATGAAATGGGAACTTGGAAGATTTTAGTTCGATGTTAATCAATGCGGAAGCCTCGGAGCACTGCCTGCTGGCGAGCGACGATGCGCATGAGCGACAATTGTCATGCGTGTCTCTGCCAAATGACTTACGCAAGTCCGAAGTCGCTATAATACGGTACGTAAGGCGAGATGGCAATTTCGACAGGGTATATCTGCAAGACGCGTCCGCCTAATTTTATCTTGTCGCCTCGTGATAATGCGGGCCTATGATTTGATACGAGTCTTACTGTACTTTTCTGTCGTCTGAATAACATTGGATAAAACGCGATGCATCGTGGGAATCCCAGTCGCGTCGAGCAACCACTCACGCAAACCTGAACGGTAGCCCCGCGATGCGAAGTAGTAGCTACATCCGTAGACGCGGGCAACTAAACACTAACTACTAGTACTTGACGAGCCTGGCCTTTTAGGCCTCCACGTCACTTTAGAGGAACCTCCTGTGACTTTGTCTTCCACGAATGACTTATAGATTGTAAGACAGTGTATCGACTTGTACTTACGCGGCCGTGCAAACCCGTCGCAGCAGTCACACAGTCACACAGACTGGATCTGGACGGCGGACGCTGGCGGAGGCTACTTGCGCACTAACCGAGACCCCCGGTAGCGCTCCCCTTTCACGTGGGTCAGGGAGGCACAACCTGGTCAAGGCAGTCGCAACCTTGCACGAACGGCAGGGACGCCCACAGTCGCTCCCGTCAGTCTGACAGCCTGAGATGGTCAATGCTGGGAGGTGCAACGAGGCAGGAGCTGTGCCGTCTCATTCCAGTCACTGAGGGTATCCTCCTCTCCCTTTCTTTCTCATGTTGTAATCCTTCGTTGATCGTGTACATCTCATCACAAACCATTCTATCCTTAAAACAAATTGTCGCTCATTTCAATTTGCTCGTTTCCATTTGCGTCATAGGCCGAGCGCCACAGTAACACCGTCTTCCGACATTGCCATTCACAACTACGGATAGCTGACCTCACAACCTCGACGACTCGCCCCTTTGTCTCCAGTCTGAATCGCATCACAGGCTGTTGAGTTCCTGGCCCAAGGAAACGCCCTAGGATTTCTAATCGACTAGCGACCACATTGCGTGCTTTCTCAGCGCGCTAACAGCAATATCGGCGCATCGGTGGAGGATCGCTAGACCCTCCGTTCAAACCTTCTTTCACCCGTAGACTGCCACGGGCCGCGTTTCGACCTCTCCACGGCAATCTGCCACGCGCTTTTCGATTTCGCTTCACCTTCAAACCGAGTTCGTCGCGCCAGTTTCATTTGTATGGCAAAGTCGCTTGGTTTGCCTTGACAATCTTGTTTCATTCGTTTCAAGGCGACACTGTCGATTGCCCGACGTCGCGCATATTTGTGGCGTACCATGCGCCTTGCGCTGGGTTTCTTGAAGCTTTAAAACACTTCCAGCGAACAGTACGACACTGATCCTCACCTTCGACAAGCACAAGCCCAGCACGGGTTACATTGAGCCCTTGCGCATCGAAAAATATGGCGACCATAGCCACCATGCCACATGCGCCGGAGCCCGACAACATCGACACGATCCGATGGCGGCCAGGTCAACAGCCTATTGACCTACCGATCACCGAAGAAAAGAGAATTACGGATACTGTATCACCATCTCGCAACGAAAAACTAGCACGGAGGGAGTCGCGGCTGGGGCTGAGGAGCATTTTTGGGCGCACCAAACCAGCTCGACACTTAGATACCCCAGTCACCCAGCATGTGTCAAAATTGCCCGGCCAGCCCTCGAGTCCGAGTGGTACCGCAACGCAAGGCATTCCCTACTGCAGCCTGCCACCTGGAAGGCCGATCGTAAGAGGTCAAGTCTCTCGACCTCTTTCAGTCACCGCTGAGGATGTTGAGAGTTTGCCGCCTTTGTCAGCAGACGCAGATGAGACATCGAAATCCAAAACACCCGTAGGAAAGTCAGGCAAAGCCGGTTCCCAGTCATGGCAGGTGCCACCTTTTCACAAGGCATGCCCAGAGGCCGCACAGCACTCGAATCTGCCCGCCACGACTGTACCGGCCGACCTGATTATGAGGTCTCACGAACGGAAGGCAGCCGAAGCAGCACTTGAACTCAACAATGAACAGGCAGCGGCAGCCGATAAAGCAAACAGCAGGAAGAAGCCCCGAAGAAACCGGTCTGGGACGGTTTCAGATGCCGACTGGACGACGAAAACGTACATCTTGCTCGAGTCCGGCCATCTGCTCGAGTACGCCCAGGAAGGACCTTTCGACCGCATGCCTGAGAAAGTGCTGCGTCTCAACCGCAGTTCGGCAGCCTTTGCTAGCGACTTGATCCCTGGGCGTCACTGGGTACTACAAGTTTCTTCAATCATGGGTGCCGAGGGCGCAACGATGACCGACGCGAACAGAGGCCTTTTCTCGAGGCTCCCCTTTCGTGGTGGGCATGACAAGCGACATGCTGCGAATATGCTCCTTGTTTTTGAAAGCGCGGACGACATGGACTCCTGGCTGGTCAACCTGCGGTCGGTGATCGAGCTACAGGGAGGCAAGAAGACGCTTACAGAGACTGGTGCGCCAAAATTGGAGCCAGCCACTCCCCTGCGGGAGCAAACTAGCCAGCGCACACTTCTCGTTCGGGAGCACGACCGCCATTCCAGGAGTATACCGGAAATCCAGGCTTGTGAACAGGACAGTGCGCGGCGCGAGAGCAGCGACATATCGGCTGTTCCCTCGTTGACCCTGCGGGACCGATCTCTAGATGGCATGTCGGCGACGAACAGTGTCGTTTCCCATGACGGACACCAACTAGACAGCCTGCGTAGCAGCGCCAACAGACTATCGTGTATCTCGTCGGGGCAAAGGACGATGGTCACCTCCGCTGGCTCCTCCCCAGCATGCTCGCCCACGACTGACAATTTCCCATCGCCAGTGGAGGAGCCCACGAGGCGTCACCCTGAGGCCAGCAATAGCGACTCGAGGTTGCGACCGAACGCGACAGCCATCGTGGATCGACGGAAGTCCTTGCAGACCATGTCCCCGTTTGTTGTGGAACCCCAGTCTCATACACCGGCGCAATCACAAAGACCTCAACCTTCGCTCATCGGCGCAACGGCGTCAGGCTTTGCAGGGCATGTGGTGGCCCCCAACTTCAGTGTCCCGCATTCCTCCAACCGCCGCTTTTCTACAGCACGACTACCGACTGCGGACGCGTCGTCACATGTGCAGCCTACGCCAGTTATATTCGAGCAAGCCGAGTCTCCGGCCCCATCGCGCACGGCATTGCGGAAATCACCGGCGGCTATTCGTACATCCCGCCCCCTTTCCATGGTGCTAGACCAGTCGACGCCCCGAGAAGATGAACCGGGGCGCCCAGCGACTCGTCATGGCGATAGCTTGAAGGCTAGCCAGGCTAAGGAGGAGACCCTGCCAATGCCGACGCACAGATCTGAGGCGGGAGTGAGAGACGTCCATTCCCCCACGCTGGGGGCACTTGACCCAGTCCGGCCAGCGAGCCCAACCCTGCCTCAGCAGACCACGTTGAGGACGAGCCCTAGCCGGCTGTCGAGCATGGGAGCTTTGCGCGGCCATGGCGATGCGACTTGGCTCGGGCGACTGCGGCCCCTGGCTTCATCGCAAACGCGAACGTCGGATCCAGACAGGTGCCATTCGACAATCGTGACGTACGACCGTGCCAAGACATTCGCACAGATGCCAGGACGACTGGCGAAGAGAGCCAGTATGATGTCGACACCCAGTAGCTTCTCTCACTCACCTCCCACTGCGCCGCCACCTAGCACGCCACTGCCCCGGATTCCTCAAACAGGCAGTCGACCGAAGACAGATGACAATGCACATGCTCTGTTCAACAGACGGAGCATGCCGCAGCTCAGCGAGGGCCCGCCGCCGATGCCTCCACCAACATGCGCTTTACCACCTATTCCACAGAAGGTTCTGCAGGACCACGCTGTTCAAAACAGCCATACGGCTCTCATGTCTACCATTGTGGACAACGAAAACGATCACAACTTCTTCTAGATTATGTGTGGACAACCTGTTTCTCTTTCTTCACGGCAATGACGCCACACCAAATTTCTCATGTCTGTTCAATACGCAGGAGAGGGGATTGGAATTAAGCGGTTATCTGGTCAGGTTTCAGGAGTCGAGGACTATAAAATGGGCACTGACGAAAAAGTCTGGATAATGGTTGCTTTTACGAAGAAGCATAGATGCTCCTCTCAAGGAGTAATGATACCCGCTGTTGCAGACAGCTTGATTGACGACGAAGCCTCGGGGCCTTATTGATACTTTGGCCTGTGTGCGAATGCATCTGTTCATCGACTTTTGCAGCCCTAGTCGATATGTCCATGTAATGTCGCCAGTAATCACAAGTACGAAGGGATGGTGACTGGTATCAGTGACTTACCCTAAAAGTAAATACATGTGGCTGGTAAGCAAGCCTTCCTCCCCGTTGCCCCGCACCGCCATCATTCTGCCTCTTGTCCTTCCCAATTCCGTCCCGGTCGGTCTGTCACCAACGAATCTCACCTGCAGGAACGACTAACTGGGCTTGCGCAAGCATCTCCCCTGCCACATCATCCAGGGCCGCCTTCTCTCTTCTTTCCTCATCGCGAACGATCAACCGCATTGCATCCACATTGTAATGCCCACGCATCCTGGTCTCATCTTCAATCCAAAGTCCGACGACTCCACGCACACAGACGATTGAACGATATGCGCGACGAGGAAACCCCTTAGACGACGACCACCAGACGCTTCTCCAGGAAGTGGACTGACGTGAGGGAGACGGGGGCTCACCATCACGAGGCTCACCCAGAAGCAAACACCAGGAACACTGCTGGGCTACGTATCGATTCTATTCTGTTACCACGCATCATCATCCGTTATCACCGGTGGCACCCACCGCCATCATGCCGCCCACACTCCTGCTCCCGCGACAGTCGACCAGCGACGGCGACACCCTCATCATCCCCTCCACCTACGGCGCGCTGCACTCGTCTCTCCACCCAGGTATCATCGCCGGCATCGTAATCGGCTCCGTCACCGGTTTCCTCCTCCTCCTGCTCCTCATATACTCCTGTCTCGGTTTCGGGCCCCTGGTCTCGGCGAACAAGGTCGTCGTCGAGGAGGAGGAGGTGGAGGAGCCGCGACCGCGCTCCTCCAGGAAGAAGCATCGCCATCGTCGACGGGGCAGCGCCAACGTGCGTGTCCGAGAGCGGGTCGAGGTCCGGACGAGATCAGGCGGACGGGGGGGCGATGGCCCCGTGATTGTAGAAGCGCCGGGGCCCGCGTCGGACTCTGACGAGGAGGATGAGGTGGTCGTTATCGAGGAGCATGACACGCCGCCGCCGAGGCGGGCGAGTCGACGAGGGACGGGCGGCAGGGTGTATCGGGACGTGGATGTCGAGGAGATGAGAGAGCACAGAGGGTCTAGGAGGAGTCGAGATTACTGAGCAGAGTTTGGAAAGCGAGCGAGCTTTGTTTTTGATATTTAGCGGCTGTGATATATAGTTTTGAGATGTCAATATGATCTTCACGTCCATCGGGATGAATGCAACCGCAAAACACAGATTCACCCCATTTTTTCTTCTTCCTCTTCTCCGTCGCTAAATGGAGACACGCTCAGGGTTTACAGACCCATGTTCCCGTTGGGGCCCCCTCCGCCTTGCTGTTGTGCGCCAAAGAAAAAAGTATCAAACGGGTTCATCTGCTGATTGTCCCCATAGTCATTCGGCAGGCCTTCCCAGTTGATGCCAAAGCCAAGATCGACCTGCGCCTGGTCGACGCTGCTGCCCATGTCGCCGCCGTTGGGCGCGGCGCCGAGGCTCTGTAAGAAATCCATGGTCGGCGTGTCCGGGTAGTCCATGGAGCCCTGGAGCCCAAACTGCTGTCCCATGAACGCATTGTTATTGTTGTTCCCTGCGGGGTGCGAGTGGAGGCGCCGCAGCGGTGGCGGTTGGGGCGGCTGCCGTTGGCTGTTGTTGGGTTCCTGCTTGATGCTAGACGCGGGACTCACCGCGTGGTTGTCCTGCGAAGTCATCATGTACTCATTGTCGTAGCCACGTGCAGCAACAGCAGCAGCCGCCTGCTGCGACAGGGCCGGCGAGTGCTTGGAAGCCACGTCACCGCCTTGCACAGACATGGTGGGCGAGGACAGTGTGTCCGAGAGGGAGAGGTCAAAATGAAAAGGCTGCTGCTGGTGCTCGGATGGACGGCTTCGGTGCTGTGATTGCTGAGGCGTAGGTGTTGGGGGATCCAGCGCAGAGAGCCAGTTTGTCGAATGCGTTCTGTGGTGATGGCGCTGGGCGGCGGCGGCTGCCATCGACGCGGACGCCTGGGCTCCGAAGCCACCGTTCGAGCTGGCCATTTTGATGGTTGCCCTCGCCGTCCTGTCAAAGGCGTCGCGGCAGGTCTCGGCAGGGGGGCACTTGTCGATCATGTCGGTGAAGACGGACTTGGCCGCCAGGACGGTAAAGTCCACCTCGTCCATGGTCAAGCAGCTGCGTACCGTGTGCGAGTGCCAGATGGCGTACAGGTACGAGATGCCCGCCATGAAAAGGTGATGTGTTGAGAGGTAGGTGTAGCTCACCAACCCCGTGAGATGGAGCTGTCGGTATATCCTCAAGATCTTCTGACCTGCTTCCGCTACTTTGAGATAGACCTTATCCTCGTCCTCTCTCGATTCCGCCGTGGTGAAGCCTTGGGGGCTATCCACCTCGTTGGACGTGTTGTACTCGCCCTCAAACATGGCTGGCACGCTCAGACTCTGGCGATAGAGGGTGATGATAGCCTGCCAGTAGTTCAGCTCAAGGAACTCTGTCGAGAATGCCACGCCCGTCTCGTGGCGCGTCGGCGCTGATTGCTTCCAGTTGAATAGTCTCTCATCGATGCTGCGCCGCCATGATCGGAAGGAATCGAACTGCACTAAGAATGGTGAGGGCAGATGTGTGTGCATCTCGGGGTACATGATCCCCTGCGGACCCGCCTTGGCGATCTGTGACTGTTGGTATTGCAAGACCTGTAGGATCTCCGACTGTAACATGCGGAGACGAAAGTAGTGATGCGCAACGTGCTTGTAACTTGGCAGCATCTCGTTGTTCTGCGACTCCATGATACCTCCGGGCGTGATGTAGTCGTCGTCCAGTATCGAAGGCAAGTCAGTCGTGATGACCTGGTCGCTGATCCCAAACGGCCGTCCGACACAGGTACTCACGAGCCGATCGAACGAGTACGTGCACCACCACAGCCGCCGCCTCATGTCGCGTATCCATTGTCGCCTACCTCGCTCCTGGGCGCTGCCCTCTCGAGGTCGCGTGCTGCTGCCATCCGTGGCTTCGCCGTCCAGCGGCGCCTCTGGTAATGCCTCCACGTCCATGCCATCTTCGCGATGTAGGCCCAGGTCCACGGCCAGCCGTACCGCCACACCTATGATATACCACAGACCGGGCGGCACGGGTCTCAACAACGCAAAATTGGCCAGAAGAAGCACTGCCTGCAGAACCTCCAGCCCCCCGCCCGAGTTGCTCAGGCAAGCCTCGAGATGGACAATGGCACTCGCATGATACTCCTCGGGTTGGCACTGCCCGCCGTCGACGGCCATCCTTGACGTTTCGCTCTTGACCGGCTCCCCGACAATGACGCCGCAGCCAATCGCAAACACCATGTTGAGCACATAGGACTCTCGCGGGCCCAGTCCCTGCGGGGGTTGCGCATATGCAACCTCGAACATCTTCATAAACTCGCCTCGGTGCATAATCGGGATCTGCGGATTCGCGTGCTCAAAGTACAGTGTGACGAGTCGCATGCCCACGTCGCGGCTCGGGAACGTCGCAGGCTGGATGCTCGGCTTGGTATGTAACCCAAAGAACGAGTCCCTCATGGAGGTGCCGCTCGTACCGCCGGGATGTCGCCGATCCTGCGGGTGCCCGCTCTGGTCAGAGACGGAGTACTGTACTGCCGCAAAGACGACCCGCGCAAACGACACGCCCGAGGCGGAGGCGAGGGATTTCGGCTTCGACGAGATGTTCTGCATGGCGGGGCTCTGTGCGCTGCCACCCGCCGAGGCCGAGGCCGAGGCAGACGTCGGATTCCTCTTCTGATGGCTGAGCGTCTCGACGGCTGGGTTGCGCGGCCTCCCATCCTTGCCAGCACCGCCGTCCTCGTCCTTGCCCGCGGGGCGCGAGCAGTTCTCGAGGTTCTCCGCCGCGGGGAAGTCGATGCCGTGGTCCCTCAGGAGCCCCTCGAGCTGCTCCACCCTCGTCTCCAGGTAGAAGACGTAGCTCCGGGGAATCTCCTTCTTGGTGATGGGGTCGTAGCCGACGCAGGCGACGTTGGCCTTTGCGCAGCTCGCGCAGCTGGGGAGGCGCTGGTCGCATCTGTTCTTGCGGAGGCGGCAGCGGTTGCAGGCGCTGACGTTGCGGAAGTTGCTGCTGGCGGATGCCTTGGAGTCGATCGACTGATGAGGCGACGGCTGCTCGGCAGCGGTAGTGGTCGTGGTCGTGGTCGTGGTGGAGGCTGTTCCGACTTCTTCGAGAGACGACTGTCGTTGGCGCTTGGAGGGTGGGGGTTGCGCGTAGGGCGAGGAGGCGTCTGGGGCGCCCATGGTCTCCCGTCAGCTCAGCGACGCCTGTTGCAGACGCTGCTGGCTTGTAAGGGGGATGGGGGTTGCCGAGCAATCGATCGATGCTCAGGATGAGATTGTCTTTCTATCGTGGGCAGGGCGCGCGGTGCGAAGGAGTGGTAGCCATGTCTATCGTCTCGGGCGACTCGTGGTTCATGTGCTGTCAGGGCTAGTCAGAGAGCCAGCCGGTGCAGGATAGAGCCGCGCGAATGGTCAATGGTGGGTGGGTGAGAGGTGGCTGCGCGCCGAGGTTGACGGGAAGTCGATAAGTGCTGTTTGATTATCGTCGTGGGTTGGATTGGAGTCTTGGAATTATCAATCAGCGTCCACCGATTGGGGGTCCAACTGATAAGCAGCACCGGCTGGAGGAGGGATCGATCCATCATCCCAGTCAGTCAGTCACCAACGAGCACGCACATGCTGTCGTTCGCCCCGCATTGCCTGCTTTGTTAATCTGCTGCTCGGGTTATCATTACGTGCATTACAATTCCCCCCATTACTTACTCGATGCCCATGCAGGTAGTGAGATTCGGAGTGACCCTGCGATCTAGCTCAGTTCACATTGTGGCGCAAGCAGGACACGGCATCAGCCACACACACTAGGTACAATACACCAGCCACCGCGTGCTTGGGCAAGGTACTAATTACGACGTGCAAGTTGTAAGTGAGCAGGACAATGGAGCTGGTATATACAAAGTAAGCTTCGCCAGGTCGTGCAATAAACAATACGAGGATGTGTAAGGTGGATTCATTACTAGGGCTGTCCAGTGCGTCGGAACGACGGCCCTAGGTCCCCCTTCTTCAAGGCTGCCCTTGACTTGACTCAAGTAGATATCTAACTTCAATGCCCAAATGCTACCCCTTTGCAATGCAGTACGTACTCCGTACCTCGCTCCGCGACAGATCGTGGCAGGCCCCCTCGTCGCTGGATATACTGAAAACGCCCAAAGGGATAGTCCCAAATGCTCGCGGAACCCGTGCCCAAAACCCATCGTCTATGTTGAAAAATCCACGCTCGTACCAATGTGACCCAGAATGCTGCTGCGGGAGAAGTGAAAAAGAAAGAAAGAAAAACCACAGGTTGCAAAAGAAAAAAAGAGAACAAGAAAAACAGAGGAATCGGCGTAAAGCAAAACGCTAAACCAGAGGGGGTATTCGCCACTGCATTAAGCAAATGCATAGGTAGTGAATGAGAGACCGGTCGACAGTCTAGCCCATCCATCCAAAAGGAGTATTACAAGTCGTAATTCCCTAGTTTCTTTTTCTTTGTCTCCCAGGCGCCAAACGCAAGAGTCATGTGTTGGGGTTGCCTCAGACGCTGTCGTTATCGTCATAATCGTTCAGGAGCCTCTCGTTCTCCAGAGAGCCTCTGCTGCTGGGGGGCGCAGACACCTCATCCTGGACACCTCCCTCGGTGATCTGCAGGCTGAGGTAGGCACCGACAACCGTGATGAGCCCGCTGAACCACCACGCCAGCCCGGAATAGCCTGTCTGCAGACCCAACGAGTACAGAAGACCGGAGATGGTGGGACCCAGAGCGCGGCACAGGCTCGCCGTCGACGCCGCGATTCCGTTGATGGTACCCAGCACCTGCTTGGAGGGTGCCGAGTTGGCGAGCAGGATGGCGTTGCTGGGATACGCCATGGTCGAAAAGGTGCACTTCCAGATGACCAGGATGTACAGGGCTGGCATCACCATGTTCTTGGGCAACAGGACAAGGTACGGTGTGACCAGGTACAGGGCAAAATACGAGAGCGCAATGATCCGGAAGAGGCGGAGCGAGCCGAGGCGACGTGTCACCGGCGCCACGATGAGGTAGTTGGAGACGAGCGAGTAGATGCCCTGCACCGCCATGATGACGCCAATCGTCTTGGTCTCGAGGCCAAAGCCGTCGACAAACTTGAAGGGCAGCTCGACGTTGGGGTGCTCCGGGGGGGCCGTGCTGAGGAAGACGGGTAGAAGCTGATCAAAGGTCATGGTGTGGAAGGCCAGGATCCCGTACGACACAATGTTCATAATGACCGGCTTGGTGAAGATCTTGAATCCAGGGCTACCGGGCCCTTGGAGAGGCGCGACCTCCGTAAGCTCGGGGGCCGCTTGCGGGGTGAGTTGAGGTGAGCTGCTCTGGCTTTGGTACTCCGGCAAGCATTCGTCGTCCGAGCCCTCGTCGCTGAGCAGCGCGTCTCGACCGAGCAGGCTCCCCTTCTCGGGTGACGCTTTAGCCGACGAGAATCGTCCGAGACGGGGGCACTTGGACGCGAGGAAGTCGCCCAGTTCGCGCCCGCGGTCCCGTTGGTGCTTCTTGACCGCATGCGTCTCCTCGAGGAAAAGAATACCAATCACAACACCCACAAAGACGGTGGCCGCGCTGAAGAGGTTAGGCAGGAGGTAGGGGAACCTGTCCCACATTGTGCCGCGGGCGAAGATGTCGGGATAGCTCACGCAAGGACGGGCCAAGGCACCTCCAATCATGGGTCCAACGATGGATCTGGGTCCTGTTAGCTGACTTGGTCTCGCCATCAGTCCGGCGCGGAGGTTTGGCTTACCCAATGCACCAGACCATGGGCATGATTGTGTACGCTCGAGCTGTAAAGGACAAAAGTCAGTCGGGCTGGACTCCAAGTAGGGCATATTTCCTGCACAGGGATGCTTACGTTGCTGCTCCTTGACGGTCACCAGCTCCGCCACAGTCGTCTGCAACACACCAATATTCCTGAACCGACCCATTAGCTCCAGACGTCACACGCAAGAAGACAGCCTGACAACATACCCATTCAGTAAGCCTCCCAAAGCACGTGCAAACAAGGCAACCGGCAGGCTGGGGGCGAAACCAAAGATGAGCACGCTCAGCGCGGTGCCCGCGAGTCCAAAGAGGAGAACTGGCTTGCGACCAATCCTGTCGCTGAGACGGCCCCAAAGAACGCCAGTTGCGAATTCGGCAAGTGTGAAGGCGGAAGTGACCATGCCGGCGTAGACGGAGATCTTGCTGGCGTCGCTGGTGATGTGGAAATCCTCAATCATGTAGTAGATGTAGGGAAAGATGGACATGAAGGCAATTGGCTCGCATATGCGGCAGCATGCTGTGTCCGATTAGCCTCCGCACCAGAGAGTTTTCTCGACCCATTGGCTGTCCCATACCGAGCACAAACATCTGCCGAGCAGGAAAAGGGGGCGTGACAGCCTCGAGGCGTCTGTTGGCGCCGCGCCTTGGGCGGCTGGCGACCGCACCGTATGTTGTCATGGTGGGTGAGCCCTGGCAAAATTATGGGTGGTTGGGAAGTCCCAGGCACCATGCGAAAAGGGTTCCTGATAGTGAAGAGCTCCCCCCAATCACTGGTGTTCCGGGAGACGCGTATTGGTTCAGAGTATGTGTTCGGCTGTTGAATTGCAAGCGTCGCAATGTCGAGCTTTCAGGACGGAGGTAACGTAGAACAGCAGGGCGTAATAATGGTTTCGCAAAAGCCAGAATGACAGACTGGACACGGGCGGATGATGTCAATTTTCGGTCCGGGGCTGAGATTGTCTCGGTGCGGAAAAGATTTAGGCGGCGCGGACGTGGTGTAAGTGAGCAAGCGTGGAGTCGGATGAGACAGGCGCCGTTGCGAACGGGCGGTTGGTTGTAAGACAAGGCGGATAGCTGCCGAGTTGCACAGGGAGAGAAGGCGCAAGCAGGCTAGACTAGACTAGACTAGTATGTCGGTCGGTCAGTCGTTGCAATGTCAAGAAGGACGTGATTATTAGGACAGGAGGGACAAGTTCTCAGGAGAGGCGGAGGGGCGCGATCTAATATAACACAGGAAGCGCTGACAATGCGAGAAAGCGACAACCCTGTCACCGACTGGAGTGTTCCCAAGTCATGAGAGAGCGCTATCCTCATTATCCACACATGCCATCCATCCGGGGTTGCTGTTAGTGAGCCCGGTGCGTGGGTACGACCCATACTGCGGGGATCACACCCGGTATGAGGCGAAAGGACAAGGACGTGGGAAGGGGTGTCTTCTGAGATGAGGGCGGTGACTTGAGCCGACCAGGGGGGTCCCCTCCTCGTGGTGGCTCTGCCTGGCCCCGGTCTGCCTCTGCCATTCTGGAAGTGGACAGTGTCATTCTGTCACGTCCGGGTACGTACACTGGCGGAGCCGGCTGGGCAGGATGGACACACAGACACACAAGACACGCAGACAGACAGACGAGCGCAGACCCGAAAAAGGCGGTCATTGATCTGCTGGATCTCGCTCCACCAATCCCGAGCCCAACGGGCGTCCGGTCCTTTACCGCCCTTCTTCTTTTTCTTCTCCGTGGCTCCTCTCCGTGGAGTCTCCGTCCGCCAACAACAAGTAAAGAGAGCGAAGTAAAGGGAGCAGCAGCAGCAAGCAACAACGGAGGGGGGGGGGGGGGGCGGGGGCCAGAAGGAAAAGATCCGGCTGCCATGCCACCCCCTCTTGCGTGTAGGTAATACTTGTCGCTTGCACATCATCAATTACCCGTCTGCGCCTGTGTCCGTGGTCTGTGACTAGAAGGTGATTTCCGTACGGATACCGCATCGCACAGCGCAATTCAGGTCGTCGCACAACAGCAGAGGTGGGTGCCACGCGCGCATCAAAATGCACAATGTACGTACGTACGCACACCGACGCTGGCATGTGGCATTTCGCTTTCCTGACCGTCTGCACTGCGGCAACGGCTGCCGCTACTGCTGCATCAACAAACGCCTGCATTGCTGCTGGTTGCCTTGTTGTTGATGTGTCTTTGTCCATCGTAAAGTGCTTCCGTTCTTGCAGCTTGTTGGCGAGCAGCAGCACCAGGCAAGGCAACCCGCCCAACAAGTCTCATGAGAGACCAGCATGGCAGAAGGAAGCAGCTCTGGCCGGCTGTCGACCCGATCAAGTATGCGCATCGCCATGGCTTTTCTTGCTTTGCTTTGCTTTGCTTTGCTTTCTTGATCCTTCTCGTCGGTTAATTAATTAGGCCGGCAACACCAAAGTCAAAAAGAAAGGGCTCTGCACAGGCGCCGCCTCACATCGAATCATTGGCGGGGCGCGAGCAGCGAAGCGCGCCTCGATCAAGCAGGGCGTGAGAAAACTGGTAGGCAAGGGCCCGTTCCAAGGTGCCTCAACAGGCACTTACTTGGCTGGGACCGTACGTGCAGCAATCGACGGGGGGCTCCATACAGCCGGGCCAAGGTTCCCACGGCCGGCGTGCATCTGCGCCAACACTCTGGTCCGTACGTACTATCCAGCGGATCTGCAGAGAACAGGGCTAGAAAACGGCCCACACCAATCACATGGACGAGGACGTTGAAATTCAGCCAGAAAGGGGGCGTCCAAGCAAGGGAGGGCGTGGGTGCCAGCCAGCTGTCAGTCGTCGTGTGGCTGTCCCTGTCTGGCCTCTCTCCCTGTCTGCCTGTCTGATGGATGACTGTCTTGTTTGTTTGCTGCCTGCAGCCCAGCCCAGTACAGCATTTTCAGGCATCATGCATGCATATACATACACACGCGCGCACCACGCACGATATTGCACATTGCATGGCACCTGTGCATCGCATCTGGCAGCAACAGGGTGACTCGGTGAGATCATCACAACTCGAAAATAGTCATCGACGGCTGGCTGCATCCGCGGATTCTTCCCCGTCTGTCGGGGGCCTGAGTCCTGACATGATTGCCTCTACGCAACAACGCTGTGCAACACTCCACTCTGTGACATTTCGGACCTTCCGCGAGCCTGATACTTTTGTCAATCGTCGCACTCCTGCGGACCAGGGCAGAGCAGCGTTGGATGGTCGGTCTAGGCATTTCCCGCATCACATGCTGTACGTATCGTCACTTGTCGGACGTCCATGTTCATTAGCCGGGCCGCGTAAAATGATGCGCCATGGGCCACGGCTGCCGTGTCACAAAAGGGCGCCGCATGGTTCGCATTCAAGGTTGGCTTTCGTCATCGGTACTCGAAGCCACTCCAGCTGCTATTAGCCGCCTGCTTTCGTCCACAGGCCGGAAAGAAAAAGTAGCATCTTTTGGTATATATGGAGCCAGCTGCGGGAAACTGTTGAATGTCTCACACCAGCTCAGCAGGCAAGCACGAGCAATATGACTTTTTTTTGGCCGCGACCTAGTTACGTACGTACGTGTAGGTACGTAGTTGGGTATCTGGCAACCAGATCGTCGTCGTCTTCGTCGTCGTCGTCGTCGTCATGGTGGTGTGTTGCGGCGTGCGATCAGGCTGATCTGCTGACACGATCGACTCATAGAAGCGGTGTGTGTATGACTGCAGACAGACGTCGTGTCACGAGTTTCCACGACCATTTGAGCCAGTCATTGCAAACGAACTAGACTTTGAAACAGGCGTCTGCTTTTGAGAATTGCACACGAAGCGGGGTTACACTAGAAGGATGAATCCGCCTACCCATGTCATCTGGGCAAGAAGGTCCATGGTGTCGATGTAAGTCGCAGGCTCGCTGCCCAACATCGGCTCGCAACAACGGTCGTGGCATCGTCTTTTGGGCCTTGCTTCTGTAATTTGTCATACCAGCTTGGGGCGTCAATACCGCCAACATAAATGGAGCCGTTGTTGATACAGCGGCGTCCGCCGCACCGGGATCCGGTTCTGAACATGTGGCGTCACCTTTGTTTGGATAGAGGTTGAAAAAGGGGTGACCGGCTTCAACAGCCATCAGCATCCAGTGAGTCAGCCTCCAATGCCTTGGTGGCAGCTAAAAGTATTGTATTTACAAGGGCTGTCGATTGCGCATAACGAACGCATCGATAATGAAGAGTTCGTGGACCCGCGGCTTAATTCCGGCTTGTTGATTTTGATACATGGATCTCCCAAACATCCAACCAGGGCACCGTGACAAAGCCGCACCTTGTCCCCGGTCGCGGGATGTGGGCGAACACGCAGCAGAGGAACGAAACGATACGACGATGTAATAACACAACAGCCATGTGACGGCATCATCTGAAAATCCGATAAGGAAGATGTTGTGTCTCTTTGCGTCAGGGACGGGACAGTATCCGACTGTCGATGATCCAAGGACCAACAGTGCCAGGCCTGAAATGATTATCTTGCTAGCGGAACAGCGGATCCTTCCTGTTGGTACGAGTCCATGCGGGTCATGGTGCGAGGGCCGCAGGACCCCGCGATCTGCGCGCGCTCAGACACAGCCTCTTTAATTACACCAACAAGTCGCATGTCGCGGAAATAGACCGGTGGGCATAGTAAACGTGGAGGTCCGCGGAATTGACCATAGTTTCGCAACATTCCTACAACCTCCGAAGGCTATCGCGGTCAGGACTCGAGAGACGGACCACCTCTGTATCCATCACCAGTCACAATTTCAGCGTGATTGGCGTTTGGCAACAGTGCGGAGTAAAATCTGGACGGACCATTTCGAGTATCGAAGACGCCACTCAAGTCGTCCAAAATTGCCTTTTCAGGTGATGACGTCATTGCCAAAGGGGATCTGAGGGATCTGGATGCTGTGATATTGTCAGACTGATGCCCCTGGGGCCTGGGCCAAGGCTTGAGTCCGGACTTGGCAAGAAACGAGGGTTTCATCGTAAAACATGAGTCGCGGCTCGTGAGTCGCACCTCGGTGACGAGCTTGCTGGGGATGTGACCGGGCAGCCCGAGACTAACAAGAGTAAAGACTGCACTGTGATTACAGTGACAGTACCTTATTTGTTGGCAGGGAACGTGACATCGGCCCGCTAGCCCAGTCTTGAAGGCTTGAACGGTTCCGACAATCAATCCGTGGTTGACGCAAGTTCTTGCCCAAGCTGCAAGCTGAACCCGCTGATTTCGACACAGTCGGTCACGCCGCACGCTCGGTCATTTCGTATCTGAAGTAGCTCTGATTACTTGCTCTTTGCGCCCGCTGGCCAGACTTTGCTTTCATTAGGCGAAGGGTGATGAGGCGGCGAGAAGCAATTAATTTGGTAAATTGGAGCCCGAGTCGCCCCGCCCACCATCTTCCCATCTGAACCCTAGCTTGAGACCAGGGGGAAAAGCCGACTGGCTGGAGGGCAGGCATGGTTAGTTGCCGGGTGGAGGGGCCAGCAGGGCAAACGGTTCTCCGCTTGGGCAGAAAAGGAAATGTGCCAGGGGCAGAACATCCACAGTCCACGAGGTCCGCAGTGCGACTGTGCAGCACATGGTGGGTACCTTGACGGTGGCTGCCCCAGCCGAATGGCTTCCAAGCGGCTGGTTCGGTGCAGCTGTCAAACCAGGGCTGTCAAACCAGGCCCAACGTGGCAGCATCGGTCATAATGGACAGTGCCGGCCGGCTCCAGGGGAAACCAAGCTGTCGGGTCCTCCTCCAACCAAACACCATAGGTGCACCGTGCAGGAACGTCGGATTACCCTGTCCAGAGTACTAGAAACATGAGAACTTGTTCCAGTCATGATCTGCCAAGCTGTAGAAAGAGTCCAAGTCGGCGTACGACACATTGAATCTTGTCGTCCGCTTTGTTTGGCCTTCACTGCTGGTTTGCTGGTTGGCAGCGAAAGGAGGTGATAAGTCAGCCTTCGCCTGAGTGCCCAGAATTATTGGCGCGCTTGGTTGGTTGTGGGATGATGCCCTAGCGACAAGCCAGTCTGTAGCTCACGGTGGTGGGTGATGCTGACGCTGACTGCGTTTTTCGGCTGAATACCCTGGCCGAGGTCCCTTCTTAGCTTCTGCCATTCTGGCTGCCCATCGGGCAAGCGGGACGCTTCGAGATCGACCTGCAAGGGAACTAGCTTTAGTCTTTATGAACTGAATCCGTTCACGGGGAGACCATCCAAGTTATCCCGTTGGGCCTGGCAAATGCACGACATTTCACCGGAAGTCTGGGCACCAGTGGTCGCATTTCTCGCTGGGTCTTTGTTCGTCTCATGGCTTTTGTTACGGTCAAGGGTGGTGATCGGGTGGTTTGTGCGTGCGTGCGTGCTTGCGCGCTCGTGGAGTCGTGTGTGGTGCACTGGTGAGCCTGAGGCGGAAGGCGACGGACAGCACCTGCCTGCTGCAGCTTTGGCGGCTCGGGGAATCTCACAGACAATCCGTTCCAATCATATGAGAGAAAGAGGCGCCTAGAGCGTTGTGGCTCCACCGGGGAAGGGCCGCCGGATCACCAAACAGTCCTAGAGAATTTGACGAAAAGACGAAAAGAAAAGAAAGTGATGGATTGCACGGAACAAACCCGAAGCGCTAGACAGTAGACAGACGATCTATGTTCTACCGTATATCTCTCGAACCCAGTTACTACCGCCAACCAAGCTACGTGACTGAGCGTGTAAGATCCAGCATTGAGGAGTCCCCTGAGCACAAACTATGGTACGGTACCTGGTAGGAGCAGCTCACGTTCAAACTTCAGGCGGAGTACACCTGATGCTGTCGTCCCTCGCCTCAAGACACCCAGAATCCTAGAAGAACGTGACAAAATCACCTTGTCGCAAATGCCCAAGCAGGCGAAAAGTCCAGACCATGCAATTGGCCCTGCTTTCGAAACTTTGCTCTGCACGTCCAGGCCGGAGCTTCGCCCACCCACTTCGAGGAAGAGCACTGCGACAGGATGTCTTTGAAATCCAACTCGGAAGATCGCCCGCCTATCTCGAGGCATTCTTGCGCGTGAAAGCTGGCATGCACATCGCCGGTTCCTTACACGAGACTTCCCATTGGCGCTGGTTGGTGTGCTGGCTCGATGCGCCTGGGTCATGTGGCATCACGCAAAACATTGTCGATGCAAGGTGATACTAATCAGGACGTTCATCCTGACTAGGATTCCCGTCCAGCAGTTGCGCTCTCAACTCGATGCACATGCAGGCTTCTTCTTCTACTCGTCGGCGACAGCAGTAGCACGCCGTCGAACGCCTCGTTTCGCCGCATATTGTTCTCGGCAAGCCTGCATCTACCATTGTTCCCAGCACTTGATCGAATGCGAGCGTGGCCACAGCCAGCCAACGGCAACACTCACAATTCCGCAACTTCAGCCGCAGATGCAGACATTGACGAGAGTCAGTGGTACGTATCAAAGAAGAAGGGGGAGCGTACGGAGTACATGTCGTTGACATGGTGGTGATGCACACGTCAATTTGGAATAAAGGCGGCAGCCTGCGACGCTACGCCTGTCGACGCAGTACCCGGCAAGGGGGCGATTGCCCGCGTGCAGTCTGATGGATGAGGTGAACGCGGTCAGAATTTGTCACGCCGCGTTATTATCCTGAGCTCTCGGTCAACAGGGATTGGCAAGTTTGGCAAGCCACAACAAATCAACATCGCCGCCGCATTGCGGCACAGAGCCCGGACCCTTGTTCGGCTGGCGAGGTGGTCACCCGCCTCGCTCATCACTGGTGCTTGCAGTTATTTCTCGGAGCCGCACTGAGCCTCTGCAACCAGAGACTCGACACATTGCGAGCGCACCGGGGAGGCACAGTAATGTGAAAGGCGAGATCTGATACGCAGGGTCTAGAGTAATGGAGTATTGACCTCTGGTGGGACGATATGCCTGGGCCCTGAACTCGGGGAATGGCCGGGGCATGAAGCGCGTGCGTGCTTCGTCAGATCTCACCATGCGTGCGCCCGTCCACTTGCCGCCTGCGACCATGCCTCACGCTCTCGTTGGCGGAGGGCAATGCAGCAAGAGCAACTGGTCACTACATGTAGACTCGAATGCACCGCTTAATGCTCCCACTTGGCGACGCCGGATTCCGATCGCGCTAAGCCTGTGAAGATATAATAATGGCATGGGCCACTGTCCTGCGAACATCTGCCGTTCGTAGGGAGACATGACTGATCATTGACGAGCAGTACCGGGCGATCATTCTTCATGCTATGACAGGCGGCGACAGTCCGTGGCCAATGAGTGGACAGACTGGACCTACTGCACCTGGACTGCTTGGGAAATGGAGGATGTCTTGTTTGCCTCAATGTTTGCCTCAACAAGACAGCTTTGAGGTCTAGAAGACATATTCCTGCGAACGCCATGCATATCACCCCTGGAGCCAGCTTCCCCGACGCGGCACAGTGGCATCATGTGCAACGGGAGAGCCGATGGATCTGTCTTGGGCATTTGTTTGCGTTACACAAAGTCTCGCAGCCGTGTAACGATTGCTGCTCTGGTCCCTGGGACTATTGTCTGGCTGGAGAGGCAGGGATGGCGGCAACCAGTATCAGTTGAGGCTGAGGCAGCCCTCATTACCTCGGACTTACCTGAGTGGCCGCAAGGCTCCAGCGAAGTGACCAACCCTTGCCAGTAGGTTCGGAGGCCTTTGAGCAGTGAGCTGCTCATTAACAGCGAGATTAGTCGGGCAAGTCGCGGGCTCACCGCTCACGGGGTTCGTCTCTGCCCGGTGCCGACAGCACTGCGCTGCAGCCCCATTTCCCAGGGTGATCATGATGTTGGCGACGGCATTTGGTGGATTGGTTGGCTCCAACGCCGTGGCGACCAGGGATCGTGTTTTGATAGAGATTCCCCTGTCTTGTTTAGCGCGTGAGTGTTATGTTTCCTTACAATCCTCGAGCGTAGATTCAAGCGCGCAGCAAGGGGCGACTGGATTATGGCTGGGCCACATGCAAGCCTCTGCAATGCAGCATGCGCGACGTGAGATTTTAGCATGTCATTGGAAAGGGTCTGCGAATTGAATATTGAACCACATTGATCGGCCTTGGGTCCGTTGTCAGTCTGTGTCGGGTTTGTAGTTGATGATTACATGTACGTATGTGGGTGGCTAAACGCAACCGGCTGTGGCTTGCCACTCGTCAGCCACAGCAATCTCACCTGACGACGTGGGTTTGCGGCACGCTACAAGGCCTACAGCTCCATTTTGAGCAGCTCGTACATGTCCTACGTGCAACCCTGAACAGGAAGCACACGCCCCGAACACCCGGCGATCTATTCCATCTCACGCGACACTCCTCACAGGCACTGCAGTCGCAGCGATGGCCGGCAAAAAGGGCGAAAACAGCAAGAAGGTGGCCGGCAACGCAAAGAAAGCAGAGGCAGCCGCACAGAAAGCTGCTGCCGAGAACGCAAAGGCTGAAGCCGCCGAGTCAGCCGAATGGTCAAAGGGTGCCAAGGGTACCGGGAAAAAGTGAGAGGAACTACATAGGCCAGCGGATCATCGCCTTTGCTGACGCATTGCTACAGGGAAGCGGAAGCGGCCAAGAAAGAAGAGGCTGCCCGCAAAAAGGCCGAGAAGGAGGCCCTGCTCAAGGAAGAGGAGGCCAATACGCCCGGACGAAACGAGCCCAAGAAGACCAAAGCGCCCGTTAAGAAATCGCGCGGTCTTGATCTCGGACAGCTCGACGACAATGGCAACAACGGCACGGCCTCGGCGCTGAACGCCTCAGGCATCGACAACGCCCTGGATGCGCTGTCTCTCACCGCAGCGAACGACGACGGCAAGGTCGACAAGCATCCCGAACGACGATACCCCGCCGCTTACGCCAAGTACGAGGAGCGCAGGCTAGCAGAGATGAAGGCAGACGGCAGCGGAACGGGTCTGCGCCTTGACCAGCGCAAGACACGCATCAGGAAGGAATTCGACAAGCATCCCGACAACCCCTTCAACCAGGTCACTGCAGCCTACAACGCCAAACGAGCAGACATAGACGAAATCAAACAGGCGGAGAGGGACAAGATCGAGAAGCGCCTTGGAAAATGATCGGGTTGGGCTCAAGTTTGACATGACCATGACGATTCAACGAGGGATATGATATAGAAACGCATGGTGAGACTGGTGTTGCGTAGCCAGGATATAAAGAGAAGCCCTTGTATATATCGATCGTGTCCTCCATCCCTGAGACTTAAGACTAGTCATAAGGAACGAGGATGCCATCTACCACGAAGCCAAATGCTTCTTCCGATGCCGCTTCTTCGACACCTGGAATCCAGCCCTTCTGAGGAACCCCGCCATAGCTTGAATCAACTCAAATGCCCCGCGATGTCTTGGCACCATCATTGCTCGGCAGAACCACACACCGCCTTAGCCTGGCCGCCAAGTTCGGGTTAGCTCGCAGATCACTCCATCTAGCTGGCTCTCACTTGTGTCGTACTATTGTTGACTTTGATCCAACATAACTTGGTGAGAGTCGATCGCCTGGATAACATGGTACCTCTATCCATGGGAAGCCTGCCGTCGGTGCGTCGGCAGCACCTTCTATCTGAATTGTAAGATCACCCATCAAATCGAGGTAGGGGATAGCTTCGCTAACGTTATGGTACGAAGTGCGGGCCTGAAGCAAGCCTGCCCCGAAGGGGTGTATGTTAGCCTCACACCAGGCGATCCTACTCTCTGGTCGGCCGTTCTTTTTGTGCGCGACGGTATAGGCATTGCCCAATCCACGAGTCGCTTGCGGATGCAGCACTGACGGAGATCCCAAGGCCCTTACGCACCTGCTGTTCTGCGGTTCCACATCTCATTCCCCAGCTCATATCCAACCTTGCCCCCCGTCGTCACGTTCTCAACCGACATTTTCCATCCCCTCATCACGCCCCTGACGACATTCATGTACTCGACTGATGTACACGAGGGTGGTACAGCAAGCGCCACGGATGATGAGAGGCTACCACCAGGGGGATTCAGCTTGCGCCACGGCTTCCCACACTGGTTTGGACGTGGCAACCGTAACGGGCCGGCGGAAGATCAGAAGAGCCATGACAAGCAGATGTTGACAACGCCAAAACCGGTTGGGCACGCCACGATGATCACGCCCGAGTCAGCAGGGAAGGTAGCGGCCGCCAGCTACACGAAGACGAGTACCAGCCATGTGTCGGCTTATGACATCTTGAAGTACATCCGTGGTACGTTTGATGACGAGGAGTTGCTGGACGCTGTGCCGTTGGAGGCAGCTGGCAATCCTGGCGCATGGCACGCGTGGCGTACCCATCGTCGGAAACTGGGTAAGATCCGTGACGAGCCCGTGAAAGACCAGGATGGAGCGGATGGCGCTGCTAGTAACACCATCGAGGAAGACATCCCAGCGTCCGCCCCAGATCAAGACGCAAAGGCAACATCGCAGAGTACGGCACGCAAACCCGGGGAGTGGAACTGGGAGGGGGTTTGGGAAGATCGCGTTAGGAAAGGCGTGCAAGCCAGTCTCTCTGAGTCCGTGCTGTACGGAGGGGCTACAGCACTCCCTGATGAGCTCGTGAGTAGGCCCCCACTCCTCTGTGAATCACTGCTGATCATTCAGATCAAATTCTTGCCTCTGGATGAGAGCGAAGTAGATTCTGTGAAGGAGAATATCCGCCGCACTCTTGGGGCCTCAACCTAAGACACTACCATACCACGAGACAGTCAGCACCTGCCTGAGGTAAATTGCCTTGGATGCATGTACTGCTTGAGGTTCCTTCTACCTGGACAAGCTGCTCTTTCCATTTCCTCCCTAAGGTTTCACCTGCCTCGGGATTTGAGGTCGGTTGCACTCGTCCTTACATCATACCACGCACCTTACTTGCCTTAGTACTTGGCTTCTCTCCAGACACTGCATGGCCGGAGGATCATTGAGAAGTACCGAGTCTTCTCCCTTTCGGATATTGAGCACCCCCAATGTTTGAGCTTTTACACAACCTTTGTCCCAGTGTGGACTGCCCTGAGCTACCTTCTTGCTGTCTCTGTCAACCAGAGACGAGGAAAAATCCTTGCATAGTCATTTCTGCAGTCACCATTGTCGCTTGCGTATTTGTGCTCACGGCAGCTCTCGCGGCACCACATGTTCTACCCGTATCCCTGCGCGCAGAAAAGAATACTACATTGCCAGTGATCACACCGCGAAGTCAGGAAAGTCTGGTACCAAGGAATAGGCCCTTGACTCGCCCAGATTCGTGGGGAAGCCTCACGAGCTGTGACTCTCAACTAGTACGAGGTAATGGGTACCAGTCACCTCGCATCCATACAGAGCCAGATACACCACTCAACCACTCGGCAGTATGGCGTCCACCCCGGAAGAATCACCTCGCGTGGGCTTTCAGCAGCGATGCCCACCCGACGAACCTCGACCCTTACACATCGTCAAACGAAACAGCAGTGCCACCTCTACAAAGCATACCCGCGCAACAAGGAACTCGAACATGGAAGGAGATGCCAAAACGGATGCGACAGACGAACAGGACCTGGCCATCATGAAAAGAAGAAGTGACAGGGATCGCCTCGCAGAGGCCTGGAGGGACGAAGACGTATTCTCCAGCACCACCATGGATATTGAGCCCGGTGCGCCAATAGTCTCACGGGGCAGGTAGGGGCCACTGTCTCGTAGTCATGGTACAACCGGGGCGCAGAGTCTGAGAGTGAAGAAGACGCGCACGAGCGAGCCTTGCGTCGGTGAAAGATCAACAGCACAAACATTTGCCGCGTCCACACTTGCGTCATATCGCCAAAGAAGAGGCGAGGTCCCATTTCCTTGGGCCCAATCGCCACGAAACCATGAGACGACAAGATCTCCAGTACCTGCTTGGTCACAGCCGCATCGTCAAGCATCTTTACTCAGCGGATATACCTCTCGAGAATCATGTGTTCTATGTCCACAAGTCGAAAGTACTACAGAGTGCGCGTCACTTGACTATGAGCAACAACAGCTATGGGTTGCTGTGGAAGTAATTGGTAAATTGGCCAGAGTCTCGAGGCGATCCTCGTCGAACAGCACAAGCAGCACCAACAAGGTCAACGGCGGCAGTGTTCTGACCGGCTGCTTTGTTGACCATGAACTGGGTACAGACACCCAACGAGGCCTCTTCTGAGGGACTGACTGACAAATTGCAGACCGCTTCTTCGATCATGGCTGTTTGTACGATCTTACTGTAGATGTTCTACCAGTGCAAGGCACATCGATATTACAAGTCATTACAGATCAAAGCTTTCCCACGTATGTGAAGAACGCCATTGCGTGGAAGTGTTTAACTCTCTGCAGCACCATTTATGCAGGATCCAGCTTATTGTTGTTGGCTCACATTGCAATTGTTCGCGAATCTCCGCCGGCTGTTCATAGCCAGCACGTACGCCAGAAGTCTGATGAACTTATCGAGGACCTCGAAAAGCAGCTAGGCGCCTCGCAGATGACCTACGCAAAGATCAGGGTATCATTTGCGCACTCGGCGTTTCCATCATTCGATCAAACAGAACCCGTGCGAGGTATATCGGCCATGGGCAGCAGAATGGAGACCGTCGCCACGGCCAAACTTAAATGGCACAATGCCTTGTCTCCGTGGTCACCTCGTTCAGCGCCTACACTCGATCTTCTCTCTCCCTTAGTTAAGAAGCACTGGGGTTCTGACAAGGCAAGGGACGTGATGCAACAGGTTTCGGCGGGGAGATCCGGGCAGGTTGGGCATGGGCCAACTGGAGCTTTGTCCCACAACATACAGCCACAGCAACGATCGATGAACCCTGCTCAGATGCGCCACGCGCCTCCCGCTATCCCACGCAGAGAGACAAGCTTGCGAGGTGATGCCACGTTCAGCTCCCATCGTTCGCAGGGTACAGGGAGCCTGATACCTCGAGCGAGCCACAAAGAGAGTCCGCGGCAATCGGTAGGATCAGAAGCTGGATCCGTGGCAGACCAAGGCTTGTTCCTGCCTGCACTTGGGAATTTCGGTTTGATAGACCGGGCGACTACTAGGTCGCGAGGCAAAACAAGTGTCAGGTCAAAGAAAGCAGATGCAGGGCGGTGGAGTTGGGCTAGTTGGTTTTAGCCTGGGAGCAGATACCATCCGAGACATGATAACAGAAGATAACTTGAAGTGTTTAACTTGGCTTGCGCTTTTTGACTATCAGTACGTCTCTGCAACTATTCTAGCTCATCCTTCCAGGGAATAGACACTTGGGCGCCTCTCTTGGCAACTGTCTTGGCTGCTGCAACATTGGCATTCCTGACGGCCGTCTCAATGTCGAAGCCTTCCCGCACCACAGCCAAGGCGTACGACCCAGCAAAGGTATCACCTGCCGCCGTCGTATCCACGACGGTGGTCTTGAGCGCGGGAACCAGGGCGCGTTGACCAGCCTTGGTCACATAGTAGACGCCACGACCGCCCAGAGTGATGATCACATTCTGAACACCCCTTTGGATGAACAGGTTGCCTGCGGCCTCGAGGCCAGCGTCGGATTCAAGCTCAGACTCGGAGATGCCCGAGAGAAGGGCGGCCTCGGTCTCATTAACAAGTAGATGTGCCAGGCCATTGTAGGCGGAGGCGGGGAGCTCAACAGCAGGTGCTGGGTTAAGAAGGACGGGGACACCGGCCTTCCTCGCGGCGTCCAGGGCCTGCAGGACCGTGGGCAGGGGGATCTCCAGCTGCATGATGAGGAGATCCGGTCGTGGCTCGGGGAGGCTCGCAAATTGCTCCGGCTGGAGGGAGTAGTTGGCCTCGGGGGAGAGCATGATGCGATTCTGGCCGGTGGGCTCGTCGACGACGATGACGGCCACGCCCGTCTTGGCGCCCTCGAGCTGGGCGACGCCCGCCACATCGACGCCATAGGAGGTAAGGGAGTCTGTGAGGATGGGGCCAAAGGCGTCGCGGCCGACGGCGCCGATCATGGAGACGTGGGCAGATGGACTGGCGAGCGTGGATGTGCGGGAGAGCTTGGCGCAGGCGACGGCCTGGTTGGCGCCCTTGCCGCCGGGCGAGGTGTTGAAGTGGTTGGCCGTGAGGGTCTCGCCCGGGAGGGGATGGTGAGGGACGTAGGAGACTACATCGATGTTGAGGGAGCCGAGGACTGTGATGCGTGGGAGGGCCATTGTGTCGGTGCGGGAAGACGTGAGCTGTCTTATACTGGATGCCTGGGCAATCTTCTATGTGAGAATGAGACCGTCCAGGTAACAGATTGATGTGAGCTCGTTCAAGCGCCGAGTGCCTGGCTGGAGAGTGTCTGATGAGTCCCTGGGAGACTGATGATGAGCGAGTCGTGCTGCACTGATAATTACGTCGACGCTGTGAGTTGGAGTTGCAAAGCTGTGGTCCGTCACTCGGCCTCAAGCGGGTCTCGTCGATGCTCCACCGAGACATTCTCGTGATGCGACTCGGGGACGTCGGCCTTTTGTCCGAGCGTGCTAGCACTGTGCTCTCTGGCGGTAAGGACGCATCAAGCACGGTGTCGCTACAGTGTGTTTACAGTGCCAGGCATTCCAGTGCTGCCCTAGCTCTGGTTCCACAACAGTGACTGAGGTGTATGGGCAGCGAACGTAGAGTTGGCATTTCCAAGTCCAGCCGCCTCTACTCCTCCGTCAATGTTGGCGATAGAAAGTCCAAAGCCTGAGGCACATGGATTGGCCCAGGAGTCCGGGGCGATGCTTTTGCAGGCGCGCCCAATATCTGCGGTCCAATCTAGACAGCTCTCCTCGTCGTGACCCGAGCGCAGCAAGGCCATAGCTTTTTACAGAAGCGCCTACATCGTGATGTACATGAGCACTCGACGTAGGACTTGAAGCCGATACAGTAGCCACTATATGAGGAAGATGCTGCCGCTGCCAGCACGCCCTGGACCAAGCACAGCCTAGGAAAGCCTTCAATCAGTGCAGCGACCACGCCAAGGTTCCACTGAACCAATGGCTCGGAGACGTTTCAGCGGTTAAAACTACCACAAAGGACAACATCCTCACCAAACGAGTGCCACTTGACGCGCGATAGCCGGCCCGCTGGTATGGGCATGCCTTGCTCGTCTTGGACTCGTTCCGGTGACACGACCACGCCGCCCTGGCCGAGCCACGTGGGTGCGATGGTGACAATCACCGAGTCAATTAAGTCCTGGGCATCTGGGTGAAGCAAAGTGTTGATGATGCGACCTCCACCCTCCACCATTACGCTCGTGAGCCCGTTCGCGCGCAAGACCTCCAAGATTGATGGCCAACTGAAGCGCATCCGGCGGTCAGGCGAGTCTGGAGTCATCGGGTCAACGTGAATAAACCGACCGCCGTGCGCCTCGAGTAGCTCTGCGCTTTCCTGTGGCACCTCTCCAGGCGCGACGCCCGTGAGCACAAACGGCGCGAGCCCCTGCGTGGTTCGACTCAGCTGTAGGACCTTGTCCGAGTCCGAGGGTGTCCAGCGCAGATGCGGATCGACGACAATGGGCCGGGGCTGCGACGTCGCGCCCTCGATGCGGCAGTTGAGGCCAGGGTTGTCGGCCAACAGCGTTGAGACGCCGACTAGGATGGCGTCGTGGCGTGATCGCAGGTAATGTGTCATGGCCTTGGACTCGGGACCCGAGAGGCGTGTGCGCACGCCAGGCGCCAGTGATAGTGACGAATCGAGTGAGGTGGCAAACGTCAGGGTCACAAAGGGCTTTTGATCTGCTGGCGTCGAAGCACCTGTGGTGGACGGCAAGTATGGCTCAATGGCATCCTTGCCTGGCGTGCCAAAGGCGAGTTGCTCAGACATGGTGTGCTGAATGAGGGGATCGCAGCCCAATGTCGGCTCGCGTGCTCGTAGGCCGCGTGTCGGTGTAACAATGTGTGAGCTATGTGCAGATTCGATTGAGCTTTGTTGGTGGAGGTGTGTCACTGATGAAGCTGGCTGACTCCACCGAGCCGGGGGATTTGATGATGAACATAAACAGGTATTCCCGCCGAGGCCACGTGAGCATGCGGATTCAAGAGTTGCACGCATTATTGCACAGCTTCAGCACAAATTCATCATTGACGATGAGGCCACTTTGGTTATCTTTTATTGTCTGACTTTGTATGTGCAGTTTTGAATATGGGGTTCCCGTCGTCGTCGAATTCCGCCCACTGGAAGAACGAGCACCCCTTCTTCTCCGGTATGTTACTCGCGTGACACATCCAGAAATATTTACCATAATTCTCCTTCTTCCGCTGGACGACCCGGAGGACGCAGGGTACGTTGCACGTGCATCTGGGTGTGAACCGGGGGTGCATGTTGGCGCGATAATCTCTGTAGGTGATGTTGATCCTCTTGTTGCCCGAGACGGGGTGAGGATCAATCGACAGTGCGGGGGAAACGCTGTGCTTCCACTCCTCCTGCATTTCTGCGTGCATCACGAGCAAAGAGTTGTGTGGCAGGTGGATGGCGACCTGGCCCTCGGCGTCTCCGTTCTCTGGGCCTTTGTCGCCGTCGTCCTTTGGCAACACTCGTCGTACACGGAACTCGCGAGCGACGCCGAGCGACACTGACCCGATGACAGCTCTTGGTCCGAGGTATGTGAGCTGATCACAGTGCCATCCCACGCTCTCCTGTGGCCCGTTGTAGCAGTTCACAAAGGCAGAGTTGGGGACCCAGGCATCTGGAGATTGAAACTGGAGCTTCTGGCCTCCAGGATACCGGGTTGCGATGCGATTGGTAATCTCCCGGTTAACGGCTGCCTGTACTAGGGGCTTCACGGCGACGAGTTGCGGCGTGATCCTGCGAACGTCCTGCCTAGGTTGTTAAAAATTGGGATATAGCCGCCATACGTAACACTGACCGTCAGCCGCGCCCCGTTGTAGTGATAGTCTGTCTTTTGTCGCTGGATCTCGTCATAGCTTTCCACGAAGAAGCTCGACGTGTGTGGACTGGAGACCACATTGTCAAAGAGCTTGAAGGTGCTCTTCTCGAATGTCTCAGCTTCCTGTAGGAGTTCCTGCAGCAGCTTATTCGCAAGCTCAGGTGGCATGAAGTTGTGAATGATGGTGCAGGGCGTGTGCTCCGCTACATCCTCCGGGTCATACAGATGCAGCGTCACTCCCTTCTTCGACCTTGCTTTCTTCTGGACCGGGGCACCGGACGCTGTGGAACTGGCAAACGGCCTCAAGGACCGCTGGTACCCGATTGTGCCGCTGCTCTTGCGAGGAGTTGGGGGTGACCTAAGCGCCGCCGACGCCTCGTCGACAGATCCTTGATGTGCTATGAGCACGTCGAGCAAGGCTTCCTGTTCGAGGGCCGGATAGAGCGATGCCAAGATGGCCATCTTCACTTCGGTGGGCTCTTCCACTTCAGCATTTGAGCTGGCCCCCGCCGCTTCAGGGCTCTTCTTGCGCTTGGTGCCTCTCAAAAAAGCCTCCATGATTCGGGGCACCGGCCATGAGCATTGCGCCTTGACCTGCAGCACGACATCGGCGTCGATAGGGATCCCTGTCGTATTGCACAGAGTGGAGAGAGGCTTGCCGGTTGTGTTCTGGCTTTGGGGACTTGTCCCAGATGACGCGAGGAAGGTGCAAGACGCTGACGCGCGTTCACGTGACTGGATGACTCCCCTCAGTTCGGCCTTGATAGCGTGGGGTAAGTCGACGGTGCAGATCAATCATTGGACACTGTGACGTAGGCGGGCCGAGGCACATGCCGGCCATTCATCTCACTGCTACCTACGTCCGTACTTGACCATCAACTGCTACGTACCGTCAACATCAACCATGTCCATAGCGCCGAGATACCACCAATTATAAGAATACGATCCTCAATGCGCCGGAGGGTTCTTGCGCGCCACTGCCTCCATGGCTGCCATGCTTGAGTTCCGAACGCAAGGCTACAACCCCTACGCCGTCAAGTACTCGCCCTACTACGACTCACGCATCGCTGTCGCATCGTCCGCCAACTTTGGCATCGTCGGCAATGGACGGGTATACTCCCTGGGCTTGTCGGCGCAAGGCATCCAGGTCGAGAAGACGTGGGTCGCGCCCCGTTCGCTTGCCGAGTATCGAGTATGGAACCCTAGCTGACCTGGTCGATCGCTCGCAGCTTTGATACCAACGACGCCCTGTACGACCTGGCATGGTCCGAGATCAACGAGAATCAGCTCGTCACAGCCTGCGGCGATGGCTCCCTCAAGCTGTTTGATCTGGGTGTCGACGATTTCCCCGTCATGAACTTTCACGAGCATAAGCGCGAAACGTTCTCTGTCGCTTGGAACCCCGTAACCAAAGACTCGTTCATCTCAAGCTCGTGGGATGGCACCGTCAAGATAGTACGTGTCGCCCCACTGCCATCGGCCGACTTGCACGAAGAAGCTAACGGCAGGACAGTGGTCTCCCACGCGCAACCATTCCATCACGACACTGCCCATTGGCAATTGCACCTACAGCACCTCGTTCTGCCCCTCGAACCCCGCCTTGATATCGGCTGTCTCGTCCGACTCGCATCTCCGCATCTTCGACCTGCGCACGCCATCCTCGGCCAAGTACCATCTCGTAGCGACGGTGCCTGTGCACGCCGCGCCGGCCGGACCGACAGGCCCAGGGCCTTCAGCCCAGGCAGCCCCCGCCGAGGTGCTCACACATGACTGGAACAAGTATAACGATACTGTGATAGCAACAGGAGGCGTCGATAGGATCCTGCGCACTTTCGATATCCGCAGCCCAACGGCCGGTCCGCTGTCGTTAATGCAGGGCCACGAGTACGCCGTGCGACGGCTTGCGTGGAGCCCGCATGCCAGGGATGTCTTGATCAGTGCCAGCTACGACATGACAGTGCGGCTATGGCACGACGATGCGGGACCGCCGCAGGACTTGGCCTTGGGCCCGCGCCTCGGGCAGCAGATGGGCGTCATGAACCGGCATACAGAGTTTGTGACGGGCGTGGACTGGTGCCTCTTTGGCATGGGAGGTTGGGTGGCTACCGTCGGGTGGGATGAAAGAGTGCTGCTGTGGGACTCCAACATGCTGATGTCTGGGAGGTAAAGGCGGAAAAAGACGAGATACCATGCATGCGTTGCACGCGGCGGGCAAAGTAAGAACTGGGTCCAGACGACGTTTGCGAGGCATGACAGGACAGGGACACCAGTATAGATGGGGCTTGCCGTGCTCTGGTTTGAATGAATAAAACATTGATGCATTAAGAGATCTAGATCGTGGAGATGTGCCACGCAGGCAAAAACTGCCTCCCTGAGAAAATGGTTACGCCGTCCCTATATTGTACACACAACCAACCGACTCCCAAAATGGCCATACTTTTTTACACAGCCGCCAAGTCATCAGACATGCCAATATGCAATAACAACACAGGTAGAGATACAGGATGGAAAATGCGAGAGACTGGATCCAGCCGTTTGCTCGATCATTTACCATGAGCCTCCGGCGCCGCCGTCACGACCGCCGTCACGACCGCCTCCGAAGCCACGACCGCCGCCGTCACGACCACCGCGGCCTCCTCGGCTGAAGCCGCCGCCGCCGAAGCCACCGCCACGACGGCCACCGTCATCGTCACGGCGGCCCTCGAAGCTGCGGCTGAAGCTGTCGCCACCGCGGCCTCCTCGGCTGAAGCCGCCACGACCGCCGCGGCCGCCACGGTCATCACGGTCCGAGTGCACACGCTCGCCGACATTGATGAAGCCGCTCCGGTGGTCGAGGCCAATGTTGCGCACCAGCGACGGCGACAGGGGCGGGGTCTCGGACCAGCCCCAGCCACGGGTCACCCAGTAGTGCAGATCCTCGGCCAGCTCCTGCTTCCGCGAGGCGGTGCCGAACGATGAGCTGTAGGCGGACGACAGCAGGGACTTGGGCACCATTTGCACAATGTCCTTGAACTCCTGAAAGTGCTTGGGCAGCTCGCCCTCGGCAATGTCGGCCTCGGCGCTCTCGAGCGACTGGTCCTGCTTCAGCGGCAGGCCGTTGAGGAGCTTCCGCGCCGCGTTGACCTCGAGCGGCGTCAGGATGAGCCAGCCCTCACCCTCCTTGTTCTGGCGACCGGTGCGGCCGAGACGGTGAATGTAGGATTCGCGGTCGCGGGGGGAGTCGATCTGGATGACGTGCGTCACGTTGGGGAAGTCCATGCCACGCGCGGTGACGTCGGACGAGAAGAGAACGCCGGACCGGCAGCGACGGAACATGTCGGCCGCGCGTGTGCGCTGCATCTGCCCGAGTTTCGAGTGGATGGAAAATGTGCTCATGGCGGTCATGCGCTCCTTGCGGCGCTGGAAGCCGACCTCGCCTGCTAGCTCGGTCAAGGAGGTGGTGTTGAAGTACACAATGGCCTTGAAGGGATTGCGCTCCGGGTCGGCCTCGGCCGCCTCGTATTCACGCTCCATCAGCTCGAAGAGGGTGGGGAAGACGTTGGCCCATGAGGAGACGGGCACCACTTTCTGAGGCACCTTGTCGTGGGTCAGGGACTCATTCTCGGGGATGGTCTGGACGAACTCAAAGTCGTCCGCGCGGACCATGGTGCGGGCCAGGCGGATGACATTGTCCGGGATGGTGGCGGAGACGAGCATGGTCTGGCGGACCTTCTCCTCGACGCTGGGGAGCATGGAGATGATGTCGTTTAGCTCCTTTTCGAAACCAACGTCCAGCATGCGGTCCGCCTCGTCGAGAACCAGCGCAGCCAGCTTGGGTGCGTCGATGCCGGACGAGGTGTCGGAGAGGAGATCGTTCAGTCGGCCAGGGGTGGCCACGAGAAGATGGCAGCCCTCGCGCTGGACCTGGCGGAGCATGCCCGTCTTGTTGGTGCCTCCCACGGCGGTCTGCACCACAAGGCCAGTGTGCTTTACGAGTTGCTTGGCCTCCTGGGCAATCTGTTCCGCGAGCTCGCGCGTAGGGGACATGATGATGCCTCGGATGTCGTCGGAGCGGGCATGGCGGCTAGCCGAGCGGGTCGCGAGCGAAGGATCCTCGTCGAGCATCCTCTGGAGCAGGGGCAGGAGGAAGGCAATGGTCTTTCCTGTACCGGTCTTGGCTTGGGCAACACTGAAAGGGGGAGAGTCAGCTACAGGGATGTTCTGGCCTCGTGGGACATGATACTCACATATCTGTGCCCTTGAGCGCAGGGTTGATGGTCTTGGCTTGGACGGGAGTCATCGTGTCGTAGCGGAAGCCTTTAGTGAGGGCGGTGATCAGGTTCGGGTGCACGTTGAGCTTGTCCAAGTCGGCAAATCGTACAACCTGGCCATCGGCAGCGGGCGCTTCTGTGTCGGCGGCGGCAGCAGCCTCTGCTGTTTCTGTGCTGTAGGAGCGCCCAAAGGTGGCGACGTTCTCAAGGGGGAGGACGAGTCTCGACGAGGTTGTGAGATTGTTATTCCGCGCAACGGCCATGGCGAGTCGAGGCCTCGCCAGTGTCGGTATCGAGCTCATGGAGCCCGCCGTCCTGGCGCAGCGCCTGACGGTTTGTCTGAACATGATGGTGGTTTTTTCGGTTGTCCAAGGTATGATGAGAAAGTTCGTCAATACTCGTGTCACTGCGCAATGAAGATCAAAGGGGTTCGGTGGTGTGATAGAGAGACAAGACACAAAACGATGAAAGATCGAGATGGACAGGATCAGGATGCACGTAGTGAGGAAGATGCGGCGCGCCATGAATTTTTTCGCCGTCGCGGGAGATAGGAGAGACCCTTTTTGCGACGTTTCCTCATCGGGACTAGTTTGAACGCGGCCCCACTGTTTTGAGGCTTCACGAGATCCGCGTCATCACGTGACACGCAGCGTGGAATGCTTCCAGTCATTCATTCATTCATTCATTACGTATCCGTCTCTCTACACTACTTTGTATCTTTCTCTCGCCTCATATTAGTATCTTCCTCCCTCGAGACAGAGTCTTGCAATCTCGCCACCATTATGCCTTCTCCTATCCCGTCCGAGATGCCTCGCGTGACCTCGTCCACAGCCCACGCAAACGTGCCCGGGACGCCTTCTCCCAGCTTCCCCTCGTTGCTGCTCAGTGCGATCTCGGCCACTCGACCAAACTGTCGCCCAGCAGCATTGAAGCAGTCCATGCTATGCCCAATGATTCTCTCCGAGATCTTGTATCTGCGCTCGACGCCCGCCGCTGACTTGAGAATGACAACCAAGTAGGGCAGCAAGAAGCGCATGAGGAGAAAGAAATTGAGGACCGCCACTTGCACCAGTCTGTGCACAATCGATTTTGCTTGCCCCGAGCTCGCAGCAGGTGTCATGGTTCCAGACCGACCTGGCCTGCTCAATGCTAGCTCCCGAGGTAGAGGATGAACGGGAGCCGCCGACCAGATCTGATCTGCCCCGCTCATGTCCAGGTCTGCTGGCAGGCTGCGCAACAGGTAGGTGAGGCTGTCTACGTAGGCCTTCCTCTCAAAGGTGGCATCGTTGCCGTCTTTACTGGCATCCGCGGCAATCGTGAGCAAACCCAGACCTAGCTGCCCTGTCAGATCACCGGCTTGCCCTACTCGAAGCTCTCTACTCACCTTGCTGGGCCACTTTCCAATTGATGCCCGAGGCGGACTGCTGCTTGCACTCTTCTGTCACAAGTGTCCGCGCATCCCATGCCAAGGTCGATGTGATCGTCGCTTGTGATACGTCGTCCCGCACATCATCCTCAGATGCCGTCTCGTAGTCACTGCTGGCTGCTGTGGAGGCGGTGGCCGGCTGAGCGGGCAGCATGGGAGACAGGCCGTCGTCCTTCATCGCGCCCAGGCTCCCCAGGCTGACCGAGCGTCGAAAATGCCGAAAGGGGCCCATGGGAGCTTGCAATGAGACGGGCAGCAGATTCATGATTGTCGACATGCGAAACTTCCCTCACTTTGTGTATCCCAAAGTGCTGCGTGCAAAATTGCGCTCTGCGTGCAGATGGAAGTTGGTTGAAGCGTGCGTGCGTACAGAGTGGTGGTGAGCAGTCCACGGCAACAACCGGCGATAATTGAACGCCAGCAAACTCCTCAACTCGAAACTGTCGCACAGCCCACGTGCGCTCGTACTACACGTACGTACCAGCCTCAATTTGTTGGGAGTCCAGTAACCAGTCTTTGCTGAGATCAAACCCGACGCCGGCTGCCCGGAAGGCAGCCTGAGAGAGTCTTGACATGTGAAAAGGTATCCACACAAGTGGCGGCGCCGCCGCCGCCCACGCCCACGCCCACGCCAGCGCCAGCGACTTTTCTGCCATCATGCTATCTCTTATCTCGCATAAATAGCCTGTTGCAGGCGAGATGCTTGGTTGCAGGCATCAAATGGCATGCACGGCATGGGCGAAACTGGGCCCATGGATTGAACAACTCGAAATACACGCTCCATATCAGTGTGCTAGACCTGCCTCATCGTTGAAACGCCACGGTCGTACCAGCATGCATCGTCTGGACCCTTGCCCAAGAAACAATAAACTCCTGCACACTCTCAAGCTTCAAGTGTGCGTATGCCCTCAGACCACATCCTTGCTAAGCTCATACGACCAGCCACCGTCTCGTCGAATCTTGTCTCGAGCTGCCAGATCTTTCCTAATATCGTCTTCCGTCAGACGATCTAAGCCGCTCCAATTGGCACTTGACGTTCTCGCCCTGAACTTATGCCACCTGTCCTTGCTCTTGTTGAACACCTCTTCCATATTCAAGGGAGCGGGCGGGCCAAAGATCTGTGATGGGTCGACCGTTTCTTGTCGTAGCAGAGCACCCCGGAGGTTGGGTGAATCTGCCCAGTCTGCCATCATTGTGTTGCGCGCCTCGTCCTCGCTCTCGTCTTCATCATCCGTATTGATCTCTGGCAGCTCAATGGCTTCGCCATTCTGGAAACGAGGCGACGACTTCTGCGCTGGTTTGACCCCGGACTTGGCAATGTACGAGCCCGAAGCGTGGCCCGGCGTCTTGTGAGATGGACCAGCCGGGTTGGCGTTCGGAGCAAAGGGTATCGCGCCTTTGGATATCTGGGCCATGTCTCGCGGGTGCGCGAGTTTTGCTTGACCATGATGCTGAGATGTAACTGTCGCTTTGAACAAGTCTCGCGCCGGCCCAGATTGATTGCTCGCATAGCTGGTCTGGAACGCTGACTTCTTGGACATATCCTGCTGCAAGTTGAATTAGCACTTGACAGGCAAACGGTATGTAAACATGAGGACGGCCAGACGTACCATCTTGAGCCCGGCCGAAGGCCGCACTGGAGGTCCTCTGATGTTAGGCAGGGGTTCACTGTCGAGTTCGTCGTGGTCTTGGCTCGTGCGGCGACGCTTCGCCTCCTTCATCTGGTAGCTCTGGCCACCTCTGGAGGGGGGTCTTCTAGCTTGATTCTGTGCGTCATCGTTGGGAGCCATGGTTCGTTTCAAGCCTGGCTTCGCTGCTGGTGCTGTGGACATGGGTCGACCGATTTCCGATCCCATGCGTGAAGGCGGACGAGAGGGCTGGCCAGCCACCAATGATCGATCCTGAGAGGAGTGGCCGTGGTTGGGCGGCCCGTTGGGCTGCGACCGTACGGCTGGTGGCGGTGCTCTGGTCTGCTTGGCTTTCTCGATCATGGCCTGTCTGTGGGCGCTCTGCTTGGCCTCCGCGTGCGCAGCAGCTTGTTCTCGGCTCTTCTGCTTTTGCCGCTCGGCGTCTTGTCGGCGCTGCTCTTGCTTGCGCTGCTCCTCCAGCGCAACGGCCCTCTTCCGCTCTACCTCGGCCTTGGCCTCACGGCGGCGCTGGGCCTCTCGCTCATCTTGCTCCTTCTTCTTCGCGGCGAGATCCAGCGCCTTAGGCCTGGGGGCGGACGACGCACCCTTCAGGTTTTGCACGGAAGCCTGACGTTGCAATGATGCCTTGCTTGCTTTACTACCGAGCTGGGTCGTGACGGGCGTTTCCGGAACGGCAATTGAGCTCTGGGCAGTGGGCTGATACAGTGGCTGTTGCGAGCCGGTATTCACGCGAATGACGGTGGGAGCTTGCTTAGGCTTTGGCTGCGCATCTCTCGTGGGTTTCGTTGGCCTCTTGAGCTCCTTTCTTGCAATCTGGCTGGTTCCCGCGGTCTTGGTAGATGAAGCTGGCGGCGCTGCAGGTGCAGCATCAGCCATGTCAATGTCGTGATCATCTGGCAGGTCTGACGTCTCCGCAGGTCGCTGGAACTTGCCAGGGGTGGTTCTCGTTGTCTTTGCCGATTCCTTGACAGCAGTTGGTGGCGGCAGTTGCTGCTCCTTTTGCTGCTCCGCGGATATCACTCTCTCCTGTTCCTTGCTGAAGACGCGAGCCTTTACCCTCTCCTTCTCCCTTGCCTTCTCAAGCTTCAGTTCCTGTTCCTCCATACGCTTGGTTTCCTTCTCAACACGCTTTTCCTCCTTTTCGCGCTCAGTTGAAGCTCGCGTGCGTCGTGCAACGGGTGCGCCTTTGCTAACATCCTCTGAATCACCCTGGTTCTTCGATGCCAACGACAGAGTGGAGGCGGAGGCACCAGCATGGGCGGCTAATCGAGTAGTGGAAGGGGAGATCATCGACGTTTTGCTCTCGGCGCTCAGAGCCGCGCTGCTTGCGAGTAGGCCCCTCGAGCTTTTCAAGATGGAAGACAGCTTGTTCTTGACCTGTTTCAGCGGACTATCCCGGAATCCACGCGAAGGTGTTTTCGCTGGGCTCTTGGACCCAGAGGGATCCATGATAGACGCATTGGAAATTGATGTCGCCTTCGTCAGCGGCAGTGTCTGCTCGTCAATGTCGGGCGCAACCATCGTGGCTACTGATACTGACGCAGACTTGCCATGTCCAAGGACAGCCGCAGGCTTCCGCTGGGGCGATACTGCTCGTTCCTCTTGCTCTGTAGCCGATAGTGCAAGCATCGCGCCACCAACATAATTCACATCATGGATACCTTCCATGACATCTGCCGAGTGGCTCTTTGGCAAAGCCGGCCTAGGACTTTGTGTTTGCTTGGCAACTGCCGCAGCTGGTGGTAGAGACTGGTTGACCCAACCATCTTCGTCTTCGTCTTCGTCTTCGTCATCCTCTGGGAAAGCTCCCGGAGTCGTCGTTGCGGGGTCTCTCGTCTTGGGAGATGGTGACTTGGGGCCTTCGACTCGTGGTGGACCTGTGGCATCGGAAACTTGGACCGAGTGAACAGACTTGGAAGGCCTTGGCTGTGATTTACCCAACCGGTTGATCTGATCCTGCAATCTCTGCGTATAGGTTTTGTTATGGTTCAAGACTGTCGATGACTTGTCTGCACTGCCTTGATCGTCAATATCCATGGGTTCCCGATGATCTTCAACTTCTTCGGTTCCGCTTTGTGTGTGATGGCCCACGTTCTTATCGTCCGCCTGGCGACCAAAGTGACTTCTTCTGTTGTGGTCGAGATGACTTAGCCTTGAAGTTCTTGTACCGGTGGCTTTGCCGCCCGTCATGGGCTCGCGCGCGGGCAAAGATGCGAAGTGAATGCTGCTCTTTCGCACGACAGGTTGAAGAGGACTTGAAGCATCAGATTTTGATTGCGCATCGTCCGAGGCAAAAGGAGAATCGATCTCTTCGTCGCCATGTTCTGTGGTGTCCTTTGTAGGAAATTGCGGTGAGGAAGTGCTTTCATGTACTGAGGGTGCGTCTGGCGCGACGTCCTCTGCAGGACCCCTTGCATCACCAGATTGCACCGTGGCTACTGCATGTCGCGGAGATGGTTCCTGAGCTACTGCATCCGCCACAGGACGCGCGCTCTGTACATCTCCCGCTGCTTCCGCAGGTTGGGTTGGTAGATTATTGTGGATCACTACTGGCCCGATGCTTGGCTTGACTGAGGGTACACCGGTCGATCCTGGTAGCTCAGGCGACGAGAACTGGGTTGCGGCAAGTTCATCATCTCCCGCAAATGAGCCCACGTACGTCGCTTGGCTCCCAAAATATCCGGAGTCCTGGCCTGGGCCACCGGTAGATTTCGCGATAGGATCCTTCGCCACTACAGCCTTTACAGGGCTTGGTGATGATCTTCCTGTAACCGTCGTGGTATTCGGGGATTGCATGCGGGTCAATTCATGGGCAAATCGATTCGTTGATCCGTTCGGGGTGGATGCGAATACATCGGAAAGTGGCTGAAGAATGTCAACCATTGTGGGATCATCCAAAATCAGCCGACTTACTTGACGCGCCTCTGAAGCAATGGGCTTCCGTGCTGTTCTCGGAGTCTTGCCTCGAAGCTTTCCGGGAGTCTTGAAGGTCTCTGCAATGTTGCTGAAGCTAGTCAGTCCAAGCCCACGTCCAGCGGTGTGTGGTTGCGCCTGCATTACTCACAGCTGATTCTCGTCGAATATTCCTGCCATGTGCTCATTGAGCCAGTCCAGCTCATTTCGGGCGGAAAAGGAGAATTCTTCAACCTCGGATTCGACAATTTGCTTCGCACAGGATCGTTCCTCAGCGACCCAGGCGGTCGATCCGACCTGGAGTCGCGGTCCACGCATGGCCATGGCGGGGATATCGCCGGACAAAGACGAAGTCCTAGAACGAAGGGCCGTTGCTGTCGTCAAGTGTTGATCATATGCGCAGTCGAGAAGTGCCTCGCTTGAAAGGAGCGTGTCGGGAAGAATTATGGGCGTGCTCAGGAAGATGATGTGGTGAAGCACGCCAGGTCGTCCGTAAACTGTTGTTTTGATCGAGGCTCAATCGGGTTAGTGCACTTGGAGCTATGTGCCTTACCAGCCTGCTCTCTGACGTGGAATTGAGACGCGTCGCAAGGGCGAGTGGATACCACGACAGTCCTGCACGTGCTGATAAGACTATCAGATAGTAAACATCCCGCTTTCCGTCTTGTTTACGATGGGGAAGTCGGGGTTGCCCTCTTGTTGAACATTCTCGTCGCAGTCGCGAGACGTATTCCAAACTATTCTTCACGGCGTTTCGGACGCTGGAGACGACACAATGAGGGTGATTGAGGTCATCATCGACGTATGTCAATGCATATCACGTCGCGTGAACATTTGCTCATCGTTTAAATAGGGCTTCAAGTCGTACCAGACGCGAACGGTCATATCGGGCTGGTGAGCGAACACCATGACCACAGAAGTAGTAGATGGATGCTCATCAATCTAGGGACGAAAGTTTCAACTCAATTACTGGTCTCAATGGCAGTGGAAAATCGAACATTCTCGACGCCATTTGCTTCGTCCTTGGCATCACCAACATGTCAACTGTTCGAGCGCAAAACCTCCAAGTACGGGGAAACCATAGCGCATGGCAGAAGAAGGGGCTCTAATATCTTGCAGGATCTGATCTACAAGCGCGGACAGGCCGGAGTCCAAAAGGCCAGTGTCACAATCGTTTTCGACAACCGAGACAAGAAGAAGTCGCCTATAGGATTCGAGGAATATGCGTCCATCAGCGTCACCCGACAGATTGTGCTGAATGGCTCCAACAAATACCTTATCAATGGTCACCGCGCGCAGCAACAGACGGTGCAGAATCTCTTCCAATCCGTGCAGCTCAACATCAACAACCCAAACTTCCTGATTATGCAGGGTCGTATCACAAAGGTCTTGAATATGAAGGCTGTCGAGATCCTGGCCATGATCGAAGAGGCAGCTGGCACGAGAATGTTCGAGGACAGAAGGGACAAGGCTTTGAAGACCATGGCAAAGAAGGAGTTGAAGTTGCAAGAGCTGAGAGAACTGCTGAAAGACGAGATTGAACCCAAGCTAGAAAAGCTGCGCACCGAAAAGCGCGCATTCCTCGACTTCCAGCAGACGCAGAATGATCTGGAACGCCTGACCCGGGTGGTGGTCGCTTTTGACTACCTGAAATGCCAGGAAAAGCTTGCCCAATCAGCGGCAGATCTTGAAGGGAAACGACAGCGACACAAAGAGCTTGAAGATTCGTGCTCCAGGATGAAGAGCGAAATTGTCCACTTGGAGGAGGACCTTAAGCGAGTGCGGGCGCAACGGGACAAGGAGATGAAGAAGGGCGGTAAAGCGCAAGCTCTCGAAGAAGCCGCGAAGAAGCACTCGAATGAGTTGGTCCGCCTTGCCACGGTTATGGATCTAAAGAAATCAAGCATGTCTGAGGAGGAGGACAAGAAGGCCGCGATAGAAAAGTCGGTCAGCGAACTGGAGACGTCTCTCCAGGAAAAGACCAATACTTTTGAAACGGTAAAGGCGAGGTATGATGCTGCTAAAGAGGGCCTCGAAAAGCAGTCCAGGGAGGCAGAAACCAAAGAAGAATTGCTGCAGACCTTGCAGACTGGCGTTGCATCTAAAGACGGTCAAGAGAATGGCTACCAAGGACAGCTACAAGATGCGCGCAACCGAGCGACAAGCGCGGCAACCGAGCAAGAGCAAGCAAAGATTCGCATCACCCATCTTCAAGGCCGTGTCAAAGAGGAAGAGCCGCGAGCGCAAAAGGCCAAAGAGCAGAACGCAGATCTCCTCCGGGATCTCGACTCTATGAAGACCCACGCACAGAAACTTGAGAAAGAGCTCCAGCGTCTCGGGTTTGAACCAGGCCGGGAAGAAGCAATGTACAATGAGGAATCGCGACTACAGCAGACCATCCGCACTTTGCGGCAAGAGTCGGACAAATTGAAGCGCTCAGTGGCCAACATCGATTTTAACTATGCTGATCCAGTGCCGAAATTCGACAGGTCCAAGGTGAAAGGCTTGGTTGCGCAGCTCTTCACTCTCGACAAAGAACACTCAAACGCCGGTACGGCCTTGGAAATCTGTGCAGGTGGCCGATTGTACAACGTCGTTGTCGACAATGAGGTCACCAGTACTCAGCTTTTGCAGAAAGGAAAGCTGAGAAAGCGCGTCACTATCATTCCTCTGAACAAGATTGCTGCCTTCAAAGCCTCGGCGCAGACAATAGCGAATGCGCAAAACCTTGCGCCTGGAAAGGTCGATCTGGCCTTATCCCTCATTGGATACGACGAGGAGGTCTCGGCTGCTATGGAATATGTCTTTGGCAATACGCTCGTGTGTGCGGATGCCGAAACCGCCAGGCGTGTCACGTTCGATCCCAATGTCCGGATGCGCAGCATTACCCTCGAGGGTGATGCATACGACCCATCTGGAACCTTGTCCGGCGGCAGCGCCCCTAACTCGAGCGGAGTCCTTCTCACCTTGCAGAAACTCAACAGCCTGATGCGTCAGCTGCAGGAGTCTGAACTTGCCCTGCGCGAACTGCAGAAGCAGATGGCGGCGGAGAAGTCCAGGCTCGACCAGGCTCGCCAGACAAAGCAAGAGCTTGACTTGAAATCCCATGAGATCAAGTTGGCTGAGGAGCAAATTAGTAGCAATTCCTCGTCGTCCATCATCCAAGAGGTCGAAACGATGAAAGCCACCGTTATCGAACTCAGAGAGGGCATCACCGAAGCCAAGGCCCGCCAAGCTGAAGCGAATGCTGATGTGAAGCGAATCGAGAAAGACATGAAGGACTTTGACAATAACAAGGATGCGAAACTGGTCGAACTCGAGAAGTCTCTCTTGCAACTCCGCGCTGAGTTGGCGAAAAACACGAGCGCGCTAAAGGTCGTCCAGAAGGAACTCCAGAATACACAACTGGACTCTGAGCAGGTCGGTGCCGAGCTTTCGGCTGCTCGGGAGCAGATGTCTGAGGTCGAGGTCGCCATCAAAGCACAGCAGCAGGATATTGAAGGTCTTGCAAGTCAACAGGCCGAGCTCGAAGAGACGCATGATGAGGTACAAGCCCAGCTCGACGACGAGCGCGCCAAGTTGCATCAGTACGATAGCGAGCTTCGCGACCTCGAGGAGGCTACGCGAAGCAAGAACGCCCGCATCACTGAAGAAGGCCTCGAGATGCAGAGACTTGGCCACCAGGTGGACAAGTTCCACAAGGAACAACAAGGCGCAGCAGAGAATGTAGCCCGACTTGAGGGTGATCACGAATGGATCGAGGATGAAAAAGACAAGTTTGGAAGAAGCGGGACTGCGTACGACTTTCAGGGTCAGAACATTGCCGAGTGCAAGTCGACGCTTAAAAACTTGACGGAACGCTTCCAAGGCATGAAGAAGAAGATCAACCCAAAGGTCATGAACATGATCGACAGCGTTGAGAAGAAGGAGGTCTCTCTCAAGAACATGATCAAAACTGTCATCCGAGACAAAAGCAAGATCGAGGAGACCATCATCAGTCTGGACGACTACAAGAAGAAGGCGCTGCAAGAGACGTGGGAGAAGGTCAATGGCGACTTTGGCCAGATCTTCTCCGAGCTACTACCAGGTGGCAGCTTTGCCAAGCTTGATCCACCAGAGGGCAAGACAATCAGTGATGGCCTTGAGGTTAAGGTGTGCTTGGGGAAGGTCTGGAAGCAGAGTCTTACCGAACTCAGCGGTGGCCAACGGTAAGACTCCCCATCAACATTGCTCGGAGAAATTGACATGACTAACGAGACGCAGGTCACTTGTTGCCCTCTCACTTATCATGGCACTGTTGCAATTCAAGCCGGCGCCCATGTACATCCTGGACGAGGTTGACGCCGCCTTGGACTTGTCACACACGCAGAACATTGGCCGCCTGATCAAGACCAGGTTCAAGGGATCGCAATTCATCGTCGTCAGTCTGAAGGATGGCATGTTCCAAAATGCGAACCGCATCTTCCGCACGCGCTTCAGCGAGGGTACAAGTCATGTCCAGGCCTTGACCCCGGCCGACTTGCGATGATGGGCCTAGTGATGAGAGACGGACATGGTCATGAGAAATGAGGGAATGTATCTTAATATATCCAGGCAGCATGGAGCGTAGCGGGCTTGCTTTTTGGAGGATTGGGGGTTGGTCAACTTGCTTTTGCACTGTAGTGCCTCAATGCGGCCTCATATCTGGTCTTCTGCCCATGCCTATATGGGGATGTAAAAGTGGTCACCAGTGCTCAAGGGGACTACCTCCATGCCGACGTGCACCGTCGACTCAAGGTCTCGTTTTGGACGAGACTCAGGAAACAGGGGGCATAGCTGCATTCCTAAACAGCCATATTTGGGCGACCCTTTGTCGACGTCTCGAAACTTTCGCAGTGATCGATCGGGCTCGTTGCGGTGACGGTTCCCATTGTCCTGGTCGACATTGGGCATTTTACATCTGGGTTGTTAGCCAGCATTACGAAGTACCGATTTTCACACGCACCGAACAGTACGGCAAGACACATGAAACTGGACATTGTCGGCCGCCGTACCAAATCGCACGGACGTCCACTGTTCTTCCTCGTAAGGCTTGCCCCCCGACACTAGCAAAAAGTCAGTCTTCTGTTGCAGAGGAAGATACTCCACTTACTGATCATGTTGGACCGGAATCGTCGAGGGTCTAGTGAATCGAACGTGTCGTCCTCAATCTTGGACTCAAGGTCCCGGACACTGTTCAGGCTGAGGAGATGGAGAGGGTACTTGGGGGTGTTAACATCGTCTCCCAAAATGATGATTCTCTGACCTACCGCATCGTGGAAGTCAACTACTGGCTGGTACCCAACGTCTTCCTTCTTCGGCGCACACCTGAATACTTCCCTTCGATTCGAGGGATCCATCCTGAAGAGAGCAAGGCGATGCCTCATGCCGAGATACTTCTCCAGCTCAGGTGGCACCGCTTCGATCATATTCAGTGCGGTGGTGACATTGTTCCAGATCTTGACGTCTTCAAACTTGTAAGCCTTGGCCTCAATGTCCCCCTTTGAGGGGAAATCAAGGGGCAGAGTGAACACCTTCTCGTACGTCCCGCCAGTCAGTGCATTCACGATACGCTGTCTCCACCCCCGTGAGCTCTTCTCCGTCCAAGGGAACTTGACGACAATCACGCCGGAGCCATCGGCAGAATTGGCCAGCCACACCGCAACTGACAAGTTGGTCAAGAGAGGTGCCTCTCTCTGCGTCAGAAACCGCCACGTCGTCTCGTCGCCACGTAGCTGCGCAAAGGTGAACAGCCTGTCGAACTCGAGGCCCGTGGGGAGAACGCGACTTTGGGCCAGCTCAATGCCGCGACATGACTTGAGGGGATAGATCCAAAGACTCCGCAGGGTGATCTTGCTGCCGCCCAACGGAGACTTCTTCTGGGCGTCAAGGTTGGTCTGCGAAGGCAACAGTCCAATCCTAGTGTGTGTCTTGATGAGGGAGTTCGGCAACGCGTCGAGGGGCGTGAAGTAGACGTTGAGCAAGATTGTGAGAACAACCAGCGCCAACGCGGTGGGGACCTCCCACGGCGCAAGGTCTTGCCAGAGTGACACCATGATCCTTGCGCGCAGATGAGCGGTGACTGTAGCGATGCCCTGATCAGTGGTGTCTGGGACGACCCATCTGTCAACATGAGCATAAGATCACAACTTGCTGAGCCCTTTTGTCCACATGAAAATGTCGGCCCGTGCAATTCCCGGTCTCAGGCGTGCTGCCGGCATCGCCGCTAATCACGGTGTGTGCTAGTATTAACAAGCGTTTGGGTGTCGTAAAAGACGACAGTGAACTGAAAACCATTTGCATGTGTTCAATTAGCGGTTGATTGTAATATATCACGATTCATCTTTCCCATTGTCAACAGACTTGTGATCGGTTTTCGACCAACTTGAACAATATTGTGACTTCTAGCCAAACTAGCGAGACTACAATCACAGTAGGAAGAAGATGCCCTTAACACCCACATCATGATTCTGCGTTGAAATTATGATGCAAAGAGCAGCCCCAGGCAGTCGTTGTCATGTCTTTCCACATAGCTGCCCTGCCTGATGTATTGATTCAATCGGTCTAGGGTAGGCTCATGTAGTGGGCTCCATGGAAGTACATACGAACCCAATGTCCCCTACATGGGGGTCGGGGATTTCGCCCGGGGAGGAATACGAGTGGTCCCAGATTATAATAAAATGACAATTCTATAGAGTATATTGGCACTGATTCAGTGATTCTACTACGTATATGCCGGCGGGTACTAAAGGATACAAACTATCCGTGGTAGGCGCCGCTACACCAGTGGTGTGGTTGAATTCGACGACCAAGTCTAAGGAACATTATGATTATCCTCAAACATCAACAAGGGCAGACCATGTCAATTCACTATTAATCCAGCGATGTACCCGGAAGGTAGAGTTACCGACGCAACCCTAACGGAAAGCAATTCCGGAAAAGCGCATGGGTAACGAAGTGGAACTGACTCTTTCCATCACGATACCAGGAATAAACTAAGCCTCATTCACTCGGCATTTCACCCAAACCAAAGGCTCTCCTCTGCCCTAAGTATCTGGTTGTACGTCATGGCGCACAAACATAGCTCGTTGCTCATGAATAAGACCTTTCTGACAAATATTCAATGACGCGGACGAGCATGAATTGAAAATATCGCTGTCTGCAAGTTTGACCCATCATTGCGTGGAGTCGCCGTGGACACTGCGGAAAATCATATGTACGTCGGCCTTTCTTCGCGGTATGTGTAGACCGGATCGAAGCCCGGTTTCCGCGAGCCAAGGTACGTAAAAGTTAACAAGGACTAAGATGATGTACTACGTATGTACGTAGTACCGAACATCTGGTACATTGGTGGTTATTTGCCTTAATGAACTATGTCAATTGCGGACTGTATTGGAAGGCACAACCACAGAAGCAATGGTCATCGACATGTAAGGTAGCTAGCAGAATGGTATTTATTAGGTTGATTAATTCCATAGTAGACGGCGGTGGTCTCTTGTTTTGTTAGATCATGCTAGGCCCATCAAATGGCCGAGTCCCGTGCTCGTGAGGTGGTGACATTCATTGTTCACATAATAACCACAGTTCACACCCAGTCGACATAGTATTAAACTTCTTATGACACTCGGACCCAGTCACACAACCAGCAACAAAAGAGGCTTCGAACACCAATTAGTAAGGTACTTTATCACACGCTGGATCCGTCCGTCTCTTGGCGGACATCACGCTAGATACCGAAATCAACTAACCACTGCCCGCGCTGTTTACGGAGGGCGGTTGTTGGCGATGAAAAAAGAAAGCAAGAAAAAAAAACCCCCCAGACCCTGACTCCAGCATCACACCCAGGCTGCGCACCGCTGACTCAGGTGCAGGCCAGTGGCTGTCAGGCTGTCCGCTGTCGATGACATGGATCTGGGCCCACCGCCCAACCTTCTTCTGGAAATGCTCGGCCGAAGCAAGAGTCCGCGACTGGTAGCGCTGCACGCAGCGGTCCTAGCAGGCTAGCAATGCACAGACGGGCACAGCTTGTTTCTCTTGACAATTTCCGCGGTCAGATGATAGCCGCAGGCAGGGAATTGCACTCCGTACTTGGTGTTACCATACAGTCTACAGATGTGCGTACGGCCTACGGATACGGATACTGTTGATCAGTCATTCGGGTACCTGCACACCCGGAAGCACGGTTCCATTATGGCGCGCATTCGTTGCTGTTGCGAGCATACCTGGTATGTAGGTAGGGAGGACATCTCGCAAATACTACCTTACATTAGTGACAATACTTGCCTACAATCACGAAAGCCGTCCCATCCCGGTATCAAATGCCAAGCCTGAATACCTAAGGTAACAGGCACGGCGGATATCCCGAAGCAACAGGCACTAATTACTAACCAGACTAGCCCAGAGGCTAGACCGGACCGGCCTGGAGCTGCCACTCCAGCCACCAGCGGAAACTTATTAGTAGTGCGGCCGGCGGCTACTGTTGTCGCCGAGAGCAAGCGACAACCGGCCACTGGACTGAATACAGCAGGTTAGAAGCCTCTGGGTACCACTGTCCATAGTGGAAGAGACTGGACTGCAAAAGGAGCGACATGACAGCGGGCACACGCTAAATGAAGGTAGCTGGCAGGCTGCAGCCAGCTAAGCAGGCTAAAATATGGTAGGGCAGGGGCTGCTGCCGTCTATCGACCTTCACTCCGTAGCCTACTTGTAGTCACATGCGATTATGACACCTAGGATTTAAGCAGTCCAAAGAAAGGCATGGAAGTAAATACTACTGCCACAACTGCCCACGGATCATCGGCGATATTCTTCCATTGCTTTTTTCCCCCCTTAGGTTAAGCTATTGACTTTCTTGACGCGCCGTCGGCCGCCGTTGGCCGCTGCCTGCTCACGCCAAGGCGCGATGTCTCTGGCCTCCTGCTGGGTGATGCCGTCGTGACTCGCAACGCGCACCCAGATCGCCCGGATCACCGAGCGAATGCTAATTAGCTTGACGTGCGCCCGAATGTTTGTCAAGGCTCGCTGCACTTGTTTGAGGACCAGTCACTATCATGGTCTGGGCCACTTTCATTATAAACCCCTCAGCAAGGCATGGGCGTCCCTGCGGGCCTGCATGGTTCGTTGAGGTTGTTTTGCGATCGCATGTGCGTTGATGCATGCTGGGACCTGGTCGATACTGCCTTGACGGGACGCTAAAACATTTCATTAGCACCAACAACTTAACAAGGCACTCAAGTCATAAAAAAGTAAGGTGCCTAACGTAACCATGCTCAGCTCCCTATCCGTACATGTACTAGACTAGGATACTAGGACCACACGCGGGCTACGTACGTACTCGCCCAGGCAACTGGCATTCGGCCGCTTCCTTTCAAGTGGTTGGCATCGACACATCATTATTCCACCTGTCTATCCGTATCTACAACCGCTCTGTCTTCCCATACCGCCTGCAGCTGAGCGATGCAGTCCTCCTAACCGACTCACCTCCAAAACCGAGCAAGGGGGAACACATGCCAGATTGAGGCAGTCACACAACAGCCGTCGCCGTCATGGACGACCCTTACCGTCGCTACCTCTCCTCCATGTCCGGAGCGGGAATGCATCTTGTGGACATTGCCCAGCCGCCGCATCCCGTGCCAACTGCGCTGCCCTCAGCCCTGTTTCATGACTTCACCCTGCAGCAGGCACCAGACCATCACAGTGCGCAGCAGCAGGTTCTGGTCCAGAAGCGAAGCAAGTCAAAGAGTCGGACGAGCGCTCTGTCCGCCGACGGATCAGAGGCCGTGAAACACAAGCGAACCAGATCCGGCTGCCTGACCTGCAGAAGCCGTCGTGTCAAGGTTGATTCGCCCACCACCATGCGACGAGAGAATGCACAAGCTGATATTGGCCGATGTAGTGTGATGAGAAGAGACCAGTCTGTGAGCGTCAGTACCCCCATTTTGCGCCCTTTCGCGGGCGCATCTTGCGTGTGGTCCACCCTCGTTAACTTTGCGCGTAGGTTGTCAGAAAGGTGGCCGTGAATGCGTCTATCCGGAGCCCAAGGGATCGGCAAAAGAAGCAACCAGGTCAGCCGAGACTTCACCGCAGACCACGGAGCAGAGTGACGCAGGCGAGGGCGCGGCGCATTCAGACCGTGGCCGCCCTCGCGACCCAACGCAGAGCCTGAGCTCACCCATAAGCTCAGCAGGGGCGCAGAGCAATAGTCCGGCCGACCAGCGCGGTCAAACGCCGTCACCTCGTACCATCAGTGCCACTTCATCCTGGAGTCATCTTCCTGCAGATATTCAACGGCATCTCGAATGGATAGCTGACAACGTCACGAATCTCCATTACGGCATAGCGCACGAAGCCGACCATTTCTTTGAATCGCTATTGCCCCAGGCAGCCTTGCAAGATGAGGCTCTGCTCAACGCTCTTGTGGCCTTTGCGTCCTACCTCACGACGGTGCAGAACCCAGATGGGGACTTGGCGGAATTTTTGCGGTATCACCACCGCAGTATCACGCTGCTGCTGGAGCACTTTAGGAAAGGCGAGAAGCACGAGATCAGCACGCTCTTGACAATCCTGCAACTGGCGCAGATTGAGGAGTATCTGGGGGACTGGGTCAATGTCATGGGGCACCAAAGGGCAGCCTTTCAAGTCCTCGACGCCCTTTTCGAGCCTGCCACGGCCCCGCACACGCCTATGGGACGGATGTGCTTCACATGGTACGCGCGATTCGACGCGTACATTGCGGCCGTGGCGAATTGCTCCTCCACGCTCGACAGAAGCTGGTTTGAACACATGGAGAAATTCTGTCTCAACCAAAGCTTGCTTTGTCCGCATGACCCAGATCGGATACTCGCGCACGAGTACATACGCATCCGACGAATGAGGTGGCAACAAAACATGCTATTCACCAAACCCCGCCAACGCCAGAACCACCCGGACAGCAGCTTTGGCCGAGAGCACGAGGATCTACTGCAAGAACTGGTTCGGTTCCGCCAGGGATGGCCCCCTTCGATACCAAGGCCAGAAAATATAGAATCACGGTTTGGGGGGAGGGAGCCGACTGTGGACGAGCTGTTCCAGACGCTCGAAGGACGTGTGATGCCGGAACTGCCATCAGCGGAAATAACGGAGCTCTATGCGTCGTGGCATCTGACCATGATACTCCACCTCGTTGCATCGCCTGCCATGCCCTCGGAGGAGCTCATGTCCAATGTCAGAAGGCACGCGTACTCGATTATTTACTACGATGAGGCCTTGCGACGACGGTCATCCCAAGGCGTACTAATCGGCCTCCAGTCAATGGTGCAGGTTGCCTGTTCGGTTCTGCGCAAGGATGACCACAGGATAGGCATGTGGGTGAGGCGGAACCTCGCGGAAGCAGAGCAGATGGGGTGAGCCAGCTACGAACCAAGACGTCTCGGGCCACAAGACTAACAACACCGTCTAGGAGTATACAGCCGGCCCGACACCGCGAGCAGATGGCTCGCGATCTGAATGATCCGTCCATCATGCGCTGGTGGCTGCCCCATGATGAGGGCTTCACGCCATTGCTGCGCAAGGTACGAGAGTTTGCCGATGAACGGAACGACGTGGCTCGCACGGCGCAGCAGCAGGACGTGCGCGAAGCCAAGTTCTTGTATGAGCTCTTTGCACAGATGGAGATTGCAGGCGGATGACGGACGACAAGCGTTAAGCTCCGCGTCTGTAGTGTCTGCGTATTAGTTGAGTACTATTAAGTGACAAAGCGCCTGCCACGACGGGCTCCTGTGAAGCCTTCCCAACTTTCAACATACACGTGAATCATGAGTGAGACATCCCCGTGCCTCTCCGTCACGCCTATTCTTTCTTGGACTCATCCGTCGACTTTGCGTCAGTCTCGTCATCCGCCAGCTTGTCCTCACTAGGAGCAGCTGTGCTAGTGGTCTCGGGCTGCTCTTGAGACTGCTCAGTCTCCCCATACTCAGCCTTCCCATCTTTCACAGATTCTGGCTCCTTTTCGGGCGCCTCCTCATCCTTCGAGTCCTCCTGTTCTTCTACGCCAATGTCGACCACTGTTTGATCAGCTTCTGACGTGGCATCGCCATCATCAACGGCGGCTTGGCCATTGTCGAGCATCGTCTCCCCCATGGCTACTGTACGAGGCGACCCAGCATCCTCCACCATCATGGGCACATCCGCGGTCTCGGGCTCTTCGCTCAGGGTGTCAGGGGCTGAGAGATGCATGTCCCTAATCTTGCGCGAAATGCCGCCAGTGTCCTCCTCCTCCGCCGATTCCATCACTGTTGTGACCGCACTGCCTGTCGATGGACTACTCCGGATGTGTCGTCGAGTGTTCGTACGCCCAATTGAGTGAGCGCCATCGCTGCTCTCCGACGGCCCGTGCTCATGCTCTGATTGCTGCTGCTGCTGGTGAGGTGGCTTCATAATCGTCGGTGTAGATTTCTCCAGCTCCAGCTCGGCTCGCGGTGCCTCGAGGCCTTCAGCTTCCGGTGGGAGCTTGTAATTCTCGGCGGGGAGGAGGTCGTACAGGTCGCACACTGTCTTAAAAAGGACGTACAGCCCCGTCTGGCCTTCCACCGACCAGAACACACTACGGTGCTGGAACCACGCGTGAGCAAAGATACGGTGTAGCCTTCGAAACACATTGACGAGGTTCTTTACGCCCATATTCTTGCTGTGCGCGTCGGTGAGCGCAACGAAGCGGCTGGGGAAGAGTTTCTGATCCGTCACGACGTTGGCTGCCCAGTCGAGGGTATGGCAGCAGTAGTCGATGGCGCAGCAGCTCTTTGGCTGTTCGTGCACGGCGCAGAGAAACTGCCACTCCGATGCGCGCATCTCAGGGCACGTGCTCGCGCTGCAGGGAGGGGAGTCGAACAGGAAGCCGACGATGAGGCTGTTGCATTGAGAGATGAGGAACCGACACAGCTCGTACAGCCATAATGTCTTGTCGATGCCGGGTGGCGGCTGGGCGAGCTGGATCGCCGAGTCACGGTCGATGGGCTTCGCATTGCTCTCCGTGTGGTGGTGGTGAAGCGCAGCGAGATGCTCCTGTAATTGAAAAGCTGAGTCGAGCTGTGGTATGGTCAGTCCATGGCGTCGTATCGTTTATCCTGACATAGCGTACCTCGTTGAGGGCTACCAGGGGCGGACCGGCCGCCATGTCCGCCGCCTTGGTGCCTGGATGTATGCGTCTCCTAGAATTGGCATCCAGCAAGCTCTGCTCTGCTTGGGACATGTGTAAAGTGGCCGCCGCGCCGCCAAACGGGGACTTGGGGATCTCTGCCACCGGCGGCGGACTTGGTAGCCGGGGTGAGCCTGGAGCGAAAGACATGATGGGTGCTGTTGGGATTGTTGGAGTTTGTGTTTATCCTCAATACATTCAAAGTTACGATTGGCGTCGCGCGACGAGCTCGGCGTTTGGCTTAATCCAAGTGGCCCGGATTAGGGACTGGAGCTTGCATAATCTTTGTGCAGCACCCGCATAGGATCTGTGCATAGTGCAGTGACGGCATCGGGGCTTGGTGGGGCAAGCGACATGGAGGCGGGCGATTCAACTTGCAGTGCTCATGTACACTGAACTGACCAACTGCTACTTCCCAAGCTCCTCTTTCTCATATCTCACTCTTATCAGAAATAGACCACGTATTCTCGCACAATGGATCTTGAAGATGACACTCCGCCGGAACTTGTCGATATTCAGGCTGACAGAGAGACGGATGCATCAACGCAGGAAATCACTGCGAAAGTGCCAATCACGATAGTCACCGGTACGAGCAAACGAGGCGCAAGTTTGAGGAATGCGAATTAACAGTACAAGGCTACCTCGGCGCTGGCAAAACGACGTTACTCAACTACATCCTCACAGCTCGACATGGCAAGAAAATTGCAGTGATCATGAACGGTGGGTTGACTCGGAGAGCTTTAGTGGCCTGAACTGACATCTACAAGAATTTGGGGATTGTGAGTAATGCATGCTACGATTCCTTGATTCAGCCTTACTCAAACGATGCAGCATTGGACATTGAGAAGTCCCTGACCGTTAACAAGGGAGGTGAAGAAGTCGAGGAATGGCTCGAGGTCGGGAATGGCTGCATATGCTGTTCCGTCAAGTGAGCCCATCAATGATTGATGTTGGGTTCGAGCTGACCTCATCAGGGACACTGGCGTGAATGCGATAGAATCTTTGATGGAAAAGAAGGGGGCTTTCGATTACATCCTCCTCGAGACTACAGGGCTGGCCGATCCTGGGAATCTGGCACCGCTCTTCTGGGTCGATGACGGGCTAGGCAGTACCATCTATCTTGATGGTATCGTTACTCTTGTGGATGCAAAGAACATCTTGCGCAGTCTCGAGGACCCAAAGGGCAAGCTGGAGGAAGAGGACCACGACGGGCATGGCCCACTGTTGACGACTGCTCACGTTCAGATCTCCCATGCCGATGTAGTGGTGCTGAATAAGGTCGATCTGGTGACCAAAGAGGAGCTAGACCATGTCAAGGCACGGATTCAGTCCATCAATGGGCTTGCCAAGATCCATCTCACAGAGAGGAGCGAGGTCCCGAAGCTGGAGGGGTTCATACTAGACCTTCATGCATATGACCAATTCGACGAGGCCCAAGTTGCGCCAAAAGGTCATAGCCACCTGGATTCTGTAAGTTCAACTAGTGATTTGCGGCACCTCTACTGACGCTTCAGGCCATCTCTACAATCTCGTTCGCTGTTGGCACATTAAGACCGAGTCAGTTGGATACTGTTGATCGCTGGCTGCGATCCATTTTGTGGGAGTCTCAGCTGCCCGGGAAGGGGAATGACACCACTTTCGAGATACACCGATCGAAAGGACGATTGGTCTTTGACAACGGCGAGGTTAAAATGTTACAGGGTGTGCAGGAGATCTTCGAGCTGATAGACGCCCATAATGGTGCTGAAGAAGCCTCGCGGCAGGGTAAGATCATTTTGATCGGTAAATATGTCGCGGACGTGGACTTTGAGAATAGCTTCAAAAATTTCCTCGGATGAACTGACGATGGAGACAAAGAATTGACGCATTCTTGTATCAAACTGCCCTATAGTCTAGTGTGATGAAGACGATGTGATACCCTCTCAGCCTCACGGCAGATGGTTCCATCTGGGTATACCTCACCCCCTAGAATGGTAGCATGTGATTGGCTAGACAGCATCATCGGGGCGGATGGATTTGTGTCCGACGACCGCGATCGCTGGGTTCCCCAGACGCCCGCTAGCCGCCACTCGAAGCTGCAGCCTTCTTTGCGAAGGGACGTACCCTTGTCATCTGGTCGACGACAAACTGAAAAGACACCAAGCTGCAGGACAGACCTGAACCCCGCGAAGACGCGAACACCTGCTCGCTTCACAGCAAAGGCCGCGTTTGTTGACCCCCGATTCGACATCGCGACCGCCGTATACCAACGCACGAGCGAGCACGTCGTATCACACGAGGCGCATCATATCTGCCACCATGAATAGACCAGGTAGGATCTCCCAACATCCGTAGTGCACTGCGACCCCTCGAACCGATCGTGGAACGAAAGTCTCTCCTTCGAAACCATTCGTTTCCCAATTGCGACAAAGACCACAGCAAGTAGCGAGCCCACCGTGGCCATAGCCTACCAGCGCGATCTCGTACTCGGCTGTTCCCGGCGATGCATCCTACAGACCATAAGCTAGTGGAAGTTGAGGCGTCGATGGTTGAAAAGCCCCTCGAAGCACATCGCCTCGTGGGGATGCAAAGCCCGTCCTCGTGGTGCCTGCAGGCTTCAGTGCGGCCCAGAGTACAGGACAACACGGCTCTAGAAATATAGACTGGCGGTACAGATCAGCTGCTGACGTATATCTGCTTCAGGAATGCCGCCGACAATACGGCAAATGCCAAGTGGGTTTGGCGGACAACAACAAAATCAGCAACCCACCAACCGGTCTGTGTCGAGTCGGTTACCGAATGGAAAAATGTGTACGTCTTGTCCGCTCTACCGCTCAGCGTTGAGGCTTTTTGGGACGAAAGTGGGACAAATGAGGCTGATATGGCATGCGAATGACAGCAAACAACAACTCAGGTTGGGCATTTGGAGGTGGTGTGCCAATGGGCAGCGCTGGCCTTCAAAATCCCAATAGGCAAATGGGAGGCAACGTTAGCTTCGCCCAGAGTCTGAGCGGCTCCCAGCCCGCGACACCATTGGACTTGTCGTACGTGCGCTTTTCACTGACCCTTTAACACCCCTCTTGACTTTACCTTCCTTCCCGACACTCTCCCCCCACCTAGACCACACCTCCAGTCTTTGTGACATGCTCTCATCCTGAGCTTGATTACCGAGGGCAACTACGATGGCGAAGAAGGCCAGGCTCTGCAGGAAGGTCCTGCACTTGGAACCGGGACAGCCTGTCCCTAATCGATCCGGGGGTTCCTCAGGCGTTGCCTACTCCACTGTGCACATGAGCGGGTACATCTTTCAAGCTCGATCCATGCCACTCGTCCTTGCTTGCACTGTTCTCAGTCTGCCCAAGCAAATACTAACAAACGCACCATAGGGAATTTCCTTCGTTGTCGAATAATGCGCAAATGGCTGGTTCGAGCCAAGGATCGATGTGGTCGGGCACTTCGAATACTGGCAGCCGAAATATCACTGCACCAGTGCAAAGGAACCAGGGCACGCCTCTATCGTCTCAAGTCGGGCAAGATGACATGTTCAGCCCTCCATCATCACGTATGGCCTCTACACAAGGAGGCTTTCGGTTCGGGGGCCATGGCAGCGCGCAGGCAGCGTCGCAGCAGGGCCAGTCGGGAGGGCCGGACGAGTTTCCACCATTAAATCGTGGTGGGAATGGCGAGCTAGGCAGTGACAGGTTAGCCGCCATGGGGTTTGGATCACACGACGGGCCTCCATTAGGCACTGCCGGGCCATCAAGCAGAGGGAACGGACTCCTGAACGCACTTTCGGCCACGAACCCCGCGAGTGAAGTGCGATCACCCCCTGGCATGGGAATGCCTGGTAAGCTTCATCGCCCCCAGCGACCCCGTCATAATTAACGCTTCCAGGGTTATCGAGATCACATGACGAGGAAAGAGCATGCAATGTCCCCGAGGGCTCTAGGACTTCTTCCGAAGCCAAAGACACCAAGGCATTCGATGCTCCTGCGCCCATAGATCCATTGAACGGGATGTCCGACGCCGATAAATGGGGTATTAAGGGCCTGCGAACTCTGATGAACAACTATCCAGACTACCACGCTATGGTTGTTGGGCTTGACCCGGCGTCTCTTGGTCTGGATGTCACCTCGCCGGAGTACGTTCTCTGAGAATAAGACACGAACGCGAAACTGACATGTTGCTAGGCCCATCTCGACACAGGTATACTCGCTATTTGATGAAGCGCCACCCCGACCGACCGTCAATGGTGCCAAGCCTCGTTTACCAGACTGCTACAATGTCACCAATGTACAGCCTATTGAGACCAAGATTCAGGGGTTCAATGAGGAGACTTTGTTTTGGATCTTCTACAGCTGTCCTCAAGACATCAAGCAGCAGATGGCAGCAGAGCAACTGTAAGTGTATCAGGCGCTTGTTCAAAATCACGACTGACCTGTTAGCAACAATCGCAATTGGAGATGGCATAAGAAACATCAAATCTGGCTCACCAAAGATGAGCAGATGACCCCTCAAATATTGAGTCCGACGCACGAGCGAGGTTACTACATTGTCTGGGACACCAACAACTGGCGAAAAGACCGAGTATGACCAGAAGGCCTCTGAGAATTCTGAGAATGATTCCAAAAGCTAACGTCAATCCAGAAAGAGTTCACGCTCTACTACAACGATTTGGATACATCCCTGACGCAAGCGTCCGGGCCGTAATTCACTGGCAAGGTGACGACTGCGCATTTACAGCAGGGGTTTACTGTTTTCTTTGACAGCCTTATACGTGCAAGGAAGGTGGATCATGGCAATGTGCTGTTTGACTACCGATGGGTGGCTCAGGGAGGATGTGTTGTTCCCAATGCAGGCGCGCGAAACGGCTCAAGCGATGATCCTCATGGATGCACGTCTCTAGGTTACGGGTACTGCTGAAGAGCAATCTTCTGCCTTGAGATGGATTCTCTATGAATTGAGTGAGCAATTGCAGCCAGGCATTGTTCTGATATGCGTTTGTCACATGCATGTACAGTTCATCGCAGTCTGTTATCGGTGCACGTACTTAGCTTCTGTTGCCGACATTTTACCGATCGCGCATACGTTGCAGCAATCTTCCCAGTAATGATGGCATTTGATCCACATCTTCCTTAGCCTGCCTGTCCATCCTCCACCTAACTAATACCTAATAAAGCCGAGGGTCGCCGCCTGCTAGAAGGGCCTCGACCTGGGTCAACGATAAGACACTTCTCGTCCATCTGTATCGACGTACGGAGTAGGCAACCCCGATTCACGACACGCTCGCTTAGGCTAGACAAGTCTCGCTACAGCTGCAACGGCCGTGCGCCACTTCGCGCCAGCTCATACGACATCTTCGGTGGATGACCAATCACGAGCTCAACCCGCACCAGACCCCAAGATCAACGCCATTCATCTTCCGCTGGGCGGTCTTTTGAATCTGTACCAAGAATAAGATGTCTGACGACCAAATTTCGCTGCCCTACTTCGCAGCGATTCTGATTATCCTGGGCTTCATCGCGCGCTATCTGTTCTTCAATGGAGGAGGAGCTTCGGCAGCGCAATCGCCGCGATCGCCCGAGGCGCTCCTGCGAGCTCGAGAAACAGCTGTAGAAAGAATACAGCAGATGTTCCCACAAACGGAACGACGGACGATTTTGTGGGATCTGCACAGGAATGGGATGAACATACAGAACACGACGGAGAGGATTCTGGCAGGCCGTCTGGAAACAGTGAGTTCGCTCAAGTTTCGAAAGCTTCCGTTATTACAGCCCGACTGACATTGGCGTGATTAGCCTCCCATTACTTTCCAACCCCCTGCGCCACCACCGCCGAACACCACGAGCGCGAGCTCGGCGGCAGCTCTCCGCAAAGTCGAGAAGCCGTCGCAGCCAGACCTGATCACGCGCTACAACCTTACCAATCGTATCACCAGCTCGACTGCGACCGATGATACGGTCAACATCGATTCCAAGACCAAAGCCTGGAGCTCCAATCGAGACGAGAGGCAGGCGTCTTTGCAAAAAAGAAGGGAGGACATGATCCTTGCCGCAAGGAGGAAGATGGAGGCGAAACTCGCGAAAGGGAAAAGCACCTGAAGGGATGGGACATGTTTGATCTGACTGTCACGACCATTTGCCGGCATTGTGTTTGATCAACATATGACAATGAACATTATTACCAGATCCACAAGGCGGTACCAGCAGGACTCTGTGATGGTCAGTACCGAATGTGTCTAAGAGGCAGCCCTCTCTTGCTGATAGCCCCCTGTCCCATGTCAGGGTGGATGCGAATTGCAATGTCTGACACCTCTTCGATCCAAGCTGATAGAATCTTACAAAGATAGAGGAGCTCCGTGATTGCACTGCGCCTTCGTTGGTTAAGGCGAAATGAATACTGCCTCATTTCCTCAGCCACACGTCGGCGTCTACATCTAAGGTATCTGCAGGTTGAAGCCTGTTTTGGCGGGGCTGTGTAGACCCTGGATTTGGCGATCCACTATCACTGCAAGAGGCGTGGTGGGTCTACGCAGTCGTTGAGGATACTGTAAAACCAACAAGCAGCGCAACCGCTATGCCAAAAGAAAAAAGAAAAAAGAGAAGCTCCTGCGCAAGCAACATCTTTTTAGACTTAAAAAAAAATGTTTCTGGGCGAACACTGTGACGAGGCTGATCGATTTGACGTCATCGTGGGTGATCTACAGTGGTGCGCGCAGCTTAATTAACCTGAGCTGTATCCGTATAAAGTAGTACCTGGCAATCGTCACGCTTGGGCCAAGCCTGCTGCAGAAAGCCACGACCTACCGTGACTTGCTGTTTGCGCCTAGTCCGACCTACTCATTATTTCTCAGTCCCACCTCAACTCACCGAGGACACAACCTCGCATCCAGCCCGCACGACAAGAGGTTCTGTGATACCCTCATTGCTTGCATCGCCTCGCCCTTCGACTCTAACCAGCTTCCTCTCACCCTTCTTGGCACAACAGCCCCAACAGGTCTCACCTCGCTTAGGGAAGAGTCCGTAACCCTCGCGTTACAGCAGACCTCCGACAGTCAACTTTCATTTGCCTATCCACAGACAATCGAAGTGGTTCGGCAAGCTCTCGCTCTCGCGCTCCCCTGCAAGCGATTGAAACGACTAGCGCGAACCCACCTCCAACATCGTCGCTGCCCAGCGCGTCGCAGCCATACCTGGACTACTAGTCCCTATACTCAGCATATAATCCCTTGGACATGTTCGTGGCCTTTCAATAATATCCGCAACACAATCGAGCAAGCTCCTCCGCAAGACCACTTTCGCTTGCGATGGTAGCCCCCCGCGACTATTATGCGGACCTCGATCTGCCTCCCACGGCGGAGGCCGCTGACATCAAGAAGCAGTATCGCAAGCTCGGTAGGAGACACGCCTCTCATATATCATACTCATTGCTAACGAGCTGGAGCTCTCAAGTACCATCCCGATCGTAACCCTGGCAGGGAGCAGGAGGTCAACGCACAGTTCCTGATCATCCAAACTGCCCACGACATCCTCACGAACCCTTCCGAACGAGCCAAGTTTGATGCCACGAGAGGACGGTCTGCTCCTGGGAAGTCTTCAGGCGTCAGAGGAAACCCATGGGCTGATCTTGGGACACAATTCCCAGCGCCTCCCCGCCGGACTAATGCTCCAGGGCGAGGCCAAGCTTCTGGAGCTGACCGATGGAACACGCGTTTTTCCTCTGGCGTGCCCCCAACTGCTCGCCAACATGCATCTGCCAAATCTGAGTCGATGAAAAATGCCGCCAAAGCATTTGAGAGCATGCGCCCCAAGCCCCAAGCTAAGGCTGGGGGTTCCTCAAGCACGCGTCCTTCGGCGGCACCTCCACCGACACCACCACGGACAGAGTCGGCAAGGCAACGGCAGCAGGCAGCTTTTGGCAACCGCAAGACTGGATACCAGCCACATGCGTCAGCCTTTGGCGATGAGCCACCGGTAAGCAACAGCAACTATACGACACGGCCAGACCCTTCGCGCACCGTACCACCACGACCAACAGAAGAGTGGGAGCAGCCTGAAACCCAGAGGACCGAAAGGCCTATGCCGCCTCCTCGGATGCCTGATCCTCTCAGTCAGTTCCGCGACAACTCCGGCATGGATGGACGTCAAAGCTCCCCATATATGGCCCATTCCGGCGAAAAGACAAATCCATTCGACGTCGACACTAGCCAGGGAGCACCCAAGGTTCCGCCCAAGGAGCCTCACACGAAAGCTCGAGCATCGAGTGCCCCCCGTTCCCAGGAGTCTCCGGCACCAAGTCGTAAGTCTCACAGTCATGGTTGACAGGATTTCGCTAACGCTAGTAGCAACCGAGCAGAAGGCGAATGGTAGCCAACGGCCCTCAATGTATGGAACACCCCGCAAGCATCGCCCTCAGTCCTACGCCCACAGCCCCCGCAAAGCCAGAGGCCCATTCCATAGTCAGCAGCTTGAGTCGATCTAGGAAACGATTCATGGCTATGAAGCTTGGCGCTGTCACCCTTTCACGGAGTCTTGGGCTCCGCAGACGTCTCCTAGTGGAGAACGTAGTACACCTCGAAAGCAAACATCCTTTCTTCGGAACCAGCATAATCTGCTGGAACAGTTGATTGCCTTTGCGAGGACCACCCCGGAGAAGAGAAGGCAGCCCTACACATCTCCAACCAGTCAAGTCACGCAGAGCAAGGCTAACAAAAGATCTATTAGCTTTAGCCTATCTGAGGAGACTCTGCCGACAACTGCGCCAACGCAAAACTTCGCGCGCAAGAGTGCAGATAGTATCAACACCAGCTTCACGAACGAAGACAAGGGTCAATGGCAGTTTAACGCTGGAGCCCAGCCTGCCCCGGCCTCAGCTGCCCCATCTGAGGATTCTTTTACTCACCAACAGCAAGCCGAACAGCCGCCTGAGATCCCTCGGAAAGAGCCAGTGGGGGCTCCCGAGACGAAAGCAACCCCTGCAAACGAGCCTTTCAACCCCGAGGGCTGGAGCGCACAATCATGGAACGAGACATTCGCACCTCCATCTCGAACCAACTCGAACCCTTCACCTTTAAAAGCAAGCCGAGCTAACTCGCGGAGAACCAATCCCGCAAAGTCTAAAGAAGGCTCAACCGCAAAAGAGGCCATTCTTGTTGACAGTGACGAGGATGAGATCTCCTTCATAGGGAGAGGCACACGGCCTTCAGTAGCATCGACTGGGAGTCCGCAGGCCATGGACATAGATCCCCCCCCTGTGACCGGTACAGCAACCCAAGGGCCTCGCATTGTAAATGTTCAACCGTCTCGGCCCGAATGGCGCACTGACGAACACGACGGACTACCGAAGGGGGTTGGAACGACTGCAACCCGTGAAAGTCACCTTCGAAATGCGGAACCCAACCTGAACGGAGCTGGATCAGAAGATTCGGCCGAGTTTCAAGCTAATCTTGCTGATTTGCGCAACGTTGCTCCTTTCGCCAATGCCGACGGCACTGGTCTTCATTCCTTTGGCAGTATGAAGGACAACCTTCCCTTCGAGAGCAAGGCTTCAGAGACTATCCCGCTTGAGCCGAAGCCGGTGCAAACGCAGCCACTGGTATTTCCCGATGCGCCTCTGGCACCCCGCCCTCCGCCAACAATGGCTGTGCCTGGGATGCCGACGAACAACGGGACATGGGAACGATATGTGGGCGACTTTGCAGAGTACCTGCAGAAGTGGGAGGATTTCACCGGTCAGGTCACAGATCACTTTGCTGCCCGTAAAACGCAGATCATGGGTCTACGCAAGGAGAAGGGCTACGGCTTTCTTGGCGCTCGAAGCGACACGGATTGCCTGGAGTACTTGAAATCTGTTCAACAGGATAATGACGTGCGTTCCAGGTGGAGCGCAGCCTGCGACGAACACGAGCAAAGGTTACGGGAGTTCATTGCATGCCGGGAGAAAGTCAGGTAACGTGTACACTCCACGTGGGTTGCAGCCGTTGGAGAATATCGAACTCGATGAGCTCCGCATGTTTCTTGCCCTAACAATTGTTACGACGTACTCGTGGGCGAGATGCCACACGCGCTGGACAACATCCATATGATTTCTGCTCTTGGAGAGATGTCGAAGTGTTCTGCGGCACGAAGAGAACTTGGTATGGAGAGAAGTGAATGAGGTTCCTGCGGTAATTGGCTCAGCAGAGAAAAAAGACGCCTGATAGAGGCCGCTGAGCTTCTTTCACGATTTATGGTTATTCTTGCTCTGGCTCAGCAGGCAAAACACACGCACGGCGAGCCGGGTTTAGCTGAGGCATCGAGCGTACTGCAGTTGGGAAATATATCCTGGCGTTTGGGCTGCACTTGTGACATAGAAGGTCAGGAGTACACGTTGCTTTTATCATTGTGCAAACCCGAGCACAGATATTACTTGGCAAGGGAACCTAGAGAGCATATGGATGACTTTTGATATCACGCACGTGTTCTCGCTGTGAAGCATTTACAGAGAGATCTTTCTGCCCCATTTTGTCAAGTGACGCAGTGTCGAGTACTCCCCGTAGGCAGATGCTTGCTTCCCTAGAAAGATAGATGACCTTGGTCTATGGCGAAACCGCTTTATCCAGATCAGCTTTGAGTACGTCATTAGAATCCTTCATATCGGATTGTGGCTCACGTCTCTCCCCGTGCTTGCGAAGTAGGCGTTTGCCAGGCCTGAAGTTCTTGTACATTCACCAGGCTGTGTTTGATTCTGGTAGCATTGCGTTTGCTCTTGCAACTCGACCAATATGACCGGAATAGCCAACACAAAAAAAGTGAACGCACGAAAACATACATGTACCTGGATACGCGAGCAGTCATTCGGCAGCACAAGCTTGCTAGTTCAGCCTGACTGTCGCCTCACTCCCATCTCCATCGATCGCTCCACGCCGATCCCGTTGTTTCCATGTCTGCCTTTGCTGGATAGAGTGCCTCGCACCTCGCAATATGTGGCGGATATACATGCCCTTTGCACTTTCATCCCTTTCACCTCAACGTTCCCAGAACCTCTCACTTACATACTCACTCACACCCACGTCCTCGATTCCAACACCATATCTTTACCTCATCACTACTTCAGCTATACCTGTGTAGTTAATACCTGTCCTCCCTACCACAGACGCACTTTCTCAATAGAAGGCACACTTCCTGCAGCAATGTTTGAGCAGGAAGAGACCAACGCCAAGGCTGGAGCTTGGACCGAAGCTGCAAAGGTAGGTACACCGCCCGCAGTGTGTCAATATGGCCTGCGGCCTCTCAACAGGACATCCAATGACAGACCGCAGCTCGAATTCCTCCTGCGCATTATCGCTGTCTACAAAGACAACAAGCCGATGCCATGGAGTCGTATCAACATGCCGGGCCGAACACAAAAGTCCCTGCAGAACCAGTGGACCAAGATCCAGAAAGATATCGCGGCACTCGCTGATGGAGATCCTGAGACTGCCTTGAAGGCCACTCGTGAGCAATGTGCACCAGTACAACGAACCAAACTGATGATAGTCAAGCTCGCAAGCGCGGCAAGAAGTCTGTCGGCATCGAGAACGGTGATGATGATGACGAGGGCACAGCTACCAAGAAGAAAGGTATGTGGCTCGGCTACAAGAGTCTTGATAACCTAGCTTATGGATCCATAGCCCGCACTCCTACCAAAGCCAAAGGCAAGGCCGCCAAGAAGGAGATCAAAGACGAAGGTCTCACGGACGATGAGGAAATTCTCATCAAGAAGGACGAAGATAGCGATATGGACTGAACCATTACATCCTCCCCTCCCAGAGCTCGGCCGGCTCAGAGTTCGGATTTCTTTTCGCGTTGATTATCCTGTTTCTGATTTACGAAACTCCTCATTTTTGCCACACAATCTCAGTTGCGAATATACACTGGTTGATTTTGCAGTGTTACGAGTAAGCGTCGCGAGCCGACACTACGAGGCAGTAGCAGCCGCATGTATGATGGTAGAGGGGGTCAGTTGATGGGTCTCGTGACTCGATAGCATTGCAACGCAACCACGTCCACCGTACTTTTGGAGCTCATAGTGTGACCTCGTGACATGGTGATGTGCCTGTTTTTGTGCATCGAGGCTGTGTCGTGTGGAATGTGAGACACGGACGCGGCGGCGGGATGGACAAGTTGGAGTGAAGTACTGCGGATAGGCTGTGACTATGTTTCCCGCGCACCAAACAAAGCAGGTCGCCTATGCCAAGGCTTGGACATCTCAAGTGTGGTGTAGCAGCAGCGTGAGCAGCGCGGATGACATGGAAGCTACGGCTGTTATTAGTTTGTACTTTGATAAATGAGCGTGTTCATATTGCCGCGAGAAGAGTTGCGACCAAGGATATCCATTGCATACAGACTGCATTGATCATGCGACGACTCGCAGCACATTGGAGACTTGCATTTATTGCGCAGGGCAGGTTCGTGACGTTCAACGAAGATGCATGTCTCACTACACTGCAACCCTCGTCTGTGTGGGAGCTCGGCCTGCGCTTGATTGCGATGGCACGGTTCCCATGGCGAGATCCAAGCAAGCCATCCAAGTTGGACGAAGCGGGTTAGACGCGTTCAACATATATTTGTTTCGTTGACGCTCGGATCGATGTTTCGACTATCAATCGCGGTGGTGGGTGAAGTGAGTGGAAGGCCGACTTATCAAGGAAGGCGGCTAATACACCTTGAGCCTTGCGGCCTACGTACTCTGTAGTAACATTAACTTTGATCATTAGTCCCGCGCTAGGGCGGTTGTGCAGGGGTTTACACAATTGTGCAGAACATGATCCACCTTTTCCCAACCTCAGTACGTACTCCGTAATTAAGCCTTGCCTTCAAGTTTTCCCCGGACTGAACTTGGAACTGACTTTCCATCCCCGTGTCATCCTCTCAAGCCTTCCGCTTTGTTTAGTGGTTGCGATTCTTGGAACACGCCCCTATATTGATTACTCCCGTTTGCTCTTCACAAACGCGACAGACCATACGTGACTCGGTCACGCTTTACCGCTTACCAGTCCTGCGATTCTCCACGCGTATTTGCGACAGACGGCCTTAGCCTTTGTTTTCGCATTGCCACTCTTGAGCCGGGGGTTTTCGCGGAATCCGGCTCCTTCCCAATATCTCGGCTTCGTCTACGAACACGCAGCGACCATGAACGTCACCGGGCGCGCAACACGAGCCAGCAAAAGAAAGGCACCGAGCTCACCCGATCAAGCGCCACCACCCAAGCGCGCAGTGAACGGAAACCGCTCAGAAGACGACGACATCGAGTACGTTCACGATGCCGAGTACGAGTACGAAGATGTCTCCGACCTGGGAGCTGATCTGATCGGGACGCCTGTAAGCTTGGGCGAATGGCGGGACACAATCAAGGATGTCGTGCGCAGCGTCGTCTCTATTCGATTCTGCCAGACGTGTTCTTTTGACACGGACCCAGCTCTCACCAGCGAGGCCACCGGGTTTGTTGTCGATGCTGAGCGTGGGTATGTCGACATCCGAGAGTGTGGTGGAACGGTGCTGACTGACCAAACAGGTACATCATGACGAACAGACACGTTGTCGGCGCGGGTCCATTCTGGGGACACTGCGTGTTCGACAACCACGAAGAGGTCGATTGTTACCCCGTCTATCGGGATCCCGTCCACGACTTTGGCATTTTGCGCTACGACCCCAAGGCAATTAAATATATGATCGTCGATGGGCTAGAACTCAGGCCGGAGCAAGCTCAAGGTATGTGAGACGTGCACATTAGCAAGAGGCCTGAATTGACAGCGGCAGTGGGTGTCGAGATCCGAGTCGTCGGTAACGATGCAGGAGAGAAGCTCAGTATCCTGTCTGGCGTCATCAGCCGACTTGACCGCAACGCCCCCGAGTACGGCGACGGCTACAGCGATTTCAACACATGTTACTACCAAGCCAACGCCGCGGCCAGTGGCGGCAGTTCGGGCAGTCCGGTTGTCAGCAAGGACGGAGCTGCTATCGCGCTGCAGGCAGGCGGTCGCTCGGACGGTGCTTCAACGGACTACTTCCTGCCGCTAGACCGACCCCTTCGAGCTTTAAAATGTATCCAAGAGGGCAAACCCGTCGAGCGTGGTGATATTCAGTGCCAGTTCCTTCTCAAGCCCTTTGACGAGTGCCGCAGGCTTGGATTGACTGCCGAGTGGGAAGCCGCGATACGAGAAGAGTTCCCTACAGAGACTGTGATGCTAGTTGCGGAGATCATCTTGCCCAAGGGCCCTTCGCACAAAAAGATTCAAGAAGGCGACCTGTTGATGAAGGTGAACGACCAGCTTATCACACAGTTCCTGCGCTTGGACGACATTCTCGATTCCAACGTTGGAAAGACAATCAAATTGCTGTTGAACCGTGGTGGCGAAGATGTCGAGGTAGAGATTGAGGTTGGTGACCTTCATGTCATTACCCCTGACCGCTTTGTCACTGTGGCAGGTGGAAGCTTTCACAACCTATCCTACCAGCAAGCCCGGCTCTACGGCGTCGCAGTTCAAGGCGTCTATGTCTGCGAGGCGGCAGGATCCTTCCGCTTTGATAGCCCTGACAACGGTTGGATCGTGCAGACAATCGACCACAAGCCAGTGCCTGATCTCGAAACATTCGTCCAAGTGATGAAGGCCATCCCAGACAAGGCTAGGATCGTCATGACTTTCAAGCATCTTAGGGACCTGCATACGTTGAACACCACCATTGTCTACATTGACCGTCACTGGTCTGCCAAGATGAAGCTTGCCGTCCGCAACGACAACACAGGTCTATGGGACTTTTCGGATCTAGGCGACCCCTTGCCACCAGTGCCACCCAAGCGCCGGTCGGCTGGATTTATAGAGCTGGACCACGTCCCTGATCCTGGCATCGGTGACCTGGTTCACAGTTTCGTTCATGTGAACTGTGCGATGCCACTCAAGCTCGACGGGTTCCCCAAAAGCCGCCGTGGAGGTATGGGTCTGGTCATCGATGCCGACAAAGGCCTCGTGCTCATCTCACGGGCGATTGTGCCTTATGACCTTTGTGACATCACAATCACAATCGCAGATGCCATCATCGTGGAAGGCAAGGTGGTCTTTTTGCACCCCCTGCAAAACTACACCATTGTGCAATACGACCCATCTTTGGTGGATGCGGACGTCAAGTCTGCGAGACTCAGCGACCAAGAGTTGAAGCAGGGTGAAAAGACCTACTTTGTGGGCCACAATAGGATTGGAAGGGTTGTCCACGGCTCAACCACAGTCACCGAGATCACAGCGGTCGCGATTCCTGCAAACTCTGCTGCTCCGCGATACCGGGCCATCAATGTGGATGCCATCACCATCGACAGCAACCTGGGTTCTACATGCAGCAGCGGTGTGCTAACCTCTCCTGATGGTAAGGTGCAGGCGCTCTGGCTCCTCTACCTAGGCGAGCGCTCCCCTTGTAGCCAAAGAGATGAGGAGTACTACCTCGGCCTGAGTACCAAGACCCTCCTGCCCGTCCTCTCTGCAGTTCAAAAAGGCGAGACGCCGTCTCTCCGAATCCTCTCGGTGGAGCTGCGAGCCATTGCCATGTCACAGGCCACTGTCATGGGCGTCTCTGACGAATGGATCAGCAAAGTGAGAGAGACCAACCCCTCTCATCATCAACTCTTCATGGTCAGCAAGCGCACGTTTGAGCGCGGAGACCACCCTGCCTCGTTGCTGGAGGGTGATATTGTGCTGACTCTGAATGGTAACATTTGCACCACCATCTCCGACTTTGACACAATGTACTCCAATGAGTTGCTCGATGCCACGATTGTGCGGCAGTGCCAAGAGATCCAGCTCAGCGTGCCTACGGTCAAGGCTGACGATCTCGAAACGGACCACGCTGTCTCTTTCTGTGGTGCTATTTTCCACCGCCCTCACCAGGCGGTCAGGCAGCAAATCAGTATGCTTCATTCGGAAGTGTACGTGTCGAGTCGCGTCCGCGGATCCCCGGCATACCAGTACGGTGTCGCGCCCACTAACTTTATCACGGCTGTGAACGGTACGCCGACCCCTGATCTCGAGTCGTTCATTCGTGAAACTCGCAAAATTCCCGACAACACTTGTGAGTATCTTCTTGCCTCAAGCACAAAAGTATGCGCTGACCACCCTAGACTTTCGAATGAAGGCAGTGACGTTCGACTCGGTGCCTTGGATGATCACGATGAAGAAGAACGACCATTACTTCCCCACAATGGAATGGATCAAGGACAACAACGAGGTGTGCGGCTGGAGGCGCGTGACCTACGAGGGCAAGGACGTGTTCGAGGGCGAGGCTACGGATGGCGTGCTTACGATCCCAGATGCGAGTGATATGGAATAACGCAGGAATGAGTTGTTGTACGACCAAAAAAGGGATACGCGTTGTACAACGATGAGGTCAGGGACTGCGTCGGTTTGTTGTGTCGCTTTCGGCGTTAGGCATCGTTGAATGGCGCTCCGCTGAGCAAGGCGACGAGTTGTTTAGAGAGACTGGAGCAAATAGAAGCTAAGCACGGTATCAAGTAAAAGATGTCCCTCAAGTGAAGCCAGCACCTGGAGGATGACGTTGACGCGCGAAGGCCGGGCGGGATTGGGCGTGTGGGGCTAGACCAGGACGGCGTGGCGCCCCGCACTTCTTGCAGCGCCTGGAGCCTCAGCACAGGCAGGCGCCAGCTTGACGGTGACGGACATCCTGCATGTCTTCGTCGCCTCTCTGCCTTGCGCCGTCCGCACCATCACGTCTTTTGCGCATCCTCCTAAGCTTCTTGATTCGTTTGCGTCGTCTTTCGCCCGTTCTGGAACGACAAATCCAAGATGCCTCCTCCTCATACCGGCCCAGTCTTCACAGTATGCCATCCCTCATGCCACCTACCCCGCGATACGACGACGCAACTGACCACCCTTCCTCCCACCAGAACAAGCTCAAAGTACAGCTCAAGCTGGCAATCGCTCGCTTACGGTTAACCCAACAGAGGGATGAGCAGCTCGGCAAGACACAACGGCGCGCGATGGCGCAGCTTCTCGAGGCCGGCAAGATTGACTCGGCCACGATTCGCGTAGAGAACATCATCCGCAGCGACATCACCTCCGAACTACACGAACTCCTGGAACTATACTGCGAGCTTCTACTCGCGCGCGCCGGGCTGTTGGAGGGACCGGTCTGCGATCCGGGTCTGGAGGAAGCCGTAAAGAGCATCATCTACGCGGCGCCCAAGACAGATATCAAAGAGCTGAACGTGGTCAAGAATCTGCTGGCGGATAAATATGGCAAGGAGTTTACAATGACGGCGCTGGAGAATTCGGACGGCAAAGTGAGCGAAAAGGTGGTTCGAAAGCTGAGCGTGGAGCCACCGAGGCCCGAGCTGGTTCAGGGGTACCTCGAGGAGATTGCCAGGGCGTATGGGGTGGACTGGCCCAAGAGGCGGACGCCGCCCCCTCCAGAGTTTGAAGACGGTGACGATGACGACGAGCCGAGAGATGGGACCAAGGTGGAAGCGTCCACTGAGCCGCAAGGGACTGACAATCAGCCTGAGGCCGCATCTACACCAGCCAGGACGTTGCGGCCAGCCGGGCCGACCAGTCCTTTGACCGTCACACCACCTCGGATGACGACGGATAACATGCACCCCAAGGTGACGTTGGGGTCGGTGGAGTTGAAGCCCAGCAAGAAGATGGAGGATGCCGCGTTACGGAAGAAGAAGGGTCCTGATGGGTCTGTACCTGATATCAGTGATCTGGAGAAGCGCTTTGCTGCGCTGAAGAAGCCTTAGAGGTTCCTAGTCTGTTTGCACATACATTTGGCGCTTCCTGCATGGAGTTTTGTCGAGACAAGCCTGTTTATGCAATTTGTCCATGGTCAGAATGATGGGATCTCGTCGTCGTGCTGCTTTGCAGTCTGTGATGAGAAAGTGAACAGGATGCGACTGGTGTTTTCTAGGCTGGCACGGCAATCTTGAATGTCCAACGGCTCGTGAGCCAGATTATGCCGTACAAGTGTCTGCATGTTTCTATTTGTTTACATCCAAAGGATGGCGCCCCTTTTTTGACCATATCTTTGACTGAGCAAGAGCAGTGGCAGTAGTGAGCTTCAGCCTCGGCGATACATCACCGCTGGCGTTCACTGCCTGGTCTTTGCTCGGTTGCCTTGAATGGACTTGAGCAGGCTAGCTACGGTCGAACACATGCGCTGATACCATGCCGCTGCATTTCTACAGTCGAAGGGGTTCGCGCTTCATCTAAAGCAGTGCACGCGGAGTAATTTCGCTACTCGATGACTCCAGAAGGTAACACAAAGACATCTCGATATGATAAAGAGTGTTGCGGTTTCCGGACGACTTCTACGTGCTTCTCAGATGCAAGTCACCTGCTGGGCGCCCTTGCCTCCATGTTGATTCTGCCGGCGGTGAGGACACTTCAGTACCTGGTAGGCCTTCAGCTGAACACTTGGATAATTCTGTGCAGGGCTCTTTCAATTCCCTTCAGATCATCATCCTAACCTTTTCCCTACACTTCATCGTAGTGGCCAACCATCACGTACCTATTTCTCTTTTACCAAAAGATGTTGATCCAACCGTGGCCAGCCGCGATTGAGAGCGAAGCCTTAGTCACGAATATACTAAAGAGTACGTTCCACATCGGTGGCTATCCCATCCCAACCTTTGTCGGTTGGAGAGAACGGACACTTGGGAAGAAGCTGAAAACCACCTGGGGTACCCTCACCAACAGCGAAAGAGCTTCCATCTATACGGTCTGGCTCTGGCAGCAGCCTGCTTATGGCCGTGAATGTTCGTTCCCTCGCAAATCCGCTGAAAACTACTGCCTGTACCTCGAAGAATGCGGCTACGCACGTGAGAAGGTTGAGCGCATCTGGAGGGAGTGCAGAGACGCAGCCGACAAAGGCACTCCCACAGCCCAGAAAGGGAGAGTTATGAAGTTCATGGAGGACATTGCCTACGGCATTCGCTTTCACTATGACAAGAAGCCTAGCATGCCTACTCGGACTACAAAGGAGAGAAAGCGCGAGGCCAAGGTGGTGTCGGGTTCCGTGAAAAAAGAGAATGAAACACCGTCAGCAAACCCAAACCTCGAGCCGCTCGGCAAGCCTAAGCCCAATGTTACCGTCGAGCCTCTCACAGAAGCGAACAATTTCCAAACTGTTGCGTTTTCCGGTCGACCGTCGCCAGCAGGCCAGGTAGCGGCTGCGGCAGGTCTTTCCAAAACTGAGAGGATCAAAAACAAGCTGTCAGCTGTGGTGGCCTCGATGCCTCGCAAGAATGTATCTTCGACTCCGACGCTGATTGCCAAGCTGCCCTCTGATCTCGGATCATCTTATACTTCAGAAGCATTGGCTGGAATTTCTAAGGATGCTCTCGCCATCAGCGTGAATTGGGGAGAGCAAACAGGTCAGTGGTCAATATATCAATATGACATGGCTCTTCTTTGACTCTTGGCACATAAGGGCGTCTGACAGCACCATCGACTACCTCGGACGATACTGGAACAGCGCGCAACCGGTGCACGTATGATGGCAGCTGCATGGCAAGTGGCCATGTAGCTAGCTGCCATGAAGGACAACTAAGGGATCCTGCGCAGGATACCGGGAATTTTACTGCCACCTGGAGCGAAAGACATGCTTCTCGAGAACCTCTTTCCATTGAGATCGACGAACACGGCATTATGGGTCAGACTTCCCAGACTGAAGGCGTTCCGAACTCGATTCAGGGCGTACAACAGGAACTATACTGCCTCAAAGAAGCCAGAGACCAGTGGGGCAACAATTCATCTCGCGCAGATGATGCGTTTAGTGCGTATCACGAAGGGCTTTTCTCGGGGTCTGAACGTCCTACCGGGTTGCTCATGGAGCAGTCGGGCGCTTGGACTGCTCGGCCGGGCACAAAGGCAGCCGTCGTTGCTTAGGTTCCAACGACAGTTATCGGTCACGCTCGCAAGAGATCTGACGACGTGGCCTACCTGGGGACGGGTATCAAGAAACGGAGGGTTCTCATCTATTCAGCCTACAAAGGTTCACCCAGGCCGTCGGAGACAGGAACTGGGATAGCTGAAGTCCAGAATATCAGAGCCTCCAGTGGTCCAGCCGGCATGGACAACAGCGGTGGTCCCGGTTCTATGAACCTAACAGCATTCATAGATGAGCAGCAGGGACTTTCTGACGGCCGTCTGAGTCCATGGGACGACGTATGTGTGCAATTTTGAGGTAAAAGATGTGGCTGACTGTGCTTGCTAGGACGAAGAAGCCATTGCAGACGCATCAGACATGAGCACTTTCAGTGGAAACGCCAGGTGCAATGGCCGCGGCGATATGATAGCAAACCTTGAATGCTCGAGCTTCTTGAAAGAACTGGGCCAAGAAATGGGATCTCCATACGCTGCTCAAGCCGGCGTCAAGGCATCTGGACTCCTGCCCGAGGTTCCGAATGAGGGGATTGCTCTAGGTGAAGGGAACAATGATGTCGGGGGAGTAGGCTCTCAAAGTCTAGCACATGACGGAGGGTCTCTGGCAGAGCCATCTCATGAGGTCTCCGATATGATTGGTGGCTCTAAGATTCCCACCTTGGTAGGGGAACTCTGCAGCTCTCCGTTGACGGCGCGCCCAACGACACCGGTATATCCTTACCAAAGCCATAAATCTCTGTATCGAACACCTTTGTATCATCCCGGGATCAACGCCTTGTTCATGAACAAAGAGAATCTTTGGGTACATCAGCCGCCGAGGCCTTCTGCTCTGGAATTTTGGCAGGTCCATGACACAGTGAGGAAGGAAGAGGAGTCGATGCTCCTCAGAACTGAGGTTAGTCCTCGTCACTTGTCTCAGTCGTGCGCCCACTGACATGCCCAGTGCCCAGTGGTGGCATGTCGTTTGCTTGAGCCGCTCTGAGGCAGCATTATTCGTACCATACTGGGAGGATATGCAGCTTCGCTAAAGCAACATCGGTTGCTGGTCTTATGAGTCATCATGAAGGAATAGCCAGGGCGGCTACATCCCCGATAGGGAACAAATATAAGGACCAAGTGCCTTGCTATGTAGAAAAGACTCGTGAGCGGGTTGTACAGTCTCCGAAGCACAGCAGTACTTAGCTGCCCCAAGGAACAATGCGCCGAACTCCTCCCATGCTGTATGAAACGTCGCTTGCCAAAACCCAACGTCGACCCGCTTATTCCAGTTTATCCAGGTGTTCCAACCTCGTCAACACAACCTGCTTGCTGGTCTCCTCGATTTCGCCGGCCAGGAACACCTCATCCAGGATCGCATAAACCTTGTAGAAGTTGAAAACGAGATCAAGCTCGCAGACGTTGCCGAAAAAAGCATCCAGAACCTCCACAAAGAAATGTATGGCCTCAAGGTAGGCGAGCTCGTTGTCGTTGGTGTCGACGCACGCGCAGAAGAACAGGCCGGCGTACCGCCTGTAGATGACCTTGTTGTTGCGGAATTCGACAAAGTTGGATTGGTACTTTTGGTCGCGCGGCGCGACGAGGCGGTGCACCTCACCCTTGAGCTTGATCTTCTCGTCGTCGCTGTACGGGGCGTACCACTTGGCGAGACGAGTCTTACCCCTGACATTTGTGAGCGTGCCGTTGCGATTTCGGCCGAGGGACATGGAAGCCTTACTGTCGGTTTTGGATCAGGATGAAGGACAACATCGTCACACGCAGGTCCTCTCATTCGAGGCGACGAGTAACAGACGTTTGTATGTTTGGGGAGTAGCGGCTGGAGGAGGGTCGTCGACTTGTCGCAAGCTGGGTTCCTGGACGGACGGAGTGTGGGGAGGCAGGGTCGACGGCACGCGGCATCCTTGATCAACATTCTCCAACGTCTTATTATCGATAAGCCATCCCAAGTTCAAACTGGCTCCCTCCAGCCAGCCAGCGTTCACCCTCACATGCACTCATGACTTCATCGGCAACGACGCGGTTTGCTGTGCAGAAGACTCCTCATCAAATCACTTCTCTCATGTCTCGTCATTGCAGAAACTTGACGTGTCTGCTCCCTCGATCTTGGAATGGATGAGGGGATAGCGACGCGCCATGGCTCTTCCTACTTCCCCTTCATCTCCTCTCAATAAGCTCGTGCACGTCCTCTGGGGCGACTGGCAAGCGAACCAACTATGGCAGCGCATAGTCAAGGCATCCCTCGCGTGCACAATCGCCATCTCTATTGCGGTGGTTCCCCAGGTTGTGGACGTTTACGGGCTTAACACCTACCTAATCCCGATGACGGTCGTCTTTGCCCATCCGGGACAGCGCATGGCGATGATGATTGAGTCCTTGGCTCTGCTCGTGATTGGAGCGTCCCTCGGCCTCGCCTGGGCGCTTCTTGGTCTCTATCTGTCGACATTGGCGACCGAGCAGAATTTGGCTGCTGGGTCCACGATACGTGCCTTGTTCTGGTTAGTAGCCACGTTCACACATGGTTTTGTTCGGTCTGCGAAACCTCGACTGTTTGTTCCCGTGTGGTTTCTGATGATTGCTGCCGGTACAATTTTACTAGGCAGCGATACCGAGGTCACACTGAGATCATTCACAAGCATCATGTACCCAATCTTGACTAGTGGAGGTATTGTGCTTCTTGTCAACATCGCTATTTTCCCGGAGCTTTCTACAAGCTTCCTGGGCAAGTCGACACTAGAAACACTATGGGAGACCCTTGACACTGTGGAGCGCGCGACACACTGGTTCATCACGACGGGGGGAGACTCGCCCGAGGCGAAGCAGAGGCAGTCTGGCGCATCCAGGGCCTCTGCCAACAAGAAAAAACAAACGTGGTGGACGGACTTTCTAGCCGACTTTCCAAACCCATTCCATGTCGGCAGCAATCAGACTATCCCCAAGAAAGAAATCAACTTGACAACCTTCGTCGAACTGTCCTCAAAGAAGCCTGGTCTGCGAGCAGCGCTGGCGAGATGCAAAATGGCCCAGGACGAAGTCAACTTTGAGTTCTCCATTTCACCACTCTCGCCCAAGGCGTTGAAGCCCATCAGCAAGCACGGCGCATCGGGGCTCGTACAGAACGTGGTGACTCTCATAAATGCTTGCGAGAACAAGTACGTAATGTTGAGCGCAGCTACCGACGTGGAATCCTCGCGTCAAGCAAGCAAGCCACCATTCAGCAAAGGTGCGCCGCCTGGATCGCAGGCTCTGCACCAGCTTCCAGAAGATGACATGCAAGATGAGGGGGATCACCTGGTGTCGATAGACGACGTGAAGCCTCTCCGAGAAATCACAACCGCCAGTGTGCAGAAACTCGAAGCTGTCTTGCAGCGTCTGCGTGAGCCCGTGTCAGCTTTCGGTGAGGAATTCCGCAGGGCTGTTCTGCTACTTATGGCCAGCATTGCATATTGTTATGATGTCGAGACCCTTCCCTCTGGACTGCGCAGGCCGGATGGCGTGGAGGTGGAGGAGGTGGATCTTTACTTGGATGCCTTCCTCGACGCCATTAGAAAGTTCGACGAGCGGTCCACTCGAGAGCTGAAGTTGGCTTGCCTGCTGGAGACAGGGCAAGGTGTGGATATTGCACCACGCATGGAAATGTTCCTTATCTCGTCTTTCATCCTGGGTCTCAGACAATCCGCACTGCAGGTGCTGCAGATGCTCCACAAAGCACGAGAGCTGGTAGACGAACGCAGGAAGCGCCATGACCGGCCACGTCTCTGGGTTCCTCATTATGCCGACATTGGAAAGTGGCTGTCCACGACAAGCGACTCGGATGTCATGATCTTGCCGAACAAAGCTCGAAAGGAGACCCTTGCAGGCAAAAAGAAAAGGCCGCAATCATCTCCAGACACTTCAGACAGCAGCGTCTCCGGTGTCCCCTCAGCACAAGACGAGGAGCAGGGACTCGGATCAGGTGGGTGCAGGCGACCTGGTCAGAGTACGCACAGATCCCAGGCCAAGGTGACGCCGGCCCAAACACCACAACAGGGAACCCTTTGGGGTAGAGTCAGAGAAAATTTCGCTGACATTTTGGAATGGGCTCAGCAATCCGATGACCTTGCGTATGCTTTGAGGTTCACACTGGCCGTGATGATTGTCAGCTGGCCCTCGTTCGTGTCATCCTGGAGGCAATGGTATGGCAGTGTTCGCGGTATATGGGCACCCATCCAATTAGTCCTGGCGTTTGAGGTGTCCATCGGAACCTCCATCTTCGTCTTTCTCGTGCGGCTCACTGGTGTCATCTTTGGCTGCATCTTAGGCTTCGTCTCGTACGAGATTGGCGACGGTAATCGTGTAGCCATGGTGGCTGTTCTCATGCTAGGTATCGTGTTCTCGTTCTATGTCCAGGTCGGCACAAAATACGTCAAGGCGGGTATGGTTGCGACGACCTCAATGTGTGTCGTCGCGACAGGTCAGTCTTTTTGGGCTCTGTAAGGCTGCTTCTTTTGCTGACTGTCAACCTCTTTAGCTGCCATTAGCCAGCCCCAGTCTGCGGTCGACACTTTCCAATATCGCCTGGTCGCCTTTCTCGTTGGTGCTCTAGTCGCCCTTGCCGTGGAGGTTTTTGTCTTTCCGGTGCGAGCGCGCCATCGCCTTGTTGATTCCCTTTCAGCAGCTGTTCGTCACGTACAGAGCATGCACTCGGTTATTCAAGTCGGGATCAGCAGCCCGTCACAGCCCAACTTCCGCTCCCAAAGGCTACACCATGCCTTTTCTCACGCGAGGAATAAGGCGCAGGCGTCTCTTGATGCAGCTGACGCCTTCCTCCCGTTTTGCCTCAACGAGCCACGACTCAAGGGCAGCTTCAAGCCGTTTGAGCCCATTTACCAGGAGATCATTTACGTATTGCACCAGATTATTGATCGGCTGGATACGGTGGTCGACATTCGGAAGGCGTACGGCTCGTCGATGCTGGAAGACCTCCATGCCCAGGTCTACGCATACAGGCGTAATGCTGCAGCCGCCAACAATTTGATGCTATTCTCCGTTCACGAGGCGATGACCACCTGGCTCCCGCTGCCACAATTTTTACCGTCTCCCCGTATTGCGCAATTGCGACTTGTCAGCCGGGTGCGCGAGGTTGTGGAGGAGAAAATCGCAACAGGGGCAACTCCTTCGGGCGCTGACAAAGATGGGCAAAGCTCCGAGAACGCAGCATCTTTCGTGACGCAACGCAAGTTTCTTGCTTGGAATGCAAATGCTGCAGGACTCATGGAGATTGTCGAGTATCTCGAGGAACTCGTTGAATTGACCAAGATCCTGGTGGGCGTCAATGCCTTTCGCAGCGGCCTATTTGAGAGGTCGCAATATAGCGACTACGTTGAGCAAGTCCGTACCAAGCGGCAACCGGGGAGGACCACCACGGCTATAGACGAAGCTGTCACGTCATCGGCCGCTAGTGATACCACAGACACATTGGCCAGAGTGGCCAGTGTTGCAGCGTCCGTGCAAAGGTTCAGACGAGTGCTGGTTGCTAACAGGGGACAGCCACAAGCCGCCCCCGAGGAAGCCATTGCGGATGAAGATGATAATGATGATGCGTTGCCAGCAAGCTTGCGCAGGGTGGGATCAAGAGTGCAGCGTCAAAGCACTGTTGCACGGAGGCGAGGCTTCAGCGCATCAACTTCTTGAATTGACTATCACACATTGCTTTTGTAAGATCTGTGGTACTACACCATTGTGACTGTTCATTGCCTTGTCGTCTCTGCATCTTTGATCCAACATGTTCAACTACTACTCAACACGAAAAAGACAAAAGAATAATGGCCACAGCTTCGAGAGGCAAAAGGATCAAAAAACAAAAAAGGAAGACTCCGGTACAGGGAATCGAACCCTGGGCTTGACGGTGCTTCACCTTGATGGAAGTGAGAGCGTCAAATGTTAGCCACTACACCATACCGGATTATGATGTTCACTCTCGAGTTTTAGACTATATACTGTAGCTCACGTAGGCAGTAGCGGACCGAAAAAGGCTGGCCGAAGCCTCATCGAACAAGACTGCGGCGCATCTGACGCACCACGATGACTCCAAAATACGAGCACAAAACTGCACATTGATACGAATAATCGAAAGTCAATGGGGTATTACATTATCCTAGACACATGAAATTGCCGTCCGAGGCTTCGTCACCAACCAAGAACCCGTATAAAATCCCACGCCCGACGCCCCCCTCCCCCCGGATCTCACGACTCTACACACTCACTGCCTCTACTTCTCCTGCAGTAGCTTGACAGCCTCCTCCCATCCCCTCTGTTCCGCCATCTCCAGCACTGTTCGGCCCATCTCGTCCTTTACGTCGGGATCGACACCACCGCCTTTCTCCTTCAAGAGTCGCAGCACATTCAGATCACCGTTCTCGATGGCTTGGAACATGGCATTCCACCCGCGGTATACCTTGTTCGGGTTCGCGCCGTTCTCAAGAAGCATTTCCATGATAGCCGTGTCCTCGCCATGGTAGCGGCGTACGGCCTTGACAATGGGCAGATGCTCGCCGGGAGCATTGATGTCGGCGTTTCCGCCCTTGGGATCGAGCAGGTACTTGACAATCTCCCGACGATCCTCGCGGATGGCAGTGGTCAGGGGAGAGAAGACGCCGCCATTCTTGTCCTCCACAGAAACGCCGGCGGCCAGGAGAAGCTTGACGGACTCGATCTGGTTGGCGGCCACAGCACGTTCAATGACACCCTTGAAAGCACGAGGCTCAGCAAGGACTGACAAGATGCGCTGCAGAATGATGGGGCAGTGCACCGCCATGCAAACCGGCCAATCTTCACCGCGCTTGTTAGGGTCGGCGCCACGCATGATCAAGAGATCCACCATCTCTGTGCGCCTCTCGCGGATGGCGGTGGTCAATGGCGACTGGCCCTTGGGGTTACGTTCGTTCGGGTCCATTCCTTGGTCGAGGAGCCAGACGAGCCCCTCCATGCTGTTGAAGGCAACAGCTGTCTCGACGATTCCCTTCGGGCTATTCAGGTCCGCCCCAGCGGCCACCAGCTGAGGCAGGTAATGCAGTCGATTGTGAGTGATGCACTTGAAAGTGGGGTATTCGCTTGCAGGTGTGTTTGGGTTCGCGCCGCTGCTCAGCAGCAGCTGGAAGATATCTGGGTGATTGTCTCGGATCGAAGTGCACAGGGGCGTGTAAACGCCATCCTTCTTTGCGTTGGGGTCGACGCCAGCCTTGAGTAGGATCTTGACTGACTCGATCTTGTTGAGGCTTGCGGCCAGTTCCATAATGCCGGGGGCCTTCTTGGGGTCCGCCCCGTGCTGCAGCATGATCTGGAGGCACTGTGGTTTGTATGTCGAAGGCCACAGCATGTGCTTCGGGCCTGGAAGATTGGGGTTGGCCCCATGCTCCAAGAGGCTAGTGACTATATCCGCGCGAGACGAAGTGATAGCCTCAAAGAGGGCCGTCTTGCCCTCCTCGCTCTTCCCGTTCGGATCGGCACCGTAGTCGAGCAGGAGATCGACAAATTTGGCTGGCGTTTTCTTGTTGATGGCGCTAATGAGCATCGTGTCGCCCTCCACATTGAGGATGCTCACGTCACCGCCATACATGAGCATCAAGTGGGCTAGGCTGACCTTGTTCTCAACCGTCGCCATTGCCAGGGGCGATTCCGGTTCTGGACCTGCCTTGACGTTGGGATCAGCGCCGTACTTGACAAGCATGACTGCGCCAGGAAGATAGGATTTCTCTGTGGCAGCGGCAAGCGGCGTCATGCCCTCTCGATCTGTTCCGTTGGGATCGGCCCCGAAGCAGAGCAGCAGCCGAATGCTTTCAGAGTCCTGCACACGGACTGCTTCGATCAAAGCATTGATCTCAGGCCCCGTGTTGGGCGAAACGCCACGATCGAGCAGCTGCTCAACTAGTTTGTGGTTTCGACCACGAATGGCCGCTGTCAAGGCGCCTTTCATCCCGGCGCCATCCGCCCCGCCGCTCGCCCGGGGCGTCCAGCGTGGCATGGTGAAGGGATCAACCTTGAGGCGCATGACGCCCTTGGACCCAGTAGAGCCGAGCTCGAGAGCAGCAATTTCTTCCAAGAGGCCATCGGTTGCTGTGTCGCTTCCGGTATGGTGCGAGAGTGTCTCCTCAAAGGAGCTGAGTCGATCGAACTGGTGGTTCTGGACAGGGCGCTCGTGGGAGCCCACGGAGCTAGGCGTTGTTGTGCTCCAGTGCCGCGTGTCCGGGATCTGGTTGCGCGAATCCAACGACGTATCGAAAGCGGCAGGTGCAGGATTCTGATTGATCGATGCAGATCTTTCCGACCAAGGCAACGGCGGTAGAGGAGGCTGTGCGGTATGGGCGCCATCTTGAGCAAGGTGTGCGTGTGAACGGCTCGCGTCCAACGATTTGGTTCGGTCGAGAGCAGCGGTCGGCTTCTTGCTGTCCAGCTTGTTCAGAGCAGCTGCCAAGCCGGTGAAGCCGATGCCCTGTGAGCTCTCGATCTTCTCGTTGCCGAGGCTCCATTGGAACATTAGAGCGCTCATCCTCAGAGATTCGCGTGTCTGCTCCAGGGCATAAGTCATCTTGCTGAAGTCGGTATCACCAAACAGTTTGCTGAAGCCACGCTTCATCTTTCCCATGGCGCCATGGCTTTTTCTTTCGGTTTCAAGCACCTTCAAGAGCATTTGATCGAGTAGGTTGAAGTCGGCTTGACACACGCGAAACTTCTTCTCCAGCTCCGACAGAAGATCTGCGGGAAAGAATGGACCAGCCCTGGAGCATTCCTCGAGCCCGGCCTGCAGAGTGAGGAGGACTTGGCAAGTGGACAAGAAGCTGTGAGCAAGATTGTCTAGCCCGAAGGGCATGTTGTTTTGCTTGACCGAGGTCAGGTACTCGAGCATGCGGACTGAAATACGATCCCCAATTTTGGTGGTCTTCTGGCACACGTCCAGGCATTGTGTCTGAGCTCGGGCGTGGGCAGCCGACGCGGTCATCTTGGCTGTCCGGCTTCGACTTGGTGGTCGTACGGGTGTCTCCGTGATGACAGGAGCTGCTGAGAGCCCTTTGAACTGGGTAGTATCGTGAAGAGGAGCCTGTGTCGGTATGCCAAGCCTCTCTTTGGACATGAGAGACAGCTGATCACTTGTAGGGCCGATGTTGAGAGCCTCGAGAAAGGAGAACTCGTTGTCAGACTGGGTCGGATTCGGCAAGGCAATCGACGAATTCATGGTGCTGACAGGCAACTCGAGAGCCTAAATCCGAGCAGGAAAAGATTGCAGATATGGCAGCTCCATAGCTTGGGCTTATGTACGCTTTTAGAGGAGCAAGAGTTGCCAGCAAAGCAGCCATAAAGATTAATTGGTACCTGTGCCTCAGCCTGGCCCCCTCGACCAACCCGTGATCTACTATTAGTTAGTATCAGTCCCATGTCGAGACTGGGGCGGAGGTGTGTCTCGAGTACCACTAAGCTACACGAAGTGGTTGGTTGGTTGGCTCATGACCAGGGCATGGCTGGATCATTGGAGGGAACCTATACGTAGCAAACGCGGCCAGACTAGCGTCGGGGAAAGGATAAGTTCAAGCGTATCTGTACACACAAGAGACGGGCCGAGCATTGGCCGTCAAGAGAGTCTCCAATTGGCTTTGTGAAGGAACTGGTATTGCCATGCCCGCCGTGCCTTCTTTCTCTTGCTTATTTGGAGAAATTGGACCCGAGAGCTCGTTCAGCTTACTGACATTGCTATCGCGGTCGATCGACGAGTGCCCAGGTTTCAGCATTCTGCACATCCACGTTTATGGACACAACTGCAGTCGGAATTGTGAGAAAGGCCGCCAAAGGCGCCATGCGCCGGTGGCTGGACTCGCATCCTGGAACAGGATCGCAGGAGGAATAGCCACAATAGTAGTAGCGCCGTTCGTGCAGGGGCCTCTTGCGTTGCCTTAAGACGACTGCGTCCTAGTAGATCTGCCTTGAATGGCAGCTGCGGGCTCTTAAAAGCTGGTTCTTGACTCGCGCGAGACCCGCCTTGCGCTATCGTTGAACCCTGACCCCGGCGGCCGCACCCAATTCAGCTTCAAGATCTGATTTGAGGGGCATTGTTCGCAACTCACAAGGTGTCGACTTGGGCTGCCAAGCCTCTATAAAGCCCAGAATGTCAACGAGACGGGCTCTCGAGTCATTGCACCGCTTCTCTTGCAACCGTTCACCATGTAGGCGATACGGCGACGGGGCAGACGATCGACCACCGAGGTTTAAAAGCCACCGTCCACGCGGGGTGCATTATGCAGGCGATTTCTGATAGTGAGGAGCAAGTACCGAAGATTCCTTGTGTTCATGCGGTACGGAGTCCGCCTTGTTGAAATTCGATCCAGCAGCCGTGCCGTACCGTACTCATTCGTTGAATCGTTCCTGGTCCAGCTGTCGCGGAGCGTGCCTCGCCACGCTGTGCGGGTCGCTGTCCGCTCCGCCCGAATGTTGGTCAAGCGAGGAGTTTGATGATCGGACTCGGCTGTTCCTTGCGGGCACCCCGCGAATCAAGACCAGACGAAGCACCCACCCTGTCCGGTTCGGAAGACCTAACAGCGTGCCGCGGGAATTGCGAGCATAGAATGTGCGGTCGTCCCGATACATGGTCGATAGCGCAGCCCACTTGTAAGTTTCTTGCGTGCGCTATTCACGGGGTCCACTGTGGATGCTGCCAGTGTCATTACCCGGAAAATGGGAATGAGGGGCTTGAAGTCTGACTAGGTATCTGAGTGTGTATTTGTGTATTTGTGAGCTTGTCAAGGTGCAATGGAGTTGGATTTGATCATACCTGCTAGGTCGGTCATTAGTTGGTTCCAAGTATATGAACATATGGGGGTCGACGGGGGTGCATGAGAGTGGGAGAAATCAGGCTGAGAGCAGAGTGGCTCACTGATCGATCGGAACAGAATGATGGCAATCACCCTGTCCTGATCGGAGGAAGGTGCATAGCAGTGATATGTACGTACGGAGTAGTACGTACTGCCTCATTCACGAACTACTGACTTATTTTAGACTATGCCTTATCACCCAATGCGCACCCTAGCCATGGCCCAGCGGCGGGTGGTACTTGCTTCAGAGTCGGACACCACCGGGTCTTCTTTCAGCTCTTTCCGTGCCGCGTGAGATGGAGTCGGATCCTACACGTATTGAGAATTTGAGATTTGAGCTTACTGATGCTTGAAGCACTTCGATTCGTCAGGTGCAGGCGTTGCCAAGGCACGTACCTGCCTAAGTACGCACGTACAGGACTACTGGTCATCAGGATTCGCTCTAGACCAGGCACCAGAACGGCGTGAACACATAACTAGAGGTACCTTGCCTTATCCATACTTCCTGAGGTACGTACTGATGACCTTACCCAAAACGATTGCTACTTATCCTCCCGTCCACACGCAGTTTCGAACTTTCATGCCACAACTACAAGTCCAAGAGTCTAAAAGACGCCAGGCTCCAGCTACGCGTCCCACCCGGGATCCCACGTGTGAAGATGTTGGCCCTGGGTCCTAAACTCCTGGCGGCCCTGACGGTTGCCATTTTCATGCAATTTCATCATTTTAGCGCGTGCTGTGTCTAGGACTCTGGAGATTCCTTCCGTGAGTCCGTAGTCAGGAGCTAACGACCCGTCGACGGGCTCTCGCCATCAATGATTGTGGTTCATCCCTACCAACGGGGGCGACTTTTGCGGGACGTGTTAATTCCTGTAGGATCTAGACTAGGTCCGCCGTTTTCCGGTCTCTCGGTGCTCACTCCCAGATCCAAGGTACACACCCCTTGGCGCTAGAGGAATCTCATCGATCTCCCCGGCGGCCCACTGGATCTGTGCTTGCAATGATCAGTACGTACCCCAAGGTGCGACAACACGATGCTAGAACCTCCTGCTCCCCAGACCGAGGTCATCGCGAGATCTCAATACAGCCCAGGTGAAACATCAGTCTAGAGGATTTCCCCAAAGCCAAAGGTCAAAGGAACATGCAGACCCATGCTGCTTGGGGAGGCTGGTCTCAACGGCAACGCGTCCAACACCCAACCACGTCCCGGCAATTGAGCACCTGCTCTTCACGTGGAGTCGCGCACGTTGCCAGAGGCAGAGACGACCAATGACAACCCAAATTTGGGCAATTGAAGCTGTACTGCAGCGAGCATGCGCTTCTCGCTCGTAGTTTTGTTATACCGGGCTCGGTTTGGCAGCTCTGCTGGAGTGGGCAAGAACTTCCACGCGCGATATAAAGGGCGGCAATGTCGTCTGCTCGGAGCGAGGCTTGTCGAGACATTGAACTTTTTCGTCTGAAACGGCAATCCTGAGTGAAGCTGCATCATGTATCGTCAAGACTCTCTGATCGCTGTCGCGGCACTCGTGTGCGTGGCCGCGGCTGGTCTCTACCCCGGGATCACAAACGAAAACCACACTTGCGCTCTTTGTATGCATCATTCCACCGTAGCCAGGGCAGCAAAACTGACAATCTTCTCAGCGGACCCTATCCTTTCTTGCAGTGACAAGGCCGATCCCAACAAGGTCGATACTTGCTGCACTGAGACATTTGGTGGTCTGGTACTCCTGACCCAGTACTGGAACACTCACACCGGCCTCGAGGATCAAAACCAGCTTCTTCCCCAGCGTTCATGGACTATCCATGGCTTGTGGCCTGATTTCTGCAATGGTAGGGTATTGCCTAAGCCTTTCCGGCCAAAAGAATTCGTAGCTAAAAATGACACTTACAGGCTCCTATACTCAGTACTGCGACCTATCCCGGCAGTATGACCCTCTTCCCTACCCCAACACCACTACAGGGACACCGGATGGCACGCCTGTTGTGCCCTATGATGGCGAGCCCATCTCCAAGTGGTTCGAGCCCAACGGAAAAGCCGATCTGATGGAGTACATGGAGAAGTACTGGCCCGGACTCGATCAAGCCAGCTGGATTCTCTGGGCCCACGAATATAGCAAGCATGCCACTTGCTTCTCTACCTTCCAGACCGAGTGCTACGTAAGTCTACGAGAGCAGGGCACGCCCTACGTGACCAGCGAGCTGACAGAGACAGGGTCCTAACATGCATGTGTTGGATGATCTGTGGGATTACTTCGAGACCACCATTGCCTACTTCCGCACACTCCCCAGTTGGGGCTGGCTCGCTACACATGGCATCATCCCTTCCAACAGCACACCGTACACCCTTGGTAATATTCAAGAGGCTCTGACCCAAGGGTTTGGTGAGCTGCCTTTTGTCGGTTGCGCCGGTCCTCGCTACAACGAGACCGAGGCTGGCAAGGGCTCGATGGATAGTGGCCGCACTGAGCTTAACGAGATCTGGTACTACTACCATGTCTTCGGTGCCCCGCAGCGTGCTCAGGGGTTGCGCGTACCTGTGATCGACAGCTTCGTCACGACCTGTGCCAAGGCTGAGAACGCCATCAAATACTACGAGCGCGCAAAGGGTAGCGAGCAGTAGCTCGGAAGGTCTCTGAAGAAAAGGGACATGATGAGAACAAGTGGGCATACACCAAGTAGAAATGATTGATATGACAAAAAGACCATCGCAATACTCGCTACAGGCAGTCTGTTGCGTAGCTCGACCCTATTAGCCCACCCACTACCCTCCATCCATTTTCTTGAATGCATGCATAGTGACCTGCCAGAACGCCAATATTTTTGGGGGGACGATCCCACTTGAGCCGATTAGGCATCGTCGTTCCCGTCCTCTTCGACCTTGGGGGCCACGTACGAACGCTGTTGGACTTCGCCCGAGTTGACCTGTGTGTCGGTGCCAGTGGTCGTAGCAGAAGCAGGAGCAGGCTGACCTGTGGAGGCAGCGAAAGCGGCACTGGACGCGCCCGCACCCCCGCCCTCGGCCTTGGACTTCTTCTTCTTCTTGGGCTTCTCAGTCTGGTGAGTTGGTCAATATCAGACATGCCTGCCCTCGGGTTGAGCGGAAGCCTTACCTCGTGCCATGCCCAGACGGGTCGGAAGCTGTCCATGAAGGACACGTCCTCCCACAGATTCGGGTACAGCCAAAGTCCGGGGGGTACCGCAAAGTAAGTGATGCAGAACAGAATGACACGGAAAATGGCCATCAAGAAGAACAGGCCAAGCAGGCCCAGCATGCCCCAGCTCAGGTAGTACACGCCCAGGCGGAGTTTGAGCGGCCAGAGCGGGTAGAGAACCACGGCAAAGATGGCGACGAGGGCCAAGGCAGCATACAGCTGGCGCTTTACCTGGCTGCCCTCGTAGAGCCACGCGTAGTACATATCGTCGCCAGCTTCTTGCTGCTGCTCAATCTTCACATTCCACTGGCCCTTGACACGCTTGGCCTTCTTGCCGTTCGGGCCAGGTGGAGGGTCAATCTGCTTGACCCTGAGGGCAAGCATGCTGAGCGGGAGGAGCTTGAAGGCATTCTCGAGCGAGGCCCTATCCTTAATCTCGGGGAGGAGTGGGTTCTTCTTGCGCGCTTTCTCGTAGGCGGGTGACTCGAGGGCTCGGAGAGCTCGCTTGACTGCTTCCATGTCAGTTCTGCACATGTGCGGATGGAAAAGCTGGACCTACCCCGAAACATGTCTCTACGCTCTCCGTTGAGGATACACGTGCGAGTCTTCAGATCCTGGCTCCGAAGGAACTTGGCCATGGCTAGGGCCTCGGGTTTGGGCGGACCTGGGTTGATCGCCTGGCGCTGGGGGCGCATTTGCTGCGGAGGGCCATGCTGGTGCGGCTTCGGTTGTCCCTGCTGCTGCTGTCCTTGGCCGCCCGGCTGCTGCTGGCCTTGTGGTCCTCCCGGGCCTGGCTGTCCCGGAGGCCCTTGGCCTTCTTGCGCCTGTCCTTGCTGTTGCGCTCGTTGGGCAGCCTGCTTCCGGATCTGCTCTATAAACTCGGGCACAGTCATGCCCGCAGCCTCAGCATCGACTCGCAGCTTCTGCTGAACATATTGGATCTGCTCGGGAGTTGGACGCTGGCCTGGCTGGATCGGGGGCATGCCAGCGGGCAGCGGTATCGAAACAGGTACGCCGCGACCCGAGCCTTGCGGTGGCGGGGTCGCCATACTGTAGAATGGATCGAGAGTCTGCTGAAATTACACGGATGTGAAATGAAGACGATGGCTGGAAAAGGCTGCGATCCGGGAGTACCAATGTGGCCAACGGGAATGCCGGGCGGGTTTGCCGTGCAAGTTTGTGGAAAGATTTGTGGTGTTTGAATCAGGGATGCGACCGATGTCATTGGGACTGGACCTTGACAACAGGGTGTTCACTTGACTGTGCCTGCAAGGAGTGCGACAGTCTGAGACACTGTGTGACGATGCGGCGCACTGTGATTTTTTGTGAATGCCGTTCCAGCATCGGTACCTAGCTAGCTCCAAGGTCGCTTCCAGCATTGTGCCCATGTTGACGCTCACTCCACGCAAATCCCATGTCTAGCGACAATGACTGATCGCCTTACCCAGCTGCAGGATGCTGTCGATCAGGTAAGGTCCTCGGTTCCACTGGAGTGTATCAGGCCAACCTTGCTCTAGCTGGCCCAGCAATTCGTTGCTGCGGTGCACTTTGTCCACAAGCGGCACGATTATCAGACGCTGGGACCAAACGACAAGGTTCGCGAGGTCAAGCCCGAGGAGATGCAGCAGACTAGTAAGGTGCAGAAAGGACCTCTACCCTCTAACGAATTCTGACCGTTGTCCAAGTTGATCCGCTCCCAGCCGAGGACTTCCAGGCCGGCCTGAGCGAGCTGTCGCGCGACCTTATTACGAAAGAGCAGCAGATCGAGTACCTCATATCCATGCTCCCCGGCTTGCAAAATAGCGAAGAAGATCAGGAAAAGTCCATCAAGGAACTGGAGGAGGACCTCAAGGCCGCCGAGGCACAGAGGCAGGAGGCGCTCAAGGAGAAGGATGAGATTCTCGCAGAACTAGACCGGGTCATACAGAGCATCCGCAGGCCATGAGCATCTACGGGTGGTTCGTGTTTTGCATTTTCCACAGCGAGGCGTTTGGCATGGCATAGTACTGCGGATGGTCCAGGTGCACATCTTTGACCAAACTATCAGATACCACAACTCGACGCGTTACCGAATGATATTATATCTTCTATATTCTATTGAGATCGGTCTTGTCTTCGCCCGGCTCAAGTTGCCTTGAAGAACTGTGGAAATACGTCGCGCAATTCGCGCAAGTGTCGGATCTGGTGCTGTGATGCCTGCTTCTCAGGAAGCGGCAATCCCTCCTCCACGAGGTGGGCGACGTTCCACCCAACGTCTTTCGCCGCAACGCAGTTCTGATACGAGTCATCTAGTACATTGTAAGCCCGGGTCGAGACCGCAAGGTACTATAGTTGTTCTCACCGACAAAGTAGCAATTCTCATAGCTTTGTACCCCTGCTTCCTTCATGGCCTTGTCATACATGCCACGCTGAGGTTTGCACAGGAACGGCACCTGAGCATAGTCGCAAAAGGTCAGACCCTCGAATTGGTCATCTACGCCCAGCAGCTTGACAACACGCTTTCCATGTGTCACGTAAGCGTTCGTCAGGAGCCATACCCGGACTTTGCTCCTATCAATAAACTCGAGGAGTTGACGCAGCTCGGCATCTGGCTTGATGATGTCTTCGAGTGGAAGCGCGTCGTCCACCTTGGCGTTGTAGTCGAGTGGATCGATCTCGTGGTGTCGAACTAGTCCTTCTATGGCCAGGCCGTAGTTGGTGTAGTATTCCCGGTGCAGTCTCACAGCGTCTTCATGAGCTAACCCGAGATGAGTCGAGAAGTACTTGTCGATCAGATCAGCCATGAGCTCGAAGACCCTGGTACCTGTACGTAGTCAGTGAGATGCTACGATGGCATGGTCGAAGGGTGGCCAAGAGCTAGAGCTAGAGCTTACTCCTCGGGTATAGACAGTTGTCGATGTCGCTGTGACCGTGTGAGTGAATAGCATGTAACAGCGGTTGAGTGAGTCATGTACAAGAACAATACTGGCTTCGTAGCCATGGTGTCTCCAGCGTCTCCCATATTGTGAGTCTGGTTCATAGGCTTGAACGTGCAAACAGGTTTTCGAGTTCCGGCGTGCTTGGTCTTTTGTCGACCAGTTGCATGGGCGTGACTGTTTAGATGGCAGTGTGTCGTTGTACTTGTACGTGAACTCATAAGCTGCAGTAGGGGTGGCGGGGACTGAAGTGACCGGAGCCGATGACTCGACGGTTGTCGTGGCTTCAGAAGCATCAGTCTACTTGCTCGTCCTCGGTTTGTCGGGGCCTTCACAGCTTGTTCAATATCTTCATGTAGTATTCGATATACCCTCAGTCTTGGGTATCTGAGAGATCATCAAATCGATCTCAACGACAATTGAGAATGTTCTAGCACATGTCGGCGCACATGTTGAGTTGTCAGATCTAACGTTACGCAACTGTTAGTCACCAAAAGTCTCCTCGAACGAGTGCGTCATCAGTGACCGCACCATTCTTCAATGATTTCCATCTCAAGCTCCTACGAATGTGCCTAGCATTATAGGACACCTGAAGGCCTTGTGTCAAGCCACTGTCGCGACCAGTGAACATTACTTTTGCGTTGTACGAAGACGTGCATAGGGTACGGCATACCATCGGCCCCACGGGCTCCAAGTGCTGACCGCCTTCTGCAATCAGCGACTGACCTCTAATTAGATGGGCCTCGACACACACTGCGAAATCCGGACGCGATACTTTCTTCCCTTCAAACCGCGCGGCAAAACCAGCCTTCCCATTATCATTAACATCCAGTGCATCGCCATTCTTTCCCTGTCAGTCACCTGTAAGCCTTTGCTACACGATCTGCCTCTTGGTGCGCAATATTCGACGCATTTGGCGTTCCTGTACTGTGTGACCCGAGCTTCGCGGATGCAAAGTAGCTTTGCGCAGGCCCTGCTTCTGCACAGATACTTATGGCGCAAGGCCATCCCACGTTGCTGAACGGCACGGGGCATCATTCCCCCGCCGGAGCATCAGGCAATGAGCTGTCAACTATCCAGCAACTTGAGAAGATCTTGCAGTTTCGCGACACGATTGTCTCGGGTCATCACCCAACTATCAAGGCCCCCCCTGGCGTCGCGCCGTTAGCACAGTCGTCACCAAGCTCCAAGCTCCAAGACGCGTCGCTGAACCGCGAATGTAGCGCGAATAACCAACAGTCTTGTTCAGCAAATGCAGCCGCCGTGGTAGCTCCCCCCACCGCGTCACCCAGCGGACTCGCTTCCAGACGAGTGTATGGGTTGGGAAGCACCGAAATCAATCCCATCCTCCTCCAGAAGTCGGACGAGCTGATCAGAGCCGAATTTCAAGCACAGAGAGCGCGTCTAGAAAGAGCCATCAAGGAGGAAGCGGAACAGCAGCGTCGCGCCAAGCAAGAGAAGCCAGAACCATACAATGACTTGAATCTGTCAGAGGTGCTAGCGAAGGCTTTGACCTTGGTACAGGCTCAAGCGCCTGAGAACACTCTGCTTGATGATGAAGGCTTGACTGCTAACGAAGAAGTCGCAAGTGATTCGTTCGATAACGAGACCTTCTACTCGTCACGACACGACACACCCGAGTCGAATTTGACATCACGCGTTCGCAGGGACTCGGAAGACAACCAGCAAAGGGTCGCACATGGACAGAAGCGTTCACAGCATGCAGACACCGCGCTGTCCCATCCAGTCCCCGAGCCCCAGAGGCCGATTCAGCCCTCGTTCATACCCAGTCTACCTCAGGCACAGCCCTTGCATACGAGCAATGGCGGGGTTAGCTCGAACGGTGGCGGGGCGCCATATCAGGTACCTGGATTGAACAACTACGCAAAGCAAAACGCCAATGCGGGTTCAGCTTCAGGCCAAGCCGGAGTTGGATGGTCGAATGACACTGTAGGGCCAGAAGCGGCTGTGCAAAAGCCGGCATCCAGAGCAAACGATGCTCTGATGGACCCCGATGACTCAGATAGCTATACGCCGTCGCCTCTGCTCAGTCCCATCGACCCAGCGCCGACTGTCGCCCAATCTGCTTCTGCTCCATCGTATCCTGTAGAAGAGCCGGCCCCGCCAGCATCTGGGTTGGGCAGCAAGACCTACTCATTCGCACCACCAGCCCAAGTTTCTGCTCTTCGTAACGAGCCTATCGCGATTAACAGTCCGGATAGCTCCCCCCAGAGTGGCAGGAGCACCGACAGGAAGAAAGGGAAAAAGAAGAAGAGGAAGGCTGACAGGCAAGCGCCTGAGGATGTCACTCCACACATCAAACCCGAGCCTCGTTCCCAGTCTCCAATCTCTGCCCCCAACGTAATCATCCGATCGAACAAGCGCCAAAAGCAGGCGCAGCAGGTGGCGGAAGGGTCTGACCGTGACAGCATTGTGGTCCCAGTCGCCCATCAGCCACAATATGCTCACCCATCTCACTGGGGTGAGCCTGTGTCCGCGGCCTATGGCGGTGCCCACGGTTATGCTTATTCACCAGTTGTCACAGAGAGGCGACACAGCGGCGGGTACGGCGGCGTGCCACAACCCCGATTTGAGACCCAGCAATATCCCCATTACACCCAAGATGTCCCTGCTGGCGTGGCATATCCTCCACGGGCAGTATCCCACGTTGCGGTGGATGATAGCTATAGGACACCCGTGCGTTACTACAACGACCAGACCGAGACATCTAGGATGAGCGTGCGCCCTGACACCATCCAATACGCCGGGCAGCCTATGCCTTTGCCCTCTAGGATCGTTGTAGACGAGCACGGGCGAGAATATCTCGAGCCGCCTCGCCTAGCAGCGCGTCAATCTGTGGCGCCACCGTCGACTCAAGGAGCTGGTGTGGTCTATGAGCAGGACCCTCGCGGGGTTTCCCGGCATCCACCCCCCTTCGATGAGAGAACCATCGCTTACTCTCGCGCGCCCTCCGCATATCCTCCGCCACGGCGCGTGGTTACCCAGCCCGAGTACGTATCGTACAACGCGCCGGCCGAAGGACGTCCCAGGGAGTACTCAGTGCGGCCTGCTGGCGGCCCAGCTGAATACGTGCAGCTCATGCCGCCTCCAGGCCGCCACCCTGGCCCTGAACCATCGCGAGAGTATGTTGCAAGAGCTGCGAGTGCCCGCCCTCCAGAGCCTACACACTACGAGCTGCCTCGTGAGTACGGTCGGATGCAGAGCGTGAGGCCTGAGGGAGCACCTTCAGGTTTGGAGTATGGAGGCATGGGGCAACCTCAGGTCAGCAGGGAAGCGCCCCGACCCTACATGGTTGAATACGCTCAGCCCCGGGCCGAGCAGCCAGTGTACCAGCGCAGCTACAGTGTCCGCCCTCCAGAAGGCTACTACGAGCAGCCGCAGCCGCAGCCGCAGCCGCAGGCCAGCACTTATGTCGAGCGTCCGCAAGGGGCGCCTACAAGCGTTATGTATGCGCAAGATAATAGACCAGGACTGTACCGATAATTGTTTCAAATTTGGATTCAGGGGGAATCTGGAGTGAAACGGATCTTGCTGCTCGAACATGGCGTTGGTTTGGAGCGTAGCGTTGCTTGGAGTTATATAGCATGGCACGTTGCGATAGCACACAGAGTACGATACTGCACTCGGAGATAATTTTACACTACTATCTCGGGTGCGGAATGTTTTTCCCCGGGTGAACATACTACTAAAAGCAACGACCATGAAGCAATATGGCAGTGGATCTGTCCTTGGTATCAACGTTGGGGTACTCGGCAGGGGTCATCTTAGGGAAAGCTAACGCAGAGGAAGCCGGAGTGCCATCACAGCTTGAGGGCTGATCAATCAATTGCTACAAAGCAAGCGAGCTGTATGGGACGATCGTAGACATATCTATCATAGACGTCAGGCTGGAGGGCATTGCTGGGCAGACGCATGGATCACGCAGTTCAATGCAGTACCTACACATACGTACCCCGAACATCACCACCATTGCATCCCCATCAATTGAGAAGGGCTTGCGGGCAGCTAGCTTCGTTGGCAAGAGAGACGTCAATGAGACGCAGGTGGTCTGCCGCACCCGAGCCAGAGAGGAAAATGCCTCGCTGTGCTTAGAACCATCGGATGCAGGGTGAGCTCGAAAGTCCGCAAAGAGATCGAGCCAGTTATAGGACAGCGACGAAGTCGAGGGCGTATGTTGGAAACTTGGGGAAGCTACCAAGTGCTTACAACTTATTCTCGGACTAGACCAGTGGGTGTGGAGAATGGAAGTTTCGAGTTTTTTGGGGGGGGGGTTCCAAGCCTCCAGACTACTTGTGAAGTTGTACGAGTTGACGACCAGTCTGTATGGACTGCGTTCGTGGGTGGCATCGCGAACAAATCGTATTGTTGTTGCTTTTTGTAGGATGGACCAGGCTGACGTTAACCTGTGTGATTCGTATGCAGTGAATAGTGTTGCGAGCGCCTCGTGTTTCTGGGTCTAGTCCCTCGTTGAAGTCATATCTCGGGTTAGGGCCCTGGGATTCGGAGACTCGGAGGGGGCAGGTGTTCTGTCGTTGCACTGCGTGGCTACCTTGCCTTATTATTAGTCGAGCTTCTTGTTCTGGTCAAGGTTTCGGTGGAGGGCTGCGCGTACGTACGGCGCGGGGGATGGTGTATGATCATGACGACGCGCAGAAGAGCGCATCATATATAACCTTGCCTTGCGTGCCTATGCTATGCTTTTGTTAAGCTGAAGCTGGACCCTTCATGCTTCCTTGCGATGAACCTTACTAACTCCTTCGAAAGAACAAGCCCTGCTTGGCCTTTGCGTCTCAAATGCCAGCATGGCATTCCCATCGTGCCTAGACCTGTTGAGGATACTACGGGACTGGACCTGCAGGTTGGCCATCACAGGCCGGAGGGCGGGCAGCTTGGAAGTTGGTGGAGTGGTTCTGGTCCTGGCGTGCTCGAATCCAATCGGTTCGCGGCTGGGATTCCGTGTCAGCATCCAGTCCAGTCTGTTCCAGGGCTGGGTGCCTGCGGAGGGTCCCTGACATGGCCACTGGAACGATCTCTTTTTAGCCCTAGAACAGACGGAGCAACTGCCGCTATTTGTCGACCCTGCCGCGCCGCCAGCAGTCAGGACATCCTTTACCACGCGACTGGAATTCGTCAACAGGTAAGTAATAAGTAATCAGGCTGTCAGCTCAGCACGGACAATGGCAACGACCCGACATGTGGACGATCTCCGGTGGATTTCGAGGCTTGACGGCACGAAAACCGGGGCTCTAAGCTCCATACCATATCCGCGCAGACCTGGCATCTGCAGTAGTAATTAGTCGACGTTAGGGGTCAGCAGCACTGCGCCATCCAGGGCTATTGGCGGCAGGACACTAGGCCATTTAAATCACAGCTGTTGTTCTGAGCTAGCGCATGGTAGCGAGTACTTCGAACCCAGCAAGTTCTGCAGTGCTCCCAGATGTCTCTTCTAACGTTTTCCCATCACAACTCTTCAACTCCAGGTCGACTGCTCCGGCGCTTCTTGCTCAGGCTTCAGGCCAGGCCTTTAGGCCAAGGTCCATCATCCTCGTCTGACTTGCTGCTGCTTCTTCCTCTCTTATTCTCCCCACCCTCTCATCTCGACGTCCACTCTCATCCGCATTCTGTGTCTCGGCAAAGGCACTTACAACTGTTTCTTCTCAATACCAATTCTTCTTTCTATTTTATTTCATTTTCTTCAGTTTCTCTCCTGGCCACCATTTTCAACCCGCACGACGTTGTCACGATACCCCATCCCTTCGACTACCAGCTAGCTGTCTCGTCCTTTGCTTGACTCGTCCCGGACAGCCGATTTGATACCCCATACCACGGCCGCTGTCCACCGAGCAGCACGCCCTCGACTCTTGTCTCTCCGCCACTATGAACAAGCTGGCCAACATGCGGCAATGGAGCGAGCGAATCGGCCCCAACTTCGTCATGGGCCGGCCCAACACCAACGTGCCCATGAATGCAATGAATGCTCATCCCAAGAACATGCCACAACCTGGAGGCCCGATAACCTCCCCGCACGCTGCTGATGCTACGATTCACTGCTCGTTTCAAATCCCCTTCGCGTCCGACCTCGCCGGCCCCAACACCGAAGACATCTTGCACGCTACGACCGATGCAGTCCTTCGCTGGACGCACCCCGAAGACGCGCCTGACGATGTGCCTGTGCACGACCTGCCGGTTCATGTCAACGGCGTGAACACGTTGGAGAGACTCTGTAACGGTCTGACGACTGGACCTTTGCCCATTGAAGCTCATGTCTCGACCTTGCCGGCTGGTGACGGCAAGGGTAAGCAGACGACCATCGTATGCCTATCGGGCTCTCAGGACCTCGTGCACAAAAGTCGTGAGGCAATATTCAACGACACGCCCATTTCATTGGTATGCTTCTGAGCCTTCTCCCAGCAATTACTTTGTTTGTAGGATTGATCGACTAACTGTGCCCAGCGCTGCACCACGATCGATGTCGACGGCAGTCTTGTGTGTGATCTCGCCGCTGGAAAATTGCGCGAGAAGGTTTGCGAGACTCTCGACTACATCTCCAACTATTGCGGTGTCGACATCTTCCTTCTCGGCCCTAAACTGACGCCCATGGTCGACGGGATGACCGGCGAAGCCGAAATGCGAATGGACCAGCGTTGGAGGGTCGCCATTTACGGCGACCAACTGTCGTCAGAGCATGCCAAGGTCCGAGTGCTTATTCACATCGACACCCTGGTACGTCTGATGGAGAATCGTCCAAGTAGCCAGTAGCAGCTAACAGAAGTAAATAGCTAGGTCGTATCGCCGATTCCGTCAAGGTCGACCAATCGCTACATCAAATCATTTGCGGTCGTCACCGAAAGAACATCAAGCTTATGGAATCGGCCACGAACACTGCCATCTACTTTCCTCCCCTCTTCTCGCAAGTATACCGCTATTCGCCCCCAAACGCGAGCCGACGAGACCCCAATGACATCTTCATCACGGGCGAGTCGTCAGAGGCAATCCGCGAAGCCAAGCAGAAAATTCATGAGATTGTGACCAGGATCCGGCTATACATCAAGGACGTCACTCTCCCTGCGGCAAAGATTGACAGCATCTTACTCGACCGTACCGAAAAGGTCCGGAAGATTCTGGAGGCCAACGGCACGTACATCATGTTCCCAGCACTCGGAACTCAGCGCACAACGGTGCGTGTGCAGGGTAGCGAGGGTATCCCTGTTGAGCGAACCGTTCGTGAGCTCATGAACCTTGCTGGCCAGTTCTACGCTGCCGGCTGGTACATCCAGCAGGTGGATACTCGCCAGCTTCCCAACCCGTCGCAGGTTAGAGACATGCTGGGTGAAATCTGCACCACCTCTGGTGCCGATTTGATGTTTGACAAGATGGCGTTCAACATCACCGGCTCTGATGATGCAGTCAAGGCGGCTCTGAGCGTGTTGGCTCAGATCAACTTTGTTGCGCAGTCTCAGTACCAAATTCGGGTGAAGATTGAGCTGGCCAACGAGCACAAGGAATTTGTGAGCGGCAAGAAGAATGGCAAGATCAACAAAATTATGGGTCAAAGTAAGTCGGTACGCAGACATCCGGTGATCGCGGACTAACATATTGTAGGCAATGTTCAAATCATCTTTGATGGTTTCAATGAGTACAACTTTAACATCGACGTTATGGCTGCAAGTTACGAGTCCATGCACCAAGGATTGAGCTTGGTTGAGCAGGAGATGCCAGCGTCCATCTCTTTCCATGTCCCCGATCAGTACCACAAACGCATCATTGGCATCGGAGGGCAACACATCCAGCGCATTATGAAGAAGCACTCCGTGTTTGTCAAGTTCTCGAACGCCATGGATCGGGGCGGTATGGGTCGTGAAGATGATGAAATCAAGGTCGACAATGTCATTTGCCGGACTCCCGCTCGCAACGCTCAAAATCTTGACGCCGTCAAGAACGAGATCCTCGAGATGGTTGATCGAACAGTAAATCTCCTTGGCGACCATAACGAACAAGAAGAATAGGCGCTGACACAGGACAGGACTCGGAGTACACCTCACAGGTCGTCCACGTAGATCGACTCTACCACCGCCAGCTTATTGCCCGCCTCAAGGACATTGAGACTTTGGAGCAGAAGAACAACTGCAAGATCAATTTCCCCAGCACTGAGCAGGCGAGCGATGAGGTCACAGTTACTGGCCCTCAGTGGCAGGTCCCTCATTGTGTTGACGAATTCCTGGGTATGGTACCCGATCACCACGAGCTCGTCGTTGCGAAGAGCGATGAGCTTGCCAAGTTCCTGGAAAGCCCGCAATTCACTGAAGAGCTCGTCAACAAGCTGCGAACTCAGCACGAGGTTGAACTCTCAACCAAGGAACAGCCTGAGCAGTTGACCGAGGACGGAAAGCCCACCGTCACGCTCCGATGGGGCTTCACTCGCAATAACGCTGGCGGACTTCGGGATGCTGTTGACTTCCTCACTGAGCAGATGACCAACCAAGGCGTTGAGCTCACAGTTGTGAAAGGATCCCTTCCCCGCCCCAAGTCTGACTCATTCGAAGATAGCTTGCAGTACTTTGATTCTAAGCTGCTCCAGCACGCCCCAGCCGCTGCTTCAGATGCCCAGGCCAAGCCTGCGTACGGTGACGAGGTCGCCCGCGAACGCAGCAGCATCCTGGACCGCCTGCGCAAGCCCGGTAGCATGACTGCCATCTCCTCCTTCCTGGATCGTCGCAAGAACAGCTCCCGCTCTCCCAATGGCAACTTCTTCAAGGGTTCGAGCAACGTCTCCAAGTCGTCCTTGATCTCGATCGAGTCTGCTCGCAGCTTCAACGCGGACAGAAACCCTTGGAACGATAGCGGCGTCAACCTTACCGACGATGACAACCCATGGGCTCCCCGCCCCCTCAGCACCCATGTCGACAACAAGTTGGCGATTCCCATGTCCGGAGAAATCACGCCTCGCCACCACACTTGCCCCTCTGGAGACAGTGGACGGCCCTCTACATCCCACTCTTTCAATTCTGGATACCCCGGCCCTCTTGGCCCTTTCCGTTAGATTCCTCGTTTAGAAGCTCTACATGCGAATACCCCGGCTGGATATACCCTGGCGTCAAGTATACCCTGAACGTCTGATTACGTATCGGTTGGCTCACGTTATTGATTTTGATTTTGGATTATTGGTCGAATTATCGCAAAAAGGTGTCTGTTTCAGCGGGTACGGATACGCTGTGTTTTATCATTATTCTACGCACCGATACTCGTTATTATTTATTTTATTTTATAACAAAGTAAAATAAAAATCTTATTTCTTTTTGATTATTTTGTAATTTACCTTTTTTTTTTTTAAATTATCTTTACTTTTTTGAGCTTTTTCTTTATACTTTTTTTCTTTTCTTTTTCTTATAATATTTTTATATTATTCCTTGAGTAATTTATTTTTTGATGCACTAAAAGGCAGATCAAACAGGTGGAAAAGGGATGATCAATTCAAACGTCCTTGGTAACGGTCGGCCTAAATAGGCATGGCGCGGCTGCTCCTCGGATCTTGTGCGCGCAACCTGATTGGCTGCGGTGTTATCAATGCTATCTTATCGTTATCGCACCTGTGCGTGTACGTGACCAGCACGTGACACCCACACAGGGCGGATGCATCTTGGTTGAATGGCCACACAACCTTCAAAGTGTATCAGAAATAATCTTATTTATAAAGTATTAATCAAATTCAATAACCTTAATAAAAAAGCGAAAAGAGAATATTAAGTTTATATTATTTAAAGGAGATAAAAGATTTAAAAAAGCTAAGGATATAAGTAAGCCTTACTTCTTTAATAACTTATCGCACCTATTCTGGCTAGGACGATCATGCGGGCTCTTCTCCGATTATTGACACCCAGCCATCATCTATACCCAATGGAACGACGCAAAGTTTGAAAACAAACAAACCATCATGAGAATACCCCTAGGTGAAGTGCATCGGTTTGTTTGACGAGTGTGCGCGTGGCAGCGACCAGCAGGGCGGGTGGCGGCTTGTGGGAGAGGATTGGCATTGAATGCCTGTGATGTGAAGGGAGTATACAATGGTGGGACTGTCATACATGCATCACCTGGAGAAAAGGAAGATGGTTAGAAAACGGCATGTTGAGTTTTTGACACAGCCGCTGCTAGCAATGCGAGACGATACCCAACTCGTGCGCCAAGAACCATGCTTTCAGTCTTCGTGATCTTTACTATTTTGTATCCTGTGGTGTTTGTGGCCGCTGACGTGGCACGACTAGTGCCTCAGCAAACGCAGAACCAACTTGCAAAGTACGTGTTGTTCATAGATTTACTTGGAAAAAGGTTACATTATTGTTAGGCCGTGTATGTGGCAACCAAGCCATGAGTATGCGCCGTGCCATGTCCCCCTTGGACCATGAGCATCCTACCCAAAACGCCTGTAGCTACAGTACACAAAAGTCAGAGAGACACATAAAGATTGTACAGCGTAGAGCAGGACTTCATGCGGCGAGGGGTCCGACCTTAACCTTCTCTCGTGCGTTCTTTGCCCTCTCCACTAACACCTGCTTCTCCTTCCTGCGCTGGTCGGCCTCAATCTTTGCGAACCACCCTCGAGCACCATGTTTCAGCTTCGTGATCATATCAGCTGCTTTGCCCTTGGTCAGATCGCCCACCTTGACAGGCGATGACTCGCCGCGCAACTTGTTGATAAAATCGAGCTGCCCCTGCGTGGGCGCGAGTCGACGCCACGGCTGGCGGCGGCTGATGAAGCTCAGGGGAAACGCATGTTGCGCGTAGCTATCTGCCCCATGCACGGCGTCGCTAAAGGTGGTCGCGGTGAGAAGCTCGCGAGGCGCGGAAAAAGGCGACTTGCTCACCCCGGGTGGCAGAGAGCGGATCTCGACGGCTCTGTAGACGGGCTTCTCGCTGTTGGCCCCGGGCTTGGCCGGCGATGTCTGGTCGATTTTCTCGATGCGTATGTACGAGCCGCTGGGTGCGCTGAGCACGAAGCGCTCCGCGCCCACCTGCACCCAGGAGTAGTCGCTGATGGCGCGGATGTGCCGCTCGCCAGAGGTGTCGGCGATGAGGTCGACCACGGAGGAGTAATCGGTAAAAGTGACGGCCGTGGAGGAGTCGACTCGGGGACCCTCACCACGAGCGACCGCCTCTCGAAGCACAGCTGCTTCCGCAGCCTTTTCTCGCTTGAGACGCCTCATCCCCTTGACGGACATCTCGTTGACCAGCTCGCTCGGGTCCAGCCCGAACAGTGTCGGCGTAGTCACGATGCCGGTGTCTAAGCTCGATACGAGGTCGATGATGTGGCAGTTCTCCTTGTCTGGGTGCAAGCGCATGCCTCGACCAATCATCTGCACCAACAGGTTTCGAGACCGCGTCGGCCGACCCAGGATGATGCAGTCAATGTTCGGTATGTCGGTCCCTTCCGTGAAGACACCGCAGTTGACAAGGACAGGAAACTCCCCCCTTCTGAAAGCATCGAGGATCTCTCCCCGTTCGACTTGTGGCGTATCTCCCGTGACATATCGGGCGTCGAGCCCATACTCACGAAATCTGCGGGTCAAACCCCTGACATGGGCAATGTCGACGCAAAAAACGAGGGTCGACTTGCGGTTCGCTGCCTTGGCCATCCAGCTACGGATGGTGATGTCGTTGATCTCGTCAGTGTTGACAGCCTCTGACAGATCGCTCGTCTGGAAATCCCCAAAAGGGTTCTTTTTGACTCTGGAGAGGTTCGCTGTGGATTCGACGGTGGTGAAGACCACATCGGATAGCCACTTGTCCGAGATCATGTCGACGTAGTCTTTGTGGTAGACAATCTCGTCAATCGCCGCGCCGAGCTTGACCCCGTCAAACCGTGCAAAGGTCGCGGACACGCCCACCAGAGCAGGTGAATCATCGCGCTTCGTGTTGAGGCCAAAGTGGCTGAGTACCTTCATGTACCCGGGCGCAACAATGTGGTGTGCTTCGTCCACGAGCACAAGCTTGTAATTGGACGGGTTGTACTTGTCCAGCCGATCCTTTGAGTTTATGCTCTGCACGCTGGCAATGGTAATGTCTGCTGCGCCGGACGCATGAATGTTGCCCATCTCAATCTCGATGCGCTTCCCGGGATAGTTCAGGCGGCAATGTCGAGCGGCTTGCTCAACGAGCTCGCGACGATGTGCGAGGATGAGTGTGCTGTCGCCCCCGTTTGCACGCTTCTCAATCTTCTCAATGAGCTGTGTGAAGATGACCTGCCCCAGGGATCAGTTCTGAAATGCATCTCATGCATCATAGTTGGGGTTTTCTTACAGTCTTCCCACTGCCAGTCGCGAGGGAGATCCCGACTCTCTTGTGTCCTCTTTTGAGCGCAGAAATGACTGATTTGATGCATTCTAGCTGATAGTTGCGCAACTGCAGTTTGGGCGACTTGGGTTCAGACGCCGTGGTCGCATAGGTCGATCGCCTCAAGGTCTGGAAAGGGACAGCTGTTCGAGCCCATCCCTGGAGGCTCAATGATGGACGTGTCTGATAAAGACGCCTTGACAGTGAGCGTAGCATGGCACATGGCGATGGTCGTGTCATCGACGGTGCATATGTGGACAATGAAATGCAGTCAAAGTCGCGTTCATCAAGGAGACTTGACCAGGCATCATGAAATTTCCAGGACTGTCTAGCGTCTTTCAGTCTAGCACTATCTGCCATTGCCCATCGCGGCATGTATAATTGTTAGTGCAATGCATCATTACCGATTGGGGATAGATTGGGGGTCCGACCCACCCTTACGCGCCGCGCGCTGACTGCTGCCGCTGCTTTACCACACTCAAAGAGCTACGTTACGCAAGAAACATTGAAAGGCAGACTGGAATTTCTGATCAAAGAAACGCCTTTGCCCACTCGATTCTCAGTTTTGAAGTGTCAAAAACATCGTCAGATGAATGTCATCTAGACGCAGTCTACAGGTGAAATGGAAGGCTGGAACGAATGGATCTGTCTGTCCATTCAGCCTACCCGGGTCCGTCGGTACTCATGGCGGCGCAGCTTCTGACGCAGATGGTCTTTGCATGGGAAATTTCATGAAGTCCCAGTTCCCTCCAGTGGCGCATTAAGAGCACACGGCCTTCAAGCCAAGGAGAGGATAGGTTTCCATGCATATCGTTGGGCAGGTAAAGTAACGCAGCGTTCATTTTGCCTTCGTCCGTTGCCGTAGATGCATTTTTGTAGAGTCACGTGGAGACCGTAAATCTCAAGATGCGAGTCTTCGTGCCAGCTTGAATTCGAAGAGCCATCCGACAATTCACAACTTGCTCTCAGCCCTTGTACCCTCCGCGGCTCGTCACGTACACCTCTCGCGACAACAGGGGAACCTCTTAACATGAGTCTAACAAATTTTGCCGTATACCGCTGCGCCTACCCGAAACAAGGTAGACCATGAGCTCAGACTATGAATACGAGCCTCTCGACGACCACGACGCTGGGCTCGCGGATCTGATCCCGTTTCCTGAGACACCGTCCCCCGTTGCATCGCCAGTACGGCTGCGCTCACAGCAAACGTCTCGAGTGGGAAACTCCCATGCTGGCCATGAAAGTGGAGCCATCCGGGAAAACCCGCGTTACAATATCAATGAGCCCATCGACAACCACACTGCAGCTTCGAGTGCTGCGCAGCTAAGAGAATCCCCTCATCAAAAGCTTGAGCCGCCATCGCTGCAAACGCCATCGCCAGACCCGGGCGAGCGCATCGATCCAGATTTTGACTCCCTTGACCAAGGCTCCGGAGAGCCATCTGCAGAGGAGGCCGAAGAATCAGGCCGCGAAGAGACCGGCGATGAGCTGCCATTGAAGCGGTCCGCTGAAGATCCTGCGGCTTTCAGGCCCCTGAAAAGACAAAAAGGGAACTTCAGCTCTGCTTACATCAACCTGTTCAATGCAGCTGTCGAGGATGCCTCGCATAGGGTAGTGCTGAACGACGAGGCTGAGCCGCCGAATTCTCAAATCGGCCTCACTTTCTGGTCAAGCATTGAGAAGAAGTTACTCTTCGAGGCGGTTGCACGTCTTGGCAAGGACGATCTGCAAGGAATTTCAGAAAGAGTTGGCAGTAAGAGCCCTGTGGAAGTGCGACACTACATTGAAGTTCTCGAAGCTGGGCTCAGACGTTATACCGACAATGGGAGCGGCTCACTCGTGTCGATGGAGGAATATCCTGCGGCCATGGAACTCAGTCAGCAGTGCTGCCATGCGCTCGACGATGCTGCTGATGCTCTCTCGCTGAAACAGGAGCGCCGCGAGCAGCATCGCGAGGAAAAGAAATGGGCCGAGGTCTGGGACTTGACACCTGATATCTCCAGAAGACTTCGAGCCGGTGACAAAAGCTTACAAGCTACGTCAGCGTTGCCCTCGATAGGACTATTCCATCTGCACAACTGGCTTAGCGTGTCGCAACGGATATTTCTCAACTCGTCGGTGCCGGCTGACAACTGGAACCATATTGACGACGTTCCACCTTCCATATGGACCTCAACTTTCGAAGACTTCTACTCGCTCACAGTGTCCATCACCAGGAGGCTGGTGCAGACTGCGATATATGCCGCGTCCACTCGGATTAAAAGTCAAAGGGAGCGGCATCCTCATCAACGAAGTCTTGTGCGAGGGAGGGACATTAGGACAGCCGCGGAAGCCCTGAATCTCTCGCCAAATTCAAGAGACTTTTGGCGGAAGAGTGCGCGCCGGTTGCGATTGGTCGTGTATGATGAAGGCGAGGCCGACGACGAGGACGAGCTACTCGATCATGATCAGGTGGAGGAGGCACTTCTTTGGGAGGACGACGCTACGAAGAGAGTATCCGCGCCTGATACTGGCGCACATGTCAAGGCGAAGCCGGATCCAGAAACTGATCTTGACGTCTCGACTTCAGAGTCGGCGCAAGATAGTCATGATTCAGACGAAGAAACCGACGAGTATACGGCGGAATCGCAGGCCATCGCACGAGAGGCCGACGAGGTCTTCAGATTTTCCGTCGCACCTTTCCAGAAGACGCGTAGGACGATGCAGTCCCTCGGCCATCGCATAGCGATTGAGCGAAGTCAGGAACAGTATGCTGAGGATCTTGATCAGCACAACAGCTACCAATATGAACTGCAGATGTGGGATCTTCTCGCAAAGGCGCCGCCTAGGGAGTTACCTAGGAGATCAGCTCCTGGGCCTCGCGCGCGAGGGATGCTAGATGTTGAGGGCAAGCTTCCTCTCGGAAGAGACTGGAGGCATACCACCAAGTATGTCGGTGAATGGGAGGCCAATATGGCCGAGGAACCGTCGACCTAGTTACATGCTTCTCCCTCGATGGGATCCTCTTTGGGTATCATTCAAACTCTAGTATACTATCTTTCGGAAAAGCCTCTGTTACACTTGTTCATCGGCCACGCCGGCGCCCGCCCCTACCTCGGCCTCGCCCGCGTGGTCTGCCCCCTCGGGTGGGCCTGGCCGACGGCGTCGCTGCAGTTTCCTCATCACTGTGATTCTCCTCTTGACTCGAGTCTCCATCCTGATCCTCGCTGTCCTCTTCTTCCTCCTCGTCCTCGTCCTCCGTTGACTCGGCCTTCTCTGCCTTGGCAGCGTTGCTGGCCGCCCTGGTGCGTCCACGAGACCTCCGTCCGGCCGGTTTTTCGTTGTGCGCGACCGAAACCTCCTCAGTATCCTCCCGTGATACCCCCCTGGTCCTTGACCCAGTGCCTGCGCGTTTCCGTTTCTTGGGCGGCGAGGAAGGGATTGGTCCTTCGGGGTCAAATGTTGCTGGAGACGATCTTGTTTCGCTGGGGTCCGCCTTGGCACGCTCCATGATCGCGTCGAAGAAGTTGGGAAGCGGTAGCTGAAAATCGAGATATCTGTCGTCGGGTTCATCGTCGTCAAAGCTCTCGCGCTCGTCGATGGCCTGGAGATTGTAGTAGGTGCCGAGCTTCTTCCAAATGTTCGGGATGCGCGTGTGTCTGTGATAATCGGGGTCGAAGCCATGGTTCCGCAAGTGTTCTGATATAGCAAGCATCCGAAAATGCTTGTGCATGCCTAATTGCGAGATGTCAGGTCTTTTCATGTTTGGTTTCGAGCTTGGTGGAGGACGCACCGGCAGGTTTCCAGCGGATGACACCCTTGAACAGCGAGGCCACCTGGTCGTCCGTCCAGCAATCGTTTGGATCGATGGCGGACGACTTCTCCGGGGATGCGCTCTTGGTGTCATCGGGTCTAGGCGTGTCAATGTCCATTTTGTCGTCGTCGCGTGCCGGTGTGGCAGCAGTGGCAGCGTGCGCGCCACCGCGCCCTCGTTTCCTGGGCGGCATCGTGGCTGGCTTTGGCAGGGTATCCGCTATTGCTGGGCGATGTTCAGTCGCGAGGTTGGTAGAATAAATAGGATGGGCGAGGGCCAATGGCGCGATGAGTCTAATTGAGATGTTGCAACTGAAGACGCGGAATGCCAAGCACTAGCCTGGTCCTCAGACTTGTCGGAAATCAGGGTCCAAACTCCAAAGTTTGAGGTTTGCGTTTGCGTTGCGCATGAGATCATTCTCGAGTGGATGTACAGAGTACATTATTTTGCAAGTTCGGAATGCGGGCTACTGAGGTACCGAAGACTTGCACCCTCTGCCGCAACAAACGCGCCTCGAGCCAACCCTCAAAGCGCGTGTCGCGGGGCAGCTACTTGTAGACGCATCTTCTCGCCAACGTACCTGGAATTATTTGGTCAGCTGCTGCAGATACGCTTCCACCAGGGCTCGGTCCCAGCTCACACCTCATGCGTGTCCAGCACTGTTGAATTCGCTTCAGTAGGAGCCCCAGAAGCACAACATGGCCAACGTATTTGCGGTGCCCGACTTCTGGACCACATCCTCCTTGGTCAATGAATTACCAAATAGCGATCGTGCTGGACGTTCTTTTTTCTCAGAGGAACTGGTTGGTGAGTGAGGCGACAATGGCGTTCTCTGTTCTTGCTGATTTGCGGTAGATTGCGATGCGTCCAAATTACTCGATGTCGCCTCATCCCACAATGAACTCTTCTCCTGGCGAGGTCCGCCTGAAGTGGTCCCTGGAATACCAGAGAATGCGAGCCAACCTATGCAGCAAGAAGAAGAAGCCGGGCCAGACGTAACGGATGAAGTCTCCTCAGATCTGGACGACGACCTGTGGACCAGATCAGCCCCTTACATCAAGGACACATCGACTCTCAGAACGTGGGACTCATACATAGCGCAAGATGCAAGCACCAAGCCTCCGCCTCTGAATTTGACCGAAGCTGGCCCTCAGGCTTTCGAGTCGATGCTTGCGCGCGGTCAAGTACGTGCGAGCTCGTTCTCCCGGCCCCATGGTCCCGCTGTTGCCTCGAGCGTAGTGCTGGCTTCGCTTCTAGCATTGACCGTGGGCAACGAGTCGGCCCTGTTCCAAAGGAGTGAGGATGGACAACAGTTTTGTGATGCACTGCCGGAATTTCGGCTATATGGGTTCTCTCCCAGTGCTATCGGTGCTATCAAGAAGCGCTGCCTCACCTGTGGCGGGCAATATCTGAAGCTCGATACATTCGTCAACAAGATGTACACCAAGGAGAGGTCACGCTGCGCTGTTGCGCTGGCCAGTGCCGTACGCCAGGCACTTCACTCCTTGAAGCAACACACCGTGTCTCGCTGGCAAGGGGGTTCGCTGCTACAACTCCAAGAACTGGTGAGAGCTGTCATGACCATACTGGATCCCCTTCATCATCTTGTCAGCACTGTAGAATTGGCTGGAGGCGACGCGCGGATCGTGGAAAGCGTGGAGAAGCAGATGGTTCAATTCCAAACGGCGCGGGGACTGCTGCCCAAGATCTGGCAGGAGTTACTCCGAGTGGCATGCTCGCCTTGGACTGAATTCCTCGAGGAGTGGATAGGGACCAGGCCCGAGACTGGCATCCCCATGCACAGGACAAATCTGGGGCAGACCAAGGGATTCGTCAAGGTCGAAGCAGAGGTTTACACGGACGACTTTGGTGAGGGATGCGAGGAGGTCGACTTTCGACTCAAGAAGAACCAAGCACCCAGCTTTATTCCCGACGATGTGCTGGAAATGGCATTCGAGACGGGTCGCAGCCTCCGGTTTCTCTGGGCGTGCCATCCAGAACATGCCCTGTCAAAGCCAAATACGCTGGTCAAGGCCGTGGCACCAGGTATCGACTGGAAATTCGAATGGGACGCGATCCAAAGACTCGAAGCCCAGGTGATGGTCTACAAAGAATCACTGGCGGGAGCAATTGAGGAATGTCGCAACTTGGGAGAGCCATCTTCGGTTCACGAACCGGGGGTGGCCAGAACAACAACGGAAGCTGCTCGCGGTCTTTTCACGCTCGACCCAGAAGAGATGCATGATCGCCTTGCAGCGTCAATGCAAGACCTAGACAGGCAACCGGCTGCAGAGGACACCCCAACGGTGCTGGATGAGCTGATACGTCAACACTTAGACGGCCAAGAGTTTGTACTGGAAGGGAGATCTGACGACGACATGCTGCACTGGTCATTGATCCCCAATCTCAGCTTTGGCAGGCTCATCCAAGCGCAAGCACAAGTTGTCAACCGTGAAGCGCTTCGGGAACTGTTCAAGAGTCACAACCTCCGCAATCACCTCCGACTGCAGCATGACTTCCAGCTGTTTGGCAATGGCGTGTTCTCGAGTCGTCTTGCCCAGGCGCTCTTCGATCCTGATCTCGAAAGAGCTGATAGACAGGCTGGTGTCGCCCGTCAAGGTGACACAATGGGCCTCCGGCTGGGAGGTCGCGATACCTGGCCACCGGCGAGCTCAGAGCTGCGACTCGCGCTGCTGGGGGTGCTTGTTGACAGCTTTGATGTGCAGCCATGGGGCGGGTCATTTTCCGACCCTTTCTCAACGGAGGCTACTGATTTGCCCGGCGAACTGAGCTTTGCGGTGCGCGATCTGTCGGATGAAGAAATCGACAAGTGCGTCAATCCTGACTCTTTGGAAGCGTTGGACTTTTTGCGATTGAGCTACAAGGTGCCGTCTGAGCTGAGGTTTGTCCTAACGCCACTGATCCTGATGCAATACGATCGCGTCTTCAAGCTTATGCTGCGCGTGCTGCGTCTGGTGTTTGTGACAGATCAGCTGTGGCGAGAGGCCATGCTCGAACGCGATGACAATGAACCTGGATACCGGTTCGTGAGGGAGTCACGGCACTTTGTGGCCAGCGTCGCGTCATACTTTCTGGATGTTGGTGTGGCTTTGCCTTGGCAGGCTTTCGAAAAGAGACTGGACAAGATGGAGTCATCGCTCGAGAAGCAGCCTACGGACGGCTTGGAGAGTCCAGAAAAATTGCGCGAGGTGCACAGTGCCGTCCTCAATGTGGTGTCGCAGTCGCTGTTCCTTCGCAAACGGCAAAAGGGGGTCCTACAGCTTCTGGAAGAGGTGTTCACGATTGTGCTGCAGTACGCGAAGCTCAGGCGACAACATAACAAAAAGGGGGCTGCTGACGCCGCCGTGTCTTCTGCAATGCTCTACAAGCAGTTTAAGAAAAAGGTACAGGTATTTGGAACTGTTTGTCGTGGCATGGCTGAAAAGGCGCGCGTTGACAAAGGGAGGGAAGAGGACAGGGAGCTTGGGCTCGAGGGGCTGGGCGACGACACGATGGTATCGCATCTTCTTTTGAAGCTTGATATCAATGGATTTTACGGCGCGCATTAGACACCCAGCGGATTTATACCGTACCTACATAAACATACCTATTCTTCATGAAGACAAGCTGCTTTCCTTCCCCCTGAGTGCCTCTCACCCGTAACTGACCCCACCAACGAGGAACGTTGCCCCTCATCGCGTCTTCCACGCGCCCGTGACCGCCAACTTCAATCTTCAATTTAACCATCAACATATCCCATCATGGCGCGACCGAGTGTAGCACCCCGCAGCTTGACGCTGACTGAGGAGCTCGAGAAGCTGGAGCAGTCGATCACGCTGACACTGCAAGGTCAGGATCCTACAGGATAGTGAGACACAAGGCTGACCATCTCTGCCAGAAATCGACCACAACTTCAGTAAAGCTCACCGCATCGTTACCACCAGCATTCTCCCGCTCGTCGAGCAGTATGGCGATCATTCGCGGGCCGTCTGGGATGCCTCCAAGTTTTGGAAGCAATTTTTCGAAGCCTCCGCCAACGTCTCGCTTTCAGGCTACGAAGCACTCGACAACGACGCCGAGACGACCAAGAATGACGAGAGCACTGCGATACGCGACGATACTGCCATGACGCAGACGCCCCGACGTGGCGAGGATGTCAACACGACCAACGTGTCGGACCACGCGCCGATGGACGTGGAAGGCGAGGAGTCCTTGCTGGATGACGGTGAATTGTCGGGTAGCACCCCTCGAGTACCAGCCACCAAGACCATGCGGACACCACTGGCCGATCTCGACTCGCCGTACGAGACAATGAAGAGGCAGGTGCCCAAGACCGAGGATACGACGGTTCTGCAAGAGGACGAGGAAGACTCCACCGTGCTCTTTGCCCAGCGTACGGCGAGGTTGCCGGACATGTCCATGACGCCCCGGCAGGTCCTCGAGCGGAAGGAAAGCGAACAGTCGGTCCAGAAGAGCAAAGATCCTCTACTTCACCGCGTACTGGACAAGAACTACCGCGTGCAAGCTACACCGCACAAGCCTACACTGCGAATATCGCCCATCAAAGGCAAGGGCAAAGGCAAGGGCAAAGAGCCAGCCGTTCCATCGTGGAAGGATGACTCGCCCATGTCCTCGCCAGAGATTGCTGCGCCTCAACTCCGAAGCGAAGCCTTTATGTCGCCATACAAGAAGGGTGCGACCGCGGCGCCGCAGCGCGGCCCTCGCACACCCGGGGTCAGTGTGCAGACACCCGAAACGGGTCGCAAGGCCAGAAGCGCCTTTGACGAGGGTGAAGGGGGGGTCAGCAAGGTGCCGTTGGATTGGGATGTTGGCGAGGAAATAGATTACGAAGATGACGAGGATGCTGATTTGTACGCGGGGATGAGTCCGCCCAAAACGATCCAGTTCGCTCTGCCTCCGTCGAAGTTGCTGCAGACGCCGGCTCGCGAGGCAAGCAGGAGAATCGTGGACGACATCCTGATTGATGCGGGCGCCGATCCCGAGTCCAGCGAGTACAGTCCTACAATGGTCAAGATGAACGAGGATATACTCAACGACAGCTTCTGATCGATTGGAAGAAGGCTGCAACAGCGAATGAGAGACGAATTGATACCCTGACTTGCAACACTACTGAACTGTTCATTTCGCTAGACATCCCCTTTTCGCAAGCCCAGTGTTCAAATCACAATAATGTTTGCCTAAGTTCTTAGGTAGGAGCCTGCCGGGGCCAGGACAAGATGCTGATACCAACTGACTGACCCCTTGCGGACAGCGGAGGAAACACAAGACAATGAAATAATAATAGTTTCCAATGGCGACTCAAGGTTCTCCCATACATGAACGTTGGCGTGGTGTTGGGTGCTGACTCCAAACAGGGCCACCATGACGGCGATCTCTCGCCGCCCAGGTTCGCAACAGGCTTCTGGGAGTATCGATTGGCCTCGATCCTAAGATCGACATCAAGACACTACTGCCCATGCCATGTAAAAATTGTCACTTCGATGAATGCGACAGAATGGCTCAACCAACCTCAGCGACAGCGACAGTGTCTTGGCGGCGACCCACCAAGCTCCAAGCCATGATCCCCCACTCTGTTCCTATCGATAAGACTTATCGCCGGAAATTTTTGCCAGCAAGGCCAACCAACGCCTTGTCGCAACTTTTTGCGTCTGGCGATGTTTCTAAAGCACTGATCCGGACGACGCCAACCGCAACGATGGAGCAGCAATTACACAAGCCCCATCGCAAGTCGGGCAAGGAGAAGAAAGACAAGAAAGACAAGAAGCAATCATCGGGCGGTACGTCGTACACCCACACCAGCGCACGCGACTAGGAGCTAACACCCATGGCACAGAACAAAACCCGAAAGCCTTCGCCTTCTCAAAGCCTGGCAAGCTCGCCAAGACTGCTGCTCGGTCCCAAGATGTGAGTTGAAGATTTCTCCCTGCTGACAAGCTTCCACTGACATTGCCCCAGATCAAAGAGAGACGCCTCCATGTTCCCCTTGTCGACCGCCTGCCCGAGGAGGCACCTCCCCGCCTCGTCGCCATTGTCGGCCCCCCTGGCGTCGGAAAAACGACACTTCTCAAGTCTCTAATCCGTCGCTATGCCAAGGAATCCATCACCGACCCGCAAGGCCCGATCACCGTCATCACTTCCAAGAAGCAGCGCCTCACCTTCCTCGAATGCCCCAACGAACTCGAGGCCATGGTGGACGTGGCCAAGGTCGCAGACATTGTGCTCCTCATGATCGACGGCAACTATGGCTTCGAAATGGAGACCATGGAGTTTCTGAATGTGCTGAGCGCAACGGGCATGCCCGGTAACGTCTTTGGAATACTCACACATCTGGATCTGTTTCGGAAACCGCAGACCCTCAAGGACGCAAAGAAGAGGCTCAAGCGCAGGTTATGGACTGAGCTCTACCAGGGCGCGCATCTCTTCTACCTCTCTGGTGTGATGAACGGACGATATCCCGACCGCGAGATCCACAACTTGTCGAGGTTCCTGTCGGTCATGAAGAACCCCCGGCCCCTGGTCTGGAGGAACTCGCACCCCTACTCGATCATTGACAGCTACCGGGACATCACCCACCCAACCAAGATCGAGGAGAATCCGAAATGCGACCGATCAATTGTCCTCTCGGGTTATCTGCGAGGCACCAATTTCTCGTCACAAGGGCAGAGGATACATATTCCCGGGTTAGGCGACTACACCGTGGCGAATATGGAGGCGCTGCCCGACCCCTGTCCAACACCTGCCATGGAACAGGCGTTAGCCAAGATCACCGGCAAGACAGGTCGCCGCAGGCTAGACGAGAAGGAAAAGAGGCTTTACGCCCCCATGTCTGACAGAAGTGGTCTCAAGATTGATGGTGACGCCATCTGGATCACTCGAGAGAAGGGCTTCAACTTTGATAAAGATACCCAAGATGCTGAACGTGGCGAGGGAGAGGAGATGATTGTCGGTCTACAAGCCGAGCGCCGTCTACTCGGCCAGACAGAGAACGGTGTCCAACTCTTCGAGGGTGGTGAGCAGATCAAAGAGGTGGCTGAGGATGAGGACACAGGTCGCAAATCGCAGCGCAAGGCACGGATAGCCGAGCGCGACGAAGATGAAGATGATGAACCGGAGGACGAGGGCTTTGCCAGTGGCGACGAGGACCAAGAATTCGATTCGGAAGAGGTGTTTCAAGAGAGCAAGATGGGCAAGATGTTCCGCAAGAGCAACGACAAGGACGCCACCGAGGGAGATGTGGCCTTTGCCGACAGTGACTCTGACTTGGGCTCAATCTCTGGTGCCGAGGATGACGAGGAGGAGGAGGAGGAGGAGGAGGACTACGATTCCGACGAGGAGGCTGCCGCTATGCGATGGAAGGACAATATCCAGTCCAAGGCCATGAAGATGTACGGCAGGAGACGAACATACCACACAGGCGACCTGGCGCGCTTCATCTACGATGAGTCATTATCGCCCGCCGACGCGCTGAAGCGCTGGCGAGGTACTGACGAGGACGAAGAAGAGGAGGAAGACATTGAGGCCGACGAGGATGACGATGACTTTTTCAAAAAGACCAAGCAAGAGGACGAGGACAAGGCTGAGGACCGATTAATACCCGACTACGACTACGAGGATCTAGCAGCCAAGTGGGCTGACGAGGCCAATCTGGATGCACTTCGTCGGCGCTTCACCACCGCGGTCCGGGGTGAAGGTGCCGAGGATAGCGAAGGATTTGACGAAGACGATGAGTTCGACGGCATCGATGATGGGGACGACGAGGGTGATGGCGTCTTTGAGGATCTCGAGGCAACAGAAGATCAAGGCGGTGTCAAGCCTGAGGACGCCCCCCAGCAGCAGACGGCCGACGAGATCGCGGCCGAACGCGACGCCAATGCCAAGCGCAAGGCTGAGCTCAAGCAGCGCTTCGAAGAGGAAGATCGCGAAGGTTTCCTGAACGACAAGGCCAACGCGCGTCGCGAGGGTGGCGACATTCAAGAGTTTGGCGAGGACGAGTGGTACGATGCCCAAAAGGCCATGATCCAGAAGCAACTCGACATCAACAAGGAGGAGTTTGCCGAGCTCGACGAGCGACAACGCGCCGCCGTCGAGGGCTACCGCGCGGGCAAGTACGCCAAAATCGTCCTTGAGGGGGTCCCCGCCGAGTTCGTCGAACGCTTCAATTCGCGCACGCCCATTGTCGTCGGCGGCCTCTCTCCCACCGAGGATCGCTTCGGCTTCGTCCAGGTCCGCATCAAGCGGCACCGTTGGCACAGGCGCATCCTCAAGACCAACGACCCCCTCATCTTCTCCCTCGGCTGGCGTCGCTTCCAGTCTATGCCCATCTATTCCCTGACCGACTCGCGGACACGGTCCCGCATGCTCAAGTATACACCCGAGCACATGCACTGCTTCGGCACCTTTTACGGGCCCCTGATCGTCCCCAACACGGGCTTCGCATGCTTCAACTCCTTCTCCAAGGATATACCGGGCTTCCGCGTCGCGGCCACGGGCACCGTCCTGTCCGTCGATGAGTCGACCGAGATTGTCAAGAAGCTCAAGCTTACCGGCCAGCCGACCAAGATCTTCAAGAACACCGCCTTCATCAAGGACATGTTCTCCACGTCGCTCGAGATCGCCAAGTTTGAGGGTGCCTCCATCAAGACCGTCTCCGGCGTGCGCGGACAGATCAAGCGCGCCCTGAGCAAGCCCGAGGGCCAGTTCCGCGCCACTTTTGAGGACAAGATCCTCTACTCGGACCTTGTCTTCCTGCGGGCGTGGTACCCCGTCAAGCCGCATCGCTTCTACAATCCCGTCACCAACCTGGTGGGGTGGCAGCCCATGCGCCTGACAGGACAGGTCCGCCGCGACGAGGGCGTGGCGACGCCGCAACTCAAGAACAGCCAGTACCGCCCCGTGGAGCGCGAGACGCGCCACTTCAACCCGCTGCGCGTGCCGCGGGCGCTAGCGGCCGAGCTGCCGTACAAGAGCCAGGTTGTCCAGACCAAGAAGCAGCGCAAGCCGACGTATATGCAGAAGCGCGCCGTCGTCAACAAGGATCCCGACGAGAAGAAGGCGAGGGCGTTCATGCAAGAGCTCCTCACGATCCGCAACGAAGCGGCCGCCAAGAGAAGGGCCAAGAAGGAGGAGAACCGAACCGCCTTCAAGAAGAAGATGGCGGAGAACTTGGAGAAGAAGGAGGCACGTGAGAAGAGAGAGTCCAAGGAGTTCTGGAGCAAGAATGGCCGGAAACGCATGGCTGCCGAGAACGGTGGCGGCGGCGGCAAAAGGAGAAAGTAAGCAGATCAAGTACTAGTACCTCAGGCCGACATGTCTATACATATACTTCTCACTACGCGATGAAGGCGATTTTCGTATGTGCGGACATTAGCCGTTCATTGTTCATGCAATCTCAAGTACAGCTACCAATGTTAGGTCGGGTGAATTCTGAGACGCCTTGGAAAGAAAACACCATAGAACCCCGTCTCCGTCCTATAAGCAGCCAAGACGCCGCCAGGCGTCAGGCCCATACCAATCAAAAGGAGAATGTGTTCATCATCATACTAGCCCATAGCACTGCCTTTGCTTCCAACTGAAGCCCCGTGTACAGTTCCGAATTCTCCACCTTCCACTTCCAGGTCCACCCGTCATCATCGACATCGTCAAGACTTATTATAGGTGGCCGGGTCCTCGCCTCGCACGATCAAACGATCCGAGTGGTCTCCATGGCCAACTGTGGCATGCACCATGGAAACCCTCGTCTTGCCGTCGCCTGATGAACTGGACACCCGCCAGTTCAGCTTGCTCTCTCAGGCCGTCTCACCTAGACTGCTGCGAACAGCATCATCCCGCAACATCGTCTAGGAAATCAGGGGCTCGTCCTTGTTGGGGAGGACGGGCTCCGAGGGAACACTAGGGGTGGGGACATCGGCAGCCGTCTTGGGCTCTTCGGTGGGCGCGTCGGGGAGACCAGGCTCGGCGGTAGGAATCTTGGGGAAGGCAATTGGGTTGGCGGGCCCCTTCTCAGCAGAGGCAGCGCTTGTCTGGGAAGTGTCCTCGCTAGTCTCAGCAGTAGCAGCGCCCTTGCCGCGCAGCATCTCCTGGACCTTACCAGTGTAGTCGCCGGCATATTGCTTGCCGATGGCGCTCACCTGCTCGGCCTGCTTCTGAGCGACACTGCGAACCTGAGAAGTCTGCGCCTCCACGACGTCAGAGGCGTTCTTGAGGTGGTGATCGATCAACTCCTTGTTGGTGACATATATCAGGGGCAGGGCGAAAGCGAGGACAGTGCCGAGAAGAGCAAGACCCCAGTAGGGCATCAACTTGGTGAGGTGGTATCCAATGAACGAGGCAATAGCAGCCTATCTGAGCTTTAGCATGGGATTCAAGACGAGAATGCACGCAAACTCACAGACAAGGAGGCAAAGACGTTCTCGACAAAGAGGATACGCTGCGCCTCAATAACAACGAAGTTGACGAGCTCATGAACATCCCCGACAAGACCGTCAATTGTTTCGCGGGATACTGTATAGTACCGACGAGGGCGGATCTGGGTGGCAAGACCATTATTCAGGATGAGCTTGCCGAAAACCTCAGCTGTGACGGTTGAGAAGAGTGAGATCCATGCCAGCTTCAGAGACCAGCGGGTGATGTCGAGATAACGAGCCGCGAAGATGGCTGAGAGGATGGAGACGAGCGCGATGGCGGATGCACCTGTCTGGTCAGCATAGCCAAGCTGTGGTGGTTCCAGCACAACATACGGGGGTTCTTCCAGGACAAAAGCTCGTGGAAGAACGAGTGATAGTGTGTCAGGGGCTGGCCGGTAGCAGCAGGTTCGTTGGGTGTCTTGCGTGCGGCGGCAAGGTTGTTCAGCTCAGAAGAGGCTTGCGCAGTGTGGTTCTTGACATTTTGCGCGACAGGTCCTACCCAGTTTCATTAGTTTTGTTCGCACAAAACAAGCACACGAGCAGTGACGTACCAGTGGTGACGGAATTGTAGGCTGCGGCAGCATCTGCGAGATGGTTGTGAGTATGGCAGCATGACCAGGGAAGATTGTGTAGTAGACTATTAGCGCTGTTAGCCATGCGCATGCGACAAGTTTTCGTCGAACATGGACCTACCATACTGGCCTTGGTGGTGTCTAGGACCGAAGGGTTCTGGGTTTCGGCCATCGCGATGACGAAAGATAGCTAATGTAATTTGTTTTGTTGATTTTCTGATCGCGATTTTTGGTATCGGGCACAGGTAGTCGTGAGATCCTAGGCGAGAGCAAGCTGTGAGTTCTTGATCATTCGTAGGTGGTGGGCTGTGAGGGAGGATTAGGTATCTGGTGTTCGTTGCAGAGACGAGGGCCAGAGAGCGCACGAGAAATTCATCGGGGCGCCGGAGGGAGAGAAGCATCACTGCTGGCAGTCAAGAATGTTGTTTCACTTACTTGAGTGGAAAGAGCGCGAGGGCCGTTGCTTCTACGGGGATTCGAGATGCTTGAGCAAGGAGGAAGGCAGTAGGAGCATGTGGATGGGGAGAGCAGATGAAGGTGGTGGTTGTGGTGGTGGTGACGAAGATGATGATCGATGATGGAAGCTACCACTAACCAGTCACGCTACGTACCTTACGTCCTGACGGCACCTGCAGTCATCACACAGGCCGTGGAATGGAATGCACGGGCGGGCATGCAATTAGTCTAGGGGATTTTGGTGGGCGTGAAGCAAGGGAAAGTGGGCAGCTGCAGCAGCAACAGCCCGCAGCAGTTGGGCAATGACGCACCCATGGAGGGGTGAAACCGCACCACGCCGAAAACTTCGACCTCACAACAGGGTTTCACCACCGCGATTTGGCCGTCGCGACTGGAGATGCACGCACATGACATCAACAGCAACTTTCTGCCCCGTTCTCCTGTGCGAGCTCAAAGAATCGCTTCACACATGGCTTTGCGACATATCAAGGACGAAAGCTCATCACATCAGATCAGGGTCCCCTCCATCAGCTTCTCAGCCACAGCCAGTGCCTTATCGCGCGCGGGTGCCGTTTCGCTGCCGGAGCATTTGCTGCTACGTACGATAGCTTGTGATTATGCAAGTTCCATCCTTGATGAAATAGCGTTTGTGCCTTTCAGGACACGCTAATGATCGGGTTATCCAGGGATTGTGCATGCCAAGCGACATCCCTTGGGCAGCAAACCCTCATGCACGAGGGTCTGTACTTGGCTGGACTTCTGTCGTCACCCCGTACCCAGCTCAGTGCGACACCTGATAGTGCCCTGCGCAACGTGCTATCCTCCCAAAGCCCCTCGATTTAGTCTAGAGATGTACTGGCGAACGAGCTACAGCTTCACAAATGTTTTGGAGAACTCTCCGCTCCGGTCATCTCGTACAAATAGTGCATAGTCTATCAGCAGTCCCGTTGCATGGCGTAGATCTCAAAATCCCTGCAGGTACACGCCCCCACCGAGATACGCAACAGACACCTTGAGTGCTCGCAATTGATCAGTGCTGTTGTAGCTAGACACCCGGCAGGAAGTAAGCATCAATCCACACGTCATCTGCAGAGCCATGGCATATTGTGAACATGAAGTTGAGGCTAAGCTGTCATCTTGAGTGCTTTTGGACGGCTATTCCTCTGCACAGGGTACTAAAATACGCATTTAAGGGACTACCTTTTGGCATGTGATCGAGCGGAGATCGAACGGACTTGAGCCTGTATCACCGCAATGCAGTCACGGGAGTAAATGCAAGGCGCGTCTGGCCATTACCAAGGATAAGCCCATATGTATCTGCTCAACTCGAAAGAAATATTGTTCAGCATACTTGATTCTTGACGCCATGCTCCCCTAAACGCCACTAACGCTATTGAACAAGTTCAAATGGTATATATCCCAACCCTTTTATTTACACCCACGAAAAGAAGAATCCGGCCCCCTTCCTAGTCGTGTCCTCGCGAGAAAACAGTCGTTTCCAACGTTATATTCAGCCTTGACACGCCTTTTACATATCGCAACATCCTCACGTCAGTTCTTCCTCATCTTCGCCATCCCCAGAACCCGCCGCCACTTGTCGATGATCCGCTCGGCGATCCGACGAGTGGCCTCGCTGCTGTGTCCGCCGGAGGCGTCATAGCCGTCTGTCCGGTGAGGCGACCAAACATACCCGCGGCAGTCATAGGGTTGATCCCTGGGGACGGCAGGGCAGGTATCTCGCCAGGCGCAACGCCGCATGCTTTGCGGAAGGCCTCCAGCTTCTGCTGCGCCTCATCAGCCTCCTGACGTGCCACTGCTTCAGCCGTCTTTGAAATCGCAAGCTCCGTAAGCAGTGCCTCGTGCTCCGCGACTGTTGGCGGCACCGTCAGCTCCGCGGCCGGCGCCGTCGGTGTCGCTGGCCCTGCCGTGGAGGTCATTGAGATGACAGACTCGTGCCGTGCAGGGAGGGAGGAAAGACGCTTTGAAAAGCCCCCAGCCTTAGAAGGAGTGGACTTGCTGCGCGCCAACTTGAATTCCCTAAGCCCGCCGCTGTGGCCCTTGACGTTCGACATGTCCGAGGCCTCTCGGCGCCTGGGCTCCATGGCAACGCTGGTCGTGCGCAGCTTCTGCACTTGATGCTCTAGACGGTGCTTGTCTTGGTGGAGTAGGCGAACGTGGGCATGGCTCTCGCGAAGCTGATCCTTCAACGAAGCGACCTCTGTGCTTAGATCATGAATCTGGCGATTCAGGCCCTGCGTTTGCGACGCCGAGACGGCCAGCTGGTCTTTGGCGCTCACCAGCTCCTCATGCAGCTCTGTCTTGGACTGCAGAACTGACTCGCGGTCCTCACATTCCTGGTCGGGGAACCTAGCCTGAACCTGCTCGATCAACGCAGGAAGGTCCGTCGCCGTTTCCTCCACGTCGTGTTGTAGTTCTACCTCGCCGTCCTGGCTCGCCGGCAGCTTCTCGTCCACTGCTGATTTTGAAATTGCCTCTTGCTTGAGGGCATCGAGCAGTGGCCGGACTGCTTGCTGGTCCTCCTGCCTTTCGTCCTTCTCACGCTGCAGCTGGTTCGCCAGTACGGTGTGACTCCGCTGGAGCTCGCCCATCGCGGTCAAAAGATCCTCAATCTGATTATGCAATAACCGCTCGTCGACGGTTTTCGTACTGTTTGCTGTCTTATTGCCCACGGGCGTTGACTCCAGAACCGACGCTTCGTCGTCCATCCGAGAAGAGTCACGGGAGATGAGGGAGGCTTCGGTCGAGGCTGAGCTTGTTACGCTTGAAGAGCTGGCTTCTATCGAGTTCAGAGTCGATGCAAGGCTCTGCTTCGATGCGCTGCGTCGCAACATGCTCAGGGGTCGGGGTGAGGCACCAGCGCCCGGGCTCAAGGTAGTATTCGATTTGGGCGCAATTGTCGACGAAGCCCATATTCGGCCCAGAAACCTCGACGCAGCGTTTGTCGTGTCTGATGTGCGACTGGCGTTGGTGGCCACGACCAACGATCGACGATACCCCTGCTCCAACTGGCCCAGATTTTCTCTTGACACTTCGCTTGTCAAGCTGACAAAGTCATCGACGAACTCTTCCGCGTCGTAATGGTAGCAATCCCACAGGCCTCGCGATAGTAACAATTGCATCGCATCTTCCAGCTCGGTACATGCTAGAAGTCGCTGTTCGTTCTTGCGCATCAATGAGAGCGCCACTCTCATGAGTGTCTCCGGGGCACCTTCAGCGAATATGACATCGTAGATCCGGAACAGCATCGGTAGAGGGCAGGTTACGGCGAAAAAACTGAGGAACCACTGTGATACGTACGCAGGGTCCACCTGAAGATCCTCAAAGTGCTTTGAGAGCTCTGGCAGGTTGCTTTTCAAAAGTTCCCGGAACTGATAAATGCGAACATGGAGGCCCGAGAGATCTGGGAGGAAGCACGTCCGGAGGTCGTACCGCTCCATCAGACTGCCAGAATGGTTAGCCGATAACCCACCCTCGTGTAGACAGTCCTGCTTACCGAACCAAGACGCAAAATGCTTGCTTGTCAGGCATGTGCATCAATAGGGGCCCGACCAGGAACGCGAGGCCCTGGCAATAGCCAATCTTCGTGTCGTACAGGCTGAAGGTCTTGAGTACACGACCTAGCATGCGCTGGCCATCACCATCTGGGTCCCTGAACATATCAACTCCAGGAAAGCTTCGACCAAGATCCTTGCCAATCAGGGGCTCGTAAGGACTCGACTCCCCGCTGAGTTTCTCATATTGTTCTTCCAGGCCCGCATCGCGAGCCCCAGACATGCTCTGCCATACCACGCCTCGCAACGGGGGTGGGATGCCCTTGTGTATTTTATTTGAGAGCAGTGTTGGTAGGCGACCAGCAGTCTGCTGGTAGTCCTTGACCAACGCTGCCCAGAATTCGAGGTCAGTCATGGGCGGTGGAGGAAGCATTGAATAGCGGAGAGCAGATGGTGTCGGTCCATCTATCATTTGTCGAAGCTGGGCCATGGACGGTGGACGAGGTCTCCTCGCGTTCGAGTCGCGCGCAACTTGGACTTTGACGGTCTTCGGATTCGTAGCCAGCTTCGCGTTTTCTTGCTCCAGTTGCTGCAATAGGAGTGTGGTGGACTGCAACGGCACGTCAGTATAAGAAAATGTCTCACAAACAGTCCAAGGGAGTCGTATGGGCAACCCACATTATCCGTCTCATCGTCCTTGGTCTGCGCATCCTCCGTCTTTTCAAGCTCCTCCCAATTGACAGAATCAGCGTCCGAGGACCTGCGAGAGTCACCATCCTCCTCCCCGCTGTATAATTCGTCTTTTAATGTGCGGCTGGAATCGGGCGTTGCCCTAGACTCGGCTGACGAGCGCTTCTGAGAGTTTTCCCCTCCAGTGCTCTCTCTTTCCGCAACTGGCGATCGATCTGTCGACACGCTATCTTTTCTTTGCTTCTCATTTTTGTCGTCGTCTAACGTAGCTTTGGTGTCCAACGTTAGAGCCGGCGGCTCAGACAATCGCACGGTGACCATGGAGTCGTGTGCTAACTTAGGCGTCTCTGCATCTGCCGCGTCTGATTTCTCGATTGCCGCTGGAGTCGTTCCCGGTGTTTCGGCCAGGTCAGCTGCGGCCGTGTGCGACTCTGGCTCGGGGAACGTAGTAGCATTGTTGCTTGGCTTGTCTTGGAACGCCATGTTCAGGCAAAGAGAGGCGCTGGGGCCCGTTGGCAGGAGAGGTCGGCAAACTCCTCCTGGCTAGAGCTGGAAATGCCCTGTTGGTGTCTGCTATCGGTCGCAGGGCCGTTGTCGAGCTACCGCCGACTTTTAGATGGCCTCGATGTGACGGAAATGCAATGTCGCACCTAATCTCAGACCTGACCAAAAACACGAGCCGCTGTCAACACAGGGTGGCAAGAAAGGCAGGAGGAGCAGCCACGTTGAAATCACAACGTGTGTCCTACCGATTGGTGGGACGAAACTCAGAATGCGAAGTAACCTCTCGGTAGAAGTGAAACGTTGTCGCAGCCAACTACTAGTGATTGTCTCGGGCAGACAGGGCACACTTGGGGCGGTGGTCCGCAACGTCGAGGAGGAATTGAGAGAAAGGCGCGTGATTGCGGAGTAGTGAAGATCGAGACCTTGTTGAACGGAGGGCCGATCTGAGGCGGAAGCAAGGAAGGCTTCAAAAACGAGACCAGGCGCGCTTGATTGAAGAACTATTATCAATGCCTGGGCCAGGGGTAATTATGAACCACGATTCGTTTGCTCTGACATGGCGGCTGCCGGTGCTAACGACGCGATTGGGGACGATGCTAATCTCGCCGGGGGCGCGAACCGCCAGCCTATTCGCTCCCCTGAGTCCCCGAATCCACACATGTCGACTGCCGCCCATTATGCGCCTGAGCGAAGGCGAGGTAAAATTATTGTCATAACCGAGCGAACATTGGTGAAATTGGCCATGAACTGTATCTAGGAACCAGGCATGAAGCTGGGTAGCATTAAAACTACGTAACTTCGCCGGTAATCGCAGTTCGGAACATTGGAGACGCCCGTCGTTTGACCGTTGGATTGGCAAACATCAATGAGGTTGGCCCAGACCGGCGTTAGCATCATTACGGAACGCAGGGGTCGACCACTTAAAACACAGCGTTAGACTTATCGATAACCCTTTCGGTGCACATCCGGTGCACTTGGAGCCGACGCGTTTCCAACAGTCCCCGCCTTTATGGCGCTAGCTATCGATACCAGGACACCAGCCACATCCCGCATCAACAAGTCACATCCGCGCGAGGAGACACCAAGGACCAAAGCATGCAGGTTTTCGATGCATTGCTGCAAGTCATCTGATGCTGTGATTCTTGGTTCGGGAGCTTTAGTTGCATCTAGACTGCCGTGCAGAACGAAGCACACCGCTTCGTCAAAGTCGCTGAATATGTGCTCTGGGACCTAGGGTAAAGTGGCTACCGAAATCCATCTTTTCGCGAATTCATCGTCCTCTTCAAAGGGACCCGGCACCATTAGCGTTATCTCTGGTCTGTATCGCCCTGCCATCACTGCTCCAGGAACCCTTCACCGACTTCTGACTCGGGCAAGAAGGGTGTCGCACGAAAAGAACGGATGGGTGGCTGCCCTAGCATGAACGAACGGACCGGGCGCAATCGGCCCAGTTATAACGGCACCTTGTCCCCCACGTTTGTACAGGGCATGCTGATGCTGATGCGATCGCGCACCGCCTTTGGTAGACAAAGTCAGCGGACTAGAGTTCGGTCGAACTCATCATGAAGCCAATTTCTTATCACCCAGTTCCCCATACGAGCGCCTCCTGAAAAATGAATCGTGAATGTGACCAGAGGCGTATTAATCGAGCGGCACCCCTCCAACGCGGCAACGCCTATCATGAGTGACCCCACGACAAGAGCCCCCCCGGCTGCGAGCTAATCCTCATCTTGAAGGCTCATCAGGCGCATCAGCCTTGAAATATTCTCCAATGGAAAACCTCCCTCCGACTCCAACGCCTGCACGACCGAGACAACCCTGATTGTCGTCCATAGAACAGCTCCAATTTGGCATGCAGAGGCCCACAACATGTGCGACCTGCAACGATCTAAGAGTGTCATGCGTACGGAGTACAGCAAGCTCGACAAGTCTAGACTGGCATCACGGATCAACGTCATGACATGCGCGCATATGCGCTCAAGATGCCCATTTGGTTCGTCTGCATCGCGCTCAAGAAGCCAATCACTTGACCCAGGGATCGTCTGGGCAGACTGGTATCTCTCGAGCAATGATCAAGGTATGGCAACCTTGCAACGAAATTCTTGGTCTCATGGTGTCAGGTTCAACCATACTGTATCAACAAAGACGCATGCTTGATCTTGGACTTATTATTACCCCGTGCTACGTGCAATATTAGTGACCCGCTCCCCCCCCCCTCCGGGCAAGCGAGGTCGATTTGGACACTTTCGCAAGTTGTTGGAGGACGCGACCACTAGTGGATGTCACGATCCCCAGATCATTTCCCACACCCCACTGTCTGTGTTTCTTCCAAGGAAGGACACAACAACCCGCGACAGACCTGTCTCTTTCCACCACTCCTTTCTGTTCATTTTTGTTTGACCTCATGGCGTCTTGATACGCGTCTCGACCACCGGCAGGTACGGTAGAGATCTCTCATTCCATCTCTTCGCAGAATGGTATCCTCTTTTCTGCGCCCGCGTTCTGCCAGACCTCGCGTCGGGTCCCAGAGCCCTGGGATCTCTCCCTCGTTCGAGCAACGAAATCCTCGAGTGCCTGTCGCAGACTTTACGGAAGCCGAAGAAGACGATGACGAGGAGGAGGAGGGGGAGGAAGAGGACGAGCGAGGCCAGGGACATCGCGCTTTTGGCCGGCCCAGCCGCTTCCCAGATGAAGATCCCCACGAGGACCTGGACGACGAAGGGGACGAAGATGGTCAAAGGGACGCGCTGCCTGTCTTGCCCTTATTCTCTGCGTCCCATTTAGGTATGAATTGGATATTGGGAATGCAAATAGAGACGCTAACCATGTGCAGACTCTCTGCCCGTGTACAGCATCACCCACGCTATTCGAATCATCGTGATCGCTCGAACCGAAACCTCGTTGACTTGGGACCAGCTGAGGTCCCCGCAAGTATCTCAGTTCCTCGTCAAGCCGATGCAGCGTCAAATACGCACTCAACATTTCACGCGTGCTACGATATATGCTCTCATGGCCAACTGCCTGCAGTTCACCAAGGAGGCTCAGCGATACGCCGCCAATGCTGGCACGAGCCACACGAGAGCCAAAGTCTGCGAGCTCTTGGCTCTGAAAATACTCAAGGAGTACTCGACGAGGGAACTCATCGACGCACTGGCGTATGATTTCCATCCTCTACAAGGCTTACCGGGTCTCTCGTCAAGCGACCTCGCGATTGGAGCAAGCTCGAAGAAAGGAGGACTGAACCCATCTCGGACCTCCACGCTGGAAGTTGCTATCAGGGCGTCGGCAAAGCATTTCCTGGCTCATCCCGTGGTCGTGCAGCAGCTTGAGGCTATCTGGAGTGGTGCTGTCACGTTTTACTCGGCTGCGGACAGCCTGCATCGAGCACCGCCCAACAGCCCTTCCCGGACCCTGAACGGCAGGGTGGGCAAGCCCAGTGCTACGACTCCCTTGATCGGCAGAGCATCTTCCAAAGACACACACCCACATGTGCCACCGGGCAGGCGGACAGTGATGCTCTACGACCCGCGGCAAGCCTCAATGCTGAAGCTTTCTCGCCTGCGCGTGCCCCGTTACAGATCGTTCCTGTCTACCCTGTCACTGGCCATCCTTATCGGGCTCTTCCTCGCCGTCCTCATCGAGCGATCCACCAAGATCACAGGACTGGAGCTCGTGTTCTGGTTCTGGAGCGCCGGCTTCATGCTGGATGAGCTTGTCGGATTCAACGAGCAAGGCTTTGCGCTCTTCGTCATGAGTGTATGGAACTTGGTCGACTTGGGCATCCTCGTGCTGCTCATTGTGTATTACTGCATGCGCGCCTACGGCGTCTTCATGGCTGACCCGCATCACTGGAACGACATGGCGTACGATGTGCTAGCCGCCAATGCCATTCTACTCCTGCCACGCATCTTCAGTGCGCTAGATCACTACCAGTACTTCTCGCAGCTCCTGATCGCGTTCCGACTCATGGCTGTCGATCTGGTGGCCGTACTTGTCCTGGTCCTGATCATGTGCAGTGGCTTCTACGTCTTCTTCGTCCTTTCAGACAACAAGAACGATGGGGGAGAAGTGGCATTCAAGATCTTCCAGCTGCTCATGGGCTTCACGCCTGCTGCATGGGATGTGTAAGTTGGGCGGCGAGCTTACGAGACTGGTGACCGAGCTGTTCACTGACGTGGATAGGTGGCCTACATACAACTGGCTCGGACGGGGGCTGCTCGTGCTTTTCCTGTTCATCTGCCATTTCCTGGTCGTGTAAGTCTCCAATACTCCCACGAGCGCTAACTGTTGCTTACAACTCACAGCACCATCTTAATTACGGTACTCACCAACTCCTTCATGGCCATTGCTTCCAACGCGACCGAGGAGCATCAGTATGTGAACTCCTTCTGCGTCGTGTTCCACCGGAAGCTAATCATTGTAGATTTCTGTTTGCTATCAACACAATTTCTATGGTCAAGAACGATGCTTTGTTCTCTTACATCGCACCAAGCAACATCTTTGCCTGGCTGCTCATGCCCCTGAGGTACTGTATGCCCCTCAAAGAGTTTGTGTGGCTCAACCGCACCATTATCAAAATCACGCACTTTCCAGTGCTCTTCTGCATCTACCTGTATGAGAGGCTCTGGCTTGCGACGAGTGTGTTTGAGCCCACAGATCTCATTGACAACAGCTCTGGTGGACGCGACAGGACCCTTGCGTTCATCGATGCTGCTAGCAGAAGCGCCATGTTCAGTCCTAACGTCAGAGTGAGGGAAGAGTCGGTGGCGGGATTCCAGAAGGATCGCGCATTGGAGGAAGTTTTCAGACGCATGCCTGAACCTGCTACGCTGAGAACGCAGCGCAGGAACGAGAGGCAGAAGGCGCAGACTGCCATTCGAAACTGGATGGATCAGCACGATGAGGATGGCGCCGTGCAAACGAACTGGCCCACAATGGACAGCAGGGCCGTGCCAGACTGGCATCGCAGGTTGAGTGCTGGTCGTGATCGCCCTTCGCAACTGCGGCACATGTCCGACGTTCGTTCCACAGCAAGCGACCCTGCTGATCTGATGTCGAACGTCGGAGGGTTGCCGACATTCCCCCGGAGACCACTGAGGAAGGATGTCGTGCTCATGGCCCCCGACTACAAGGAGAATACGGACGCCGATGGGGACGACGAGCTCGTCACGAACGACGAGGACGAGGAAGACAACGTTACGCATGAGGTTAGCAGTCGAAAGGGCGCGATGGTATCGCAGGCCGATCCAGAGGGGGACTACTTTACGGCACCTGTGACATCCCGATTCGCGAAGCTGGCATCTTCTGCTGGCTCTTCTGAACGCGGCGTGCCGGCGACCCCTCGACAGGCCGCTCCACGCCGCGCGGGCATGCACAGCCGGACAATGTCCACAAACACGATACTCTACAACCCTGGCGAGGTGAAACAAGCCCAGAGGGCTGACCACAGCTCGTCTTCGGCGGCCTCAAACGGAAGGGCGGACCAGACAGGTAGCGGTCGTCAGAGTGGGCGCAGTGGAGGCGATAAGACGCCAGGGAAACGCGCATCGCCTCGGCGACGATCGCCCCAGAGACAGACCGCGGCAGCGGCCACCCAGCCACGACCAGTCACCGCACCGCGCGGGTTGACTGACAATGGCGGCATCACTCGGACGGCTTTGATGAGCATCGATCCCCGCAACCGGCCGCGCGACGCACGGAGATTGCCGTCCGTCGACATGAGCATACTGTCTGGCGACACCAGCCTGCGGTATGCCAACGACGATGTCCACGGTGGTATGGCCGGCAGCTTCCAGACGCAAATGGCCATGGCCATGATGAAGGACAACCAGAGGCGCGTTGCCGGCAACATTGACGCCGCGGACCGTGACAGAATGGGGCGCCTGGTGCTGGCGAGGATGAAGACGCTGGAGGAGGGTTTTGCGGACATCATCAAGGAGGTGCGCGCAATGAAAGAATCGGGCCCGCCTACCAGGGGTTATTCCGACACGGAATCCAAGGCTCAGCCAGCGAAAAGGGCCAAGGGCGACACGACACCGAACAAGGCGGGCGGAAAGAGGCCCGTCAGCCGGCGAAGCTGGAAAGAGCCCAAGGACATCAAAGGGAAAGGCAAGCGACTGGTGTACTCGTCTGACGATGAGGCCGGTGGCGATGAGGGCTTCGGCAGACGAGGGAGCTCCATGTGAGCCGCGGTCTCCAAGGGGGGGTGCAAGGCGTTTCGTTGCATGGTTTTGGTGCATGTTCACCCGGCACGGCAGAAGCATATATGGGGTTTGGCGTTTGGCAAGACTGTGCGCATCAGAGCATGTACGACCACCTCGCTTGGTATCTAATTCGAGAAGATGCGCACCACAGTTGAGTTGCCTTCCTAAATTCGCTATGAGTCAACTTGCGGGGCTGTTCAGTACGGCCCTGAAGGGAACGTGATACCCATGATGATACCTTACCCTTTGGCCCGCTAGACATGCACGCAGGCGGGGGCTGCGCAGCCTCGCAACACTCCAAGTCTGTCGACTGGTAGGTACGTACTCCAGTCATCCGGGGCGTGTGATATGCCTGGTTTGGGCAACGTGGAGTTTGTCAAGCCTGGAGCCCCGGAGAGATCGACTGGCGACGATGGTCCAGTTTTGGGAATGAGCCTGCGGAGGAGGTATTTTCCCAGCAGCCGCTGATGTTGATCACAGGCAGATTGGTTGCTCTTTCCCTCATCGGGGTGGACGGGACGGGCCAGTTCCCCAAGTCCAACATCCCCGATGGCCATGCTAGCAAGCCTGGCAGCGGTATCAGCACGGCTCAGCATCAGCATGTACAGTTAGGTGCCTATCATCTGTCTGCACGCAGAAACGAATTCTCACCCTCGTTCACATCTTTGCATCACATTCGTGTGACGCTATCTGACTCATACTATCGACTCGGCGTGTCTTGTTTGCCCCATCAATCACAAAGGCAGCAACCCATATGGGCATTTGAAACTTCGCTTCGGCTGGCTGTCAGCATATTGCCTCTTCTCATTTTCACACGCTCCCCCGCCGCTTCCTATTCTGACCCATTGCTGCTATACTATGCCAGACCCCGGTCTTACGTACAACGGCTGGAAGTCGCCTGAGCGCCCAGCATGGTCAACCGACGCTTCCATGGCAACGGCTGAAGAGCTGCAAGAACCTGGTGGCAGTACCGCCGCAACGAAACCCATACCCAAGGCTAGCACGAGTGTGCAGGATGCGCGACCTGGACAATGTTCGAACGAAGCGTACGAAGACGCGCCATCAATCTATGAGTTGACCGAGTCCCAGACTCGAGAGTTCATCCGCACAGGGCAGCTGCCACTCAACACGGCTGCCGTGGACGACGGCTTGAGGGCATCTCTGGAAGACGATGTTCAACTGTCTCTCTGGGAGCGAAAGTACAATGCATCTGATTTTAGCGGGGGGAACGATGGCTTCAATCAAGTCCAGTCTCACAATAGCCGCACCACTACGATTCCCAAGCTACGCGAGCAGAGTGCCCGCCCAGCAGCCGATGACACGATCCAGTTTCCTCACATCATTTTGGACGAGGGCGATGTACTCGTTTTCGTTGACGTCCCGAAGACGAAAGTCGACAGTCGACCAGCGACAACTTGCATCGGTGTTGCCCCATGCAATCAAAGCTTCAGGGTACATTCGGAGAAGCTCCTGGCACTGAGGGATAGCAAGTTCCCAGAAATGCTTCACAACCAAATCTATCAAGCCAGAGTTCGACGACGGCGCAAGCTCGATCCCGATCAATATCCGGGTATACGCTACTTCCTGGACATGACGCCACCCGTCGAAGGTGACGACCTCGTCTTCCAGATGATGAGCCTGTCCCTCCCCCAGGGCATAATGGACTGGTGGTCCGCAGATTCATTTCATGGTGTTAATCCTCAACTAGTCCGTGGGCACGACGATCTTTGCTCTTGCTTCAGAGACCGCCATCTGGCCGACCAGAAACGAGCACAAAGGAGGCTTGTCAGCACCACAATCTTCGACATGAGCCGAAAAGAGAGTGCTTTATACTTGGAATCTGTTGGCATGACAGAGGCTGATCTACTTCCTGAGGAATCACCGCCGACCTTACCGCCATCTGTCTCAGATCTCGAAAGACTCCGCGAGCGTGGTGCCACAGAAGTGATCAGTACGCCCTCGTGGTTCCAGATCCCAGACTACTGCCCTTTCCGCCACTGCAACAGCATCATTCGCCTGTTTATGATGATTGAGGACAAGCCAGCAGATTTGAACTCGGCAGCCCGCGTCTGGACCATGTTTGGCATCAGCAAGATCTTGGATTGCCCCTCGGTGGTGAACACCCAAGTTGCAGGCTGGGTCTTATCCAACCCTAAGTTCATTGAGGTTCTCCCCGAGGAAGCTTTCGAAATTGGGTTCGCTCTCCAGCTGCCTCAGATCACCTTGGCCGCCTATCGGATATTAGTCAACGAGTTGGCCCTAGAAGAAGCTGCGGATGACAGTCGCCTGACGACCCGGTCCCGGTTGACGATCTTTGGCCGCCGGAAGCGCGAGATCGGCGACGACGAGCAGAGCAACCTCATTGAACATGCCGCCAGAGCCTTCATTGAACGTGTCAAAAGCAACTTTGCCTGGCTAAAGAGCTCCTCTCTCTTTGATCATCTCGACATACCTCAGTGGGCCAAACTCCACAAAATTAAAAGGCTTCTTGAGCTCGAGGATGACGGCACTTTCGACGCAGCAAAGAAGGCGCTTTGTGGGCTGATGGACGCCCTTGTACACAAGGCAAACATTGCGGTCCAGACACTTGCCAGAAGTGGTACCTATGGTAGCGAAGCGCATGCTCAGTGGGACAAAGACCGTGCTTCCGTTTTGACGCCCCAGGCCTTCAGACCAATACAGGAAATTATGCCGACCCTGAACTCAACACAGAGGCTCCTGCTGCCTTCCTTTTACAACGAATTGGAACGGCGGCTGAAAATAACGTACCCCAGGCTGGCGTCCCTGTACCCAGACTCTCGCCGCCAATACTTCAGCACCTTGCTCGCTGATGTCGTGCAGGAGCTAGATAAGCTCATTCAGGCGCAGCCAGGTAGACGGCACCGAGAAGGGTGGCAAAATCTCTTTAGGTATGACGAGCCGGTGTCCGACTCCCACAATATACGCCTGGTCGCCCCTTTGCTCGACATGGAGCGTTTCGCAGACGAGGTCGTGGATGCCTTGAAACCAACCGTGAAGTCATGGAAGTGCGGAGATTTAGGGTATGAGGATGCCATGCCCCAGCTCAGCATTACGAGACATCTCCTTCTAGGACTCACTCATAATGAGTTGAAGTTTCTGCCGCTGTGGGCTGGCGGGAACAACGATGGTACGGGAGGCGTATTTGAATCATACGTACCGCCGACGGATATGGGCCCCAATGGTCCAGGCCCGGCCTACCATACTGGGTGCACCATCCCTTCCGGACCACCTAGCCTGTCCGGCTCACTCCTAGACGAGATCACTGCCTTCAATATCGAGGGCAGCACAACAGCTGGGTCTGTGGACGTTCACGACAGTATCTCGACAGTCTACCGCCCGGAAAAGGTCATTGTAGCGGACTCGTCCATCGCATCGGAGAGCACCTCGGGCATGGAACCCGAGTACAGTCGTGCGCGGTTTGAGATCCCTGCTGAACACCAGAAAATGGGGCAGGCTGTCGAACTCATGGTGGGCTCGGTGGATGACTCCGACGATACCACAGCTCTCGGCGCGAATTCGGACTCGGACGACAGCTTGGAGGAATTTGAGGAGGCCAGGATGCAGAAGTGATAGCAGCAATGGCTTTACTGCCACCTACTCGACTGCGAAGGGGGAGCAAGTCTCATCTCCAACATCCGACGACGAATGGCGTTTTTCTGTCTCACACCTTGGTTTGACTTAGAACAGCGTGTGCAAACCCTAGGAATCTTTTTGAAAACCACGATGAGAACTTGGTATACAAGGTCGAAGAAGAGCGAGGGCCATGGTTCTTGTCCCTGATTATCACGACAAGACGACTGTTACGCAGAGCACAACTATACAAACCAACCTAAGCCCAAACGCCATGCATGCATAACTCATGGCACATGATTATCAGCCCATGTTCATCGTATTCCCCGAGCCCTTGGGATTGTTGTCCTTGAACTCGTCCCACTCTCGGGCCTTGTACATTTCCCTGTCCATCGCCTCGTAGTCATCCTCATCAATGACCTTCTTCGGCTCCTCCCCGCCTTGGAGGATGTTGCCTTGCCGTCTCTCCTCCTCGAGATACTCATCAATCGTCATGGTGGGCAGGCTGTGGCCCGAGCGGAAGACCCCCTTTGTGCGCTCCCCCCTCGCGTTGGCGCCCAGCAGCGTGAACGGCTGCAGCGGTTTCCCGGCCTTGGACAGCAACGGACCCCCCGTACCTGGCTTCATGCGCATGGGTCCGTCGAGCCTCGTGTCGTCGTCACGCTCTTCAATCTCCTTCCGCCGCGACTCTGGCTCATCAGGCGCCGCCTTCAACAGGTCGATTTCCCGGTTGATCGAGTCCAGCGCGTGGAACGTCTTGTGTATCCGGTACGCCACGTTGGTCAGGTAGACCTCCCTGATGACCTCCTCGTCTCCGTTCTGTAGATAGCGTGGGTTCTGGCGCAGTGCCTCGAGCTTGTCTTTGAGCTGCTTCTCGGCCTTGAAGGCGGCGATCTTTGTGTCGCGCTTGGCAGACATGTCCATGCCCCGCGGCACCACCCCAAACTCATCGTCCTCTTCGCGATATCTGTCTAGGAGCTTGCTGTAAGGTGGTTCGACGAGGTCGTATGATTCGACGAGGTTGAGGAACAGGTCGTATATCCTCTTCGTCTTCTTCAGGTGCTGCACCCGTTCGCTGGGCTTGTTGTGCCCGGACACGCGCTCCATCAGCTCAGCCATGTAATATGCAGTGAGCATAAAGGGCATTTCGGATGTGGCAACATCTTCGAGCGTCTCGTTGACGGAGAAGATGGAAGCAGCAGCGAGGTGTTCGAGAAGCTGCTGATGCAGGGCGATGGTGGACTCGACATCGGCAGCATAGGTGGCGGAGGGAGCGTCTGCGCGTGACTCGAGATCACTTCGTTGTTTCTCGGTGGCTTCTAGTAGTGACGATAGCGACTGGGGCGTATCTAAAAGGTCCATTCTGGCAAGCTGGTGGTTTGTTGACTGAGTAGTAGATGGAACCTTTGACCCGGATGCTGGGGGAAGCTTTTGGCAACCATCGTAACTATCTGTGCTGCCCCACCCCCACCATTCGAAGACTGGAGGCTACCCTGTACCCAAGTAAGGGCTTCATGAGTGGCAAACAAGATAGCACACCTAGCTTCCATTGCCTTGTGTCAAGGTCAGATACCAGGGTCCAGTAGTAGGTAGAAACCTCATGCATCAAGCATGCGTTAAAAAGCTTTAGATATCTCGAGTCAAGTGTACAACCTGTTTGAATAGAACGCCCCTGACGCCACGTAACCTCTTCAAGGTTAGTCCTCATTATCATCCATGTCGAACCCGTCATCACTCTCATCATCCTCGTCTAGCCCCATGGTCGAATCCTCGTCGATGATCACTGGCTTCCTCGCTGCAGCAGCCCGGCCCGGTCTCCCACGTGCCGCAGGTCTCGGGGCTGGGGATTCAGGGTCGGCCACATCTTCATCGTCATCCTCGTTATCGTCTACTGGTATAGATTTCTTAGCCGCAGACTTCTTTAATGCGTAGGCTTTGGCTGCGGGCGAAAGTGTGGTCTGCTTGGGCGCTGGTCTTGGATTCGTAGCCGGCTCCTTGGCGGCCTTATTCTTCACTCCTGCAGGGCGACCACGGGCCTTCTTCACCACTGGCAGAGCATCCGCCTTGGAAGCCGAGGGCTTCGGCTTGGGTGCAGCCTTTGAAACAATCACCGGCTCCTCGTCGTCATCGTCGGAGAGGAACTCGTCAATGTCCTTGGCCTTGCTTGCGGGCTTGAACGGTGAAGACTTGGCTAGCATCTCGTAGTTGGTGTCGTCCGGGCTGTCCTCATCGAACGCTTTCGATGACTTGGGCTTGGGCTTGGGCTTGGGCTTGGAGCCACTGGGGCCGCTGCTCGGCTCGGGCCTGCTCATTGCGTGCAGGCTTAGCCTACCAGTGCCAGTTCCCGAACCACTCGACTCAGGCTCCGATTTGCCGATACCTTTCACCATCGCGCCAACGTCCCCAAGCATCATGTCATTATCCTCGTCGCTATCCGAGTCGAGGTTAATGAACGTCTTGGCTCTGGAAGCAGCAACGCGCTTGTTGCGTGTCGGCTGCGGCAACGGCTCTTCTTCCTCATCTTCCGACAGCGACAAAGCCGGGGTTTCCTTCTTCACCACGGCTTTGGCTGTAGGGGCGGATGATGGCTTGGTCCGGCTCAGCGCCGCAAAGTCGTCGTCAGAGAATCCGTCAAGGGCGGCACTAGGCTCTGCTTTGGGCTCCTTCTTGACAGCGGTCTTGCCACTGCCAAACATCTCCGCAAACCTCTGAGCGCTCTTCGTGTTGGACGGCGCAGCCGCCGCCGCTTTGCTGTTCTTGGCCTTTGACTTGGCCTTGGCTTCCGGCTCATAATCATCTTCATCCTTGGCTTTCTTGCCACGACCAGCGCCAATTTTCTTTGAAACACGACGACCGGTCCTACGGATGTCCTTCGCGATTTGAGCGTCAAGAGTCTCCTGTTTCTCCCACTCCACGGCGAACTCGTCGAGGTCACGGCACCAGAGGTCTTTTTCGCTCAACGCCAGCAGCTCGTCATGCTGCGCTTGCTTGTTGCCCATGGCCTCTTTGAGTTTGGCCAGGCGTTCGGCAGTCAGTGACCAGATAGGCATCTAGAGCGTGTCAGTCAAGGTTCGCTACAGTGGGAGGCAGACGTGGTACTTACCGACAAAAGATAATCATAGTCACGGGCACTTCCCTTCTCGGAGGAGTCATCGTTCTCGTCGTCGCCAGACTCGTTCATCTCGTCCTCAGTATCTTTCTTCTTCTGGTTGACGCCGTTCGGGAAGGCCTCGTAATCACGGTCGCGAAGCTCTTTGACCAAAACATCCTTCCTCTTTTTCCCAACGACTAGTTTGCCGTCGATAATCTCTTGGATGAAACGAGCCTGATTGGTCACTTTGCGGAACTCGCGGTGGTAGACATCCAGCCAGTGCTTCTTTCGCTCGGTGTACATCTGCAAACGGTGGACATAAAATGCGTCCAAGATGTCCTCAACCTTTTCATATCTGCGGATGCGGCCTTCGGCGTCGAATGCCACCATGTTCGACGTGGCGACTTGCTTCTGCAGCTTGAACTTTTCCAAGAGACCAGCCTCCATCACCTTGTCGATGTGCTTGTCATCTACCTGGATCTCAAAGTGTACGGTCTGATGATCGTTGAACTCCTTGTAATCCTTGATCCAGCTGGGACCATCATCCCCGCTGATGATCTTTTCGAGCTGTGCCTTGAAGTTGTCGGTCCACACGCGGATGGGCAATTCCGTGATGATGATCTCGTTTGGATTCCTGTCATCTCTGTAGGCAACGCCATTGAACTTGAAGCGGTCAGGGCCGGCGGGCTCGGGAACACCTTTCCAACCGCGGAACCAGGGCGTCATCGATTCGAATGGAGCCTCCTCCGTGTTGTCTGGATCAAGGCGACCCATGCGTCGCTTGAGGTTGTTGACAATGTCCATTGGGTGATAGTTGGGGATGTTGGTGCTCCAACCGGTGCCAATACCATCAGCACCGTTAACCAGAACCATGGGTAGAATGGGCGAGTATGTATCCGGCTCGATAGTCACGCCTTCTTCCGATTGGTAATTCAAATTGGGTTCGTCCAATGGACTGAAGATCTTGCGCGCAAAGGGGGACAGTCGGGTGAAGATGTAACGGGGACTGGCCGCGTCAGAACCACCAGCGAGACGGGAACCAAAGGTGCCGCTGGGCTCGAGACAATTAATGTTGTTGGAACCGACAAAGTTCTGCGCCAGGCCAATGATGGTCTGATGCAAGGATGCTTCACCATGATGGTACGAGGTTTGCTCGGAAACGTAACCAGCCAACTCAACGACCTTGGTGTCCTTGACCAGGTTCCTCTTGAAACAAGCGTAAATGACCTTGCGCTGACCTGGTTTGAATCCATCCAGGACAGATGGAACAGATCGCACATTGTCAGCCATGCTGAAAAGGATCAGCTCTCGGTTGACAAAGTCCGCATGCTTGATGACCGATGTGGACATGTCGAGGTAAGTGCCCGGCACGAACTCTCCCAGCCAAGCCTTTCGCGCATCTGCCTTTTTCTTGCTGAAGACCAGCTCATAGAGCTCGGGTTCACCTGGCTGCACAGTCTGAAACTGCTTCAGATGCTTGTCAAGGTCCTTGAAATAGATCTGGGCGTCCTCAGGGGTCGATGAACCCAGACCCTTCAAGTACTTGCTTCGCCACTTGGTGAGCTCGTTGCTGTGGGCTTCTTTCCATTCCTCGTACTGTGGTTGAGTGAAAAAGGACTTGAGTCGCAAAGGTTTCTTGGGGTTAGAGCCTTGCCACACCTTGACAATGGGCGTGATAAAGCCCTGGAAAAAGCCTGGCACTTGAAGCAAGGAGGGGTACATGACTTGTAGAAAGTTGATGAGAAGCCCCTTGATATGACTACCATCGTGATCCTGATCAGCCATGATCATCAGATGGCCATAGCGCAGACTCCTGTTGTCGGTATACACAGCCTTGTGCTTGAGGCCCAGGAATTGTTTGATGTTTTGAATTTCCGTATTTTTGGAGATTTGGTCCGCAGTAGCATCGCGAACGTTGAGCATCTTGCCTCGCAAGGGGAAGACACCGATGCGGTCGGGGTCGAGAATTGCACGGCCAGCGACGGCCAGACCCTTGGCGGAGTCACCCTCAGTCAGGATCAATGTGCATTCGTGACCACGGCGGGTGCCAGCCAAGTTAGCCTCGACAAGCTTGGCATTGCTCACTCGTGAGCGCTTGCTGCCGTCACTCTTTGCCATCAATTTGTCGGCCTTCTTTTCTGCGAAAGCCATAATGTTCTGCAAAGCCTCGGATGCGGCGATCTTTTTTAGGAACTTCTCGCTGAGCTCGCACTTGCTACCAAATTGGCTGACTTTTGTAGTGGTCTGCTCCTTGGTCTGTGAGTTGAAAGTAGGATTGTTGATGAGACAGTTGACGAACACAAAGATGTGATTTCGTAGATGGTTCTGCTTCAACGTATGCCCCTTTGCCTTCTTGTTCAGCTGCTTGAGTAGAGCATTTGTCATCTGATCAGCGATATAGTTGACGTGTGTTCCTCCTGAGGTGGTGGCGATGGAGTTGACGAACGAGACTTGTTGGAACGTTCCGTCCGAGACCGTGAAGCCGATCTCCCACCGGGGATGGCCCTTATCATCATCAATCTCGACCGTCGTCACCGGGGTCACACCCTCCTCCTGAGCTCTCGTGTGGGCAATGGCCTTGGCGTACATGTTGCAGTACGACTTGAAGTCCTTGATCTTGATATGCTCGCCATTGAGGTACGTTTTGACGCCACGAACCGTGCCTGCCATATCGTAGACACGTCGCAAGAGTAGACTTTCTAGCGTATCGTCGATACCGTCGGGCATGTTGAGCTTCTCAAAATCGGGTTTGAATGTCACCCGCACAAAATCAGACGTCTTGCTCGACGTGATCTTTGCTTTGGTCACGTGAAGCATGTTATCCGTCCATGTCTGCTTGTATCTCTTGCCATTCTCGTTGTCCTGACATTCGAGAGTAAACTCCTTGCTGAAAATGTTGCAGAGCTTGGCACCATAACCGTTTCGGCCGCCGACAGTCTTCTTCTCGTTGTCGTCGTAGTTGGCACCTGTAAGGAGGACACCAAAGATCATCTCGGGAATATACATCTTTTCCTTCTCGTGCATAACGATAGGGATACCCTTGCCGTTGTTCTCGACACTGATGACGCCTTGCTCTCTGTCGATGGTGATCTTCATATGCGACATTGTCGAGTCACGCTGCTTATTGTCCGCAGCATTCACAAGAATCTCGTCAAAGATTTTGTAGAAACCGGGCACGAACGTGACTTCCTTGTACTCCATCAATTGCGTCTCTTTGTTGTAGACCCACATCGTCTGTGTGGTCTTTTCGATTGAGCCAACGTATGTGTCGGGACGGTGCATGATGTGCTCACGCTGGGTGAGCTTCTGGTATGTCTCGCTCGCTGTCTTCTTCTTGGTCGGGATTTTTGATGTTTCCTCAATCGCCATGCTGTCATTCTCAAGCTCGGCCAAGGGGGCGCCTGCAGACTTTTTGACGGCTGGTGCCTTCTTTTGCTTCTTGGGCGGAGTGTTGGAAAAGCCAGAGCCATCGGCCGAATCGTCGTCTTGGTCGTCATTCTCCGGGGCGGGCCGCTTTTTGCTGACCTTGAGGGTACTTTGTGTCATCTTCTTTGCTTTCGGCGCCGGCGCCTTCTTTCCAGCCGCAGCCTTGGTCTTCTTCTGTCACGGGCGCAATGTCAGCCGATTGTCGGGAGAAACAGAGGCTTGCAGGTCTGACGAGGTGCTGAGGGTCAGGGAGCTCATGGTGAGCTGATAGGCCGGCGATGTTGTTGTTGGGAGATCGGATGCGCTTGAGACGCGCGAAGACTTACAGTTACAGGCTCAGGGACGAAGCCATCAGACTCGGCCTCGGAGATGAACGCCGACTCATCTGAGTCCATCTTGGAGTGTACTACAGATATCGAACAGAATCTTCCAACGGCAAAACGAGAGTTGATCGACAGCGGATGCTCGGGGTACAAAGTGGAACATGGATATGGAGCTGGAATCCAGGTGCCCCTTGGTCGAGTGGCAAGGAGCGCTTTTGCGCAAGATCGCAATAGTAACGAGTGGCGTAGGGAGTGTGCCACGATGATGCGAAAGCAAGTCAAAGATTGGAAATAGTTGGCGACGCAGGGTGAGAGGAATCACAAGGATGTCGTCGGCGTTGTTGTGGTTTCCTCGATGCAAAGTACATAAACAAAAACGCGTCCCGAGCCAAATGTCGCGGTTCTGTGGGGGGAGCGTGTCCTGTGGCGCTAGCAGGGGCGGTCCCCGCCGGGAAAGTGGGACCCACTGAAGAGCGCGTCAAGTGTGAAGTGGCTGCCCGTGGCGCAAGGAAAGGATGCATTATCACGTGTCGTGAGTCCCACTTGACATCACGTGCAGTGCTGCTGCCGATCTTCATCCATTCATCTCTGGTGAACCCAGCTTTGTAAGACGCCCGGTCACATTGAGAAAACGATATTGTACTTGTACATAATGCAATGGTTACAAATGCACTTGATGCGTATGCTCGGCTGCGTTCTTGCCGTCAACATGTCGGCCACATGTAGGCTGCCTCGTACGACCAAACTTCCGAGTTAGACTCTCGAGTCTTCGCATGTTCTTTGAGTCAAGGAAGCTTGCACTGCCATGGTCAACGACTCCAGTCACTCCCGACGGCAATGCCGTACTGGCACCCTTCTTGATCGGGTAGCTTTAAATGAGAGGACCTTCCCGTATCAAACGGCAATTTGCGGTAACTACGTACTAGACTACGTAATGGCATTCCCGCAAACTCGTCCCCAAGGGCAGAAGTCGGGCGAATGCCATCTGATAGAGGCATTAGGACTGTGCACCAGGCTTTCTTGAGCCTCTCTCAAACAAGACGCCTGGACGCTTTGGCACGCACGTCCTCGCCAGAGATTTTGTCCTCGAGGATTATGCAATCTTCCGTGTCGCTGCTCCCGGCCATGGGTCAAGAAGTGATTGCCTACAGCCCGCACCTCGTCCTACCGAACCACCACGCGCAGCCTCTGAAGTTCAAAGCAGGCAGTCAGAGTTTGCCCTACACTGTGCTCACTGCTTGGCAATTCTTGTGAGGATCACAGTTTGAAACACTGCCGTGCAACAGCCCACTCTGCCCCCCCTATCCTTGACGCTACATCGACTAGCTGCGAATCCCAGACCCCGGCATTCTTCTGACGTGCCAGTCTGTTCAAAGCATAGTATGATTGACGCGCTTGTATCGTCTAGTAGCGAGCAAGTGGACCAAAACAAAGCATGGTTGTCTGGCCAGCCCATCGCGACATGCATGAACCTTTCAGAGGCACCATCATCGACACTGGCTTGATGCTGAGCTAATAATTGCTATTCTACTGGATATGCTACATCCAGCGCCTTTCTATGCGGTTGCCATCATGGCTCTTGTGGTTCTGGATGGGGCCGGGCCTCGATCATGGATGCCATGCATCCCTGGGTGTGTTTGGTATGACAGCTGGCTTGTATGCCGTGCACCTTCGGGCACAATTCGTGCGTCTGTACCGCCACGACCGGGCAGCGTCTACATGTACGCAACTCAGATCCCCCAGGGTCTCATGCCAGATGGCTGCTATCGCTGGACCCTATGAAAACCCAAATGAACATTTCTAGAGATTGATCACTCGTGTGCATCGAGGACTGGCGTGCTTGGATGGGGGCGCGATTTAAATGCGAAATGGGCACATGACGGGTCGACGTTGCCATCATTTCGGCAACCTTTCATGGGGCCATGGGTCTTCAAGCCGGCTTGACGAAAGAAGCAAGTCTACGCATTGCCAGCTCCAATCCCCACCCTCATTCACCGTTACGCAGAGGTATATACTTGGGGAGGGTTTCGATGTTGCTGTCCGCCAACTGTAGTCCGTCTTGAAACCAGCTGGACCGGCTGTTCACCAGGTCGATGCCGCATCCGGACACCTTTCATGGCCAATTCCGTTGCGTGAACCTGTCTTTCTGCGTTTGGGCGCTCGCCAGTGCCCGTTTGGGAAGGTATCGAGTGATTCATTGTCGATCAAAGGGCTTGGATCTGTGCAGTATGCCGTGACAGCACATAGTCTTGGGCGTCAAGTCTGGGGAACATGGCCCGCGTGCTACCCGTCTGCCTAGGGAGGTGAGATGAGCCGTTGGAGGCAAGCTGGTGCCCAGTCAACCCAGCAAGCGTGTATGAAGCATAGTCAAGTGACCTTTGCTCTTCCTGAAAGAGCCGTGCCTGTGTCGAAACTCGCGTCGCGGTACAGTCTGCGCATGTTTTCCCGTGCACTCTCGACCTTGCACAGGCGGTGAGGTCAGTCCACCTTTCAGAGACCAGCCGAACTGATGACCGCAACTTTCCATCACATTGTCTTGGACCATCTGTCACTTTGTGGCTTCCAGCTAACGACCTTGTCAAAACGCAGGTGGGGGGGAACAAACAGTCACTCTGGGATTTCACAGGCTCCCAGGAAGCACACCTTGACGGTGTGTCGGAAACAGAGAAATACTTGGCTAGAGTCACATCTGTGGCCGTCACTTGAGCGCAGAAAGGTGCTGTTGACCCTGGCCCATCGCGAGAGAACTGACGCGCCAAAGCGCTCCTGCGTTTGTCAAGCTGATGTTTGACCCAGAGCTGGAGCGGTCGGTCCATGGCGATTCAGCATCTTCATTTTCTTACTTCAAGTCCCTGTCCCGTCGATGATCATTGAGTAACTGCCAACTTTGTTGGGCTGTTGTCCTTCCAAGTCGACCATGGGAGAACGCATCGCGATTCAGTCGATACTCAACGCCACCTCGCCACGTTTGTCCCCTCGACCTTTCATCTGAGACCGTACACTCTGCTCACTATGTCTAGCATCGGACTTCTCCTCCCCGGCCTCTGATGTGCCTGATGCGTTTCCGCTCTTCGGTGACTCGACGCCGGCACCGTCCAAGGCCAAGAAGACACGGGACTCAAGCGATTTGTCGTATTCGCAAGCTACAGGCTACTACAAGTTTGCCCCTTTCGAGGACCTGAACGAGAAGGCCATGCGAATGATCCGGCCGTACAAGATATACCCGTTTGGCGAGATTGGCGCCTACACCGCACACATTCCGTATAGCAGTGACAAGAAAGATGTCATGGCCAAGACTGGCAGGGAGAAGTTTGAGAGTCAGCCTTCTCGCCCTTTGGAATTGCCGACCACATATACTAACAGGCGACAGTTTTTGTGTATAAATTCACCGACCCGGCAGACGACAAGCCTTATGAGATTATGTGGGATGTCAAAGGCCCTGGCTACGTGCGCATCAGCCCCTTTTTCAAATGTCTCAAACACAAGAAGACCGGCCCGGCCAAGATGCACGAGGCCAACGAGGGTCTGCGTGAAGTGTCATTCCACATGACGGGGGGCAATCGCATCGCCCAAGGCAAGTGCAACACTTCCCTGTGCAATGCTCCGTGGCTAATCTGATCGTGTCGTATCTAGGCTACTGGCTGCCCTACCGCTGTGCTAGAGCCGTCTGCGTCAAGTTTTGCTACCCGATTGCAGGAGCGCTGATTCCCATCTTTGGGCCAACCTTTCCGGACGACTGTGTGAAGCCCGACTCGCCGCACTTTGGTCGCATGGACATTGACCCTCAGGAGATCGTAGATGCCAGAAGCGAGGCTTTGGCGTACCGTTTGTCGGCGAGGGCCATGCCCGTCACAAGCCATCCGCGGGACGAGGAGAGTCGGTATTCTCGCTTCGGGGCCATGATGAACCAAGGTCTCCAGTGCGCGCCGGTCAACGCGTCGTGGGAAGAGATATACAGCCGGCACCCACGTAGCGACCCCTTCTTTAACCGCAGTGCTCCCTCCACGCCGCCTCGGAGCAGTACCACCATCCAGCACGAGGAACCGCGCGACGCACAGGCCAGCAATGTTCCTCCACCTGGCAGCGAACGTCCCACCTGGCGTGCCATCAACTACCATCCTCCTCCTCCCCCTTATCATCCCTCGCCGGCAGGTCAGCGACTACCGCCCATCCGCACCCACAACCACCGTCCATCTCCACTACCTCAGTTATCATCATCAGCTACTGACATCCTTGACCCGCGTCTGCAGCATCCAGCAGCGGCAGGCGATCCATTCGAGAAGACCGTCAAGCGCCATCAGGCAGACGATGGTGAATATCTGCGCAAACGACGCCGCATCGAACCATCCCGCCACAGCGACGATCGTACCACGACAACGCGGCGGGTGGATTTGGAGCGGCCACTAGAGTGCCGTCGCAGTAGGTCTTACGAGCGGCAAACATCCACGACGGGCGGCGCTGCTCGCGGCTGCACGAGCAAGGACTACGAAGCAGCGTCGATCCTGGGAGCTTTGCACAAGACAGGAAAAGCGAGTCACGTGCTCGAACCCAGATCCAGGACCCCTTGAGCTATAGGCAGCGTTGATATTGGTACTGTTTTTTGTCTCTCCTCGATAGCATCTGTTAAATAGCGAGCACGGCGGGTTGAGTAAGTATGTGTGCATGGGGGACGGGCAGATCTGCTGCTGACACTTTCTCCCCCGCGAGGAAAATCATTTTGATTTATGCTTTGCCCGCGATGGCCTTCTTTTGCTCCTTGAAAGTCTTGACCCATTCGTCGGCCTGCGCCTTTGGCAGCACGAATATCCTCACAACACCGTCAACCACCTCGACCTTGCCGGTGCCCAGCACCTTGAGCAGGGTCACCCTTTTGCCCATCTTGAGCAGGCCACCCTCCCTAGTCTCCACGTAGCACTCCACGCCCTCGGTGGTATACCGCCCCTGCTTGTCCCACGGCAGCGGGAAGACGTAGCCCAGGTGCTCCTCGAGCGTCTGCATCTCGTTAAAGGCCTTGATAAAGTCCGACTCGAGGTCCTTGGGGTACAGCAGCACCGTCGGGAAGCTCAGCGTGCTGCGCGGGTCGTCCGGGTCCGGCACGAGCTCGAGCTTGGTGTCCTCCATCTCGGGCGGCTTGTCCGTCGTCCGAGTCGGAATGTTACGCGCCTTGAGCGCCGCCTTGAGCAGGTACTCGCGTCTCTTGAGGAGCGCCTCCCTCTCCGCGTCCCTTTGGCGCTTGGCGTCGCGCGCCTTGGCCTTGACGACAATGTCGTCCGCCACCAGCTTGAGGCTTGCATTGTTCTCGTCCAGCGCGAGGCCGCGGGCGCAGACGTCGTCCGCCTCCTCGATCCGCCCCACGGCCAGCAACGCGCGCGCACTGCGATAGTACGCCTTGACGTTCTTTGGGTTCAATCTCAGCGCCGCCGCACAGTCGATCCAGCACGAGCGGTAGTTTTTCAGCTCCAGATGGCAGGCTGCCCTGTTTCCGTACAACGACTCCAGGACCGCCCGCTGTTGCTGGATGGTTTCATCAGAGTCAATCCTGCCCTCATTGTCGGTTGTGAGTTCGCCGCTCTGCCTCTTCTTCTCCTCCGGCGCCAGGACCTGAATACCCTTTGTGTAGAACTCATTGGCGTCGGTCCAGAGCTTGGCCCGGTAGTACTCGTTGCCCTTCTCCTTGAAGTCGCTGCCATTCTCTAGCGGTGAGCCCTCGTACGCAAGGGCTTGCAGCGCAGCCGTGTCGTCGTTTTCCTCATACTCTGTCATGAACAACGGCGACTTGTTCAGATCGGCGACGACTTCATCCACCGTCATGTTCGAATGGAGCGCATGACCGGGTGGCAGCTGGGGCCGGGTGGCTTGCGTTGGGTCGTTGGATGCAGGACCAGTGGCCTGCTGGGGCCCCATGGTCCTGGCCACCTGGTCGGCGATGGCATCAAGATCCATTGTTGGCTAATGTCGCAAGGCGCGTCAATGCGTGAGTGGGAGTGAGTGATGTTGCTGATGCGGGTGAAAATCGAATATCTCCAACTTTGGCAAGTGGTGTGGCGAAAATCTCATTGGGCGCCAAACAGAAGATTTCCACAGAGATCCATTGGAATCTGCGCGATTGACTCACTCGGCGACTTGAAGTCTAACGTTACTGTTTCGTTGTTTCATTCATCTATGTGCTCATGTCTTTATGCTATGTACGTATTTTTTGAACGCCAGGAACGCCCTGCGATGACAACCAACTTATGGGGATATCTTTAATAGCATGCACAAACAACATGCAATCGAATCACATCCGCCAAAGCCCAAACGCCAAAAACAATAATCTGATGGCTCCCACGATTCCCAGGGCATGCGCCTGCGAAATCGCTGTGGAACTGTAGATATGGTCAACATTTCCTTCCACGCGAGCCTTTCACGAGGCTGGCGTGTCTTGAAACGGGTCGGAGACTGATAAAATCAAGGCACCTAGTCTAATCGCTTCTGTCGTCTGATACTTCAGTGACCGCGACGGAAGGTTGGTGCTTGCGCTGAGAAGGGGCGACTTCTTCGTGGGTGTCGGGGCATCGCTCCCGAGTCACCGAGAAGCACTGTACAGCACCAACAATCGCCACAACGGCGCTGCCGTACCAGGCCACGGCGGTGCAGTCCATGCGGCTGCCCCAGGTGTACAGATACCCTGCAACAGGGGGTGCGACCATGCGGCACGCCGCGCCGGCACTGGCAGCAAGGCCGTTGATGGCGCCGAGTGCTTTTGGTGAAGGGGTGGCCTCCTTGAGGAGGATGAGGAGGAGAGGGTAGAGGATAATGGAGAGAATGTTGCGCACTGTCAAGCAGGCGTAGATGGCAGGGAAGATGAGGTTCTGGGGGACGAGGAGGAGCATGGGCACGAGAGCGTACGCGATGGGATGTAGTACCGTGACAATGAGAAACAACTTGTACACACCGACCCGCTCGGCAGCAATCGGGAAGATGACAGCCTGCACGAACAGGGCAATGACACCGTTGACGGCCATGATCATTCCGACGGACGGCATCGACAAGCCCAGCCCACCAGGAGAGTAAAATGGTGCCGTGCCACTGTGGCCAGCGGCAGCCTGCATGACCGAGTTGACGCGCTCGTCCTCGAAGAAGATGGGCATCAGGTGGTCGTATGTCATCGAGTGGTAGGTGAAGATGCAGAGGGCGATGATCAAGTTGATGATGCGCTTGCTCCAGATGCTGGGGATGGTGTTCTTCTCGCGCGTGACCTCTTCACACTCGTCTTCGACGTTGATAGCGCCGTAGGTTTCGGAGCGAAGATCGACCGCGGGTCGCTTCATAGCATCTGATGTTTCGAGCAACGGCGTCTCCTCCGAGACATATGTGTCAACAGGCAACGCCAAGCGAGGCTGCATGTCAGGGTGCGTCTCTTCGAGAAGGAGGAAGCCGAGCACAATGCTGATGGCCAGCAGCCCCGCGCAGACAAGGTTGGGGAGGAGGTAGGGGAAACGATCGAACAGGCTGCCCTCTGGGAACAGGCCTGGCCAGGATGCGTGGGGTTCGGCAAACGTACCGCCAATGCAGGGTCCAATAATTGTACCGACGCTCCACACAAAGGGCATGACAGAGTATGCGCGCGGCTCGTGCTCTGGCTTGGTGACGAGCTCGCCGACCATGGTCTGGATGACACCAATGTTGCCGTTCAGCAGGCCGCCCACGGCGCGTCCGATCAAGGCCATCCAGATGTTGGAAGCGAAGCCGACGAGGACCATGCTGAGCATGGTGCCGAGACATCCGACAACCAGGACGGGCTTGCGGCCTACACGATCCGAGAGCCCGCCCCAGAACATGCCCATGGCCGCCTCGGCCAGCGAGAAGGAAGAGATGAGGAGACCGGCGTAGAAGGCTGCATCTTGTTCGTTTCCGACGTGGAATTGCTTCACGAATGCCCAAGCGTAGGGGAAGATGGATGTGAGCGCGATTGGCTCGGCCAAGCGTACGATGGCTATTAGACACACAAGGTTAGCATGGTGTGTGGGATGTGGGATGTCTCGGGAACGGGAGAGGCGGCGCTTACCAAGGAGGAAGAGTTGCAATGTCGGAAAGTCATCGGGGTTGCGAGTGCGCGTCTGCTTGATTAGAGACATGCTTGTGTACTCGGCTAAATCTTACAGCAGCGGACACAACGGATACCGTAGGGTGGAATGCGTGCGTGCGTGCGTGCGTGCCTCACTGGCTATGGAAGGAATGTATAAGAAAGAGAGAGAGAGAGGGACCGCTTGCTCTATCGACCCAAAGGAAGACCGGAATAGCGATAGGCGTCGATTGTGAGGCGGATAGATTGTGAGTGAAGCTTGTTGGGATGTAGGGAACAAAAGGTGTTGAGGTGCAAAGGAAGGCAACGAGGTTATTTCTACTTGTTTTCGCGAGCCATGAACAAGGCAGGGCTAGTGGGGTGGGTGCAGGCAGGCGCCTCCCAAGTTCCGGGATCAGCAGAGACAGTGGGTCGCTGCAGCCGGGGCTGGCCTGCATGCCCTGTGTCTGTCTGCATGCACTTAGCGGGGTGAGACCGGTGTGGATGGGTCGGGGTGCTACTGCTACCGCCGTTTGCGCACACATTGAATTGCTGGAGCAGGGGAAGAATATACAAAGGTACACTACGTTTAGAATTATTGGGCACTATTCAATCCATACTCATCAAAATACCAGCTTAGTATCATATTCGCTGCTATGGCTTTCCCCTCCCCCGCCCCAAACGCGTGGCGTCTAGTGCCCATACGCCGCGAGGTCACAGATCTGGTCATACCGTCAAAGTGACAGCCGCCACTTGGAATGCAGTGTCTCAGTCGCACGTTTTTCCGGGGAAATCGGCGGCAGCTCGCTGTGCAAGACGAGCGCAAGCAGGCGTGTCTCAGACGGGGCTGAAGACACTTTGCTCTCGTCTTTTGCGACTCAGCGTTGGCCTCTGCAACCGCCAGATACCTGACAACTCGAACCTAGATGCAGATACTACATGCGGCGAGCGTTGTGCGCCCTTGGCAACCACACACACGACCTGCCTCACTTGTTCCTAGACCGCAACAGAATACACTGCAATCAGCCGCAAGACTGTAGCGTACTGTCGTATGATTGGAGACGATTCAACCTCATTGCCTTGACGCCTGTGTCTCACATCTCGCCCGCTCATCTCGTCGATCCGGAAAACCACAGCACGAGGGCCCCGCCGTGTATCCCCTCCCCCCTCGTACGCCACGAACGCGCTCCGCCGGTGATTGGCTTGCTTTTTAAGATACTACAGGGTTCGTGTGCAGAGCTAACGTCGACTTGGACAAGCGGAGTTGCCCGCAAATGCTGATTCGTGCGCGCATTATTGAAAAGCTTTCGCACCTGCATGGCCGGGTTCCACCTGGACTTCAACGAGGGCGACATCCCGACGCCGCCCGCCGGACCTCGCGACACGCCGTCAATCAAGCAGCCTAGCGAGCCTGGCTCATGACTTGGTAAAGACCTCGAAACGGACTGACCACGTGGCTACGAGATATACATAATCACATCCTTATCACAAGCGTGCGTGTCACCAAGGTGTGTTGCCTGAAGATGCGGTGAGGAAGGACGAAGCGTTTCACCGCGGCAGCGATCGCACCAGACATCGTACAAATTGATCCCCGGACATTATTTCCGCCCCATGCACACAGCCGACGTCGGGCAGCGCTAGGCTGCTAGCACGCTGCACTGCACTGCACATCCACATGTACATAGCGAGGCGTGGGCACCAGACGCGCGCAACCCGAAATGCCACGGCCAACCTGTGAACATTTGCAGAGTCCGAGTGTACCAAGGCTTGCAAGTTTTCAACAGCAAAGCATGAGACACGACCGAGCGAGAACGGCTTGAAGGAGCCGCGCGATGAGATCAACCATCTGATCCGTTTCTTTTTTGTTCCTGTTGCGACGTCACCTAATTTGAATATTGCAGACCCTGCCATCTGGACTAGAATTGAGGGCCGTCCGTCCCTGCATCACCCATCAGGCACAATGTCGCCTCGTTTACTCGCTCACACCATCAATTCTCCTGGTGGACAAAAAAGTCCCCTGTGTCATGTGCTGTGATTAAAGCGGGCAGATATGCATTTAAAGAATTGCAGTCAACGCCAAGAACAAGGTCGCTTTAGTTCCCGAGGGGGAGTGCATGTCTAAATCCTTGTGCATGCTGCGGGGTGTGCTTTTGGTGATAATGGCACCCTATTCTTGGTGAAAGTGTAGCTGTTGGAGATGGAGAACCCAGAATAACTGTCAAATGTAAACATAACTCTAGGCTCAATACATAGTTTCGGCATTCTCAAAATCTTCTGCCGTCTGGGTGTCTGATGCTCTTTTCCTGTGCGAGGCTCATGCTGCAGCGAGCCGAAACGCTCGACCTACCCGGTGCCACAGCACTTGGAATTTCAACAAGCTAGCCGTTCAGTACTATGAACAATACACAGCAGATCAAAAGCGCCGTGCTTCTCAAATACCCTTACGGCGCTGGCTGCTGTTCTCCGAGTGCTTGGATTAACAATGACTGCCTCTTCGCAGGATCGAATGAGGATGAACGAGACGAAAAAGAACGTAAACCAGCAGCATGTCAATCTCCCGGGGCTATGACGACTGGCTCACCACCAGAGCAAAGGTCAATCAATATGCAACCGATTTCTCATACTTACCTTGGATATCGCCATGCTGCTCAAGATGAGTGTGGCGGAGCGCAAGGGGCCTGCATTGCACATCGCGGCGCCAACTTGCGCGCTATTGCCCTTCGGGGTCAAAGTATCCAAATTTTTTGATGGCCTTCATTTTCATTGCTGTCGAGCTTGACGCTCGACTGTGAAGAAGATTTGCCCCCATTGTGTCGTTTCTGGTCATACCTCTGGTGTCAGCTGCTGTGTTTATTGCTGTAGTGTGGTGTGAGTGGCTTGGCTTGCACGGCAACGCGGTGGAGTTTCCCGGTCATCTCAGGCTCAGCTCGGGCTCAGGTTTACCCAAACTCCACAGCACCATGCCTTGCATGAGCCAATTCTCTTTACGCTGTGCACGGCAGTAGAAGATGGAAACGTCAAGTGAAATGGCTTGCAAGACCCTGGCTCGTTTTCACTGACGTTGCCAGCCGCCATTTGACAACCGACGACCACAGCTGTTCATGTTTGTGCCCCTTTTCGCACCCCTTCCCGGTTGCTTGAAATCATGATGCTGAGCTTAGTGATGTAGCCACAAGCTACGCGGGTACGTACCAATGCCTTGTTTGAGAAACGCACTGATGGCTATGGTGCATTGTTCCAGCGTGATCCACGTTTATTGATCATGGCCTTTTCATGCCCCGAGTGTGAATCGGCGATGATTGGATCTTCAACATGACCCATTGAACACATCCCATGGGATAGATTACCGCTGTTTTGTCCCGCTTTCAAGCTTTAGGGGCCTCGGTGATCTGGTGCCGCTCGAGAGATGATGCGAGGGTCTCGGTCCTAGAACGCTCAGCTCAAGAAGTATACAATATCTAGATTCATGCCTGTCTATCCTCGCTGGCGAGATGTGTGTGACCCGTCAAGCCAAAGTTGAGTGGTACACCAAATATATACCCAAGATGAAAGTCGCCTCCAGCGTGCTCAGCGCTCTGCCAGTACCTGCCGTCAGTGTTTGGTAAGATGACAGTGCTTGGTCAATCTTGACGAGTCCCGTGAACAGCATTGCCTTACTAGAGGCAAACCGCCAGCGCACATGCATCTTGTGTCTATAGCTTCATCAACGGTTGGTTTAGTGACATTTGAATTGCGACTCAACACAGAGATCCCTCTCAGGTCGAGGGTAACTGATTGTAGTTATTGAGCACGATTAGATGAATCAACAAGATCGAGGTGGTCACGCGAAGGAAGATCTGGATGCCGCCGCACTATTCCAACCCACTTCGATCGGTCTCTCTGCAATTGGTTCGCGTGGCCCAGTGCCCTCGCAAGCAAGATGGACGTACTCAAAGCGAGCCAACCAGGTTACTGATGAACATCGCCAACGCAATATACGTCGCAAACGAAGCATTCGAGAAGGAGGTCGCTTTATTGATAGCGGATCCAGAAAGATGCCACTATCATCAGTCTGCTTCGACGGATGGGATATATGGAATCGCACACATAATGGCAACGACGTCGACCGTTTCGGATGGAACGGACTGATCGACTTCGCCCCAATTCTTGACTCAATCAACGCGGATCGCAAAATTGTCGGTGGTAAGCCCAACAATAGCCATGTGTGAACCAGTCCCAATGTCTAGTAATTAATCGATGGTCTCGACAGGTCGGACTATGTAAGCCCTGGTGTGGTGCATCAGGGGCCGGACACGTTTAAGCTGGACACGATGCAGCCTTGTTTTCAATCGTGAAAGCCCAGGGAAATCGACGTGGCCAACGGCCAGCACTTTGAAATATTGCAATGCAAGTTCTTATACTAAGGACACTCGGGACCTTGGCGTCATGACCGAGCGTGTGGATCGCTATCGAGGCCCATTCGCGACAGCCCCAATGATCCTGCTTGAGCATCGCGACGTTGTCCTGGAGAATGAAGATAGCATGACCGACACAGTATTGGCCATGCCAATTTCTCCAGAATGCTTTATCTAGTATGCACCATCGACTCGCATGCCCAAGTCACACCTGCTCTTTCAGAAGAGCGGCTCAAATCCCTTTGCCTCCAGCGCATCGAACTACTCCTGGGTGATTATCGCGCTATTGATAAGGCGCTGCAAGATCTGGGTGCAGTATCTTTGGCAGTTATTAACTACAAGATCAAAGATGCGGCCTTGAGCCACTGCCTGGCACTGTACGTCAAGCGTGGCGCTAGAGAGTGTAAGCCCGGATGCGATTTCAATTGAGGCCTGAAGCGATCTAAGTTAAAGGTTGTTGGGTTCATATTCGGCACCTGCCGGTAGATCTGAGATTGTATCAGTATCACGCTGCGTGATACTGATTCACTCTCGAGATGGCCGCATACCGTCTGCCCGCTTGTTATCGAGTCCTTGCTGGCATGGAAAAGCGTGCTGCTAGGTGCAGCATCCATATCCTAAAGATACCTAGCTGCAAACACATAAAATGCGTCTGACCACCGGTGATCGCGCCAAGACCAAGCGGCCACGAGGCTGCGCGAGACTACCCTACACCACCTATCCTACACCCCGACTTCAGTCCTGCCACGTAAAATGCACACAGGACAGAACATCGCTTCATGGTACTCCGTACAGGCTGACACGACTTAATGTTTCCGCAATGAGACGATTAAAAAAAATTTTTAATTCACAACCTAAACGCCTTTTACATTTGCCCTCGGATATCCCACACCCCTGAAATATCCATCCCATTTGGTGTACCTGAACTCCATGCCGAAAGGACTGAACAGTGTGTGCGAGAAGAAAAGCAAGAGGGCTCATGCCTGCGCGGGAGCAGGCACGGGCGCGTCGCTCTCGCTGATGACGCTGCCGACCTCGGACCAGCTCGACGGGGTCATCATGCCGTCGCTCTCGCTAATGACGCCGTCCTGCGAGCGGTCCTCGATGCCCTCGGCGCCGTCAATGATGGACATACTGTCGGTGGGCGTGAGCTGCCCGTCGTCGCTGGCCAGCTCGGGCTCCGAGGCGGGCGCGGGCGTGGATGGCATGGGGGAGTACAGGTCGTGGGACGAGCTCTGCGCCCAGGCTTGGATGGAGGCGTAGGCGCCGTCGTCCTGTCCGGCCGTCGGGTACTCGGGCTCCACGGTCTCGGAGCGACTCGACGCCACGTCGGCGACCGATTCGGGAGCGGGTGTCCGTGGCTCGTCGGCGGTGGTGGCGCTGTAGAGATCCTCCGTCTCGTCCTTGGTGGGGGCGATGTGACTGTCGTCCATCTCATCGGAGGCGATGCCATGCTCGTCGGCAAAGGGGTTAGCGTAGAGGGAAGCCGGGGGCTGGCCACGTTGGCGCATACCATCATGGTGCAAGCCCGTGTCGGCGCCTGACTTGTACACGTAGGATCCTTCCTCGCCGCTGGCATCGCGCGCGAGAAAGCCATCAAAGGTACCGCTGTCGTGCCTCGGCTTCTGCTCGTCCTCCGCTTCCTGCTTCTCCTGCTCACGCTTAAGCCTCTGGGCGTTCCAGTAGAGCAGCTCCTCCCGTTGTCTGCGCCTGGTCTCCTCGTCAGCATCGACGCCAGGCTCGGCGCTGGACTGGAGGAAGCCGTGCAAGTCTTCGGGGCGGTTGAAGAGCGGCTCGGACTGGGGCGGGTTTATGCCATCGCCCATGGAGTAGAGCGCGACGGCGATCTTGCGGCGGACATCTTCAGCGTAGCGACGGACCTCGGGCGACTCGTAGATGGCCACGGCCGCGGCGACGGCGACGGAGACGGCGACTGCGGCACCTGAAGCCAGGACGGCGTGATTAGCAGGAGGCATGTTGTGCGGGTGCGAGCAGAGTGAAGGGAAAAAGGAAGTATGAAAGGATAAAAGTCATAGCAAGCAAGGCAGCTAGTAGATGGCGTGGACAGGTCGCGGTCAGATCAGGCGACTGGAGTTGCTGGAAGTGGTTTTGCCACCTCCAGGGTCTGGTTGCTTGCTGCCATGGCTGGTCCATGCGCCTGGGGGGACTGGGACTCTGGAGGGGCGGGTGATGGATCGCCCGCTGTGTTTCGTCAAATCACCATGTCTGCCTCGATGCAATTTCCCATCACTGGGAGGTGACGCTGCATATCATATCATGCACGGTCGATCGGACATACCTTTGACCGCCAGCGGAAGCGGCATGATGGTACAACAGGATCGTATGATTCTGCTGGTCGATAATGTTGCGGGTGAGGGGCAAGGTGAGGGACGGTGGACTGAAGGTGACGGATGAGAGACAGGACTTGGAGCTTGGGGGGCCGGCCTAGGGTCACTGGAATGAGCCGCAGCCTGTGGCGGTGCAAAATGATGAGTTGAGGCGTATGATACGTCGCCAGCCCTTTTCCTGGAGTTGAGGTCAAGCCTTGCCGGTCTAGAGTCAAGGCAAGATGAACAGAAGGAGCCGTAATGATCCTTTCACTGATCTGTCGTCGGCGTCAAGTTCAACATTGATGAGCTAAATCAAGATGGTCTACGTATAGTGCGTGCATGATCGCGGCCCCACTGACATGGGCGGCGGCGACGGCGGCGGCACCCCATGAAACTCCACAGCTTCCGGCCGTCTGCCATCGTCTTCCCTACCTACCCTGCACACGCCAGCCTGCACTGGCCAAAAAGACCATGTTTTAGAATCGTCATGTCAAAATGGCTACGAATCAGCTGTTGTAAATAATCTCATGTTCGCTGTCAGGGACCACCGCTCGAAAAGCCTTGACACTCCAACCTAACTATACTCATTTACCCACGCCCGGCCCTAGCTGGTCGAGAGGCGGAAGAAGACTGACGACCTTTTGGCTGACCCCAGGTCCCCCAGACGAAGGTGAGCCCTTGGCAGAGTTTGGCGCGGTCGAATCGTTGTGAGCGGCACTTGACGTGCCTGACGCGCTCAACGTACTTAAAGCACCCGCCGTGGTCGACGAATCCACTGATGACGCGTCCCTAGAGGCCCTGGGATCGCCCTTGGGGATGAGGCCTATGTCCTCGTCAGCCATGCGCTTCATGTCCTCCCTGAAGTGCGCCGTCTTCTGCCCCTTTCTGCACACCCGTCGTCAGCGCCCCATCCTGCCAGGTATGAGCCGGAAGGGGGCCCACTCACAGCTGCTCCCTGGTCATGATGCTGCTCTGGTACAGCTGGTCGTTGGACCGTGCTTGGAACGTGACAGGACCGACGACGGCAAGGTCGCGGTGGACCTCGACGCGGCCGTTGCTCCTCAGGTCGCGAGACGAGGGGTTGGGCATGGGCTGCGAGGCGTTGCTTGTGGCCCACATGGTGCTGTGTTGGCGGCTGTACAGCCAGCAAAGGTTAAGAAATGGTTCATGTTCAATGGCAGAGGAATGGTTCGCATGGGCACAGGGGGTTGAGCCGAGACAGAGGGTTCCGGTTGTGATTTATACGTGTTGCCGGGAGTAAACCTTGACCGGGGCGGGGGGGGGGGTTGGCGTCTGGCTGTGACGGCATGGCTGTCGTGGCGGATCATTCCACATACCCCAGGCGCGAGCTGTTCTGTGTTGTAGACGGGGCAAACGATACAGGGTCAGGCGGCGTAGGCGTAGATGCTCGTCGACTCTTGTCGAGCGAGGCGCATGAGAAACGGTGCGGGTGCTTGGCCGTCTGCTGAGAGGAATCGTCCCTTGACGGCTATAAAGCGTGACATTTCGATCACCGGACAGCAGCGAGAGCTGGAGGTCTGTTTGGCAAGCTAGACGGTCTTCCAAAGAGGCCGCAGCAAACCAACATGTCAAACGCAAGACCGGGCCATCCCTAGTCTGGAGCAGGCACAACCTTTTTTGGCCATCTGCCTCGGCGATGAAGAAGAAGTGACGGACCACGCGGACCGGTCGCAGCTGGGACCCGGCCCTCAAGGTTTTGTCTCAAGCAGCTTCGCTCGGGGATCACCATCACCGACTGTCCATCATCCGCATGACCTCGTCCTCCTCGTTGTTGCCGCGCTTGGTGCCGTTCCCAAGGCGCAGGCCCCTCTGCTTCATTTCCGCCTCGACTTTGCTGCGCGTGACGGCGCCCTCGTTCATCCACGGCATGTCCTCTCTTCGCTTCCTCATGATATTGTCCACACTCATGAGACCCACGACGAGGAAACCCAACTCCTCCCTGTCCACGTCAAAGACCTCCCACCAAGCGGACTCGGGCATCTTGGCGCCAACGTTGCGTGCCGCGCAGTAGATGGCAGCAGTGGCCAGGGCGTGGGGCTGGTGGGTGACGTAGAGCATCTGCGGTGATAGCAGCGCTGTGTTGAGGTGCTGCACCACGCGAGCAGAAATGTCCTTCTTGTCCCCCAATCCGAGAAAGTCGAGCGTCTGGAGGTACGTAATGGCCAGTGGGTGAGGCAGGGAGACGTGGGCGTTGAAGGACAGGGCGTAGAGGATCCGCGCCTCGAGCGCGAGGATGCGGTTCTGGAATGCGTAGTAGTCCGACTCGGTGAGGTAGTATTCTGCCGGGTCACCACCTGCAGGTTTCTCGGAGCGCAAGAGGGGGGACTGCGAGGAGAGCAGATATGCGTAGACGTTGGCGACGTCGCGTGCGGACTGTGGGAGGGGACCCATCTTGGAGACGATGAAGAGGGCGGCTGCCGAGGCGTCCTATATTTCCGAGCCAGGTCAGCCATTGCTTGTCGTGTCTCTGTTTCGCGAGCTTACGCTGAACTCATGCATTATGGGAGAGTCGACAAGCCAGTACCGGGCGAGCAGGACACTGGCCTGTGCGGTGGTGGACTGGGGGAGCTCCAAGAGCAAGCCGGCAGCTTGCGTGAGGCATTGTGTGGTGAAGAAGATCACTTCTTGCAGGTCTTCCGGTAGTTGTGAGGAGGACTTTAGGTTATAGAGCTGGGCAGGTGACGCGAGAGGGTTGACGAGGTGCGCCATGTCGGTGCAGTCGGTGATGGTGGTTGTTGGTGTTGAGTTTTCGGAGCTGCATGACGATGGACGGGACCTGCAGCTTTGGGGACGGGGCCCCCTCCTTGGGGTCCCAGTTCCGCTTCCGCTCAATCTCAACTCGTCCACGTCCTACCGTACACCCTACATGTCCACCCAGGACACGCGCACCGCCATCCCAAGACCCCAATGTGACCCGTCCCCATCCTACGCACACCATTATGTCGGGGACGATCTCCGCCCCGCCCTCGCCCAGCGACGACAAGCCCTCGTTCGACCTGAACCTCCAGCACGGCCACAAGGATCTCGTCCAGTCCATCGCCTTCAACACCTACGGCGACCGCTGCGCGACCGGCTCCGTCGACGGCTCGATCCGCGTCTTCAACCGCGCCCGCGACGGCACATGGCGCCTCTGCGACACCTGGACCGCCCACGGCGCCGACGTCCTCGAGCTCCAGTGGCTCCCCGCCACCGTCTACCCGAACCTGCTCGCCTCACTCGGCATCGAGGGCTGGTTCCGCCTCTGGGCCGAGGACCCGAGCGCCGCCCCCGGCAGACGCTTCTCGAGCGGTGGCCAAAAGTCCACCGGTCGCCCGGCCTTTGACACGCGCTCCGCCGGCAGGGCGCCCTACAGGAGCTTCAGCGTGCGACACGTCGACGATGGCGCCGCCCGGCACACCTACCTCGCCCTACTGGCCGCCGATGGCCGACTGAGCATCTTTGAGAACGACCAGCCCGAGAACCTGACCGAGTACACGCCCGTCGACGAGTTCTTCATCTGCCCCCGCCCCGCGCGAGGCGAGGAGGTCTCCTTCACGGTGCGCTTCGACCCCAGCCCCGAGCCCTGCTACGCGGCCATCCGGGCGGGTGTGCCCTCGGATGCGCTGGGCCTCGTCGTCGCGGGCATGAGTACCGTCAAGGTCTACCGCTCGCGCGACGTCGTCACCACGTCCTACGGCGTCCAGGCCACCTCCAAGGAGTTCTACCTGGCGGCCGAGATCACGGGGCACAGAGGGCTGGTGCGGGACGTGGCGTGGGCGCCGGGCAACATCCGAGGCTACGACATCATCGCGACGGCGTGCCAGGACGGCTACGCGCGCGTATTCAAGCTCGAGACTCCCCTAGACGTGGCCGACGCGGACGGCAAGTCGTGGTCCGCAACGGCCCTCCTCAAGCCAGACTCCACAGCCCAGCGCGAAGCGGCCTCAACCGCGCAGCGGGAGGCGTCAGACAAGGCACACGGGCATCACCCTTCGACGCTGAGCGCCAGCCTCGCCAAGTCGGGTGCCAATGCCGAGCGGCAGTGGACGGGGCAGCCGGGCCAGGTGAGGCACGAGTACACGGAGATCTCAAAGCTGGAAAGCCACCGCACGCCGATATGGCGGGTCGGCTTTGATGACGACGGACAGATCCTGGCGACGACGGGGGATGATGGCAAACTACTGTGCTACCGGCAGAAGCCCGACGGGACGTGGGCAAAAAGCTCAGAGCTGGCCATGATGAAGACGCGCATGGCAGTGCCTTGACATTATACTTCGTACCAAACATAAAAATTGAAAAAACAAAAAAAAAAATCACAAGTTCAAGGAGAGGGAACAAGTATGCACGTAAAAGTGTTGTTATTGTACTTGGAAAGGAAAGGAATATCTGAATCAACTCGCCGGCAATGAAACAAAATCAACAACCCAAAGGACGCCACCAAGCAATCATTCTGCTTTCTCTTTTGTCCCTAAACGCCAGTCATGGAGAAATGCTTCCGTCAGCGGGAAGCCCCAATTACAACTCTCGCCCATCGTCGTCATCATCGTCAGAGGTCCACCATCCACTCAGGCCGCGTCCGCAGTGCTGGGAGGCTGGACAACCTTGGTGACCTGATTGCCGGCGCGATAGATGCGCTGGCCGGTCGAGTCCTTGACGTAGGTAGCATCCTTGTTCTCGGCCTGGGCGCGCTTCCAGATCTCGACCTCACAGCCGCCACGGAGGACACCGACGCGCATGGTGGAGAGCAGGTTATGAGCGGCATTGGAGTGATCGTAGACGCCACCGTTGAAGGTGGCGGTGGCGTCCTTACCAATGGCGGAGGAGATGAGGGCCTTGCCACCGGGATGGTCCTTGATAAAGTCGCCGACGTCGTGGATGACGCCGGCGATGACGGTGAGGGCCTTGCCGTTCTTAGCCTGATCGACAAAGTCGTCCCAGGCCACGACGGGCAGCTGCTCGAGCGGTGTGCCCCAGTCGAGGCGGGAGCGCTTCTGGTCGAGCTTCTTCTGCATCTGCTGGACGCGGCCCTTTTCAATCTCGTTGGCGCGGAACTCCTTGAGGTCGTAGGCGAGGCCGAGCTTCTTCCAGAGGCAGATGGCCCACTTTGTGGGGTCGTACTGCCACCACTCGATGGCGTTGCGGTAGTCCGAGGGGAACTCGTGGTGGAAGTTGTGGTAGCCCTCGCCGAGGGTGACAAGGGCGGTGATGACGTGGTCGCGGGGCGAGTTGCGGTCGTCAAATGGTTGGTCGCCGAGCCAGTGGGCGAGCGAGTTGACGCAAAAGGTGGCCTGCTGGACGAAGCAGATGCGGAGGATGCCGGCGTAGACGTAGCCGCCGAGCCAGTCGCCCCAGCCAAGGCCGCAGACGAGCGTGGGGAAGACGAGGCCCATGGCCACGACGCACTTGAGGAAGTTGACGTGCTGCCACACAACGACCGGGTCCTCGTTCAGGTCGGTGATGTCGGTGCGGCCTGCGCGCTTGGGGTTCTGCTTGAAGACCATCCAGCCGAGGTGGGAGTAAAGGAGACCCTTGCGGACCGAGTAGGGGTCTTTCTCGGTGTCGGTGTAGCGGTGGTGAGCACGGTGACCCCTTGACCACCAGCGGATAGAGCCCTCGACGGCGCCAGCACCCATGGCGGCGAGGTAGATCTTGAGAGGCAGCGTGGCCTTGTATGATGTGTGAGACCAGAGACGGTGGTAGCCTACAGGAGTTAGTATGCAATATGGCCGTGCCGTGGCAGACTACTCACCCGCTGTGATACCGAGGCCGGTGTTGAAGTAGTAAATGATCGAGAAGACAGCTGTCTTCCATTGCAGAGGCACCCAGTATGTCGAGACGAATCCAAGGATGGGCACAATGACGATGAAGAGGGTGTTGAGCCAGTCGATGTGCTTGTACAGGTTGGACCAGGTCATGGGCGTATCTGCAATGTGCACCTTCTTCTCATTGGCGCCGTTGTTCCGCAGCGACTTATAGTCGGTCGTGCCATCCGGGAAGGCCTTGGCCTGGACGGCCTGGGGCACTGAGGTCGACATGATGAGAGGTCTCAATATGTGTTGTAATGTGATGTGAACCAACAGAGGATAGATTTCACAAACAAACAAAGCAAAGAGACGGAGGGAGATGGGGTTAGTGAGAGGATAGTTCAGAGAAGCGAGTGGAGGGTGAGGTGAGGCCAAGACGGTTTAAGAGAGATATCAAAATATGGGGTGGAGCGTGGTTGTTGGGCTGGGTCCTGTGGGTTGGGGCTGGGCGTGGCGGCGTGGCTCCAGAGTCTGGGCAGGCGATGAGGGACGTGGATCGTGAGATTGGCCACTCTGAGACCAGGCAAGCGATTCCAGCCTGTCGATGTGAGGCAAACTTGCAAAGTGGAAACGGCCTTTGTTGTTGCAAATGTTGGACGACGTCGACCTGGAACGAACCGGGACTGAGAGTGAGTTTCTGAGAGAGATCCCCCACCCCCCTTTACACTCCCCCCGGAAGCTCGGATTTAATGGAACAACGTGAAGGATGGTACCTCTTGCAAGAGTTTGTATCATCTGAATACTTCCTTTCCTGGTTCGATGCGTTCAGTTGAGTTGTTGAGGTCTGTCATGATTATCAGCTGTCCAACAGGCCGCTCTGGAGTTTGACACCATCAGCAATCATCATCATCCGTGTACGTGTAAACAATCCTTCCACGCCTGCTCACTCCGTAACGACACCCCTGCTGCCTGTGTATCGCAAACTCAACCGCAAATTCCTCGTCCCTTTCCTTGGGCTTCCCCAACAACTTTTCTTTGCGAGCGTCGAGCCCCGCCAGCGGAGCCCCTCTGATTGGTCAGCCGGTGGCAAGGCTGGGCCGAGTCCCTTTTGCCAAAGTCTTGGCGATGCATCACTCCGCATTGAAGTATCTTCCCGCTTATTCTCGCGGTGGGATACATTTCCCCAATCGAGCCCAGCAACATTCTATCAGATTGCGAAAAGCTGCCAGAGTGTTGCGATTGATCTTGCGCTACTACACGTACGTACGTACGGGATGGCATGATAGTTAAATTGTAGACAATGATGTCCAACACAGTGTTTTGTGCTACCGAGATAGTGAAATAGAGTACGATTCCGTGGCCCAATCAGACCGGACTGATGTGCAGTTGCGCTCGCCCAACATTACGCCATCCAAGACGAGCGTATCGCATCCCCACGGGCACCGAGTCTCTCTACGTACGTAGTACTTGCCCTTCCTTACCTCGGGTTCACATGCACTCGTCGTTCCATTATTCTACAATGATGCCACATGATGATGACCTGACCTGGCCTTAATATCGTCGGCACGTAGTCATTCGTCGCTGTTGCATGAACACACCGACACGACGACAACAAGCAGCCCCAACAGAAAAATCGCCGAGGGCCAGAACCAGAAGGGAATGCTCGGCACGGGGAAGCGGGCGCTTGCTCTCAGGGGTCCAATCCCGAGGTGCGCCACCGTGCCTGTGGCTGGGTCACGTGGCCCAGCTGTCAGAATCCTGGGGCCCACATTGGCGCTTCCAGAAGGCGCGAAGAAGGTGGCAATGCGTTCAAACGTGTCTCTCTCATTGTTCATTGCGCTCATTATGCCAAAACCATGCCCACATAGTACACAACCATGTAGCCATCGCCCTTCCGTTCGTCCTGCATGACCTAATAAAAAAGGAAATGTGGTCATTAAATCATGTACGTCCATCTGTCGTTAAGAATGCCTCCTGTCTCGAGACAATGTGAAAGTTGCCTTCGTATTCTTTTGCCCGCATCGGATCTCTCTCTGGCGTGAGGTCGCCAGCCCTAAAGTCCAATCCGTCCTGTTGTTCGCAAGGATAGATTCTCGGCGTCGTGCTGAACTCGTAGTTCGGCTGTGCGTCGACGTCCCCGGACGCCTCATGTCCTGGCATGGACAGGTTGGAGGGTTCCTTTGGGCCGTCAACTGTCGGACCAGCCTCACTCGCTCCCTTGTTGCTGTCCACTTCATTTCCATGCGCCGCCTCTACATCTGTTGAGCTGGATGGCAGATCGCCTTCAGGCGCCTCTGGCGCCTTTGATGCCTTTGACGGCTCCTCGACGGCCGTCTTGGGCCTGACATCGGCATCGACAACGTCGGCAGCAGTACGTATATCAGTCAAGGCTGGCTCATCGTCCTTGACCGCTGCATCTTCAGTTCCTACCTGCTCAACCACGGCCGAAGATTCGTCGGCCGAGTCACTTCCAGACGACGCTTTTCCGGCCAAGATCTTCTCGCCAAGCTGGGCGACACCGAGAAGTGCCGCGCTGTCTGACAAGCACTCGGACCGGTCGAGGATACTGCCGTCTGTCCCGGCTTCCGCGGCCACGGCGCTGGGCTCGGGGCTGGTGGTGACGGGTTCCGCAGGCTCTTGTCGAACTGCCAGCGAGGCGGTACCAGTTTCTACATTTTCTGCTGCATCTTGACCCGGATCGGCGAATTTCTCGACAAGTTCAGCCTCATTGTCCAAAGGGTCTTTGACAGGGTCTGTTGCTGGCCCGTGAACCTTGGGTGTCGTGGCTTCATCATCCTCTGCTGTCGGGTTTTCAGGGTGCGATGCCGACGGCAGAGCGTCTTTGTTGAGATGCTCTGGATCTTGAATGTCGTGCGCCCCCGCCTCGCTGGCAACCGCGTCTTCAAAGGAGCGCTCCTTGGTGGGGCATGGCGTCGCGTCTGCCGAACCAAGAAGCTGGTTATCAGTCATCCAACCCGCCATGCCGTCCATCTCCTGCGGCAGCAAGAAGGTGGGCATCTCGCCCGAGGCGCTCGGTGTGAGCTGCTGCACCACCTCGTCCGCCCCAATGTCGCTGTAGCAAGGCCGGATATTCCTGTTCGCAGCCCACGCAGACTCTGTGTGGAATCTACGTGGAGACTTGGAACCGCTGTCGACGTTGCTTGGCATCGGACTCGGAGGAGAGCGGCCTCGGGGGGCATAATGCTGCCAGGCGTGATAACCTCGCGAATCGCTCGGCCCATTGGAGCGATCCGGGCTGAACCATCGGCTATTCAAGTCATTGACCTTGATCCTCGGCCGGCCGTCCGGGTGGTATTCCTGCTGCGGCGTTGCGTGCAGGGCGTCGTCCGCAGGGGCGAGGTTCGTGGCAGGCACAGGATCGTCAGGGAGTAGCTGCACGAGCATGGAAGCCTGCAGGCGGTTCCGAGGATCGGGGCTGAGGCAAATGTTGGTCACCTTCCTGTACCAGTCGGCTATCTGAGCATCGTCCCCCAGGATGAGTGGTCGTCCCTCCCTGTCCGGCTCGTCTTCATCCATCGCTAGTGCCCACAGCACCATACCGAGCTGGTACAAGTCAGACTTGACACCAATGTACATGGTGATGCGCTGATTGGACTCGATCAGGGCCGTCGCCTCGGGAGGCTCCCACCCGACCGGGCAGCCTCTTCGATTGATGTCTATGATCTTGGCATTCTCGTACTCGTCAATGACAATGTTGGACAGCGTAAAGTCACCCTGCACAAAGCCGGACTCGTGGACATCAGCCAGACCGCGGATGATCTGCTTCGCCCAGCGTTCCTTGAGAAACTGCGCTAGCCCTTGCCTCCTCTCCTTGCAACTGTCGTAGATGATGTCGGCGAGTGCACCGCCGTTTGCGTAACTGATAAGAAGACCCTTGACGCACTCGCGCTCATCGTCTACCACCAACCCGAAAAATTGTATCACATGGTCCGAGTACGTTAAGCTGCTCAAGGCATTGATCTCGTAGAGGAACTCCTCCACCGTCTGCGGCCCGGGGATTTCCTTCTTGATTAGGGGCTGGTTGTCGATAGAGACCTTGTACACAAACCCGGACATGTGATGGTCGAACAACAGCTCTCGCTCCCTCACAAGCTTGCACCCGAGGTGTGCCACCTGCTGGACTGGGGGGTAGTCGAAGGTCTCGTTGCCGTCCTCCACCACGTGCACATGCAGCCGGTCATCCGTCGTTTCGAGTTTGAGGTTGGTGACAGTATCGTAGAACTGGATCTCTGGCAGGCTTTGACGTATTGACTCGTAAATCTTGGAGCTCTTGTCGCGCTGGTACTTCATTCCCAACAGCTCCTCCTCGAGCGAGCCCTCGGGCGCATTCCGGTAGTCGAGCGTGACAGTGACACGCCGCCACAGCTGTTCGCTCTCACGGTAGGTGACAAAGAACTTTTCCCGATTGGAGCGGTCCTTGTAGCGCATGCTGAGGTTGAGAATCCAGGTTGTCTCCAGCTCATAACGGAGCATTCTGTCAAACTCGTCGAACTCTACGGGTGCTATAGATCCATCCTCTGTCATGGCTTCCGATTCGTAGCCCCGAGGTTGCTGCAAGTCGTCTCCAAAGGGTTCGCCGCCCAGCAATTGCGGATCGGTGTCGGTGGTGTCTTGGGCGAGCGTTGACGACGAAAAGGGGGCAGATTCATGATTAGCTGCTGCTGAGCTGACGTGGTCCGGGGCGCTTGCGCGTGGATCTGTCTGCCCTTGATGCCGCGTGTGAAGGGCATGAGAACGCCTATCCATCGACACCGCCCTTCTCTCCTCGAGCGTGGGCTCGACGGGCGCCAGACGGTCCCTATCCTCCGACAGCTGGCGCTTGAAAGTCTTCACACGGGGCAGGCCAGGAACGACACTCCTCGACACGCGGCGCGTGGCGGTGCCGGCGCCCTTGACGGGGTCATGATTTTGGTCTGGCGAGATCGTCTCCTCCGGAGACTGCAGCTGAGGCGCAGCCTGAGAACCAGCAAAGGCCTTGGGAGGCACCGACTCGGAGCGCCCTCGCTGATGCGCGCGATCCAGAAGCCTGGAGAAGAAGTGCCTGTGTCTGGCGGTGGGCGGCGGCTCGGTTTGTGGGTCATCGGGCTGAGCCATGCTGTGATGACAAGGCCGGAAGGCGGGGGGTTGGGAGTGGCGGTCAACGGTTCCTGGCGGGCCAATACGTCTGACGGAAATAGTACTACTCCTCCTCAAGAAAGTAGAGATAGTCCCGAGGTCATGGATGGGGAGACGCAAGAGCAAAAGTCTGCAAATGAGGCGATGCTGTCGATGCAGTCGACAGAGACGTCTTTATCTGTCGGTGGTAAGGCAGCGTCCTGCTGCAGCGCGCTTGCATGCAAGACCAAAGGCCCGTTCCGGCACCGCAGCGTCCCTGTCGCTCCAGGAAGTGACACAGGACGACGGACACGCTGTCGCGCCGCAGGATGTAGCTGTCGTTATGTTTGTGTGCGCCGAGGGATGCAAGTCGAAGAGGCGCGAACAGAGAATCCGGGGTAATCCGGACAGGCTATTGCGTACGTTCGTACTCCGTAGATGGTGGAAAGAGAGAAGGGAGACAGACGTCCAGGATCGTGAGACAGACGCATGAGTGCCTGACCGTGACCTGTCCCGACCAGCCCACAATAGTGCACCTGCAGGAAACGACGATGCTGCGCGCGCGTGGGCGCGACGTATTGGCTGCCGCTGATGGGTCTCGCTGCGCGGTTGGACTTGTGTAGGTGATTTGCTCACGTCGGGAGAGCGATGGTGGTGTTGATGGTGAGGTGAGGTGAGGTGAGGTTGGGTGATGTGAGATGCTCGATGGACTGACTGGCTGGGCTGGTGGGTGAGCTCCTGCCCTGTGGTTTGGTGATGCGATGCTCACACAAGCACACCTCAGACAAGCCAATGGACACTGGGGGATATAGCGCCGTGCTGTAGCGCCCAAGAGACATACAGCAATTGCCAGACAGAGTTTTTGTCCACCTTGACAGTCACCAGACAGCGGCCCCCAGCCTCCTCCCAAGCACGCATCGTGATAAGAGACCCTTCCGATGTGCTAAGACTCCGATCATTTGGCTCTGGTTGGATCTAATTAGCGGTGAGCAAAGGCACGTTTTTTGGAGGCTGGGCCCGCGGACGCCAGCTGGCATAGTGGAGTTGGCGGGCTGGCAGTGGGCACCCCCAAGGCTCCAGGGGTCAGGGGGGCCGTAGGGGCCCCAAAAGGCACAAGCGCTCCCGCGTAGATCGCGGGCCCAATCGGGATTAGCGCGCGATGCCGCCCTGACTGGCAGCGATGGATCGAGGAAAGCCAATACACTAACAATGAAGTCTACTAAATCCTATACTTTTGTCTATCATTATTCGTAATTTATAGTCTTTAGTCTGTGATCCATCAATGACACACATGGTCTATTGCACATCCGCCGGCGTGGGGTACTTGTTCGCAACCTCAGGATGCGCCTCGGCAAACTCGTCGCTGAAAGGCTGGTCGTTGTACCCCGTCCACTGCTTGTTCAGGTAAAAGGTGTCCCTGTTGTAGGGCACCAGGGGGATGTCATGCTTGATCCTGTACACGAGATCCGGGTTGGAGATAAAGTACCGCCCAAAGGCCACCATGATATCCCACTGTGCGTAGCGCGTCTCCAGCGCCTGCGCTGCCGTCTCCGGCCGGTACGCGCCCGCGACCATGACGGGCGACTTGTTGTTCCAGTTCTCGAGGATGAAATCGAGCGTCTTGCCCTTGTTGATGGCCTCGGTGCCAAGGATGAGCTCGCCCGGGTCGCCGCGCGCCTCCACGAGCGAGATGTATGCCAGGTTGACGTCCATCCGTTTCAGCTCGTCGATGATGTACGTGTACAGAGGCTCGACGTCGCCCTTTTCGGAACCCTGGAAGCCGGCCCAGGGCGAGAAGCGGATGCCCACCTTCTCCGCGCCCACGGCCTCTGTCACGGCGCGGACGACCTCGAGCGTCAGCCTCGCGCGGTTCTCGACAGACCCTCCCCACTTGTCCGTCCTCTTGTTCACGCCCTCGGTCAGGAACTGGTCGAGCAGATAGCCGTGCGCCGAGTGGATCTCGACACCGTCACCGCCCGCCGAGACAACCTTCTTGGCCGTGGCCGCAAAGTCGTCAATGACCTGCAGGATCTCCTCCTCCGTCATGGCGCGAGGCTCGACGCCAATGTGCTTCATGGGCACGTTGCTGCTCGACCGGTAGTCGTAGCCCCGGCCCTGGACAAAGCTGGGGTCCACGGCCCTGCCCATGGCCCAAATCTGTTGAAAGTAGAATGACCCATTGTCGTGCACACCCTGGATGATCTTGCTCCACCCCTCGACCTGCGCGTCGCTGACGAACCCGGGGCTGTTGTGCTGCCCCTCCTCCGAATGGGCGACGGCTGTGGCCTCGGAAATGACAAGAGTTCCCGGGACGCTGCCGCGGTCGGCATAGTACTTTTCCATCAATGGAAGGGGAACATGGTCGCCATCACCATTGCGGTACCGTGTGAGCGGTGCGAGGGCGATGCGATGCTGCAGGTCGCAGTTGCCGATCTTGAGGGGCTTGAAAAGCTTCGATTCGGCTGGCGAGATTTGTGAGCCCATGATTATGTGTGTTGGGGAGTTGCTGTCTGTTCGTAGAGATGATGTGAGGTTTAATCCCCCTTCTGGCGCGACGGTATGTCTATTTATACGGCGAGCCCAGGTGAAGAAAAAAAATAAGCATTCGCCAGATTTTCTCATCAAGGGACCAGGTCATCGTCATTAGCTTCAGAGTTCAGACTCGTATCGGAGTTGCGGAGCCGTGATGATGATGCACGTGTCGCGGAGTTGCGGGCATGCAGTGTAGACCGGACTGATTTCCCATTCAGCAACGGGCACGCTTACATATATCATCAGCAGTTGGCAAGGCGCTTTGAAACACACGCCATTCTCTTCATTCTTGCTGCAAACCCCCATCCATCTGCCGTGAGAAAACAACCACGAGCGCGTTCGGCAGCCCATGACCATCGAATCTTACATATACGTCAAACCCCTCCGGCCGCATCCTCCCGCATTCTCCACTTTTGCCGAAGCTCCGACCCGGACCTTCGGAGCGTACCAGGAGACAGCCAGCCGGCATCGCAAGGACTCGGAAAGACAACTGATGCAGAGCGATATTGACTAAAAGGCAAAGATCGGCGTTCCCAGAACATCGGCCCTTTGTAAAGATTACTCGCCGTGACAAATCAACCAGCTTACGAATGAAGGCACCGCCGGCCAGAGCCCAACACCATCTGAGATCACCATCATCATGGCCTACAATCTCATGATCATCTACCCAAACGCCAGCGAGGCGCACTTTGACATGGAATACTTCCTCGGAACACACATGCCGCGCGTGGAGACCATCTGGCGACCGCTCGGCCTCGTGCACTGGAAAGTCATGCATTTCGACGCGCCGGGCCGGCAGGGCGAGGACGACGACAAAGGGGGGGCCCAGGGGCACTCGTGCAGCAGCAGCGTCGGCAGCATCCTCACCTTTCAGAACGAGGCGTGCTACCAGAATGCGATGCAGTGCGCTGCCGCCAAGGACCTTTGCAGCAACACGGCCATGTTTAGCGATCAGCAGCCCATCTTGATCACGGGGGCGACTGTTGCGCTGGGACCGCTCGGGTAGAAGGAGGACGCGCCAATTATTCTCCTGCCATTATTGGAAGCCAGGGCGCAAAGGGAAATTCCATTCTTCTTTTTTGTTTACATGCGTGTGCGTACTTTAAAGCGGCAATCGCCATGTACAATATGTATGTCTCATTCCTTGTTTGGGTTGTCCCCCCATACATAACATCTGACATCCTCCACGTCACCATTCACGACGGCCAATTGCTCGGCCCTCGCCTCGCCATCTGCAGACGGGATGCGGGGTTGCGCCATCCTGCACCGCCAGTGTCTTGGGTATGCCTGCAGGAAGCGTCAACTTGGGCAGCGTCGGCGTGTCATTGGACCTCTGCATATAGTTAAGGGGGGGGGGGGGGGGGGACGATGGCGGCGGACACGAGGTGCGCCTGTACCGCACCCAAATGTCATGATGGTATCGAGAAGAGTTGTATCATATGCAAATGCTGTATATACCGTCGCCCAGAACCAATTCCCATCTAATGCTAGCTCATTTGTATACATTGTACAGCGAGGATGACGCACGTCGTAGTTCTTTCTAGACTAGTCATCGTCCTCGGAGGACTTGGCGTCCTTGCCTGGCTGGACCCTGTCTTCGTTCGCCTTGGCCTTGTCGAGATCGGGGAACACAATGTCAAAGACCTCGGGGTACCACTCGACGGGGTGGCCCTCGATGCCCTCCTTGATATTCTAGTCGTGGCTGTCAGCAGTGTCCCAAGGAGACTATAGTTCATGCACACAACGTACCTGTGGCAGCTCCAGCCAATCTGAGAGGTTGTCCCGCGGGAAAATCACCGTGGTACAACCTGCCCGTCGCGCCGCGACCGTCTTCTCCCGCAACCCACCAATGCGCAACACCTTGCCAGTCAGGGTCAGCTCGCCCGTCATGGCCACGGTGGGGTTCACCGGCGTGTCCATCGCCAGCGAGAGCAGCGACGTCGCCATGGTGATACCAGCAGAGGGCCCATCCTTGGACACGGCCCCGTCGGGCATGTGCATGTGCATCTTGGCCTTGTCGAAGAAGTGGTTGTCGGGGAAGTGCTTGGCGGCAAACGACTTGGCAAACGAGTAGGCAATCGTCGTAGACTCCTTCATCACGTTCTTGATGTTACCCGTAATCTCCAGACCGGGCCGGCTCTCCGGTCGCAGAGGTGCCTGCAGGATCGACTCGGTGTACATGGCCGCACCGCCCAGCTGTGTCCACGCCAGGCCCATGGCGACACCGGCCGGGCTGACCTCGTACAGGCGATCCGAAGTGAACACGGGGGGTCCAATGTAGTCGGTCAGATTGTCCTTGCCAATGGTGACCTGCACGGAGTCGGGTACGCGCAGGGCCTTGCGAGGCTTCTCGGTCGTCTCGGCCTCAGTCGCCTCTGGTGATGGCTGCTGCTCCTTGGTGGGTTCCTTGGCGTCCTCAGTGGCCTCGGCCTTCTTCTCGGACTCTTCGAGGGCCGATTTGCCCTCCTCCGTCAACGCCTCCTCCTCGGGGAGCACCTCCTCGCCAAGATCCTTGACGATCTTGAGGGCGGATTTCCTGTAGACCTTTTCAATCTGCTTCTTGAGGTTGCGGACGCCCGACTCGCGGCAGTAGGACTTGATGAGCTCTTGGATCGCGTCCTCCGTCAGCTCTACCTTGGCATTCTGCAGCCCGGCGGCCTCCTTGGCGGCGGGCGCGAGATACTTGTCGGCAATGGCCTTCTTCTCGTCCGCGACGTAGCCGGACAGCTGGATAAGCTCCATGCGGTCCAGAAGTGGTCGCGGAATGGTGTCGGTCATGTTGGCTGTGCAGACAAAGAGAACCTTGGACAGGTCCACGGGTACATCTAGGTAGTGGTCCAAGAACGAGCTGTTCTGCTCCGGGTCGAGCAGCTCCAGTAGAGCCGACGATGGGTCGCCCTGGTATCCCTTGCCGATCTTGTCAACCTCATCGATGAGGATGAGAGGGTTCTCGGTCTGGCACTTCTTCAACGCCTGGATGATGCGACCGGGCAGAGCACCGACGTAGGTTCGGCGGTGGCCCTTGATTTCCGCGACATCGGTTAGGCCACCAACACTGAAGCGGTAGTACTGGCGGTTGAGTGCTCGGGCAATCGACTTGCCAATACTCGTCTTGCCCACACCGGGCGGGCCGACGAAGCACAAGATCTTGCCCTCCACAGTGCCCCTGAGTTTGCCGACAGCGATGAACTCGAGAATGCGATCCTTGACGTCCTGCAGCCCGTAGTGGTCCTCGTCCAGAACCTTCTGGGCATTGGGGATGCCAAAGTTTTCCGCGCTCCTCTGGCCCCAGGGGATCTGGGTGAGCCAGTCCAGGTAGTTCCGCGTCACGTTGAACTCGGAAGCCGCCGACTCGAGGTGTGCCAGCTTGTTCAGCTCCTCGTCAAAGACCTTGCGCACAGCCTCGGGCATGGCCAGCTTGCTTGCCTTTTCCTTAAACTTCTCAACGAGCTTCTCCTTGCCGTCGCTCTCGAGGCCGAGCTCCCTCCGAATACCCTTCATCTGCTCCATCAGCCAGTACTCGCGCTGACGTTTGGTGATCTTCTGCTCCACGTCCTTGCTGATCTTGGATTGCAGCTGCGCGTTCATGAGCTCCTTCTTGAGCACGGTGAGGGCCTTTTGCATCCTCTCCTCCACGTTCATACACGCCAGGACTTCTTGCAGCTCCGTCTGTTCGCCCGATGACACGGCGGCCGCAAAGTCGGCCAGCTTGGCGGGCTCGGACGTGACGTTGCCCGTGGATTGGCTCATGGAAAAGGTCGAGATCTGGTCGCGGAAGAGATTGTTCATGGTCGCCACCTCCTTGAAGACGTTGACAATCTCGTTGGTGACCGCCCGGATGACCTGGCTCTTGGGGTCGAAGGGCTCCTCGGTCATGTTCTCCACATTGACGAGACTGACAGGGTAGCGCTTGAGGAAGGATGTTGGCTCGTACTTCTCCGCCTGCTGGTCGGGCTTCTTCTCAACGGCGCCCTCCTCAAAGCTGGCAACGACGTCGCCCTTCTTATCAGTCTGCGCCTGTTGCGGCTCCTCTGGAATGGTCTTCTGGGGGATGGGCTCGGGCGGGGTCGGTTCCACCTTGTCGGTCTTTTTGGGATCCTTTGCCTCCTCTGCACTTGGGGCGATCAAGCTGGACAGCTTGATTCTTCGGTGGGGGTAGAGAATGGCCGTGAGAGCGCCCTCCTGTCCGTGGATAGGGAAAGCGCTCGTGATCTGCGCAAAGACACCTACATCGTAGACGTCGTCGACGTTGCGGATGACATCGTCATCCTGATTCTCGTCCTTGAACAGGAACGCGCCGACGTATGGCTGTCCTCGCTTGATGGACTCGGTGATGGCGCTCGCAACCTCGGGGTCCTTGATGGTAATGGCTTTGTAGAACCCCGGGAACAACGGCCTCCGCGCTATCGGAATGGCCAGAACCTGGGGGTACACATCCGGCACCACAGGCTTGGAGAGGGCTCGTTCCGATGATTTTTTGCCCTTCTTGCCGCCGTCGCCGGATCCATCGCCCGACCCTGAGTTGCCCGCGGCACCACCAGCAGCGCTTCCCTTGCCTTCCTGCCCTGCACTCTCGCTTTTTGCTACTGCCGACGAGTCGCCGCCCGTGCTTTTCGCCTCGTTCTTTTCCTCCAAGTCTGCCTTGCGGCTGTCCTGATTTAGCTTGGCCTCCTCTTCGGACAATGGTTCGGTCGGTGGCTCGATGGAGGAGTCGAAGAAACTTTCCTTATCCTTGTCCTTCTTGTCCCGGAGCTGCGCGGCTGCTGAGAAGGGGGCAGTCTGTCCTGAGGCTCGGAGCGAGGGCAGCACTCGACTGCAGACATGGGGGCATGTGCACGCAGGGCTGGAGTGCCATGTCCTCGCCGGTAGCCGCGATGAAGCTCTTGCCGAGCGGACTGCGGTGCTGTGGAGGACGAAGCGTCCAGAGGCGCGCGACCTGGGGATCATGGCGCTGTCGGCCGGTCGAGGGGTTCGAAGAGTTCGCGACCAGCAAAGGCGCGCACGCGATGGGCAGCGACAGCGAGTGACACCGAGGAAAGTAATGCGGAGAAGTGTGATACAACCGTCGAGCCGTACAGTAGAAATACGACAGGAGGAGAGAGAAGTTTGCGACAGTTGTGAGGGGACTGGGTTGAGCTCCCTCGATCTCGTCACGGTTGCCGCGGTGTGTGGAGGCGAATTAGTAAGAAATCGAGACGATGTCGGCGTCAGACGTCGAAGCTGTCGTCCGTCCACTACTGACGCTAGGTCCAGGCTCGGCTAGGCTGCGGCAAGTACGACATCATCCATCTCGAAATTTAGTGACCCCGGGCGGCTGATATTCGGCACATGCAGCCAACCACAGGCTGCAGGGCCCGAATACGTAGTAGCTTGATCATTCCGTCTCGCACCACCTCCCCATTGACTTCAAGTGCTGGTACCTAATTAATACTTATCTAGACGTTGAAGGTGCATCTTCGAGGATTGCCCGATGACTCACTGATGGGGGTCAAAGTCACAGTTGGAAGATCACGTGTAGCCAAAAGAAGTGTAGCAAGGGCGCGCCAATCATTCCTACCTGGTCGGTGTTAGTGCACGTGCTCTGAGCGCAGCGACAAGAGCCGGCAAGAGACATGATCCAGATACCCTATTAATGCGCACTTGTATGGTTGTCAGACCTGCTTCACTGCGAGAGCACATTCACTCTGCCGAGCGCGGTATTTTAGCTATCTCGTAGAGCTTCATCGAAGCCATTGCCGAGTCCCAGGCAGCGCGGAAATGCGGGGAGTCCTCCACAGACTAAAGATCATGCTCATCGCCAGGATAAACTTTGAGAACCAAGCAATTAACACAATTTCAAGTCAAATCAATTTCCTCGCCACAATTCCCATCTCAGACGATTCATCACAGGGACCAAGTTCCAAGTCACTGCGAAAAATATTGTCCCTGCCTGGGACCATATTGTAGCCATGACCAGCGCAAAGGCAAAGGACGTCGTTGTCGACTCGTGGGATGACGAGGAAATCGCCTCAGAGGATGAGAAGGACGCGCAAAGCAACACCCCTCAGCCGATGAACACAAACACATCCTCATCCTCATCCTCAACCATGCCCGCTGCGCTGGGTACCCCGCCTCCAACGCCCATCACGCCAACCACATTGGACCAGGGCAGTGGCCCCGGGATGAGCTACGCCAGCCGAAGGGAAGCACCACCAGAGCGCAGGCCAGAGAAGACGGATGCCGTGGCGCGGCGAATGATCGCGGCCGGCCTTGGTCTCAAGGCACCCAAGCAGACGGACGAGCAGCGGGAGTATCAAAAGTCAGTCAGGGAGCAGGAGAAAAGACGCCGGGAAGAGGCACGTCGAGAAGAGGCAAGGAAAAAAGAGGTGGCGGAGAAGGCAAAGGCGGCGATATGGGATGACTGAGCATCTGTAGGTATGCATTATTCATTGATATCTTGGGCTTTTCAATTTCAAAAACATGTCTTCTCGGGGCTGGCCCCTATCCTCCTCCTTAGGGAAAAATGCCATCCTTTCGTCCCATCACAGGCCGTATACCTTATTGACAGCCTCGAGCTCATTGAGTCGCTCAATCCAGTTGTACAGATTGGGACACTTGTTCTTGAATTTGTATTCCTGGGAGAGCGTCTTCTCATCCAAGCGGTTTTCAACCAGGAACCTGTCCCAAGGGACGAAGCTAAGGGTCGGCATACGTACTGGCGCCGCATCAGTAACACGTCGTCACCGGATAGCACCCAGCAGAACGCAAAGAAAAGTCCCAAAGGAGCAGATATTGTAGCGTAACATCGTCCCCCCATGTTCCTTATCCATTTGTCGTGACCAGAGGCAAAAGCTTGCCTTGCTTCATCAGCGCCAACTCCGGCTCCCCTTTCGATTCGACGTGTCTCGTCGTGACACCGAACCCCTCCAAGCCTTCCTCCTCTGCGCGCCGGTTCCAAATCATCTGCTTCACCTCGCCCTCCCCCTCGCAAAACAAATAGCCCATGGGCCATTTGCTCCTCCCAAGCGAGTCACGGACGCCCTTCGTCGCGGGCCTCTGCGCGACCATGAACCCCAGTACGCCCTGACCGCGCCATCCAGCAGGCGCGCCGACAAAGGCCCCCTCCAGTTCGCGGATGAGATTCGGTCCAACGCGCTGCGCGCCGCCCTTACATTGGATGAGGACACGAAGAGAGGTGGACGTGGAGGGCGGCTTCCACTCCCCCAGCAGGTCGATACCGTAATCTGACGCGCCGCCAACGCGCCTCAGGTGGAAGCCGTAGCGCTCCAGCGATTTGGCGATGCTGTACTCGTAGAGTGTGCCCACGTACACGGTGGAGGCTCTGTCGAGTTGCCAGCGTTCGGCATAGGCGAGAAACGATTCGAGACTATTGTGGTGCGCACTGGGTGGCTCAGGATATACCAAGGGTACACTGGGCCCCTTGCTCGCCGTGGAGAAGCATCTAGAGAGATTTGGAGGTGCTCGATGTTGTCTTGGGATACAAATGATCCTACATGCTAGCCCGACGTATTTTCGAAGCATGGTGCTTCGTTTGTCGTTGAATGCTGTGAACTAGCAAGAATGAGCTGTCGCGGTTTGAGATGAGTTTATGCATGTATACATATTATCACATTAAGCATATATGCGTGCTCCCTCACACCACGTCGTCTCGTATTACATGCATCTTCACGGCTTGCACAAGACAGAATAAGGGTATGGTCTTTTCTCTATCGTTATAGGGTCCGCGCAAACATGCTGGCTACAAAAAAAAAGCAAATGTTTCTCATCACATCGTTCTGTCCGTCGGCAGAGACGGCACCGGCGGAATATCTCTAGACCTGCTCCTGCTGGCAAATGGGCGCTGCGTGCTGCGTGATGCTTGTGTTTGCGGCTTCACCGCGGACTCCTGTAGGCCTGGGCCGACCTTGCCGGGCTTGCTGCGCACGGGTCGTTCGTCGTCTCCATCCGACAATTCTCCACTCAGGTGCTCATCGTCAGACATGACCTCTGCCACGGACATCTGCTGCGACGCAGGCATGGATGGCGATGTGATGGAGCGGTTGTGTAAGGCAGGGCGCGCCGCTGGCACAACAGTAGCGCTAAACGCACCCGGAGTCATCGTGTTGGCATTGACGTGGGTGCGGTCGGCAAAGCCGTTCTGGAACGCTGTATTGTTGACCGTCGCCTCTCGAAGGATTGGCAAGATGTGCTCGTCGTACAACTGCGCACCCGACTCGAACGATTCCGGTGTCAATTCGGTGAGTGTGCGCGACGATTCGCGATCGTCATCCGTAGTCGGGCTCGGGGGCTCGTCAAAGAACTCGTCTAGGCTGTCGAGCTTGGTGACCAGGTCACTGATGGGTCCTTCGTCTCTACCGCCATCGGACAGCATGGTGGCTGTTCGAGACTCGTTGCTGGCATCCCAGTAGCTGTACTGGAAATCATCTGTTTCGAACTCCAGGCCGGCAGTTGGCGTCGCTTCAGGTGGGGTCCCTTCGGCGCCTTGACACATGTAGAACGCTGCATGGATGTTGGACCGCGTCAGCTCCGTCTTCTTTGCAGGAATGGGTATTGCCCATCCTGATGCCTCCGGAATGCCAAAGAGACTCTGTGTACGTTCGTACTCTTTGCGGACAGCTCGAGAAGTCGATCTTGTCATGCTCATCCGCAGGTGGTGCTTGTCCATGTGGCTTCCGGACATGGTCATGATATTGTCCAGCACCTTCAAAGCGTCCATGCAGAATTCCGTCTGCAGCAGCCGAAGCAGCGGCGATATCAGGTCAGACCCGTGACCAGCAAGTTCTGGGTTGCGCATGTCGATCTCGGGGAGCGTGACACAAAGAATGCGCATAGTCTGCACCTTGACCCAAGACAGCGAGTTGGTCAACAGACCGACCAGCGTTGTGATGAGCTTGAAGTCATGGTGAGGCAGATAGTACTCCCGAATAGACACAAACATCTGCCCCAAGAACTCATCGCTGCTTCGGAAATTGCCAGCGGTGTATTCGCCAAGCGTGTTGCTTATCATCTCCAGGCCTTGCCGACCAGCTTCCTCAGCTAAGATGTGCGCTGTGTGAAGCGTGAGCTCGTTGGGGATTCCATTGTCGAGCTCTTCGAGGAAACGCGGGAAATTAGCCAACACTGAGTAGAAGAGACGGTCATCGTCGCCAATCAGCCCATCACCGGGGAGCTGCACCAACTTGTCCATGATGTCGAGCGTGGGCTGCCAGCACAGTGACGACCTCAAACCTTTGTGCAACAGCGGTTGCAATCCTTCGTACGATCCGTTCCACTTGGCTGGCTGGCCATCTGCGAGGATGCGTCGCACACTGGTCGAGCGAAAGTCGACCTTGACCAACCACACATTGAGCATCTCAGCGGCTTCGAGGAACTCGCGCTCGTTGATCGAGTCCAGGCACGCACACGTCGTCCAGAATAGCTGCGGAAAGTTGATCAGCCGCTCAGGCTCAAGCTTGTCGATGAGCGTCTTTAGTGTTGTGAGAATCTCCATTGCGAAGAATTGTATCTCGGGATCTTCATCTGCGATCGTGTTCGACAGCCTGGCCAACATGTCCGCGAGCATTTTTTGGTCAAGCGAAGTCAGCACACACCGGAACACCTGGAACGACCGGCATGCGAGGTGCCTCACAGGGCACGTTGTTGCCCAGGTCAGTGACAGTTTGCTCCATTGCTCCTTGACTCTCGGATACGTGTGTTCAAAGGTTTTCGCAAGCTCAGTGGTCAAGTACTCCATGCCCGGAGGGACCTTATTGTCGTGATCATCAACCTTGCCATTACTGTCTTCGTAGCCCCAGACAACCGTGCGATCGTGACGTCTGACACGGTCAATCAAGTCCTGGATGGTCTCTTTCTGAGCAGGCGGTGTCCGATCATCCATTGCTGAAATAACAAGTTCATGGATCAAGTGCACCACCATCTCTCGGGCCTGCTCTTGCACCAAGGGCATGTAGTGATCCCACAGTACGGTGACAACGTGCAGCAGTAGCGGCACATTTTCCTCTGGAAGCTGCAATGGCGCCACCATCAAATCGACAAGCAAAATCATGGACAGCTGCCCTAAAGAAAACCCAGCTTGTTTGGTACCGACCGGCAGTACCTCCGTAAGATCCGCACAGTACGGCAAGAGAGACACGTCGCTTGGCGGTGGGACAGCCTCTCTTTTCTCGTTAGGAACCATGCTCCGGGGGTCAATGTGCATGAGAAGAAACTCAATGACCTTAACACCCGGGGGGCTATTTGTCGTCGACAGGAACACCACGATCTGCTTCGCATACTCGACAAAGTTCTGCTCACGTCGATCTAAGCACAAAGAGATGACAAAGTCCATCACCAGACGAACGTTGCCGGGGAATGGGCCTGTAGCAACCGCTTGCCACAAAGCCTGTACCTCGTTGTGCAAGGCGCCACTGGATTTGATAGTGAGCTCAATGAGGTTTGCCAGAAAGACGTACGACTCGGCCGCAGGGCCTCCATTGGGGTCCACCTTAAGCTCGACACTCTGTATCCATGGTAGCATGACAGCTACAATGTTTCTCTGTGAGGCTGGCTGCAAGTCCTTGAAATATAGTGTGAACTCCGCGAACACGTAGAACGCAAGCTCAGTGTACTGCGTCGCCAATCTCTGGGAAATCTCGAATTGCGCGAGCTTGTACACGGCCTGCGTCTTGTCCGAGATGCTGATGTCAAAGTCCTGAAGTCTGGAGTTTCTCTGCTGTTTGACCTCGAGAGCTCTCAGCACCGACGATGATTTGGATCGGACATCGCTCAGATCGTTCCCCAAGGTGTACAACAAAAGCCCCAGGAGCTTCCAAAAGGGGCACGGGTAGCTGGGACAGTTCTCGAGTACCAGGGTGGTAACAATAAAGTAGCTCTCGAGAACCTTGGGTACACTGGCAAGGTAGCATCGCGCGATGCAATGCTCCAGAAGATAAGGGTATTCTTGGTTATGCACGATGAGGTTCTCGAGTGCTTTCCGGCCGATGATGTTCATTCGATCGCTGCCAGAATTGAAAATGGCCTCTACCCAGGCGAGCATACGCCGCACATCGAATTGCAGGGTGACACCGCTCTCGGTCGTGACGCCGATTGGTCCTCCACACAAAACAGCCATGGCGCTCAGGGCTGCCGTGCGTAGGTCTCGCTTCTCCTTTTCCATGGCAGCTGTGACCATGCCTCGCTCAGCCGTTGACTGCTGCTCGATGACAGATTGCCGCATAGTATCCTCACGAACTCTGATTTGCGTATGGTTGGGCGAAAAGCCACACCAGTCCTCCATCAGAGAGAAAGCGGATTTGCGTGATTCAAAAGTCATCCATCGCGAGGGATCCTTGGTACGGTTGATTGCCTCAAAGAGCACCTCCATGAGGCCGCAGTAGTGTCGTCGCAGTTTCTGAAATTCCCAATCCATCTGCACATCTCCATCCATCAAGAAGAGCTTCAGATCTTTGGCATAAGCAGTCAGGGTTCCCAAGAAGAAATCCGTGTTGTAGAATTCGGGCTCCTTCAAGAAATGAGAGGTGACCTTGAACACATGGGTAATTTCGGTCCTCAGGAGATCCAACTTGCGATTACGCGGGGGTGTGCTGTTGGAACGCTGGTGAATCCGTGCCCTGGCATCATCGTTCAGCCGTGTGACCTGGGCCTGTAGCTCCTCCAAGAGTGTTCTGTAGATGTGTCTATTGATGGACCCTATCGCAACAACAATGGCTTCTCGGATCGACGCCGATGATGCCGAGAGGAGCGGGAACAGATACTTGAACAGCGTCCGAGCTGTAACAATCTTGTCACCACTTGACTTTGAGTCTTTGCGGGCATGTTGGTCTTTGCCAAAGGTGGTGTTGCTGCCAGTCTCGGCCAGCGTAGCGCAGGCGAAAATCAGGTACAGCTTCCATTGTTCAATGAGAACCTCGGGGTGCGCAGTGGGTGATCGAGCGGGTGTCCTCGCGCTTCCGGCTTCACTGCCGTAGTAGTATCCACGAGATGGCTCAGACAGATGGACAATGGTCTTGTACATCTGTAGAGTCCGGTCGCACACAAGGTCCCGACATATAGCCACAGTAAAGGGGCATTTCTCGTACGCTAAGCGGACAAGGTTGGGGAAGATTTTGAACCAAAGCGTTGTGTCGTAGGACACATCACTGATACAAAGCTCCACTACAGCCCCCTTGCTTCCTGTGCTGTTGGTGCCAGCATTCTTGAGTCCACGGTGCAGACGACTGCGCTCAGCCACCGACAGATGGTCTTCGTTGAAACTCATGACTTCATCTGCGTCGTTCTCGAGTATGTTGATGAGTCTGCCAGAGTCCTCGCCAGAGGATTCCTTCCCCAAGGCTTTATCGAATTCAGAAATGAGTCGCAAGACAGTGATCGCATAGTAGCGCACGCGTCTTGATTGGGAACACAAGAAGAACAGGCCATGTGCTTCGGCCTGATCTACCTCAGCCCAGATGCTGGACAGATCCAACTTGAGTGCACGCTTGTCCGAAGTGCCCGCTCCAGGAACCTCAGCTGCGGCATCCTTCATCTTCTGCCGGATTTCATCAATCCAGATCTGCAACAGCTCAACATACAAACGCAGGGTGTTTTCAATATGACCCGGCCCCAGCATGCCGCCGTCGGACATGGTCGAGTATCGATCGTCAAAATTGAAGATGAACCTTGAGAACCCCATGATGACACCTTGCGCGTGGGCGTGGCGTGCTATAGCTTTCAGGGAGTTTGCGGACGATTCTGCAATATTGAATTGAATGTGTGCAGTGCCAGTGCATAGCAAATTGATCAGGGGGTTGAATGGTATATCCTCTGAGAAGCAGCGAGGCAAGGCTTGCACGGCGACGTGGAGAAGCTCATAGAAAGCTTGTTTCTGATCTGGGGTGTTCTGTTGATCTTCACGGCGCGTGAAGTTGAATGTGTCCGTAATGGGCGTTTTGGGCCCTGGACTGCCAAATTTCTCGTCCAGCGTTGCTTGGCCTCCGAAGGTATTGTCACATATCCTCGTGATCTTGCCCAGAATATCGCAAAATTTGAGATAGTAGTCTCTGACGGTGTCAGATAGAACATGAGTGAGTACAGGCCTCGAGATAGCATCCTCCTTCGAACCAACCGGGGCACCATTTGGCGATCGGACGTCAGCGGAACTGCTGTTATAGTGTTGTGGAAATGGCGGCCGGCCCTGCTCCCCTTTTTCAAGATCTGACATGATACACAAGAACGCCCGGATTCCGACCACTATACGGTCTGGGTCAAGCTGCTCTACTTTCAGGTCTTTGGTATTCGCAAAGAGGTCGGCGTTGATCAGAGGGAAGATAATCTGACGAAAGCAGTACTCCGGGTACCGAAACCCCACGGTTCGAATGATCTGGATGAGAGGTTCGGTGACAGCAGCGTCGGATGCGACAATGCTCCGTCTGGATGTTGGCAGCACCAGCTTCAAGATCTCGTCCAGTTTCCGGATAGCGCCCTGTGGAGTATCGTTGATGCGATAGATGTACGTCCACAATAGACGAGAAATGACCTGGAGGCAGAGGGGCTTGGTAGATCGATCTCTGACTTTTGTCTGGGTCGTCATCACAAGCTGAACCCACTGAACCCCGAAACTCTCTGGCGGTGATACACAGAGCATAGTAGCTGTCAAGGGAAAAGCCACACTCCAGTGACGCGGCTTTGTGAACATCTGGCCAACTCGAGAAGAGATGGAAGAAACAACCTCAGCCCACTTGGGATGCATCAAATGGCTATTACTTGCAGATGCAGCGATTGGTACGACGAGTGTGTCAACAATCTGGCAAAAGGCCCACTTAACCCTTTGGCCATGAGATTTGCTGAATAGTCGACCTAGCCGAACAAGAAAATCGCAAGAGTGTTCCCAGGCATCCTCTGGTAGGATCCTGATGCGCAGATGCCTCATGCCCCCAAGCACGACCTCCAGCTTGCCCTCGTTGTCACGTCCGCTTGCCGTGGTAGGGCTTCGGAGCCCACGTTCCTGCAGAGCTGAATCGATTTCCTCAAGGAATCGTTGCGTCACCGACACAAAGTTGAGTTCGCTCATGTAACCAAGGAGCTGGGCGAAAAGGTTCCAGTTGGCCAGCTTGAGTGGCGAAACAAACAACTGATCAGGGTCTGCGTTCTTTAGCTGCGCGAAGATGATGTCCTCCAGCTTATCTTCCATTTCGGGGGTAATAGCTCGCAAGTTGCTTTGGCGGACCACCTCGATCAGGACTCGGCAAAGAATGTATATGGAGACCGTTGATCGTCGCTCAGCCTGTGCGACGAATTCTTGTTTCGCGGATGCTGAAAGACTGTGTGGAAGTGCGTTCTCCCCAACGCCAACGCCAGGTTGGCCTGGTTGCACCGGTTCCGTATTCCTGCGCAAGAGAGGCGCTGCCTGTGTCACGCTCCGCGGTTGCCCCTGGTTTCGAGCTTCTAATGCTGCATCGCTCTTGTTTTTCCTCCATAGCATCATCGAGTCAATGAGAGCTTTTGGTTTTGGGCTAGCGATGTGGCCCAAAGCCTTGATAAGTTGGTCGAAGGCTGGATCGACTCCCGGACCGCAAACATTATCCACGTTTGGCTCTAGCTCGTTCGCAGGTGTGATACATTCGGTAAGTTTCTCTTCCGCCTGTGCGATGAAGGAGGTAAACAAGACATGTAGGGCATATTCGCCCACGGTTTTCTGCTCCTCTCGATGAAGTTTGGAATGAGAATGGCTCAGCAGAGGATTTCGGCGAGGTTTACTATGTCTTCGCTCAGGCCTCCTTTGCGTCGCGCCGTTCAGGGCCAGATCACCCGCCGAGGCCGTCCTCTCAAGAGGAAACCCACTTGGCGGTACCATCGAAGAGCCCGAATGCATGGTATCAAAGTTCCCCCCCGCAGCGGCTATAACCTTAGGGCTCAGAGGACTTGATGTCGAGCTTGCAAGGCTTCCATTTCTCGAGTGCTGAATGCCATGCACGATCGAGGTCTGTCGGTGATGACCGTAGATGGCGCTTTTCGGGTCAACGACGCGCTCCCGCGAATGCGAGGCCGTGACGCGCGGTGAAGCTAAGCTCGCATTTTTCTCCGCGGAAGATTCTCGAGAATGTGTTGGTCGTCGGATCGAGTAGGGGGAAGGGTCGAGAGGTGGCGGGGGTCGCACAGTATGTTGCCATGCACTGTTGTCGGCGTGTTCATCTTCTTCATCGAGTGTTGATACAGCTCGTGCGGCATACTTTGAAGGATCCTGAAGGTGATCCGGCAACGATTGCGGCGGTACTATGGGTCAGACGTCAGATGAGGAGGACCATAGAATTGTGAAACTTGAACATGGCAACGTGCAGGAGAGGGGCGCACTCTTTCGAGGGGAAACACGCACCCATCTCAGATCGCTCCGATCGAAATTCTCATGTTCTGTTCTCGAAGCGCGATGGCTTTCGCGGTAGGCGTAACGAGCCGCCCAGCAATCGTTGGCGGCAACTCGAGGGCGAGTAGGAGCGGGACTTGAGGTCGTGCAAACGGGTAGACGCAGAGAGCGAGGGGGGTGCGCGCAATTTGCTGGCTATGACAGCGTCGAATTCAATGGGGAATGTGTCCTCATTTCAGCTAAAAGGCATGATGAAGTCGCTCAGCGCAGGTCAAGAGCAACGCCAAATGTCCCAGAGCACGAGGTCGAAGCGAGGATGACGCTGTTGATAGCCGCAGGGGTCGTCGAACATAAATTTGGGCTTGCTATTTCCAGTGCCCACGCGAAAATGCAAGGGCCATAGCCAGTCAGAGGCTCTGAGCGCGTGTCTGAGCGCGCTATTGCGGAGATCCGTGGATGTGGGGTCTGGAGATGAGCCCACCGCGACTTTGCCAAATGCCAGCAGCCAGACTGCAGTCCAGTTCTGACTTCTGAGATCATCAGTCTGTTGTGATTACAAGTACTTAGCCTACAGTGAACATTTGTGACCCGTGCCCTCGGTGGCAGAGGTTTATCTGCTCAATTCTTTGGGGCTTCGAGAATGCTTGATTTGAACTCGGAAAGCGGCAAGCTTTTGACCGAGGGGTCACTAGGATTTGATGGTGAAGACGCAAGGAGCTCTCAGCATCAACTGAATGGCATTACGATGAACAGGCTATAATCTATCCGAGGCAAATTCCCTGGATTATTAGTATATGGCATAATCGTTAGTCAATTAAAATAGGGATAAAAAAAAAACTTGTTGTATTACTATAGGTTAGGCGGCGCACTGAAGAATGGGATGTAGTTTCCGACGGACGGAAATTCGACGAGGCCACTGGCATCCGTAGCTCGGAATATTTCCACATCTGGCGCATTCCTTGACCAGGAACACTCCGACGTGAGCCGCACAGCAAAGTGTCCGACATTGTGACCGTAGCAAACGCCTATCCCAGTGGCTCTATCGTGTTCGTATCAAGCAGCCACATGCTCCCCAACAGACTAGCATTATGAGGCGCATAGCTTGCCGAAAACCCACCATCGCAATCCATATATCCTTTCGGCATACGGCTGTCCGGGACGTTGAATGGGCTGATAGTCGTCGTTTTCCAGTGTCCTGACCCACCTTTGTCAGTCAAAGCCAAGGGAATGTTTAAGCGATCTCGAAAAATAGGTAGTAGTGACGCATGACCGGCTGTCGATGATGATGGGATTCAAGTCATTGTGCGACACCAAGTCCTGCAATAGATGAACTCCAGGAAAGTGTTGCGCACCACAATTATACACTGATCAGACCGAAAAAGTTGTCTAAGGATTACCTTACCTTAGTAGTACGTGGATAGAGTATCACGAAGGATGTTCTTAAGGTGTTCCGGTACAACGAGCTTTCCGCCGGCTCACGCAGTGAAGGACCCCTCCCTCGCCCGACGCCAGCGACTGCACTGCTAAAGTGTGTACCTGGTACGGATAGACCCCGAGGTACTGGACCCACAACTAGGCCCGACAGCGCATCTCGGGACTGGAGTCCACACATGTTGGCCTTTAACTACTGTGCCCCCTCCTGAATCCTGCCACGAATCCCGCGCAACAAATATCAGCGCTTGTCGTTGCTTTTTGCTCTTCGAAAGCCTCGCAGCCTTGGGGGACAAGACTTTCGACGGCCCACGGATTCGTACGCGCAACTTGCGAGACCGAGATCCTACCTTCTGCCCCTCCGTTTCGGAACGTCCCGACAAGAGCGACTTGCATAGGTACCCCTCGACGATAAGGACAACATGGCAGAGTTGGACACCTTGGACATTATTGTCCTGGGAGCAATCCTGCTCGGGACACTCGCCTACTTCACAAAGGGCACCTACTGGGGTGTCACCAAGGATCCCTATGCCAATGTGTTCGCCAATGCGAATGGCGCCAAGGCTGGCAAGTCGAGGAACATTGTCGAGAAGATGGAAGAGTCCGGCAAGAACTGTGTCATCTTCTACGGCTCTCAGACCGGTACTGCCGAGGACTACGCCTCTCGACTGGCCAAGGAGGGCAAGAGCCGCTTCGGCCTGGAGACCATGGTGGCCGATCTTGAGGAGTACGACTTTGAGAATCTCGACACATTCCCCAACGACAAGGTGGCCATGTTCATCCTAGCCACCTATGGAGAAGGCGAGCCGACTGATAACGCTGTAGACTTCTACGAGTTCGTCACTGGAGAGGACACTGCGTTCTCTGAGAGCAACGAACCTGCGCTCGGCAACCTCAACTACGTTGCTTTCGGCCTCGGTAACAACACCTACGAACATTACAACTCCATGGTCCGCAACGTTGACAAGGCATTCACCAAGTTTGGCGCCCACCGCATCGGCGAGGCCGGCGAGGGTGACGACGGCGCTGGAACTATGGAGGAGGACTTTCTGGCCTGGAAGGAACCCATGTGGTCTGCGCTGGCAGACAAGATGGGTCTTCAAGAGCGCGAGGCCGTTTATGAGCCCGTCTTCGGTATCGTCGACCGCGACAACCTCAGCGCTGAATCCCCCGAGGTTTACCTTGGCGAGCCCAACAAGATGCACCTCGAGGGCACGGCCAAGGGCCCATTCAACGCTCACAACCCATACATTGCCCCGATTGTCGAATCTCGTGAACTCTTCTCGGTCAAGGATAGGAACTGCCTACATGTCGAAGTCGACATTAGCGCCTCCAACCTGTCTTACCAAACTGGTGATCACATTGCTATCTGGCCTACGAATGCCGGCGACGAAGTCGACAGGTTCCTCGACATTCTTGGCTTGAAGGAGAAGCGTCACAACGTCATCAGCGTCAAGGCCCTCGAGCCCACCGCCAAGGTTCCCTTCCCTACTCCAACAACCTACGACGCCATTGTCCGATACCATATGGAGATCTGTGCTCCCGTTTCTCGTCAATTTGTGTCTACATTGGCTGCGTTCGCTCCCAATGAAGAAGCCAAGGCTGAGATGGTCAAGCTCGGCAGCGACAAGGACTACTTCCACGAAAAGACGATTCCACAGCTGTTCAATATCGCTGGTCTGCTTGCCCAGGTCAGCAACGGGGAAAAGTGGACAAGTATTCCCTTCTCTGCTGTTATCGAAGGCCTCAACAAGCTCCAGCCCCGTTACTACTCTATTTCCTCGTCCTCCCTCGTGCAGCCCAAGAAAATCTCCATCACGGCAGTCGTCGAGAACCAGATGGTGCCGGGTCGCGAGGAACCATTCCGCGGTGTTGCCACCAACTACCTACTCGCGCTCAAGCAGAAGCAGAACGGCGACCCGAACCCCGAAGCGTTCGGCAAGACATACGAGCTGCTCGGGCCCCGCAACAAGTACGACGGCATCCATGTTCCCGTCCACGTCCGCCATTCCAACTTCAAGCTGCCTTCTGATCCCTCGAAGCCCGTTATCATGATCGGCCCCGGCACTGGTGTGGCTCCTTTCCGTGGCTTTGTGCAAGAGCGTGCCAAGCAGGCTCAGAACGGCGCTCCCGTCGGGAAGACGCTCTTGTTCTTTGGGTGTCGTAAGCCAGAGGAGGACTTTATGTACGAGAAGGAGTGGGAGGAGTACAAGGAGGCTCTTGGCGACAAGTTTGAGCTCGTGACTGCCTTCTCGCGGCAGACCAAGAAGAAAGTCTATGTTCAGCATCGCCTGCAGGAGTATGGCAAGGAAGTCAATGAGCTCCTTTCGCAAAAGGGCTTCTTCTACGTTTGTGGCGATGCGGCCAACATGGCTCGCGAAGTCAATGCTGTCTTGGCCAAAATCATTTCGACCGAGCGTGGCGTGACAGAGGCCAAGGGCGAGGACATTGTCAAAAGCATGAGGTCTTCCAACCAGTATCAGGTAAGTTTATTTATCTATTGTGCCGTGATTGTGATGCTAATGGGTTGCAGGAGGATGTTTGGTCATGAGACACGTGCGGGCATCTGGTTTGGATCTTCATGGCGATTGCATGGTGGCAGATTGAGCTTCTTTAGCGACTCGGTGTTCTGGGACCCGGTTCGAAGCTAGAACAAGACGTATAAAGGGACCGGTTTTGGGGATAAAACGTCGAAAGAATACTATGGGAGGCCACGGGCGATGGGCAACATGTAATGTTGATAGTCATGTTCGCCGGATTTTGATGAATAGACTTTCATTGTAAGCACCCGCGAGCTCCGTAGGGTATAGCTGCCGCTTTCACCCATACAGACACTGATCAGCGAGGCTTCACACATATTTTCTGTCGAACCTGGTTCGTCATGTTTGTCTCTTCCTGGGAAATGTAGGCGCAGCGAGACAAACAGCGCTGCACTTGGCCCAGAACAAACACCCGGGCGTCTGCGCGTCGCCTCCCGTTGGTAAATGAATTATAGAGGGGGAATCAGATCCGGGTTGTGATTGTGAAGGCCTTCTTGACGAAGTTACATGCGGGCCATCGTGATGGCTATCCATGTTGGACATCACGAAGCCTACCTAGGCTTACCTCGCACGTGGATGCTGCAAAACTAAGTTCAAAATATGATGCGACATGCCCAAGCTGTCCTCATGTCCCCGATCGAGGTAAAAGAGAGAGACAAGGGTTTGCTTCGACGCTTGGTCAAAACTACTCGTCAATTGCTGAATTAGGTACAGTGGTGACTGAACAACTTTCGTGAATTGGGCCAAGCCATAAGGACCGTCGCTTCATCAATCACCACAATCGGACAGAATTACTCTGCGTTTTGCTTTCTCTGGTAATTTGACAATGCACTTTTCAAACGAGTCACCAGATACGCGCGGACAAGATCAGTCATTGCTTTTTGTGCAACTGGGGTTTGCCCTGCAGGAGTCAAGGCGGCCAGCCGCAAGGGATGTGTCGCGCTCAAGGCGTGCGTCGAATCGTTCGGCAAAAATTAAAACGCTGATGATCATTTGGCAGACTGCACAACAGATTAAGCAATGGATCTCGTACAGTTTCAGATACCGAAGTTGCTGGCAGCGCTCACGCGTTTGGCCAGCATCACCCCTGACGACTACGAAGTGCCTTAGGTCTCTCAAGGAGTCAACTTGTCAGGAGTCTTTCCTGTACTGGAGGAGACTGTGGAGCCAACACACGACATCGCACTTCCAGAAGTAACTCACGTTCCCGACTCAGCCTGGGACAAGCTTCTCCTGCCCTTGGACCTCCCTTACCTCCGCCCAATGAGGTGAAGAGACCCGGCACACTATCTTGGATTCTTCCAACTTGACAGACTTTCATGGCCCCTGGCTCTTGGCACTGGTCGCTTGCCGCCGTCCTGGACGCATGTGGCTGGCTGCATTTGCTGGAGGGATACAAATCTTTTGATTCAGAGAATGCATGTCTGGCGATCTGTTAGTAGACCCAAGAGCGGAGTCGAGACAAGGCTTAAATGTATGCTCCGCAATGCCGATGAAGCCACCCATAAGATGGGTGACATCCTCATTGCTACTTCATCGACACCTTTCGCTTTTCGGATGTTGTTTGATTGTCTGATTTGCCTCCTTGTTCACCATCATCATTAGTCGACCTGACTCGCTTTGTACTTGCATTCGCAGGAACTTTTATACTCAGCCTCGCGTACTGCTTTACTGACGCTGCAGCCGTTTGCCAGACGGGAGTCTGAACACCGCAAAAGGAAAAGCCTCAAAGTCCAGTTATACGATACCACAAGCTGAGTATTGACCAAGACTTCTTTTTGCTTGGTTGACGAGGTTATTTGCCTCTGACGTCTCATGGGAGAAGGCACGCTCAGCTGATATCAAAAAGGGGCCCCCGTCAACAATCACCAGTCCCGGCTCGTGGCCAAAGGGAATATCGACACACAACGCACACTCTTCGTGGCTTGAAATTCACCAGATCACTCGTTCTCATGCAAGTCTAGGTGCGCCTTGGACCGCCCCAGACAACTTTCCTCTGGCAGGTCTTGCCTTTCCCGTTGTTTCATTCCGCGCGAGTAGACCTCGATGCGAGATCGAGGAACAAGAGTGCTCAATTTTCACCGACAACTCAGACTGCTCATCCCAACGATATCAAGTCACAAACACTGAGGCAGTTCTTATCGCCTGTGGATACTGGCTTGGTCGACTATACGCTTTCATAGGAGCCAAATTCATCTGGACTCTCGTTGCCAGGTGACTCATCCACTTCGTTGAGTTGAGAGCTTTTCTGTGGCTTTGAAGAATTGACAGACCTTCGCGCAGCTTTTCTCTTTTCTTCTTCCTCAACCTCACTAGCAGCCTTGCGAACCATCTGCGCGGCCCTCTCTACCGACCTTCTAACAAGCTTACCTGCCTCCTTTATCAACAATCGCACACGCTGGTGCTTACTGTCACAACCTGTCATACTATTTGGCATAATTCTTTCAAACGTACCTTCTCTATATCATTGCGACAACTTCTACACAGGTGTGCATACCAGCCTCGCCCTACTTTAATCTTGCGTTTTCAGACCGCACCTACCGATCCTAGAGCCCTCCGCCTTCCGATACACTACTGTAATCGCTAACACGCCTTCTGTTACATCCACGAGAGGCAAGAACAGGTTGGTGGCTTCCCATCGTACTGCTTCCTGTCCAGGCACTGCTTCGCATCCATTTAATCCCCTCTATCCCTTTGCCTCGCGTTCTCTCTTCTCCTTCTTCTTCTTCTTCATCCATCTCTTTTGCTCCCGTCCTCACAGTGTCACTCACCGTCTTTCCCCAAAATCCAACAGACGGTCGCTTTGCTACTGCAACCCTCTCCGTCTTGTTCGATAGCTTGTTCTATCTTACTTACTCTCGCTTCATCTCGCAGTCCCGGTAGCCACGCTTCCCCCGTTGGCCACGGCTGAGTCTTTGTGTCATTCACAGACGCTTGGAGTCTGAGCTAGAGTAAGTTGTTGGCACCGATTAAAGCACTGCACCCATCTTCTTCAGCAAGTCACCTGCCATCAGACGCAAGTGCTTCTGACATGCTCAAGAGCCGCAAACCTGCTTCGATTCCGTGCCGGCACTTCATCTTATCTGTGCCGCACAGAGAGAGAACGTTTAATGACACAAATCCCTCTCAGTTTGCTATTCTACCAGCCATCATCGACTGTTCCATTTTTCAGTCAAGACATCTCCTGTGATAAAGGTATGTGGACGTACGGGATGACAACCGCAACACTTTCCAATGTCTGCAGATGTAAAACATGGTCTTGACAGCTGCTGATTAGCGAGAACAGGCAAATACCACACTTACCATCCTCACGACTCACTTCTAGTCAATATGGACGGCAGTGGCAACAACGGTGCCTTTTCAAACACCCCTTCCGGGCGCGCTGTCAACCCGGCATACGTGCATGATCCCTCTGGGTTGATTGCATCATTTGGCAACATGAACATGCATGGAGGTCACCATGCTCCCTTGACTGTGAGCTCTGGCAACGGCTGGCTGGCACCCATGACTGACCCACTATATCATCACCAGCAGAGCTTGGCCCAAGATCATCACTACGCTCACATGCCTGGCCCTGGCTTCCCCGGTGCCTACTACGGTGTGCCCATGCCTGCCATGGGTATGATGCCTTACACTCCCGGTCGTCATGTTCCGCGTCTTGAGCGTGGGTACGCTGATGTTCCGGCCCTTGAGAACCGTCGTGGTTCGTACTCTACTACCGAGTCCACGCCCACTACCCCATACTGGGCTGGGTTTGGTCAGCGTGAGGGCGCTATACGTGTTGCTAGCCATGACCGCTCTGCCTATACGACTCCTTCCCCACAGCAACTCGGCGTGTCCGTTCACTATGAAATGCAGAAGCCCTCTGTACCTGCCATCTCTGAGTCTGCTCTCGAGGAGCTTCTTGTCAAGGAACCCCCCATTCCCAAGGCCGTTCCCGCTGTGTTCACGCCAACTGGTCAGATAAAGTCTGTCGATCAGAGCCTGGAGAATCGCATCCCAGGAAACCGCAATGTCTATATCCGTGGCCTCCATCCGACCACAGATGACGAGCTCCTCTATCTGTTCGCCGCTCGCTTTGGTCCTGTCGAGACGTCAAAGGCTATCATTGACACCGGCACTGGTGCTTGCAAAGGGTAGGTGGCAAGTGATTGATATGAACCGTTCTTTGCTAACGACCTCCAGCTTTGGGTTTGCCAAGTTCTTCGACGTCCGCGACTCTGAGATGTGCATCCGCGGCTTCCACCGCCTCGGTTACGAAGTCGGTTTCGCTCGCGTACGTACAAATGCATTTCCTCTGATCGGGCAGTTTTGACCATTCGCAGGAGTCATTCAACTCCCGTCTTAAGGCTCAGGGCGATGAGGGCTCCACGAACTTGTACATCTCGAATCTTCCCAAGACCTTGACCGAAGTGGTAAGAGCATCACCGCTTGCCTGTTCACAAACACCTGCTGACTACTCGCTATAGGAGCTCGGCACCATCTTCTTGGGCTACAACATTCTGTCCAGCAAAATTCTTCGGGACAACATGGGTAACTCGCGTGGGGTTGGTTTTGCTCGGTAAGGCCATCTCTCACTGATCATCGGGAACCAACTGACCTTGAAACAGTTTTGAGAATCGCGACATTTGTGCCGATATCATTCAAAAGTTCAACGGCGTTGGTATTGGTGAAGAAGGTCTACTCATGAACATTCGGTTCGCGGACACCCCTGCCCAGAAGGAACTCAAGAGAGTGACTGCCGAGCGTCGCCAGTTCCGAACCAACGAGTACAACATCGGTGCCTATGGAACCCCTTTGGTGGGCATCGCCAACTCGCTGCATGGCCAGCACAGTGATTGGCGTCGCAATTACAGCACCACCCGGAGGTGAGTCGTCAGGCAGCAAGTCAACATTGAGAAGCCTGACCCTTTATAGTGACGACTCAGCCGCCACTCGAGGCAACGGGACATCGGCATCTCAGCCTGATGGCTCCCGGTATGGTTCGAACTGTGAACGTCACTAAACGATCTAACGTTGTACTCACAGAACGGCGAGAAGCTCCAGTGAAGAGGCTGCGATTACTGTCACCACTCCAGACTCTTCTGAGTGCGATGAGGGTGCCACCATCAATGCTGATTCATTCGCCGGTTTTGACGGCAACGCAAGCATCCAGTCGTCTCCTTCCCCCAAGAAGGAGATGAAGGAGGTGATCGTGACGACAGCCCGGAAGGAGACTTAGGAGCCGTTCGACACTGTTCCCCTGTTGTGTAGGACTATGTGGTCAACGTTGCCGGTTTATGGCTCTTTTCTTGTTGCAATGATCGCACTTTTGTTGTTGAGTATGTTTTCTTTTTGGACGGTCCATCGAGATGTACCCGTTGAGGTATCAAGCCATCAAGGAACATTTGATGGTCTGAGGTGCTGATACAGCTTGGGGGATTATGGTAATGGCTCATTTCTTATACTTCTGTACTTTACTTTTTGGAGGGGTTCTTGATCCAGGGGAAAACAGACGCGTGGCATCACGAGATGAATAATTTCAATCTCGCAAAATCCGGCTTCTCATGACAATTGGTGACATTGTGTATAAATTGGGTATCTTCATGGCAATAAATGAATTGCACCTTACAGGTCGAGCTGCGAAATTGGCTTCCCAAGGCTATCAAGGTCAGATTCGCCAGGTTTTGAAGATCCGTCGGCCCCAACGCCTTCTTCCGTATGGCTAGCGCCCTCTCCGAGATTGTCCATATCTTCTTCGCTGTGGTCACTGTCTTCATCCTCAGTCTCGTCATCTACTTCACTCTCCACTCCGGAATGCGAGGAAGCCCGTTCCTCTTTGTTGCCGGCCTTCTCTTTGATGGCTGCCTCCAAGTCTTTCAACATCTTCTTGGTGAAGCCCGATGCTTCCACTGTGGCATCAAGCCGCTTCGCGCCATCCTTTCCAACTGTCTTCTTTGCATCCTTGAAGAAGGGCCCTGGCGCATCGCTGGTGAAGCCGAACCGCCGTGAGAAGAAGCGCTTGATGCAGTTCACGTCCCGATCAAAGTACATTTCCGCATTTTGATGCTCCATCGATACCATTTGCGGGAAGTCGATGACGATGGGCTCTAGTGTTATTGATTCTTCGCCGTTCTTGTCCACAGATGTGTTCTCCTTGATCAGGATGTTGAACTCATTGTAGTCGCCGTGGATCAGGCCGTGCTTTGCCAGCCGAAGCAACAGGCTGATTAGCTCCCCGTATAGAGATGCTGGGTCGGGAACGCTGGATATTTGGCGAAGAGGGAAGGCCTCGATCAAAGACATGACGATAGTGTGTCGTGACTGTGCAATTGGGGTCGGCACCGGCAAGCCTTCTTCCAACAGTGCTGTCATGAATGCGTACTCTTTCATGGCTGCTAGTCGGGAGAGGTACATCCATGATCCTGCCTGGCGGTTCTTGAGGTAGTCTCGGTTCGACTTGACGGATCGGAAAGATATTCTGCCCAAGCGGTGGATCTTGAGTACCCTCTGTACGTTGTTGTGGTCGGCTACGAGCATGATGTCACTCTCCTTGCCGACACCTATCCGGTCGCCGACGCTGTAAACCTCCTTGCGTGAGGAATATGTATGTAGAGCGAGGTAATCCAGGCCGCCGTAGGTCAGACGGTACCCATCATACTTGGCCTCCTTGACACGCGCGATGAGACCGACTTTGGCGAGGGCTGAGATACTTCTGTGGACGCCATTGGCACCACCGCGTAGTCGAGATAGTTTCTCGATCAGTGGCGTCGGGACAATCTCGTGGTTTTTGCTGCCCATCTCAACCTAAGGAGGCATGTTAGTGGGATGGATTGGGCAAGATTAGCCTGGGCCGACAACATACCGCCGTGAGAACGCGCCAGTCCTCTGACGCCAAGTGGCGCATGGCGCGCGTATCCAGCTTCATACTGACAGGTCTTCTGTGACAGTTTCTGGTGGATGCAGGGCCAGTAGATGAAGGAATGTCGTAGATCGTGGGGTCCTGTCGTGTCTGGTGAGGGTTGGCGGGGGATAAAGAAAAATGTCTGATAAGATAGCGTACGGGTCTTATCGATTGCGCCGCGCGATCTGATCAGAAGATGCCTCTACGTAGGTATACAACTGCGCACATCTCTGCGCGCGCAGAACACGACATATCAGCTTCTCTGGTACTTGGAACTTAATCTACCAAAGTCTGAAAATGTTCCTTTCGCTTGTTTTTTTTAATCCACCCACTTTTGGCCGAATGCCAGGATTTCTGACATCTCCAGTGATTAGTAATCGCACGTGACCCTCCTACTGGTCCGATTCTGCAGGCGGCAGCGCCTCACGTAACCGGAGCTCAGACTAGCTGTCGGTGTTTGGAGATCGGCTCCATCAGCTTCCATCATCGACATCACCTCTCTCCCTACCACAAAAAGCATTTGCGCGCTCACTTCGCGACACGAGCTCACGAAGAAGTGCACTGCGCGACGTAATTTTCACCCACACTATCCATTTTTCTCTGCCTTCTATACATCTTGATAACGACGTCAACATGGCTCAAGATAGCGATGTGCCCATGTCGGCCGACAAGGGCAAGGGTAAAGCTGTCGAAGAGCCCAAGAACGACAAGTCAGTCGCCAACGGGAAGAAAGAAGATGAGGAAAAGAAGGATGGTAGGTGAAATTGCTGCGAGAGCTCTATGGTGTGACTGACCAGTGCAGCTACTGGCGAGGAGCTGAATGAAGAAGACCAGCAACTCAAGAATGAGCTCGACATGATCGTGGAGCGCTTGACAGTCAGTTCATACGAAGCACTGAAGCATACGCACGCAGAGACTGATACAATGGCAGGAATCCAACACGCCACTATACAAGCCCTCGCTAGAGGCCATGAAGACCTCGATCAAGACATCGACCTCGTCCATGACAGCAGTGCCCAAGCCGCTCAAGTTCCTCCGACCACACTATGAGACTCTCACGAAATTGTACGACGAATGGCCCGCGGGCGAAGACAAGAAATCTCTGGCAGATGTGCTGTCGGTGATTGGTATGACATTCTCGGACGAGGACAGGCAGGACACACTCAAGTACAGATTGCTCGCGCCATCGTCCGACATTGCATCGTGGGGTCACGAGTATGTGCGGCACTTGGCCCTGGAGATCGGCGAAGTCCACGCAAAGCGCCTAGCGGAAGACGAGCCGACCAAGGACCTCGTTGATCTTGCATTGATTCTCGTACCCTTGTTCATCAAGACCAACGCTGAAGCCGACGCTGTCGATCTAATGAGCGAGCTGGACATCATTGAGCTGCTTCCCGAGTATGTCGACACCGAGTCCTATCCCCGGGTTTGCTTGTACCTGGCGAGCATGGTGAACCTGTTGACGTACCCCGACAACGAGACGTTCCTCCGGACGGCGCATACGATCTACATGAAGAACAAGCAATACACGCAGGCTATGGTCCTGGCTATCCGGTTGCACGACAGTGAACTCATCAGCAATGATTACAACGAGGTCACAGATCCCGCATTGAAGTCTCAGTTGGCATTCCTCCTCGCTCGTCAGAAGATTGTTCTGGACGCCGAAGTTGAGGACCACGCCGAGAATGAGTGCCTTGGCAACATGAAGCTTTCCGAGTATTTCAAGTCGCTAGGAGAAGAACTCAACATTTTGGAGCCCAAGACCACAGAAGACATCTACAAGAGCCATTTGGAAAGCAGTCGTGTGGCCGGCATGACGAACCTGGATTCTGCGAAGCACAACCTTGCGGCTGCTTTTGTCAACGGGTTCGTGAACGCTGGTTTTGGAGAGGATAAGATGATGCTGGTGGAAGAGGACCCGTGGGTTTGGAAGACCAAGGGTGATGGCCAGATGTCAACAGTGGCATCCTTGGGCACCTTGCTCGCGTGGGACCTCGAAAACGGCTTGGACAAGATCGATCAGTACACCTACGCCACCGAGCCAGAGATTCAGGCTGGCGCCGCGCTTGCCATCGGTATCATGACCTCTGGTGTACAGTCAGAGGCCGAGCCGGCGATTGCTCTTCTAACAGACTCTGACAGGCTTGACAACAGCAACTCGATGATCTCGACGGCAGCAATTATGGGTCTTGGCGTATCTTATGCTGGTGCGGGCAAGGAAGCAGTGCTCGAGCACCTGCTGCCCAAAATCTCAGACTCTAGCCTTAGCATGCAGACCTCGGCCATGGCGGCTCTTTCGTGTGGTCTGATCTACGTTGGCACGTCCAACCCAGAAATCAGCCAGGCCATTGTCGACACGCTGATGGACGACGACCGCAAGGATCAGCTTACAGACAAGTGGACTCGATTCTTGGGTCTCGGTCTAGGACTACTGTTCTTTGGGCGGCAAGAAGAGGTCGACGTGATCTTGGACGTTCTCAGAGTGATAGAGCATCCTATGGCGAAATCCACAGCTGTGCTGGCGGACATTTGCGCCTGGGCCGGCACTGGTGCTGTGTTGAAGATCCAGGAGCTGTTGCACATCTGCAATGAGCACCAAGAAGAGTCGGACGAGAAGAAGGGCGACGAGCTGCTGCAGTCGTATGCTGTTCTTGGCATTGCGCTCGTAGCGATGGGTGAGGACATTGGCCAGGAGATGGTCCTGCGCCAGTTCGGCCACCTGATGCACTATGGCGAGGCCAACATTCGCAAGGCAGTGCCGCTCGCCATGGGTCTCATCAGCCCCAGCAACCCCCAGATGAAAGTCTACGACACACTGTCGAGGTACAGCCACGACAACGACCCTGAAGTAGCCATCAACGCCATCTTCGCCATGGGCATGCTGGGTGCCGGCACCAACAACGCCAGGCTTGCGCAGTTGCTTCGTCAATTGGCGAGCTACTACCACCGCGATCAGGATGCTTTGTTCATGGTGCGTATCGCTCAGGGCCTCCTGCACATGGGCAAGGGCACTATGTCGCTAAACCCTTTCCACACCGACCGCCAAATCCTGTCCCGGGTCGCTGCGGCCGGTCTCATGTCGACAATTGTCGCCATGATCGAGCCCAAGGAATTCATCACCTCCTCGCACCACTACCTCCTCTACTACCTGATCACTGCCATGCACCCTCGCTTCCTAGTGACGCTGAACGAGAACCTGGAGCCACTCAAGGTCAATGTCCGCGTTGGTCAGGCTGTGGACGTGGTAGGACAAGCCGGTCGCCCCAAAACTATTACGGGATGGCAGACACAGAGCACGCCTGTGCTGCTGGCCCATGGCGAGAGGGCCGAGCTCGAGGATGAGGAATACTTGAGCCTGAGCAACACGCTAGAGGGCTTGGTCATCTTGAAAAAGGTATGTCGAATTGTACACGGTAACGAGAGTTCAGACTAACGATTCTAGAACCCGGATTGGGAAGAGGAGAAATAGACCGGCAGAGGCATGGGCTGGAGTTGGGAAACTTTGAATGGCAAATGAGACCAAGAGCGATACTGTACAGTAATTTATGCGTACAGGTCGGAAGTTTATTAACATATCCACAAACACCGCGGAGTAGCCCGAGCTGCCTCGGAACATGCACATGCTCGTGATGGCAGGAAGTGACATTTCCTCAACTACTTACTTGTGGACTGTGACGAAAGGTAGGGTTTCGTAATCTGTCGTGAATCATATATGCTATTCGCTACGCAATGTGCTACCATATAGTCCCCAAATCACCACTTGTCCGGACCAAATGTCTCCCCTTCCGGGACTGTCCTGTACGAGCAAGCCTGCCAATCGCAGCCTTGCTTGTATACTTCTGTCCCCCACCAGCTGAAGTTGCTCATCCAGCCGGGGTAGATGAAGCCAAAGAACACAGTGAGGATGCCAAACGCCAGGCCCGAGTCCAGGGCTGCACTGAGCGTCATTGTGTATTTGGCCCACCAAGCGTTGGCGCGGCGCTTGATGTGGTAGTTGAATACGTAACAGACCAGAGCCCAGACGGAGAAGTTGAGACCCGTCGCCGGCGGAATCCAGGACATGGCGCCGAAGATGATGGGGAGGTTCACCTTGCGAATGATAGAACGCTTCTTGTTTCTGGAATACAGCCACAGTGGGATGGGCAGGATCGCACCGAGCGGAAAACACCAGACAAGCGCCCGGTAGATGGCGTTGGGTCCAAAGAACTCGTTCACACCCACGACACCCCATAGAATGGAGCCGTTGAAATGGACACGGGCGATGGGACATGTGAATCCGTTCACAGCCTCCGAGGTGCAGAGACCCCGGACGTTGGCAAACATCCAGTTGAGGACGGCGATTTGCGTGACGGACGACACCAGAGTGGCGACGACCTGGACGGTGAACATTGTGCGGGGGGGGATCTTCATGTAGTGGCCGAGCTTGAGGTCTGACGCGAACTTGATGCCTTGAGCAGAGGAGATGTAGCCGTAGGTGACAAAAACCATGTTGGCGATGGGGCGACCGGGGAATACGGCGCCGCAGATCAGCTGGCAAATGAGGTAGATGGAGGAGTGCTGGTTGGTGACGGCCATGATGATGCCGTTGGGTATGAAGAAGATGGCGCCGATGGCGAGGGAGAGCAGGAGCCCGTACCAGGGCAGGTGGACGGGGTAGCTATCGAGAGGTCAGTTAGGGAACCAGGTTTTCGGTATGTTGAACGTACTACTCGACGATGAACATGCCAATGGCAGCCATGGATACAAACGTGAGCAGATACCACGTCATGGGCACATCGCGGTATCTCTTCATCAAGCGGCAGTGTATGTCTTCCCGGCTCATGAGCCCTCCGTCGCCGTGGGAGGAGGCTTGCGACAAGCGCGGTCCATCACCACGGGGCGACTCGCCATCTGCAGAGCCAGGCAGCGACTGGTAAGCAGCTTCCTTGCCCTCCTCCCGGGCTTCGGCCAGTGCCCTCTTCCACGTCCTCCAAATGTCCTGCCCGTGCCAACATGCGGTATGTGTCAGGAGAGCAGCCAGGCCAGCGAATTGCACGCCATAGCTCAGCATGTACGTAACAGGCAGAAAGACGCGGCTGTAGTTCTGGTAGGCCTCGCGGTCAAAGACGAACTCGGGCGTCAGGATCCTTGTGACGTTGTATAGGCTGCCCGTATTGTCGAACACGGCAGTCGAGATGATGGGCATGTACGAGGTATAGCGCACATTCGTATAGTACATGATTGGGGCGACAATCCACATCACCACGGCAAGTCCTCCTATGACATTGACCGCGGCCCAAAAGGGCACCAACAATGGTGACCCGATGTATGTGATCTGCGCCCAGTCAAACGTCACGGGGAACAAGCCGAGGCCGGATGAGACGCCAAAGAGGTTCGCGAGAACCACGTTCTTGGGAGCGAACCAGGTCATGACGTTGAAGTAACTCAGTGCTGGCATCAGAAGACCGGGCAGGAAGTAGAAGGAGGAGGCCCCCGCCCACACTGCGTAGAAGAAATTCCATCTGCTAATTTTCCAACCGTTGGCAGGCTTGTTGTCTTGCTTGTGGAGGGTGCCGAACATGGCTGCCGACATGAGCGTGCCTGGCCATATCATGCCGCTGGGACGGACGAGGAAGCGTCGCGTCAGGCCCGCGAAACCGTACCCCAGGATCTGCGTCGATATCGTCAAGAGCAGCTGGTACAGAATAGGCGCCTCTTGGTTGTAGAACTTTGTCTGCTCGACAATGACATCGGTAGCAAATGCGAATCCGAAAGCAACATTACTGCTCACATAGACGCAAGTATGCTCCTTCTCATTCCACCGCCCCTGGCCCAGCCAGAGACGCCACGATGTTGGCCTTGGTCTTGGCCGCAGCGGGTCGTCCCGCTCCAAGACGGACGGCGTACGCTCTCCGTCTATGAATTCCTCCCGGATATCATGCGATCGTTTAAATACCATGTCCCACAGGTGGCCCAATGGGTGGACGAGCAAGAGCGCAATGACAGGCGTAATGGCAACGCTTGGGTATCGCAAGGAGAAGAACAGGTTGGTGGACGACCCGAGTATTGAGAAGAGCACAGACAAGCACCACATTCGCGGCGTATTGATCGATAGCGTCGTGTCGTCCGTTGGGGGCACCGAGGCCCGGACAGCTTCGTGGGGTGAGTTCTCGGCAGCGTCGTGTAGGGAGCCGGTGGACTCGTCGTCTTGGATAGTGTCCCCCTCGCCAAAGAGTGGCACGTCCGAGGCGTCGCTCTTCAAATCCTCCTCCATCATACCGCCGGCCATAGGAGCCTCGGCCATGCCGAAGCGGCCTTCGAGGCCTGACACGAGCATGGCGCCATCAAGCTCCTCCGATATGCGGGAAGACGTCTTGGAGAGTGCGGACCGTCTCGAACGGGCGCTTCTCGACGTGCCAGACACTTGACGCAACGGGTGCGTGTCGTCTTCTGTCTCGCTGTCGCTCACGGGCGAGCAGTTGCGACTGGGGGTCTGCGACACAGATCCATAGGGACCATCTATACGGCTGGTGCCATGCGAGTCGAGGAAGGGCGACCTCTGGTGAGAAGCCATGGCGTCGACGTCAACGGTTGGGGCAGAGGCGGAGGGTGCTATCGCCTCGTCGCCAGGAGTCGAGGACTGCTGACCATGTTGGGATGTCGGAGATGGGGCCGACCGAGGACCAGAAGCAGTCGGAGCGGCGGCGTCTGGAGAGGCTGATGAAGATTCGGCAGTGGAGTCAGGCGGCTGCGCAGGATTGTCGACGTGGTGCAAGGCCCGACGAGATGGAAGGGTTTGCAGAGGCACAGCGTCAGTAGACTGCGCGCTGTCCTGCAGATGCGCCTGCGTGGTGGTATGCGCGCGAGTGGATGCTGTTGAGTCGTCGTCTGCAAGGCGGGAGATGGACTGGTGGTGACTCTGCGACTGTCGCATGGCGGGGCGGCGCAAGTGTCGTCGCTGTGGAGCAGGCGGTTGGTCACTGTTGGATTGGCGGTCACGGACGGGACTGTGAAGTCAGAGAGTGTCTCGACGTGTCTCACACAAGTCCGCGTGGAAGGTGGGCGATCCTTCCAACCGCGCTCGTTAGGAGATCTGTTGATGCAATTATATGTACAGTGCCAGACGGCTGGTTGAGGCTGTTCACAGTGCCGAAACGTAGAAACATGGGTCGTTGGGCGATCCCAGTCTTCCATGCAGACGACGAAAACGGGCCGCTTCGGGATGCTTGTGCAGGTGGTGTGGGTGCCCGTCATGGGCACTGACAATACGACTCACAGCGCTACGATGAAGTAATGCCTTCCTTGCCTTGGACCTTGTGTTGATCTGATCAGATAAGATTGCACTGGGCAGTATTTTTGAGCACGTTGTGCCCGCGGCGTCAAGGAGTGCCCAAGCTCTGTTGCACTTTGACTTACCTAGAAGGTATCGATAGATCTAGATAGGCGCCAGGAAAGCAGGAATGGTTCTACGCAATAACTATGGATCTGATCCGCTCACTGAGACTCAGCTTGATGAATCACGAGATACAATAGATCATTTGCACCAAAATAAATTCCGCTTTACGGTGTACGAGACTTCTCTTAAGTCCACCTTCACTACTGGACCACACCCCTGCGACTCGGACTCAAGGGCCTGCCTATCAGGAGCACATGTGCGTGACGCCTCGTTGTTGATTATCTGATGGCGAGATGCGTGCTGCTGAGTTGAGAGATGGTCATGCCGTCGAGAAGAGCCGTGTGGTTCTGCCTGAACATATTACATGGTGGGCGACCAAAATATGTCCTTTCTGCATGGGTACCTGGTAATTATGAGGCACACTCGATCGAGGACATGGAGTCACTCACTCACGCCTGGAGTCATGAAAGTGGAGGTGCGAGGTGAGGCTGTTTTGTCCGACCCAACTAACCTGATATTTTCTGCCTACCCCGTACCCTTCTCAATGTCAACGCACCAGTCAATTCAACGACAAGGCAATGTGGACATGACCCAAAGTATATCGAATACTCCAGAGCCAGTCATGAACTCGTCACTCACGGCAGCAAAGAAGCTGCTTCGAGCTGCTATGAAGCAGAGGTTGTCTTCGCTATCGATGGACACGGTTCGGACGCAAAGTCAGTCATGACTGGATCTTCTTCACATGGAACGTGTCTGACGTGCCAAAGGTGCAAACGTGTTCAACACATTGCAAGGCCTCAAGCCCTACCAGGAAGCCCAAAGCATCAGCGTCTACCTGTCCATGCCCGCTGCGGAGATTCAGACTGACGCTATCGTTCGTCACGCGCTGAGCCAGGGGAAGCAGGTCTTCATCCCATACCTGCACAAATCACCGCTGCAGATCCCGGACACACCCTCCCGGGTCATGGACATGGTGCTGCTCGAGAGCATACAGGATTATGAAAGTCTACAGCCAGACAAATGGGGGATTCCAAGTGTCGACCCAGCCACAGTCCACAACAGGCAGCGGATCCTGGGCCAACCCGAGGCTCACAGCGACAAGGTCTCGACACTGGATCTGATGCTGCTCCCTGGTGTGGCATTCGATTACGACGCGTCAGGCGGCGTACGTCGGCTGGGCCACGGGAAGGGCTTCTACGATTTCTTCCTGAACCGCTACCTAGCGCAGCATGGTTTACACCCGGACGATGACTCTTCATTGCAGCTCTGGGGCCTGTCCCTATCAGAGCAGCTGTTGGCTCCAGGTTCTGGCGAGGAAGTCCCGGTTGGGCCACAGGATAGACGACTGCACGGTCTGCTCCTCGGTGACGGGCGGATCGGAGAGACTCGTTCACAAGTATAAATTTAAGGAAATGAAACAATTAACCACCTTGAAGTCAAGTTGTACCAGATTAAGGTACCTTAGCTGAGATGATGCGCGGCCCGGATCAACCAGCCGCCGGTTGCCATGCGCCTTCATTTGCCCCGCCAGATTGCCTGCTCCACATGTCATCACTGCAGCGTTCAAGGTGCAAACAACTGCTGGTCGGAGCCTGACTTTGAAGTTAAGAGTTAGAGTGGCAGCTGCGTGTTTCCTTTGGCATTATCCCTCTTCATTCATCCCTACTTGGGTCCGATCCCTCACTTGCCCTACACGCGCAATCTTCGAGACCCTGACTTGTCGTGGCCTTTGTCGCGCTCTTGTCAAGAACATTTCTACTCTGGCATTCTCTCCCCGCGCATCCAGCGAAGCTTAGATCGGCTCGACCCTCCAAAGCCAACCCGACCGCGTTGCGGTGTACAGTGTCCTCAAGTCACACACCTTGTCTTGTCAGCTTTTCTCTTTTTGCTCGTCACGATACGAAATGGCCACAAACGGCAGCGAGCCGACCTTCGCGGCAGCCGATGTGCTCGCGGCGGTCGCGACAATGCGGGGTGGGCAGCAGGAGCACAAGAAGAAGGCGCACGAGTACCTCGAAAAGTTTCAGAAATCGGTAGGAACGGCTCTGTCTCTGCGTCGTGGTTAATATTGGGTCGACTGACGTGAGGCATATAGAAAGGTTCATGGGCTACTGTCGTCGGTCTTCTGCAAGAACAGGCTGATCCCGAGGCTGTCTTGTTCGCGGCTATCACACTTCGAGGAAAGGTAGGCAGTCCGACCCGCGTGCGGTCCAGCAGACTGACGTCTCCAGATTACCTACGACCTCCAAACACAGGTCCCGGCCGGCGAGCTCGCCGCCCTCCGAAACCAGATCCTTCTACTGCTCCAGCGGTATGCGAACGGACCCAAGCCTATCCGAGTACAGCTATGCGTTTGCCTGGCCATCCTGGCCATACAAATGAAGGGCTGGAACGATGTCCTCTCTTCGGTCGTCGAGGCCCTCAGCGGCGGCGAGGGCAGCCACGCCGCCATCCTCGACTTTCTGCGTGTGCTACCCGAAGAGGTCACCGAAGGTCGCAAAATCACCTTGTCTGTATGTGGAACACGGAATCGTCAGCCGAGGCACCATCCGAATCGACCTGGTCTCGGGCAATCGGTGTCAGCAGGAGCATAGTCTAATGCGGGAACTAGGAAGACGACCTTGCAGCCAGGACACAATCTCTGTTGGCGGACAACGCCGAACAAGTTGTCTCACTCCTCATCAACTACTCTCAGTCATCGCGTAAGTTCGCGCCCGCCTTGATGAACAAGTAGAACTGACCTTTCCAGCGGCCGCTGCGCAGAACCCCCAACTCATGGAGTGCCTGACCTCGTGGTTGCGTGAAGTACCGGTCGCGAACATTGTCAACTCGCCGCTCCTCGACGTGATCTTCAACGGGCTGACATCCGACTCTTGCGCGCAAGAAGCTGCCGAATGCCTCACCACAGTGCTGCGGGAGACGGGCGACGTGGACGAGAGCCGGGATGTCATCCAGGTGCTCTTCCCTCGAATTATCGCACTACAGTCACAGATCGACAAGGTTGTCGAAGAAGAGGACACGGAGCGACTCAAGTCGTTGACCAAGGTGTTCGCCACGGCAGCGGAGTGCTGGGTGGTCGCGATCGCGCGTCAGCCGGAGCAGTTCAAACCGCTGGTGGGTGCTGTCCTCGAATGTGCCGCCAAGGACAAGGAGAAGGACGTAATTGAGTACACCTTCAACTTCTGGTACGATATGAAGCAGTACCTAGTACTGGAACGGTACGTGGAGAGTAGGGTCGCCATGGTCGACGTCTATTCGCAACTGGTCGACGTCCTCCTCAGCCAGCTACAATACCCCGAACCCGAGGACGGCAACGAGGCCGACCTGTTCGACGGCGATCGCGAGCAGGAGGAAAAGTTCAGGGAATTCCGACACCACATGGGAGATACCCTGAAGGATGCGTGTGAGGTGCTCGGCGTCACTGAATGCCTGAACAAGGTGCTGAACTCCATTCAATCCTGGATGGGCAAGTATGCCAGCCAGGCGTCAGGGGCCTCCGTACCGCATTGGCAGGAGCTCGAGGCACCGCTGTTCGGTGTGCGTGCCCTCGGCAAGATGGTCGACCAGGAGGAGAATATCGTGCTTCCCCAGCTCATGCCGCTGCTCGTCCAGATCCCTCCCCATGAGAAGTTGCGTTTCGCCACCATCATGGTGCTCGGACGCTACACCGAATGGACGGCCGCTCACCCTGAATTCCTCGAGGACCAATTCAAGTACATTACGTCTGCATTTGAATCCGACTCCAAGGAAATCACGCGCGCGGCCGCCTTGTCGATGAAATTCTTCTGCCAGGACTGCAAGCACCTGTTGAGCGGCCAGGTCCTCCAGCTGCAGACGTTCTACGACTCGGTCCTGGACAAGCTCCCCGACGTCAGCAAGGAGGAGATCACCGATGGCGTGGCCAGCGTCGTGGCGGTGCAGGCTTCTGGAGATATATACAGTCTGCTCAAGACGTACTGCGATCCCCTGATGCAGCGTCTAATGAACAAGGCGAACATTGCTACTGACGAGGAGAATAAGCTCGCGTTGGCTGGTAAGTTGGCACCCTTTGATCCATGCGGGTTGTACTGACTGGACTCGATAGATCACCTGCAACTCTTGACCCTGTTCATCCAGAACGTCGTACCGTCGACCAACCCAGGAGAGGAGAATCCCGCAGTCAAGTACTGGGCGGAGAACTTCAACGTGCTCGCCACTGTCTTGGAGAACTTTATTCACTTCTCGCCCATCTGCGAGAGGATTTGCCGCTGCTGGAGGAACATGGTCATCTCGTACCGGACATCGATGGCCAGCCTGCTCCCCAGCATGGCCAACAAGCTCGCGCAAGGATTCAGTGCTTCTAGAGAGGGCTGTTTCTTGTGGGTCACTTCGGCCATCCTTCGTGAGTTCTCAGAGGACCGCGAGCAAGTTGAGCCGAGCACGACCAACGACATTTACCGATTCTTCGAGGCCCAGACTACGGTCTTTCTGGAAGCGCTGTCTGCACTGCAACCTCGCGAGCTGCCAGATGTCATTGACGACTTCTTCCGCCTAATGATCGACGCCCTCCTCTATTACCCTCAGCGTCTGGTGCCCTCCCCCTTGATGGGGCCCGTCTTCGAGGCCGCCATCTATGCGCTGACTTTGGAGCAACGCGACCCCCTCTCCTCGACACTGCACTTCCTGAGAGACCTGCTCTCCTACGGTGGTGACAACCCTGCCAGTAGCCACAGGATACCGGAGCCGGATAGGCTGCAGCTCCAACAGCTTGTGAAGCAGCTTCTCGCGCAAAATGGATACGGTCTCGTGAAGCAGATCATGGCGGGCATGATGATCACCTTTCCCGAAGACTGTTTCGCGGATGGCAGTGGGGTACTACTCGCTCTGTTCGAGCTTCTGCCCCAACAGACTACGGAATGGGTCTCCCAGACGATCCACCTTCTGCCCGAGGGCACCGTCTCACCAGCCGAAGCTGATCGCCTGCTGGTGAAGATCAAGGAGAAGCTGCAGCGTCCCGAGGAAGGGGGTATCCGGGGCGTGCGCGTGCTGCTGCAGGACTTTACCAACACCTACAGGCGGCGCAACGTGGCGCCGAGGGACGGCCTGGGTCAGCTCGAGGCCTCGCGGTTCCAGTTCTCCGGGTGAGGGAAGAGGGGTTGAGTTTCAGAGGCGTAAATAAAATGTTACATACTATGGAAATTTGTTGCTGGGAGGTTCTAGGCATTTTCAAGCGGGTTGGTCGTTTTTTGGGGTCTTGAGGGCATGTGTCGTAGGTGGTATGGTATACCTGGGAAATCAATGAGGTTGCATAGGTAGACAATTGCATCCGGTGAAGCTTATCGGCTGCTCTCAACGTTGCCTCACGTGCCCGTGAGCACTGATGGATTCGTTCCATTGGCAACAGTCATCCCGTATTTGTTCCAGTGCCAGTAATCCTGTCCAGTCGCGCTTCGCGCCAGCCTCTCTGTATTTCCTCAGCAGATCTCCCCTTTGCATGCTTCAAATATCGCTAACATGGATGAAATTATCTGGTCAGATCCTCCACTTTGCCCCGTCAAGTTCAAGCCGTTGACCGCAATCAGGTCGGCGAGTAGCGATCTGATGAATACTCAGATGGCGGCACCAACCGTCAAGTGCTTGACGATTTCCCATGGCGAGGTATTGGCGGCTGCATGGCGAGTTGATATAGCTGCATGCATAATACTTACACTCACAGGGCAATGCTTCTCTTCTGCAAGGGATCACATTCTCGGAAAGTGCGTGCGAGGAAAGTATTACAAACGGGGACGAAATCGCCATCATGGACCTCACCCAGTGCCAGCTCGAATCACAGAGGTACTTCGGCGCAGTGTTCAACACCTCCACCGCCATCGAATCGCCGTCAACCAACTCGTCCACAACGGTGGTGTCCAGGTCCAGCCCAGCCAAAGAGACAGCCTGGTTACGCGATACAATCGAGGCACAGAACATCCGAATCCACCAGCTGCAGAAGCAGATTCACAAGCTCCAAGAGGAGATCGAATCCTTTGCCTACCTGAAGCAGGCCACCGCCGGGCTATATGAAGAACAGTACAAGCAGCGGCGGCAAGAACGCGATAGGCTGCGCGAGGCGATTGACTTCTTCGATGCAGAGAAAGCCAAGATTGACGAGGGGAAAGAGAATGAGGAGGTGACGGATATTGATAACGAGCGGAAGAGATACGCTCTCCGGATCGCTCAGGGTACTGCAGGTGCTACGGAACAAGATATGTACAAGATGTATAGGAAGATCTGGCATGCCAAGCTAAAGTGTATGACTATGAGCAGAGAGGCATGACGGACGCTATGATACTGGGCAAGCGAGGGAGGAACGAATTGGTCTGGTTTCACAGTCTGTCCCGTCAAAGTACGTATGTTAAAACGGCCACCACCCGGGGGGGGTTTAATGTCATGGCGGTACAAGAAATTTGATCAAGTAAAAGTCGACTGCAGGGCTCCTCCGAGCGAGCAATGTTCAAAGTTCTCCCTTCTCATTGAACGCTGCCGGTGACAATCACTGCGAGAGTGGCGGCGTTTGTGGACTATTGACGCATTGAGAATCCAACTTGACGGCATGTCAGTACAAAGTGTTTGCTGGACCAGGAGAACAAAAAGATTCATTAGGAGAAACTCCTGAAAAATGTAAGAAACCAAAAGGTTTGGACGAACAGGGAATTGAACCCTGGACCTCTTCCATGCTAAGGAAGAATCATACCACTAGACCATTCGCCCGACTATTACCAGAAGCTCGCTGGTTAATTGATTGAGCTGTGACAATTACCAGATATGAATACTATTTCCATCAGACGACCTCGGCAATGATCTGATAGGAATATGACACGGATGCTGCCAGAAGCAGGCGCTATGTCGTCTAGAAAGTGCTTGATGGAGTATCGAGAAAAGATAGGCTTAGGCCACACGCTTCTTAACGACGGAGCCTGCGAGCTCGACTCCTTCATCTTCACCATCCTCACAGCTTCCCATGCTCCTAGCTAAGATCTAATCTTAATGTCAATGACTTGGTATATTGAAATGCAGTAAACTATATCGAGCCTTGGTAGTACGACCTAGGTAGGTCAGTTTCGAAAGGCCAGGGTCGTGCTCGCAATGGCCTGCTTCCTCGCGGCCTTGAGCTGACGCAGCAACTCCTCAGCGGCATCATGTCGCTTGGTAAAAGTGGAGGCACCGGCGTATGGGAGAGGCATTCGATACCCTCTGCCTGGATTCTGATGGCAATGTTAACTTTTGTTCCACATAACCTGATAGTCTTTGTCGAGCTTCTCGTTGTACCCGAACCGGAAAGCCTGTAGCCAAGTCTCTTCCTTGACCATCTCCATCCATCTTTGCCCCTGGCCCGTCGAGCAAGCTGGCTCATCGCACCAGAGCAGATGCCTGTTGTTCCTCGCTATATACCAGGGCCAAAACGCCATCCAGAATCCCAAGCCACCTGGGGCTGACAGGCCGTACCACCTGCCAGCCGTAGCGGTAGCTTAGAAACAGCCTCCCTGAGATTAATCGCCAAGCATATTCCCCAGCGCATTCTTCACACTATAGAATTTGTCGGCCTTGGCTCGCGCTTGTCTGACCGGCCAGGTAGCAAGCATCATCATCGCCAGGTTTTTTCGCTGTTCCCCGGCTTTTCAAAGCAAAGGCAGATACTGGATGTAAAGTTTTGGAGCTGACCCCCGTCCACCACATGTTGGCAGCATGTCAGACCACATAGTGCCCCGTTGCGATGAGTTCCGCGGCAAAGCGTAGAACGTCGGGGAGAGGCGGTGGGTTTTCAGCGTCCATGTCGAAAAGGAGAAGATCCCATTCAAATCGGAGATCCGCGTGCTTCGCTAATTTCATCACTTCCAAGCGTGGAAACGCGCACGCGACTTCCTTCAACTTCGGGTCTGTCTTCCGGTAAGTTACGGCGTGATCGGGGTCTTGACAGTATGTGCTCTTTTTGGGTCTGTCCCCGGTTGATAGCCTGCCCCTGGTTGATACGTGTATGACTTGCTCCACGGTATCCCAAGTGACAGGCGCATGCGAGCTGTGGGAGCAAAGTGTGCATAGCCCTAGCCTTCCGATACATACAAGGCTATCACCCGTTTTGTCGAGATAGTTTCGAAGGCTTTGGGCCGGAAAAAAGATACCTGCGTGGTTTTCTTCGCAGGCGTCGCAAAAGTAAAGTCGGCGTAGATTAATAAGACGGGGGTCGTGCTCGCCGCGCTGGCGGACCTCGGCGAATGAGGCACAGCGATTCCCTTGCTTTGCCCGCAAGTGCTTCCTTACAACCTGTCTCTGGTCCGCCGTCGGGGACTCCCACGAAAAGGGCACGTGGCGGTCTTTCAAGGTCGGGTCTTCATGAGAGGCATAGAAACCTTCTGAATCGAAGATCCTAAAGAACACTGACGATGTTTTCCTGACGGCCCACACAGAGTCTGTTGACAGTTGCTTCATTATCAGGAGCAGAATTTGTCGGGTAGTTGAGCCCAGGACGGGTATTGGCATTGTATGATCTCCAGAGACTGCATGCGGCCATGCACCAAGCCCAGTCTCTCCAAGCACCGCCTGAGACATGTATTGCCGGAACACCCAAGGAGAGGTATATTACGCCTCTTCCTTTAAGGTATATTGAGTTCAGTTTTATTCTGGATCTCTGATGTGAGACAATCGAATGAAGGACAACCGAAGCTGTCGAATTCCATCTTGGAGTGAACTTGGATCAAGGATAAGTGCAACTATTGGGTAAAGGGGAAGGAATAGAAGGATGTGAGGTGAATGAAAACTTGATTTGTATTGGTCCATTGTATAGGACCGTGCCTCTTCCATTTGTGCGCGGACTTCTAAAACCTCAGTACTTCAGGGCAGAACGTGACTTTTGACTTCCAGCCCGTGCCGGTGCTACCAGTGCCTGCCACCCTGTCCTGAAATCGTGGCCCTCTTAGCATTCACCTCCGCAATCTCCTCCCGTAGCTTCTGAATTGGGGCAAGTCTTTGCGCGGCGAGGGCCATGCTTTCAGCCAAGCGCTCGTTCAGCCCCATCACCTCCTCGGCTCTGGTAGCGGCAAGCTCTGTCATCGAGTTGATCTGGGCCTGGATTTCCCTATTCTCATTCTAGGCTTGCTCAAGCTGCAGTATGGCTGTGTCCCTGATCCGGGCGCGGGCGGCGTCGCTGTTGGCCTTTTGAGCAGCGCTCCTTGCCCGAAGGGTTTCTGTTCTCGGTCGATAAAGGTCGCGGGAAAGGCAGACAATATCACATACCTCTCTGGCTCATCCGCAGCGTTCCTTAGGCTCTTTGGTCGGCGGCAGCCTGTCGAGGAGTCTTTTGCTCATCCAACTTCCCCTCGACATATTCGGAGATGAATAACAGCGCAATGGCGCTGCATACTATGACGATGCCAATGCACAACATGGTTTCCGCGGACACCATTCTGATGAGGTCAGATACAGTCGAGGTCGCAGGCGAATACTGTACGTAGACAGGGAGGGAATACGCACTTGAGGTATCGGCGCAATATGTGCTTGGTGTGGTGGTGGTGCCAGGCGTTGACGGCAGGAGAAAATAAACAAGAGAAAGAGAAAAAAAAAAGGAAAAGAGAGGAGAAGGGCAGTAATACAAATTCTTGTGCTCTAGCAGCATGCAGGTGGACTTGGGATGAAGTCATGCTCGGCACCGCTTGACTTATATCACATGAAATGATCGTGACGGAGTAATGAAAATATGGTGACTAGACCCGATAAATTGAGAATAAAGCCTCTAGTAGCAGTCATGAAAGTCAAAGACAGCATGGTGTAAGATAGAAATTCATCCGCAAAGCCCTCCGAATCCCCCCCCCTCCCCCCCTGGACCCCTGACTCGAGAGCCAATATTCACTCTCACTCTAGCACCAACGATTCTGGTAGGACGTGCGTTTACGGTACATGTTAATCACGCAGCAATGTGTAGTGAAATTTTAGGGCATCGTATTGAGCTAGTCATCCAAATTACTTGCTACCACGGCATACCAAAGACAACGGACCCTGAAGCGATTCGCAACGTCAGCTTGCCACCTCGTTCCCCAGCAACCTCCCAATCTCCTCCGCAATGGCCAGCGTCTTCTCCTCAGTCAGGCGTCTACCGATGATCTGGACTGCAACAGGGGCACCGTGGTACGCTTCCGGATCGTCTGATGGTCTCGTCAGTATAGGAATCCAGCCTGCAGCGTTCAATGTTCTGTAGCACTCACACTCCGCCTGGACAGCCTCGTCCATCTTTGTCAAGGGACTGAAAGTGTCATTCACCTTGTCCAAACCCTTGTCCGCAAAGGTGACGGGCACCGTGACGCTGGTAAAGTCGAGCACGTTGATCGCGGTGGCGTATCCGTAGTACTTGAATTGGTTGTGGCGGACAGCGGCCGTCGGCGTGATGGGCGCGATGATCGCGTCGAGTTCCCGACCATGCTTCTTCTCAAAGGCCTCCATGGCCTTCAGATACGCCATCTGGTAGTGCCACTTCTTCAGCTGCGCGTCCCAGACCTCGTTGAGGTCGAGCTTGGGGAGCGACGGGTTGATAAGGTCCTGGAAATTGGGGATGGCTGGCTCGCCCGACTCTTTGAGAACGCCATAGACGTCCTACACATTCTGTTAGTAGGAATAGTCCCCCGTCGTAGGGTCTCATGGAAGACGTACCGCGCCGCCATCAGAGGCGTAGACCTTGTTTGCGAGATCGACGGCATATGGATGCTCGTAAGGCTCCCAGGGCAGAACATTGTGGCCAGCCCCTTGCAGCGCATTGACAACAGTCTTGACGCCACGCACAATGGGTGGGTGAGGAAGAACATTCCCGTCGCACTCGTAGTATCCCAACGTCAGCTGTCCAGAGGCAATCTTGGCCTTGGCCGCTTCTTCCTCGCTCTGGCGCCAGGGCATGGGAATCACCTTGGGATCATACGCCCACGGCTGCTGCGAGAGGACCGACCCGACAAACAGTCGCAAGTCTGCCACCGTGTGCCCAAGGGGGCCGACGACACTGTGGATCGTCTCCTGGCCCTCCATACTGTTGGCCATCTTGGCGTATGGCAGCCTCCCGTGGCTGGGCCGCAGACCGTACAGGAAGTTGAAGGCCGCAGGCACACGGATGGAACCGCCAATGTCCGTGCCGATACCAAGGACGGCACCGCGAAAGCCCACAATGGCCCCCTCGCCCCCCGAGCTGCCACCGCACGACCAGTCCTTGTTGCGCGGGTTCACGGTCCGCCCATTGACGTTGTTGATGGTCTCGCAGACCATCAGGCTCTGCGGCACGCTCGTCTTGGTGTAGAAGACGGCACCGGCGCGCTCGAGCAAGTCGACCATGACGGACGAGTCCTGGTCCACCTTGTTGATCCACGCGGTGTACCCCATGTGTGTCTGCCGGCCCTTGACGCGCAGCTGGTCCTTGAGCGAGATGGGCAGACCATGCAGTGGGCCGACGGGCTTTCCATGTTCAGCGAGGTACTGATCGAGCTCCTTGGCACGAGCGAGCGCGGCGTCTGGGAAGAAGTCGTGCAGGCAATTCACCGCTTGGTGCGCCAGGGCCGCCCGCTTACAGAAAGCAGTCGTCACCGCGACACTGGTGAGCTGGCCCGCGCCCAGCTGCTTTACCAGCTCCGTGGCGGACGCGTTGGTGATGCGGAGCTCCGCCTCCGTGAGTACGTTGGTGTCTTGGGGAAGAGAGAGGGTCGACTTGACGTCCTGGGGGATGGTGACTCTCCATTCTTGGGGAATGGAGGCCTCGAGACGAGCCTTTTCGGCGCCAGCAGTGTCTTCCCAGATCATTTTCGCGTGAATACTTGAAGGCAAGATGAGATTATTGAGAAGCAAACAATCGTGACATCAGGACATGGAATCTTGGTCGTCATTAAGCACCTGGAGGTACGGCTTCGACAACGCCTCCAACACACCTCGCAAGCCACCCGCACTCCATCCGCATGTAATTACTCCAAAACATGGAGAGATAAGGGCGGCAAAATAGTTAGTCATTAGCTCGTCCAAGGTTCCTGGAGTCAACGTGGCGCTGCCCCCCGCAGCTCGACCTCACTTATCGTCGTGCATGACGTCCAGTCCGCCGCCGGGTCGGGTTGGCGGAAAAGGGGTGGGGGCATCGACTCCATCAAAGACCGATGGGCCCTGGGCCCTGCGGCAACTATCCTCAACAGCCTCGGGTCAATACTTGCTTGGTCAAGATACCAAGAGGAGGAGAGCTTGGGCGGTCCAACGCTCACTCAACAAGGGGCTAAAGGTTGCCTGAAGCTCAACGTCATGTATTGATTACAAAGTCTTAATATCTACGCACGAAAAAAGTCGGGAACCACTTGCTCGGCAAGCCTCCCCATTCATTCCCCCCTTGACAGATCATACCGCCTGCTCACGCTGCTTTTTCACAATGTAATACGTGATCAAGCTCTTGGGATCGTCCTTGACACCCTCCATCACTGCCCAAAACGTCGCCTCTCCCACATTGGAGTGCAGCGCAACGCACAGCTGCACGGCATCCATCCTGACGCCCGAGTCGGAGCTCTCGAGGCAGCGCCCGGCCAGCGAGCCAAGACTGGACATCTCGCTGTCTCCAAGGATGCTCTCCGCCTGAGGCTGCTTCTCCAGGAGTGTCTTCAAAATGTGCAAGCCCATGCTGAGTGCCCGGCAATCCTCAACCGACGAGTCAGAACATTTGTTGAGACGGCCTGCCAGTACACAGATGATCTCTGCCGGGTCGCCTAGCGAGACCAGCGTGTCGGACAATAGCTCCAGGCCACTGACAATGTGAGACCGGTTGTCGTAGGCGCTCCTGGTCTTCAACAAAGACTCGAGACATTTGGACACGTGCGGCTTGAAGTTCTCTCGATCCTTCTTCAGCAGGAGCTTGATTGTGGTCAAGATCTGTGCCTTGACGTCCTGCACCTTATCCGCTGCAACGGAAGACAGGGGGTCCTCGAGATACTCAAAGAGACCCAGCAAGAGCACCTCAGACTTCTCGTCGTTCAGGACCGTCTTGTTATCGCGGACAAGAGACTGCAGCTTGCGAAAGCCATGCACCTCGAGAGACTTGGCTCGGATCTTAGCAATGCCACTGTCCAGCAGGCGAGAGTTCTGACGGGCCTTCTCGGGCGAGTCGTTGGTGCCATCCAGGATGTTGGCAGAAGGCTGTAGAGCAGCGCCCTCGTTCACAGGCCTATCCTCCAGCACAGGCGTGACGATGGTGGGTTTGGATGTCGGCTGCTCTTCGACGAAAGGATCTTCATACACCTTGAGAGATTCATGCTCAGCTGGCGCTGGGTGGATGGGAAGGGTGAATTCGGGCGCAGCCACGGCCGGTGTCGGCGACCGAGTAGGCTCACGGTCGTCCTCCGGGGTAACAACCGCAGGGAGAGACTCCTCGACTTTAAATTCAGCTTCGACTTCGACTTCGGCTTCGGCTTCTGGCTCAACAGGGGGTGCCTCGCCAGGAGATTGCAATTGCTCTGGCTGAGGATCTGAAATTTCCTCCAACGCCGCTGCGGGCTCGGGGGCTGGTGGCTCAACCGTGCTCACCCGGGCTGGGATCGTTTCGGGTACCTCGTTCTCCCCTTGCACGGAACTAGACACTGCTGGCGCGGCTGTTGCAGCAGGTTGCGTACTCTTAATCTTCGCAGGGCTGCCACGCGTAGAGAGCGCCGATTTGGGCCTAGCACTCGGCGATCTCACGTGCGACTCGCTCGCGTGCGAGGCATGGCCGGGCCTTGGTCGCTGAGCCGTCCTTCTAGGAGGCGTGTCCTTGCGTTGCGGTCGTGACGGCGGCGCCTTGCTCCTGGTGGCGCCCGGGCTGTCGGCTTCCATCGCAGTGGGGTGCTCGCGAACAGAATAAGGGCCTGCAGTAGCCGGACGAGCAGCCATCTCTGGTCGCCTGCGTGCCGGACGCATAGGAGCCACCGACATGCCGCTAGCATTGACCGAGATGGTGCCTGCCTCTGGGCGCGCCCTAGTACCCGTAGGTTTCGCAGCATTGGTCGGCTTTGGGTCTGACACTTTGCGTACGGGCGAGATGTGCGCCATCGCAGACCCGGGCCTGGCTGGCAGCTTCTTGGTCTCGAGAGCAGCCCTCTTCTGGGCAAGCATGTGCTCTCGGACGCTGGGCTTGGTCACGGTACTCTTGGAGAGGCCAAGACCAGGGCGAGGTGCGACGGGCGCTTCGGCCTTGGTGGGCGCATTGGGGTTGCTGGGATCCTTGTTCAATAGTTTCTGAGCTGTAGCATCCAGGTCCTCTTTCAATGCATCGGCCCGAGCGGGAAAGATCCCCCAGAAAGTCCAGAAAGTCGATCGCATGCGCTCCCTCACAGCAGGGTTGGCATCAGCCAGTCCCCTCTTGATGCTCTTCTCAATCAAGTCCAGACCCCCGGAATGCTCGAGGTGGCCCTTGTGGCCTGCCTCCTTCTTCAGGATGATCTTGAGCCAGCCTGTAGCATAGGTCCTTGGCTGCACGTTCTTGTCTTGTGCGGCGCCGTGAATATGCTGCATCAGACGATGGCTGTAGGTGACTCGGTTCAGTACCGTCTCAATGGTCGTGTTCGCCAGTTGGGAGCTGAGCTTCTTGGTACCCGCGGATAGTCTGACGAGTGTTTGCATGAGCAGCTCCACCAGAGGGTCGATGCCAGGCCCAAAGGTGATTGCAACATCCTGTACCAGGGCGCAGGCCTCCTTTGACAGACTTGTTCGCAGTGAGGTCATTGACTTGATGATTCCATCCAACACAGACTTTAAGCCCGTCAGGAAGGTCTCTGGGAAATCAGACGGCGCGTTACCCGCGTTGAGCTTTCGCAGGGTTCCCATGCTGGCCTCGCGCTGCACCCAATTCTGCTCAGACTCTCTGCCCTCAAAGCACCACGCCATCCCCTTAAAGATGTCGTCGAGTTCGCGGTGGGTGTTCACGTACTGGGGCTCAATGTTCTCCGACGCGCGCACTTCCAGTGCCGGGGTGATGGGCCGGTCGACCGACGTCGAGGTTGTGCTGGCGCTCAGTGCCTGTCTCTTAGGGGCAGGGGCAGGGGCAGCAGCTTCTGCCGGCGTCTCGGGTCGAGCAGAGGTGGAAACAGAGGCAGAGTTTGGCGCGATAGCCTTGACGATGGATTGCTCGATCGCGGGCCGCACCTTGAAGTTTTTGAGTTGGCGCTTGAGGTCCGACTTTGCCGCGCCTGGCGCGTTGCGGAACAATTCGATGACTGTGCTCTTTGCCGCGTCGCGCACCATGCCGTCGGCGTCTTCGAGCAGCTCCATCAGGAGAGGGACATAGCTCCTGAACTGGAGGCCTTGCTCTTGGTGCATCTGCAAGAGCCATGCCATGGCGGCCTCCTTGGCGCGCGGGTTCTTGCCCGTCATCGCATTGTTCCGAATCACCCTCTCGACCTCGATTGGCGCGACCGTGTAGTATGTGCACAGGGCGCCATGCGCTGTTGTCCGCAGTTTGTCTTTCTGGTCGCCCAGCTTCTCAGCAATGAGGGGTAGCGTGCGGGCAGCTTCTTTGGCGAGGTATTTCGGCTCCTGTCGCGTCAATCGCGTAATGAGGTGGTTCAGCGAGGTGAAGCCGACGTTGACGATGGACGTGTGTTGCGACGAGGACGCGGCCCGCAGGCCATCAAAGAGCTGCGCTACCGATGTTTCGGGGACATTGTGCTGCTTGATGCCGGACTTGATCAGGTTGAGGTAGTTGACCTTTGCGTCTAGGCTTTGATCGGAGCGGAGGATCGTCGTCAGGTCTATGACCTGATGGTCGGTGAGCTTTCCGTCAGCCATGGGCAACTGTCGCGCGAGGGGTTAGTCGTGATAGTCCAGGTGGTCATCGTGCTTCCGCGGGCGGCAAGATGCGCCGATAGGGGCACTTGGGGGTACGCACAGAAAATCAGCCCCAAGCCAGGGAAGGGCAGGACTGGAATGCAACGATGACTCTTATGAATAGAGGCAGAATAGGCGATGTGTCTCTCTGGGTGTGACGTGCATTGAGGAGCGTGCGCGCGGCAGAGTGGGGGGACTAGCAAGATGTCGTTGGTGAACGAATGGATGATAGCTAACTGGTGTTGATAGTCGATGAGGTTCCGTTGTTGACGTTGGCGCCGCTTTTTAGACTCGCAGGCACCCACGCACGTTGCCAGGGGTTTCCGTGGGCCACCTGAGTTGTGCACCGCCCAACACAGCGGGGCTGCAGGGTAGGTAGGCGCACCACCCCGCGCGCACCGCCTCTCAAACGTCAACAACGACATGAACGCGGACCATAGGTAATAGTACGTATCAATTGTTCAAATGAACTGAACCATACACTAGCTTGACATGCGTAGTTGCTGCCAGCCGAAGCTTTTTCTCGCTCAAGAAGCAGCTGGGATCGTGGCGTCTTAGCTCTTTAAATCCCAACCTTAGAACGGCGCTGAGCCGCCGCCGCGCGACAGGTCACTTCCTCCAGCTACAACTCACAAATGCCTACCATACAACCCCAGACAACACCAGCGCCCCAGTCTCCCCTCGTCGCCATGTCTCCCGCCGTCGCTCCTCCAAGCGAGGAGCAGTCCCACTTCAAGCTCCCCAAACTACGGCTTGAAGTGCGTGACCTCTCACACAAGGGGTCCTCCATCTTCCTGTCCACAACGAACGCAGTGGACGTCCTACAGAAGGCATGCCAGTCCGTGCTCAAGCTGCTCTACCTGTCCCCTCACGACTCGACGACGAGCGCTCCCCCCACACGCTCCGTGACGTTGATATTGAGGGACATGCCAGGCGTAGCATACACGACCGGCACGGAGCTGGACAATGACCACAAGGAGATCCACCTCTCCCTGCGCTACATAACGTCTATCAGCCCCGAGACCCGTCAGGCCAAGGAGATTGAGGGCGTCATCACGCACGAGCTGGTACACTGCTTCCAGCACAATGGCCACGGTACGTGCCCGGGGGGGCTGATAGAAGGGGTCGCCGACTGGGTCCGTCTACGGTGCGATCTCAGCCCGCCTCACTGGAAGAGGGACGGCAGTGGAAAATGGGACGCAGGGTACCAGCACACCGGCTACTTTCTCGAGTACCTCGAGCAGCGATTTGGCCAAGGCACTGTGCGTCGACTTAATGAGAAGCTGCGCCTGATACGGTACGAGGAAAAGGCTTTCTGGACCGAGCTTGTAGGGCGGCCGGTCGTGGATCTCTGGGAGGATTACGTCAGGTCGTTGGAAAATGGTAAGCATTCTGAGACCAGCCCACAGTGACAATGTGTTGTTTGCATCTGTCATCAATCAAGCACCTATGATGAAGCACCTGTTACATCGAGAGTAGATTTACCATGTGACGATATGTACGCTACCAATAAAACCCCTCCTCTGCCAACGGGGAACACATCAAAACTCCAGAGCAATGAAGGAGAAAGTGATCATATAAAACAGAGTTTAAGACTCATATGCATCCAGGTCATAAGATGAAGAAGAAGAGCAAACATGCGATGGGGCCATGCAGAAGCCCGGTATCATAAGCTAAGAGAGAAATGAGCAGGTAAATAAATCTCAAGCCTCTGTAAAAATAGTGCGGCTGTTCTCGAGGACAAACTGCACTGCCAGGTTCTTGGCGTGCATGTCCGTCATCTCACGCTCGATGCTGCGGTCGAACATGATGGTAGGGGCGAAAACGACGGCCAAATTCTTGGGCGTCATGAGATTCTCGTTTTGCCGCTGGGCGACGCGATCGAGGTGGAACATGAGGAACTCCAGACAGTCCCTGTGGCTCTGCGGTAGCGACGCAAACGTCTTGCGCAGATGGTCGCATCGCTCCGACTCGTCAACGATGCCTGTCATCCGTTAGTATGATCACAAATAAACAGACCCTCTTGGCGCGGTGCACTTACTCGTCGACTCCAGAACCCGGTCATACACATCATACGTCAGCAAGGGCACCGGGAGCTTGCGGAAGTACTGCTTCAAGACACTCGTGACGGCTGTGATGTCCAAGTCGGGGTCGGAAATGTCAAAGCTCTCGTCCTTGTCGAAGCCGTCCTTGATCATGTTGACCTGCGAGTTGCCGCCTGTCTTGCGGTAGATGCCTTCCTGATCCATACCCCTGAGCTCGACCTCTTCGATACAGCGGGTCACGACGCTGGGGATCTGTCGGCGTTCAAAATCGGCCCGCTCGCTCAGGTCAGAGCCAAAGAGAGTGGTGGACGCATCGGGTACAGGAATTGGCGTGGACACGGCGCTGGACGACTGCGACTTGGGCACATTGTTCTTCTTGCTGAAGAACCCGAAGCCCTGGCGCCCCTGATCTTGCTGTCTCTGGTGGTGGTGGTGGTGGTGGTTGCTGGTGGCAGGGGGGTTGGTTGCCCCATTTGGAGTGGTGACGGGCGGTGACTCCACGGTTGCAACCGTTGCGTTGTACGGCATGCCAATGTCGCCGCCGGCCATTGTGGTTGGAATACGCTCCCCTCGGTCGTTCTGCTGGAAGGCCACGACAGCGCCCCTGACACCCTTCGCCACGTTTTGGGCGAGGCCCTTGGAGCCCTTCTTCCAGTTGAACTTCTTGACTTGACCCTTGCGCACCTGGACGACGGTTGGTCCCGTCTCGACGATGGGTTCTTCATCGGCGAGGAGGGTTGGGCCTGTAGACAGGCTGGCATTGTCCAGATTGACAGAGGAGGATGCAGCCTTGGGATCGCCGTAGATGCCCAGGCCATTGAGTGCCTTACTGTCCATGGAACTGTTCTTCATCCGTCCCTGAAGCTCTCGCGTAAGATCATTATTCATGTCCGCGAGCTGGGCATTCTTGTTGGACAGTTGCTCAAACTCCATCAGAGCCCGGTCGCGCTCCGCAGTGGCCCTCAGCTTTTCTTCCACCAGGAGGTCGCGCTCCTTGAGCAATTGCTCAATGCTCTCCGACATGTCGTTCTTGACACGTTCGAGCTTTTGTACAAAGTCTTTGACGGTCGAATCCTCGAGTATGCGGGCATCGACCGGCGTCTTGGTCTCCCTGGCCTTCTCGACGTACCCGGTGAGGACCTCGAGTTGGCGAATCATAATCTCGCTTTGCGTGTCCAGCTCGGACACCATCTTCTTCTTCTCCATAAGCTTCTTGCTCGCGTTTTGCAGATCCGCTTCGGTGGAGAATCGCCTTTCCAGCTCAGCTACGCGGAGTTCGGAAGACCTGAGCTGACGCTTGAGGATAGCAGGATCATCACCTGGCGACAGGGAAGTCGGACTAGCGAAATCAGACACCTTCCCATTGCGCTCATCAATGGACATGGTTCTCTGCCAACGGGGCGAGCCAGTCCCCCGTGTAGTCTCGCTCACGCTGCGTGCATGGCTTGTTCGCGAAGGCGTTTGCGCGGTCGACTCAACACTGCTTGTCCGCCCGTGGCGTACCAAGTTTGACGCGCGCCTCATCATGGATGATGAACCTTCGTCGGTACCTAGGATCCTAGCCATATCTTCATCCATACTGAAGTCGCCGCCGCTGCTCCATCGAGGCAGCTTGGGGGATGTCTTGGGCTCGGCATTGTCTTGTCCAGCCTGGGGAGGTACGGGCGCGGTTCGGGGGGTCGTGTAGCTGTCTTTACCACTGCGTCCCGCCACTTGCGGCCTTTTTTGGCGGTTGACATCGTCTGCCGACTTGGCGGGAGCTTCCGAGGGTTAGCACTCGTATGCACGTCTATTGGTAGAAGGATGAGCTTACCAGGCTTGGGTGCGGAGGGCACCTCCTTTCTCGCGATTGCGCGATTGGTTTCCGGCTGAGACGGCGCTTTTGAGACAGAGTCCAGAGACGGGCGGCCATCTGCTGTTTCAGGCTTTCTCGTATCCTGCGATCGCCGCGGGGGAACATTCTCGCTGTTCTTGCGAGAATCCAGCTGCGGCGTAGAGCTGTAATCGGAGGAGGTGCTGCTGCCATTGTCTGAAGTCGCCTTGCGCGTATTAGGAGCATCCTGCAGCTTGAAGTCGCCGGTGCCTTGCCTTCTCCTCGGGGGCAATTTGGGCGATGCTTCCTCTTGCTTTGACTGTTTGGAAAGATTCCGTGTCAGCGACCCGGCCTGCGAGTTGCTGTAGTCTGATGACTGTTGCCGGCCCTTGTCCTGGAAAGCAATATGGGGTGTAGAACCCTGTGATTCAGTGCGCTTCTCAGACGAGAAGGAAGATTTGGGAACGCTGAAGTAGTCCTTCTTCTTGTCGGTCGCGTGTCCTGAGCCACGTGTGTTCGAGTTTGAAGCAGGGACAGGGCTTGGGTCAAGCCCAACGGGGATGAGGAAGCCGTCCTCCCCGTTCGTTTCGCTGCTCATCATAGTCGAGCTACGGTTGCCGCGGTATGGAAGAGAGGAGGCCCCCAGCCCTTCCGGCTTGGCGCCATGGTCAGGCGATGGTGCGGTCGGCCTGGAGCCACTCCTGGAAGACGATTCTGACTGCTTGTTCCCCTGCCGCGGGGGCGCCGAGAGCTCGGTCGGCGTGTCAGAGTCGGGGTCAACCCGGTCGTTCGAGAAGGCATTGTTGGGTATCACATTGGGCGGCAAAGCAGGCAAGGACTTCTCCGTCACCATAGACGAGTGGTCTTTGTCTCGCCCCTTGGCGGCCGCCGCGGCTTTGGACCGTTTTTTCCGCCGCGTCATGAGCGTCTCGTGACAGCTCATGCAGAAGATGCCTTGGGTGGTACGCGCATATCGTAGGTTTTCGATCTTGCGCCTGCAGTTGCGGCATCGGAAGCAAGTCGAGCAGAAGGCCTGGTCGCCCGTCAGAATAGCGAGGTCTTCGATCTTGTTGTTGCAAGCACTGCAGCTGTATGTGCAGTTGTTGCAGATCAGGGAGCCATCGCCAAGGAGCAAGAGGTTGGCGTCCGAGTCGAGGAGCGTGCCGCAGGTATGACAGCGGAAACAGTCGAGGTGCCATCGTTGGCCAGCTGTGAGCCAGTGTTAGCAGCGGTTCACTGTCAAGATATGTCTGTGAGCGCCCAGTGTCGTGCGACGCCGTGGGGTGAAAGGTTTTGTGAAGGCCCGAGGGCGCGCAAAAGGGACCACAGGCAGACACCACATAGGAGGAGGGATGGACGCACCAAGTTCAAAGGCCTTCCCCTCCTCGAGAATCTCCCCGCAGCCTTTGCATGGGTACAGATCATCATTGTCCGTCGATTGAGTCTCGAGATAGTCGTCCACGACACTGGTCATGTCTGCTATGGGCTGCGCACTGCGCAGAGTGGAAGGCGAGGGCGGACGTGTATCGAGTCAGGTCAGGCAGGAGGGGTTTCTCGCAAGGAGTCGATCGTTTTCGCTCGGGTCTGCGTGTGACGGAATTGCTCCAGGAAATCCAACGACGGCAGGACTCAGGACACAAGACGCGACGAGCCTCAATGCGAAAAAGGGCGTGAACAGCTCGAGGCTGGCTGGGAGCTGAAGGAGTTCGATGTGGTAGCTATGCGGGCGTGGCTTTCATTCCTCAGCGAGTGTGGGTGCTGCTCCAAAAAGTGGCGTTCAAGTTGCGAGCGAGGGATGGCGCACAAGGCTTCGTGACGCGGGCGTTCTGTGTGTCAGAAGCTGTGAGAACGGCACGACGCTCCAAAGAGGAGGATGAGTACAGCGCTGTAGCAAAACAAGACGCACAGAGGGACTGGAGGATGGAGAGACGATGGTGCCGCCATGCGCGCAGACGTGGACAAAGGGCAATCTTGGACATCCATCTGGCGCCAGTGGCCACGCACACAGGGGGCCGCTAGCGTGGGAATCACTGCCTGTAGGCTGTGGCACCGTGACTAGCGCAGGGTGGGGACGCTCGCTAATAACCGCCATTCTCAATCCGTATCAGGGGTCGGGCCTGGCATTTCGTCCCTGGATGAACGACAGACAACTTGCCAGCCCTCTAATACCTACCACCTTGTCGTCTAGAGATAAATATTATTACAATTGAATGACAGACAACGCAAGTACGAGAGCCCGTTCAGACGTTGTATCCTGGTCATTCGACAACGAGTCAACGGCATTAGACTGGTAAGCCTGGCCGGGGCCTAAAGTGGAATCGGAGACTAACAGTAGGACACTGGTCTTGCGCTATTCGCCGCCCTTTGTCTGTCCAGTTGCAATGGTGTCGTCCTTTACGGAGTGCATGAGATTCCCAGAGGATGAGAGGACCGACCACTCCAAGTGCAGCAGAGTCCGTGCCGTACAGCTGCTTGTGCCCTTGTAGGTATCGTGTTGGGACTTGGGAGTTGGGACGCACGTCTCCCCGTGCCTGCAGAATGATAGCTCAGCTTCCACTGTAATTACGAGTCGGCTGTTGTTCAACAGAGATCAAGTATATGTTGCTTGCCTTAGGAAGACCATCCACAATTCCCCCACCCCCTTCTCTCCGTCAGACGGCATCTCTCGAGGCTACAGACTACCCCATCCTAAGTACCTCATGCGAGGTTTCACGACGGGATGCTGCTGGTGCTCGAGTCTCGACGTTAGCCGTCGGCAGTGCCGCACCGTGACCAAAGTCGCAGTGGAGTCGCTTTGGAGATACGCCGGGGTTTTGGTGGGTGGGGACTCACACGGAGGCAGGGGAGGGTCCGTCCCTTTGTCTCGGACCTTCGAGCACATTACAGAGCCTCGCACCTCGCACTTGTTGGGCTCTCGAGCCAGAGGCAGCTCATCATCCACCCCTGAACAGAAAGTCGTAAGAAGCAGGTGATCTAATTATCCGTTCATTTGCCTGCTCTCGCACCGGCAGTGAAGGTGGCGAACCGCGAACTTGCGGAACCCTTCTCTTCCTCAATGCTTCACGTTAGCAGGGTCGTACTCGCGCTTGTTGCATTGCACGCTTCTGGTTCCCTCAGGCATCATTAGGAAGTAGGGACTCTACTAACAATAGCACACTCCACCGGATGAAATCGTCAGCCATTGGCAACCTTTCGCGTCAAGTGATGTCGGCAGCTGTGGTTCTTTGTTCTGATCGCTGTGTACATGTGTACATTAGTACTCGCTATCCGTAAGGTATGCCAAGCAGGGCTCTGGTTACATCTTCCACCGCTTATTTCCTAATCACTTCCACGATATCATAAAGGTAAGGTAAGTACGTACATAGTACAAGGCACAGACTTGATGCTCATGCCGGCATAATCGCTACTGCACGTGCATTTGGAATCCCGGGGGAATGTAGAGACGTGGTACGAGAAGGGTCTTATAGTACCTTCCTGTCTCTGAATTCTGGAAGACCTGCGTCGCAAGAGATCACAACGAAGCGCATTGAGCAAAACCATATCAGCTTTTTTGAGCTGTCGACGCCAATCACGAAGCCAACGTTATAACCAACAGTGGTTAATAATGATAATTAGGCCCCCGCAAGAATTGCGGAGTCACTAGCATGAATCTTGAACCCTGGCGGGATTTCCACAATTAGTACCCCTGTCGCGAAACGGCCCAACAACCCCAGCAGGAGAACATGAAACAGCCGCGATGGTGATTGTAATTTGAGCCAGGCTCGCAACAGGCAACCCCGTGTTTTCGCTGCGGACGTACGAGGCAGACAGGCGACCGCAAGACCCCCTCAGTCGGGTATGACTTTCGCGATCAGCAAAAGTGGGTGGAAAGCTAACAGCCGGGCCAATGTTTCACACCATGTCTCAAACATCTTCAACACCACGTCTCAGTGACAGATCTCTCGTCTGGCGGTGGTGTGGCTTCTTCCTGTCAATGCCAAGCCGCTGCTTCGTGACCGATCCAATTTGTTAGCCATGATCGATAATGATGGAAAAAGGACAGATGATGTGACAGGGGCTTGGTCCATCGTTCTCTGTCGCACAGACTACTACCCGAAACAACTAGAGCCGTATCAGGTTGGCACTGCCGGATCTACAGCACAGGCGGTGACGATCGCCTGTTGTGATAGATGACGGTATGACCCGTGTGTTATATGGATAGGGCTGCTGAGCATATTAGGTATCACACGTGAGTGCCATGCACATTGGTCGATACTACTAATATTCGTACCTCGATGACATGGCTTTGTGTGCGAAGACGACCGCAATGTCTTGAGAACGATGGTACAGTTGGGGCCACAAACCACTTAATACCAGACGTCGCATCAAACACAACATGTTGCAGCCCATCGCAAAGTGCTACCTACTTGGTTAGGACCGCTATGTGATTCGGCAGCATTGTAAAACGCGAAACGCCTTGCCAAACTCGACTCCAACTGAAAATCATGACTTTACTCGCCCACCATCTTCTTCACCTTCTCGAGCAGGAGACCGCTCTCGCGGCCCAGCTTCTTCTTGCCGTCTTTGCCCCTTGTCTTCGCCATGGCTCTCTTGTACCTCTCCCGCTCCGCAATTTTCTGCTCGCGCTCTGCCCGCCGGTGAGCTGCCTCTGCCTTGCGTGCCTCAATCTCAGCCTTGTGCTCCTTAGCCTTGGCCAACTGCTTGTCGTAGTATCCTGGACGCCGTGTGCGGCGACGGTGGCCGTCGGCGTCAACTGGCTCGCCGTTTGCAATGGCGTTTTTCTGAGCTACTTCCTCGTCCTTGAGCATCAGCTGTCTCGTGGGGTGGAGCGCTTCACCAGCGTCCTCATCGTTGTGCGCCTTGTCTTTGTGCACTTCATCTTGCTGCTCCTGCTCCTGCTCCTTCTCCTTCTTTTCTTCCTCAGCTTTGACTTTGGCGTATTGTTTCTTGACCTTGGCCTTGTGGATTAAGTCTTGCTTGATTTTGGTGACTGTGTCGCGTGAGCTTCCCCGTAGTGTGAGTGAATGCGACAGCAGGGCTCACCTTTCCGTCGCCAAGGTCCGTCTGGCAGATTATCTGGCCCGACTCTAAATCCCTTCTTGGGCTTCTTCGTTTCCTGCGATGACTTGGCATCGTCTAGAGGGCGTTTGGGTGCCATGTTGTGCTTGGGTCGATGAGCTGTTGTCGAAAATGTGAACTACGGAAATTTTTTGAGATGCGATTTGAGGAACGGATGAACCGTGGTGCTGGCATCTCGCTGTCCTCCGCCGTGAGTACCTGCGTGACAGACAAGTGGCGCCTTTAGATCTCTACTACTTAGGAATTGACTTCTGAAGCCGACTGATATTGGCATTCATTGCCAGTCAATATTCATGTTCAATTTTTCCCGAGTGCTTCACTCCTGCCTAGCCTTTCTTCTTCAGTCACTAATGATACTGTTATGGGCTGCCTTGTGCAGTGGTGCGCCTTGCCACAGGACCCCAAGCCCCACCTGCTACGGGCTTCGCCAGGCCGGCAGTACAGTGATACCGTAAGGGCTGCAACATATTGTGTGCGGGTTGGGCTCTGTTGTGGGTGGTATGTAGTTGCGCTTGGACTGGACTCTCTACTTGATCCTTTTTTACTCTCAATTATCACCGGTACCTAAAGGGCCTGCGGCAGAATGATCGCCATGCGTGACGAAGGAGTGCTTGGTAATGCTGTGCCAGTGCATGCACGACTTAAGTTCTGCGCTAATGGGCGGCAGCTGCCCCAGAATGACGGCATAAGGCCCTGAATCAAGGGCAATTAATGCGGGACGCGGCGTAATTGTTACTTTACCTTAGGTGTGCTTTCAGCGCTTCAGCCTTTCAGTCCGCTCACCGCTTCAGGATGGATGTGTCACCTGCTGGTGATCAACTTTCATCACCTCTACGAAATCACCCATGATCATAGCTTGTCCCTACCGCGGTCTTTCATCCAGCTTCCCGTAGCCTCGCCCTCTTTCTCTCTGCTTTGTTTGAGTTGCTTTTACAAATTCTGTGTTGACTCGTCGCTTATTCATCTAAACCCTGGTTCTGCCAGAGTCACCAGGCCGCGCCAACATCTCCTGCATCCGTCCGTATCCGTTGGTTGGTTCCAACCGCTGCCGCTTCGAAGTACGTACGGCACACGACAGTCAAAGAACGACGCTGGGCAGCGAGCAAGACGAAATTTGCACCCCCATCGGTTACATGATTTCTCGGAAGTCAGAACAGCTTCAGAGCCGCAGCTTCGCTGTGGTTCAGACCAGTAATCATGCCTATCGCACACGACGACCTCAACAATCATGACGATGTTTCCGAACCCCACGACACGGAGCGTACGATCTTCGGCCGCCCACGGCCGCCCTTGAGCCGCCTGTCAGAGGAGAGTTTGAGGACTGAATTCTGCGAGGGGCCTATCCCGGATAGCCCGCAAATGACGCCTAGTCGCAAATCGGACGAAGATATGACTTCTAGTCGGGAAGAGCTGATTGAGAAACTGAAGAAGGGTGAGAGCCCGACCTGGGTACCGAGTCGTCACGTATGTTTCCCAGAATATGACCTAGTAGCCATGGCTCACATTTCTCAAGCTTGAATCCCTCCTGCGCCGCCAAAACCCCGAAGCTCATTGTCCAAAGAACACCCAGGCGCTAGCCGAATCCTCAGAACTGCAACCCGCAGCGGAAATCACACCAGACAACATCAAGTCGCACGTAGCACCCGACGCGAGGGTTCGAGATGGCATGAGTCTGGAGAGACCTGGGTCGGCCTTGCACTCGGGGGATTTCACGGACGACGATGGCAACGATGCAAACAGGGGGTCTCATCCGCGCCGACCACAGGTCGACATATGGGCAGCCACCTCGCCGCCTCGAGATTTCACGCCATACTTGCGCCATGGCCGAGGCCAAGATCTTTCCAGATCTCGCCATCGTAAATCGATACCAATGGGCACTTCGCCGCACTCTATATCCTCTTCCCTCTCATCGAGCCTTGCCTTCCAACCGCCAACGAGCCCTCTGGTGTGCTCAGAGACAAACGAGGATCTACAAATAGCTGAGGCACTGGACCATATGGACATTCCTTCCCCGACGCCTAACACGCGGAGGCATACGTGTTACGCTGCACAGTCCTCGCCTTACGAATCGCCCTCTGCCAGAATGTCGTCGTATTCCAACATGCCAACCCACAGACGCCAAGGATCCTTTCCCACCCAAGCACACCAGCCCAGGCGGTCTTTGAGCTTCCTAAATGGCGGCGAGGCGACGCTGTCACCGCCTACACCAAACATGATGCGGGCTGCCCGTCGGTCATCATTTGGTACGGATGTTTCACCCCTCTCGCGGCACGCTGCAATGGTTGGCTCGTATGAGGAGAGCATACTTCGCGGACGCATGTCAACAACACCGTCCAAACCACTCGACTTTATGGCCCAAATTGCGGTTCTGGGGATGGGAAAGTGCAAGTCGAGTCTGCGATGCCCAGCGCACGTCACCCTTCCGTTCCACGCAGTTTACTACAGCTACAACACTACTTCCCATGGTCGACCTTCGTCTGATGACAGCCCCAGCCCCTATGTTGGACAAATCGACCTCGAAAATGGGCTTCCGAACCAGGATGATTCCCGTTCAAAGAGGAAAGCGCAAAGCCGGTGCAGCGGCCGGAATTCCATGGACATGGCGATAGCTTCTTCAGCATGCGAGGAAGAGATGGAGTCATATCGACCTCAAAAGTCAAGGAGAACATCTGCTGCACCTAGAGCACCACCCGGGGGCAGCTATCGCATACCCGAAAAGGGACAGCTCCAGATCATCATCAAAAACCAAAACAAAACTGCCGTCAAACTTTTCCTAGTGCCCTATGACCTTGCTGACATGGAGCCTGGCACCAAGACATTTGTCCGTCAGCGCTGTTTCTCTGCCGGCCCGATCATCGACGGCGTACCGCCCATTGGCCCTGGTCCTCCCGATAAACAAACCCTGCGCTACCTCATTCATCTCCATATCTGCTCGCCGTCCAGAGGGCGTTTCTATCTCTACAAGAGCGTTCGGGTCGTCTTTGCAAACCGGGTACCTGACGGGAAGGAAAGGTTGCGAAGTGAGACAACATGGCCCGAGCCTCGTTTTACACCTTACAAAGCCATCAGGGTGATGTGTCCGCCAATGTCTGCAGGAGCTGGCGCTGGGGCAGCTCTCGTTGCAGACAAGGCCTTCCGGAGGCGAAGCTCGGGAATCTCGTTTCCCAACATCCCGCGTGACTTGTCGGGCGGTTTGTCCCCTTCAACCCCCTATCCCTTCGCATCAACCTTGGCTTCGGGCCATGCGACTACTGTCGAGCCGATCCTTTTCACGTTCCCGGTGCCAGAGCGGCCCAACAGTGAAGCAAGCAACGCGGCCAATGACCCAATGGAGGGCATCCGATTGCCGGAATCACGAGATATGACTCGTCCCTCAAGCAGTGCTTCGAGTGCTGAACCGGTTTGGGAGGCCGGTCAATACGCAAAGCTTAGCAAGGGCGACCAAGGGTACGGTATTAATGGATTTGCCTCTGGGTCCCCAAGCTCAGAAGGATTGCTCTCCCAGCGGCTGCGATCGTTGAGACCGACTTCGCCATCTGATGAAGGTTGAGTGGCCTTCTCGCCGCCAGACGGAATCATAGGGCTTTCGAGTGGTCTGGTCGTGCTCAAGCGTTTGATATTTCATCTGGTACTTTTCGCATAACATCCATGGGTACTTAAACACAGCGTTGCAAATCGCTCGGAAAGCGCGAGCGTGTATTATAATTCCAGCCCTGATGTACAATTAATGATACACATTTATATGCTCCTCTTCCATGTACCAGCGAAATGGATATACAGATCCAGTACTAAAGTGTACAATGCTAATATACAACACCTCGCCTTTGAAAAGCAGTCGTGGTAATACATCATGCCCGCCCACTAAATGCTCCTAGTCGTGATGTGGGCGCTTAACTGGCCCCGCTGCCAAAGAACTTCTCCTCAAACACACTGGCATCGATCCTGGCATCGTCACTCTTTGCATCCTGCTGCTTCTGCTTGTTCCTCTTTTTTACGTTCTTCTTGGTAGACGAAACACCATCCGCCTCGTCGCCTTCGTCCTCCCGCACAGGGGCATCATAGCTGAGATGAACAATGGGCCGACGAACCACCCGTGGCTTGAGCTCCTGCTCCTCCTCTGCGTAGGGATCATACGGTGGATCACCAGAGGCGATGAGTATCCTTCGGATCCGAGCAATGGCATCCGAGACGGAGGAGGCAGTCTTGGGGTGATACGCAATCTTCTTCATGCGCTCATTCTGTCGACGACGGACATTGTTCCAAAAGTCAGTCCTGCGCGCCTTGGGGCTGCCCTTACCCTTGCTGGGCTTTGTTGGATCGAACGGCTCGGCAGGCGCAGGCAGGGGTGGATAGTTGAGGGTGAATTTCCGCCCCGTCGGATCGGCAGTCTTGAGTTGGTCCTCTGCCTCTGGGCTTTGCAACGCGAGACGTCTCTGGCGGATGGACGAGAAGGATTTCTTGTCCTTGACGGGGATCTGATCCCAGTCCAGTATGAGACCGGGGGGTCGCGACTGGACGGTTGGCGGTCGGTGTCTGTCGGCGATCTCGCGGAGGGGCGAGGACCAATACCATGACTGGGCCGGCAGATTGTCCCGCGTCTCATCTACGTCTTTAGGCGGGCGCTGATCGGCGGGTAACTCCGCGCGTTGCTCGTCTCGCGCTTCTTGGTGCAAGAGTGCGTCGCCAAGCTTCTTGATCTTGAGCTGCTCGGGCGAGCGAGGAGTGATCACGCGCACGGGGTCGGTGAGCTTGCTGATATGATCGCGCAGAATCCTGTACATCTCGTACGTGTCCTCATAGGTCTCGGGTGCCACCGCTGCCCTGACCATCTTCTCCGACATGTCAGAGTCTGTCATGGCCACAGCGTCGATCTCCTCGAGCTGCCGCTCTAGCGCGCCTACCATCTGTCGCAGCTCGCCCAGAGACATGGTCGCCAGCATCTTCACCGTTGCCTTGTGCACGCGCATGCTCGGGTTGACCTTATGCTCGGAGCCAGGTGGTGGCTCGTAGCGTCTAAAGGCTCGCTTCAGCAGGGGCATGGTGGCCTCAATACGCTTCACTCGGCGCATCGCCGTGGCATACAGAGGAGCATCCAGCGTGGCGTCGACCCAGACATTGCGCATTTCTTGAATCAGGAGGGGCGGCACCTTGGGGAACCGAGTGCTTTTAGTCTTGCGACGTTCATCGTGGGTAGGAAACATGGTCCACCAGTTGGTCCACGTGGGCATGAGGTACTTTTCTGTCAGCTCCATGGCGCGATCAGCTTCGCCGTTATCGAGCATGGTCTTGAGCACACGTTTCCACACGACCCAGGTGAGCATGAAGCCCACTTCGAGGCATTCGTCGACGACTTCGCGGAGCTTCCTGCCCATGTTCTGCATCGCACACGTTTCGGTGAACCGCAGAAGCATGGGGTTGATGTCGTACTTGAAGCCCGGATAGACCTTGGCATTGTTGGGAGGACACCATTTCTTGAGTAGCTTCGGCCATGTATCGTCCCAAATCGCCTGGACACGGTCGTAGTCCTCGGCTCTGTATGCCCTGGTCATCAAGGAGGTGATCAGCGTATGAGGGAGCATCTCGCCCTTCTCCAACTCCGGAAAGAGCTCCGAATACAGGCCGACGAGTTCATCGACGAGGTGCGGCCGGTTCATGTCAATCATAAGCCGAGCTGCTTGGCCAATGTTCTGGGTGACGATGCGCAGACGGCGCACGTCACTGGCGATCTCCTGCCGTTCCACCTCTCTCCGTAGCGACCCAAATATTCTCTCGCATATCTGGTTCACGTCAATTGCAGATGGATAGTACTTGAGGAGCATCTGAGCGTAAGAGACGATTGCGTTGAAGGGAATCGGTATCGAATGATTCTCCATCATCACCATCAACCGCTCTGCGTCTGGCCGATTGTTGCCGCGGACAGCACCAGCCATCAGAATCGAAAAGTGTTCCGAATCCACCAGGAAAGGCGAATACTTGAGCGCATCGCGCAGGATGGTCATGGCCTGGACGGTCGAGTGCACTTGCGTCAAGGCTCGGAGTAGACACGCAAGGGTGTCACGATCCCACTCGTACTTGAGTTCCTTCATGGTGGCCAGTATATCGTAGACCCGTTTCGTCTCGCCCTCGAGACCGTAGTGCAGGATCAGCGCGTTCCAGCTGTGCGTGCCCACATTGATGCGACGGCCGTGCAGCTCACGACAAATGGCTTCGGCAGCCCTCGTCTGACCACTCTTGCAGTACGCAGTGATCAGCGGATGAACAACCTCCTTGTCCAGGCCAAGGCGCCGCTCTTGCACCTCATTGAAGAATCCCAGGACCGTCTCGACATCTCCCTTTTTGGCCGGGATCGCCATAAGCTGCGAGAACGTCTGGCGACTGGGCTCTGAAACATTGCAAATGTGGTCATAGCAGGTCATAGCATCGTCCCACTTGCTCAGCCGTATGTGAGCCTTCAGAAGAATGTTCCAGCACGTGATATCGGGCTCGACGCCGTAGTCGTTCCTCATGATCCGTAACTGGCGCTCCACAGCCTTGACATCACCACCTTGCGCGTGAACGTTGAGCAGGCTAGTGAAACCTCTAGGCTTGGTCAGCTTGTCAGGCAGCGCCTGCACGTAGCGAGCCCACAGCTCGGTCACCTTCTGGACATTGCCTTCTTGGGCGTAGAGTTTGAGGTATTTGCTGAAGGCCCAATCACTGAGCTCGCCATGGAACGAGATCCAGTCTTCGCGTAGCTGCTCAAGGGCTTTCTTGTTCTGCGGAAAGTGCAATTTGAAGACACCACGCAGAGCGAAGAAGTTCGGCTTCGCCTCCGGTAGGACTCGGTAGTCCTGGTAGATTCCGTACAGGCCGTATGCTGTGGTTTTGTCGTGCACTTTCTCATACCATCGGTCAAACATCCGCCAGAGGTACTCGTCGTACCAATCATGATTTTGCCAGAACGCCAGTATCGTGCGAGCGTGTGTCGGTGCGCAGGGCTTTTGTAGAGTGGCCACTGCGAATGCTCGCCGGAGGACCAGCAACGACTTCCTGGTGAGTTCCTCAGACTCTAGCCACCTCTCCACCAGTCGATCGTCAGCCGCCAGCCATCGCTCGAACGAAAAGTACAATCCGGCCAGCTTGTCAAGCTCAAAGATTGGCTGCAGTAGCCTCGTGTCCAGTGTATCCTGCTGGTTGTGACGCGCCAGCAATCTTGTGTTGGCTAACCACACGTCCATCATCGTCGTCCATTGTTGCTTGTTGATGGAGTCAATCAGAAGGTATTGCAGGCCTCCCGTCAGGTCCTTCTCAGAAATGCCCTTCTTGAAGATCTCGATGGCGGCCTGCTGGTCGCCGTTGCGCAAATGGACGAGGACCACGGCAGAAAGATACTCATTGTCCCAATACTCCACAGCTGTCTTTGGTATGAGAGACGCCACACGATCGCGCTCGACGATGTTGTCTGCCCTCGATAGGTAAGCCACCACTTTCGGCCGCATGATCGGCCGATCATGATCCTGTAGAAGCAGGTAAAGATCCCAAACCTCGCGATAACGCTCCCCTTCAGGGTCGGCCAGGTACTGTTCGAGGTGTTGCTTGGCGGCGGCTATCCGGCTTCGGCCAACAAAGACAGCCGCCATGTCCTCTGCGCTCTTTTCAAACTCGCGTCTCTCCGGCGACGCTGATGGGGCGCGCGCAAAGACGTCGACGGGCTGTACATTGATCTCGGACTCCCAGCCTGCCGTTGGGGCCATGGCATCGTCATAGAGCGCCTGTTCTGTACCTTCCTGGTTGTCGTTAATGGCTTCTTTATGCTGGGCCTCACGACCTTGACGTTCGACTTGATGGTCCCACATGACGGCCTTCCGTGGCTCGACCGCCCGGGAAATCTGCGCTGGCTTTGACTCGTCTGCTGAATTCGGCCACCCGTCATCTTCTGGCTCAGGTGCATCAGTGTAAAGATCGGCCCCCTCGAATCGATTTAGCCTCGATTCCCGTGAGGTTGGCGAGCCCTGGTCTGGGGACTCGTGTGCAGTTTGTGATGTCTCTTCCACCAAATCGGCGATTGCTTCAGCATCCTCGTGGACGTCGGCGCTAGGAGTATGTACGTCGTTGTTCTTATCTGATGCAGCGGTTTGGGATGACCGTATCCTCTCTGTTCCTTCCGCGCGCGAATATCGATGTCGTTCTGATATTGACGGTGGCCTGTGGATGGAATCCCGCTGCTGAAGACTGCCAGGGGTTGCGGGGCCGCGACCAGGCTGGGTGACATGTTGCTCTGCCTCTTCGGGCGCATGCGATCTGACAGCATCACTGGTCGAGTGCAGCCTTCGCACGCATCCGCTCCAGCAGATAGGCGCCCGTCTACTTCGCGGGATAGAAGACCCCTCCTTGCGAAGCAACCCGTATGTTCCTCTCGGGTACAGGAAGTCCAGCCACGGAGAGTTCGACGGCCGTGAAAAAGGCACGTCACTATCCCTCCGACTCGATCTCCTCCGTGCTATCGCCTTGGTATGGGCGCCATGACTGTGTGCGAGATTCTGGAGCAGCCTCAGCCGCCGTGAGGGTCGCGTCGTCGATCGGGTCAGTATTCGGCGAAGATGACGGCCTGATTCGAGTCGGGCGGCCGTTCTCTGCAGCATACCGCACCTTCTGGTCGTTATCGAACCAGTTGCAGGCGTTGGAGGCGTTGTGCAGTAGCTGGTCGCGGGATGGTAAGGGGTGGCATGGGAAAATGGACGACGTCAAAAACTTTTGGAGAATCGGCTCATGAAGCTGTTAGCGTAGTCGCCGATGCATGAGTGGGGGCCTAGGCGAGCTACTCGCGCCAATGGACGCGTCGCTCCGAAAGCCGTTGAGCGGGCGACACAATAAATTCTGGAAGCGGCGGTCCATTGTCGGCGAAGACTGATCGACTTTTAATAGCCAGCTCTAGGTGCATTACCCGTACAACCAGTGTCAAATCATCAGATATCTTGAATGCACTCCAAGTACTGTCATCATGTCACAACGATCTCCACATCCGTACTACCAGTATGTAAAATTGGTCTCATTGATCATTAATGCGAATCTGCATCATTATCTCGTACAGCAATGAAATGCAAAACAAACGCCGAGCCCTGTTACCAATCCCGTTTCCGCTCGTAAAGACAACTGAGGTATCCCCGTCGTACCGGTCTCCCGCAATTGATCTCGAATGTCGTCTTGCTCGACTCAATCTTTTTCTTTCTTCCTCTCGCTCGTGCCGGATTTTTAGTAATACATGAAAAGTCTCCGAGCTTCCAGCTCGGAAAAGCGGTACTCCTTTGTGGAGGGAGAGCATCATCGTTGGATGACGCTCAGACGCCGACCTTAGCCGAGATGCAGCTTGTGGATACAATCAGCCTCGCATATTGGGAGACGAGGTAGCGGAAGTGGTAGGCTCGTTGTCCACGCGGACTTGGTGCCGAAGAGAGGAATGCGTTTCGACAGCCTTGTGGTGCGAGTCGGCCTCCATTCGTCGAGGGCCCCGGCTGCGGCTTCTGGTACGGCGGCGTCGTTGCTGGAGCGCCGCAGTCTTGGACGGCGACGAGTCTCTGGCCGGGCGCGAGGGACAGTGCTCCCGACGGGCGTCGCGCAGCCGGTTGTGCAGGAGTACCTGGCGTGTTGGGGAGAGCATGGAGCGCGATGGGTTGCGTGACGCAGGGCATGGGGGGGACGATGCTCGCTGTCGGGAACGACCTCTGAATGTGCTAGATTCCACCTTGTCCAACCGTTCGCCAGCAAGAGCTGCCCTGGGGTGGCTGCGGTCACGGGTGCGACCTCGCGTCGTGTCGGGGCCTGGCATGGGAGAGTGGGTGATGGAGGCGTCGATGCCACGAGAAACGACTTGCATTCTCTATGGTCGGTTGGGTGTCGCGGCGTGGGTAGGTACGTAGTAGGTCGGGATGGGCAAGAACGAAAGGTATTGGTATGGGAATAAGGAAAGGTTGTTGGTCAAGGTAAAGTTACGAGTGAAAGCCAGGGTTATGAATTGAAACAAAGATATGGGGGTACCGGAATCCTGGGAGTGGCTTGTCCGGACTATTATAAGAAAGTTGATAAGCTACCTGAGGCAAGTAATGCTTCCGGGGTACTTTCAACCAAGATGGCCCAAGCATCCAAGAATGAAATGAGTCAGTCAAAATCCAAGGATGACGGGTGGGCTGGTCTTATCAATGGAAACTGTTAGCAACCGGACAGGGTACAAGGTCGACCAAGGGCGAGAGAAAAGATTGGTCAACAAACAGACACTGTTCCGTCTGTGAGGAGGGGATCACCTGATGGATGGATGGAACAGCGGGCGTCAGAGAAGGACGGCGGATTGGCCTCGCACCAGCCCAAGGCCCCAAGCCGCGTGCGTGCCTCCTACATCACTTCAACACTCAGCCTCTCAAGGTCCGACCATACCTTAATAAGGTACTAATTACTCACAACAATTCAGTGCCCAAGACCCCGAGTGCCAACATAAACTGGAGCCCACGCGGGGAAGCTGTCTCCCTGCCGCGCTGCATGGGTCTAGAGTCTAGACTACCTCCAAGTACTAGGCTACTAGGCCACTTCCGTACCCGTAGACGAGACACCTTCACAACTGGCATGATGGCCCTCGAGGAGGGGCGCGGCGAACTGATCTGACGTTGGGCAGCGAATCTGATGAATTGGCAATGCAGTGCCGCACTGCCGACGGGGTCATTCGGTGTAGGAGACTCGCCCAGCCATTTGCTTGACCGACCCTAACTACACCACATGGCCTCCGTCGTGGCACCCAGAAAGCATCATCAACGAGGACTGATGGATACACGTACTGTCAGGCTGTCAGCTCCTGACGTTACCGTCGTTCCTGTCTACAGGAAAACAGATCATAGTAGTCCGTACCCCATACTAAGTTGTCAATGGATTACGCGGCTCACCGCGCTCCACCATACTGGGAATGGACCCTCCCATCGCCTTTGAGGCGCAAGTACGTGATAATGTGACCAAGATCAGAGTGTGGCGGAATTCCGGAGCACCGACTATGTTCTCTGCACGGGCCTATACGTACCACCCCTTCCACGAAACTTTCACAAGGATGTTCGCTCGAGAAGCGTTTTCCATCTGGCTGTTCTTAGGGGCGGATCCGTCTCTGAGAGTTGGGTACGATGAACCGATGGTGCCGGCGTCCTCTCTTTCCCCTTGCCAAATCAGGGCCACTTGGGCATATGCGACACCACCATCACAACCAGACAGCCCCTTTGGTACACCGTATCTTGACTGCTTGCGAGGTTGTCCGTGACTGCTATTGCGTCATCAATGTCTGTGGTTTTGTCTTCTTTTTCCACACTCAGACGCCCGCTGTCTCCAGCTGGTCAACAACGCGCCTTCGTGATGGTTGCTCCGGCCTGCATCTGACGGACGATGACACGGAACTTTGGTGGCGTTGAGGGGGGGCCAGTGTGGTGATGGAATAGAGTTTGGGGTCGCTTTGCTGATCGCCCACCCGCGTGACGAGTTAAGACTGTGAGTGACATCGATTCGCTGATCACATCTGGGGAAGCGGCTTGGCCAGAACCTCGAGGATCGGGGCTGCTATCACCGTCCGGATCGAACATATTCTAACTAGTTCCTCGACGTTATATCACAGGAGCTGAACATTTGATACATTGCAAAGCAAGCGTTTGCGTCGTATGCTCCTGTCTTTTTTGTGTCGTCTCCATCTGTACGCTCGATTCTCGTCTATAGGGTACCTATGGAGTACTTGCAAAAGAAGGGTCGTTTCGGCAACCCTGTGGCAAGCGCACCTCCAAGACGCTACCTAAACAGTACCTAACGTTCAGTTCGAGGTTGCTGAAGACTACCTGGGACGAAAATCACGCAATGGCGTCTGTATTCTTCGCTCATCTTACTTCAGCTTCCAGAGGCCTCGGATGAGACCCTTGTGGTAGGAGATTCTCTCAGAAGATGTTGGGAGCGTTCAATCAATACCAAGCAGCATCCTTTTCTGCAACCCATGTACTCCGTACGATTGACGGAGCGCAGCCGGAGCCCCACATTCGGTCGCTCGCTTACCTTAGCTTCCGACAGGCTGGAGCTGCCAAGTTTCCACCGAACCGTTTCAGTCTGACCAGCCCGGCAGGCAGCTCCACGTCCAGTCCCCTGACGACAAGCCGCAGCCAGCATCTGCAATTGGCATGTGGGAAAACCGTCGCGTCGTAGGTCAAGAAACACATCACCATTGCATCGCTCGGGTAGTGGAAGAAGGGGGCTCATCATCGCCAGACTGTTCCGTTCGCCGCCACATCACTTCTACCATTTCTGGCCGGCCGCGACGGATCGTCCGTGACGTATCCTCCCTGCGTCAAGGGCCCGCGTCAACCCCCTTTCCCGACATTCAGCGAACGTCCAGTCTCTAGAAATCACGACGGACCTCGCACAGGCGACAAGCAGCCAGACAGAATGCCGCGCGACCGCCCGGCTACGACGGGCTACGAACGCCTCGCCCAGGCCGACCAGCTCTCCGACTCGGACGATGACGACCTCGCCATTGACCAGCCCTCTGCCGCCCTCTCCGCGCCTCGCTATGCACCCATCTCGAACCCGCCGCGCCCATCGCATCGCTCCGGTCTGCACACGCCTGCCTCCTCGCGGCCCATCATCCACCACCGGTCAGGAAGCGCCGCGGGTGTCGACCTCAAGGCGATCAATGCCCGGCTGGAGCGCTGGGCGGATGAGATCGCATCAAGATTCAAGCGGGGGCGTGGGAAGCACCAAGTCGGCGAGGAGGAGCGTTTTGAGATTCACCACTCGGTGTTCCAGCCACCCGAGGGCGTGAGGCCAATGTCCCCGGAAGAACTGGGGGGCCTGCAGGTAGGCCACATGGCGCAGAGCGAATTTGAGCGCATCGTGGATAGCGTACGGACGGCCATCGGCCAAGAGATTCACCCAAGTATGATTTCCCAGGGCAGCTCGGGCAGTTACTTTGCGCGTGATCCAGATGGCAAGATTGTGGGTGTCTTCAAGCCAAAGGACGAGGAGCCCTATGCCGCTGGCAACCCCAAATGGAACAAGTGGATACACAGGAACTTGTTCCCGTGCTTCTTTGGGCGAGCATGGTACGTCTGTCCCCGTTTGGCGTCCTACAGAAGACTGATGATCCGTGCAGTTTGATTCCCAATCTCTCCTACGTGAGCGAAGCGGCAGCCTACGTCCTCGATTGCCAGTTGCGGACGCATCTCGTGCCATATACCGACGTCGTCTGGCTTGCCTCGAAATCGTTCCACTACCCCTTCTGGGACCGACGCAAGTTTAACCGCAAGAAGCGGCCATTGCCCGCCAAGCCAGGCAGTTTCCAGGTCTTCCTCAAGGGCTTCAAGGACGCCAACGTGTTTCTGAGGGAGAACCCCTGGCCAGACCAGTACTGGTCGGGTCTGCGCACGAATGATGCACATCGAAAGAAGAAGAAGAGGTGGACTGAAAACTGTCGACCGTCGAGCAGACCACCGAACGATGTGTCGTACAGTGATGACGAGGATCAGCTCGAGTCTGACCTCTCGCCATCGCCAGAGCGTTTTGTCTGGACAGAGCCCTTGAAGCAGTCATTGCGAGAAGAGTTGGAAAAGCTGGTGATTTTGGATTACATCATGAGAAACACGGATCGAGGCTTGGACAATTGGATGATCAAGGTGGACTGGGAGACGGGGAAAGCGTCGATTGTGTCGGATCCAGTCCGCATGAATATGGAGCCCGTGGCGGAAGAAGAAGGGCCACGGCCAGCCCACGCAGGACGGAGCCACAGCGCCGGCGCTACACCACGAGCCGCCAATCCCTACAAGAGCCACAAGCCGATGGAGGCGAAGAACAGAGAACCAGCGGGGAACCAGCCATCGATCGTTATCGGAGCCATCGACAACTCGCTCTCATGGCCCTGGAAGCACCCCGATGCATGGCGAAGGTACGTAAAGGCTCCTCTGCCCTCGCGAGACACGCACTGACATCCAGCAGCTTCCCCTTTGGCTGGCTCTTCCTCCCAGTGGACTTGATTGGACGCCCGTTCTCACAAAAGACGCGCGACCACTTCTTGCCGCTCCTGACCTCGACTGCATGGTGGACGCAGACGACGATGGCACTCAAGCGGGTGTTTCAGAACGACAATGATTTCAAGGAGCGCATGTTCGCCAAGCAGCTCGCGGTCATGAAGGGCCAAGCGTGGAACGTTGTCGAGGCCCTCAAGCAGCCCGACCACGGCCCCCTCGAGCTGACACGCCGCACAAAGGTCTGTGTGTGGGATGATCTCGTCGACGTGCCCGTCGCGGTGCCGATGCAAATGGCCACCTCTGGGACCGAGGCGCACGCCTGGGACGCCCCCACCCGCGAGTCGATGGACGAGGCGGACATCGCCGCCTCTGCACCGATAGGGAAAGCCAAGGTGGACGACCTCCTTGGCCTGGGGAGTGCGCCGGTGGACATGCCACACCCAGGCCGCTTCGAGATTGCCTCGCCGACGGAGGAGCCGACGTCGCCCACCAGCGAGCGAGGAAAGGCCAGCTTCGGCTCCCTAGAGCGTCCTGCGCATCTGAAGCACCAGATGCCCACGTACCATGGCACATCACTGCCATCGCCCCAGAGCCGCCGTCAGCGGCGGTACTCGTTCACCCCGACGCGTCGACGGAGCAACGGCAGCATCGCCCGGCAGCTGTACGACGGGGACGACCTGGAAGGCGACATTGGTTATGCCGCTGCAGAAGGGCAGATGGGGAATCAGAGAAAGGTCATTGTGGAGCGTCTGGAAGCTGTGAAGACCAGCCCGTTCTTCACATGGTGCTGAGTCGTGCTCCATGACCCGGATGGCGTGTCTGATTGCACCGTGCAACCCCTCGTGGTCTACGTGGACGGGACGCACATTATACGATAGAGGGATGTTTTCATTTACAGGCGTTCGAGAAGGGCGGGGTTGGTTCATGATCTTGGGGTTCGCTTTCGAGTATCGTGGGGCATGGACAGGTCAACGTGGACAGCATTGCATGCACTAGACAAGTGGCATGGTTCTTGTAATACGAAATCCGACGATATGCCTTTTATCAGAATGAGAATGATCAGTGAGTGTTCAAGCGAACCGCGCCCGTACTGTGGTCCCTTGTCCTTCGCGCATGCATGACGGATCCACAGCAACCGGGACCGGACCGGGGACCAAGATTCAAATTGGAGAAAGCTGCATCGAATGGGAGCTTCAACATTGTCACCACCACACAGCGACAATCCGCCATGGCCTCACGATTCTCTCTCCAGCTCCTGCGCCGCCCGGCGCAGCACTACACAGCGCGCTGTAGGGTCTCCATATCCCCCTCGATACCATGCCGCTTCTACGCCACCGCCGACAGCAGCAGCAGCAGCAGCAGCAGCAACGCACCCACCTCGGCGCCCTTTATGGCCACGCTCAAGACGGAGCTCAAGACGGCGATGCGCAACAAGGACACGCTCCGCCTCACTGTCCTGCGCGCCATCATGTCCCACAACCTCAACGCCTCCAAGACCAAGACCCCGCTCCGCACCGACGCCGACCTCGTCCTCGCCATTATGCGCATGCGTCGCGCCGTCGAGGACGCCCGCGCCGAAGCGAAGCAGGTCGGGCGGGAGGACCTGGCGACCAAGGCGGACGAGGAGGTCAAGATGTACGAGCAGATGGAGAAGCTCAGTGGCGTCGAGGTCCTCGGCGCGCCGGAGCTCGAGCCTATGGTCCGGGCGCAGGTCGACGCGCTCTACGAGCCGGGTGCCAAGGCGAATGTCCTCGTCGGCAGGGTCATGGGCAAGGTGAAGGCGGCGACGGCTGGCAAGATCTTTGAGCCGCAGTTGCTATCTTCCATGGTCAAGAAGGCCATCCAGGAGCGGGAGGAGCAGCAGGAGCAGTAGGAAGGCCAGCGGGCCTGTGTACGAAAGTGTAGTATATGGACTGGACGAAATGTACCACAACATGTAATGGGAATGAACAATACATATCAATCCTTCACTAGGGAGTCGGAATGGGAGTATCAGGGGGGAATGTGGACGGGCTGTATCGTCTATGTCTACTGCTGCCGATGGTCGGAGGGACCTGAGTCACCTACTCCAGTCGTCCACATAACAAATCCCAGGCCTCGCCAAACTCATTTCTATTCTAATCCCGCAAGCTATACAGACAACGGTACGCTTGTGACAGCATGCATCGGACCAACATCGCGTCCGGATCGTCCTTTGAGAGCCAGATTGGCTACTCACGCGCTGTGGTGGTCGACGACTGGATCCTCGTCTCGGGGACCACGGGGTCTGTCCATCCATCCATCCCGCGCCATGAGGACTTGGAATCAGATAGCTGACCTGGATAGCTACGACTACTCCACAGGCGCCATTTCCAGCTCAGTCGCCGAGCAGGCTGAGCAAACCCTCCAGAACATCTCCCAGGCCCTCACAGAGGCTGGCTCCAGCATGGCCGACGTCGTCCGAGTGCAGTACGTCCTGCCGAACAAGGCCGACTTTCCCGCGACCTGGCCCGTGTTGAAGAAATGGTTCGGTGAGGTTGGTCCTGCGGCGATGATGATAGAGGCTGGCCTCATGAAGGACGAGATGAAGATTGAGATTGAAGTGACGGCCAGGAAAGGAGCAGGCAGGCAGCAAGAGTAGCCGAGTCTATCATCCATGCAAGCATCTCAGAGGAAGCTGAGGGCTACAGCTGACCCGGCCCCGAACATGCTCATGATTGTGATGGCGCTCGAGGTCGAGAGCAACGACATGCCGCTGATGCCATGCCCGGACGTACAGCCGCCCGCGAGCCTCGACCCGATGATCATGAGGGCACCACCAGAGATCGCCAGGGCGGGGGGCAGCTCCTGGACGGGTCCCACGATGATGCCGGGCACCAGTCGTCCCAACGCCCACGCGCCAGCGGCCACGCCGCCCGCAAAGACCATGTTGGCGTAGCCGGGCTGGGACGCAGAGTCCGCGCCGCCGAGGAGCCACCAAACGTATTTACCCGCTTCCTCGTACGACCCGGACACGCCCATCATGCTCCGCCGGGTGAGCATGGAGAAGAGCTGGGCACAGCCGATGAGCAGACCGCCCTGCCAGCCGGGGATCTTGAGTCCGGGCGCTGGGCTGGTGTACACGACTGTCCCGATGACGGCGGCCGCGCAGGCCATCTCGAGCAAGGCCGCTGTCGCCGTCCTCGACAAGCCAAGGGCTTCGTTCAGGGTCGACACCTCCGCCTTGGTCCCGGCCTTGTCGTTGCTGACCTTGACGGCGCGCGCGATGAAGCCCGTGTACAGGATGCCGCCCAGGACAGCGCCCTGGAACACGTAGAAGCCCGTCGTGACGCCAGCGCCCATCTGCGCGAGCATGGTGCCGGGGCACGAGCCGGACAGGGCCATGCCAGCTCCGAGGAGGGAGCCGCCGGTGATGTTGCCGTCGTACCTGGACAGCACGCCCAGGGGGGAGTTGCTCCTTGGCTTGAGGGAGACCACGCCGAGCTTCTCCAAGACGGAGTACGCGACGCTGCGGGTTGTGTCAGAATGGGCATGACGGTGAATAGATGATTGGCAGTTGTACTCACGCGCTGGCGGCTGTGGCGGCGAGGAACGCCTGGATCATGTGGCTGTTTTCGAACTTGAGCTGGGCGAGCACAATGGCCGGGTTGTAGAAGCCAGCGGCGAGCATGGCGGCGCCAAAGGCCGCCCCGGAGAGGAATGTGGCCATGTCGGGTTGTCTTTGGAGGCACGTTTGTAGGATGATGGTGTCCAAACTGTGTCCCTTCCACGAGGGATGGCGGCGGCTTTATCAGAGTGGCTCGCTAGCGCCACCGGCGGCCCTCAATTTTCTCCTGGCCATTCCATGATATGATGGCTGCTGTTCCAAGATCCATCGACGACGGGACCGTGAGTGATCGATTGATTGATTGACTGACTGATCGCCGACCCGGCCGGTTGATGGGGCCTCCGGGCTTGGACTAGCCAGACCCATCATGGCGTGGACCATTATTCATTGCCCCTACGTACGGACCAAGTGGAGCCCGAGACAGGCGCCTTGCAGTCGTGAAGTCGCCGAACTTGTCTCGGCTCTTGTTCACGGACGAGACACGCATTGACACGAGGCGGCGAGGAGAGGAGAGGAGAGGAGAGAAGTGGCGAGGAGAGAAGTGGCGAGGAGAGAAGTGGCGAGGAGAGAAGTGGCGAGGAGAGAAGTGGCGAGAGCGTGTGCGGCGGTATGAAGCGACGTTTGAGAGCGTGACAACGGCTCCAACGAGACTGAATTGTCCGGAAGAAAAGACAAAGACTACCCACTACACTACAATCAAGTTCAGGCCCGAAACAGAATGGGCGCCTGTGTCGACAGGTCCGTTTCTCCGTGCCAATGCCCCGGTTTACGGTTCGAGATCCTCGGCACTGCGACATTGCGGGGGAGGCTAGCCGACGCCTTGACCTCATCCCAGAACTACTCGGCTGCTCGCTGGCATGGAAAGGAACATCATTCATAGAAGCAGTCAACAGTTGGTCACAATGTCGCGTGTGCTGCACATCAAAAAAGTGGACGGGAAGCCTGGCGAGGTCTACTATCCGTGAGTTCATCTACCTTACCTTCTTGGACCCAAACAACTACGTAGCATTCCGCGCCCATGGCACGGACGGATGATACTGACACATTCAGCCTCCAGATCAAGACCGTCGACAAGCCGACGCCCGGCGAGAATGAGCTGCTCGTCCGCCTCACGGCCGCGGCCCTGAACCATCGTGACCTCTTCATCCGCCACCACCAGTACCCAGCCATATCCTTCTCCGCCCCCATGCTCGCCGACGGCTGCGGCGTCGTCGAGGCTGTCGGCCCCTCCTCCACCCGCCGGGACCTCCAGGGCAAGCGTGTCGTCCTCACCCCCATGCGCGGGTGGGAGAGCGACCCCGAGACCCCCGAGTCCGGCATGGTCCCCGTCACCGGCAGCACCACGCTCACCGACGTCGGCTGCGCCCAGGACTACGTCGTCGTGCACGAGAGCGAGGTGGAGCTCATGCCGAGCCACCTCTCCCCTGTCGAGGGCGCCGCCCTGCCGCTCTGTGGCCTGACGGGCTGGAGGGCCCTCGTGACCAAGACCAACGCGGCCGCGCCAGGCAAGAACATACTCGTCACGGGCATCGGCGGCGGCGTCGCCCTCAACATCCTCCAGTTTGGCGTCGCCTTTGGCGCGAATGTCTACGTCACCTCGGGCGACCAGGCCAAGATCGACAAGGCCAAGACGATGGGCGCCAAGGGCGGCGTGCGCTACAAGGACAAGGATTGGGAGAAGCAGCTCAAGGCCATGCTGCCGCGTGACAGACCGTACCTGGATGCGGTCGTCGACGGGGCCGGCGGCGAGGTCGTGGCCAAGAGCGTCAAGCTGCTCAAGGCCGGCGGCATCATCTCGCAGTACGGCATGACCGTGGGGCCCAAGATGAACTGGCTGATGAGCGCGGTCCTCAACAACATTGAGCTCAGGGGCACCACCATGGGCAGCAAGCGGGAGTTCCGGGACATGATCGCCTTTGTCGGCCAACACAGCATCAAACCCGTCGTCAGCCAGACGGTCAAGGGGCTGGACAACCTGCACGGGATCGACGGGCTGTTTGCGGACATGGAGGCTGGCAAGCAATTCGGCAAGCTCGTGGTCGAGATTGCCACGGACGCCTCGCCCAAGTTGTAGGATAGACCATTCATGTAGTGTATTTCGTTCAATGTCTGGGTATATCTTCTTTCCACCCTCTTCATCCCCGGCTCCCGGGCTCCCTCGCCGACGCACCTCTCGCCCCCCTTACTCCTCCTTGCTCTTCTTGCGCTTCTTCTTGGGCCGATCGGCCTCCTCGGGCGGCACAAACTCGGCCTCCCGCTCCTTCTCCCTCTCCGCCTTGCGCTCCCTCTGCTTCTCCAGCCTCTCGTTCTGCGCCGCGCGGTCCTTGTCGCCCTTGCTCATAAAGTAACTCGCGTTCTCGAGCTCAATGTCCACCTTGCTCTTCTCCGGCGCGGGCGGGAAGGGCGTGTACACCTTCTTGGCCTTGTCCGTGACCTTGAGCGGCTGCCGCCGCCTGCTGAGCGTCTTCTTCTTAAAGTTGGGCAGGAAGCGGTCCCAGCTCTCGTTGGCGAGCTCCGGGTCCTTGGCGAGCTCGCGCTTGATCATGAGCTCCTTGACGTGGTAGATGGGGTGGATGTTGGCCATGCAGTCCTCGACCACGCGGCGCACGTCCTTGAGACCCTTGTAGGGCCCCATGGCCGAGACGGTGTTGCCGTGCACGAGGATGTACGTCTGCGTCAGGAGCTCGAGGGCCTTGAGCGTCGTGCCGTTGGGCCCGAGGATGCGCTGGCGCCGCTTGACGAAGCGGTCCTTGTTGTTGACCAGGTTCCGGATCTTGATGATGTCGCATGCGACGCCGTCCTCGAGGATCTTGACGGCCTGCGGCGCGGGGACGCTGCGCGCGAGCAGCTTGATGAGGTCGCGGGCGTTGAGGATCGCGGCGGGGTCAAACGTCTTTCGTGTCGTCTTGACGGTCATGCAGCCCTCGACAAGATCGAGCGTGCAGGCGATGCCGTTCTTTTCGAGGGCCTTGGTCACGAGCGGCCATGCTTCCTTCAGGTAGACCTCGCGGTATTTGGGGAAGAGGGTGGCGAAGGAGGATTCCTCGGCAAACGTGCCGCCCAGGTTGTCCTTGGCCGTGAACGCGTCCACCTTCCACTTGTCAATGTCGTCCGTGTCCCACGGCTTGTCCTTCTTGTGCGTGGAGGGCATCGTAATGATTCGGTTTGAGGGTGTGGACGGTGCAGTCTTGCTGTCGAAAGGCGAGCGTGATCGGGTTCTTGGAGGTTTTGTTAGATGATTACGGGAAAATGTTGGTGAGGACGGGAGAGGTAAGGAGAGGTAAGGAGAGGAAAGGAGAGGATGAGGATAGACAGATGTCCGTCTGGTGAACCGAATCCCAGTTTTTCTGGTCAGAGAGACGAGGCCGAGAAACTTTAAAGTGGCACCATCGACTGCAGGTGGGGGAACGTCAAGGAACCCCCCTGCTCGCGACCAATCACGACCAAGCCGGATCGCAGAGGCTCTGGAAATCTTTCCCATCGACGACAGCGCGCGTCGCGAGTGCCATCGATCGCTTGCTTCATCACTCCCAATCCACACAGCACAGTCCCGTCAACATGTCGAAAAAGGGAGGCGCCGCGGTCGACCAGATTGTCAAACTCATAGTCGGGGCTGGGCAAGCCAGTCCAAGCCCGCCCGTCGGTCCTGCGCTGGGTAGTAAGGGTGTCAAGTCGATGGACTTTTGCAAGGTCAGCCAGTCGGTGCACCCTGAGGGGACTTTTTGACTCTCTAACACGATCCAGGAGTTCAACGCACGCACAGCACACATCGTCGTCGGCACGCCCATGCCCTGCCGCGTCACCGTCCGCCCCGACCGATCATTCCACTTTGACGTCCGCACACCCCAGACCTCCTGGCTGCTCAAGAACGCCGTAGACGCGCCGCAAGGGAAGAAGGGCCTCAAGGCGGCCAGCAAGCCCGGCCACGAGACGATTGGCACCATCAGCCTGAAGCACGTGTACGAGATCGCCAAGATCAAGCAGACCGAGATGCGCCTGTCGGGGCTGTCGCTCAAGGGCATGTGCCGCGCCATTATACACCAGTGCAAGTCGATGGGCATTGGCGTTGTGGCGTGAGGCGGATCGAAGATGTCGGAAGGGATCTCATGGCGTTTTGAGAACGTGTACCAACTACGTGTATCATAAGGCATCGGGACGGCTGTAGCAAGGCAATTGCACATTTCAATCAGAGGCACTGCACACGTATGTTTGGGTGCGCTGGCATCGAGCATGTCCAATGAGCGGGGAGCGACACGGGTATCGACCAGACCTTGCTTGATTCACGTACCAGCACGTGAGGACGTCGGAGGAGAATGCAACCATATCCAGCCCGCCAACGAATGCGCATTTTGTAGTCTACGAGTGCCCCAGGGTAGCCTTGGCCGCAGACGGACTGCAGGAGCACCGGGAGAGGCCGGATTAGGCTATACGCGGCCTGCAGCCGGCCCTGGTGAACTTGGCGAGCGTCGAGAGTACAGGATCTCATGCAGCCGGCTGATTCCTATCTCCGTTGAGAGGACAATTGATTGTCAAAGATTGTCAAAAACAGACCCGTCTGCCAGCAGCCACGTCTAGAAATAATATCAAATGTACTAACGGGCACCACGTCGTCGGGCGATCGGCGCTACTGTAGAAGACAGACAGACAGAGAACCTCGATCGGGCTCAGACTCGTGAGCAGTGCGCGAGCGAGCGAAGCCTTACGCAGTATCGCCACTTTTCATCCTTTTGTGCGATTGTGATTCAACTTTGCACCAAGCCAGCTGTCTTCTCCCGAGCGTCTGTCTGTCTGTCATTGTACCTGGAAACACGTTCATCCCGTCATTGTTATTAGTATCTTGTCCTGACTGCTGGGTCTGTCCCAACGTCACACTCAAGTTACCAGCTCCATGGCTCCATCGCACCAAGCTCAGGCTGCGCAACGGCGCCTGGCTTCGACTCCTGACTCAAACGACCACGGAGGTGCTGGTACGTATGTTTCCTGCTTATGCAGTTTTCTTTGGCTACCGAACCCAATGACTGGTCCCTTGCCGACCCTTCCGGGGGTCCGGACTGAGCCGTTTGCGCGGGTAATCCATCGACGGACTACATTGACCGCGTATCCGCCAGAGGAGCATGCCCGACTGCCACTGGCCTGCAGTCAGTGCCCCGCCATGCTCGCAACCGGTCCAAGTCCAGTCCCACCATCCCGTCTTGCCCAGCGCTTCTCGCTCGCTCGCTTGACTCTTTTATTTCACTGCAGTAATCATCACCAATTGCACCTCTCGCGCGGACCGCTCCCATACATTCATGGTGCAAGGCCAATCAGTCGCTAACATGCCGCCTGAAGCAGCGGCCCGAGACGACACTGCGGCGTCAGCAACGAGCGAGACCACCGACAAGAGACCAAACGATGACGTCCCCGCCGTGCGCTTCTCGTCCGCCATTGAAGAGATTGCCCCCAACGCAGCGCACGCAACGCCGGCCGATGCCTCTGGCTCTGGACCCCAGTCTCCCGAGGTTGCAGCTGACCAGCTGCGTGAGTACACAAAGTCGCTGCACGCACGGCCTCTGTTGCAGGAAAGGCGCATGAATACCTTCCAATTCGAAGCCTTCTCGCTCCCGGCGTCCAGAGTATGTGAATCGCCCATGGAATACCCTCCCTTGCCACGGAGGGTGTAGTGGCCAGAGCTAGCAAGAATGACGGACTGACGAACAACCAATCCAGGTACCCTCGCGCGAGGAAGACTCGCCGGACAGCTCGCGTCTACCAACGCCTGCCTCGGGCCAGTTCCAACAGTCGCCCCATGGCAGCCCCAGACTCTCGGCCATAGCCTCACCGCCGCTGACACCATCGGGGTCAGGCGGTGCTGGCGCGGCCGAGAAGACCCAGGCGCCCACGTCGAGGCCAAAGACGCTGGACGTGAACGATCCGCAAGCGATCACGCCTCAAGCTTCGACGTCCCACGACAAGTTGCAAGACAAGTCACCTCAGCAGCAACCATCCCAAGGTCAAACTCTCCCACATCGTCCCGCCTCGCCCAACCATAAATTACAACGATCGGCCTCGGCCGAAGACCATGACGTGGACGTTAGGTCCCACAGAAGAGGCATGTTTGGGGGAGGCGCCTCCGTGCCCGTCTCGCGCGAATCTAGTCCATCACGCAACGCGGCGTCCAACTTTTACTCGCGGCCCATGGCCCCTGGCGGCGATGCCAACGACCCGTACGCCAAGGGACGTCGCCCCCAGCAGCACTCTCACCATCACAACAAGAAGCACATTGACCCCCGGTTCATTTTCAGCCGGAAGAAGAAGAAGGCCGCCTCGCCCCCGAGCTCTTCCAAGAACAGCATCTCGGAGAAGCGAGCCTCTGGGATGTTCAGTAGGAACTCCAGTCACGAACTCGCCGAGGGCGAGAGCGCGTCGGGGGCCGGTCACCAGCAAAACCCGAGCAACGGATCCATGTCTGATCTGAAGCGCTTCTTCAAGGGTGGGAAGAAGCATCACAAGCACAAGCGTGATGCGTCGCCCGCCTCGTCCTCCAGGACGGGCTATCAGACGCCGCCTGCCGCGCGCTCCACCCAGCAGCTGCCCTTCGCAGAAGACCATGGGCTTTCCACGAAATATGGCAAGATTGGGCGGGTGTTGGGTTCTGGCGCCGGCGGCTCTGTCAAGCTGATGAAGCGGAAAGAGGACAACACTGTCTTTGCTGTCAAGGAGTTCCGCGCGCGGAATCAGTACGAGACCGAAAAGGAGTACAACAAAAAGGTCATGGCCGAATTCTGCGTCGGCTCCACGCTGCACCACGGCAACATTATCGAGACGCTCGACATTGTCCAGGAAAAGGGCCGCTGGTACGAGGTGATGGAGTACGCGCCCTTTGACCTGTTCGCGACGGTCATGACGGGCAAGATGGGGCGAGAGGAGATCAGATGCTGTTTCCTGCAGATTTTGAATGGCGTTACATATCTACACAGTCTTGGGTTGGCGCATCGGGATCTCAAGTTGGATAATGTGGTAATCAGCGACAAGGGGATCATGAAAATCATCGACTTTGGAAGCGCCCACGTCTTCAGGTATCCTTTCGAGTCGGGCATTGTGCCGGCAAAGGGTGAGTGGTTTTCCCCCAGACTCGGACGTTCCGGGCGTGGTGACTAACCGTTGCAGGTATTGTTGGGTCGGATCCATACCTCGCCCCCGAGGTGTACAAGTCCAAGGAGTACGACGCCGCGGCGGTGGACATTTGGTCGCTGGCCATCATCTTCTGCTGCATGACCTTGCGGAGGTTTCCGTGGAAGCTCCCGCAGGAGGACAAAGACAACTCGTACAAGCTGTTTGCTGCCGAGCCGACACCTGGCCACGACCCGACCAAGCTGGTACATCCGAGCCGGAGGCATGGCAGTCTCTCCGAGGCGGCGCACGAGGAGGATGCGAACAAGAGCGAGCGGAGACCTGAGCACAAGCACGAGGAGCCGTCGCGCAAGGCGCCAGCCGACGAACACGACAAGAAGGACCGGGAACGTCCGCATGATAACTCACACGCTCCATCGGGCCAGCAAGGCCAAGGCGAGAAGAAGGAAATCATCAAGGGGCCTTGGAGGATTCTGCGGCTGTTGCCCAGGGAGAGCAGATACATCATCTGGCGCATGCTCGACATCAATCCCAAGACGCGCGCCACAATGGAAGAGATCCTCGCCGAACCCTGGGTGGCCGACTCTCTGATTTGCCAGCAGACGGACGACGGGACGGTCATTCTGGCGGAGGATCACGAGCACACCCTGCAGCCACCGAGCAACCCGCCGGCTGCCTAGTTGATCAAGGGAGCACAGCACCTATCTACTTGGCTTGGCTTGGGACATGGGACGCGGGTCCAGGCACAGGGACAAGATATAGCGATTGTATAGCATGACATGTCTTCGCCATTGTAGGGGATACCACTTGTCACAGTGGGAAGGTAGCGGTTGAATAGAGCGTTGTGCATTGACTGAGCTTGACTCTGGAGACGCTGACGTCGTGCAGGCCTGAATTACCCTGTACCGGATGACTCCTCGCCGGCGCGGCACTATTCACGCACTCTCCTCGGTCTCCCTGTTGGCAACGAGCGTCTCTTGTTGAAAATACTGATCAACGAAACTCAACGTCAACATGGAATCGAGACCTGCCAATGATGTATCCCCAGGCCTCCTGGCCTCCTTGTTCAATTCTGCTTACTCGGTATATCCATCTGGATCGCCCGGTTTTGATGCCGAGACCATGACAGCCTGGCTCAGCAGAAACCGCATCTCCCTACAGCGTAGTCACGTTTTCTATTCTGCAGACGGGGTTGACGAGGCACTGGGCATAGCCCTCGTCGCCAGGAGGAGCGATAAGCCGACGCATTCCCGCCTGGCGATGATTGGCATCATCCCTACTGCACAAGGGCACGGCTACGGCTCAGAGGGCGTCGACCTGGTCATATCAGCAGAGCGAGCCTCCGGAACGGAGATCTTGGAGCTCGAGTGTCTGGTCAACGACACCAAAGCGCTCACCATGTACCAAAGAAGGCGTTTCCAGGCTGTGCTTGAGATGCCCGAATGGGAGAGCGAGGTCATTGACCAAATGGAGTGGCACGAAGACCCAGGAAGGGCCACCCTCAAGGAGACCACGGTGGATGAAGTCGAACGAATTATTGAGGAGCACGGGGACAAGGAACGATTACCCTGGCAGGCATACATGCTATCCTCGCAACGTTCCGCAAAGAGGGCTTTCAGGCTGGGTCATGCGTACTGCGCCATCTCGGACCCAGATGAGGAGGAGTCGGGGGAGCCGGTCTCTCTTGCCAGTCTGATCGTCGAGGAGGAGTGCAGAGGCCAGGGACAAGCGTGGGATCTGATCAGATGTGTTCTGTCGCGCTACAAGGGGAGGAGATGGAGTGTTCCGGGCGTCTTTCCAAGGAGCGGACTGCTTGGTAGGCTTCCAGGCGACGAGACGGATCATGGCCAGGTGCTGATGCGTCTGAAGCTGAATGGAAGCGGCGGCTGATAAATATACCATCACTAGATTGTCTTGTCTCACATAGGTGTTCCATACTGACCAAGCTGTGATGCTTCGCCCGGAACGGGTCATCCCGCCTGCCGAGGAAGTGAAGCTTGGAAAAAATTCTGGAAACCGTTGGAAAGCTCCACGGTCCAGTCCAGTCCAACCCAAGCTCCACATCGCGACACTCTTCAGCTTCTGGCCTTCGACCTCTCTCTTCCTCCTTTCCTCTGCATCAACGCTCTGTACAACCATCACCCTTAATCGCTTAATACTTCAGCTCGAACGGTAGTCTACGTCGCCCATTCTTGACACTCACATCTCTCACAATGGTACGCATCTCCCCTTTCTATCTGTCTAGCTGTCTATCGCGGCTTCGGCTCCCCTCGGCTATGCGACGCGCTGCATCGACGAAAGCTGTCCGTCAGTCAATCGGACATGTCAACTAACAGTCTTCGGCAGGCCACCTCTATCCGCTCCATCCGCTCCCTCGCCCCTCTCCTGGACCGCGTGCTCGTCCAGCGCATCAAGGCCGAGACCAAGACCGCCGGCGGCATCCTCCTCCCCGAGTCGGCCGTCGAGAAGCTCAACGAGGCCAAGGTCCTCGCCGTCGGCCCCGGCGCCCTCGACAAGAAGGGCAACAGGCTGCCCATGGGCGTCCGGGAGGGCGACCGTGTTCTGATTCCCCAGGTATGCAATGCACGTGCACTAGACAAGGAAGAGACGTACTAATCCGACGTTGTAGTTTGGCGGCTCCCCCGTTAAGGCTGGCGAAGAGGAATATCAGCTCTTCCGTGATAGCGAGTGAGTTACACATCCAATCGGGCCCCCATGCGGGCACACCAGAACTAACGCGCGATGAAACAGGATCCTCGCCAAGATCAACGAATAACCGCAACAAAAACCTCGAAATCTGGAGTCCCGAGCAGAGGCTTGCTGTACCAATAAATATGTACCAAAAAGGGAACAAAAAAAAGGACAAACCCATGTCATGTCATGTCATAGGAGGAGCGTGTTCTGTTTGCATAGAGAAATGGTGTAATATATGGGCTGTCTTCCAGTATCGTCGTCTCGCAGCGCCATCCCAATGCGCATCGAATGACCTTGACTCGACTCTGTGTGTGTACTTTCACCGACCAAGGGAGAGGACAGCTTTGCATTACAGTCGCCTTGGTGTTTCCTTCTCCTCGGCGCGGTTGGGCAGTCTCAATGTCTGTCAACGTCGGAATAAGCATGTCTCTCCCCGAGACAGGAGATGCGCCATCCAGGCGGAGCCGCCAGCCCATCGTTGCATGCACGTCGTACGGAGCTACTACGTAGACGCCCGATCAATCCCAAGCCGGTGTGTCGTGCTCGTGCATCTGGGGATTTAAGATTGGAGGAGATGGGCCAGGCATGTCGATCCGATCCCACAGACTAGCTTCGTCGCATGAAACAAACTAGCTCCTACGCATCATCCGGGGCAATAAACATTAGCTCAAGCTCAGGCGATCCTTCGACCCCTGATGCTCAGCAGCAGCTGTGGGACGTCGCTTCGTAGATCCAGCATGTTGGTTGGCAGTAGTAGCCTTGGCGGTGCCATGAGAGCCCATTTCTCCCACTGCGAACTCACCTCGATGATTTAAACTCCGAACCCGTCGCGCAGACTTCATGTTGAAACAACTTCTGCCCAGCTGGCCTGGTCAGCCGCCCAAGTCTATTATGTACTACGTGAATTCCGTGATCGACTTGCCAACATGAAAGCGGCAAGCCCCTGTGGCCTCGGTCGGCGGCTATGTCGCACTACTGCACGCGCCAGAAGGACGCGTTTCGTTTCATCGCTGTCTAACCTTCTTCCTACCTACGCATCTTCGCCGCGCGCATGAGCTGGTCTTGAAACAAGTGGCTGCCGCCTTGGCTGTGCCATTGTTCACACAAAGACTTTTGTGCACTTGTACGTACCATCAACGAGGAGAGAACGCCTGGTATATAATATCATGCTGCTTGGCCTTCCCTTGTGCTTGGTTCAACAGCCTGAACCACAACATTCGTTGACAGCTGTCTGCGTTCCCTTCTCTCGTCCTTCTTTCAATAACTTCATTCAACCAACACTCTTTTTCTTTCGGCCTTGAAGGTCTTTATCTATCTCGCCAGTCCAACTTGACGTTGTGGCCCAGCTACGATACCCCTGATCTTGACGATCACTACCATCATTGATTTGATTCTACGCCTATATATCACCCTTCATACCTGACAATATGAAGTCTGTCATCACAATTCTTGGCCTGGCCTCTGTGTCCAGTGCCCATACTCTTTTTACAACTTTCTTCGTAGATGGAGAAAATCAAGGCGACGGCACTTGCGTTCGCATGCCCAAGGACGGCGCAACATCGACTGCACCCATCTATCCACTGACTGGCAATGACATGGCCTGCGGTCAGTATCCCCTTTCCTGAAGTTATTCCGTCTGCTAACCTTTCACAGGTCGTGATGGCGAGGACGCCGTGCCATTCATCTGCCCAGCCACGGGTGGTTCCACGCTCACCTTTGAGTTTCGCGAATGGCCCAACGCCGAGAAGCCTGGGTCGATTGACGAATCCCACCAGGGGCCCTGCTCCGTCTACCTGAAAAAAGTAGACGATATGTTCTCCGATTCTGCGGCCGGCGACGGCTGGTTCAAGATCTGGGAGGACGGCTACGATGCCGACACGGGCAAGTGGTGTGTCGACACTCTCATCGAAAACAATGGCCTCTTGTCCGTGGACCTGCCCACTGGCCTCCCGAGCGGCTACTACCTCGCCCGTCCGGAGCTGCTGGCTCTGCACCAAGCGTATAGTGGGGACCCGCAGTTCTACCAGTCCTGCGCGCAGATCTTCATTGAGAACGGGCCGGAGACCGAGCTCGCCATCCCAAGCGAGTACGCGGTCAGCATCCCCGGCTACATCGAGGCGGATCACCCCGGCTTGACGTTCAACCTGTACTCGGACTCGCCGACGGACTACAAGATCCCCGGGCCACCCGTGTACATTCCCGTCTCGTCGTCCTCTGGCAAGAAGCAGATTCAGTCTGAAGGAGCCATCCCGGACAGCTGCATCCTGAAGAACGGCAACTGGTGCGCCAAACCGGTGCCCGCGTCCAGCGACGTCGAGAGCTGCTGGGACAGCGTCGATGATTGCTGGGCGCAGGCGGAGCAGTGCTGGGACTCGGCGCCCGTGTCCGGTGGCGCCGGCTGTGAAGTCTGGGCCGACTACTGCACGAGTCTTGGCTCGGCATGCGAGGCTGGCGACTACAACGGTCCAGCCAAGTTCGCCGGCGAGGAAGTCTTTGCGCCTTTGCCGGGTGCGATCCCCGAATCCTATGGCAATGTGTTTGAGACGACCAAGGTCACCACTGGCGTTGGCAAAGTGGTCGAGGACGAGGAGGCCGCACCCAGTGAGCCCGAGGATGTCGAGGAGCCAGCCGTGTCTGAGCCCGTGCTTGACCCTGCCCCTGAGCCTGAACAGCCTGAGCCTGAACAGCCTGAGCCTGAACAGCCTGAGCCTGAACAGCCTGAGCCTGAACAGCCTGAGCTAGTGGTCTCTGAAGACGGTCGCTGTGGTGGCGAGACTGGCCAAACCTGTGTAGGCAGCTCTTTTGGCGACTGCTGCTCCAAAAAGGGACGCTGTGGGCGAAAGACCAGGCACTGCACTTGCGGGTGCCAGACCGCCTTTGGCGAGTGTCGTCAGTACTAGACTGCGACAGTACTTGTTTTGGTCTGCCATGCAAGGTGAAATATCTGGCCCACTTCGATTCTTGTATATGACAATATGAGGAATGTTCATTGAGGGCTAGACGTACACACATAAGCTGGGACTTTGTAGGCAAACTTTGGTACATGTATTTTGTCTGGCAACCTGCCTCCTTATTTCTTTCCCTTACACTGGAAACAGTGAACGAGTGAGTGTTCCAGCCTGTAGGAGGTGGCAAAACGTACTCGACGCACGACTCTAGGACAAAGGATAGTCAACAGAGAAAAGGGGTTCAATTGGCCTGGTTTCATGACCCAGGCCAAATGTCCCCTTCTGAACAGAATGACGCAGAAGTATTCCCTGCCACCTAAAAATAAATTTCAGAAAGTACCCAAGTAATCAGTTCAATCTGAGTAGATACTCAGGGTATGTTGCACGCGTGTGTTATCGCTGCCGGAGCCAGGCGCTGTCGGAGCCAGAAGTATAGTAACTATCGCGCACCAGTGCCCCGAAACTAGCACGCAGACCCTTCGTTTCAGATCTCTGTACTTGACAGGATATCAAGGCAAATGATCGAGACTTTCAAGAATGTCAATTCTAAATGACTGTTCTATTCATTAAGCGTCCCTTGTGTTCCTCGCAGCCTAGGACCGGGACGCACAAGGCACAAGACAGCACGGCACGGCACAGGCGAGGAGATCTTAGGCACGGTTCAGCACAAGTCTGGAAGTGTATCCAATCTATTTCCATCAGCTCGACTCAGCTTTTGTGTTGAGATCAGCATGCGTCGTAAACTCGATCTTCCCTGGTGTAAACCAGACATCGTTCGTCACGAGGACGACTGTGTCGCGCTCAAGGAGTATAAGGAACTTTTGCAATCCATACAACTTAACGATACTGCTTCCCCCCTACTTCACAGACTCATAAATACCCAGGATGCTGTCCAAGGCGGGACTCACGGTCCTTGTGCTGGCTGCGACAGTCCAAGCCGAGGACAAGGTTGCCTACCTCTACTAGACCCTGGACTTCTGCGGCAGAAAAATGGATATCAAGCTGTAAAATAACTGCGTCGCGCGGGGGCGAGATTTGTGAGAAGACTTCCTAGCCGTTCCGGTAACGTGTATATGAAATCGCTAACATGGCTCCTTTTACGCATAGTTTCCACGAGGTTGGGGTCCATCGGCATTCCCAGCCGATCTGACCTGCCTGTGGGCAAGAAGGCCATCTGTACCCTTTTTCGGTACATCTTTTGCTCTTCTTGGATCTCGCGCGTGGCTCACACGAGAATGTGGCCCTTTGACTCGATGCCACGGGACGCAGGACTGTAAGGAAGCGGACGCCATCTACAGCTCTGTCACCTACCAACGCTCCCATTACGACATGTACAAGCGCACCCCGGAGAGTCTCTACGCCGTCGGCTACCTCACTGGCAGCGTCAAGGGCGAGCTTGTGGATGTTGACAAGGAGATAGAAAAGGGGTACAGCCACATGTCCACCACCAGCGAGTCGGCCTGCGTCGGCAAATCTTGCGGATCCGACAACGACTGCCCACGCAACTCCTTTAGCTCCTTGGTTGTACTGCGAGAGATTCAGGGCCAACAAGTGCCAGCGATCTCAAGATCGGAACAAGTGCATGAATGCCGGGGCGGTCTGTCGCTCGGACTCAATGTGCTGCCCGAAAAATTGTGCTTTACAAGCCGCACCAGAGCTGCTTGGCATCTGCGAATGATACTAAGGGTGTCTGCGGCTCCAGGACACATGTGGCTTATTAGATAGCTACGAGTATAAGTGCCACGGAGGCTCAGACTCATCGACGTAGATGAGAGATGGGGAGATGGGCGGGCTTAGAGGCTATGAACGAAAGCCATTCGAACCATGTTTGGAAAGGTCTCATTCAATAGTCAATACAAATACTCGACGCTCAGTCGAGGACAAGGCTTGGTGCTACTTACCTGTACGGACGCATGTTGACCACCAGCCACATGTCTGGCTTCGACGGTGACGCCATCGGTGATGCCAGAGGGTCAACTAACCACAGGATCTTGCCTTATTTAGCTGGTAGGCAGCATCAGGACCTGAACAGATACGCTTTCACTGTTTCCAGGGAACATGTATTTCCGCTTGTCAGATGACGGCATGCGCGTAGCTGCTTTCTGTGAAGCCGGATCACAGCAGGTAAGTCAGATGCAGTCAAGATGCGGCGGATCATAGGAGTTTGAATATGTAAGGCAATGAATGTGTCTTAAGGTGCAGTCTGCAGATAGCGCTAAAATATGGATACCCTACCACTGCCACACCCGCTGTAGTCGGCGGCGACCCACTGGACCGAAGACGGTCAGTTGGGAGGTTGGATCTCCAGGTTCCAGGTTCCAGCCCGTCCTCGAATCCAGGTTGAGCCCGCCCGTCCCTCGTCCCCGTGCGTACAGTCTGCTCCAGTCGTTCACCTGCATCGCCATCGACCTGCCCGTCACGCCGCCAAGTCCAGAACACAGTCGAGCGCGGCGCCCCCGATTTCAACGACTCCTTCACTGCCTGCCTGCCTTCCAAGCGACCTCTACCGAAGTCTCCCCCACGAAAGCACGCCCGACCGATCTTCCAGAACCACCCGCGCCTCATCTCCCAAGCAGACGGACGGACGCACTCGCCCATCATGTCGAGTAATCGCAACTATGACTTTCTCGTACGCACAAACCAGGCCGTCTCCCACCGCCATGCGCGCATTGCCTCCGTCACGCCGCGTTGATAGCATCGTCGCCCGCGTGGTGGCGGCGGCGGCAGCAGCGCAAGGAAACCCACCCACCAAAGACCCCTATCTACTATACCCATACCATACCCACATCCGCGATACGACACCCTCCTTCTTCGTGGCCTCCTGCTGACGCGCGCTCGTCCTCTAGATCAAGCTCCTCCTCATAGGTGACTCGGGCGTCGGCAAATCATGCTGTCTCCTGCGCTTCAGCGAGGACTCCTTCACCCCCTCGTTCATCACCACCATTGGCATCGACTTCAAGATCCGCACGATTGAGCTCGACGGCAAACGTGTCAAGCTCCAGATCTGGGACACGGCGGGCCAGGAGCGCTTCCGCACCATCACCACCGCCTACTATCGCGGTGCCATGGGCATCCTGCTCGTGTACGATGTCACCGACGAGCGATCATTCAACAGTATGAAAAGAAACCCCGCCTTTTGGCAGGAAAACGCTATTGATCACTGACACTTGGCAACAACAGACATCCGCACATGGTTCGCCAACGTGGAGCAACACGCCACCGAGGGCGTCAACAAGATTCTCATTGGCAACAAGTGCGACTGGGAGGACAAGCGCGTCATCAGCACCGAACAGGGCCAAGCCCTCGCCGACGAGCTCGGCATCCCCTTCCTCGAGGTCTCCGCCAAGAGCAACATCAACATTGACAAGGCATTCTACTCGCTGGCCGCCGACATTAAGAAGCGTCTCGTCGACAACTCCAAGAGCGAGCAGTCGGCGAGCACAGGCGTCAACGTCGGCGACAAGGCGAGCAGCGGTGGCAGCAAGTGCTGCTGAACGAATACCTACCATGGGAGTACAGATCAGGAGGACTGTGACAAGGTTAGCCTCTGACATTAACCCGAGGGGCAGCGAGTCGAGGAACCCGAGCGAGTGCGCGCTGCGTGGTGTCGCCACAATGGGATTGCCCGTTGGCGCAATTACGAGGAGAGACTGACAGCCCGGGAGCCGCTCACGCCGGCCAGAAGACAAAGCGGAGGGAGGCCTGTCGTTTACCATGTTTCATTTGTGTCGTCGTCGTTGTTGTTGCTGCTGCTGCTGTACAGCCATCCTGAGTTGGTCTCTTCATCGCCGTTTGCGATCCGACCCCCTTTCGAGCAGATACCGGTCTGGAGTTTCTGGATTCCTTTTTGAGCTGGGGGCTAATGCGAATATCCGTCGTTCATTGTCTTTGACACAAAAAGGCCTCCCTGGTATGCGCAACGTGCGATTTTGGTACTTCTTTTTACACTGATATACAGCATCGTACATAGTAAAGACAAGGCCACACGCACCCTCTGCTACCAATTGAGCACCGCGACGCGGCACATGCGCTGCTGTGTAGCCGTTTGACCTCCCTTATTAGCACATGCCAGCGTTCTCCCGTTCCAATGACGCTGGAATCGTCTGGCTTCCCACTCCGTCTCACACACAAGGGCGAAGCGCGATGTACAGTGATCCTCAGCCTTGGTCCATGATTTGGTGTTTGGCAGCCAGACGGGGTCCGCCACGTCCCAAGGCTCGCCTCTCTGTGCACCATCGGCCTCAATCTCTCCCCTGAGGGCTTCTTCATGTATCCTTCCCGGCATCATCTCCAGGATCACGGTCGGGGGCTTCGTGCCGTGGCCAGCCGCCTCAAGTTGTAGCTGTAACGACCTCTGCCACGCTGCTGGCTTATTGCTGGTCCTTTTCCTCTGTATCATAATGCTAGGCTGCGAAGGCGTGACCATGGTCAGCGCGGACAGTTCCTGCGCGGCTGGCAACCCCTCTGGTGAGTGAAGATGGGCAGGGAGCGTGGCCTCCCAGAGGCCATTCGGGACATCATACTTCCAGCGCGCTATAGCTTGCAGGCGCTGCAGCTTGAGGGAATACGCCGTCGCGGCCTCCGCACTCGCAAAGGTGACGAGGTAGCAGCCTTTGGGTTTGAGTGTTACTGCACAGCGTAGTTGGGTCACTGTTGGCTTGGTCAGCAGGTGCTCACGAGGGGGTGGACGAGAGGATCGGTTGCGCACCCATCTTGACACCGTCGTTCCACGCAGAGAGCGATTTGGGGGCCAAGCGATGAAAGTCGCTCGGAGTCAGGTTAGTGCTGACGCCTGAGATGACCAACATGTGTTTGTTGTGGTCCGTTTCCGCCTTGTCGCCCGCCTGTTTACTTGTTCCCTCGGACGTAAACCGTAGCTCCCCCTCCATCGGTCCAGTCTTGACGGGTTTTTGCTCATCTGGCCGTCGTATGCCGACGCTCGGTACAGTCCTGCCTCGAGGGCCCTCTGATCGCCTGTGTGAATCCAGCCAGGGGCGTTGCTCAGGTCTCTGTCGTCGCGTTGCAAAGGGCCATGCCTCTTGCGCCCAGCTGCGTGTTTCCACACCCTTGTTCTCCTGGCGTTGCTCAAAAGAGCCCCGTCCACCAGGGCTGAACGGCTTTCTGGGGGCATCAACCTCCCATGGCTGGGACCTGGATCGAGGCTTCGTCAGTCGCGCTCGACCAAGGCTGCGCTGATTGCCATGGCCGAAAGCTTCACTGGCGAGTAGTCTGCCGGATAGCCGCATGTGGAGATACTACCGCAGCACGGTCATTCGAGGGGAGGAATATTTGGACATTTGACGCGTTGAGCTGTGGGTGATAATTCACGAGCGAGCATCGGTCGCTTCGCGACATTCTTCACCTCACGGCACAACGAGTTGCTCAAGGATTTTAGTGGGTCGCGCTCATCCATCTCATTTTGCTCATACGCCGCGAACAGAAACTCATGAAAAACACAATCATTGTGATATTTCAATAATATTGTCATCACCTTTTTATTAATTCAGGGACTAGAAGAAATCTGTTCAGGATATTGAATTTTCCTTCACCAGCCCCGGACATGCCGCCGACGAAAACTGTCGAGGCAAAGGTTCGGCCCTTGGCGAATCAAAGTCTTGAGAAAGCGAGTCTGCAAGGCGCTGCGAGGCTCTATGTGAATCGCGATGCCCTTATTGCTCTGACGGGAAGCCTGGATAATGGGAAACCCTGCTTTGTGGCCAGAGCGGACGGCGACGTACCCTTGAAAAGAGAGGGAAGCCTCTGGGTCTTGACGGACAAGAATATCAGCCCGAACGTTGTCATGATGAGCAGAGCCTTCCAGGAGGCCACCGGGTTCAAGATTGGAGATGCTGTTCAGATCACGACGCCGGAAGGAAAGACGGAAGTGGAGGACGCCGAGGAGATCGTTGTGCAGGACACCACAGAGGATGATGAAGATGGCTCTGACTGGAAGTACCCGCCGTCTTGGGAGTCGACCATTGCTGGGTTACTGAGTACGTGATCCTGAATTTTCCCCCGTGACTACCTGCTGATGCCCTATTCATAGACAAAGCGGGAGAAGTGTTCCCTGGCATGACGCTGGAAGCGAATGCCAGCAAACTCCGTCGAACCTTCAAAGTCCTCTCTGCCAACTCGCGGAGAGCCAGCATCGCACGTTTCCGGACGGGATCAACTGCGATACGCATCGTCAAGCAGGATGTAGCCGAGGCCGATCACGCTGTTCAACCACGCGGAGACCTCTCCATTGCACCAGTCCCTGGAATGGCCACGCAGACAAAACATATCAATAACTTCCTCTCCAACTTCTCCCGCCAGCTGACGTTTCCCAACGCGCGCAGATCATGCGGGTACGTGGTCCATGGCGGGCACGGCACAGGCAGGACCTTCATCCTCGAGCGCATAGCCGAGACCAACTGGGGCAAAGTGCACTGGATCAAGCCGTCAGACAAGCTCGCCGCCATCAGGGAGATCTTCAAGCAGGCGCAGACCCAGCAGCCGTCCATGGTTCTCATCGACGACTTTGAGAAGCTGATCCCCTCCGATCGACAGAACCGTGACGCCATCATAGAGACCCTGGCCGATGAGCTCGACGGTCTCTCCGCGAGGACAAAAACACTAAAGGCTCTGCCGCAGCTGGTGATCGTCGTCACATGCACCGATTATTATACGGACATTCCGGTCGAACTCCAGAACATCACCAGGTTGAGGGCGAATGTTGCGTTGCCCATACCCCGAGCCCCTGAACGTCTCGAGATCCTGAAGTACCACGATCCTCCCATGTACCCGGCCGAGAAAGACGCTTGCCTGGAGGAAATCGCCAACAAAACCCACGCGTACAACTGCAAAGATCTCAGCTACATTGTCAGCGACGCCATGGCCTTGCGGGAGACGGCCCTCGCCCAAGAAGGAGGGCCCAACGGCCAACCCGAACCCGACGGGCCCAACGATCAAACCAACCACTACGTCACGCGCGAGGACATGCTGGCGGCGCAACGAGGGATCCGACCAGCCGCCATGCGAGACATCAACCTGCAGCCCCCCATTGTGCACTGGACCGACGTCGGCGGTCAGGAAGAGGTCAAGAAGCGCCTCTCGCACATGATCCGCCTGACCAAGAACACGGACCCCAAGGTCCGCGCATTCCTCCCCAAGCCCCCCAAGGGCCTGCTGCTGTACGGCCCGCCCGGCTGCTCCAAGACGTTGTCCGCGCAGGCCATGGCCACCGAGGCCTCGTTCAACTTTTTCGCCGTCAAGGCCGCCGAGCTGCTCAACATGTACGTCGGCGAGTCGGAGCGCGCGGTGCGTGATCTCTTTCAGCGCGCACGCGCCGCGTCGCCGTCCATCATCTTCTTTGACGAGATAGACTCCATGGGCGGTACCCGCGCCGGTCCTGGGGCTGCCAAGACGGCCGGTGGCGTCAACATGTTGACCTCGCTCCTCACGGAGATGGATGGCTTCGAGAGCCTCGAGGGCGTGCTCATCTTGGCCGCCACAAACAGGCCGGACGCCATGGACCCTGCGCTCCTCCGACCCGGTCGCTTCGATCACATTGTGTACGTAGGACCCCCCGAACAAGCGGCGCGCGAAGCCGTGTTCAACGTCCATCTCAGGGGCAAGACGCTCGCCCCAAATGTCGACATTGCCGAGTTAGCCCGTCTGGCGGAGGGCTACTCAGGCGCCGAGATCGCGTCCATCTGCTCAAAGACAGCGGAGGAGGTGCATAGAAGGTATCTCGATGGCGAGGGCGAGCTGGAGATCTCCATGGACGGGTTGCTGGCGGCTATGGCGCAGCAGTCCAAGGGGATCACGAAAGACATGATTGATGGTTATGAGAGATGGGCCCAACGATTCAAGAGTAAATAGGTACATGAGGGCCGAAACGAAAAGAAGAAACGTCATGTATAATGCCAAAGATGTACGTGCAAGAGTGTCTATACTCTATTCACCCGCCACATAGATACCGTACGACCCTCCTCGGGCTCGCTAGCCTGGCGCACTTTGCGCGCACACACACCATCTCGCACCGTTACAAAGCCAAGTCATATACCTCGTCAAGGTTGTGCAAGAAGACGGGAGGGGGAAAAAAAATGTCAATATCGTTTCAACGCCGGCCAGACGCCATCCTATGGGCGGCCCGTCCGTCCTCCATCCGGCTTCGCTTCAAATACCATCTAAGCCAATGGTTTGTGTGTTCCATGCCAATTTGTGAAAAAAATGACCAGTCTCTTCGTACAACAACAACAACAACAACAACAACAACAACAACAAGTGACCGAAACGCCTTCGCCTTTGAATGTTCGCCGCGTGTCCATGCCCCTCGCTCACGCGTCACCGTCCGTCCTCGCGTCGCCCGCGCCGGACTTGAGAGTCGGCGAGAGGCTGATGGCGATCTTCTTGGGCGCCCCGTTGCCGCTGCTGGGACTGAAGCTCTTCCGCCGTCGACCCATGCTGGCCGACACTGTCGCACTCGAGCCTGACGACGAGGTGCTATTGCGCCGTTTGTTCTGCATGAGTTTGTCGATCTCGTCCTCTTCATCCTCCTCACGTCTCCTTTTCTCGGCAATGCGTTCTGGCGGGCCACCGGCGCTTGCACTCGAGTCAGAGCTTTCGCTACTCGGTGAGAGATCACCTGGCTGTCGAGCGTTGGGGTCGGCGTTCTCATCGCCTTCCTCGTCCGAGGGGTAGTCAACCAGTGGTTTGGTGGGTGTCATCGGTCCATTACTCCCCAGCGTCTTCTGCCCGATGCGCTCAGGACCCTCGTCTTCGTCTTCAGGGTCTGATGTGTTCCAGTACTCCTCTTCCGCGGGATCCATAGTGATGTGCTCCATCATCCTCGAGTTCGGGGCTTGCCTCCTTCCCGACTCATCATCTGTCTCGAGGAACAGCTCCATGTTGATGGTGTATCCCTGCGTGTGATCATACCGCTGAAGGAGCTCGCGGAATGTCTGTAAATAGCTCAGGTTCAACAATTGCTCCCGGTGATTTTCGACAAGGTGCTTCACTAGATTCTTGATGTTCTCCTTTTTGATAAACTCGAACATCTCCAACGACGCAGAGCTGAGCAAGTTATCGCGGGAGATGGCCTTTGACACCACTTGGAGAACAGGGTCGAATATGCGCTTGTCTGTCAAGTGGTTGATAAAAAACTCTTCTTGCATGCCGATGAGTGCACGGAAGAATCGGATCGCAACTACTGGACATTAGCAAGATATTCATAGACATGAGGACGAAGTCCTTACCGAGCTGCAAAAACTTCTCGGGCGACTGGAGAAGTTGCGCAACTCTCGCCACGATATCATTGTTCATGACAAAATATCGACTGAGAGCATGGTGCTGGCGGATGAAGAAGCACAGTATCTCCACCAGGTAGCTGAACATGGACGCCTGCTGGACCGAGAAATGCATGTCCGATCGATTTTCCAAGTCTGTCAGGGGTTTGAAGAGCTTTGCAGCCGAGCGCTCGTAGAATTGCTGCAAGAACAGTTCCTGCTGAGGATCCGCCTGTGGCCTCGGTCTCCCATGAAAGTCCCCATTTGCCGCGGCCTGCTGGAACTTTTCGGGCATTTGTTGCTGCATCATCATGCCTTGGTCCAAGAGAACCTTGATCGCCTCTGAGATCTGTGATTTGACTCCGAGGTCCACTTCGACAAGCAAGAGCTCGATCAATGAATCGGTCAATGGGGGCTGATTTTCGTTCATCTGTCGGTATATTGTCTGGCGGATCATCTGGGGATCGTGGTCGATTATTGAAATGAGGATGTCCGTGGCACCCACCCTCGCAGCGACATCGCTATGCTTGAGACCGTAGATGATGACCTGTAACAAGCCGTGGGAAACAAAGTTGTTGTACAGGTTCTGCCGCGAGGGCGGCTGGATATTCTTCGCGATCGCGCAGCATTGCTGGATAAACAGAACCGCTTCTTTCTTTGAGCTGGCATCGGTGTCTGGGTCTGCGAAAATGCCAAAAAGATCCTTGAGGAACTGTGCATTGCCCTGGAGGTGTTGCACAATGTCCACTTGGTTGAAAAAGATCAATGAGTTGAGCACGGAAAAAGTCGGATCGTCGAGTATACGGGCCAGTACCACGTCCTTGAGGTATTGTAACCGGTATGTTTGGTGGATCTTCCGTCTTGTACCCTCATCTTCGATCGGGACGACCTCCTTATACCGGCCTTTGTTATCCAACCAATGACGGTGATTAGCCTTGTGGCTGGGAAAGTCGGGATCGTATTCGAGGGCTCCGACCACGCCCAAAACGCATTCGTCGGATACGGCGTGCTCGATAATGGACGTGTCGTTGAGCAAAATGATGCTCTTCATGATGTTGCACAAGCGATGCAGATCCTGGAGGCTCTCCAGATCTTCCGCCATCTCCACGAGGGGAATGAGTTTGCCAATGTAATCCTCGGCCATGATGGTCTTGGTGAGCGCTTCCCGGCCGTTGACAGTAGAGCCCATGATGCGCATACTGGTTTCGATATCACTCAGGTTGCCCAGCTCGGCAGCGGGGAGGTTGATTGTGGGGGGCCCGTCCATCGCGAGATCCTCAGATAGCGTATCGTCTACTCCGCCAAGATTGTTCTGCAGCGCGTGCTGCACGTTGCTCACGAATCTCCAAATCGCAGAGCAGCCCTCGGACTCCTGGAAACTGAGCGCCATATCGATCCCGTTGACAGGTTCTGTCCATACGATGAGAGTTTCTGGTGGCGCGGTTCGTTAGTTTTGGCATCTGAAAGCCAACGTGACTAGGTGCCCACCTTGCTGTTTCTGGAACATATCCTCTTTATGGATTTTTGTCTCTAGAAGCAAACGTTCTGGCTGGTCCTCCGACTCGACGATGACCTTGGGTTCCTTGCGGCCCTCGGCATTCTGGACAATGCAATGTCAGTCACGCGACATTTTGATGCAGCAAGCCACTCCCACCCGTCGCCAAGCGGGGGAGCGCGACGACGTATGATATATGGCAGCGACATACCTGGACGAGATTCGCCATGCAGAAGCCGGTGCCGCGATCGAACCAGTCATTGTTGCGGAGTTCGTAAACCTTGACGCGCTTCTTGTCCGTAGCGTGATGAGGCACCGGCTGTGCCATCATCAAAGGCTCGGTATCGCCCTCCGCAGGGAGGTCGTGATTATATGCGACCAGGTCGGGAGCAATGTCGAGGTGCTGCTGAAGGGATAGTTCGGTGGTTGTGTCGCTGGAGGAGAGGATGGTGAGCGCCGCCACGTTTTCTGGAGAGGGTGCGCCGAGGGCGAAGCCGCGGACGCGCGCAAAATCAATCGGCTGGTCGAGCGGCAAAGTACACACAAGCAGGAGAGAGCAAGCAATGCGACACGTTGAGCAAGGTGCGCGCGCTACTGCGGACGAGGTGAGGCGGGTGCGGTGCTTCAATGCGACATGGAAAAAGGCGAGTTAGATGTGGAGGCCAAGGATGCTCCACGGATGGAGGCTCAGTCTATCTGTCGGGTGTCAATGTGTGGTGAGGTGTGCCCGCCTAGAGGTGATGCAATGCTATGCAGGCCTGGCCAGACCGTACGAACCACCGGCGTTAAAGGCACCTGTTGCAGCCAGTGGCGAGAGCGGATGCCTAACGGGCGGGGCGGGCACGTTGGCGGCGGGCCGACCAGCACGTGACCAGCGCATGGCTACCTTACAGTCAATCGTTCAGACTCCATGCTGTTATCGTTCCTGCACACAGCCAATCGGCATGCAACCTCCACAGTCGCCCATCATATTTAGCGGAGCGCAGCATTGCGAGTCTGCGACTTTGTAAGTGAGAATGAACGCGGCTCACGAACCTTGAACTTTCTTCGAGGTCACATATGGTATTCCACTACATGTAGGCGATCAAATCCCCGCTAGCGCCAGCACTTGAAGACAAAGTGCGTCTTTGGACTCGTATAAACATTGAGCGTCATCGAGGATGGAAAGGGTGTCCAGCCTCTCCAGCGACATATAGCGAGGACTCGCCTACTTCTGCAGTACTAAAGATTTGGCGCACTCGAACAACACGTTCTGGGCCTCACAGTCGAGTTGCAGACAAGCACTATGAATTCATGGACGATGTGGCGCGGAGCAAAGCAGTGCGAGTCTCGTCATGTTGCCTCCCAGGCTGTCCTGTCATCTGAAGAAGCGCTCACACGGGTCAATCAGTGAGCACACCTAACACATACTTACTCCTCCCTCGCTCTGGGTTCATTGCAGTCAAATCATGGTCTGTGAGTAAGTTCATGGTGGCTTGAAACTTGTAAATTCTCCCACAACCATACCTTTGGTTCGCCTGGGGGGTTGACTTCGATGAACGTGGCTTGTAGCCATCACACCAGATCCCTTCTCAGGTTTTTCTACTTCGAAGTACGTACACGGTACGTACAGTAGACTCCATACCGTCCTTCGCCAAGACACCATTTCGGCGCATGGGTTCTAATCTCTGGGACGACCCGAACGAGCTTTCACCAAACCTGCAGCACGGTAACTACCTAAGAGCAGCTGGGATCTCCTGACCGCAGCTACGAATTCTTCAACAAAATTGCGAAGGTGTCGTCATTATCGTCGCTCACGAGGCAGCCAAGAAAACGGCCAATAGTGCAGGGCGGAGTGGTGCAGGCAGCTTCCCAATAGTGCCTAGGCTGGCTCCTTGTCGTGAGGAGAAAGCTTGGTTGAAGAACCGGGAGAATACGATAAACATGCAAGATCCAGGATCTGTTAATAGTTATCTTTAAAAGGTTCCACTGCCGGCTCAACTATCCCAGCCAATAGACCGGTTCAATCGCAGCCAACCCATGGCGCCACGGTCCAGTTGCGTGCCTTGCGCGCGGCGCCCGTGTCGGAGCCAAGAGGCCCAAGACACTCCACCGTTGGCGCTAGTATCAGCGGTTTCGAGTCCAGTCCAGCCTGAACCTAGCAGGAGAAGCCCGCCGCAGGGGCCCCGAATCCCCGATCCTGCTTTAAAGGGGAGCACGGCTGCACGGAACTATCCAAGAAATACAAAGATCAATGGCCATCATGTCTTCTCTGCTCATTCTCCTCCCTCGAATTCGGCTTTCCTCGTCGTGAAGAATTATCCCGAGCATTCTGCACCGCACAGTCCTTGCCGACACCACAGCCCAACCCATCCGGCTCACTACCTCGTCCTGCGTGTCCCAGACAAGACCCAGCTACAGACGACTATTACCTTAGCCGCAGCCACAACCGCTGCCCGTGCCTGACGATCGATCATCAAGCAGTTGGCTGCACACCGAGGCCATTCCAGAAGGCATTCCGAACATTCGAAAGCCACAAAGCAATCAAAGTCTAAATTACAAACTTTCGATTTCATCAGATCTTACCGTTAGCGTGTGGCTGCGAGGAGACGGACGACGCGTCGACTGCTTGGATGTCGCCTACATAATTCACCATGTCCATCTTCTCAAATCTCCGTAAAAGCAGGCAGACGGCCAAAGAGCACAATACGAAACGAGCCGAGCAGAAACAGCAACAACAGTCTCGCACACCCTACCGACATGTCCCTACACACGCAGCAACGGACGCCTACAACTGTGCGCCGCCGGCATGGCGAGAAGCGACTGACCGGCCCAAGATCATTGAGCAGAACAGGAGACGAAGCGCCATGACCCCGGTGTCTCACCACGGCAGCATGCCTGGTCCCAACTTCCCGCGTGTGGGGAGCAGTCTATCGAATGTGTCGTATCCTTGGCAGGCCACTCCAGGCGCCTCGGCTCGTCTGCCTCGTGCATACAGCCACACGGGCGTTTCACCATATGACAATGGTAGCCGCGATGTTATCTATTCGATTCCCGACGTCAACCGCTCCCAGCCGGAAGGTTTTGGTGAGCGCTCCCCGGTGGAAAGCAACTCTGATTCGACAAGCTCGCACGGTGATCTGGAGTTGGGAGCACCCAGGGCTCACGCAGCATCATCACAGCCATCGTCAAGTGCGCCCTCTCACAGACTCCACCCTCGATCCCGCTCTCGTCAAGCTTCAGATGCGTCTCTCGACAGGAAAGCAATGTCGAGCACAACCAACCACCGAGTTGCGGCGCGGGACACTCGACCGCCCCCATCTGTCCGTGGGTTCAATTTCGTCAGAAATACTGCGAGCCCGACGCCAGTTGCGGTTGGGACCGCGCCAGTACCTTTGCCTGTGGATATCATCTCTCCACGGTCCGAAGAAATGGCCATCCCAAGTGCCGGCCCTACGCGTCATAACTCAGCCATGTCATTGCCAGCACTCACTCCTGGTTCATCCAAGTATCCTTCGCCCTCCGTGGCCCCGTCACTGTCGCCGTCTGATGCACCGGCTTCAGGGTTCTACTTGAACTCAAGCGACGCCGCGTCGTTTTCAAACATGTCCTACTTCGCTGAGCCTGTCAAGCAAGTGGCGATGTATGAGCCTGAGACAATGGCGAAATCTGAATTACGGGAGACTCGCTTCAAAGAAAATATCCCAATGGAGAAATTTTGCGCTGCACAAGGAACGCCTGAGTTTGCGGCAGACGTCGCTCCAAGCAGCAAAAAATCGAGCAAGAAAGGCGCGAAGCTGGTGAAGAAGAACCGTGGCGCAAGTCAGGTTGCTGCAATGTAGAGCATGAAAATGGTACACGGGATTTTTGGGTATAATTGCGTTGACGTGGGTTGTTTCGTTAGCTGGCGTTCTGGCAGGTTTGGGAGCTTTGTTCGTGGGACATTCGGGGCATCCACGCTTGAGCATAAGTTATTAGATTACACGACATGACGAACTGGTTATCTTCATGCTGCCTCCCGGAATCAACGTTGCCGCTGTGGCTGTGCGAGGATTGTGACACAACTCTACGGCAAGCGTCATTCTCGTCAGTCAGGGCTTTCGGGCTGTTGCATGGAGTAGAAAGTGCGAATGGAGCAGTCCTCGTAGAGATGCTGATGCTTCGAAGCCCACATTAGCATGGAAATATACAGCATCGTTGCCCAATGGCAACCATGAAAATGGATGAGTATTTAGAAACAGCCAGACTGAGACCAAGACCCCGCGACTTGTGAGGTTCCAGTGATGCCTGTGACGACGCGACATGGACTGGAACCCCACCACGAATCACTGGCACTAGCGGCGGGCCCGGGCCATCTCCACCCGGCACCAAGTGCCCCTCCAAGGCTCCAACCCCGAGAAATTGGCCCTGTCGATCCCCGGCCAGCGCATGGCGGTCCCTGAATGCCGGTCTCACTTTGTTCTTACTTCATCCCCCTAATCTTCCTTGTGCCAGCACGATCCCTCCCTCACACCTCCGCCCTCACATGACATCTCGCAACACGCCTATTGCATTGTCTCAGCTTGTACTGTACGCATGCGGTTGTCATAGCGTTCCATTAGCCCGTCATGGACGCGCTTCCGGCGCTGGCAACGCGCTTCGTTGGGCCCCTCAACGCCTGGATTCAAGCTACACCCATCCACGTGCTGCTCGCTCTGCTCGTCGCGTGCGTGCTATTCTCACTCGTTTCCGTGAGTGGCTCTCACGCCATGGCCTTGCAAGACTCTGACTGACGGCTGTAGCTCTTTGTCGTTCTCCATCTCGTCGCGCCGAAACCACGACCCGTCCTCCCGTCTGAGAAGAGCTACATCACCTCCTCGTCGAACTCGCCCGAGAAGAACACCGTACCTCGGATTCTGCCCTGCTGGTACGACAGATGGCTGGCAGAGCGCCACCTGAGCGAGAAGAAGCGACTCGCTCCCAGTGATGCGGGAAACGACCCTGCCCACGAGATCGGATCCATCGAGCGAGCTGAGCTGCGACTCAGCGTCGTCTTGCCCGCCTACAATGAAGAGGAGCGCGTAATACCTACTCTGGAGGAGGCTGTGGACTATCTTGACGAGCATTACGGCCGACCCGGCGCGCCCCCTGCGGAGACCACCGGTGCTAAGAGACAACCTGGCGGTAGACACGCGCATGACGAGGATACGTCTGGCTACGAAATCATCATTGTCAACGACGGCAGCACGGACAGGACTGTGGAGGTCATCCTAGACTTTGCGCGCGAGAGAAAACTGGATGATGTGATCCGCATCGTCACGCTAGAGAAGAACCGTGGCAAAGGCGGCGGTGTCACGCATGGCCTGCGGCATGTCAGGGGCGAGTACGTGCTGTTCGCGGATGCGGACGGCGCCTCCAAGTTCAGCGACGTCGGCAAGCTCATCGAGGGCTGTGAGGAGGTGGTCGATGCTTCCCATAGGGGCGTTGCCATTGGGAGCCGCGCTCACCTGGTCGGTAGCGACGCCGTGGTCAAGGTACGTTCGGGATGCCATGCAGGCAGGAGAGAATCACACCACTGACATCATGTCATAGCGCTCCGCCCTGCGAAACTTCCTCATGCGCTCGTTTCACCTGGTGCTCACCATTCTCACGCCACCGGCCACGTCACGCATCCGCGACACTCAGTGTGGCTTCAAGCTGTTTACGCGCGCTGCGTTGCCCCACATTGTGCCGTACATGCATACGGAAGGCTGGATCTTTGACATTGAGATGCTCATGCTCGCCGAGTCCGCACCGGCGATCCCCATCCTGGGCTCCGACGGGTCGGTCATCGGCTCCAGCGCGGGCATCAAGGTGGCCGAGGTGCCCATCGAGTGGCACGAGGTCGAAGGGAGCAAGTTGAATGTGGTCCAGGACAGCCTCAAGATGGCCATTGGCCTCGCGGTCCTGAGGGCGAGCTGGATGATGGGGGTCTATAGAAGACGACTCACATAGGCATCCACAACGCCACGCGTGACCTACAAAGGGCAAGATCAATCGCATTAGCGGTAGAATCTTGAAAAGAAGGAAGTCCCTTGGGATAGAGGTAGAACCTTTGGTACGGCAGAAATACCCCATGAGGAGTACGTGCGTGTGCATTATGATTAAATTGTACAAGCAAGTCTAAGCAGCTGAAATATCGCGATAACATCCAGGACTCCCATCGAATTCGCCTAAGAGCATGCTTTCTCCCCCCTAAAAGAGGTGCCAATAACGCCGATAGGAATATGCACGATGCCGCCAACCCGATCCAAATTCAACGCTCATCGTAATCGTCAATACTGCGATGGGGTATTCACCTACACGCCTCGCGCCACATCACCGGCACAAACACGACACACGCCTTCCACAAGATGAGGACCATGTCGATCAGAGCCAGCGGGGCCTTCCATATACCCCAAATGGACCCGACGACATCGCAGGCGTTCATCCAGATCGCCAGGAAGGCAACGCTGAAGAAGTGGTAGGCCAGCACGACCGGGCGCTGGAGGATGGCGCCGAGCAAGCCGGCGGGTGCATCGGTCATGCCACGCTCAAAGTAGCCGAAGCAGCCGCGCTGCAGCGCGCGCAGCTGGGTGTCATTGGCGGCGAACAGCGCATAGAGCGCCTGGGCAAGCACGTTGACGATGCCAGTGAGACGCTTCCTCTTCCAGTAGAGCGTGTCCATGGCGGACCGGACGGCCTGCGAGTCACTCAGGCTCGGGACCTGGCTCGGGTGGAGCAGGTCGGACAGCATGACAGCGTCGTTGAATGCGACTGTCATGCCGCCACCCGTGAGTGGATGACGCATGTTCATCGCGTCGCCGAGGAGGATGAGGCCATCGGTCGACTGCTTGGAGGGCGGGAGCCAGCTGTTGGGCATGCTTCGGGGGATCTTGCCGTCGGCGAGTGCGGTCACCATTGCGGACCGGATAGGCTCCGGCACGGCGGGCAGGACACAGTTGTTGATGTAACCCCTGACACCACCGGCCGCGGGGCTGGCCTCGGGAATGTCTGCGGGGACGTCGATCAGCGCGCGCGTCTCGCGGCTGCCAATCTGGTAGAGTAGTACGGGGAATGCGTTTCCGATCACGACGAGGGCGTGGAAGGGTTCGGGGAGCGGGCAGTCGATGAGCTCGAGAGCATAGAACTTGCTGCGCACGACGGGCGTGGCGTCAAGGACCCCTTTGCGAAACTTGGAGGCGTACCCATCCGCGATGATGTTGAGCTGCCCAAAGAAACAGTCCCGTGTCTTCTCGCCCGTCTCCTTGTTCGTCGTCCGTGTCTCGACGCCGAGGACCTCGTCGCTCACTTCGCTCCGTATTGTGCTCGTGACCTCGGTCTCGACCACGGTGATGTTGGGGTGCGCCACGCACGCTCGCCTCAGCTGCATAATGAACCGGCCGTGGTGAAAAGCCCGTCCGACAGGCCTCTTTCCTTCTCTGCCTGATCCGCCCCATTGATGAATAACTTGACCGTCGTCGTCGATTGTGGGATACGAAATCTTGGTTGGCACGCCATGGTACAGAACTGTGTACCCCTTGCAGGGGATTGCATCAATGTCCTCCAAGCAGTGCCCCAATCCCAGTTTCTTGAGCGCTGCTACTCCTCCCGGTTGGAGCAGCTCGCCCACGATGCGGTCTGGCTGGTGCATCCATCGTTCGAGCAGGATGACGGAGCGCCCCTGTTTCGCGAGGGCGTAGGAGATTGCGCAGCCAAAGATACCTGCGCCGACGACAACGACATCGGCCTCGTGCGCTTGCTCGCGTCGCAGGCGGTTGCGCTCTACAGTGTCGTCCATGGCGTGCGGTTTTCTCACTCGACGTTGGGAATGTGAGGGACCAAAAGTGTGGTGGCGACTGGGGGCCGAGAGGATTCGTCGGCGGCAGCAACGTTCGAAAGTATTATAGTGCTGATTCGAATGGCCGATGGGACCAAGGCGGAAGCGGGACCGGGTTTCGCAGCAGTGGTGATCTCAGAGGCTGCTTGCTTGAAACGGCGCGTGGCAGTGAGTACTGCGCAATGTGCGGAATAGATTGTTTGAGTATGATCCGTTAATGCTGCGCATAGGCGACGGGCAGCAACTGAATGTATACGAATACATACGTACATGCGTCGTGCGATGGCGATGGGTGCAATTTAATCCAAGTATCATAGATGATACCCAGAAATTTTGCCAGGCATGTCTAATTTCGGATTCCCAGGGGGGGGAAGGGCCCTTCAGGGCCCTCTGCCCTTCTAGGCTCCCTTCTCTGGGCCATGATGGCGCCACTTTGCTCCTGACCGCCGAGCCCGCCTGGCCAATCATGAGCGCGGTAGACGTTCGTATATTGACATGCGGCAAGCACATGTCATTGTCTGACGAGGTGTATCGTACGATTCGAAGAGGTGGTAAGCATGCACGCATCATATCAAATCATACTCTCGCCAATGATCAATGTCGGATTGTGAGCAGGGACGAGAATGGTGACATGGGAGCGAGACAGCAGATTATCTTGATCTCGCGATTGATAAGCTACATAGTATACAACACGGGTGGGAGCGGTTGATGCCACCACAGTATCGTACAGTATCATTTAGATAGTTTTCACATGGTTCAGTATAATGGCGCCTGGCAGAGTAGTCATCTCCACAAAGGCTCCAATTAGCCCAAGGCCACGGCATGCCTCTGCTCTGCGGGGTAGTGTACGTGATGCTGCGAATGGCGTGTCCAAGACAGCACACCTCGGTGCAGTTCCGGTCGAGTATACGTCGATGCCACCTCGTGCTTCCCAACATCATCGAGGCGCTTGCTGGACTCGGCCAACACCTTGACAGGCACGGGCTTCGCAACGTCTTCTTCCTCGGGCTTCACAGACGAAGCGCTGATGTCGAGTACGGCCTGCAGCAGCTCTTCCTTTTGAGCCCTGGTGCGGCGGCGCACAAACACACTGTCATAGGCCTGGACCAACTTGGTCACCCCGGACGCATAACACTCGGTGGCCTTGCCATTGTCCCGCGCCCAGCTCAGTCGCTTCGCCATCAGCTTGGTGGCAGCTTTGATCGCCCGTCTGCTCGCGTTGCAGGTTGCCCAGGCGCGTGGCTTCTCTTGGAACTGATCCAGCAGGGAATGCATCTTCTGGAATTTCTCCGCGCGGCTGTACGCCTGCAAAAGGTTCGAGAAGCTGTGAGCGCTATGTAGGAAGTCAACTTCTCCTGTGGTCTTGCTGCCTTTGACGCGGGCTGCCATCTCGCAGATCTCCACCAAAGCCTCGTGGTGGTCCTGCTTCAAGGCGCATCGCGCAGCCGTGGTAAAAACCATGTCGTGCACGTAGTTCCCGAGATGTAGTTGCTTTTGCAGAACCTGCAGCGGGTCCTTCCCTTGCTCTAGCTGAGCCATCAGGAAGGGCGTCAATGCTTGGCCGACGGGGTTGCCTTTGGTCTTTGCCGACTTGATCAGTGCCTCGGTGCTGTTGGTCTCCCCGGCATCGAGCTCGATGCGCGCCATGACAGCCAATGACAAGCACCTCGCTGACGTTGCGTCCACGCTAGGCTGGGCAGCACAAAACTCATCCCACACTACCTGCCACGACTGCTTCAGGGCTGCCTTCTGCATGAGCGCGAAGACCTGAGGCTCGTGCGGGAGCGACCCAGAGGGACTCCTCTCCACAGCCCTGATGTATGCTGTCTTCCAATCCCTCTTCTCCAGTGAAAACATGCGCATCTTGGATAGGCTAGGATCGAGCTGGCGCAGACGCTCCTCAAAGAGTTTAAAGGCTTCTCCGCCAACTCGCCAATGCGTGTAGCATTCTCGCAGGATCAAGTGTAGATAGTTGCTATCGGTCTTGCAGCCATTATCGAAGCAGAAGCGCAGCCATGAGAGCATCTTCTCATGTTGCATCGCAGCAGAGTAGCGCTCAAGCACCGATATCAGCCACTGACGTTTGATCGGGATCCCGTGTCGGTCCACTGCATGGCGGATGATGCAGTCGAGCTCCGTGACGTCCATGAAAGGGATCCAAGCGGCGATGAACTTGTTGATCGAGCTTCGAGAATATTGCGGATCGCTATCCTGGAGAATGCGGCTCAGCTCGGTAAAATTTGATACACAATTCCGCGCATGCTGCGCGCAGGCACTGGCGCACAATACCGAAACTTGGATCGATACATCCTCGAGGGCACGGGCTGCATCTATCTTCTTGAGTAATTGGCTTTGGGACAGGACCTCCGCCCGATCGTTCTGCAGAGTGGCCACATGGAGAAGCCATCTGTGCAGCTTGAATGTAAAGTCTGAATCAAGCTCGACGCAAGAGCCAAGACCGACAGATTGCAGGTGCTCGAAAAGGAACTGTGTGTCCTCCACACTGACATTCGAGTCGTACTGATACCTTTTCAAAACACGAAACACTGCCGTCGCGGTTAACGGATACCTCTTGTCTTTGCCCCACCACGCAAGCAGGCGCTTGGAGGTGTTGTCGGTGGCAACACTGGGCAGACAAGACAGCACCCGGACTAGAAACAGCTCTGGGTCGCGGTAGAAAGGTCTGAGCTTCTCAAAGCACGGCTCGAGGGGTGCAGTGTCGGATCGGATGCTTGCCTGGATAAGCCGTTCGGCAACATGATCGAAATTGACAAAATGGTCCCCTTCCAGGCCTTTGATGTTGCAATGTTGCAGGAGCTTGTTCAAGTGACTATAGTATGTCTCAGTTGCACGAGAAGTGCAGGCCGGAGACTCCAATAAGTGGACAAATGTCTTGAGAATACCAAGAAAACAGTTGATGTCGGTGTCGATATTGGTGCAAGGCTCCCGAGCAATGAGCTCGTCCACCCTTGCCGGCACGGTCTTGGGATCCACGGCCATGTCGAAGGAAGGTTTCGGCCCTGAGCCCGCGGAGCTAGTCATTGCTCGTGTGTTGGGTCGCCTTGACAATTCCTTGCTCTCGTATTGCATGAGCCGGTAGGGAAGAGCATCATAGCTAACCGCCTTCGATAATGGGTCTTGTATGCCGAGGCCTTTGGAGGGTTGGCGACGGTTCAGTCCAGCGGGATCGGGACCTGCGGCTGGCCTTCGCTCGACGGCAGGGATCGAATCGTCGGTGGCATCATCTAAGCGGGCTCGGTTCGCGCTTTGTCGTTTTCTTCGACGCGGCGCGTCTGCCGGTTGGGCGTGAAGCGCTGTTTTGCTTCGCGACGGCTGGCCGTCTTCCATGTGCGTCACCGACCCGAATTGGCACTTGAGGGTAGACAGTTTCCGTGCGTTGTCTATGGCTGCACGCGCAATTTCTGTACGTCTTCGACGTTCCTCGGCCAGCAAGACGACTGAGCAGGAAGTGCCAAAGGCGATGCCCCTTAAGGCATGGAGCGCCGCTCGGGAAGGGACGGGTTTTGGTACGGTCATTGCAGATAATGATGCCTCCGATCAAGGCAATTGGCGATTCGACGCATTGGCGTAATTCTGGGTATGGAAATGTCGATATCGAGTGGTCGATGAGCTCCTAATCAGACCATGTTGTTAAGGTTGAGGAAAAAAGGCAGGCCAATCCGGACCGGCAATATGTCGGCATCATCCATCCACGAAAGAGGTGGGGACTTGAAGGTGCCTCGAGTCGCCTATTATCGGTCAAACGCTTTTAACAATCTTGCAAGTCCAGATCGTCAGTCATCAAATATGCCATTTCGCATCAAATTGAATTGTAGCCAGTCTATGCCCGGCTCGTGAAGCCCAGCACAGTACACAATCCACTTCTCCGTTGGCGGAATCTTTTGTCCACCTGAAGTCACGTCCAATACACAGTACTAGAGGGTCAGCCTAGACTCTGCGTTTCAGCGTGCTGGCGAAGATGGTTTCTTCTGTTCAGCTCAACAAGACTTGCGACCGCCACTGGAACAGCAGAAAGTTCCAGCTGCACATGGCTTACCTTATGGTGCTTCCTTGAACGCCGACTAGGCCTCTTTTGTCGGAGTTAAGGAGGTTGAGCTTCCAATGTCCGAGGCCTCCAAACCACCTTGCGTAACTTGGGTCATGACATCAAACTTCTCTCCTCACACCACAACGGCTGACGAACTGGACCAATCAGTCTTTGACTCATATTGACGATGCGGGACAGATGATCTCATCCAGAGTAGATGCGGAGTCGCGGATGTTGGGTTGGGTTAGGCAAGAGCTGTGGGAACAATCGCGGCCGCATTTCCGTGCAGGTCAAACGATGTTGGCAGTGGAGGAAGAAGTAAGGTACCTTGCTCGTATGTGAAGTATAAAAGCCATCCGCGCCTGCTCTACCTGCTAGATTTATAAACCCTCTTTAGCAAACTTCAGCACCGTCCTGCTACCTCACTTTTCATCATTGACGTGCCTCTGCCTGAATAGCCATTATGAATCCTCTGCCCTCGGCCCCAACTCCTACCAGCCCTCTGGGCCGGTATCGTCTCCTGTCTCCCAATGCTGCGGTGCGGGTCAGTCCGATATGCCTTGGTGCCATGAACTTCGGCAATGCCTGGTTGGTATTCAGCCAATTCGTTACTCAGTATAGGCTAAGATTTGCCAGGAAGGATTACATGGGGACCTGCGACCGCGCGACCACCGAGAGCATCTTGGACTTTTTCTACGAGCAGGTGTGATTCCCAGAGACTCACGTTCGACATCCGCTGACATGATGGGAAGGGTGGTGTGTAGTGTGTTATGCGCCGGGCTCGAGAATCTGTGCTAATGAATAGGCAACTTCATCGACACTGCAAACAACTATCAATTTGAAGAATCTGAGAAATGGATCGGAGAATGGATGAAGCAACGTGGGAATCGTGACGAGATGGGTGAGACATCTTCGCGCACGCATGAGACTGAATGACCTGACCTGTGCAGTCATCGCGACCAAGTACACGACAAACTACAAAGGGGGCCCCGGCCACCCCCATATCCAAGCCAACTACTCGGGCAATGGCAGCAAAAGTCTCCATCTGTCAGTCGAGGCCAGTCTCCAGAAACTACAGACGAGTTACATCGACCTACTTTACGTCCACTGGTGGGACTACTCTACTTCGATTCCCGAATTGATGCAATCTTTGAACCACCTTGTGGCAGCCGGGAAGGTATTGCACTTGGGAATCAGCGATGCGCCAGCTTGGGTCGTCAGCAAGGCCAATGAGTACGCCCGGAACCACGGTTTGCGTCAGTTCTCCGTGTATCAGGGACGGTGGTCGGCAGCCAGTCGAGACTTTGAGAGGGACATCATACCGATGTGCAAAGACGAAGGTATGGGCATCGCCCCGTGGGGGGCACTTGGAGGAGGCCGCTTCAAGAGCGAGGAGCAGCGGAATGCCCAGGGTGGGCGGGCGGTCGAGCTGAATGACCACGACATCAAAATCAGCATCACGCTCGAGAATGTAGCCCGACGTCGTGACACAGCCATTACTAGTGTTGCTATGGCATATGTCATGCACAAGGCGCCCTACGTGTTTCCCATCGTCGGTGGACGCAAGGTGGATCACTTGAAAGGCAACATTGAAGCGCTCACGCTGCAGCTTTCACGCGAAGATATTGAGGAGATCGAATCGGCTGCTCCATTCGACCTCGGATTCCCTCACAGCATGCTCTGGGGCAATGAGGTTCCAGAGAATAACCAGCAAGTCACCTTATTGAGAATGGCCGGCACATTTGACTACGTTCCGGAAAGACAGGTATGCTTATCAACCCGTTTTCAGAACTATACTAACAAGCCATAGTCAGTCGTGCCATCCAAAAGAGGAGCTTAGGGGGCTTATGGGGGCGGTCTCAACTGGAAGTGGGATTCAGAAGCCTTCCGTACTCAACACCATGTCAATGAGCCGAACTTCGGGTCATCTTGGCTGCGAGCATATCGGTGATGAAATTCGGGAAGGGTGCGCCATTGACCGGAGACCATGGCGATGGTCCATTCCACATGTTGATTGCATTATTACATTGTTTGGCAGTCCACTTGGGTGCACACAGACAATACTTGTATCTTCAATCCAATTAGAGTCCCCTATCTCGAGCGTTGAGTCTTGGCGGTTCCCTGGAGTGGCAAGTCCCTGAGCGGCTCTTTCCTCGCTTGTTGCTCCTGATTTGCGTGTCGCAAGAAGGTACTAATGGTGGGGGTTGACATCTGTTACTTCCTCAGGTAATACCTCAAGGTACCTTAGGTGTTGGTTGAGTATGGCCATTTTAAATGTTACACCTTACCTCTTGCAATATGAGTTGTACGGAAAATTGGCAACACATGCCACATCGAAGCACACACCAGCAGGCTGAGCCAGTCTGCGCATCAAGAGCAGACCCAGAACTGGAAGATGAGCGACCATGGATAGGGTTATGTGAGGATCAGTTGTTCGACAGGTAGGCAAGCAGCCAGGGATTACCACACACATGCTGAAATCTTGTGTCTAGGGTCCCACAAAGCCCACCATTATCGCAAGCTCATTCAGTAGGCGTCGCAGGCAAGTCGCCAGGAACACCGCTTCTTCGGCTAGCGCGCGAACGAGACTCGTCTTTGTCCTTGATAACTACGAGGAAAAGGAAGCACATCGAGACTATCGTAGACGACATACCAGACCAACAGAGGTCAAATAGCAATACCTCAGGCGTCGGAGGCTTCGAGACGGCGCCGCAGAAGGCTCTAAAAACGGTTCCAGACAGTGCGCCGAAGCTTGTTGAGAACAAAGGAAGATTCACTTTTTGCCGGGGTATTAGGATACGGGACTATCGAATGCCGATGGCGAAAATACCTAGCACCAAGGGGGACAACAGGCAGCTCCTGTGCCGAGATAGGTTCGAGAATCGGGAGATTGCTGGGACATCCCCTCAAGATGTGAATAAATACAAGGCAGTGATGCCGCGCTGAACGTGGTATGCAATCGTCCACCCATTGCATATGCTGGGGAACTAAGTTAGATGTTTTCGATGTTGCCCTCGGTGTGTCGTTCCCAGGGGTGGATGACGCCGCACAGACAGGAAGCATCTATCGTCTGTCATTGTCAGCGCTGCACTTGGTCAGCAGGATATGCATTTGAAAGTATTCAGTCCCTTGCCTAAACCCAGAACGCCGACTCGCGTAAAACACCCTACTATACATCTTACTTTGCCCCCTTCCCTTTCGCCTCGTTGTCTCCCAGCTCGCGGATGAGGATGGAAGTCTTGCCCTCCCCGCTGTAATCCTCCTGTCCGGTCTCGAACCCGGGACATACACCGATGGCAAGGTACTTGCCGTCCTTGGAAAACACCATGGCGGCAATGCTGTCTGGGAACTTCTGGTACTGCTTCAGCCTCCTCTTTGCCTCCGCATCCCACAATGCGACTGTGCTATCTCCGCCGCCGGAGGCGAACGTGCCGTGGACTGGGTGGAACTCTAGTGCGTTGACAGGGTACACTATATCGCCGTCGCCATCCGGCGCAGGCTGTCGGTGGCACTTGAAGGCATACTTTCTCGCCTGGGACTCCGCTGTGTCTTCGAACCACTCCACCGCCACACGACCCTCGATGCTGCTGGTTGCGTAGCCAGCATCGGAAGGCATACAGGCCACGGCGCGGGTCAGATATCGGAGTGACGACTCGCGTTGCTGCCATGGTTTGAGCTCGCTTTGCCCAGAGGAGAACAAGTTTTGGATTGTTTGAAGGTCGTAGATGTTGATGATCCGCCCGGTCATGGCCACCACCACCTTGGATGGACTGGCAGCTACAGCATGTGGCTTGCCAGGAAGGGCAATGCGGATAGGCGTGCTCGAGGGTTCGCGAACATTGTGAAGATTGAGACTGCAATCCCAGGACGCAGAGATCAGGACACCTGTATACTCGTAAGCTACCAAATTCGAAGGGGGCCTTGCTCACAATGGCACTTACCATGGGCTGGACTGTATACCACGCAACGCGCCGGAGCAGCATGTTTGCTCATCTCCGTCATTTCTGCAGTCTCCAAATTGACTCTGCCAGTGCGTTAGCAGGTCGCAATGTCCGCGTGTGTTCTTCGGGGGGGGGAGGGGGGGGGGCCGTACTTGTTTACCACGCAGTCCATGCCAGCCGTGTAGGCTTCATTCTCATTGTCGCCGAAACATACGTCCAAAACGGGCGCACGGTGCTCGTATGTCTTTATGAGGCTCGAATCAGGTTTTGCGACGTCGTAGGCGTACAGCTGCTTGTCCCATGAAGCTGCCAGCAATTTTGTCGAACCATTGGGCGCGAATGCGAGCGCCGAGATCGCGTCGCCCGGCGGCGGCGAGAGCTCGTACTGCGTTGCTGCGCAAGGATCAGCATGTTTTCACAAAGCCTATATCTTGGTGATTGAATTGTCGAACATACCTGGAGCCATGTTTATCGACTGTCGCTGGGTACCTTCGTTGTCGTTGGAGAATTCAAATGTTTACTTCGCCAGCCGGCCTCCAAGCCGGATTAGTCAGCAGCGCCGCTCCCTAAACCCTTGCGATCGGACGATTAAACCAGTTTAAAGAGATTAAATTTTAATGAACGTAGATTTGATCGATCGTTTTATCGGGACATTGCAGTGCGATGCATTTGCTTCGCCCATGAAACTGCGGACAAACGCAGCCTCAAGCTCGAGGTTCAACAGTCAGCAGCCACATCATTCTGCCGTGATTTACCGCTGAAGTAGCTTGGTCAGCCACAGTAGCACCCCGCCAACGCCACACCCCACCATCCATCCATCGGGCCTCAGTGGGAAAATGTCAAAATTGTGACTCTTCCCGCATCTCACGAGCCATCGAACATCTGCGCCTACACGATCTTAGAGTCAACTTGTAGCACTCTCCGCATATCATCTACATCGAATCTGTAGAAGCCAGGTTTACAGGAATCATACACATCGGCGACCTTAACCCGCGTCCCCGGGCTCCTTCCCCGCCTCGAACAACTTGAACACCGCCCACCTTCGAATTTCTTGGTCGCCCGAAACAACCGCCATCATGTCGTTATCGAATTGCCGTTTCTACGAGGAGAAGTTCCCGGAAATTGACAGCTTTGTCATGGTGAACGTCAAGCAGGTGCGTGGGGCTCATACAACAGGGCGCGTGGATATTTCCAATCACCGCTATGGAGTGAGGGAGGGAACACAATGGCTGACTGCTAGACACAGATCGCCGAGATGGGTGCTTACGTTAAGCTTCTCGAGTACGACAACATCGATGGCATGATTTTGCTCTCCGAACTGTCGCGTCGACGTATCAGATCTATCCAGAAGCTCATCCGCGTTGGGCGCAACGAGGTTGTCGTGGTCCTGCGTGTGGACAAGGAGAAGGGTATGGTCGACCACTGGCAACTTGGGGAACGACATGTTGACGAGACGTTCAGGTTACATTGATCTTTCAAAACGCCGTGTCTCTCCCGAGGACATTGTCAAGTGCGAGGAGCGCTACAACAAGAGCAAGATGGTCCACTCTATCATGCGCCACGTCGCCGAGAAGACCAACACTCCCATCGAGAGCCTATACGAGAGCATAGCATGGCCTCTCAACAAGAAGTTCGGCCATGCTATTGACGCATTCAAGCTGTCGATCACGTACGTGTTCACTATAAGCTTTCCCAGGCTCAAGGCTAACAAACATAGCAACCCGGAAGTCTGGAACGACATTACCTTCCCCACTACTCCCATTGCCGACGAGCTCAAGTCCTACATTGGCAAGCGTCTCACACCCCAGCCTACCAAGGTCCGAGCCGACATTGAGGTCACGTGCTTCGGATACGAGGGCATTGACGCTGTCAAGGAGGCCCTGCGCAAGGCCGAGGAGAAGAACACGGAAGACTCACAGGTCAAGGTCAAGCTGGTCTCGCCACCGCTGTACGTCTTAACCAACACTTGCTTGGACAAGTCAGCAGGCATCACGTTGCTGGAGGAGGCAATTGTGGATGTGCGCAAAAGCATCGAAGCCGCAGGCGGCAACCTGTCCGTCAAGATGGAGCCCAAGGCTGTCACCGAGAGCGATGATGCGGAGCTGCAAGCCCTCATGGAGAAGCGCGAGCGTGAGAACGCCGAGGTCAGCGGTGACGAGAGTGTCAGTGATAGCGACGAGAACATTCCCGAGACTGTTTAGAGCGAGCCGGGACTGTCACGAATCGCACGAGACTGATGACTTTTTTTTGGCTCATAATGGCATTGGGCGTCCACGGAAGGGCCTCTGGAAGGGCATGAAGTTAGAGGCTGCATCCGCGGGTGACTACAAAAGTGTTTCTTTGTGGGGGGTGCCAGGGAAAAGGTGTCCAAGCGTCAAACCACATAGCGACTTGTAGCTGCAGTAATCCAACCAAGTGAAACCATTTTGGAGAGGAGTGAGTGAACCTGCCAGTCGATTGTCGTGGAGTGCAATGTGTCAAACGTCGTGAATGCTGCTGAATCATCAATGAGACCACGGCAGAGGAGGATTCGTAGCACTGGCGAACCCTGTAGTTAAACCACCCGGCGACACTAGCGCCATCTCACTCTCACAGTTGCATCTCGCTTCGCATTGGACGCAACTGCAGCACCACTGGGTGTGCCCGCCGACAGAGGCTTCATCATGAGCGCTCGCTCCTTCTGGAGACCTGGGAGAGGCCAATCTCGCGCCGCAGTCTACAGTTTCCTGGGGTTGGTCAGCTGGTTCCCCGTCATCGCCAGCTTCAACCTTTACGTTGCCGAAGTCACCAGGATCAACGGCAAGTCCATGTATCCGTTTATGAACGCCGACCGGGACAGCACCCTGCGGCGAGATGTATGTTTGAATTTGAAATGGGGCGCCAACAAGGACTTGGAAAGGGGCATGGTTGTCACGTTACGGTACGTGACGGTGCTCACCACTGAGATTGTACGCGAGGTTGCTGACCCAGACAGGAGTCCAACTCAACCTGAGAACATCGCCGTGAAGCGCGTCGTCGCTCTGGAAGGGGACGTCATCAGGACCAAGACGCCGTATCCCGTTGCCACGGTCATGGTGCCGGCAGAACATGTCTGGGTGGAGGGCGATGGGCCACCAGGGACGAGCCTGGACAGCAACACGTATGGACCTGTGTCGAAGCAACTGATTACAGGCAGGATCACACACGTGCTGTACCCTTTCAACAAATTCGGCCCTCTTGAATGGAGCGATCATAAAAGGCCGCTGGTGTATTAATAGGGAAAAGAATGTCCGAGTAGTGTACGATTCATATAACATCCGGAGACTTGATGACGCTCTTGCGCTTGCATGCCTTGGTAGCCCAGCTCAAACTAAAAGCGTAAGAAACATTGGTTAGAAGAATTTCAGCAATCGACGCAATACTCAATACAACCCAACAATCAATTTTGCGACCAACACATCTGTATGCTTTACTCGCCTCTGCGTACGAGCTCGGGCCAATGATGGTGCCCGGCGATAACGGGGAGGGCGCCGCAAAACCGGACGGCGATTTTAGAGCTTGGGAAATTTCTCTCCCAACGACATCACAGTACGGGCCACGCGAGCACGCCCACCAATTTACCAGCCGCGCCACGCATGAATCATTGACTGTTCTTCTCAAATTCGAGTGCTTCACATTTATCCGACCCACACTCGTTTCCGTCCTTCTGCACAACCAGTGGACTTCGAACTGAACCCTCTGTCGCAAAGGCCCAAACCAGTCGTGGCAGCTATAACAGCCTTTGACGGCGGGAGACTGGGCCACAACGCAAGCCCAGAGGACAATCGAAGGCTCGCGCGCGAGCACAAGCTATGGGTTCCGATGGCGAGGACATTGAGGCCGAGGGTCGGCCGCCCTTTCTTCATGTACGAATCGATCGCCCCGACGTCATCTCGCCAAGGCAACAGAAACTAACCCATCACAGGCTATGGTTGCCGGTGGCATAGGCGGCTCGACAGGCGACATGCTCATGCACTCCCTCGACACGGTCAAGACGCGCCAGCAAGGCGATCCCCACATTCCCAGCAAATACACCTCGCTCGGTCAGACGTACTGGACGATATGGCGGCAGGAGGGCATTCGCAGGGGCTTGTACGGCGGCTGGTTACCAGCGTTTGGAGGCTCGTTCCCGGGCACGGTTATGTTCTTCGGCACGTATGAGTGGAGTAAACGACTCCTCCTGGACCATGGGTGCCAGCAGCATCTGGCCTATCTCTCAGCTGGTAAGGTCGACCGAGAAATCCTACATCGCACAAGGAGCTAACAGCGCAGGTTTCTTGGGCGATCTGGCTGCCTCCGTCGTCTACGTTCCCTCTGAAGTACTCAAGACCCGACTCCAGCTCCAAGGTCGTTACAACAACCCTCACTTCAAATCCGGCTACAACTACCGCGGGACCATCGACGCAGCACGGACCATTGTGCGCACTGAAGGCACAGCAGCGCTTTTCCATGGATATCAGGCCACGCTATATCGTGATCTGCCCTTCTCTGCCCTGCAGTTCATGTTTTGGGAGCAGTTCCACGCGTGGGCGCGCCAGTACAAGCAAAGTCGCGACGTCGGTGTGCCGCTCGAGTTGCTGACGGGCGGCCTAGCCGGTGGGTTAGCAGGTGTGATAACCTGTCCGCTGGACGTCGTAAAGACCCGACTGCAGACGCAGGTCAATGAGCCCAGTAGCTCCAGTACTCTCGCAAAAGAGGCCGGCGCAAGTACGCAGCGCAGGAGCATCTCGACGTCGTCGCCCAACACGCATCGACCGAAACCAGGAGCTGCCGCGCTGCACACGTCATCTGTGATCAAGGGGTTACACGTCCTCTACCGCAGCGAGGGCATAGCTGGCTGGTTCAGGGGCGTGGGGCCGCGTGGTGTGTGGACGTTCATCCAAAGCGGGTGTATGCTGTTCTTGTACCAGCGACTCCTGCGGCAGATGGATACTTGGTTCCCTGAGCAAGACGAGTCCAGGGCCATTTGAGGGAGGGGCAGCAGAGTTTATCTTTTGGCGATTTTGTGAATATGTACAACTACCATATAGACGGATGGAAGATTAGAGGTCAGGCAGGATGCATGTACAATCCCGGCATCGTTTGGCGTTAGGGGATGGACAATAGAGCTTCGACACATTGTTGTCAAATAACCCACACAACACATATGCACACACTTATCGATAGACATGAGAGAATGTCATGTTCAGCCCGGCAAGTCTCAATTGTATACAAGGCTATGCTAGCAGCAGAAACAATGGCGCTTATGCTTCACTCTCATGATTCGTTATATCTCGTAGAGCCCTCGCCACGCTCGCCATGCAATATAAATTCCACATACCCTCTTCCACGCCGACCGGATCAGGCATCGGGGTCGCTGTCATAAGTCGTATCTACCTCCTCAAAGTCATCGATCCGGGACATTAGCTCGTCTCTTGCCAGGCAGACCACCGTTGCAATGGTCAGGGCGTTCCAGACGTTCTGGTGCTTGTCGTCAAAGCGGCAGTCAACTTGGAAACTGATGGGTGCATTCACACCCTTCTCCGCGTCGGCTGTCACAACCACAACGGTCAGGCCTAGCACGTACAGGCCGTACACCACTGGGCACCTCCGAGACATGGCCACGTCGCTAGTAGGTGACCGTGTATATCGAGGGACCATGTACGGAGAGGAGTCCTCGGAAAGGTCCTCCACTTTAACAGCAACGTTGTGCGGCGTCAGCCAAGGATCGGGGGTGTCTGTCTCGATGCTAGGTTTCGCCTTGTCCCACTTAGGAACATCGTCTGCGAGACCCTTTCTCGAGCTGCCACAGCGGCGGCGCTTTGGTTGGCGCCTCGGCGTTTCAACCACATACTCGGGTTGCTCGCTGGCTAGGTCGTCTTCAAAGTCCAATTCTGGTGTCGCAGAAAGCGGCCTCTTCCTCTTCAGACACATTGACCGTTTCCTCCTGAGGGTGCGGCCCAACGGCGTCATTTGTGTGAATCGCAAATCGGCGTGGTTCCAAAAATTGGGCTTCCGGTCGACACGATAGTACTCTCGGTGTTTCTTAATCAAAGAGCGCATATGTGTCGTGACGGCCTCCACAATGTCTTCTTCTTTTCCATCTACGTCTACCATCTCGACGACCACGTTGGGCAGCATTCGGCGTTTCTCGTAGCCACCATCGCGCGCGGCCCAGTCAATGAGATTCTCGATGGCGTCTGTAATGAGACGAGCTCCTCGATAGCGAAGACGTTTCTGTTCCTTCTGACTCTTCATCGGCGTTGATTCGAGAAGAGAGTTCACTGCGAGGTTAACGTCAATCATGCGTGTGATTGCGTTTGTAGCTATCACAACGTTAGTCTCGACTCCAAAAGAAACAAATAATAACGGAGAGCGTGTCCCACCTCGGTATTCAGTCATGCCGTTATTACAATGAGCGTAGATAATAGGCTCGGAATCCTGGGTATCAAAAACCTTCTCATGGATTGGAAAGTTACGGAAATCCAGAAACCAGTGCTGGGGCATGATCGGAAGGTTCTGTCGCATGAACAAGATTCCAAATAACTTCTCTTCATCGGGGGCCCAGTCTTCCCAGCCTTTGTACTTGGCTTTGGCTTCTGCCAACTCCTCCTCCAACGTGAGCTTCATGATCTCCTCCTCAGTCAATGGTAAGGTCGATTGGTCTCCGTCTCGCTCCTCTTCTGCGTCTGTTCCTTCCGATTCTGGTGACGTTTTTGATTTCTCGACAAGGGGTTTGTTCCGTCTATTTGTTGGCTCACTTTGTGAGTCAACGTCAGGCTCTCGTGAAAGGGGCTCTTCACGAGCCCCAGGCGATGACGAGACTCCTCCAGTACTTATACCTGAGCTTGTGTCGTCCATCTTGAACAACCTCCGAAAGTTGTTCGACCAGCCTGAGAGCCGTCTTCTCGTTCTTGTGGTGAAAGACATGCTGGCTGTCTTTGTTCGTACTTCAAGCTAGACCAGTGGGCGTTCAAATGAGACAAAAGGCGACAAAGGACGTGTAAGAGCCGTGAACACTCAAGTCGTGAGAAGAAACAATGAAAGGTGGTCCAGCCACCACAGTCGCGATCAGTCAAGCGCAAGTGCATCCAATCCAGATTCAAGGTGATGTGGGAAAGTGAGAGGTGAGAAGCCTGCAACTCCTGAGGTCTTTCACCGACCTTCGTCTGAGGCCCATGTCAAAGGTGGGCCGCCCCTTCCATATTAAAGCTGCCAGGGGACCAATCCCGACGGGATGCTCCACTTCTCGAGGTCAGGCCAATCAGACGCGCCAGGCTGAACGACGCATCTCGAAATTCTTCAACATCGCGACATTGCCACGACGCCCTCTCCATCAACACATCACAGCCACGACCATGGCCGTTCCAGCGACGAAGGCGGCGGCAAGCCTCTCAGCGCCGGGCTTCCGCCTGGGAAAGAAAGAGGTCTACATGTGAGTGGTCAAGCACGCACTGTCCCCAGTCAACCGCTCATTGTTTGTGCAGGCCCTCCCATCTCGTCACCCTACTCCGGAGAAAGAAGATGCACCCCAACGAGGCCTTCTTCCAAGTTCCCTTGACGTTTACAAAGTTCGATCTGCGCGATTATCTGTGGAATCTCTACAATGTCGAGGTCACCAGGGTCGGCGTCATGGTCAAGCAACAATCACTGATCCACCGCACTGGCCTGCAATCAGTGTACCGTCCCCAACCGTATAAGTTCATGACCGTACAACTGGCCAAGCCTTTCCAATGGCCCGAGCTACCAAACAACCCCGAAGCGTTCATGAAGGAGCTATTCGATCGACGAGATGAAGCTGCTTACAAAAATCGCCAAATGAGCCGGAACATTGGCCTGGGCGAGATTCCATCCAAGGCTGTTGTGGAAAATGGCAAGCCAAAGCCGGATGATAAGGACAGGGCAGAGTTGAGGAAGTCTGCTCAAGACATACTCATGGGCAAGAAAAAGTGGCAGAATGGCGTCGATTTGGATCCCAAATTCAACGGCATCGCGACGACGTCGAACAGGAAGGATGGTTCCAAGGAGATTGTGCACAAGCGGGCGGCCGACGATCGGGTCACGGCGAAAATGGAGGCTGGCCAAGTAAAGTCTGCGAAGAACCCGGCCCGTGCAGCAGCCGCCCGTCCTGACAAGAAGAGCTCCACGGTGGTGCAGAAGCGCTGGGCCAAGGCGCAAAAGGGACAATGGTTACCTTCGGTGAGGGACTAGGTTGGCAGGTTGTCGCAAGCGTTGTTGTACCACGACGAGATGTATATTACTGTAATTGGGCTACTTACGGGCGGTCTGCATCATCCGGCGAAGACCAATGTACATTTTGCTGGAACTTGAGCACGTCGTCGCCCCAACTCCACCAGCCAGCCGTCAAGTTACGCGCAAAGACCTCGAGCCCCCGATACTGGGGAGGCAAGATGTCTGCAAAGAGTCGCTGCAGGTTGGGTTTTCTTGAATGAAGATCGGGGACAGCAATGATCGTTTTGGGTTGTAGTCCAGCGGGCGTCGCCGCACCAACGCGCTTGGCAATGACGAGCTTCTCCCAGGGTTTGCGCCATTCTGAATTGATGGGATAGATTGGTTCGCCCGAGGCGGTCACCTTGAGCCATGTCCACTCCGCTACTTGCTCCAGCCGCCACGACGCGAGCAGCTCCTTGACAAAGTCGAGAATGCTGGACTTGTTAGTGATCCACACGGCCACCAGGCCACTATGTGACAAGTGCGATGGCACTGGGATATGGTGCAAGAGGTGCTGCATATCTTCAAGCCTGTAGACGGTCGAGTAGTTGTCAGTCTTGCGGCGGACAGATCTATTCGGCCACGGCGGGTCCATCATGATAAGATCAAATACTGGTGCGTCTTCTCGGACGTGGTCGCTCAGCTCTTGCAGCGAGCCATGGAGGCTTCGTGCACCAGCAGGCGTGAAGATTTCACCGGCTACAGGCGGACCCTCTAGCAGTCGAGGCAAGCAGTATTCTGCGTGGAAATGGTGACTGCAATAGTCCAGGGCATCCTGAGCCACGGCTCCAGTCATGAGGTCGGCTATCTGCGCGGCAGGCGACTTGTTCTGGGCTCCGGCAAGCGTCGCGTGACCGCCACGAACCCTTTTCGGCTCAGGCGTCACATATGGCTCGGTGATGGGTTGAGCCGATATGAGGCGTCGTGAGAGAGGGATCTGTCCAGGCAGCGTCTGGCTCTCCTCCAGTGACCGTGGAATGTCGAGAACAAGTATTGACCCGTCATCGCTCTGATACAGAATTGAAGATCTTTCCATGACCCTCCCGCACGGCTTGTGTCTTCTCGTCCGGAAAAGTGCCAGTAAGAGTGTAAAGGCAAGACTTGTTGAGCTCGGCAATCCTCGGCTAGTGGCTGGATGCCCCTCGCTGGTAGTGAGTGCGCTATGTTCTGTGGGGGCCTACGGTCTGCAGCGAATCGTGTGGCGTCTATACAACCAGGAAAGTCGCCCGCATGACGTCCAGTACCTTCGGTATGTCAGTAAAGTCCCTGGCCGGCCCGCCGCCAGTCTTGTACAATACCCAATCGTCAATTTCGAGGCCAGTTGCGGATGGCCGACGAAACCCTCGACACATCCCAACTTTCCTTGCCTCAAACACTTTCAGACTTTTTCGTACATTTGGAGCTGCCTGTCCGTTCTGTTGCGCACTACATATCAGGCATGGTAGTCTCATAGCACGACCAAGTCCTCCACTCCCATAGCACGTGGAGAATCACGACACCAGCCAGCCAGCACCTACTCTCTGGTCATGAGCCATGCCTCCTCCATGTCCGAGGTGACAAGGGATGACACAGCTGGGCGACCAGTAGCGACGCCTTCGCAGCAGGCACGACCAGCCAGCGCAGACACCAGCAGCCGGGCAAGCACGCGAACCTGGGACTATGTCTGGAGAACCGGAGTCGCGGGTGGTCTGGCAGGATGTGCGGTAGGTCGATATGATTCCCACGATGCGGTGCGACGAGGCATACTGACCGATACAGGGTAAAACCGTCGTTGCGCCTCTCGATCGCGTCAAGATTCTCTTCCAGGCCAGCAGTCCCCAGTTTGCGAAATACACAGGCTCATGGTTCGGTGTCGCGACTGCTATGAAAGATATATATGGACAAGATGGAAGCCGGGGCCTGTTTCGTGGCCATTCGGCTACTCTACTTCGAATCTTCCCCTACGCCGGCATCAAGTTCCTCGCCTATGAGCAAATTCGATCGATCATCATCCCCTCAAGACATCACGAGACGTCATGGCGACGATTAGTGAGCGGCAGCTTGGCCGGTGTGACTTCAGTCTTTTTCACATATCCCCTCGAAGTCATACGCGTGCGCATGGCGTTTGAGACCAAGCGCGAGGGGCGGTCATCACTGGCATCCACATGTCGCCAGATCTACAACGAGTCCCCGATCAACCACACAACCACGGCGAAACTACCTCATGCGCCGCAGCCGGTCCAGGCCGCCGCGGAGACGATACAAAAGGTGGCGCCCCGCATTGGCATCGGCAACTTCTACCGTGGTTTCTTCCCTACCGTGCTCGGCATGCTCCCCTATGCCGGCATGTCATTCTTGACACACGATACGGTGAGCGACCTCCTGCGTCACCCCTCGATAGCGCAGCAGACGACTCTACCCCGGAAGAAGAACCACCCACAAGACAAACCTGCTGCCTTACGGTCGTGGGCTGAGCTCACCTCGGGAGGAATAGCTGGTATTGTCTCGCAGACGGCATCGTACCCTCTCGAGGTGATCCGTCGACGAATGCAAGTTGGTGGTGCGGTGGGCGATGGGCGCAGGCTTGGGCTTGGCGAGACAGCCCGCATGATATTCAGGGAGAGAGGTGTCAGGGGCTACTTCGTGGGCTTGACGATTGGATACGTCAAGGTGATGCCCATGGCTGCCGTGGCTTTCTATACCTACGAGCGGGCGAAGCTTCTGATGGGTATTTAAAGAGGGCGCGTACGGCTGACAGGTGTATCGGCGTTTGACGGGGAAACATTAGTGTCATCTGAAATCGGTTCGCATAGAGCATGCATGGGAAGAATCGTGTGGATTCTAGAAGGTATATTAAGGCAACAGAACCACAGCACGTCGTTCCAATGATTGAGCCTCCAGGAAGCGACTCTGGAAACGAACTGGAGAGTCTGCTTTGCGAAGCTACAATCGTATATCAGTCGTGATACTCATCTCGTTCTTCAACAAGCTGGAAAGGTCCGCCAGTCCTCAATTATTCGATCATGTCGTTACTCTAGGGTAGGTGAGTCTTGGTAAATGTGAGGCCAGACTCGCATCGCGCTCCAGTGCCATAATCGTGGTGGTCAAATTTCACCACAGACCCGCGTGTAATTTGTTGTGGTTTGCTTCGCTCTGATTGAGGTACGGAACTTGCTGCGAGATGATTGCGGCTAGTCACAATTTGTCAATCGAGCATATTGCATTCAGAAGCCTCGTGCTGTGTGAAGGCGTGAGGCTGTCACGCGCCAGAGCCTGATTGGCTGAAATCGCTGCATGGTAGCTCAATCTTGAGAAAAGCTCCAACCTCGTCCATCTCCAACATTGAAGACGCGCGCCTCTGTCCTCACCGCAGTCCTCCCGAGAACGTCGCCATCATGGCTGATTCAGACCCCCTCATTCTGCTCCGCGAAGCGATCAAGACCCAAGGGCCATACCACCCTACAGCGTCCTCAGACCCAGCCTCGCCACGGGTCGAGCTCGCCCAAGCGACGCATCTGGCCTTCCCGACGCGCGGAATCGCCCTGCCCATCGCGACGCCGACGCGTTTCATTTCCAATGACAAGCCCTTTGACCTGCGCTCCATCTACTTTGCGTGGCTGAACCGCGACCAGCTCATCCCTCAGTACAATGCTGAAGCGACAGCGCTCAACGAATCCTTGGGGGACAAGGGCAAAGTCCAGAACCTGGGGTACATTGAGAAGCTAGACCTCATCACATGGCTCGAGGGCGCGGAGAGTGAATACATTGTTCCGCTCGCGGGAGGCGAGGCGGCGGCAGCTGGAGGAGAAGCCGCGACAGCCAAAGCTGGTGCAGCGGCGTCGACGGCCAGAGCTGGCAAAGGGACATTGGACCCAAGGCTGGCCAGTGTGTACAATGGCGAGAGGAAGATGGGTGATCGCAACACCGTCCTGCGGGGGATCAAACCTACGGTATGCTACGATACTATCCTGCCGCAGAGGCTATGCGAGTTTGGTGGAATTGGGCTCGGCTGACACCCAAAACCAGGACTTTTCGCACGTACGCAAGCTCGCCACGCCATTCTTGACAAAGAAGTCGCAGTCTGCGCCCATATCAACCACGGCCAACCCGACCACGTCTGTATCCTCCAAGGTGTCCGGGCGTCGTCCCGACCCCATTATTCTCCTTTCGCCCTCTGCTTCTGCTCTCCTGCGCCTGAACAATATCCGCTCCTTTCTCCAGGACGGAAGGTTCACACCGGCGGACACGGCTGCCTCCACAGCGTCCATGCTCCACGTGCAGCGCAGCATGCCGAGCATCGACCCGAACCGGCCCCTGAGGTTCATCCTCGTGGAGGGACCGGAGCAGTTCAAGCCCGAGTACTGGAACCGCGTCGTGGCCGTCTTCACCACTGGGCAGACATGGCAGTTCAAGAACTACAAATGGAGCAGTCCGAACGAGCTGTTCAAGCACGTGTTGGGCGTGTATGTGGGCTGGCGAGGCGACGCCCCGCCTGATAATGTCAAGGACTGGGGCCACCGTGTCGTCTCGACGGCGGTCGACCGATGGAGGGGCGATGGCCATGACGCATCGCGCTTCAGAGACAAGGAAATCACCGAGCAGATCTGGAAGGCGATCGAAACCGCCATGGTGCACAAGGGGTGGAGGAAGGATGCCGCGCCGTCCTCCATCTGAAACGGGCGACTACTGTACAACATTTGGAGAAATGAGGCCTCGTCGGTTTGGCGAGTCGAATAGCGATGGCGTTAGGATTCGATCGATTCATATACTGCCTACATTGGCGGGATGGAGGGCTGCACGGTAGAGAGTGGTCAAGCATCAACATGTTGCTTTTCGTCCGATGAAGCTCAATACGACACAGCGAGTGTGATGAATGAGCCTGGCCTTTGGTGAACATGATTATTATGACGACGCTTGGGGCTGTAAGCTTGAGCAGGCAGGCATGTACGTATGCACCTTGAGTGTTGTGCCCTGTCACGTTTCGGCCGAGACCTGGGTATCGGCGTCCGTCTCGGGACTTTAAGAGGCTCTTGTTGAAACCAGTCTTGGCGCAACAAGACCCTTCTTTGAAGCGGGCGCCGGGCAGACGACCCCGAGGCAAGGCGAGACGGCAATCTTTCCTCACGCTCACGGCGCTTCTCGGGTTTGACCGAACGCGAGCACGTTCTGGAGTGTCACGAGAACGTGGCAAGCCATGCGTCGGCCCTGCTGTGGACGAGATACACGTTTCCTGAGAATCTCACCGCATGATTATCCCGTGCCACAGCCTGCTGCACGACCATTCGGTGCATTCGAGATGAGAGAATTCCGTTTCCCCCGACGCGCGCTTGTGCTCAGGACATAGGCTCGGGTCGAATGTTTGCCAACAGCGACTGGTGCTCAAAGCCTCAACCTGATTCTCGTGCTTTTCAAAGGGCTCCGCTTGACGGTCCGACGCTAGGCTCTTGCTCTTGCGCGAGGTAAAAGCTTAGCTTCCGTCACGGCGGGCCATGCGGATCTTGTACAAGGGGCTCTGGTCGGACTGTGCGGTCGGCGTTATGCGGGCGAGAATCGTCGCTGCTCGCTCGCCATGGTTACCGTAGATGCTACTTCGTACGGTGTGAAATGTGATCGTGTCGTACGTACTCCGTACAGCGATTGCACTCGGTGTCGCTGCCGTTGCCGTCACATCGTGTCGAGATGAATCGTGACACGGCTGGCGGCCCATGCTCAACTCTCGCGTGGCATTATTCGACAACCTCCAGCGGCTGGTTGGCAGCCGCCGCCAGCCAGCCCGGGGGTAGAGTAGGCGTAAGGCGGCCACATGGGTGACAGCATCCCCAACAGACGCATCTCAGACGCGCAAGCCGCAAGCAGGTCTCACAACCAACAAACTATCGATTTGTCGTCTGGGGGGCGGGATCGCACACCCACCGTGAGTCGCCTGACCGCCCCGCGGACATGGCCACTTTGTACCCACTGGGGCTTACAGATTTCATGCTCGTGGTACGGACCGTACTCCGCACTCCGTAGGTCCAGTACGTACACGTATATACTAAGCCCGCTCGCATAGGGATC